CATCCTCGAGTAATTACAAAGTAAATCAATCCAATATTGAAAGAGGGAGGGGAAATCATAGGTGGAAAATTATCATTTTCCTAACCAGGATGCCAATGCAGATGACAAGGCCGTTATCACTGTCAGGACTGTCAGGTGCTTGTACCCTCAGTTCTCAACTGGTTAAGACGGTACTAATTACTGCTCCAGTTATTCATTTATTTATCTGGTTAAAAATAATATTCCATTTATTAAGGCCCCCCAATCATCACGCCTTTTGATTCCTCCATGAGTCGAAGGACGTTAGCCTCGGGTGAAGTGAAACATGATTTGTTCATTTTCTATTATGTTTGAAAAATTGAATAATATCATTAGAATAATAAAATATCATGCAATAACTTCGTCAGTCAGTCAGTCAGATACTTGCCCAGTGCTAAGCCTGAACATCAAACGAATAACTCAAACGGGTTACTGTTAGTAGTATCCATGAACCTACTAGGTACTCTCTGCTCGGATCAACCGGTGTGACAAATAAAGCAGCCCAGATGATTGGCCTGCTCGTCAAAATCCTGACGAGGCCTCTGATTCGACTGGATATTGTGCCATTTTTCTCAAACACCGTCGTCACGCCCTCAGCCTGACTGAGCCTTCCAGTTCCATTCGTTAAGTTGTTCCGTCGAGATCCCCTTACAGGTGACATATACGAGCACACCAGATCTAGGTACTCCACACCCGTACCGGTAAGCTATGCCAACGTGGATTGCATATGATATGTTATGTTATGCTATGCTATCCACAATTACATACATCCATCCACGTATACACTGATAGTGTGAGAGAAGGAGTGGGAAAAAAAGAGGGGACTCTTCAGCTCAAGTCGGCCGTGCCGGATCGTCGCCCGCCAAGACCTGATCGAAATGCCCTCTTTTTTTTTTTTTTTTTGCTGCTGCCATCGGTAGGTCGTGGGTTCTAGTTAACTACCTTGGTTGGTTGTGTTGGTGACGGGCTATTCCACCCGTCCGTCCGTCCGCCCGGCCCCCATTTTCTGACGGTTCTTACCTACTTCTTACTTCTTGGCTAGTTAGGAGTAAGTGGGAGTTGAGGCCCACGGCGCTAGTGCTGCTCCAGTATTCTTCAGGCATTCCTTCGGGAGGGAGGATTTGGGTTGGATTTGGACTGACGCTGGGGTTTATTATTATTTGGTTTGGTTTGATCCTGTGGGGAGGACTACTGCCTCGGTAGGTCGGTACTTACTACGGAGGAAGAGTGTTGTTTTATGATTTTGTGCTACGGAAGATTGGGAGTCTATAGCTATAGGACTGATATTAAGGCTTGCGATGCTTGCGTATGACTGACTGTCACATTGACAGCTTGATTCATTTAAAATAATTATTTATTATTTATCATTTATTGATGAATAATAGCTAACTAAGATACTATTCTTGGAATCTAGTCGACAGTTTCAGTCCTGACTCGACGCTGCATAAGAAATACGGGGAGCACGGATGAAATCAGAAGAAAGGCTAAAATAATAATAATAATCAGAGACAAACCGCGGATGCAAAGATGCGTTGGCATTTTCTGCAGATTGTTATCTAGACTGCGGAGCCACAGTACGACCGTCAGTGAGTCCGACGAATCAGCTGGGTAACTACATAGGTACCAACGACGGTCGAAGTCGCTGAGTGAGGCACTGAGGATAACGGGGATAAAAAGAGAACCTAAAGAGGCTAATCGTTTAGTCTGTTCTATCATACCTAAGTAGGTAGTACCTACGTAGGGAGAAGTAGAACCTAGGTTGAATCTTCAATCAACTGAACAGGTCGGAAGAGAGTTACCCACGTCGTGTAATATTTGATTAGTTTATTATTATTGTTGTTATTATTTCAATATTCTTTTATCTGAATCTTCCCTGTCACTGCAGACCCGAGTCCGCCTCCTCAGAAGAAAAAAGAAAAAAGGCCCTGCGTAATAATCTGAGACCATAAGAGCTAAACCCGCGTTAGAGCCTCCCCTTGATTGGCCACAGCGTCCCGACAGCTCGGGTCACCAATCAGAATCGCTGCAGGTTGGCTTGCTGACCTCTCATTCCGCGCCCAATAAACGCCGCTTCTTGCTGTTGGTTTTTCCCCCTCTCTGGATTTTGTGCTTTTCTCCCTTCCTCTTGCCCCCCCTCTTTACTCTCTCTATCCACTTCTGCCCCGTTCACCCAGTCCGAGTGTCGCATGATGCAGTTGGCACATTCCCGGGAGGTCTGATGTCTGTTACCTGACAACTCCAACTGTAACCTCCTGGAATGGCATGTGGGTGGTACCAAACAGCTGCACCGTGCCTTCATTTTACTACGGATAGACAGGACTAGAGTAGGTAAGTGATGGCGAAAAAGGAGGTGGTCTGATTCGATTCTTCAACCAAACTAAATAAACTAGAATAAACAAATAAATAAATACAAAAAAGAAAGAAAGAAAGAAAGAAAGAAAAGAAATAATAAATACGGACTACCTAATCTTAACACCTGCGGATGTGACCCGTGCCCTTCGGAGGAGCCCGTCCTCCTCCATACTGTTGACAGATTACGGATACAGATACAGGTGATGTGCTCACGATTCCTTCATTCGTTGGGAAGCGTCTGGGTCGAGACCCCGAGGTGGGAACGGACGATTAGATTAATATTAATATTCACGTATAGGACAACACGTCCCACCCCCTCTTGTACACTTATGTCCGCTAACCACTCGGTGATGACGATGGTTGAAAAAAAAATAAATGATCATAAAAAAAAGCAAAAAGAACCCTGCAGGTTTACGTCGGTCAACCCGTCAGCCCCCGGCGGCCAGAAGGGTTGACAGAGGGGGAGATTTCCGGTTTATACATCACATAGATGACGGGATTAAATAATTATAATAATGTTAACTATTCAAATATGTGAAAAAAAAAAAAAAAAAAAAAAAAAAAAAAGAGAGAAAAGAAATCAAAAAATTGAATCGAATTGATTGATTGAATGGAAGTAATAATTAAGTTAAGAAAAATAAATGACAGGAATGAAGAATCCGTGCATATGAAGAATGGTCCATTCGAGTCAGAACATAATATAAACATCAATAATAAAAAACACGGAAGTCCCCCTTCCGGAGAAACCGACCTGGTCTAAAGATGAACAATCAATAGCCTTGCCAATCGTGAGGGAGAGATCGCGTTCCAGTCGACTCTCGAAACTGGCACCGGTGGATCTGATTCAGACAGGACATCCATGGGTTTACTGTGGGTGTCTTTTCTGTCTTTTCTGTCTCTTCTTTGAGGACGGGAGAGTATTTGTCATTGTCCCAGTCCGCTGGGACTTTCTTTACCCCTAAATCAGGAGATGGTGGTCTAACTGTTTGATGTATTTTGCGGTAAATTGGTATCATGGATGGTTTTGATACCCCTTTGTCTATACCTCACGGGCCATGACGCAGTTCCCCGGATGTCTTCTCTATAGACTTGACTGGAGCTTGGCTCCCGACTCCGCATCCTCTCTCTCTCCTTTTCTGGCTCTCTTTCTATTCTCTTTGGTTCTCTGTGGAGACTTCGGCCGGTTCTCAGGTATGTCACCTTGGCATACCTGGGAGACTCGGCCCGTAGTTCTCTTATGATTTTATTTATTGATTTTTTAGGTTGGCTGTCGTCCGTCATTCCAAGTGGATCCATTCGAGACGATTATTATCAGAATAATCGTACTATATTATACTATATTATACTATCCCATCAGTAGAAGAAAGAACGCACGAACCAATTGGTCCAAGAGTGTAGATTTCAAATTAAGATAAATCCATCCACCAACGTGACCATCCTCCGCCTGCATCCTCTGCGTCGTGAGATCTCCACTCCCTTCATGCTGTTCAACGTCTGAAGACTGCTTCTAAAAAAGACGGTGTCCGATCTGCTTCTCTTTCCTTTTCTCTCCCTCCCCTCTTTCTCTTCTGGCTCTTTCTATTCTCGTGGTTACGTCTCCGATATCCTTGCATCACAAAGTACCTTTGCCATCCATTTCTCCCTTTGCATTTCTTGCCTCGTTGATTTCTTCTATATATCCACCTCTTCCACGCATCCTTCCTACTCGATCTGGTCGTACAACATCACGGTCGAGTCTGAGTACAAGGTCACCGCTACCCTCCTAGTGATTATTGCTGAGCTCAAACCACCAACTGGGCCTGACTGAGCCTTCTCCTGCGGACACTTACAGGGTCGATCAAGGCTGCTGCATTCCCTGCTTGGTCGGAAGAAATCCATATATTATTCTATTATTTCATTATCTTATTATCCTGTTTTATTATTTTATATTATCATTTCTTATTTTTATTTTTTTTTATTTCGATTTTATTATTTTATTTTCATTTTCATCATATTAAAAACGACAGGGGAAAAAACCCAACAGCAACAATCACGTCTGATTGAACTTCATTCCCTCCCCTTCCTTATCCTCCTCTCCTCCCCCCACACACCCTACCCAACCACCCCCCCTGCTGCTTCTGGCGCTACGCATCACGTCGGAACACATCGTGCACCCGCCGTGGGAGCGACTCTTAACAGGGGGCGCAGTCTCCAGCGGACTCGATTACAGGCCGGTTGGATCCAAAGATTCGGTACGCTACATGGGGCCTGTACAGCTAGCGACACCCTTGGCAGTCCAATTCTTCCATTTAAGAGACCAACGGAACGTCTCCTCTGCTGTTGGCGATCTGAGCAATTTCGTTCCAGAACGATTACGGAGTCGGTCCTCTTTTTCAACGGAAGATCGTCCCGTCTTTTTTCAGCGGCCGACTCTTACTCTACTGGTGTCCTGTGTCCACTTTGTCCAGTGGCTGAGAGAACACTGCTCCATCCTTTGGTTCATTCCTTCCATATAGTTCCTCCGTTGCCAGCTCCGCCTCGTCCTTCTAACTTGGTCTCTTTTTAATTTTTTGAGTCACCTGCAACTGATCTTCTTCAAACCCCGACCTGTCAGCCTATTGACCTGTCAACCAACGGAAAAGAACATCAAAAATCAACTAAAATTAGACACAGCAAGAACTGTTGTCTGTGCTTTGTCGGTCATCCTGGTTGACTTAAATCATCCTTACGACCTCCTTTGCACCTTCTGGAGAAACCCAATTCTTCATCCCCACAAAGAAAAAGAAATGGCTTCTCTTCACGAATCGCCCAGATCGGGCTACATGCCATCATCTCGCCAGAGTCGCATGGCGATCGACTCACTGTTAAATCCCCCCTCAGTGGAAGCCGAGAGGCCCACGCCCCGACTGCACTACATCCGAGCCAGCCCGCAACAATTCTCTCCTCTCTACCCCCCAAGTCCCAGCAGCCAGTACTTCTACGCCCCCTACTCCGACGGCCACCGCTCCTACTGGGAGAGCTCCGTGGGGACCCCCCACGACCAAGCATTCCTCCCCTACCGGCCGCGCTCCGCCGAGTCCTCCCCCGGCGCGTACGCCCGGGAACGCTACGACTCCGTCTCCAGCAGCTCAAGCAACGCCCCGGAGCGACGACGCCCGCCCCGCCCCAAGTACGAGGAAGAGGAGATGTGCTTCATCTGGTACCACCGCGTGGACCTCTCGCAGGAATGGAAGGAGGTGCGCGAGAGCTTCAACCGCCAGTTCCCCAGCCGCCAGCGCCGCGGCTTCCAGGGCATCCAGTGCAAATTCTACCGCTACATCAAGGAGAAGGGCTGTCCGACGCTGCGGACCCAGCGCCGCATGCGCGACGGCGAGTATCTCCGCGAGGGCTCGGGTCTCTCAGACGTCATTGCCGGCGGCGGCGGCGGCGGCGGGAGCAAACCGCAATACGGCGTCGTCGACTGGGTCGGAGCCTGGTACCCTTGGATGCGCGAGACCAAGCCCGAGGTGATGACTCGACATCGGGTGTCTGTCGAGCGACGATTGGGGAATTAGTCGACTTTTCCTACCATTACGGCCGTTGAGCTATAATCGCATGGTTGGACCTATTTTTCAGTCTGACCTTGTTTTTTATTTTCTTTCTTTTCCTTCTGTGGTGGTCTAGCTGGACTACTTTTACTTTTACTTTCACCTTCTGATACTTACGATTACCTGGGAGGATTTCTGAGCTTAGCATGCGTATTTTTCTGTCTACTGGAGGATTTTTGACTTGATTGCTTTATTTGTTTAGTTTCTTGGATTGTTTTTGCTTGACTGCTCAGCTACATTTCCTGGGCTGCTCTTGTGAGATGGTTGCAATTGCTTGGATAATGTACCGTTGGTATATACTGAGTACGATGTTCTCGTATTTAATCAATGGCTATGCCTGGATATGCATATCGTATCATACTGTATCGTACGGTTGTCGGGTGTATGGTAATTACTGTATTTACCGTTACTATCTAGTCTATCAACAATCGTTCAGTTATGATATAGTCATCAATATCTAGAAGTATCACATACTCCCAAGATATCTAGTTCTCGACAGAACTATAACCAAACAGACAAAATACAACAGTACCAATCACCTTGGGTAGAGAATGCGTACAATTGGAAATTCCCTCAAGACAATGAGGTACACAACAGCCAGAAACACATTCATTCGGAATTCCTCACCAAACTCAATCCCCAGGCCCAATTCCTCCCCTCGGACCTTCGCCGAGTCACCGCGTCAACGAAATAGCTACTTAGCCTGTCTATGTCTATGTCTAACCTGTGTCTCATCTGGTCCTGACAGATAGCAGCATTCTCTACTCCGTATTAATTACTGTACTACCTACCAACCTACCTACCTACCTACTGGCACCTCCTAGATAGGCAGGTAGGTTACAGTACAGGTAGGTACCTCAGTAGCTATCTAGGAGGTACCACCGTACCAGTAGGTAGTAGGTAGTAGGTAGTAGGTAGGTAGGTAGGTGGTAGGCAACCAGTGGATTCTTCTCCGCAGCCACACATACTGCATGCGCCCCTTGGTGGTTTATTGTTGTCTTCAGCTGGGAGTGGCTTCACCGGTTATTCTAATCGAGATGCAGGGTTTTATTTTCCAATGTCTATCTACTAAATGTGTTGTGTGTGTGTGTGTGTGTGTGTGTTGTCTGGATATATCAATATCAAGATAAGTAGATAGATTATAGATACTATAGTGTAGTCTGGTATATGGAAGTAGAAAAACTCCACAAGCCACATTATTGTCATCTCCACCAGCATACTTACCACCTGTCCGTTGTCATCCATCCCACCGGTGCGAGTTGAAATAATGATCTACAATATACATATACACCAGCGTACATATCATTATACGGTTACCGTTACTGTTAGTCAAGTATATGCATACATGTCTAGAAGGTAGATCTGCGTTGAGATATATCACAGCCACACCGAGATAAGCTATTACTTCTCGCATTCTTCTAGCGGTGAGCTTTGTCTGTCTGCTAAAGTCTATATTGTATATATTTACTAATTCCTGCCCCTACCTGCCTGCTTACATATGAACTTAAAGTTAACAGAACGGGCGTAGCTGAACTTTCGATGCTACTGCTACTGCTACTGCTACTGCTACTTCTCATTTAACATACATGAAATAGACAGTTAACAGTGGACAGCAGACAGCAGACAGCAGACATCCAACAGACAACCGACAGAAGACAAAATCATCCAGCCAGCCAGGTCCCACGCAAGGGATAAGGCCACCCACATACAGACGAAAACTTTGATTCTGAAGGACTCTGGGAATGCACATTTCTTTTCTATTTACTAATTTGATTCTTTCTTCGTATATACTCTGTGGGTACTTATGTAGCATGACAGGGTGGGATTGAGAAGAATGAATAAATGATTGGAGGATAGACGTTGTGTTGATGGCTTATGGTAGTTGCGGTGTATACAGTATGCTTTTAGGGTTTGGGTTTGGGGAGGTTTATTTTATTTAATCTATGATTGAGTTTGGGTTTGAGTACCGGTGAAAAGTCTATAGCTGGTTGATTTGATAAGTGTAGCTAAGAAGAAGAACAATAACCTCACCACCTCCTCCTCCAACATATCTCATACATAGTATAGATAGTATCTCCGCGGCATAGCACAAATAAACACCCTTGACAAAACACGTGAGCTACACGAACTCCCTTACCTCCTCGCAACCGACAGACAGACAGACAGACAAAGACAGGTAGGTAGGTAGGTCCCTACCTAATGTAGGCCATGACAGTGGCTGGCTGACAGTCCCTGCTAGGTAAGTCTCTCATTCCAACAGTCGGAAACAGTAAACGCGCAAAACCACCCTATTGATCAGTCTGCTGCTGGCTGATCATTTTTTCTTTCTTTCTTTCTTGCTTTCTCCTAGCATGTATGTGTATGTATGTATGTATGGATGCATACATGCATACGTGCATAAATATATGCAGGGTTTGTTGGGTTTTTTCTTCTTTCTTTCTTTGTTTCGTTCTTCATGCTTTTCCCCTCCTTGCTTTGTTTGGACGTGGATGGAAAGCAAGCTCTTTTTTGTCTCCCTGTCTGTCTGCAGATTGAGATCGTATGTACAGTATATGCAAGCAGTGCACGGTGGCTTGTTTTGGTGGATTCCACGTGTTTCTCGTCAGATTGTTTTTTTGTGTAGACTAGTGTAGTTGATTGTATGTATTATACTGTAAGATGTTCATGAGCTAGTATGTATAGGACGTGAGAGTGTGGGAGGGCCGTTGGAACGGGCAAAGCTCTCTGGATGACTTTGATGATACTGATAACTAAGAAAGGTGTGATTAGTTGCAAAAACCACGAGTCCAATATAATTTGTGTGGGAAAACAACGCAAGTAGCTGACATGCTGGATGATTGCATCTCACAATTCCATGATAGAGACTAGTATGTCCGAGACTTGGGAGAAGAGCATAAAGATAGTGGCTTGTTTGAATGCTCGTACGAGCGCTGGATTACCATGGCTCAAAGTCATGGCTAAACTACAACCATGTTGATCGGTATTTACACAACTCTACACAAAGCTGGTCACTGATTATATCATATTTCAATTACCGCACTCCGCGGCGACTCCCTGACCTCCGCAGCTATATACCCCGTCCAAATGCAAGAGAGCTGTATGCTCGGGATTAATTCCATGAATGGCATCACAAATGCAACTGATGTAGAAAACAAGAAAGACGATCCAATCCAGTGGGTGTAGCAGGTCTCATCCTGCTCTCACCTGCAACCAAGCTGGAGACAATCCGTTGATGCGGCCAATCCACGACAACATAACAAAAAGAAAGGTCATACCAAGCTAGCAATACATGTGATGGTATAAGAAAGGGGATTAAAATAGTGTAAGATGGGTCGACCAAGAACGGAATTTAGACAAGACAAATGTTGAAGAATAGAATAATAAACCACACGGTACATAAACCAATACAAAGAAAGGAACCAAGATGATGACATGGGGAAAGGAATGGTCGAAATACAAAACAATATGGTTGAAAGGCAACAAGGAAGAAATCAATACAACAGGCTCGGGAAGGAATGATTTGAATTGATTGATAGCCAGCCCCACGTCGCTTGGGATGAAGATTATTTGGCTCCGATCTCTTCTTCGGCCCAGCCTGGCAGCGAATTTTCATTCTGGATGGCCAGCCCGAACCCCGAGTGGTTCAACCCTCCCAGCGCAGATGTGAAGCTGGAAAAGCTGCTCTGCGGTTGATGGGCGACACCTCCGCGGGTGTGTCCTGGGTGGGAAACAGGCCCGAACGGCTCCTGCGAGAATGAGGGCAAGCTTACAGCCCGCGAGTGCTGCGATCGAGGAACGCTGAGGCTGCTGGTGCTGGCCGTGGCATGGTGGCCCGGCCCGGAAGAGCCGCTGCTGACGTGCAAAAATCCACTGTTGGAGGGCTTGTGGTGATGGAGCGGTGCTTCGATGCCCCCGTTGGTAAGCTCACTGCTGCTCGCACCGTTGTATAGATGCTGAGAGGGAGCCTGCGACTGGGACTGCAGAGCCGCGAGGCTCAGCGGATCGTTCAACTGGTTCTCCTGCTCCTGGGCCTGCTGGGCCGACATCTGGTTGAGGTACATGGTCAGCGGGTTGCTGGCCCCGACATTCAAAACCCCAGACGGCGACGATACCGTCTGGAGCGGGTGACGGCCGTGCTGGCCGCTCTGAGACCCCGTGGAGCCGGGGCCGGCGACAACGCGGGCCGACTGGGACTCGATTGCGAGCCCGACTGACTCAAGTTCTGTTGGAAGCCATTGAGCGCCGGCGAGGGCGACTGCGGGCCTTCCAGCCCGGCTCCATTGCGGCCCTGCTGGCCGCCGTTGCCCGTCTGCCGCGGCGGGTTGCCGCATCGGTCCTTCCCGAAGTTGATCTTGAACCGCCGGTACTCCTCCCGATTCCGCATGCCTTCGATCGCTTTGATCGCGTTGGCGATGTTGGTGAAGTTCACAAATGCGCAGCTCTTTTCGCGCAACGTGTTGACGAGCTCGATCTCTCCGTATTCGGCAAAGTCCTGGCGCAGGCGCTCCTCGGCCCACGAGTCGTCCAGGTTGCCCACGTACACGTTACGGGAGGCCCCGCCACTCACGGCCAGGGCGATGGCGGGCGGTAGCGGACCCGAATGCTTCCCCCAGCCAATCTTCAGCCGACGGTTGTGGATCATCAGTCCCTGGAGGTTGCTCAGCGCGTAGAAGGAGGCGGCGGAGGTGGGATCGATGAACGTCACGAAGCAGATGTGCTTGTCGGGAATGTAGCGGATGTGGTGCAAGAGACCGCCACGCACGACGTTGCAGATCTCTTCGATGGTGGTCTCCGGGTGGATGTTGCCCAGGTAGATGGTGCGGTTGCCCAGGTTGTTGACCCCACCCGCCGTGGTGGCAACGGCGGCGGCGGCAACGGACTGCTGCGCGAGCGCGTTGGTGATCAGATCCCGATCCGCGGAGTTGAGGATGTGCGCGTATCCCGGCGCGATGCCCAGGAATTGAGCAGCATTCTGCTGCTGCGTCTTGGACACATAGGCGCAGCGGTCCTTGCCGTAGAATACGCGCTTGGGCGCCTGCCACTTGGCCTCCTGGGGTAGCTGCGACACCGCCTTCATCGCGTTGCTGATCGAGAGGAAATGGACGAAGCCAATCGCCTTCTCCTTCACGATCTTGACCGTGTCGATGGGCCCGAATTTGCCCAGCTCCTCGCGCAGCTCCTCCTCCGCCATCTCCTCGGGCAGGTTCCCCAGGTACACATTCCGCGATGCGCCCGACTGCTGCACTGCCAGCGCAACCGAGGTGGGGACTTGAGAGGGTTTCCCCCAACCCACCTTGATGTCATTCCCCTTGATCGCCAACTTCTTCAAGATGGCATCCGAGTGGAAATGGGTGGCCGAGTTGCTATCCAAGAACGAAATGAACGCGCAGTTCTTATCGGGGAGCAAACGCACGGATTCGATCTGACCGCTGCGAACATGATTCAGGATCTCCTCGGCCGAGGTTTCCGCAGGGATGTTACCCAGATAGACCGTTCGACTCGTGCCCGACAAGAGGCCCGGAGCAACCGACGCGGCGGGACTTCCGTATGCCGCGTTTCCTAAGCCACTCATCCCACCGACAGGGGACTGGGGACCTCCCATCATCTGGGAGTTGCCCATGTTGTCCGCTGGCATCATTCCCGCATACAACCCGGCATTCTGCGGAGCCTGCGTGGGGCTTCCCAACTGGTTCTGGTGGTTCTGCGCGTGTGCGGACGGGTTGCCTTGGGGAAAGCCACCGAAGTTGGCGAACTGGGGGGAGGTGAACGCGGACGGGGTTCCGGGCTGGAAGGGGCTACCCAGCAGTAATTGGGAGGGGAGGAGGGGGGTGAAGTTCATATCGAACGCGGCGCCGGAGGTAGCCATGTTGTCGCTGTGACCGGCAATGGCGGTGTTGAGTGACGGGGCGTTGGGTCGACGAAGGTTTCGGTCTGGCAGGCCCTGCAGGAGGATGTTGTTGTAAGCACCGTGGGAGAAACCAGTGTTGTCCGCGTTGAGATGGGAGAATTTGGAAGGCATCAAATCATTCGGGAAGTTTGGGGCATCGGAGGTTTGCATGGCGAGGCGGATGAGCAAACTGTCGATACAGTTGACCCCGAATGACGGTCAAGGTACGGGATGGACCGAGCGAAATCACCTCACCGACCAAGGGATGAAAGAAAAGGTACGGAGTAGAACAGGAGAGAATTATGGGGTTCGGAAGAAAGAGACGACCCAAAAAATACAATCAAATCAAATCGAAAAGAAAGGAAGAAATAAACCAAGATAAAAATAAAAAATGAAAAATAAAACGAAACCCCTAGGGGATTAGGGTGAAAGCAACAGGCTCTGTGAATCGACCCCGTAAAAAAGAAAAGACGAAAAGAAGGAGAAGGGATAGAGAAAGGGAAAAAGAAAAACAAAGGTCAAAAGAAGGCCAAATGGAGCGGAAAGAAGAAAAAGGATGAAGAGAACGGGAAGATGAACTGCAAGGTCAAGAAAGAACAGAAGGAACAGGCCAATTGGAGACGTGTCTAGAGAGTTGACCCAGAGAAGGTCTATTGGAATGAAAGGGTAAAGGCTGGTGACAAACCTCTTTTGGTAGGTGGTTTGGTCTTAGTTTGCTGGAACTAAAGCGCCGTTGAGTTTAGTCCGGTCGTTGGTTCAGTTAGGGGGAGACTGAGAATGCCGCAACCATTGGTCCCCCGAAATACTGTCGTCGAGACGATCGCAAGGAAAAAGGTACAAAGAGCCGATCAAGGAACAAATTGCATACAGGGTGGAAGGAAGATCAAAACAGAGACGGCAGCATTAGCCACGATCAGCGCATCCCACGGCGAAACCTGCCAGAAAGGTGCAAGAACGGCGTGCAGGAAATGAACGATACGATGGACAGCAGGTAAGGAATCCACGGAGCGCTGGAAAGCTGCCAAGGGATAAGTGGGAATAGTGGGAATGAGCGTCGGCCGAGGGGGAAAAGAGGAAAGAAAAGAGGAAACTGAAGCTATGAGAATGAAGGTAAATAGTAATAACCGCAGTAGTAGTAAAATAATAATAACAACAATAATAATGAAAAATGACGAAGAGCGCAAAGAGGATCCCCCAGATAGGAGAAAAAAAGGGGGTTTTCAACTGAGGGGGGAACCAAGAAAGGGACCAGTTGATAACAGATAATACTGGGGAAGTAACTCGTTTCCCTAATGTTTTCCCTTGTTTTTTCCCTTTCCTTTTAAAGAAGGAAAGTAAATCAACTTAATCAAATGTAAGAAGTATTCACGAACAGGATAGAAAACAGAACAAAAAAATGGATCCAAATGATGAGGATGAAGAAAATAAGATTGAATAATAAATAACCGTAATCAGAAGACTCAATAATACGAACTGTCGACACCAAACCTTGGGAGAAGTCAAAAAAGGAAGCGTAATAATAACAATCAATAGTCACACGAATGGGAGAATGAATGATGATCACAGCAACCACTTGGGAGAGATCATGTAAGCAAGGAATGAGGGGAATTAGTTAATAATAATCAAAACAACAATATTAAAAAGACCGCAAACAAAAAGATGTGATCGATGGACTGTACGGTATATGAAAGGAGGGTTGGAAAAGGGGAAATGAGGAAATGAGTTCAACTCAACACCAGCATAATAGCTTACCAGGTTCTCCGGTGGAGCTTTCCGATGATGATTGACTGGCCGATGGGATTAGGAGTTCCTCAGGGCGTGTCTATAATTGGTGTGTACCTGAAGGGGGAAATATCTCCCCCCCCTCCTCATTTTCCTTCGGAGCCTCCCCATAGTATGTAAGTTTGGATGGAATGGAGAATGGAGGGCAGATCTCTCTGCCAATAGTTTCTCCTCTGACGCCACTTCCGATTTGGGTCTTATGGGGGGGAGGGGGGGGGGGGGGGGGGGATTGTAGGGAAGATTATATTAATCGACCTTCCCTCCCAGAGGGAGAGAATTCAACCGGGAATTCCATCCATGACAGCCGATGAGAATCATTTCTGGACAGGGGATGGATGAGGAAGAATGGACTAGACCATTGGCATCGTAACGATGGGAAAGCAATAGGTATCCATTTGACGGTGGGGGGAGATTGAGAGGAAGAGGAGAGGAGAGATATGAGGTGAAGAGTGGAGAATGAAGTGAGGTCGACTTCCTGGGAGGGGGGCGGGAGAAAGGATAATCCGGGGCTGCAGAAACCATTTGTTTGGGACTCGAGATTCCCCGTGACTCGTCCGATTGATCTCCATAATTTCATGCAGGTTATTTTTATTTTTATTTTTATCTTCTTTTCCTGCATATCTTGGGGGAAATCAAACTAATTCAAATAAACAAAATCAATTCCTTGCATGCTCTATGTCCTGTGGTTCATCAATAGGTCCCGACTACTCCGTCTTGGGGACCCTTCATACTCCCATCGTCATAACACTAGGAGTCTCTATTAGGACCTTCCTGGTATAACCACATGGATTCCGGCGATCCGATATTCAACAACCCCCACTTCATGGGATCGGTCACTAGATCATCTGTCAGATGTTGTATCGACTTTTACAAACGATTGCTGGATATAGACTAGTTGAGATCCGGTCGACGACAGCTTGGACCAGGTCTATGTCGCTTGTGCGTTGATCCGTACTATTGGCTAGTTGCCATGGATAACAAACATGCTAGTGAGACCGTCAGGGTCTGGATGCGAAAAGGCAATGACACATGCTCTTATGACTACCACTTGTACAACACACCTTGGGGTTGAGTCATAGGTGATACTGTGTACGCTGGAGAGTTCTGCCGACGGAGAACAGCGGAGTAAACATAGAATTGGGGTATGGTAGGGGCACTGACAGGAGAATGCCCTGGAGATTCTGATTCTGATTCAGGAAGAGTGAGCGAGTAGCATAGAGGTAGCATCCATGTAGCCTTTATCGGTATCATCATCATCTCCTACCTAGTGATGTGATTGCCTGATCCCTCAGGCAATAATCAGGCAAATCCATGCCTGGGGCATACACGACCCCACCCACACTTTTTCCTCCATACATCGGTGGGATCCAGAAATTTACCCCTCCAGCGGATTCATCCTCGATTCGGACACCCTCGCTGTGCCTTGGTCGTTGTCACAATTGTCGGTCTGCGTGATCTATTCCGTATGTATTTCATCTTTCCTGTTTGGTCTATTTTGTCACCAGTGTCATCCCCCCAACATTCTTTGATAAGGCGAATGGATGTGACTCACCCGGCCGAGATATGATATATCCCGCCACGCCCCAGCCCATTGCAGTCCCCATCTTCCACAATACTAGATAGATAATTTCTGCCAATCTTTGGCCTGGCTAACCTATGGAACCTGGACCTTCTAGAATAACCGCAACAATGGCATCCATCTACATCGACGAGGATGTCGGCAGAGACGAGTCGCCCGCGACCGGATCCGAGTCCGCTCCCTACAAGACCCTCCTCCACGCTTTCCTGCAGCACCCCCCCGCCGACGGCACTCAATACCTGACGCGCAAGTCGCAAACGGAACCCGCCGAGGAGGGCGCCGACAAGTTGGAGTGGAAGCCCGCGACTAAGTCGGCCATGAAGCGGACCACCAACGCCTACGAGCAGCGCAAGAAGAAGGCGGCCAAGGAACAGGAGCTGGCGATCCGTGAGAAGCAGGAGGCCGACAAGCGCCAACAGGTGCTCGAGGAGGCGAAGAAGGTCATCATCAAGGAGGACACCTCCCTCCCCAAGCCCGTCAAGATCCGTCTGGACGAGACCGACCCGGCCGTTGTCAAGCTGGGATCGCCCGAGGCCGGCCAGGGCACCCGCGTGCGCGCCGTGGGTCGCGTGCACCGTCTGCGGTCCCAGAAGGGCGTCACCTTCCTGACCCTCACCGACGGCTACGGCTACCTGCAGTGCATCCTGAGCGGCGATCTGACCAAGACCTACGACGCCATGACCCTCACGCTCGAGACCTCCATGGCCATTAACGGCGAGATGCGCGCCGTGCCCCCCAAGCAGCACGCCCCCAACGACCGCGAGCTCCACGCCGACTTCTACACCGTCATCGGCCGCGCTGCCGGCGACAAGGACGCCATCACCAACCGCGTCTCGGCGGAAGCCGACCCGCAGACCCTCTACGACAACCGCCACCTCGTCCTCCGCGGCGAGACCGTCTCGGCCGTCATGAAGGTGCGCGCGGGCGTCCTCCGCGCCTTCCGCAAGACCTTCGAGGAGACGCGCATGCTGGAGGTGACCCCGCCGGCCATGGTGCAGACGCAGGTCGAGGGCGGCAGCACGCTGTTCGGCTTCGACTACTACGGCGAGAAGGCCTACCTGACGCAGTCGTCCCAGCTCTACCTGGAGACGTGCCTGCCATCGCTGGGCGATGTGTTCTGCGTGTGCCCCTCGTTCCGCGCCGAGAAGTCGCTCACCCGCCGCCACCTGTCCGAGTACACGCACATCGAGGCCGAGCTCGACTTCATCACCTTCACCGACCTGCTCGACCACCTCGAGGCCGTCATCTGCCGCGTCATCGAACTCACCCTCGAGGACCCGGCCACGGCCACCCACATCAAGCAGCTCAACCCGGACTTCCAGGCCCCCAGCCGCCCCTTCCGCCGCATGAAGTACTCCGACGCCATCCAGTGGCTGCGCGAGCACGACATCCCCAACGAAGAGGGCAAGCCCCACGAGTTCGGCGACGACATCGCCGAGGCCGCCGAGCGCAAGATGACCGACATCATCAACCAGCCCATCTTCCTGACCCACTTCCCCGCCGAGATCAAGGCCTTCTACATGAAGAAGGACGTCGAGGACCGCCGCGTCACCGAAAGCGTCGACGTCCTCATGCCCGGCGTCGGCGAGATCGTCGGCGGCAGCATGAGAATGGACGACTGGGACGAGCTGATGGCCGCTTACAAGCACGAGGGCATGGATCCTTCCCCTTACTACTGGTACACTGACCAGCGCAAGTACGTTCCCCCCTCCTTTCCCTTGGTTCCCCTCATGCACACCAGCTAACCAAACACTTTTTTTTTTTTTTCAGGTATGGTACCTCCCCCCACGGTGGATATGGGCTGGGCCTGGAGCGTTTCCTGGCTTGGCTGTGCAACAGATACACCGTGAGAGATTGCAGCTTGTATCCTCGTTACACGGGCCGTTGCACGCCTTGATTGATGTGATGTGATGAGATTTGAGACTCTATAAACATAGATGCATGTTTAAATTTACGTCGTTTATAACAATTGTGCTTGTTTTCAGATGTGGTCAATTATACTAGTGGAGTGGAGTAGTAGGTACTGGGTTGATTGTAGAGGTCAGATAGTGTAAGTGAGTGATGTATACCTAGGTAGCATACGTTGTCTATGGCGTATCCACCCAAGGAAGTGAGGATATGATTGCGCAGTGGGAAGTACGCAGGTATCTATCTATCTTGCGAAGTTGTAGCTATCCATCATCATATCATATCACACAGTGTCCATCAACCCTTACCATTCATTATGTGACCACTTTCTCTACATCGATACTGGAATGCAGAACACGAAGAACGTATACATATTCCCTAACAAACAAAACAAAAAAAAAAGTCAGTAAGAACTTCTCGTCAAAGTAAGCACAGTATAGTATAGTTAGTACCTTGAGGAAGAAGATACTCCCATCACATTCACTCAATAAATCTACAACTCACCAAACACAAACCCTACCTATCCTATTCTATCCTATCCTATACAGTAACCACACAAACCCCACCAAAGTGTAGGTACCTAGGTTAGGTAAGTTTGGTAGGTACCTAAGTAAACACATTCCAAGCAAAACTAAGTTTAAACTCAACCCAAATCAAGCCACAACCGTCCCAAGAACCAACTGACTGACTGACTTATCCACCTGGTTTGAAACTCATTCAACCGGACTACTGAGTCGGAGATAGTAAGTACGTAGTGTTTTTACCTGCCTAGTACTACCCGTGCAGGATCTGTCGATCGTGGATGTTTCTGTGTAGAATATGGGGTTTGTTGGGGAGGTTGTGGTTGGTTCTTGGTAGTTCATTGTGTTGATTTTTTTTAATAATTTCTATTTAGCTTTTTCTTCACTTGGGGATCCCGAGGAGAGATGAAGGAGGTGCTCTCTTGTAACGGGGCGTAGGCAGTTGGGCACTAGACGATGCGTATCTAAGGCTGCCCTACCTAGAGTATTCTAGAGTTCATTCTAACCAAGGATGAGAGAGATCAAGGTGATACCCGCAGTGTGCAAGTCGATACTTTATGGAAGATGGGAGAGGCAGAAACAACAGTGTAGACCAGCCATATGATTGCCGTCAAATGGGAGCGTGCATATATCGTTAGGGGTGTCTGTCTTCACGACTCCAACGTCAACGGGACCCCACCACCGATCTCTCTTTCTCCCTCTCTTGGTCTACACATCGGGGGACATCACTGCAACAGAAACCAGATCCAACGGGGCGGCGAAGCATGCTTCTTTCTTTCTTTCTTCTCTTTCTTCTCTTTCTTCTTCTTTCATTGTTTGGTCTTGTTCTGATCGTGAGGTCCCGCTCCCCCAGATTCCTGTGACAACGCAGCAAAGATCTCCTGCTGCGAGGCACCAGAGCGGATGATGGACACCATCCGAGCTACAGTGGCCTGATCGCCGTGGCAGACGAGACTCAGCAGTTGTTCGAGGAAGACCCGGTAGTATTCGAGGTCCTCGAGGCTTCTTTCAGACGGCTGGGACTGGTCGGTGGAGGAGTCGTGACTGGTGTCCCGGTTGCGGTTAGAGTCATGGCAAATGCTGCTGTTGTTGTTGCGTTGTCAACTACAAGATCCCGGACTGGGACAGAAGGACTTCGCAACACAGATGAAATGGATGAGAGAGAGGCTTACCCTGGTTCCGGATGGTTATTTGAGTTTGGGTTCGTTTGTTCCATGGTAGTCTTGTACACTTCGTCGCTTTGTGGGACTGTTCTGTCTCTCCTTCTCGTCATAATACCGGGATCGGAGTTTCTAAAAGGTGTCGAGTTGCCCTCTTAAGTGTCTCAAGACTAAAAACGGGATGAAGTAAAGATTTTTTAATCGATTCTGGAAGAAGAGTTCGCTGGTCGAGTCGAGGAGTCTTGGGTGAGGATCCGTGTCTACGATGGTGTTAGTCCCTACCTGACGCATCGCGTTGGCATTGGGTCAAAGCGTAACCCGAATGGTCGATGTTTCAACCACGCACCTGAGAGGGGCAGAGGGGGGAAGAGGGGAAGGGGGGCGAGTGTGTCTAACAGATGTCCTTTTCCACTACAGTCCGAAGATAGGGGAATCGAGGGCACAACGATAACGAATCGAGGACGGGGGGGATGCTGGATTCTAGTGAAAGACGAACCTCACATGCATCGCTGGACCAAAAGAAACCTTGGGTCACGCGAAGAAGTTGGAACGATGTCGGGCAGGTAGGCGTGGCCGTGCGGCCTAGGGGAGGGACTCTCCACCAGATGATCGAGACTCGGACAGCCAGTCAGACAACGATGGGAGGAGGCAAACCATCTCCGTTGGACAGGACGAACAGGAAGGGAGCTTTCTGACTGGGCGCGGGTTGCTGTGTGAATGGCTAGTACCTAGTAGGTAGTTCAGGTCAGTAGATTGGTAGTAGGATGGTAAGTAGGTCGGTAGTTCGTAGTAGTAACGGTAGAGTCAGTCAGCCGCTCGTTGGTCACTGGACCAGACTAAAGATTTAGGAAGATCGTGCGTGAGAGAGAAATGATCTCACCAACAACCCTCTTCACCCCATGCGGATACCTTCAAACTGGATCGTTTGTTGTTCAACCCAAGTGGTTATTGGTACTATACGGATCCGGAAAACTTTGCCAGCCAATGGACGCGTCCCATTGCGTGTCCGCCACCCAGCGGAGGAAGATCAACTCGGTAATGCTTCCTGTGCTTGGGCGCACTCAAGTTTCAAATTTCTTCTAGACTTATTCCTCTTTCTTCCTTTCTGATTTTTTTCGGTTTTGGCTTCTGCTTTACCTTCTCTCGTTGGAGAGGATGCACGCGGAGAATGGGGACGCTGACTGTCTCCCTGCAGTCCACCAAAGGGAGTCTGGACCCTGCGGTAGTAGCGTCGCCACGTCTCCCCATCGATCATCAATGGGAGGCAAACAGGCCCAATTTAAGCGGACATTTACGGAGAAGACGTCCCATTCGTCGCTATTGAAACCCGGAAGCCACACCCTTGGCCAGCAAGGGACCGATTGACCAACCTACGTTCCTGAACACTTGCTATTATCGTCTCATAAATTGCGTACGTCCATCGATACCAACACTTATCGCGATTCCGGTCACGAGATCCGGGCGTCCCATACCTAATCACTCAGGGATGACGTGGGTTGTTGGTGTTAGAACACAGCACTGTCAACCAGGATGTTGCATCTCCAACAATCCTGCCGACGCAGATCCCTGCGGAAACAGAATCCGCCAATGAAGGCGAATTTTGCAAGGATACGCTGAGGAATGCCCTCTTGCCTTCTCGGTAGAGTCCATGAACGCAGATCATCAAAGCTTGAGTATCACTCATAGCAGACAGGTAAGTACCCAAAAGGTACATTGCCGTTGAGTTTGGTGAACCTTCGACGACGTGGATTTGCTTGTTGGATTGTCAAACACTGGCAGAGCAGAATCCGTACGTGTTGGTTATCAGTCTGCCCACGTCCCATGCAAAGATCTCAAGTAACACCACCGTTCTCGCAGATAAAGCCTTCCCTACCTTCTCGAGAAGGCCTTACCTATCATGGTCGAATAACCTATCACGATCGAATAATCCCAGCGCGACTTCTCGACGTCACCTCTTCGATTGACTGTTCGTGCGGATCTTAACGACTGCAGAGGTAAGAATACCGTTTCCCGACCTGTTTCGGCGATAAGCGATCAGTGGGCATGGCATTTGGATGAGAAGTCGTCGCCCATGACACGAAAATTGGCTTCTGACCAGACCATCATGGATGATATCTTGATTTGGTTATAAAGATGAAATCGAGAGAAACCCGAAAGCCAATATTTCGTGCACGGAATACTGGGCGGGGCGAAATTAAGTCCAGGGAGTGGCATTCTGGATCGATCCAAGAATCCGGATCAGTGTGGAGCACTGCCGTTATGGAGGTATAGGCAATCTTCCACCGTGCCTGCATACCACAAATTCACGGGACTGGCCACGGTCTTGATAATCGCTTCTTCAATTGACTGAAGATGCTCTGTTTGGCTGCAGGCAAAATCCGCTCAATGTTGATCGGATATCGGGTCGATGCGACATGGTACTTCGGTCTATTCCAGTAGCCATTACCGTTATCCGTCATGGTGCTCGGTCTGTCTACGTACCAAACAGGAAGGTACGTGGGGCAGTCAATCGACCATATGTTGTACAGGTGCCTCGTTTAGTTTGCAACGGCTGAACATGGGCCTCTAGCCCGTCTTCGAGCAACCAGACAGACCAGGTCTAGGCAATATGCAGGCTCACGAAATGACTGGCGTTAAAGACATGGCTTGTGCTTCCGTTGTCCAGTCTTATCTGCGCAATGTCCACCACGAATCGCTTCGGACAACAGTGATCTTGCAATAAAGTGATGTTTGGAAGTGGGTTACACATTAATCACGGGGCGAATATATTTTGATATCGTTATCGTCGGTTATTGGACCGTGTTGTGAATTCGCCGCGCTTCTCTGGGAAGTGGTTTCGACGCTCTCCGCTTTTGCCTTCAGGCACCTATCGCAGTCAGCTAACTAGCATTGCCCTAGCCGGAAGCAGGCTTGTCTTGGGGATCACATACAGGGCGTTATGAGTGTGGACGATCAATAATAAAGAGCATATTGACCACCCTCATCTTCAAGGGATTAACCAGACTCCCAAGCCCTGGGGTAAAATCATGGCGTCACTCGTTCATGGGGTGGTTTTGCCGATCGAGCAAAATCTCAACACGCGGACAAGAGACATGAACAGGAGCTTGGTTATAGGCAAAGAGGTGATCCGGGGAAGTCATACTTCAGGAGTTGAAAGACGAAGCGAAAAAAATAGATGAAGAGGGGCAAGACAGCTGACGAGCACAGTGTGACGCCAGATCATTTGGCGCCAATCGGAACCCCCTTTTAGGAAAAGAAAACAGATCCTAACGATTTGATGGGGCTCCACTCAACGCTTTCCGAAGTACCACGAGGCAGAACCACCGGTATCAGCTTCAGCCAAAGCCTAATTTGCAGGTCTGCAGCGCGTCGGCATGAAGACCCCTGGTCCTCAATTTATGCAAGGATGGGTCGGTGAGCCACTGAGGTCATGAAGGACCGTGGTTTGACGAGTGCCTAATACGGGGTGGCTCGGAACCAGGTCACAACGCCTAAGCCCGGTCTATCCTGGTCCAACACTCATGTTCAGCCTGACTGTCTGATGACAGTCCCCACAGTTGAGTAAGACCTCTCCAAATACCCTGTTCCCGTTCCAAGGGTCAACTCCTCGCATCCTATGGGCGTAACAAATGGACAGATGGCCCAACCCCATACGTTCACCTATTGCATACATCTTAGGGCGATCCGGATCTTAAGATCTGAGAACAGACATGATAATACCCTATAGTCAGCCTCAGACGTGACGGTCGTGGTCATTGGTAAGACGTAGCTACGATCGTCAACAAAAGGTCTGTCCCACTCCGTGATAGATCGGCATGATCCAAACAGGGAAGTCTACTCCAAGCAGTACCCTAACAAAACATACTAACGGCAACGGATAAAATCCTACATGGGCTATTCCCATACCGTGCCTGCCCTGGGGCCGGATACTAGGACTACTACTGCAGCAGTCAACTTCCAATTAGCGGTTGCCGTCGGCCGCAGGGATGCGTTTTCGTTTTCTCTGTTTTTTTGGTTCGCTCGCTTGGAAATGGTTTCCGGCCGCTGTGGAGTTCAATGTGCGGGATGCTTCGCATGTCCTCTCTTTTTGCGTAATTCGGCTTGTCTCCGAGACGTCTGTCTGTCTAGCTGTCTGTCTAGCTGTCTCTCTAACTGGCTGTCAATGGCTGTCAATGGCTGGGCTTGTGCTTGGTATGGGACCACATTACCGTGTCCTGTACAGGAGCTAGCGCGTCGTGGCGTATCCATACAGGCGCCCCATCCTGCTAATTACCTGAACACTGGAGTAGCGCGCGTCTGCAGGTGATGCTCATCTATTGTGGTAAAAATCCTGCAGCTAATGCGTCCAGATATCAGCAACATGACGGATATCATGGTAGAGGAGTCATGAATGTGCATCTGACGTCTATGGTTTGCACAAAACAGCGGTACACTCGGGAACACCCGGTGTCTGACAAAATACGAGTACACAGGAATACTACTGAGCTGTCAAGGTGGTCGTTCGACACCTATGGGTAGGCATTTAAACAGGGAGACATGGTACTGACCCACACATACAATTATATTACTATCAGTGCCAGCTGGTCCTGTCAACTGTAAATTCTCAGCTGTCAAACGTTAGAACCTGATCCCTAGTCGGTCTTGGTCTAGTCCCTTTTCATCCCGAGGAGGAATGTATAAATATATATTCTTGCTTCCCTAATATTATATAATTATATCTACCTTTTCTACGGAGCATACTCCCACCCATCATAATATATACAACACACCATAGGTAAACATTACAACCTAATTAAGCAAATTCCAACCCATCCCTCCGCAGGGATGTTTATTTGAATTAGCTATACACGGTATGGAGCCCTCCTGCCTCTTACTCCCTACATAGCTACCCTAACATAAACCAGCACAATAACCCAACAATCTCTCTCGAATATATCTCCAGAAATAGCAGAAATAGCAGAAATAGAGTAAATAAACCGAATACGATAATATATAGGTCTCGGACATTTACTTTAGGAAACACCCCGTCTCGTGCAGCGCAGCAGGAGTAGCAGCAACAGGAGGATCATCCCTTGCCACGTACATAGTAGGCACAGACCTAGGAATTGACCGTGATCCCTTGCTTTACTTGCTTTACCAACACATATCTATGCTTGATGGAATGGTGATATACTGTAGTATTAGCACGAGGGAAAGTATACTAATTTGATGAGAGCCTGTTTGATAATGCTATATATGTCTAGTATCTACTATCATTTTATACTACACGTATATACTCCCCGTGCAAGACAGTACATAGATAGTAGATAGGAGGCATCTAGGGAGAAGATAAATAAATAAACAACTATGCAGGAAGTGATACATACCAAGTGAGTTCACCCAAACCCTACATTCTCCATAAACCGCTCATGAAACAATCTGGACCGTCACTAGTGCATTGCTTGTATGATGGATATACACCATACGTACCTAATTCTATATCTATCCTCTATCGTTTTAAGAGGTTGAGATGGACTGGACATGGACTGGACATGAACTGGACATGAACATGAACATGAACATGGACGCAAAATAAACAATATCAATAGATGAACAGGGTTACTTAAACAGAATGTAGTGTCTGGTTGCCTCTTCTCTATCCCATCCATCCCATCATCCCCATGACACGCCACGATCCAACTAACCCCTTGATTGCAGCTGAAGGAAGGGATTCAAGGGGGTTTACTTATTTTACTACTGACTTACTCTTTTCATTCTGGTGTAAATATCTCCTACTACCTACCCACTTCCTTCCTCTCCTTCCTCCTCCATCTCCATCTCCTTCATCCCAGGCCCCAACCTCCCAATCCAATTCAATTCAAGACAATCCAACCCAACTCAATCCAATCCAGCCTTCATCCAGCTCAACTCAACCAACCCAATCCAAACTAATCCAAACCTACACAACACACCCACAGGTCAAGTTCCCACCAAAAGAAAAAAAAACACATGAACATCTACTCCATCCTCCACACAACCACCACAACCACAACCACCAAACCCACCCGCAAAAACAAAACCCGAAAAACAAAGACAAAGACAAAAATGCACCTCTCAGGCAAATACATCTCCGCCCTCTGCCTCCTCGTGACAGGCATCTACGCCCAAGCCGGCCCCTCCGGCAGCGACACGGGCAACACGCTCTGTTTGGGGAGCTGTGCGGATACGCCGGAGGAGGCGGGTTGTCAGGGTGCGGCTGTTGCTACTGTTTGTTTTCCTCTCTTCTTCTTCTTCTTCTTCTTCTTCTTCTTCTTCTTCTTCTTCTTCTTCTTCTTCTTTCATCACTGCATATTGAAAGGATCAACACACTGAAGATAATGATGACAATGCTAATGCTAATGTGAAATACAGTTCCGGGAGAAAAAACAATGCTGGCTGTGCTGCTTAAACGACGACCATTTGGATGATTTTGCGGATCATATGGATGATGTTCTCCCTAGAAGGGCTGGACATGAGTAGATCTTTATTAAGATGTTGGATCTTGGGGTGGGGAGCTGGTTGATATTGATATTGGATGATATTGGTATTGGTATTGTTTGATTTGGGCGGGGAGGGAGGTTGTTGATGTTGATCTTGGTTGTTATTGATATATCGGTAGTGGTATTGGGTACAGGGAGATTGAAAGAGGAAGGATCACGGGAGTGAAGATCTATTCACGAGTTTATTCATATTTGATAGGATAGACCAGTTCATTCATGAGTTCTATTCTATTCGTTGTCTAGCTGTTTACTCTTTCATGTTTCACGATTGGTGTAGTTGTGTAGTGTAGTGTTGGCATACTATATTATCAGTCGGTGATAACTTTGATCCCGACTGAGATGATCTACATAGTACGGTAGATACATACCAAGGTAAGATCTACAGTAGACGCATGATAAAATAAATAATCCATCATTCATTATCTACCATTCGCCTCGCCAAGTCCCATAATCTATCAATTCAAAAATAAAACATCGCCAGCTAGTCCATCATCCGTAAGGTCATATCATTTTCCGTTCCTTTCGCCTGCAGATATCGCTCGATATCTGACGCAGTGATAACAACATAAATAAAAAGAAAGTCAAGTACAGGTCGTCTGCTAGACGCCTACTGCGGAAGGCTTGCCTTGCCCACGATCGTAACAGAAGCGCTGGACGTTTCTTTCCAGACGGCACTGTTGGCCGGGAAGATCGATCCTCCGTTTACATCTGTGGAGAGACCCCGAGGTTCATCCACGAGAGGTACGACGAGCTCCACGCCCTTCGTGCCACTCGTGCTGCTGGAGAACTTGTGCCGCGGGGGCAACGGGCGGTGGCTCATGTAGTCCGATGCACTGCTGCTGAGGGAGGACGCCACGGAGGACGGCGTGTGGATCAGGGAGGGAGGAGCGCCGGTGGCACTGAGGGTCGACAGACTGCCGGAACTGCGGTGGTCGGCCTTGCGGCGCATGGGGATCGGGGCCTGCGTGCCGTGGAACTGGGACAGATAGGTCCAGGCCTCGGAGCTGGCTGACGAGCCCGGCATCGGTATTACCGGCTTCCACTCGGACGGGTCCTGATCTACCTTGACCTCGTACATCTCGCTCGATAACCGCGCTGGCGTGTGAACGGGAGCCTTGGTGGGAACCATTGGGGGGACGATAGTCCGGGGTGACATTGGGGGAGAAGCAGGAGGGGAGGACGGAGCAGACATGGAGGAACTGGAGGAGATGGAGGCGGAGAGAGGTTTGTGGGAATCTTTGCGGCGGCAACTATACAGATATGAGTATACAATCAAGATAGATGAGGCAGCCCCGATTAAATAGGCTGACCAAAGAACAAGATAAGATAAGAAGAAAGAGTCATACCTTTCACTGCAATATAGTAGAGAATTATCCGGAACGGTTATCTGCCTCTCACACATGGCGCTGCAGATAATTGGTCAGCGACGTTCGATAAGGATCCATGCAAGGATGTTCACAGGAATCCTGATAAGAATCACCAGGAGAAAACAAGAAACATACCAAAAGTTCAAAAAACTGGCGGCCATCTCGAACTCGTCGTCGTCGGAGTGGTCGACGGTTGTTTGCTTGACGGGAGCGGCGCCCAACTTGGAAATGGAGTGGTTCACAAAGGATGTGCCTTTCCGATGGAGAGCGGGGCGAGCGGGTTTCACCTTGGCAGCATTCGAGCCCGAGGGCGAGCGACGGTGGTGAGAGGAATGATGTCCCTGGGCCATGGATGGCGGTGAGGGTTTATGTATCGATGCAGCTATCTGAAGAGGGTACCTTGCGGCACGGTGGATGGGAGCGGTGGAGCCCAGACGCTTCCCCTGATGCAGCCCACGATATGAGGGATTTGCGGCCGGGTGTGAATCGAATTGTCTCAGACCGGTCGAAAATGCCTTGTGATGGATCCAACTATTGCTTGGTAGTTTCCCCGTCGGAGAATTAAAAGCCAACGGTATGTGGTGGAGCAGCGAGGAAAGAATGTCCGTGGGGTACAGAAATGAGAGATTTAACAGCTGGACGGGAGAGGCAAAGGACAATATGAGGGGAGTGGTGAGAGGACCCGCGGCGATAAGCTTTGTGGGATTATCTGCAGTGGTACGTTAGTCCAAGATTTCCGCCAGGAATTAGGGTGACTAGTCGGGGGGGGGGGGGGGGGGGGAGATAGGCAATAGCCGGTATCTTCTGGTGTTATCCGGAAGGATAAGGAGATAAGCAGAAATCCTGACTCAATTGAGTACGTACCTTTCGGTCGTTTTCTTTCTTTGTTCTTTTCCTCTTTCCTTCTTTACTCTCCTTCTCTTCTGGTGAACTGGTATGTCAAGGGACGGGTGTGGTAGTGATGAGAACCGATGACGAAGGATGTGCCGGGAAGATCAGTTCATATGAACGAGGGGCAGCGTATATTAAATGAACGGTATAAGGATAGAACCAAACCCCAGGGGATGGAGGGACGGGTGGTTATGTACTTCCACTGCTGGTTGAGGAAGGGGATGGATTCTAGAACGAGGAGATATCCACCGATTGACCGGAACCAAGCACGTCAATGGAGAAAGTCGACTGTGCCTAGGAAGAGAAAGGTGAATGAAGACGTGATTGGCGTTGAGGAAAGAAAGATGGAGTCACGCCATCGTTTCAGGCCTGAGGACGGTCTAGACCCGGGTTGGGCCTGAGGCAGGGTGCATCCAGATAACGCGCAATCTGCTTACTTCACCACCTCTATATTTAGAGTCTGTCTCTGTCTGTCTCTGTCTGTCTCTGTCTGTCTCTGTTTCTGTCTGGTTCATGTGGAGTCAATCGGGTGAAATGGTCTCTTTTATAGAACTGGCTTTCCTGCTTTGTGGCAGACAAAGCCAACCAATGTGAATTGATAGTAGTCTATAATCTATCTATCTTTCTTCATTCTGATCCCTCACAAAGAATAAATTAAAATAAATAATATTAACCGACCGAACCACGCTTATCTAGATCGCTCTGGTGAGTTGAATGCGGGGCTGCCCTATGATTTTCTTCCGGATTCGCCTCCCTCTAGACAATCATTCGGGTGACATTTCTTCCTGACTGGTCTGGAACCTCTATCTTCCATCATCTTCTATCGAATATCTAATATATCCAATATATATCAATGCTGTATTATCCATGTGGCTACAGCGGAAATCGTACCTAATATCTACAAAAAAAAGAGATCTGTGCGGTCTGATCAACCCTCCAGATCCAATCACGATGCCACCCTACCCACCACCCACAACACCTCCATACGTGACACCATAAATCCCTCGAATGGTGGCCAGACCATGAGACAACCCGACCGAATCCCGTCCCCAGACCGAGGTCATCGTTTTCACGAATAAAGGCAAGAGAAAGGAACGGAACGCAGGAATAGCGATCATTGTGTGCCTCCCCACCCTGCCCAGAAATCCTGAACCACACATCCAATCGTCCGCAGGGTTGGTCTCCAATAAGGGCGCTAGGTACAGCCCGAGAGGGGTCGATGGACAACGTTGTGGGGAGTCAATGATGAGGATAGACGTATGTAAGTACATAATGGAATCCATTGAACGACAGGTGTGGAAAGTCTCTGGACAAATCATGGTTCGGGATTCAACTATGACAACCAGATTCCACTCTAGATTCCACTCTGGATTCCCACTTCCCGTCCCAAGGATCGGCATTTTCAGAACAAAAGAAATTGACAATGATGGAAAACAAGATTTGCCTTGTTTTTCACTGCATTATCTGCACACAGCTGAAGATTCATATCTTGATACAATCCATGTCCAAAACCCTGTCGCGCCAACGGCGCCTATCTCCTGAAAAGCAATCTATCCCATACCAGCCTTGCAGAATGCCTAGTGCACGAGTGCAGTGCATGTGCATGTGCATAGACTCAGAGAGGGTCGTGTGCAGACAAAACCAAGAAGGCCACTGTGGGTCTTCTGATGTTGGTCTTCCTCTGCTTCATCTCGACGAGTCGATGGTGGGGAAAAGTGGGCAACCGCGGATGTCATTAATCTCGTCCTGAGTGACCCTTTCAGCGTCGATCTGTGCGGATTGTGATTGACTGGAGATAGATTATGATGTGGTTGTACCATCCCATTGATAGTGAATGAAATTACTAACAAATGAATCATCAACAACCAACTACTCTATACAACTATATACACCAACTACCACATACAGTAATCCGCCCCCATCATCATCTCGGTCCATCATCTCAGTCTAGAAACTAGAAACCAACTAGAACCAAATCTCCATACTCTCCAAAACCCTAGAACCAAGCCAAGAAAGCCCCACCTCAACGCCCCTCTTAAACCCCCCTCACGGAACCTGGCCACAATCCCGCGCCACACCGCAACATGACAACAATGATTCATTCTTCACGCCCCTCCTACTGTAAACATACATGCATACTACTTACTTACAAGGTTAGTAACCTCGGCTGAAGATCCGGAGAAGCGGAGTACACTCACTTCTAGGGTTGAGCTGCTTCGGGTCATAGATGGCGCTATATTATGTGGCAAGGAATACCACTCGGCCACGAGAGATTTTTAGACACTTCTGGGCTCTGTGGGTATCTTCTTATGCCATTTATATTGCGACATGTTATGGCTCAATTTAATATATATTTTGTGGCTGCGTGGGCTTGGGTGTAGGTACTGCAGGGGGACTGATGAAAGGTCAGAATACTGATGATATTGATGAGTGTCTTGATTGTGGAAATGTTGCGAATAGTTACAAGATTATATGAATGGTGAAGAATCAAAATACCAATCAATGTGCGAAAACACCGCAAGTCAGCTGACATGTTTCCCGATTGCATCTCTCTCACTCTCCCCGGCCCCATTTCTCACTTCCCACGCCGCCATCCAACCCACCATAGACTTCCAACCTATCTCAAACACGTCCCAGTCTTCGTCTTCTGCACTCCCATCTTTGAGTTCCATTCTGCTCGCAGAATCCTCTAGACCAAGCAATGGTACATTTATGAACAAGCAAACACAAATACAGTCAATCCCTCTACAATAAAGAACAAAAGCCCACGCAGGACGTGTACCTAAGCTAACCAATCTCTTATCTGAAATGCACTCCTATACCTTCCCAGAGCTTCAGTCGTACTAGCTGAGCCGTGTCCCCAACCAGAACCCCATACAAATTAGTACATTGAAGCCTTCCAGGCTCGAACAGTAGAAAGCCCAAGCAAGCCCCACTCGACGCCCCTCTAAACAAATTAACTGCCTACGTAACTCCCGGAACCTGCCCACGATCCCCGCGCCACACCGCAACATGACAGCATTCTGTCGCAATTTAGAATAGTGCATGAAAGGGTACCCACAGGGGTTGGAAGTGGCTAGGCATCTTTTGTAGCTGAGTGGTGGTCTTTGCGTCACTTTTTTTCTTCACGCCCCTCTTACTCTATACATACATACTACATACATCCTTGCTTTAACCTCGGCCGAGATCCGGAGAAACGGAGTGCCGTATTTGCTAGGGTTAAGCTTTTACTTTTGCAATCCTTGCGTAGCGGTATATTATAGCTCAATATGATAGTTATATTCTCTGTGGTTGTGTGAGTTAGGGCTATCTACTACCTCGAGACATAGATCAATTCGATGGTGGACTATTATAGGTATACCTGTTAAACAAGATATCTACTCCGTACTATACTATATTATAACTCTCCTGATCCATATCTATTACCTAGGCTGGTCGCTATCAAGTATAGTAAGCGATTATCTCCCAAAACAGCCGAAGGATAAAAGAAGAAAGAATATAAGAACCAACAAGGCTGGCGGGGGGGTTAAGTGAATAAACAAGTAAAAGATGGTAATGTTGATAATAATAAAAGCTTATTCCCCATCAAACCAAACGGAACCCGACGGGTGTCCTTCACCCCTGGATTCCCGAAAATATATACATATGTGTGTATATATTATAACAGGGATCGGATCGGATCGGACGGACATGAAACAGTCTCAACTTTTGACTCTCGTGGATTTATCCATTTTTATTAGTATTTGTTGTTATGGTGAGACGAGGTAAGATATGTCGTTTGATAGGCAGGTAAATCCAGGTACTTATAGGTCAGGTTAGTAGGGAGGGAGGGGGTGGAAGACGGAAAGCTTAAGTACATAGGTACCTAGGTCGGTGGGTAGTTAGTAGGAAATGCTAATTGCTGATGAGGAGGGGTGATATTGCGTATAGTGTAGATGGTTAATGTTGAGGTAATATTGAGGTATATTAGGCGAGGTAGAATGCATTGGGTATCATAAACATAAACTATAGTACACTTAACACCGTGGACTTCAACAGCCCTGCACAGGCTTTTCCTATTTGTCCACCACCATTGGATCACCATTAGAAGCCCCGGCAGCACCAGCAACCACGGGTGTCGACGCAGGCGCACCGCCAGCGCTCTTCGTGTCACCCTCCTTCTTGTCACCCTCCTTTCCTGTAGACTCCTTCCCTGCAGACTCGCCCTCCCCCGTCTCCGTCTCGCCCTCCTTAGGCTCTTCCTTAGGACCACCTAGAAACCGCGCGGGCACTCCCTTTGCAGCCACCCCGACAGGGCCTACGTAGCATCCGAGCATAGGACTCCATTGGTACTTCTGGTCGACGGTGTTGTGGATCTCGCGATACGCGTAGGAGTTGGAGAACGGGAGGGAGGTCTCCTTGTGTCGATAGCGTGAGGGGAGTGATGTGATCACGCAGAGGGAGGATGAGATTTCTGTTTCGTTGTGTTAATTTGTTTCTTTTCAATATGGGATTTGGAAGGAGGAGGCATACTTGTAAGCCGGGGAGGTTTCTTCGCGTTGAAGTAGATGCTGAATTCGCGGCTCTGCGCGGTCTTCTCGTCGAAGTCTTCCAGCACGGTTAGGCACCGGCCGGCTTGTTCAACGACTGCGGGGGGAGCGGGGATTTGAGGTTGTGGTGGTGCCTCTTCGGCTGCCGCAGTTGGCGGATCTGTAACTGTTCCTGGAGATTTGTCGCCTTCAGTTGGTGCTGGCGTGGTTCCTGGAGGAACGGACTGCGCTGGAGTGCCGTCTGGGGCAGCTCCAGGAGAAAGCTTTTCGGGCTCTGTAGGAGTTTCTGCGTTGCGAGGTGCAGCGGGAGCTGTAGGAGCAGGGGCTTCAGTAGTAGGGGCTGCAGGTGCAGGAACTGCGTCTTTCGTCGCGTCGTCAGTCTTGTCTCCCTCAGGAGTAGGTTTTGGCTGTGATTCCGCATTCGCAACAGGCTCTTTCTCCGATGCGGGTTCTTTTGGCGTCTCTTGCGTGTCCGGTTTCTCGTTGTCGACTGTGACCGCTGGTTCGTTCTTATGCTCTTCATCAATGTCCATTCTGTCTGTAATATTTTCTCCCTCTTTCTCGGACTTGTGTGAATCTAGATTCTGTACTGAGCCTTCCTTTAGAGCAGTAGCATCAGACCCGGCAGGTTGGGCTGGTTCCGTTGAAGCATCCTTGGGTTTCGGCGTTGATTCATGGGCAGGTTCTGCAGGGGTATCCGAGGGCTTGGGTGAGTGTGCCTCTTGGACACCGTCCGTTTTTGACGCATCGGTAGGGACAGCCTCAGGCTGCGGGGCTTCCGTCATGATAGCATCCTCGGGTTTTGGCGACTTAGGATTTTGCACATCTCCGTTGGGTGCATCATTAGGGGTGCTTTTAGAAGCCTGTGGAGATCCCGTGGTGGTACCAACCTCTACAAGCTTTTCAGATCCTGCAGAGCCGTCAACAGTGGGACCGGTGTTTGCCCCTGCTGAAACCCCCGATTCTTTTGGAGCATCTTGCGCCTCACTTGGCTGTTGGGTCTGGGAAGCCTCTTGGCCCTGCTTTGTCGAGTCTCCCTCCGCCGGCGTTGAGACAGTAGGATTCTCAGAAGCCGAAGGGGCAGTCTGCGACGGGCCTGGTCCAGTCCCCTCAATACCCGGTTGCCCTGGCACACTCTTGTCCTCCTTTTCCGACTTCTTGCTCTTCTTCCGCGCAGGCTCTTCCTTTTCAGGCTTCGGTGTAATATCGACTTTGCCAAGACGCGTCAAGCGACCATCAGACCAAGTAGCAAGGCCACTCCAGTAGGACATGACCGGACCTTGGAGGCGCCGATTTTGTAGCGCCTCGATTTTGGCCTTTCGCTCCTCCGCCTTTCGCTTCTCCATCTCCTCCCATAGGTTGAGACTCTTGCTGTTAAGCCTCTCGACGCGTTCCGCCTCGGCGAGACGCTCAGCTTGGGTCATCTCCTTGGGCTTGAGATGGGCCTTCCGCTTGGCGGCTTCCTCCATGGTGGCTATCAGTCGAACCCGCTTCTCCTCGCTGTCCTTGAGTCGCGCGTGCGTCAGTTCCTTATTGTGCATTGTCTGCCGGCGGGAAGACGATCGGGTAGGCCCTTCGTCAGGCGTCGGGATCCACGAGATTCGTTCCGACTTCTTCTTGGGCCTGGGGGGCGGCGCTGCTGTGGGTACGGCGGTGGGATCGATCTTGACCTTCTTCCGGGCAATTTTGAAACGGAGGTCCTCCTGGGCGCGTCGCTTCTTCTTCTCAGCTTTCTCCTCCTTTTCAATTTGTCGCTCGCCCTCGTCGTCGTCCGGCCGGGCATTCGGTCCCTGATCGTCATCGTCGGAAGAGGAATCGAGGGCCATATCGTCCTCCTCGCCGCCTCCCGCCTCTATCTCGTCGAACTCTTGATCATCGTCCACTTCTTCGAACAGAAGGGCCAGGTCGTCGTCTGCTTCGGCGTTGAGAAGGGCGGACATGTGACGACCGGCCGTGCTGCGCCTCGAGCGGCCCTTGATGAGCGATTCCACCGGCTCCGCATCCTCCGCCGAGGACGACTGATCTGTCGGATCATCTGCCATGGTTTATGATTGTGACGCGGTATAAACTCGTAGAACGCGAAGAACCAATCGATGTTCGAGGGGGTACCGGGGGAGTGACACCCGTTCGACCTGGGGGGTTAAGTAGTAGAAAGGTGGTACACAACTCAATCCCGTGGCTGCTTGTTGTGTTCAAAATCAAACTTTGAAGAAGACGGTCGATGAAGATGGCATTATATACACATCGAGTGAGGCATTCAAGACGGGGAATGATGACAGGCTTCGGAGCAAACCGAGGGACAGAACGCTGTGGCCAAAAGTGAAAGCCACCAAGGCGGTGTGGAGATTGACGGCAAATGGCTAGGCGGTCTGCTCAGTTACTGGCCTGAGGCATCAATCATGTGTACTTTCGGTTTGCTACGGGGCAATTATTCTTTATTCCACTTGGTTGCTTGTATATATGCATTTTTAACTTCGAGGACAAAGAATCTATGTAGTCGTGGGGCATCGACTTCGCGACCTCCAAGTCCAGGTCCAGGTCCCAGTAAATATTGGGTCAGGTACAAGCATACACATTATCGCGGTACCTGAAATGACGCTGGACTACGGATACTGCTACTACCCATAGCAGCCCAGTGCCTTTCCCTCCGACATGTTCGACAATTTAGTAAACTCTCTTTGAACAGTAGACAAGATGGTGGGATGCATGAAACCGCCATAGAGTGGCAGGGGTCGGCACTGCAGACGGGGAGATGAACCCTTGCCAGGATGGCGACAAAGAGCGCCCAATCCCTCGCGTCTGTGGCCATCGCGATAATATATCCGAAAAGGGGTCCAACATGGTTCTTACCGGACGATCTCACACCATCATCCAATGGGAATTCCGATGTCTTTCCAACGAGGCCGCGTCGATATCCCAAGCCATGCTGTGCCATGCTTGGAGACAGACGCATGCGGTGAGCAATACTATCCAATATCCATCAGCTTATTCCAACGAAACCTGGATAGTTACATTCTGCGTCCCCGTTGTATAAGCCAGAGAGCATGCGCCCCATCGTCCACAGTCCAAGGCCGTGTCAAGCACCGGACGGTCCGCTGGAATGCGGGGTCTAGTTAGTGTTCGAGACGTTTCAAAGGTGCCAATCATTCCCGGTTCTGCGAACTAGAACTAGAGGCCTCCGACGGTCCTTGGGCTGAACGGGTCCCCGTGGATCCTCGATCCCTCCGTGTTTCATCTCAGCTGTACAGGCTAGGTGCTCCTCAGGCCAGATCATCCATTAGTTATACTCTTGCTCACCCGCATATGAAGCGGGTAGGACCCTGATTTGGCCAACTCGGCATTCGTTTTGGAAACTAGGTACGGAGTAGTATCCATTTGATCCTATATGGTAGGGTAGATAGCGTGTTTAGGAATTGGGTTGATAGGATTGAAACTCTAGCTCCACCTGGCTGGAGAGAAAGGTCCTTTGATTGTGTGTTTGCAACCTCAGGCAGAACTGTACATTTCCATGATGCAGCTTACTATGGTCGTTGATCTCCTGATCCCGAACAGGGTCTGATTCGGATGGATCGTGTCGGAGAAAAACCACTATACCCACCGATTAGTTAGTTTATGAAATTGTCCGATCATCATGTCTGAATAATATGGATGGATCTAACAGTAATAGGTACCTATATATTCAGCTGGACAGTAAGTGTATGCCGATGTCCCTGGCTATCCACTTCCGTACAGTTTATTACCGACTCGTCAGATATACCATGGGCGGTATCAGCGACATAGGATGACCTGTCTGCAAGTCAGAATGATGGTGGAGGGAGAAACTAAGGCAGTCATATCAACATAAGCATACCATAACCATCATTCTCACTATCATCATCTGCTTCTGTCCATGGCAGTGCGAGTATCTGCATGAACATAGAATATAGTCGGTGTAATCCCAGTACAGAGAACCACTAGTAAACCCACCCACCAACCAGATATGACGTGCAACCTTTGTCGGGTCCGGGAATAAACAGGTCCTCAGGCTCTCATACTGACTAAGTCCTCTTCCTCTCTTCCTCTCTTCCTCTTCCTCTCTCTTCCTCTCTCTTCCTCTGTCTGTCTCTCTCTCTCTCTCTCTCTCTCTCTCTCTTCTCTCCCCCATCCTCCTTGTTCTTCTTTCATCCTCCCTTATACTATTTATATTCTTTTTCCTTTTTTTCCTTATCCTTTTCTTTCCCTGATTTTTCTACTTTGCATTCCCCCCTTCTTCCCCTCTTCTTTTACTTATCGCATCTTCTTCTTTTCATCTGTTCGAATAATTCGCTTTGATCCAATTAGAGATACTCTTTTTGCCTTCTATCTCCCCCCGGAGCTCGCGCAAATTCGGTTCTTTCCAGCCACCTTAGTCCCACGATATTCGATCGTTTTATCGTCACGTCGTTTTTTTTTTCTGGCTGGATTTGACAAGGACTGTCTACTTGCGAGCCGACTCGGGTGGTCGAGTGATTAATCTTAGTTTTTGATTGCTTAATCCTGTCGCGGACCTGGTTGGATTTGCACACGAGCCCGAATCCATCCTCCTCGGTATTGAGTACCGTTTATGCCTCAACGGACGGCAGTCCCTACGATCGTCATACCCCCGACAATTCTCGATCGCTGTCCCAGCTTACGTATTGGTTTTACCTGACACCCACCGCTTGACCCCGCCAACGAGCGTTTCATCTCCTGGCCTCGACGCACAAAACGATTCCTGTCGGTCCTCCATCGCCATCGGTCACTCATTTGCCTGTCATCTGGGGGCCTTCTGTGGGCGCTTCCTCACACCCGACCTCCAAATTCGAGAGAATTTTGTTTTGTCAACACATGGTTGTCTCGGGGCAAATTGCCGATTAAGCCGACATCTGCCTGTTTTTGACCCACCACAACCCCGAAGCTAGACTTCCGCGTTCCGAACCAGTTTCTCTAGAAAATACGTGCCCACCCACCTGAGGTGGAAGGATATAATCTGTAATGTTACCTGTGTCTCGACCCGAGGGCCATATGAGCCTCAACTATATTCCCACGACCCAGCCCATGTCCGGGACCTCCACGGGGCGCAGCTCGCCCAGTGATCTGTCGGCCTCCGCCGTCAAGTCGCCGTTCGGATCCGCCAACAGCCTGAATGGCGCCGCCGGTTCAATTGGAAGCGCGAGAATCGGGGCTGGATCCCCTTCGCACGGTGATATCGGAGCTCGCTTGTTTTCGAAACGGTAGGTCTTCCCTCCACTTTTCTATTTTCATTATGATCCTCGATAGTCGACTGACCGACTTTTCACTGGCAGAGCTCGAGAGATCCAAGCAGAGGAAGGTGTCGCTCCGAGCATCTGGGGTCCCCCGACTAGTGGCCACTCCACCCCCCTGCGTGAAAATATCCCCGAATCCCCGAGTCAGGAAGGATTCCCAGATCTGGTCCCGACATCGAGCGGGCCGGTGGGTAGCTCTGGTCGGAGGGCGAGGGCCGGTACGGTCCCCTCGAGATTTTCGCCCGTGAATTCCCTCAGTGAGGCGAATCTGCAGCAGCCCTTCCTCTCTCAATCCTCCCGACCCACGCCGTCGACGAGCCCCTTCCGCCCTTCCGGTGTGCTCGATGCCGGTGTCAAGCCCGGACCCGCGGCGGGCGGCAACGGGTCCGGCTCTCTGTCGCGTCTGCGTGCCGGTTCGATGCCCCAGAGGTCCAACTTCCTGGGATCTTCCAGCCCCTTTGGTCACTCCCTGTTTTCGACCAACTGGTCCACCGGCCGCGAGCGAGCGACCACCCTCACGAGTATCCGGTCTTCCGAGGGTCCCGCCTCCCCGAGCCAGTCGTCCTTCTCGCGAGACGGTCTGACCGATACCGATGTGAAAACGCTGGATTACTTGGGTCTTGCGGAGCCCCCTCAGCACGGACAGGGCCTCGTGCGACCCCCGATGGACGTCCTTCTTCAACAGCAGCAGCAGCAGCAGCAGCAGCAGCAGCCGTCTTCTTCCCTGCCACCATTGTTGGCTGAGCTGGCCATGATGAAGAATAACAACCGGATCCGGTCCTACTCCGTCAATGCCAAAGAGAAATACGCGGATGACGAGGATTTGGAGTATGAGAACCGCTACTCGCAGATCCCCTCCGGCTCCGTCACGCCGTCCGCGGCGGCTACTGCGGCCCAGTTGGCTGCGACCCAGGCCCAGATCCACCAGCACAATCTCGCCGTCCAAGCGTTCACCAACCATCCGTCGATCAATCGCCCTCGTGCCCGGACGGCGGGGATTCTGGAGGCTCCTCCTCAGCGCTCGTCGATCCGGAACTATCTCGCCACCCCTTCGCGCCTCGAAAATAGCTTCAGCGCGGCCGATCTGAACATCGCCGAGCACGGCGAGTACGATGAACTGTCCGAGGCGGTGCAGTTGCTGCAGCTGGGAGGCGGTGCGCCCAACATGGGCATGCGGTCGGCCGGCGAGATGATCGACGACAGCAACCAGGACGGCCCAACCCGCGCTTTGTGGATCGGCAGCATTCCTGTCTCCACGACCGTGACCTCCTTGGAGGCGATCTTCAGCATGTATGGCAAGATCGAATCCACCCGTGTGCTGACGCACAAAAACTGCGGCTTTGTCAACTTCGAGCGCTTGGAGAGTGCCGTCCAGGCCAAATCACTGCTGAACGGCAAGGAGATCTTCCCCGGTGCGGGCCCCGTCCGCATCGGATATGCCAAGGTCCCCGGTACCTCTGCGTCTGGCACGCCCGGGGCCAATGGTCTCCAGTCTTCTCCGACCCCCGATTCCCACGTCAAGGGCGACAGTGTCGAACGTTCCGAGGGCGGGGCCGGTGTGCCGGAGATTCCTGCCCTCCCCGACCTCCAGCCGGAGATGGTGCAGATCGTCAAGGAGTTCGGAGCGACCGAGGAGGATGCGCTGAACATCACCGCCAGCATCCAAGGGGCCATTGCCTTCCGGGCCTTTGAGGACGAGATCCCCCCCGTCCCGGAGCCCAGCCAGACGCGGATCTTCGATGCCCCCCGCCTCCGTGACATTCGCAAGCGGATCGACAACGGAACGTGCCCGCCGCAGGAGATCGAGGAGATTGCCATCGACATGCTCCCGGAGATCGCGGAGCTTGCCTCAGATTACCTCGGCAACACGGTCGTCCAGAAGCTCTTCGAGTATTGCTCGGAGTCGACCAAGGAGCAGATGCTAATGCAGATCGCCCCGCACATGGCGGAAATCGGCGTCCACAAGAACGGCACCTGGGCCGCTCAGAAAATCATCGATGTCGCCCAGACGCCGGCCCAAAAGCAGCTGGTGGTCGATGCTCTTCGCCCGTACACCGTTCCCCTCTTCCTCGACCAGTACGGAAATTACGTGCTGCAATGCTGCCTTCGCTTCGGCGCTGGGTTCAACGATTTCATCTTTGAGACCATGCTCAGCCGCATGTGGGAGGTGGCCCAGGGACGATTCGGCGCCCGGGCCATGCGAGCCTGTTTGGAAAGCCACTACGCGACCAAGGACCAGCAGCGCATGCTCGCCGCCGCGATCGCTCTCCACAGCGTGCAGCTCGCCACTAACGCCAACGGCGCTCTGCTGCTGACTTGGTTCCTGGACACGTGCATCTTCCCCCGCCGTCGGACCGTTCTTGCGCCGCGACTGGTCCCTCACCTGGTTCCGCTGTGCACCCACAAGGTCGCCTACTTGACCGTGCTCAAGGTCATCAACCAGCGGAACGAGCCCGAGGCTCGGGAGATCGTCCTGAAGGCGCTGTTCTTCAGCCCCGGCGATGAAGTCCTGGAGAAGATCCTCAGCGACCAGACGTCGGGGGCCACCCTCATCTTCAAGGTTCTGACCACGCCCTTCTTCGACGAATCCATGCGTGCCGAGGTGGTCAAGAACGTGTCCAAGGTCCTCACCAAGTTGAAGGCCACCCCCAGCCAGGGCTACAAGCGCCTGATGGACGAAGTGGGGCTGTCTTCCCGGAGTAGTGGTCGGGATAACCATCACGGACGGGATCACGGAGCCCACGCGTCCAACTCGGAGAAGCACTCCCACCGCGCCAACGCCCGGCAGGGAAACTCCGGGTTCCCCACCCAGCCGGCCGTGGAGCGGCAATACAACGGGCAATTCGTCCCGGGCATGCTCCCTCCGAATCTGGACGGCGTTCGCGGCGTGGGGTCCGAGCCACCCGCCGCCTCGCCGTATGATCCGTACGCTGTCAACGGCTTGAACGGACTTGGTGCCTCGGGCACTCTAAACTCGCTGAACGGCATCGGCGGGGCTGGCTTCAGCCAAGATCCCTTGATGTCTTTCAATCCCCAGCAGGCCCAGCAGTATCAGGCCTACGTCGCTGCGCAAGGCCGCGGCGTCTCGCCTTCCGGTCTCTACCCACCTCTGACCAATCCCGGCTACGGCTATCCCGGCGGATCGCCCGAGAACCTCCGGTCAATCCCGAGCCAGGCTCCTCCGGCCCCGATGAACCCGGGCCCCGTGCTCAACCAACCGCCCTACGCACCGCAGCAGTTCAGTCCTGTGATGGGCGCATCCCAGATGTATCAGTACCCTCCGTTCTATTCGCAAACCCAGCCGACCCAAGGACAGTCCGCTGGGGGACGTCGCGGACGAGTAAGTTCTCCCTTTTCGACTGCATGACAATCGGAATATCCCGCTAATATCTGCCCAGCGATGAAGTGACGCACGAAACCAATTTTTTTCTTTAATTCGAATTTGACTTCCATTTTCTGTATAAAGTTTTCTGTCTGTCATTCGATTTCGATATGTGCCCCATTCAACTTGTCCGGGAGGGTACAGGGAGAAAGTAGGATGGTTTTTTCAAAGTTTATATGCACGAAACGAGCCTTATTAACGCCTAGAACGACGCTGGATCGTCTTGGAAAGAAAATGGGGGTGAGAGAGAGCGCGGAAAGCGATAGGAAGCGAAAAGAAAAGTGATCCGGTTTTTTATATGTTTTATTCTTGAAATGCATGGGGGTGTCGTCAAAAGGGGTTCCTTATTTATTCATTTATTCATTATCATTATTTTTTGGATGAGTAGATGGATGGGTATGAGAGTCTTTTATTGAAGGTTCTGATGAGTATAAATGAGTATGAGTATGAGTATGGATTGCATGTATGTATGGTTAGCAGTATTAGAGTCAATGGTCCATGTCGAACGGTACTCCGTAGTATACCATAGATATAGTGTAGTATTCAAATGACCCAAATGGCGAGCGAAAGGAACTCCAGAATAGTACTCTACCTGTAAATAAAGACAAGTCCTATAGACAATATCATGCTAATCTCAATCAACAACCTATTTATACAAACAGACAGGAGGAAAGTAAGTCCGCATCCGGTCTATCTTCATCTTCAATCATCTTCTTATCTGATATCAAATCGACATCTATACATATGATACACATATCGATATAAAAACACAATCAACACAACAATGAATGAATGATGACGATGATGATGATTAAAGAAATATCCACCTCCCCCGCCATCCTCTACCACAACGAACAAGACACGATTTTCCTAATCGATATTCCTACTTCTATAGCGCTTGCGCAGGAGCTTTCATTTCAACAACTACAACATCAACATCAACAATATCCCCAACAGCCCTCTCCACAAACACAACCACAACCACAATTATCAAGAAGACCACCCCCCAAAACCCTCCTCTCCACCAACCCCCTAACCAAACCATACACAACACCAGAACCCAAAACCCCCGCCGCCAGAAACAGAGTCCTATCGCGCATTCCTCCCGCGGAGAGAATCTATCATGGGGAGGTTATTGCGCCGGTTGTGCAGCGCGCGATGCGTGAGTTGGGGGGGCGTTTGGGTGAGGGTGAGGGTGGGGGTGCTGAGTGGTGTTTGGAGCGGCGGATTCCAACTGTAACGAATACTGTCCAGGCGGATGAAGATGAGCAAGCCGTGGCGCATTCCCGGAAGAGGAGACGCGCTGCTGCTGCTGCTGCTGCTGCGCATGATGACTGCCAGTGCGGGTCTCTGGGGCAGGGAGTCGAGATTGGGGCTGAAGACCCGCCGTTAATTCTTTCCCCTGGAGTGAATGCGTTCGGGTCTGGTGGGGACGTTAGGGGTGTGTTGGTGAGGAATACTTCCGCTGTGGAGGCTGCTTTGAGGGTTGGGTGTGTGGGTGGTGCTCCTTCTACTGCTACTACAGCTCCTTCTCCTCCTCCTCCTCCTCCTCCTACTACTACAACTCGTAGTAATACTACTATTGACGGTGATGATGGTACCAAAAAGCACACCCACACATACACAATCCCACCCTCATCCACCTTCCTCCTCACGCACCTCCCTCTCTCAAACCACCACCACCACCACAACAACCCCCCATCCCCGGCCTCCATCCCACCCAAAAATTCAACTTCATCCTCCTCGACCCGCCCTGGACAAACCGCTCCGTCCACCGCAGCGGACACTATCATACCCAGGCTTACGCCGACGGTAACAGCTTAACGGGGTATATACAGTCTGTTCTTCAAACACACCTATTACAACCCTCTTCTCCGAAGGACTATGCCCAGAATCAGAATCAGAAGCACAACAAGAACCAGAAAACGCCATCCCTCGCCGCAATCTGGACAACAAACTCGTCCAAAGCGCGCACCGCAGCACACGCAGCCCTAGCAGGCGCGGGCCTTGTCGTCGTCGAGGAGTGGATCTGGGTGAAGATTACTACGGCTGGTGAGCCCGTCTCGCCGGTCGATGCGCTGTGGCGGAAGCCATATGAGGTGCTTGTTATTGGCTGCTGTCCTGGTTTTCCAACAGGTGATGTCTCTAGGGATGATTATGGTTCTGCTCACTCTGCTCGAGCTGATGATCCTGCTTTGAATGGTGGTAACGATGGCATCAAACGCCGCGTGATAGCAGCCGTCCCAGATGTGCACTCGCGAAAACCCAATCTTCGGGAGTTATTTGAGAGGGTTTTCTTCAAAGACCATGAGTATGCTGCGATGGAGGTGTTTGCGCGCCATTTGACGGCTGGGTGGTGGGCTTGTGGGGATGAGGTGGTGAGGTTCAATGAGGATGTTTGGTGGTGTGCTGCTGCAGCTGGTTTGGATGATTTATAGCTATAGCCTATCGTATCTGGGTGTGTATTGTATGGATGGATGACAATGATGGAATTACAAGATTGGTGGGTAGGAGAGATAGATGCTCTCCTTCTCATGCATAGCAACATTCATTTCCTTTCCTTCCCTCTCCTCCTTTTTAGAAAGAAAAAAGGAACAAGAAAAAAAGAAAGAGATCAATCAAAAACAGCCCCCAAACTAACCAAACTAAACCTCAAATCCGGATTCCCACCATCCGCCTCCGTCTTCAAAAAGCGTCTCACCCCCAACCCCAAAGCCCTCTCACTCAACGCGTCCTCCCCATCCTCCAACTGCCCCCTCTCCAACGGACCCTTCCTTCGCCCATCCAACTCCCACAACCGCCCATCCTCGCCCTTCACAAACGCCACAAAGTGCAAGTCCACGTTATCCTCCGCCCCAGGCGCAGCGGTGTCGCCCAGACGCGCGGCGTCCGCGTGCGCGCTTTCCAGCGCCTTGCTCTCGTAAAGCAGGTCTGCGCGGGCTACAGGCGGGAGAGGCTCCGCCTCGCGGAGGAGCGAGTCCAGTGCGGACCCGGGGAGAATGTGGCGGCGGGGTTCGCCGTTGGAGACGGAGTGGAGGAGGCCGATGAGACCGCAGGCGTTGCGGATGGTTTGCTTGAACCAGGTTACGGGTTCGGAGGGCCCGCTGCCGGTGTATTCTGCGAGGGGGGCGTCTTCGGTGCGTCGGCCGGCTTCGTAGGTGGGGGAGACGGGGAAGACGAGGAGGAGGGCGTGGGAGGGGCGCGGGACGAGCGCGAGGAGGTCGGGCTCGTCGATGGAGAAGACGTCTGTGAAGCCGAGGGTTGGGGGGAGGCCGAGTTGGTGCACGAGGTGGGACATTACTTCGGGGTTGTTTTCTGGGGGTGTTAGTTCGGTTTTGGTTTTGGTTTTGGGAGGGGTGGATGGGGATGGATTACCGAGGGGCACGAAGGCCTTGCTGGTGTTGGGGACGTCTGGGTCGCTCATTTTGGGTGGTTATTGTGGTGTGGACTGTGATGAGATGAGATGAGATGTGGTTGATGGTTAGTTTATTGTAGTGGTGAAGAGTGAGGGGTTGCGGGCTGGAGGCGGTGCGGGGAGTTTGGCATTACGTAGTTGTCTACAGTAGCTCACTAGTGAGGTATATTCATATACTCTAACAACATCAAATATTGCTGTGCAATGAGTATTTATATGGAAGAGCCTATATTGAATAGGTTGAATTGTATTTCTCTGGCATATAGATAGTTTCCTCTCCTATTGGGGCAACTCGCATAGGGTCAGTAATCTCATATGGATATCCCATTGCCCTCGTCGATAGTCTCTTGCACATAGATATATTTGGCAGACTGATGCCCTGGTTGCTGTTATCCTGGCTTCCATTCTCTGAAGCCAGTCCTAGCAGTACGCGGGCAGGGGATTCCTTCGCAATGACAGCAATCCTTCCCTTTTGATTTCGGTTCAATACTGGCAATGCATGCCATGCGAAATATGCAAAGTAGTCACGCTCGATCCAGCGAGCTAGTTATCGACATAGAGTATAATTCCGCAATTTCAACCACAACCGTAGTAAAGCAGTGTCGGACCGCCGTGAAGCATCAAGCTGTAAACGCAGTGGTCGAGATTCAAGTCGAACTCTTATCGTTACCACCACTCGAACCATGCATCTAAACACATCGATATTAGCTAGGCCCTGTACAATACTCGGGGGAAAAAAAGCAAGAAGACTAACCGCCTCAGCAAATCTCACCCACTCCTCAACCCCCCTAACAAAAGGGTCATCGGCTGCAGGCATAAACTCATGCCCCCAAACCATGACATCCTGAAACGTCGCCTGTTTCTCTAGAACCTTGACAGGTTCTTCTGGTTCGGCTTCATCCGTCTCCATCACTGTATTGTTCTGCGCCGGGCGAATTGTCCGTTCCGTTGGGGTCGCGACGACGCCTTCGTAGCCCTCGGGGACGGCAACGCGTCGACCTCGGAGTTTACGGCCACGGAAGTATGCGGTTTGACTGTTTTGATCTGTGTATTGTAAGTATTAAAAGAACGATTGACACGTATAGAAGGTTTATGTACCTTTTTCATCAGCCACAGGACTCCAATACCGGCCTATCGACTTCACGGCGCCATTGTGGTGGATGCGGCAGGGGAGGACATTGGGTGTGCAGCATGTGGTAGCGGAGTCAGCTCCTGACTCCGAGGATTGTGTTTTCGGCTGAATGGCGAACATGATGGTTGTGCTGTGGTCTGGTGTTTGTCGATGAAGATCGCAGAGTTGAATCTGGGGCAGACGCGACGAAGGCCGCGTTAAGTGCCGGCGCCATTCCGTTTTGGGTAATATTTTCATGGTCGTGTCTATTGACTGGTATGTATTGTATCAACTGGGAAATCGAATACAATATGAATTGATGCAATGTTTCAATGGATATTCAAGTCTCCAGTTTGATGCAGGTTAGTAGCTTAAAGTCAAATTACTGCTGCTCAAATGAAAGTCCGCAAATCAAGAGAATACAATCTACCTCAAGATACAAACTACTAAGTTACTCCTACTAGTAGACCAATTCAATGTCAATATCAATTCATCGCCAATATTATGTACGAACGATTTACTGCAACGAGCATATAAAAGAAAAGAAACCAGACGCATCTACAACCCCGGAACCTTGAAATCCTTGTAACCCCATTTTTCGGTAACCTCTCTCCTGGGCTTGCGCGGTTGGGTTATCGGCTTGCGAGACTCGAGCTTGCCCTGCACCATCAATGTCCGGAATCGATCGTCCATAAGGTTGCCTTCCGGCTTCAGCATGCGCAAGGAATCTTGCAGCTCGTCCGGCAGCACCACCTCAAGATGCTTCTCGGGGACCCTGGCACAACGTTAGTGGGAAACAAGCGTGAGGGATTGATAAGAGACACGTACGGGATCTTTCCTCCCAAAGGTCGTCGTCGCAGGACGGTATCATCGCCTTCTGATTCGTCGCTGGAGTGTTGGGCATGGTACAGCTCTCTCTGCTCGGCCGTCACCTCGCCGATCGCCGCCTGGGCAAGCTGGTCTTCCTTCTTCTTCATCTGGGCCTCCCATCGGGCCTTGCGCTCCTCCTCCTTCCGCTTCTTGATCTTATTCCTCTGGGTCTTGGTCTTGCGCTCGGGCCGCTTCTTGTTCAGCCATTCCGGCTTCTCGTATTCGCTCTCGAACCCTTCCCAGGCACTCTCGTCGTCGGACTTGGCCTCGCCGTTATCGTCCTGGGCCTCTTCGATCATGCGCTGCTTTTCTTCCTCCTTGCGCTCCTCCTCCAGGCGCTTCTTCTCATCGTCCACAGCCTGCTGACCCTTCTCCTGGAGAAGTCGGTCCCAGTCCTCAAAGGACGGGTTGTAACTGACACCAGCGCCCGGCGTGCGCACAGCAGGAACCGGCTTGCCATTAGCGGCGAGGGAGGTGGGCGCGCGCTTTATCGTAACAGGAGCCACCTTGGCCTTGGGCTTCGGCAGGTAATCAAACTGAGGGTCCTCCACTGCTGGCGTTTCATCTTCGATCTCCGCCCAGGGATCGTACAGCTTGTTCGTGGTGAGGTTCACAGGCTTGTTCTCCTTGGCCACCTGCTTCAGGCGCAGCCAGTCCTTGCGGGTCACCCAGTCGCTCTTCTGTCTCTTGGTCTTGGGCTCGATCACTCCGTCCGTCACCTTGGAGTTCACCCGCTTGCGAGAGTCGACGGCGGGAATGGCTGATCGCTTGGATAGAATCTCGTCCATCTTCAGCGGCTTGTGCTGCTTCTCGTAGGCCTTGCGGATCTCCGCTGCGCCGGACTTGTCGATTGTGAACAGTTCATCGGAGGGCTTCTCTGCCAGGACACCACTAAGTATCACATAGCGCATCAGTTTCTGTCCGTATCGCAGTAAAGATCAATCTTCATACCCTTTGATTTCTTCATCCTTCAACAGCCGTAAACCATCCTGAACCTCGTCAATATCCACATTTTTCCTCCAAGCCTTCTTGCCCTTTCGAGAAGGCTGGCTATATTGCTTCGGAGCAGTAATTTGAGCAGACATCGTGGTAGATATCCACCGTAGAGTTCAGCGGAATTGATGTGCTTTCTGCTTCTTTTTTTTAGAAGAAAAAAAAAAGCCCGATAACGCTATCACCGATTTCGACCAAAAATCTGGATCTGCTTATCTAAGCCCGCGCGGGGCGACAAACTCGCGGCTCCGGCGCCTGGAGCGGCTAGTGGTCACGGACTTCGCATCAGATCAAGAGACGCTTTTGCACCCGCGTCACTTCCTTATCGACAGCGACCACCGTGGATTCAGTTCCGGGGGTATATTTCTTCCTCTTTTGTCGTTATAGTGCTATCGGACATATCTTTGTCTTTCCGTCTATCCCCGGATTCATTGGACCGTGTTAAGTACGAGCACAGCTAGCTGAGCTTTACAGCCATGCCGGTCGTCAAAGGAGGTGTCTGGTACGGACCTATCTTCGGAAATCGTGGTTAACGACACAACGTGCTAATTGAGTGTCTAGGACTAACATCGAGGATGAAGTGCTTCGGGCAGCGGTATGTCAACGATAACACCACCCATATAACGAAATGTCTTTCAAATATGCGATCCAAATCACTAACACTCTTGTCAACCAGGTGTCCAAGTACGGCCTCAACCAGTGGGCGCGTGTCTCCTCGCTCCTGAACAGAAAAACCCCCAAACAGTGCAAAGCGCGATGGATCGAATGGCTGGACCCCGGTATCCGCAAGGTCGAATGGTCGAGGGAGGAGGATGAGAAGCTGTTGCATCTGGCCAAATTGATGCCCACCCAGTGGCGCACGATCGCACCGATTGTCGGGCGCACGGCTACCCAGTGTCTCGAGCGTTATCAGAAGTTGCTGGATGAGGCGGAGGCGCGCGAGAACGATGAGTTGGGCTTGGGTGGTCCGTCTGGTGCGGAGGCGGCGGCTCCCAGTGCGGATGATGTTAGGAGACTACGGTATGGAATATCCTTTATTCAGATGGTTTTCTGGCGTGTTCTGGGTGAAGCGCATAGACTAACAAGCCCAGACCCGGTGAATTAGATCCCGACCCAGAGTCCAAACCCGCGCGTCCCGATACGATCGATCTCGATGAAGATGAGAAAGAGATGCTGAGTGAAGCTCGAGCGCGTCTGGCCAACACGCAGGGAAAGAAGGCGAAACGCAAGGCTCGTGAACGACAGCTAGAAGAATCTCGACGACTAGCCGTGCTACAGAAGCGTCGCGAGCTCAAAAATGCCGGCATCAACATCAAAGTTACGACCCGCAAGAAGGGCGAAATGGACTACAACGCGGATATTCCGTTCGAAAAGCCGGCAGCCCCTGGGTTCTACGACACGATGGATGAGGAAGGTCGAAATGAGAAGCAGCGAGAAATGTTCGATCCTCGGAAACAGCAGCTGGCGATCAAGCGGAAGGGCGACCAGGATGAAGACCCGGAGCGCAAAAAGCGTAAGAATGACAAGGGTAACAGCTCGTCCGCTGCTGCTGTCCGGGCCGGCCAGATGCAGAAGATCCGTGAGGCCGAACAGAGCAGCAAGAGAAGAGCCTTGGTTCTCCCGACTCCTCAGGTCAGCGAGGGAGAGATGGAGGACATCATCAAGATGGGGATGGCGGGAGACCGTGCCAGCAAGATGTCGGCGGACGAAGAGACCACACGGGGCTTGATCGGCAACTACACGCCCATGGTCGGCCAGACTCCGATCCGGACCCCTCGTGCGCCGCCGCAGGAGGATCACATTGCCAATGAAATCAAGAACATCCGAGCCTTGACGGAAACACAGTCGTCCTTGCTGGGTGGGGAAAACACGCCTTTGCACGAGGGCGGGTCCTCGACCGGGTTCGACGGAATCACCCCTCGCCGTCAGCAGATCGTCACTCCCAACCCCATGGCAACACCCTTCCGACAGGCCAACGGGGTCGGCGCCACCCCCGTGGCGGGTGGAGTTGGCCCTGGGGCTACTCCCCTGCGCACACCCCGTGATCATTTCGCCCTGAACGAGATGGAGGCCGGGCAACTCGTCGCAGCTACCCCGAAAGATATGAAAATCAATCGCCAGAGCATCCGGAGCCGGTTGTCCGCACTGCCGAAACCCAAAGAAACAGAATGGGAGCTAGAAGAACTCCCGTCGGAGTCCGCCGAGCCAGCCCAGGGAATCGAGCTGACAGAGGAAGACGCCGCCGAACGGGACCAGAGAGAGCGCGAGGCGCGAGAGGCGGCCGCTCGGGCCGAGCTCTTGCGTCAGTCTCAAGTATATCAGCGATCGCTACCCCGACCCAGCATACTCGACACCGACGCCTTGATGGAGCGTGCCGCGCGTGTGTCCGACCCCGTCGCCGGCCTGATCGCCAAGGAGGCCGCCCTTCTCATCGCCAACGATGCGCGCAAGTTCCCGCTCCCCGGCTCCAAGGTGGAGGGCAAGCCGCGGAAATTGGCCCAGCTCGACGATGGCTTACTCGACGCGGCCCGCGCCGCGATTGCCGCCGAGGCCGCTTCGTCTGAGCAGCAGCAAGAATGGAAAAACAACTTCGATGATCAGTGGTCGTCGGCCCACACCGGCAGCCTTCCGGGTCTCTCCAACTATGCCGACGAGGAAGAGGACGATTACAAGCAAGAGCAACGAATGGTAGACGCCTTCGATAACGTGCAAAACTCATTAATAGCGACAGCCGAGCGGGGGAACAAGCTCGAAAAGAAGCTGGCTCTCCATTACGGCGGATACCAGAACCGGGCGAAAGTGCTTCGGAACAAGATCGTCGAGGCCCATACCGCCCTGGAACAGTCGAGGAGCGACCTGGATGCGTTCCGCACGTTGCAGATCTCAGAGGAGTCCGCCGTGTCCCGGCGTCTGGAGAAGCTGCGGGATGATGTTGCATTTGTGATGCGGAGAGAACGCGAGGCGCAAGAGGGTTACCGGACGCGCAAGGATGAGCTGGATGATCTGGTTGCTGGGACAGGGGGGATGGTCAATGGATGGCATTAAGGACTGCGTTTGACTCTAATCTACTGAGTTTCGTGTTCAGTTGTTCCTTTCTTTGTGTAGGGCTATATCCACGTGTATATCAGGTTGACTACAGAGTGTCTTGATTTCCCTACTTGTATGACAAGTATTAGAATTGGCAATCATCAATTAATAGTGTACTTGATCTCAGCATATAATCCAATCCACTAAATTCCTACTAAGCGCATGGTATATACGTCGGGTCTATACAATCCTATCCATAAAGCTGACTTCCCTACCGAAAGCGGACGAACCAGGAACCAAGAAGGCGGTCTCTCCGCCACCAATACCGTCTCCGCCTCCCGTCCACCTCCTTCATCCACCATCATCGCCAACCTCATTTTCTTTCCCATTTCCATCCCCCTTTCCATCGATAATTCTCTATAATCCCCTTATTCCCATCGAGCATCCATCTCTCAGCAAAATGGGCGTCAGCGGGGAGCCCACGGGCACGCCCGACCCTGTCGACAAGGGTTTCGCCACCCTCAATACCGTCCGGTAAGTTTTTAGATCCTTTTTTTTCGAGCGTAAAAAATTTATATGGCATTGTTAAAGCCGGTTTTATCGGTCGCGTGTGCTGATTTCGTGAATAGGATCGGTGTTAAAGCTATGGTGCAGAAGGTGAGTTCGCTGGCGCTCCCTGCGGTGGCGGATTTCGTTTGATATTGTGTCACGTGATATCTACTTGCCGTTTTGGGATGATGATGGATGGGTTGGACGATTGCTGATCTATATGGTGTAGGATGGCGAATTGAGAAAGGCGGAGATCTTGTCGATTCGACAGCGGAAGGATGGTCCTAGTTTTTAGTATGTTTTCCTGCTTGCTTGCGTCGAAGACGAGGGATGATGCTAATTACTGCAGTGTTCACTATGTGGACTTCAATAAGCGTCTTGATGGTGAGTTCTGTTGCTCGAGTATGTCTATAGATTGCCCATGCTTATATCATCACAGAATGGGTTGACTCTGGGAGGCTTGATCTGTCTCAAGAGGTAGAGTGGCCTCAGCCCGAGAAGCCAGAGAAGAAGAAAACAGGCCCCGGCAAGGCCCCAGCAAGAACACACAGAAGCGTCCCCGAGCCGGGAGCCGTGAAGTGTCCGCCACTCCTGATCGTCTCACCGGCAAGAACGTCAACATCGGGAAAGTCCAGCGTCCGTCCAAAGCGGGCGGAAAGGAGAACCGCGGCGATGAGACTCCGCGCCTCTCCATCGGTGGCTCGGAAGCCGTCTCCTCAGACGGGACCCCCAAACCAGAGTCCGACGACGTCGACATGATCGACATTGGCTTCTCCGAGACCAAAGCCGAAAAGGAACAGAGCAAGATGTCCCGCGAGCAGGAGCTCGAGCGGCTCCGAACAAGCGGTAGCATGACACAGAACCCCACAGAAATCCACCGCGTCCGCAACCTGAACCGTCTCCAAATGGGCAAGTTCGACATCGAGCCGTGGTACTTCTCTCCTTACCCAGCCTCCTACTCCGACGTCGACATGGTCTACATCGACGAGTTCTGCCTCAGCTACTTCGACAGCCGCCGTGCCTTCGAGCGCCACCGCGCAAAATGCACGCTCGTCCACCCGCCCGGCAACGAGATCTACCGCGACGACAACATCTCCTTCTTTGAGGTCGACGGCCGTCGCCAGCGCACCTGGTGTCGCAACCTCTGTCTTCTCAGCAAGCTCTTCCTAGACCACAAGACCCTTTACTACGACGTCGACCCCTTCCTCTTCTACTGCATGTGCACCCGTGACGAAACAGGCTGCCATCTCGTCGGATACTTCTCCAAGGAGAAGGACTCCGCGGAGGGGTATAACCTCGCTTGTATCCTCACGTTGCCACAGTACCAGCGCCGTGGATTCGGCCGCCTGCTCATCTCCTTCAGCTACGAGCTCAGCAAGCGGGAGGGCAGACTCGGCTCGCCCGAGAAACCGCTCAGTGATTTGGGCTTGCTGGGTTACCGACAGTATTGGCGGGAGACGCTCGTGGAACTGCTTATTGAACCCCACCGGGAAGCGTTCAGCGAGAATGAACTCGCTACGATGACTTCCATGACGGAGAAGGATGTCCACGAGACACTTGTCGTTTTTAATATGCTGAGATATCACGTATTTCCTCCCCCAACCCTTTCTTTCCCTTTTTTTCTGTTGTCAATCAACAAGAATCCAAACTAACACCCCACAGAAAGGAAACTGGGTCATAGTCCTCACAGACCAAGTCGTCGAAGAGCACAAGAAACGCCTCGAAAAAGAGAAAATCAAAGGCAAGCGCAGCATTGATCCTGCACGATTGCAGTGGAAACCGCCTGTTTTCGCTGCGTCGGCCAGAACATGGAATTGGTAAAGTACAGCACATCACAGCATGCAAGTAGAAAAATCATAATGAATTCCATCAAAGGAAGGGGGGAGGAAAAGAAGAAAAGGTTATGGATGGATTGATGGAGTTTCGATACCCGATATATGTATGGAGTTTGGGTTTGCTTTGGTTTTCTCTTTCTTTCTTTTTTGTGTCTTTTCGTTTAGGCTTTGTCTCTTATATTTAATTCTTTTGTTGGTGGTTCTTGTTTGGCATTGCACTGCATTCAGTCTATGTAGCACAGTGTATGTATCATTCTTATTATCTTTGTCAGTACAGACATCTAAATACTGAAAGCTATTTCTATTGATGTATATCCAGCTATCAACCGCCCAAAGTCCATGCTGTGCTGGCACCTTACCCCGCGTTCTATAAGAACACTCCTGTTCTCTTTGAGCCCTCTCCTTCAAACACTAAACCCGCCTTGTTTCACTTGAATCCTCCCTCTTGACCAGATATTGTGCCTATCAATGGATCCTTGTACCAGCAGTTCCTTTTTCGCCGAGCCTCCCATCCGCATCCGAGTTGGCAGCGACAAAAAGACCTACTATGCTCATCGGCAGGCCTTATCAGCATACACCTCATCAGCTTTGCATGCCAGAGTCACCGGGCCCTGGCAAGAATGTGGAGAAGAGGAAATCGACTGGACTGACTTTGACGAGCAGACGATCAGCTGCGTCCTCCAATTTCTATATACCCAAGAGTACAATGTCAGAAAACCTGTCCAGCTTTTAGAGAAAAGCCCCCAAAGCGATGCTGGGAAGGGACAGGGACATCCTGGAAGCCAAGCAGATGGAGGACCATCAGATATCCTTGCCACAGTTCGAGCAGAGCATACCGTTGCAAAGCGTGAAACACAGGAGCAGCAAGCACCAGAAGCCGATGAGCTTGAATACAACGAGCTTGGAAACCTAATTAATCGTCCCCTAACCCCGCTAAGACACTACTTCGAAACGTCCCTGCCAGTCAAGCACAACCCTACAACAGGTGGAAATTCCTCCCAAACGACGTATGAGGGCGAACCAAGCGAGCTCTTGCTTCACGCGAAAGTCTATTCATTCGCCCATCGGTATCTCGTGGACAACTTAGTACAATATGTTTTGCAACGGCTGAAGAAAACTCTTATTACTATCCAAAAGAAGCAGCTGGGATTTTGTCCGCAGCTTGCGGAATCCATTTCCCTCATCTACGGCGCAACATCCGCCTATAGTGCTCAAGGAGACCCTGCGAGAAACTTACTGTCCCAGTTCGTTGCGCTGAACTATACCGCTATGTACGGGAGCCGCCTTGAGGAACTTTTGGCTGAAGGGGGCCAGTTTACAATTGACTTGTCCTGGAAGCTTGCGAGAAGACTGATGAGCAACCCGTTAGAGGAAAAGTTAGATGAACTTTCAACTGCATATGAGTCCCTCCAAGCGGAGTCTGCAGATAAGGATAGGGAGATAGAGTGTCTCACACGGCAACTGAAAGAATGGGACGACTGGAACGCAAGCCGTCCTCTGAGCAGACGAAGATGGATGCCACCGCGGAATAACGGTAGTTCCAACTCTTGAAACCCGACTTCTATCAATCTTTTTGGTTCCAAGTGAACAATGTCAGCGCCGCAGATAATCATTTATTCATGGCTTGTTCTTCTCTGAGTGTGGCAAATATTGTTGCTGATCATGAGACATGACTCTTTACCCGAAGGAAGGATCGCGTGGGATTGCGACACAAAGGTTGAAGTTGTTTTCTCATAGAGAGGAAGGAAACAACATTCAGTATTGCGTTTCGAAGTTTCCAAAATATGTTGAGAGGATGGCCTTGGTTTCAATTTCGGTGTATCATTAAGTCAACGAGTTACTTCTCTAAGTATACTAGTTCCGAACCACGCAGACGCCCGTCTCTACACGTTTGCTCTTTTGGATTGGGACAGGACCAAAGGAGTAGAAGACGGGAGTGCGATATAGATGTTGCTTCATGGGCAGTATTATTTGTTGAGTTATGTTGGAGTAAGAATTGCAAGCCGGGTTGAGCCATCCATCATCCACAAAACAGGGACAACATATAAGTAGTATAGTAGTTTGATGAATGAACAACGAAGAGGAGGGAATCGGACCAGAGAAGAAGTACTTATATTTCCTCCACATCCCCAGTATACAGGTATACGCATGCAAAGGTCCAGTCACAAGAGTAAATAATTCAACTGCTGCGCTTTCTGCAAAAAAGCATAGTTATCTGTATGTACTCGCTTGCTTGCTCTCGCTCGCTTTGTCTTGCTTCCCCCACGCCCCATTATGTATGTCCGTTTCAATCAATTCAATGTGATGTGAGGTGATGTAATGTGAGGTGACATCCCTTTGTTACTTTCAAAAATAGAAACGAGCGCCAGCCTGATAAGAGGCAGTGAGAATGATGTACGGCTGGCTGGTCCAGGGGGGAAAGAATAAGATAAGAAGAAGAAGAGAAAAAAGGACACATTAATGGAGAATGGAATAAATAGACGACGAATGCAAGAACAGGAAGAAGAAAGTAAACAGCGAGGAAGAAGGAAAACAGTGAAGAGAGAAAGAGAAAGAAGAAACCAGTCCAGACCCAATGAATTTCCCACACAGGCGTAGCTCATCAATACCGAAATAAAAACGCTCAAGGAATTACTCGAAACCCGGCAAAAACCAATTCAAATCCGAGAGGGGGGGTTGTGGGCAGTGGTGAAGTTGAAAAAATGCGACTTCCTCACCTGCCTAATAAAGAGGATCTTGCTCGATCGGGCCGATTTAACGGGAGCCGCTGAAGCTGCGTGGACCCCAGGAGGAGTTGTTGTTGTTGTTGTTATTGTTGCCTGAGTTGCCTTTGGACTGGTGGCGCGGAGATCCAGTTCCGCTTGTTTGTTGAGACGTCGATTTCTTGGGATTCGAGCCTCCAGCTGTCTCGCGGGGCTTTCCACTCCTTCGTGATTTGAAGGTTGAAGGTCCCCGTGGTCGAGAATGTTGGCCTCCGGCTTTCTTGGGAAGGACAACCGTCTTCGGGGCACTTACACCGGAAAGACGAACGTTGATTCGGACATTCCCAGACTGATCCTTGTCGTAAGGTCCAAATGAGAATGGCTCAACGCTGTGGACCTGCATCGCCTTGAGATGCTTCGAACGTAGGCGAGATTGGGAAGGGGGTGGTGCTGCCGTCCAAGCCGCGGCGGGGGCCATGGTAGGGACTCGGACGACAGGCAGAGAGCCTGCTTCACGGTCCTCGAACATCTCCTCTACCTCCTCAACTTGCCTGGCAATGACCTCACCGTCTCCAACGGGAAGCTCTCCATTATTGGGGAGGGACACCGAGACGGCGGCGATGTGCAATGGTACATCAAGCGGCTCTTTAGACGACGACGTGACCGCTAACGCGCTCTTCTTCTCGTGTGCCGTTTTCTTCCCGAAAAGGCAGTCGATCTTCTCTTGCCACGAAGTCGCGGTAGATACAGGAGCTGTCCGCGGGGGTGCGGCAACCATAGAGGCGAAAGTCGGAGGTGCTTGAGGTTGAGCGACCACCTTCGGGGGAAGTTTGACGATAGGCTTCGGCCCAGGAAGATGCACCAAAGGCTTGTGCGAATCGCCGGTGAAGACGGGATGGCTCGCCATTTCTTCTGGGGGAGGTGGCGAAGGACTACGCATGTAATCCGATTCCTCGAAAGCCGACTTCTTCTGTTCCGTGACCTGCGGGAAGAACCTCGAACTGCGGACAGGGACGCTGCCACTTGGGCGTGCATGAGTCTCGGTGAATGGGAGCGTGCTGACAGCGGGTTCAATAGCGGCAAGGGGATTCGGGAGCGGCGCACTGCTGTCAGTGGACCTGGAGATTCCGACAACCTGTCTCTGACCGACTTGGTCCCCTGTGCGGACCTGCCGCCAGGTCTCATTAAACGCGACTGGGAGTGACGTCGCGCCCTCCCGAATCGAACTCATCTCATTCCGAAGTTTCTCGCTTTCTTCAGCCTCGCGCTTTGCGGCGACGGCGGGGAAGTTGTTCCAAGCCGTTGTGCCAGCAACACGGTTCTCGTGTTGCCGGTGATGCTGCTGGGAGCTGGGGGGTCCAATCGGACCCGGCCGCACAATAGAAGGAGGGGGTATGAACCGGACCTCTGGGGAGGGCAAGGGGGATATCGACGCACTGTCCTGCGGAGAACGGGATGGAGCAGAGAAGGGCTGAGACCCCGGGGGAAGAGCCGGCTGCTCTAACCCAAAGTGGCTTCGTAGGGAGATGTCCCGAGATGGGAACCCTCCAAGGCCTTGTTCAAATATGCCATTGCCGAGGGTCTTGTCATTGCTGAGTGGCTTCCAAGGATTTGACAGGGAAGGGGAAGTTCCGACGAGCTTGGCGTTTGCAGACCACGGCGAATATGTCGTCGGGACATTGGTAGGGACATTGGTAGGGGCATTGGTAGGAGCATTGGTAGGGGCATTGGTAGGAGCATTGGTAGGGGCATTGGGAGGGACATTGAGGCCACCTCTCCATTGAGGACTCTGCTCGTCGACCTTGGCTTCAGGAATGTTATCATGGGCCTGCGCTTGGGTGTCATCGGACTGCTGTAATCCATTGGCCACGGTAGGTTCGGGCCTGGGTTCGCGGTGCGGCGACGGGGCGCGGCGAGCGTTCGGAGCGCTCTCCGTCGGCCTTTCCTTCCCAACGAGCTTTTTGACGGTATCCGGGTGATGGACTTTCATCATTCCATATTGTTTCGGTTCCCCAGTGGGTTCCGGCACCGGCGGTTTGGGCGGCGACTGTATGACATGCGCGGGGGCTGCCGGTGAATGCGCTTCGGGTCGGCCGCCATCGACTGATTCCTTGCGCTTTTCCGCCGGCTTTGCCGGTGCCGGGCCCAGCGCTTCGAGCTTTTGCCGAATTCTTTCGCGCTTGGCCGCTTCTTCCTTCTCTTCCTGCTCGATTCTTCGCTGCCGGGCTTCCATCCGCTTCTCCTTCATGATCCGTTGTTGTATTGCAACCGGATCTTCTTGGGGTGCCTGGGGTGCCTGGGGTGCCTGGGGTGCTTGCGGTGCCTGTGGTACCGCAACATGATTGTCTTCGGCGGGATGGGGACCCGCTGGGGCTTCAGCTACACCAGGCGCGGCTGGGCCTTGGTCATATACGGGCCCAGCGTTGCGTTGAGGCCAAGGAGCCCCTGGACCACGCCGCGACGGTGAAAGTTCGCGGTTGTGGATATCTCTCGGTGCTACCTCTCTGGCCTGTAGCGACGGGTCTACCATTCCATTGACCAGGGATCCTCTCCTATTGTCAAATGAACGTTGCGCAGCATCAGGTCGACCGATCGACATCCGACGACCAAAGCTGCCACTCCCTCCACTTACGTTAGATGACGTCCGGCGGCGCGGCCAATGCATGCCATCTTGACCGCTGGACCGATGGGTTTGGAAAGCCGCGGAGGGCTCGGCAGGGCCGGATTGCTCACTAGGCGCGGGCCTTTGCAGCACAGAAGGAGTCCGCGCGTTCTGCTCGGCGCGCCAAGTGCCCTTTCGAGGTTCGGCGACGGGTTCATAACGACCAGATCGCGAGTTATAGAGCTCGCGGGTACCGGACTGTTCCCTCCATACACGGTTGAAATCATCTGCAGCGATCTCCTTCGGCGGTGGGGGTCCCTGGAAACCATCATGGCGGACGGGCTCTTTCACAGGAGGGCGCTGCAACGGTTGAACCTGAACGGGCGGCATAACGGGGGACATCTTCTCCACCGGAGGCAGTGGTGCCCATGGCGATTTGACAGGAGGGGGAGGGGCGGGGCTGGTGGACGACGACAGAGATTTGTCGCCGGGTCCCTTCATGAAGCTTCCACTCCTGATCTGGCGTTCTGAGTTCGCCCCGAGTCGCAGAATTGTCGGATTCGGGCCGACAGAAGTTGTAGGTTTCGGAACAAACTTGGGTGTCTCCTTGGTGATCGCAACGTGTTCAACCGGAGGGACCTCTTGCGCAGTCTCCACTCCACGGGGCAAGACCTCTTGCCCAATCTCCACTTCACGAGGCAAGAGCTCTTGCTGCGCAGGTTCTGCAGGCGCCCTGTCATCAGGGATGACCGGCGGCGCAGTCTCTGGCACTGGTTCCGGCTCCGGCTCTGGCGGCTGGTTCAGGTTGCTCTTTGTCCCATCCGTCCATTCGATTGTCTCCGGGGCCCAGTCGTCTTCGTCATCGTCGATATCGGCCCATTTCGATTCCGTTCCGCCACCGTCTTCTTGAATGCGCGATGTCAAGTGGATTCCATAGTGTTGCTTCAGTTCTTCATCCGTCAGATTCTTCGGGGGTGTTTGTTGTACCGCTGCGTATCGTATGTTAGCTTGCTATTTCTCCCTTTTAGGGGAAGCAGGGGAAGGGTTACGTCGATTCTTATTCCACACTTGATTGGGGTCCGGGCCGTGTGCTCCTGGTTTAGCTGCGCCGGGTCCGGTCTTTGACAAAGCGTCTCGTAGGCTGCTCGTAGTTTTCGCGACCAGACGCGGCCTTGAGCTCGCCGGCGGCGTCCCCAGGGGTGTGCTCGAACTAGACAGAGGGGCTGTGACAGGTCAGAATGCCGTCAAAACGATACTTGCTTGGGGGTTATGAATACCTTTTTCCGCTGGTTTGATCGTTGGAGAAGCACCCGGGGCCTTGGGAACCGAAAACTTGGCGAAGCTGACCGGCTTGAAGGATGCGGGCTTCTTCGGACGTGAGCCCAGTTTGCCGTCTGTCCGACTGGCATCGGATTCCGAGCCGCCCAGCGAAGCCGTATCCTCCCCAGCGTCCGACCCCGACGCTACTCCGTTCATTTCCAGTGCTCGCGTGGCTACCGCCCCCGGACTCTGCTTCGAGATATCCTACACCAAAACTCAGTAAAGACCTCCCAGAGTCGAAAGGTCGAAAGGTCGGCAGGGACTCACAGTTGACGACTTCCCAGCGGTCCTTCCCGATTCATTCCGTTCCGTCGAAGATTCGGCGTCCGTCCTCTGCTCGTCGTGTGGCGTGTTGACCGTGATCTCGGGTTGCGATGTTGAAGCGGTATGATTGAACTCCCCCACGTCCCCTCCAGCAGTGTGCTTGTCGTTGGTGCTCGCAGGAACGTCGGAAGGCGAAGAGTCGCCGCCCGACAGGGTTTGTTTTACCACATCGTGGCTAGTCTGCTCTGCCATAACAATTCCCGAGTCTGTGAGGTCGACAGGGTGCGACATCTGTTAGACAAGCGATCTCAAACGGAAGGCAGGGTAGAGAGTGGCGACGTGAAGCGAGGACTGAGAGATAGACATGAAGGAACGATCTGAGAAGTACCTATTGTGAGGTATCGAGAATCGTCACGGTCGAACTGCAAGGCAAGATCCAGTGGCTGGGACCGTCAGAAGCTCCCGTCGAGCCCGCGGATGGCGTTATAGGGCCCAGGTCGAAGGGCACGGGGATGAAAAGTAGGGAGAGGAGAGGTTTAGCAAAGAAGAAGCGATTCAGTGATATCAGGTACAGCCCAGGAGATCCCAAAGGGGAGAGGGGGTGAGTGGAGAGGGGGGGACTTTTGCAGGTGATGATCGGATGATGGCGAACAGCAGCAAGCGGAACTAATCGAATAGGTAGTCACTTGGCCTGAGGTTCCAGGGTGCCAAGGCTGGGTGTCTGTTTTGGGTTAGTCTGTCTCTGTGGTTGATTCTTTCTATATTATGATATTGTCTGATTGAATTCTAATTTCTTGTAGTTGAAGTGTTTAGAAGAACAGATATGTATTACTCATAGATAATTAGAGACATCAGTGTTTTCCAGGACAGTATTGTTAGGGAGGGTTGAATTTTCTGGCAGGAACCCTCCCACGATGATATTTCGGCACCCGGCAAACCAATACACACGACATGATCTAACAGAACACTCTACGGTCAAATGTAATATGATGATAGTATATAGATAGATCACTACAGACAATTACAATAAACAAGGAAAAGATCAGGAAGATAATGTGAATGTTCGATTGATCTGTTCTACATTCGCATCATTCTAGGCTCTGCGGTATATACACAAATCCCCCGCGCCCAATCAATGATCAAACCCTTAATGGGGGTGGTTCTTGTGGTGGCCTAATCTTTGTTAGTCTTCCCCTCCAGTACTTCCAGGTTAGAGAAACATACGCAGGTGGAAGTAGTACTCCATGCTGTAACCCAGGATCAGGATGGCACCGATGGCGTGGGCGAGGGCTGTTGCAGAGCACACTGATTAGCACCGACACGCTGGAAACCAATCATAACGACCGGTAAAATGGAGAGAGAGAACTTACGAGCGGCAGAAGGGTTCTTGCCCCAGTAACGCGCCTGGTAGCGGCCGATGAGACCAGTGGCCTTGATCTCAGGGGCGGTGCCACGGGGAAGTCTGGCGTAGAAGTTCACCACACGGTCCATACGAGCAGCATCCTTAGCAGCACCGATGGCCTAGCCAGATATTAGCCTTCCGATCATTTTGTCCACGATCACGGGTGTCGGTCGATGTCGGCAACGCCTTGAAGAGATTGCCGGGGAAGGGTGTCGTCGGTGAGGATCGAAGTTTGGGGGTCTGATTGAATAGGACTTACGTTGGGGGAGGCGATCTAAGCACGAATTAGCCATGGTCTATCAATCAAGGGGATTTTTCCACCCCCGTGGTCGGTTTGTGGTGGTCCTTACCTTGGGAGGGATCAAGGTCGAGAGACCTCGGCGAACGATGAAGCTCATCTTGGGCAAACTAGACTGGGGTTAGTCAACTCCAATCAATGACAACTACAGGATGCGGAATATGCTCCAATAGGGTCGGGAGGTCTCACTGTAGTACTGTCAAGTGAACTGGGGTGGTTGACAATGACGGAGGAGAAGGAAGTGCCAACGAGAAGCGGGTGGTCGGATGGGCGGCGGGTTCGCAAAGGGAGCCTCAGGCCGCGCTAAACCCCATCGGGCGGTTCCTAAAACGACCGACCACTCGCCGCATACCTCACCACCAACCTTGCTCACTTCTTGCTCCTCGTCTTTCCCCCATCCACGACCCGACATATCCCCACCATGTCGCTCATTAGAGCAGGAACTGCCTGTTTCCGTGCCGGCCGTCTGGTCGCACCTCTCAATGCCCGCTTCGTTTCCGCCAATGCCGGTCCTGGTGGCCCGTCGGTGAAAACCTCCCCTTCGGATGCCCCGACCACCACCCACAAGAGTAGCACCTTGATCCGTCAAGAGAGCCCCTCGGAGGCTATGGCCCGTCATCAGCCGGATTACGATGCCACCATTGATGCCGCTACCTCGTACGAGCTTCCTGGATCGCGACAATGAATGGGCATGACTGAAGACTAACCGTGCTTAGGCAATTCTCTCCTGTCCCCAAGCGTGTCATGGACGGCAGCGAGCCCGGCGAGACCGTTCCCGCCGCAGTCCTCTCCGGCGCACCCACCGACCTGCAGGCTCGTACGGTCAGGTAAGGCAGTGAACTTGGAAAGAATAGATTGGCCCACTCCAGTCACTAACTGCAGCCCATAGAATCTACCGCCCCTCGAAGCCCGCGACGCAGTCCGGCACCTGGCACGGCCACCACTGGAAAATGGACTGGGACATCTTGCAGCGGGGTCACCGGTGGGAGAACCCGCTGATGGGCTGGCAATCGTCCGCCGATTTCATGCAGGGAACCGCCCTGAACTTCAAGTCCAAGGAGGACGCCATCATGTTCGCGCAGAAGCAGGGGTATGAGTACTTCGTGCAGGAGCCGAATGAGCGCCGCTTTGTGCCCAAGTCTTATGCCAACAACTTCGTCCACGAGTCGAAGAAGCTTAAGCACATCAAGACCAAATAATCGATTCTTTCTGGTGTATTATGTGTACATAATTGCAAGCTTTTGCTTCTATTCGGATCTTCTCAGAGTCCCAATGATTTTCTGCGTTTTTGGGTTGAAACCCTTGATAGAGGCGTGGTAGGATCTCAACCGACGTATTGGTTGTGTTTAGACAAAGCCGGTCTTGGGATATATGCCATTGACGATTCTGCAGGACTCAAATGTCCATAACACAGCTATTAGCTCTGAGCTCTGGCCTGTGCTTATTTCTAGTGCTTGCCTCCAGTACCACCAGCAGTGGTCAAGTTGAAGATCCAGGCTGAACAACGCTGCGAGCTAGACAGGACGCACTGGCACAATCAATATCCAAGCACTTCCACAATACAAATCCATTGCCTACATAGTCCAATCAATACCATTTATCTAAACTAGTTGCGGCTGCTACACTCTAGATTTTCACACCCATTGGTCAATTGAATCAACATGTCGATCTCTGAACTGCAACAGCGCTAGGCTCTATGCATTGGCAGCCAGAAGCAGGGCCCATAGCACATGCATGAACTGATTGAGTGGTTGGATCTGATAAGAAAGTCAAGCAGAACCTAATGTACTATATGTACTCCGTACATTACCAGCGAGATCTTGCCAACGGTGAAATCTCCATGGCAGTATTCCCGAGTTGATCTTCACCGGGTTTGAAACAAGGTAGAGCAAGAGTACGCATAATACGGCTTTGTGTATGAACTTCACTTTCTAAACTGGGATATACACAAAAGGAATATCTGCTGTCCGTCCTATTTGGCATATCATGCTATGCGACATGCTTGATATCGGATATATCGAACCGCATCATGATGCCGTTGTAATGCGACATACATATACCTTGATCTGTATACATTGTAGCATCACAAGACCCCCAATTCTGAACATCTTCAGATCTATACCAACCAAGAAAAAAAGAAAGTTATCAGAGTAGTCAGTGTTCAAAGAGTTAAGGGGAAGAAAAGTATATTCCTGGAAAAGAAAAAGACAGGCCGCGCCGAGTGACCCCGCCACCCCACCTAAAATTTATTATCTACTAGTCAGTCATCACGATAAGATCGAAAAATCTACATACACCCCAGCAACTCAACAGTCCCTCATTCTCCCTCCCCCCCATCCCAGAAGCGTTTCGGAAGTTGATCTCTTGATCGAAAGCGAAAAGAGAAAAGAAAAATGTACACAGTCACAGACGAGACTCTCCAAACCCTCACGAGGGTCCTCAACGACGAGAACGAGTCGCTCGCTCGCCGCTTCCGGGCCCTCTTCTCCCTGAAGCATGTCGCCTGTCTGCAGCCGCCCACCGACAAGACCCTCCCCGCGATCAAGGCCATCGCCGCCGCCTTTTCGTCTTCGTCAGCGCTCCTCAAGCACGAGCTCGCCTACTGCCTCGGCCAGACCCGCAACCCGGACTCGCTGTCCTTCCTCCACGATGTCGTGAAGGATCCCCAGGAGGACGCGATGTGTCGCCACGAGGCGGCCGAGGCGCTGGGCGCCCTGGGCTACGAGAGCAGCTTGGAGATCCTCAAGGCGTTGAGGGACGATGCGAAGGAGCTTGAGGTCGTCAGGGAGACGTGCGATATCGCCGTGGACCGGATTATGTGGGAGAACTCGGAGGAGAAGAAAGCCGAGCAGTTGAAGCCTAGGTGGGTGTTGCTACGATAACTAACAGTAACAGGAGAAAAAAACGTATTTGGAATTAAGACAGGGATTTTGCTGATCGTGTTGATTGCCTTTCTTCGCATTTTCCCGCTCTCTAGTGACTTCACCTCCATTGACCCTGCGCCCCCGGCGCCGCTAGCTACCGAGGAGCCGTCCATTCCGGACCTCGAGAAGACCCTCCTCGACACATCCATCCCTCTGTTCAAGCGATACCGGGCTATGTTCGCCCTGCGCGACCTTGCCTCCCCGCCTGACCTTCCTACTGCCGCTCCCGCCATCGACGCGCTGTCCAAGGGCCTCAAGGACCCGTCCGCTCTGTTCCGCCACGAGATCGCGTTTGTGTTTGGCCAGCTGTGCCACCCGGCCTCTGTCCCCTGTCTCACGGAGTGTCTCAGTAACCAGGGAGAGATGGGTATGGTGCGTCACGAAGCGGCGGAAGCGCTGGGCAGCCTGGGTGAGGTGGACGGCGTCGAGGACACGTTAAAGAAGTTCGTGAATGACCCCGAGCAGGTGGTTCGAGACAGCATCATCGTGGCTCTGGATATGGCCGAGTATGAGAAGAACGGAGATATTGAGTATGCGCTGATTCCGGCCACTGCTGCATGATGATGGAAGGATGGAAGGATGAACCGGAAGAGAAATGAATCATTACAATGTCGCCTATTTAATTGCCCTCGTCACTTCATAGATATACAATTGCGGAACCCAGAATAGAGTTTCCTTTTTCTTTTTCTTTCTTTCTTTTGGCTTTCGTTCTCCCTTCTTTTGTATTCTTTTCGGCCGTTTAATTGTTGGTCGTTTCCCTATAGTCCACGATTAGCACCCACAGCAGCTTCACCAAGACGGGACCACGCCGCGACTCACTTGTAACCACAAACACATCGGTAGAAAATCGTACTCCCTTCGTCTGCACTGCGCAACTGCACCGCAGAGAAGTACATTTCCTTCCTCCCACACTTGGCGCACGTATGTTGGGCGATCGCCTCCGTCTTCCTATCCTCCGCGGTCAAGGTCTGCACAGCGGATCGTTTGGCGCGAAGAGAGGAGGGGAATGCGCTGGGCTTGGACTCGGAGATAACGGTCCCCGGAGCGGCATCTGAGGGGAGAGTGGGAGATGGGTCAGCGCTACTGAGAGGAAGGGCTTTCATATCCGTCCAAGACTGGCTCAAGCTCACCTTTGTTGCGCGCGCCGCAGACGTCGCAGAATAAGAAATTTGTCGGATCGGCGGAGGAGTTCTGGAGGAGGTTGCCGCAGTCGGTGCAGAAGAGGAGGGAGCCGATTGCGCTCATGGTGTGATGGTATGGAGGGTTCAATGAGAGATATGGATTGTTCGTTGGGTATGTAAATGAATTAGAGCAGATTATTTTATAGAAATTATGAAGATGAGGGTATCGAAGTATAGATTGTCGGGGAGAAATCGATCTACTTTTTTCTTCCCTTTTTTTTAATGCGAATAAAATTATCCAGATCCAGCACAGACCATGCATTACTCCAACATTATTACTAAGCCAGGAATAACTCAGTAGTGCCCGGGCGGTCAGCAGCGGCAGCGGCAAGAGACCCGTGCCTGGCATCATTTATTGCATCGCCATAGAGAGCCTTCTTTGATCATGCGAGACATTCATGCCTCCTACTCTCAAGTTCTTCTTTCCTGACGGGGGCCTGTTTTCAGCACGGTAGCCATGTCTCTGGGCAGAGCATGTACCCGCTCTCATCTTAATTCTCCCGTGATTCCCGCCCCTGTTCGTCATTACGCTTCATAGTCTCCGTTGCTAGATAGACCATGGACCAAACCTGGCAGCATCCGGCCGTGCAGGTCGTGATCAATGGCCACCCTCAGGCGCAGGCGCTGTCGCAGGCTCACCATGGCAGTGGCCCACCGCAGCGCCGCGATCGCCCGTTGTATGTGGAAGAAGCGTTGCAGTATTCGCCCATGTCCAGCTCCCCGATATTCGGTTTAGGTGAGAAGACCCATGTGATGATCCTTCCCCGGGGAAGCAAATGAACCTGGAGCTGATGCTTTGATGCGCGTGTACTAGATTGTATCCTACGCCCGGACGTGGGTCGCCCTCCGAATACGACTTCCATCAATCATATCTTACAATCGGGTCGGACTGCGTTGAGTGATCTGAATGCGGAGGTGCAAGCTGGAGGAGCGGATGAGTCGAATCGCTTGGAGACGTCTCGGGAATATCTACAACAGTTGCTGGATGGAGACCAGTTGACGGAATTGTAAGCCGACCCGGGATCGTGTACCGATGACGAGAGAATGATGCTGATGCTGATGCCGCATAGTAAATTCAAGCTTCCGATAAGGGCGGGCAATAATCAGCCTCCTCCGCCGCCCGCGGTGCCCCTTGACCATGCCCCCTCCCGCGATCACTTGGGCCACTTTGCGAAGATGATGTTGAACTCCACCGATATAGCGTTCAGGTGTAAGAGGAACCTCTTGTTTGGGTTGTCCCGGCTGATAGCTGACATGCGCCAGACCCCACCGCGCCTAATTCTTACGATGCAGGCATCCCTCAGAAACCCGCTGCTTGGAATCAGAAAGCGCATGCGATGAACAAATCGGTCACTCCGTCCGCTAGTCTCCCGAACCAACAGACAAGCAACCTCTCCGTCGTGATACCCGTCAAGCCGATCCCGTCCTATGGAGAGGGCCGCGGTGACCCCAAGAGAAGGAAGCTCAACGCGGATGGGGAGGATAGTATTGCCGCCGTGCGTCTGAAGGACCAGAAGGAAGAGGCCGATGCGGCGTTGGTGAAGCTGCAGACTATGCTTCATGAGGAGGTCTTTGCGACTGAGGACCAGGAGGAGGCAGGGGTGTTGTCGTCCGATGTCCATAGTCGTCTTCAGAAAGCGATCAGGAAGGTCATTGGCTTCAACCGGCTTCGTGATATTCCGTCAGATGACCTCAAACGGGTCCAGAAGCTCTGTGAAAAGCCCATAATGGATGCAAGGACCGCGTATTTGAAGCTGGACGACCCGTCGAATGAGTCTGAGACCCAAGACTGGCTGAAGCGTTTGGAAGACCTGCACAATGCTCTCCTGGCAGTCGGCACACTGCTGCAAACCATGTCGGGCTCGCGGACAGAACGGGATCTTTGTCCGGAAGATCTTATAGAAGCTATTCCCGACGTCCTCAACCAGACATTCGATAATTGCATCATCCCTGCCGTGGAGGCACGACCGGCAAACAAAGACCCCGGAAGCAGGGATGCCAAATTCTTTGCATTCGTTTCCGGGGAAAGACGTACCATTGGAAGTGTGATCCAACAGAGCAAAAGGGACCTTGCCCTCTTCGCAGACTTCCTAGCGCGGGTCGAGGTCTCGGAGACTACGATAACGGCAACGCTGTTTTTCGCAGCCAAGCTGATCACTGTCGACAACGCGCACACGGAAAATAACTCCGCCGTGGGCTATCAGAAGTATGAGTCTGTCCGACGGGGGGCCATGGATGTCCTAGCAAAGATCTTCGCCAAGTATCCCGACCAGCGACCATACATCCTGAATGAGATCCTGAGCTCGTTAGAGAAGCTCCCGTCGGGGCGGCAAAGCTCCAGGCAGTTCAAGCTCGCTGATGGGAAAAGCATTCAGTTTCTGACTGCCTTGGTCATGCAACTTGTACAAACCACTGCCTTAGACGTGCCTGGCTCTCGATCAAAAAAAGCTGGTCGTGGGAAGCCGCCTTCCGCAGATGACGAAGAGGAACCCCCGAGGAGGAAGAGGAAGACGAGGACGATGACGAACCGGAGACCCTGGAGCACCTTGCGTCGAAGGTTGATCGCTTATACGACAACGCCGTACGCAGCGCCCAGTCTATCGTCAAGTTCATTGTCCAACGAGCAATGACGTCGACCAAGACCGGTGACCAGCCATACCGAAATATCCTTGACCTCTTTACCGAAGACCTGATAAGCGTGCTTGGTTCGACAGATTGGCCGGCCGCGGAACTACTCCTGCGCATCATGGCTTCCCACATGGTCGGGATTGCTGACCATGACAAGAGCCCGGCTACTGCAAAGAGCATGGCCCTTGAGCTGCTAGGCTGGATGGGTTCCGCCATATCCGATCTCATTGTGACTGCCCAGCATCTGCTCCCGGCCATGGAGGAGTCAGACAGCGACTCAACAGACTATCTGAGGCAGATGTTCGACGATTATTCAAATCGCGCCTTACACCCGCAGGATCTCGTCGTGCCCGAAGGCCCCTATCGCATGACCTTGGAATACTTTTCCCAAGATCGTGACCAGGACAATTGGCAGATTGCCAGCGCCCGGGGTTACTATCTGGCGCATTGGGCAAAGACGTTTTGTTCTGTTTACTATAGTTCGGACGATAAGGATGATGGCGTCCAGGATGATGTGGTCGAAGATCTGGTGGATCTCTTGTCGAATCTCTTCTCTCACCCGACGTGGCTGGAGACCAACAAGTGAGTGTACCTGCCCCGATATCTAACCGTTGAAGATGCTGACCTGGACGTGCTATCAGACATTTCGGGAAGATCTCCACCGCCCATGGGAGGTTCGCGTACATCTTGACGGCGCTGAATTCCGGCTTCTGCAAGGCCTTCGACACGATTCTGAAGGTGCTTTTGAACTCCATCACCAGCGATCAGGCCAAGGTTCGCAGCCGCAGTCTGAAAAGTGTGATCTATATGCTTGAGAAAGACCCGAGTCTTCTGGATCGAGATGCGTCAGTCATGCGCGTGATCCTCCGATGTGCCACGGATGCATCCCCGATGGTCCGTGATTCTGCGCTGTCCCTGATCGCAAAGTGCATCGCCTTGAAGCCCAAATTCGAAGAAGATGGATGCCAGAGTATACTCATTTGCGCCGCTGATCCGACCGCTGGCGTTCGAAAGCGTTGCATCGGACTCCTCAAAGAGATCTATCACAAGACGTCGCGTAACGAATTAAAGCTACGGATCTTGGACAGTTTTCTCCAGCGGACCGGGGATCTCGAAGAGAGCGTGGCGGCAATGGCGCGCCAGACATTCGAAGAGATATGGCTGGCTCCCTTCCACGAACAAATCGACTCCGCGCAGGATGGCCCGAGACTGAAGGTCGGCCTCGAAGAGCAGGTATCATTGATCGCTAGTCTGGTACAGCGCAGCGATACGGCTCTCGACACTCTTGGTGGATGTCTCAAGAAAGTCCTCTCTGACAGTTCCAAGTCTTCCAAACTCAACTTCAAAGTTTGCAAGGCGATGGTGGCGACAATGTTTGAGAAATTGGTCGAAGATACTGCTGACTCTTCGGACAACCAATTTCGCCAAGCCCTCCTCCAGACCATCACTGTCTTTGCCAAAGCAAATGCGAAGCTTTTCCGGCCCGATCAGCTGGAGATACTCCACCCCTACATTGGGCACCTTGCTACCGCCGAGGACCTCTTCCTATTCCGGTCTGTGGTGGTGATCTATCGATGCGTCTTACCTTTCTTGTCCTCTGCGCACCACAGCCTTTTGAAGGAAGTCCAGAACGATCTGTTCAAGAGTGTGGCTAAACTTGCTCGTTCGGAGCTAAATGAAGTAATGGCTTGTCTGTGGACGATCAACAGCGTTCTGCACAATACGGACCGGCTCGTGAAGCTCACATTATCAGTCTTGAAGCCAATCCTGCAGTACAAGAACATGGATCTGTCGGATGGTTCCAACAAGGATTTCCTAGCCCGAGCCAAAAGCTACATTCGGATCGCTGGCTGCGTCGGGCGACACTGTGACCTCGAGAAATACGAGCCACACTTCAAGAGTTCCTTCCCGACCTGGGGTGGTGGCTCCGTCGCCGGCTTGATGGTCGATGCCATTATCCCCTTCACGCTTGCTAAACAACCATTGGATCTACGAGTGATGGCCCTCGAGAGCTTGGGTTCCGTGTGCCAGTCCTGGCCTGGCCAATTCGGCCGCGAAGGAACACGGAAAATCCTATCCATGGTGTTCCAGGAAGACAACCCCAGCCTCCAGAATATCGTGCTCCGGTCATTTGCCGACTTCTTCGCCATGCACGAAGGACGCGCCGAGAAGGCAGTGCTGCCGTCGGCCGAGATCGCTGACCAGGAAAATTCGACGAGGTTAGGAGGGTCGCTGAGGGCCAGTGATAACGATGGGGCCGCTGCGTTGATCGCCCAGCATTTCCTGCAGAGCATGCTGCGGATCGCTCAATCTCGACAGGATGCCTACGCTTTGACCGCCATCGAGTTGGTTGCCAGTATCAACCGTCAAGGCCTAGTCCATCCCAAGGAATGCGCCGGCGTTCTGGTCTCGCTTGAGACGTCGACCGTCCCTGCGATTGCCAAGGTGGCCTTCGAAACACACAAGATGCTCCACCAGCAATACGAGTCCATGTTTGAAAGGGAGTACATGCGCGCGGTGCAGGAAGCCTTTTACTACCAGCGTGACATTGTGGGCGATTCAACCGGTGCGTTCAGCCGCCCGTACGTTGCCAAACTCGCGCCCCTATTCGAGATCGTCAAAGTCAGCAATAGTCGGTATCAGCGAAAGTTTCTTGCCAACCTCTGCGCGAAGGTCGATCTGGAGCTGAAAACCTTGGACGCTACGGGTGATACTCCGGAACACCTGTTATTGTCTCGTTTTGTCGCCCAGAATCTGGCATTCTTTGACTACGCCCAGCTGGCGGAGCTGGTGCCGACTATTGGGTGCATGGAGCGCATTGTTGCGGCGACTGGAACCGTGGTGGCCCATGCTATTGAGACCGAGCTGTTCCCCCCAACGGTGGAAGCACCCCCGGCCCCCGACGGGGCGCCTCTTCCTCCAGCATCCGAGGCACCACTGCCTATCGTCCCGGCACCGATGCCCAGCGTACAGCCGCCGGCGAATCCACAGACGCTCCGCTTACTGTCCACGGCAGCGGCCTCGCTTTCGATGCTCTGGGAAGCTCGAACGTACCTTCGGCGTCTATACGGCGTAACAGCGCACGTGCGCAACAAAGACGGCAAGGCGGCAAAGGAACTCAGCAAGTCCGCCACGAAGGTACACGGGGTGACGGGGGATAAGTTCTGGGACGCTATATCCCGCAACATGGCCTCCCTAGACACCGAGGAGAGCATGATCGCCAAATGCCGGGAATTTGCCACGCTGCTCTCAATCGACGACGAGTTCAAGGTTGGCGAAGACGAGGACGCAGATGGCGACAGCCTCGATGCCGACATGGAGGATGCAGGCGCTGCGGGCGGTGTCAATAACCATAACAACAACAAGCCAGGCAAACGCAAGAATTCCTTCCCCGGACAGAACCCCCCGAAGCGTCGCGGGAGAAAACCGGGTTCTGGGAAGAGGAAGCCCAGCGCTGAGCCCAGCGAGGACGCGCACTGGGGTTGAGGGCGAGTGAGTCCCTAACCTAGTTTTTTCTATATTGAAGCAACAATCAATCAATCCATCTATTTTATAGAGCTCGCATGTGGGACCGGAATGGCGTTATGCTCTTCTTCTATTTTCTTCCCCCTTTGATTTTCTCTTTCTATCTGATATGCCATATTTACTTTGCCCTTTTCATATTTGTTGTATCTTATTCATTGAGCTATCTATGCTGGACGGGGGCGTCGTTGCGGTGCACGATCTGAAGGACGAGGTGATATTGAGGGTTTATCTAGCTTAACAAGATATTATTTATGATCTGCGCTTACGCTGAGCTAGACCAATTTACTATTATTACCACTCTTCACTCTTATTATTCCTCTTAATTTATATCTAGATCTGTATAGCGGTGTGGAGATTGGATGCCAAGCCGGCAGACCCCCAGCGGGTCGAGATCACTAACGCGTTAGCGGGAAGGCTTGTTGGCTCCCAGTGACGTAGCAATAACATCGTCCGTCTCATTCCTGCGCTTCTTTTCTCCCTCCCATCTCCTTTCCCCTTTCTCAACTGACTCTCACCCATCAATTGATTGATATCTTACCATTCTTAATGCCTGTTTGTCGCTCGCAATAATAGTTACAGACTCCTCTCCGTCCCGGTTCTCCTAACCCGTGTCCCTCCACCGCCATGAGCGCCGTGCTGCTCCGGAGACGTCCGGACCCATCGGCGCTGACAAGGATTGCGCTGCAATCATGCCGATTCCACACCTCAGGACGGACAATACCAAGGGGCGCTATCGCCGCGCGGGGATTACCTCTCCAGCGCAGGCCGATCCCTCAATGCCTGCCATCCAGCGCCGTCTTGAACGGTAACCGCCTATCCGTGCGACACAAATCAACCACCGCTAAAGAGGACCCCCGCCCCAAATCACCCGTCATGGGCGCGGTAGTCAAAGCATTCGCATACTGCGGTTTCTTCATCGTGATGAGCGGTGCCGTCGTCGTCGCTTTCTTCATCTACGACGCGACCACCTACCGCGAGGATGGTGTTGTCGAGGATATCCCCGTGTCGGAGCTAGCGCTGAACCCGCGGCGTGGGGGACCTAAGAATCTACCCATTGCGGAGTTTCTGATCGGCGACCATGACTCTGAGGAGATGATGGAGCAGAAGGATAAGCCTCGTCTGGTTATCCTGGGTACCGGGTGGGGTAGTGTCGCTTTGCTGAAGCAGCTGAATCCAGGCGATTATCATGTTACGGTTGTTTCTCCGGCGAATTACTTCCTTTTTACGCCGATGCTGCCGTCCGCGACGGTGGGGACGCTCGGGCTGAGGTCGCTTGTGGAGCCGGTTCGTCGGATCGTGCAGCGTGTTCGGGGGCACTTTTTGAAGGGTGAGGCTGTTGATGTCGATTTTTCGGAGAAGCTGGTGGAGGTCTCTCGGACTGATACGGATGGCAAGCCGCGGAACTTTTATGTCCCGTATGATAAGTTGGTGATTGGTGTTGGTATGTTCTTCTCTTCTTCTATGTTTGTTTGGTTTTCTATCAGCTACCCCCAGGGTGCTATATGCTAACGTGATTTCGCCTAGGCTGCGTCACAAACCCTCACGGAGTCAAGGGCCTCGAAAACTGCCACTTCCTCAAGACGATCGACGATGCGCGCCAGATCAAGAACCAGGTCCTGGAGAACATGGAGCGGGCCTGCATGCCGACCACGACGGACGAGGAGCGCCGGCGTCTGCTATCCTTTGTCGTCTGCGGTGGAGGCCCGACGGGGGTGGAATTCGCGGCGGAGCTGTTTGACATGCTTAATGAGGATCTGCTTTACTCGTTTCCCAAAGTCTTGAGGAATGAGATCTCCATCCACATTATTCAGAGTCGCACGCATATTCTCAACACGTATGACGAGGCGCTGTCTAAATATGCTGAAGTATGTCGAGAACTGCGTGTCTGTTGGGTCATGTAGCTAACGTATGCAGGCTCGTTTTGCCCGTGATCATGTCGACGTCCTCACCAACTCCCGCGTGAAGGAAGTCTGCGCGGACCGGGTGGTCTTCTCGCAATTGGAGGACGGCAAGCCAGTGGTCAAAGAAATCCCGACAGGCTTCTGCCTATGGTCGACCGGTGTTGGTAAGGACCCCATCCCAGCGAGCTGACTGGCCTCGCCACTAATCACCATCACCGCAGCCCGAGCAGAGTTCTGCAGCAAGCTCTCCGACAAACTCGACGCGCAAAACAACAAGCACGCCCTCGAAACCGACACCCACCTGCGCCTAATCGGCGCCCCCCTAGGCGACGTCTACGCCATCGGCGACTGCGCCACCGTCCAAAACAACGTCGCCGACCACATCGTCTCCTTCCTGCGCACCATCGCCTGGGAAAAAGGCCGCGACCCGCAAAAGCTACACCTCACCTTCCGCGAATGGCGCGACGTCGCATCACGCGTCAAGAAGCGCTTCCCCCAAGCATCCAACCACCTCCGCCGCCTCGACCGCCTCTTCGAGCAATACGACAAAGACCACTCCGGCACCCTCGACTTCGGCGAACTCTCCGAACTCCTCCACCAAATCGACACAAAGCTCACCTCCCTCCCTGCCACCGCCCAGCGCGCAAACCAGCAAGGCGAATACCTCGGCCGCAAGCTGCGTAAGATCGCGGCCGCGACGCCCGGCATGCGCACCAACGAGATCGACTACGGTGACCTCGACGAGGCTGTCTACAGGGCCTTCAAGTACCGCCACCTCGGCAGTCTGGCGTATATCAGCAATGCGGCGGTGTTTGACTTCGGCGGCACGAACTTCGCGGGTGGCGTGCTGGCTATGTATCTCTGGCGGAGTGTGTATTTTGCGCAGAGTGTTAGCTTCCGGACGAGGTGTATGCTGGCTATGGATTGGGCGAAGAGGACGCTGTTTGGGAGGGGTATGTTTTTCTTTCTCTTCCCTTCTTCCTATGAGATAAATAGAGGAATACTTGCTGACATATTATTCACTCGCAGATCTCATGAGCTTCTAAGTGATAAGTGATAGATAGAAGAAAGGTGGAAGACTAATACACTGATCAGTGGACTAGTCAATCAGTTATATATCTTCAAGATAACTTGGCAATCAATCCCTTCCGCACCTTAACCTATCTATCTATCTGTCTACCCATTTATCTATCATCTTCCTTCATTCCTTTCATTCTGAATACTTTCTTTATTATTTCCTTTCCTTTTCTTATCTTTCTATCTTACTGTCTGTCTTACACATACATACCATCTCATCTATTTCATTTGTGTCTTTACATTCGACCTTTTGTTTCTTTCTAGTTCTACAGTTTCTACTTGGTTTTCTTTCCTTCCTTTCTTCATCGAGGCTTGTTAATTACGAGCGGAATAGATATATTCATTCATGCTATAGTTATTTCAATTATTGGTTAAATAGTGTCCTACTTTTTCGCGTGGCTTGGTCTCCTGTTGTTTACATACATGACATGGGATCAATATGCATTTCAGATTATGCTTCAACACGGTACTAGCTGTTGTGTAGATGGTGTTGGCATATTCTAGCTCGACCATCGTCCAAAACGCCAATTGGTGAGTGGTAGGGTCTTGATATCCGATCATTGACACGGCTGATGGCTGGAGTGTAGATAGTAAGGATAGTAATATCCGTGATGTACGTTAGCGACACAGGGTCACACGACAGTTGGTATCATTTCCAGAACAAGTGATAGAGGCTTGTTAAAGATGAAAATTACAAGTCAAGACTAGGCAAGCTCGCTTGCTAGCCAAGTGCGCCAAAACACCTCGCTAGACCGAGGAAAAAAAATGGAAAAAATAGCCACAGCCATACGTGTCGTCGTGGGATCAAGTCCTGGACGAGACGAGGCCGTCACGAGATCATCGGGTCGATGTCTCCGTTGTTGGTCATTACGGTATCATTGTTCGACGCTCCGTTGCGCCCTGCGTCGTCTGCTTCTTTCTCCGTCAGGCCGAGGTCTAGCTTCTCCGGTACATCCTTTTTGGCTTCGCGGGCTTTCTGCTCGGCCCAGGCGCGCAGCTTGACCAGATTGCGCAGGCGCGCCTCTTTACGGGCGCCCTGGCTCTGCAGGATGGCCTCGTTTACACTAGTGGCGATTTCTTTACGAAGGTTGGGGTGTAGGAGAGGGGCAAGGGAGGGAGTGAGGGTTTCGGTGGGGAAGATGAGCAGTGCCAACGTCCGCTCGAGGTCATCCAAGAACTGCGGGTTGGTCGGGGCCCGGGGCGCCAGTTGCGAGGTTGCAAACTCGAGGGCGGGACTGATGTCCCCGTCCGGCGAGGCACTGCACGAGCGGATCAACTCCACCAGCTGCAGACGCAGGAGGGCGAAATGTAGCGACGGATTCTCATCCAGGATCTGTGCCAGTAGACATGTTAGCGCGATGGTCATAACAAGCAATGAGTGTGACACGACGGCATAGTAGTGGTTTGCTGATCATACTGAGGACTGAAGATGTTTGTTTTTCATCAAACCCCCGAAGAGGGTTTATGAGTGGTGCATGAAACTTGGTCTAATCCTAGCAAAGGTGGGGTGCGCGCGGGTGGATGCGGCATGGGCAAAGGGGAAGCGAGGGAGAAAATTCTTACCTGTGGGTTGAGCTCGTTGATTTTTTCAATGGCGGCCTGGATATTCCCCGAATGGATAGCCGTTCGAATGTCCACTCTTTCTTGGACCGAATCGACGTCCGTCTTGGGTTGAATATTGGCCTCGACAGCGAATTTCTTCGCCGCCGCGGGGTAGCCATTGGTGATGAGGTAGTCCATGACCAAGTAATTGATATCACTAGCAACGATGTTAGCATCGTCTGACCCCACAAGCAATCGACAATCAATTTTGCATTGACAGGAAGATTCAGAAAGACAAGTCAATTGTGTTTCTCCTCAAGGTTTTTCAGAGAGATTCCCAACTTGAGTATGAAAGCATCCTTTTCCTGGTGCCAAAAGGCGATGGAGGGGTAAGGAAATTGGGGACTCACGTTTTGGATGGCTTGACCTCATCGACCTTCCGCTCAAAGTGATGCCATGTTGGCGTGGTGGTGGAGGAAGAGGGAGACATCTGTGTCTCGTTAAAACCAAGCTACCACGCACGCACAGTACCTCAGGAAGCATACGTAATTCGCCGAAGACATGGTGGTGAAAGCTGGAATGACAGTGACTCTTGGTCTCAAGTACCCTGGAGCTGAAGAGGCAGTCTGTGAAGATGGGAAACCTCACCGACGGACGCCATGGGAAAAGGGAAGTGCAGATGAAGTGATGAAGAGAAAGAAGAAGAAGAAGAAGAAGAGAAAATGAGTGAAGAAATAGCTCCCGTCACGTGCAGAATTGGCGCCAACAAGCGAACGTCACGGGATGGAGCACACTAACCACACCAGGACTAGCGCGATGGCCTGACGCTAGACCACATCGGGACTGGATCGTGAACCCCATCTTTGTCTCAGTTCGCGATCTTCTCATTTCATGCATCCCACTTCCCCCTCCCCACATTGACTGGAGGCCTGCTTGTACATGTGTATGTCTGGTTGAGCTGCACGGGTAGGAGCCAGAGTCTGAATTCATCCATCATGGAATCCATTTCACCCGTTTTCTCGTCTCCCCTCCAGAAACAATACTCCCCACCATGGGCCGATCTGAGTATCATTGGAATTGCGGGCAGCTCTGGCTCGGGTAAGACCTCTGTTGCTATGGAAATTGTGAAGTCGTTGAATCTGCCATGGGTGGTGATCCTTGTAATGGTACCGTGAATCTATCGGATCACCCATGGGAATGCCCGACATCCCACTACCAGTCAATCGCGGCGTCTAACGTGGTCGCGTGACAGGACTCCTTCTACAAGAGCTTGGATCATGAGCAACATACCAAGGCGCATTCGAATGAATATGATTTTGATTGCCCGGACGCGCTGGATTTCGATGTCTTGGTGCAGACTTTGCAGGATTTGAAGAAAGGGTATCGCCCCGCCCGTCCGATTTTCTTATCATGTTTCAGATGGCACGCAGGGAGAGGTTCGGCGAGTGGAGCTAACTGATTGGATATTCGGGCCAAAAGGAAGAAGGTTGATATCCCTATCTACTCTTTTGCCCATCATCAGCGTCAACCGCAGACGACCCCGCTGTACTCGCCACGGGTTCTCATTCTCGAGGGTATCTTGGCCCTCCACGACCCAAGAATATTGGATCTGCTGGATGTGAAGGTAAGATCCTTCATCGTGTAATTTAGAGAAAGCGTGCTTATCTGGACGGGTAGATCTTCGTAGAAGCCGATATGGACGTTTGCCTGGGACGCAGAAGTAGGTATCCATCCTATAACCTTGATCCTAAACGCTCTGACGCAGGAATCAGTCATGCGTGATGTTCGGGAACGAGGACGGGATATAGACGGCATTATCAAACAGTGGTTCAACTATGTGAAGCCGTCCTACAGGCGATATGTGGAACCGCAGCGTCTCGTATCCGGTAGGCCCGCAGAGCCCCCCGTGACACCTCCCACTAAATCGATGTAGATATCATCATTCCTCGCGGCATTGAGAACAAGACGGCCATCGGTAGGTTATCTCCACTTCTTGACGTATTCTCCTACTAAGATTATCATGTCAGACATGGTCGTCAAACACATCCAGCGTAAGCTGGACGAAAAGTCAGAGAAGCACAGCGCAGATCTGTACAAACTGGTCGAAATCGCGTCCGGGGAGCAACTCTCTCCCAAGGTCCAGGTCATGGCGGCCACGCCCCAGTTCATCGGCATGAACACCATCCTCCAGAGCCCGGAAACGGAGCAGGTCGATTTCGTGTTCTACTTTGACCGACTGGCATGCCTGCTGATCGAAAAGTACGTTAGCCCTTGAGACATAACAAACCCGATAAAGCAAATAGATAGCTAACGCAATACCACCAGAGCATTGGACTGCACCTCGTACGTCCACGCCGAAGTGAAAACCCCACAGAAGAACGCCTACACCGGGTTACACCCCGCCGGCGTCGTATCCGCCGTGGCCATTCTCCGCGGCGGGTCCTGCCTGGAGACCGCCCTGAAGCGAACCATTCCCGACTGTATCACGGGCCGCGTCCTCATCCAGACGAACGCAAAGAACGAGGAGCCCGAACTCCACTACCTCAAGCTCCCCGTGGGCATCGAAGAGCACGGCACGGTCATGCTCCTCGACCCGCAGATGGCCAGCGGCGGAGCCGCCCTGATGGCAGTCCGCGTCCTGATCGACCACGGCGTCGAAGAGCACAAAATTGTCTTTGTGACCTGCGCTGCCGGCAAAGCGGGGCTGAAGCGGTTGGCTTCGGTGTATCCGAACATGAATGTGATCGTGGGGCGCATCGAAGAAGAGCGGGAGCCTCGATGGATGGAGCAGAAGTACTTTGGATGTTAAGGAGTGTATATGGAAGGATAAGATATCGCATATTTTTTACTTACCTAAGGTTTATGCTAGCCATTGATCTGCACCATGATTGGCGTGTACTGAAATATGCATTGAACAAGTTAAGCTTTCTTGGCCAAAATAAGCTTCCTGGTGGGGACGACGTCTGCGGGCTTGTCATTCTAGATGTCAGATGCTGGTAACACGATGATACCTCCAACAAGGGTGGGTAAATAGCATCAAACGACGACTGAAATGCTTCCAACATCTTCAAAATTGTAACGTTTTGGTCAGACATAACTGAGCCAAAGGTAGCATAGCTACCTGATTAGCGAACACTCCTACTACCCTCTCGGAAGAAACCTAGATCCTGCCTCTATCCTTCTCTGGACCCCATAAATCGTGTGGTTTATAATCTCGAGCTGCAGCTTTGATAGATAGAGATAAACGAACCTGTACCACAGCCCCACTGCGAATGGCATACGCATATAAACACTAGGTCAATGTACGGTTAGTTTAGTACTCGGCTCTATACCCAGGCGTATACCCAGGCGTCTGTGTCCACCAACTCTGATAATCCATGTCTGTTCTTGTGTCGCATCCTAGAGCTTACTACCCTTCTTGTGGCATTATGATGATGATGATGACGAACCACCAGAGTCCCCTGAACTGTATTGACGCAGAAGCGTATGTCCCTTGCGCATGATCTATACCAAAGAGTCCAGAGTTCTGTACCGACTTGGGCTCCCTCTTGCATTGAAGGAAATGGCCGGAGAGATATCACATTCTCCTAGTAGGGTGGTTTCTTTTACTTATACACCAGACAGCCAGTTTACTCACCGACCAACCTCAGCTCGTTACCACAGAATAGGAAAGAGTCACCAAGGTGCCTTCTTGATCCTTCAAATTAGTGGTCTTATCACGTCGTGGCTTGCTCTTAGGGTTCGCAACGCTCACGTGGGTCTGTCAGGAACTTTCTCTTCTGTTGTTGCCCTTGCTATATCTCTTTCCCATCTTTTTACGTATGATGCGTCGAACATCATCGTGTCGACATTTGACATTTCGTACCATTTTTTGACAATTTCTGACATGAAAATATGATCTCTGACACGCCAGAGGTAACGTTAAACCCGCATATAGCATTCCAGCAAATGCCACCGGACTTTAAATGGGCAGCTCGAAATTCGCAAAAAGTGAAGCTATTCAGAGCCATCTCGGTCGTAAAATGTCGAGTTAACGTGTGTGATTGGCTAAAATCACAAAATGAGGAGCGGAGATTTCCAACATTGACACACCTTTCATTTCACAAAATGCCCTGAAATTGACGCCTTGCAAAATTGTCGACAGTTTACCATCCCTACAACGCAGAGCTTCCGTCCCATCTCCGTCTGGCAAGTAGAGGCCCCACTGTTTCGCTGTGAGTGGCGATCTAAAACCAACCAACTATACTAGTGGCAAGGCTGAGCGGTTAAGTTCCAGCCCCTCGTTTTGATCTTTTGGGTCTCCTTGATCTCCTGAGCTTCTCGAATCTCTTTAATTGCTGAACTTGTTGAATCATTTGGATCCGCGGACCTGGACTGATTTTATTCCCGAATCCTGTCATGGCGAGATCATACCAAACGAAGCCTCCTAGTCGGCCCGCGCAGTGGGTTCAGCGCGAGTATACTGACCATCAAGGGAACCCCGTCGTGCTGGGCAAAGTCGATAATGGGGAATACAGCGATGAGGAGCCCCCTGAGCCACTCGATCGAGAGAACTACCCCCTTCAAGTCTACAGCCAGACCCCCATACAAGCACAGGAATACGAGTCACTCCACGAATATATAGTTGGCAACAACGACCTAGGCCCATTTTTGGAAATTTACACTTACAACCCACCCGATCCGCTGGCCTGTGCTGAGCATCAGCGTCGTGAGATCGCCCACCGGAAGCATCTGCATGCGAATTCAGACCGATCGCATGATGAGCTGCCTCCATTGATCCCCGCCGTCCGAAAAAATTCCAGAGGCCCCCACGCGGGATATTGTATCCTCCTGACTTCGGAGAGTTACCGGGCGAGGTTTCGCGCTCGATATCGTAATGAATGCGGCTCGGGACCCTTTTTGATCTATTTTGATCGCAGGCCTCCGTTGGCAATCCGACATATGGACCTAAGGAGTCGCCTTCAAGCCGAGCCTAAAGGCGTGGTCGATTTCGCTCACTGGGGTATCGAAGTCTTCCCCGAGACTTGCGATGTCGCGGTGTCGATTGAGAAGGACCAAGAAATGATGGATTTTCACACGCAGACGATTCAGTTTCAAGCAATTTACGAGAACTCGGGCGAGCTCGATGAACCTCTGCCGGAGGGGCCGGAGCCAGCCAGCCTTGGCGCGCGGCAGGTCCAGGAGCTCCTGGAGCAGCAGCAACAAGCAGCGGAAATCCAAACCGTGGATCCCCGCACCCTGCGACTTGACCGGGGGTCGGACGGCAGGGTACTCACGATCACCAACACCGCGGAGCGAGAGAGCGACCTTCAATATACAATCTACGTCCCGTTCCTGGTGCACCTGCCGGATCTTGACCTCTCCGACCTGGTGGAGACCACCGCTCGCATCTTCACAGCGGCCGTAATATCTCGTCTCACCGGCGACAAAACCGTCCGCTTCGAGTTCCGGGTTCCTCCTACCTCTTCATTGTGGTCAATTGCTTTGTCCCACGAGAGCGGACTCCAACCCGGCGCTCTCCACACCTTCGGTGACAGTTCTCGGCGCGAGCGAGTGCTCCCGCTGAGCCGCAGCGACGTCAGCCCGTCGTCAAGAGAGAAACACTATAAGAAATTCTTCGTTGTTCTGGACAGACCAGCCTTCATACAGGAGCCGGGCGTGCTGTTTCTCATCGTTCGGACCGATTCCCTGCAGGATCCCTCGCTCATCGAGGCCAACTACACCCAAACGATCCTGGGAACTCGACGCAGTGCGGGCATCTCGGAAACTGCGCGACGACTTGCGGTAACCGCGGTTGAGGAGCAGCAGCAAGGTAATGAGTGGAGTGTGAGAATGCTGACGAACGAGGAGCATCGATCTTTGCTATCGTTGTCATCTGAGGAGTACCAGGAGTTACTCGCTTCGGCCTTGGATTCAGATTCCGATGATAAATAGAGCTCTCTCCGTCCCTGCGTCCGATCGACAGAATCCAGACGGGGGAATAAAACCAGACTGGGGTTGAGAGTGTATATGCCGTTTGAGTGCGTAGCATAGCATGTTTCCATCATTACTCTAGTCCGTCAATGCCGGAGGGGAACCCTCGGTCTGTCTTGATGGCCGTCTCCACCGTCCACGTCCGGAGTAAGATCCAGCATAATCAAGGAAGCCTACTCCCCATTTCCTACTTTGTGTTGCAATTTCGCACTTGCTAGTCACGGGGACAGGATAGCTGGGATAGAGTCGACATCCATCTATTTCGTTAAGTGCAAAGAGACTTCCATGCCATCAATCATAGGTATCCCATCCCTATTGAATAGCAGAATACAATTTGACAGGACAACCCACTTCCAATTCACTGAACTTAGCAGACTCCATCCCTCAAAGTACATAATTGACCCAAAGAATTAGTCTTCCCTCTATAACAATGAAGAACCAAGCACTCCAAACCGCATAAACCAGCAACGGTGTCGCAATTCCCCATACAACGTCATCACCGTCTTCTCCCCGGCACCAATGGGTTCAGGGCCTCCACATCTCCGCCCCCTATTGGCAATGTAGGGCCCCAATCAAGCAGCTCTGACACTAAGTAGCCGGTAGCGCGACCGTAGGTGGAATTGCGCACATAGCTCAGCTCAGAACGGGTCCATTTTCCCATCTAGCTGTGCACTGTACCGGAGCATACGATCACATGTGATGGTCCGAGTGATATACGAGAGCAGTCCAGCTCACATCGATTCTAGGCCTGCCCTCGTTGGTCATTACCAATTAGTTTACGCCGTACAAAGCGGAGATTAACTCCCCATTCACCATAGCGATACGTAGTGAGACAGAGACAATGGCCTGACCATATGGCCCACTAGAAGAAGACGGACGAAACCGAGGACCCCATCTATCTATCTAAATATCCCACCGGTGGGAACTGGGATGACTAGATCAAGGCGTGCTATCCAGTGTCGTGCATGACTCGGGAATTGGCCCCCCCTTTTTATTCCGGGTGGAAGTCAGGATCGGGTTCTGATCCTACTCCAGATGCCGCCCCAAACCCCCTAGGTCTTAGCGGGGCCCCACCCCTAACATTAGCGTCTTCTATTATCCGACAGGGCCCCAAGCCAGACCCCTCTGTCGGATTGGGGGCCGCTTGTGGCTTTGATTGCGCCCTCGGACCCCGGTCAGGGCGCCTCGTGGGAGATACCTGGGACGAGCTTCTTTTTTTTAAACTTTCTGACAGCTTTTAGGTACTTTATTTTACTTTACCTTATTACACTTTATTTTTACTTCATGTCATTCATTGATCTATATTTATGATCGCGAACACACCAAGGTCCACACCATCGTAATCTTCGCTCCCAAGATGTCCAAAGGTACCCAGGATCTTGAAGAAACTGCCGCCGACGAGACTAAACCCGCCGGTCATCCTTCGCGTCCACGTAGATGCAGCTCTAAGAATCGACGGAATCAACCCTAACTGCATCCCACCTAGTGGCCTCGGGAACTTCTTACCCTCCCCAGCAACGCGGCTGAATCACCACTCAGCCGGGAAGATTTGAGAGGACGATCGTGGCTCGAGGGTCCAGAAGCTGCTCGGTACCGACCGTGTCCACCTTTCCCCAGAATGCCGATGTGCGAGACTAAGGTAAAAGGTCCCTGGCAATATAAGCAGGAGCGCGATCTCGCCCTGCTCAAACTCCCACGCGGCCTTCCCTCGCCGTCTCTCCCCCCCGTTCCCTGAGAATGCGATTTCCTGGGTCCTGGGTTGCGGTCTTCTTCTTGACGGTCATTCACTGGGCGGCGCTGGTCCGCGCGAACGCGCAGACCTTTCCACAATGCACGGTGCGCGCCGATCGATATCCCTGGTGGTATTTCATCCTGGTGATATGTGGTGGCTGACGGTTGGCGATAGGTGAAATGCATGAATGACTTGGTCCCTGGATCCTCCTGCGCGCTTGACGACCAGGGGTGTATCTGTACCGATAAACAATTGATCGAAGACTTGAGTGTCTGTGTGACGACGACATGCACGATACGGGAGACTCTCGGTGCGTTCCATTGGAGAAGAGGATGGTTTCCCTGCGCGATTGGCTGACGGGTCGTATCCATACGCATATAGTCAGCATCAACATCACGAATACCGACTGCGGCGTGCCGGTCCGAGACAATACGGCCCCGAGTATCGTCATCCCCGCGGTCGGCCTGAACGTCCTTCTGTTGGTGGCTTTGCGCACATACACGCGCTTTGCGGTCACCGCGTCGGAAACCGGCTTGGATGACTGGGCCGTCCTTCTGCTTGCGGTATGTGGAGGGGGGAGGAGGTTCTCGTCAACTTGCCTACGACTCCAATCAGTCAGCTAATGGTGTCGCAGGGTTGCATGATACCCCTCAACGCCATCTCGATCGTGCGTGAGTGAGATTGAACCCCTGCCCCGGTGGACAATATCCGAAAACCGATACTGATAAACGCGACAGTGGGAAAGGCAGGGCTAGGAAGAGATATGTGGACCCTTGAACTCGACCAAATCACCCGAGTCATCTATGTACGCCCTTTTCACCCTGCCAGTATACGGACGGACAGACTGACGGTTATCAGTATTCCTGGGTCCTGTCGATCTTCTACATCATCTGCATCTCGCTCACCAAGCTCTGCTTCCTCTTCTTCTACCTTCGCATCTTCCCCTCCAATCGCCTGCGCTTGCTCATCAAGATCCTGTTCGCCCTGACCGTCGCGTATGGTATCATCTTCCTCTTCGTCGTGACCTTCCAGTGCTGGCCGGTCAGCTCCGGCTGGCTGAACTGGGACCAAGAGGGTCATGGCAAATGTATGCAATCGAACACGATGATGATCTCAGCGAGCGCTATCAATATCGCTTTGGATTTGTTGATCATCGCCCTGCCGATTCCCAAGGTCGCTAGTCTGCAGGCGACGACTAGCACCAAGGTGCAGGTTATTGCTATGTTTTCGGTGGGATTTGTGTACGCTTCTCTCTGTCCCTCTCTGTCCATTCTTCAAGAACAATGATCTAACTTTGGCCGTTAGAATCACCGGAGTCAGCATCTACCGCATGGTAAGGCTCAAACTCTTCGCCCTCAGTATCAACCCAACCTGTATGTCTCACTCTCTTTCCCTCTCACATACTATACGAACGATATACTCATAAAATACTCAGGGGACAACGCCGCCAGCTGCTACTGGTCCGTCGTAGAAGTCGACGTAGGCGTCTTGTGCCTATGCATGCCCGCCACGCGATCCCTGCTCGGCCGCATGTTCCCCAACGTCTTCGGCTCAACAAGCGACCCCGAAACCACCGGACAGTCCATCAGCAGGAGAAGTCGACCAGTGGTGGTGACACCGGGTAATACCAGTTTCACCCAGCTGATCGAGATGGATCATGTACCCGGTAGTGTGAAAAGTCACGATGATTATTGACCCTACTCTTCCTTTGTAGTCTATTAGACCGGTAGTGTGTAGATTGACCCAGTAGGGTATTTGTAGTAAATATCTGCTATCTTCATTTGAGCTCTAGCTTATTTGTAATTCAATCGTAGATGAAGAAGACAGGGTTGGTTGATCTATACCAGAGAAATATACCGCCCAAGATAAACCGATAGAACTAGCGATACGCACGGACCACGTGAGACCGAAACTTTTTTTCCCGAATTCCGCAACAAGATTCAGACTTCACTTACTCTCCTCCATCAACCACTCTGCAACGTGGTCTATTTCGCCAGTGGCTTGTTCATGCTGCTGCTATTGATCCTCAATTATTGAACTTTTCATTCAGTGGTTCATTAATCACCACCATGCCAGACAAGAAGAAATCCAAGAAGACCGGCGGGTCTAAAGACCATGCCGGCACGGTCATCAGTACGTCCTCTCCTGTTCTCGTTTTTTTTGGAAATCCTAGCACTATCAAGTGGTATAGCATAGTACAGTCACTAACATGTATTCCAGCCGACCCCAGATTCGCCAACATCCAGTCCGACCCCCGCTACCGCCTCCCCAGTAAACGCCACACCCATGTCAAACTCGACAAGCGGTTCGCCCACATGCTCAGCGACCAGGACTTCTCCCGGAACGCCGCCGTCGATCGCTACGGTCGCAAGCTGGCCCGCGATGACACCAAGAAGCAGCTCGAGCGGTTTTACCGGTTAGAAGAAGATAATGAGGACGACGAAGACGAAGACGAGGACGAAGACAAAGACACAAAGGCCGGCGCCGCCGTCGCTGACGACGACGAGGTTCTCCGCGAGCTGAAGAAGGCCGATGCGCAGTCTTCGTATGATCCTGCGCGCGACGGCGGGTTCGAGTCCTCTTCGTCGGAGGAGAGCGATAGTGAGGATGAAGACGAGGACGAGGAGGAGGAGAGGGTTGCCGGTGGGGAGGAGCTCGATTTCCCGGATAAGCAGCGCGATGGGGTCCCGACGGGGGATGTCACGAACCGAGTGGCGGTTGTGAATCTCGACTGGGATAATATCCGCGCGGAGGATCTGATGGCTGTGTTTTCGAGTTTCTCCCCGACTGGGGGCCGCGTGTTGCGCGTTTCGGTCTATCCGAGTGAGTTTGGAAAGGAGCGCATGGAGCGCGAGGAGACGGAGGGGCCGCCGAAGGAGATCTTCGCGTCTAAGGATGAGGAGGAGGAAGATGAGGAGGAAGAGGACTCGGATGAGGAGGAAGAGAAGATTCGGCAGTCCATGCTGAAGGAGGATCAGGGCGAGGATTTCAACTCGACTCAGCTGCGCAAGTACCAGCTGGAGCGGCTACGCTACTACTACGCGATCCTGACATTCTCGTCCAAGGACGTGGCGAAGCACGTCTACGACCTGGTGGACGGCGCCGAGTACCTGTCGAGTGCGAACTTCTTCGACCTGCGGTTCGTGCCGGACGAGACCGATTTCGACGATGATAAGCCGCGCGACGAATGCGAGCGCATCCCCGACGGCTACCAGCCCAACGACTTCGTGACGGACGCCCTGCAGCACAGTAAGGTCAAGCTGACGTGGGACATGGAGGACAAGTCCCGCAAGGAGGCCCAGGCGCGGGCCTTCCGCGGCAGCCGAAAGGACATCGACGAGAACGACCTGAAGGCGTACCTGGCCAGCGACAGCTCCGACGACGAGGACGAGGACGACGACGAGGATGGCGGGGTGGAAGTGGTGGATGCGGCGGGCGAGGGCGACCCAACGCGGACGAAGCGCTCGAAGAAGGAGGAGGAACGGCAGCGTATGCGCGCCCTGCTCGGTCTGGGAGAGGCGCCCAAGCGGACCAAGTCAGACGGACCGGTCGGCGAGATGGAAGTAACCTTCACGTCAGGACTGGCGGGCGAGCCCACTCGGGAGAGCGTGTTCGAGAACGAGCCCGAGAAGGACGAGACGACGATCGAGAAGTATCTGCGCAAGGAGCGCGAGAGGAAGAAGCGCCGCAAGGAGAAGGTCAAGGGCCCTAAGGAGGGAGATGACGATGCGGACGAGGCGGAGGCGGACAACGCGGCGGCGGATGAGGCCTCGGCGGCGGAGGAGGCAGACGATCTCGGCTTCAACGACCCGTTCTTCGACAACCCGTCGGGCAAGGAGACCGCACACCAACGCAAGGAGGAGAAGCGCAAGAAGCGGGAGGAGCGGGCAGCCGTCGAGGCGGCCGAGGCGGCCAAACGCGCGGAGCTGGAGCTGCTGATGATGGACGACGACAGCAAGGCGGGGATCAAGCACTTCAACATGACGGAGATCGAGAAGGCGGAGAAGCAGGCGCGCAAGAAGGGCAAGGCCAAGAAGAAGCAGAAGAAGGCGGCGGCCGAGGCGAGTGCCTCTGCCGAACAGGACGACTTCCAGGTGGACGTGCAGGACCCCCGGTTCTCGCGTCTGTTCGAGAGCCACGAGTTCGCCATCGACCCGACCAACCCGCGGTTCAAGGGGACCTCGGGCATGCAGGCCCTGCTGGAGGAGGGACGCAAGCGACGACGGAACAGGACCGACGAGGAGGACACACGACCGGAGCCTTCAACCCGGACGAAGAAGCAGAAGAAGAGCTCGTCGGCTGGTGGTGGATCCGAGGATCTGCAGAAGCTGGTGAGTCGGGTGAAGCAGCGGACGAAGGGATAAAGGGGGGTTGTATATAGACGTGGATTGATACCAAAATACATTTCTTTTCTACTATTGTATCTCTTTATATCTCTATCTCTTGATGCATACAGATGGTAGAGATGGATTAGTCAGGGATCTCCATGCGGCTCCAGCTCACCGCCTGTTCCGGCGAGAGTCTTGGCATCTCTTGGCATCTCCAGCTCGTCCTCATCTCGCTCTCCATCGTAACCTCACTTCAGCTTCATCTCCATCCTCTCTCCTTCTCATCTCTCCCCTCCCATTATCTCTTCTCCCCCCTCCGTCTGGTTGGGTTCTGACTCCCGGGATTGTCTCGCGTCCCTTGATTCGGATTGATTTGTTCCCCCCCCCCCCCCCCCCCTCCACGCCGACCCTGGCTCGATCATGTTGCTCCCTGGCTACCATTGAACCATGGGGAAGCTCAGTGTATTCTAATTGTTGCAGTCTCGTCGGTGGTTCGGTTCTTTTATCCTCTCAGTTCGGTTTTCGTGTTTTTTCTTCTTTCGTTCTTAAAGGAAAAATCAACAAATCAAACGACTCCACGGCCGTTGTCCTGCATCATCGTTGGACCAATCTCCACTTCGCTGCCTCCACGCGCCCCTCCCCCACTCTCCCCTCCCCTCCGTGGGCTTCTCTCTCGTCAATCTCTCCCTCTAGGACTGCTTCCTGCTCCGTGCTTTCTGAATCTTCATCTCTATCATCCTCCCAGTCGATCCTGACGCCATGCTGGGTCGGTTGTTGAATACGGCAGCGTCGACCTTAAACCCGGCCACTTACTCCGCCAAACCGGGCCACCACCTCGAGTCCGTCACCGAAGAAGAACATACTTCCGGCCTGCTATTCCCCGATGCTAGCCTCCTCCGACGTTCCAATACCCATGCCTATCCGCTACACTCTACCTTCAACTCCCCGAATGCATCCACCGCCGGAGCCTACGATGACCGGGGTGGCGTCGATCTGGACTACATGCGGGATTTCCGCGTCATCATCGCCCAGAATGCCCTGGGTGATCGAGACGCCTGCGTGCTCCTCGACACTCAGGCCCCCCACGCGTCCGAGGTCGCCCCCCAAGGGTTGGGCCTGGAGCCGCAGCTCTTCGAGGGCGCCGGTCCCCGCCATGCCCGCACCGTCTCGACCCTGTCGGCCCGTGCACCCCGCCGCGGTCTGTTGTCCCAGTCGACTACCGCCGACCCGAGCCCCCTGTCGGTCGCTGCAGAGACCCGCCGGTCCCCACCCATCATGTCTGGCGCCTTCATGAGGGCCCGGCGGCGGAGTTCGACCCTCGCCGCCGCCGGCGGTCACCACGATACGGGGCATCCGCGCCTCCCCGCCGATTCCACCGACTCCGGCCTGCTCAACTGCATCTTCGGCAGCAGTGCCTTCAGCTATCGGGGATCCTCCACCAAGATGCACATCATCTCTGCCGACGGGGAACCCACGCGGGCGCCCGGCAGCCCCGCCGCGTGGCCGGCGGCCGGCGGAGAAGGGCCCAAACCGCCCGCCAAGGTCACCGTGCTGCTGACCCGCATGTTCAGCGTGAATCTGCCCGAGGTCCGGGACCCGACCGCCTCCCCCGACCGTCACCCGCACGACGGAGGGGCCCACTCCTTCTACCCTGACTCCCTGCCCGAGGCCGGCTTCCCCTTCCCCGACGTGACCAAGCGAAAGAAGATCAAGGAGAAGAAGACCCCGATGTACGCCGTCGCCATCACCGTCCAGATCCCTCTCCTGTCGGTGCGTGGCGGCGGCGCTCGCCCGACCTCGCGGGTGAGTGGCCTGGGGCCCGACGTCTCCCCCCGACCGGGCGTGGCCGGCTCCCTCGACTCGGAGGACCGCGGCGGCGGCGGCTTCCTCCTCGACGACAGCCTGTCCGGGGCCACCCCACCCGCCAGCCTGGACGAGCGCATCGATCTGCTGGTGGACCACTGGGACGTCATCAACCGTACCCTCTCCCACCTCGAGCGGCTCGCCCGCGCCGAGATTCGCGTCGTGCTGCAGCAGGCCGACGCCGCCGCCGCCCTGCATCCTAAGCCCGCCAAGGCCCCCAACATGCAGCGCACCAACCAGACCGTCGTCCACCTGCCCGTCAACAGCCTCGCCGTCAACGCCCGCCTGCGAGACGAGGCCGTCCGGAGCATGCGCCGCATCGCCTCGTCCCTGCAGACGCCGCCGGTCGTCACGGGCCAGAGCCGCTGGGGCGTCTGGCGCGAGGAGGGCCGCTCCATCGCCCGGACCCTGGGCGACAAGGAGCACAGTTTCTTCTTCATGGTGCTCGTCACCGCCTTCCTTGGCAACCACACCGAGTGGCTGAACTCCCTGGGCCCCGAGTGGTACCGCCGGCGGCACTACCTGCAGCAGCGCGCTCAGCCGCCCGAGACCGACCCGCCCCTGGCCTACCGGACCGTCATCGTCTCGGGCGACAAGATGACCGCCCGCCGTCTAATCTTCCTGCTTGCCGCCTTCCTCCCCCAGAAGCAGCGCTTCGAGTCCTTCCTCCCGTCCCCGCTGCGGCCCGGCACCGCCGTCTCGGCGCGGGCCCCCTCACAGAGCCCGCCCCACGTGCCCCTCCTGCGCCAGGAGTCGCTCCGCCGCGCCATCGAACGACGGTCGCGTGCCCAGCGCCTGACCCAGGAGCCGCCCCGTCGGCGATCCGCCAGCGCCTCATCCGGCGAGACCGACGCGGCGCCCGCGGAATTGGACGACCGACCCCGACGCGCCTCGGACGCCCGGTCCATGCGGACCCGCGGTGTCGCCATGCCCGCCCGCGACGGGCGGCGGACGAACGCCGGCCCCGCCACGACGTCCACGGCCACCCCGGCCAGCACGGTTCCCGTGCCGCACTTCGCTTCGCAGGGCCGCGGGGAGCGCGGTGGGATGGACCCGGCGGTGACGGCGGAAGAGGAGGAAGACGCGGCGGCAGGTCACGACAGCCTGGCGTCGGAGAACCTGCTCAAGACCCTCCAGCGGAGCGACAGTTCAGTCCTCGGCACCAACAGCAGCGTCCCGTCGGCCGCGGGGCGCTGGGGCACGTTGTTTTCCGGCCTGTGGGGGGCGCGCCCGGCGTCGTCGACGGACCGGCGGGACGAAGATCCGGCCGCCATCCCGCCGCGCCGGCGGGCGGCCTCGGTGCAAGTTGGCAGCGCGGGCCCGAAGCGCGGACCGCCCCCCACGCTCCGTCAGATGGTGCGCGAGGCCCAAGTGGCGGCGGCGGCGGCGGCGGCGCCCCCGGCTCCGGGTCCGGCCCCGGCCCGGCCCCCAGCGGGCACATCTCCATCCCACACGCGGCCCACGCGCCGCACCCTCGCGCCGACGATGGGGAGCTGCCGCCCGAGCTGCTGTCGACCACGGAGCCCAAGGCCTCGTCGCTGAAGATGTCCGTCCACGGGAGCGATGGGGTCGTCGACGTCGACCTGCCACTGCCGGGGTTCGTCTCGCTGTCGTCGTCGGGCGAGTCGACCACGGCGTCCCCACAGAAGCCGCGGACATCGGTCACCAGCGTGGATGCCGGGGCATCAACCCACAGCAGTGTCTCCGGGTTTCAGTGTCCAGGCCGGGAGCCCGACGGGATGAATACCAACGTCGCCGGGTGGCTCCGCCGGTTCCATGAAGACTTTTTGCTCCAGGCTGTGCGGCCCTACCCGGGGCTGGACGCGGACATTCGACGGGCCATGCAGGCCGAGCCCACGCCCAACCCGGTACCGGCGGAGGCGGAGGGGCCGGACCGGTGGGTCGACGTGGCGACGACGCTGGTGGCCGACGTGCGCCAGTCGACCGTGAAGCGGTTGCGCCTGCGACGGCGCGGGCCGGGGATCTCAGGCGCCTCCGCGCCGGGCACGCCGCGCCACGTGGGCAGCGGGTCGGGGTTGGCGACGCCTTTTGCGAGCCTCTTTGGGGCGCCACCCACGACGACGACAACCACCACTACTACCACCACCACCATCACCCCGGCCCCAGGGCCAATTCTCGCCGATCCAGCCGCGATAGAGGAGCAGTTCGTCGAGGAGCCGGTCATGGATCTGGACGGGACGCTCGTGGACGCCTTGGAAAGGGTGCTGGCGCAGAGCGTGCCGCCGTCAATGGCACCCACGCGGGCACCGTCACCGTCGCGAGCGCGCCGGGGCGGCGCCGACGACAAGCCCGAGGTGCTCAACCGCGACGAGCTGCCGTCGCTGGAAGTTCCGCGGACTGAGTGCCGCCGGCTCGTTCTGGGCGCGCTAGAAGAGGTAGTGCGCAGCGTGACGGCGGAGCACTGCCGGGAGGACGTGGAGGGCGAGCTGGGGGTAGGGGATCGCGAGCGCAGGCGATCGATGGCGGGGGTAGATAATACGCTACGGGAGGGGATACGACGATGGCTTCTGGATGTGGAGGAAGCGTGGTGAGATTGATTTTTTATTTGCTGTGATTTGATTGCATTTGCATTTGCATTTGTATTGCATTAGCAGTTAGACATGATACCCTTTTCTTTTTTCTTTCTTGAGTCTATGCTGCTTTGTTTCTCATTTTCTGCCTGTTTGCATGTCTGCTTGTCTTGCTTTTCTTTTCTTAGTCTTGCTTTATCTAATTGTTCTTGCTTTATATTCTATTCACCGTATACGACGTGAGTGAAGCTAATAGTATATCAGAATGACCATATTGAAGTAACAAGAAGAACTACTGTAGTAGACAATCGAGTAGAAGAAGTACCCAACACCTATCTATACCACTATGTATACGAAGTATATCAAAAAGATCAAACAAAACTAGTAGAAACAACCACCCCCCCATCATCAGAAACAACCGTATCCCCCCGTCCATCTCCCTAACAGTCAAAGTCTTCAACAACCGATGCGTACACCCCGGATCCACAACCTCAACCATCACCTCCTCCCCCTCCTTCAACGGCCCGTTAACAACAAGCTCCAGCCCATCCAGCGCGTCCCCGTCTGGCCTCTCCAGCCGCCGATTGATAGGCGTCACTGTCCCTGGTCGCACCAGCAGTGGCAAAGTGTCGAAGTCGTGCGTCTCAGTATACCATTTGCCGCCTTCGTAGGTCTTGCTGCTGTCGAAGAAAGAGACCCACTTCGCTTTCTTTCTCTTCCCTTCTCCTTCTTCCTTGTCAGGGCAGCTGGGCTGACCAGCCTCCTCATCAGGAACATAAAAGCTCACAACCCCCTCATCACAAAACACAGGCGCAACCAACAGATTCGGGCCCAACATAAACTGCGTATCAACAGCATAAGTGTTCAAGTCGTCCGGGAACTCCACAAACAGCGGCGCCATAAGCCTCCGACTCCCATCCTTCGCAGCCCAATACGCCGCACTCAGCAAATAAGGCGTCAGCATGATCTTCCTCTTCGTGCATTCTTTCAGCACAACCGAGCAATCCTCGCCATACAGCCACGGCACGCGGAACGAGCCGGACCCGTGAAGCCGGGAATGGCTAGACAGCAGCCCGAATTGGACCCACCGCTTGTACAGCGCGGGGGACGGCGTGCCTTCGAACCCGCCGATGTCAGACGCCCAGAAGACGTATCCGGAGAGCAGCAGGCTGAGACCCCCGCGCAGCGACTCCGCCATCGCGACGTAGGTGCTCTCGCAGTCGCCGCCCCAGTGGACCGGGTAGCGCTGGCCGCCTGGGGCCGTGCTGCGCGCGAAGAGGATTGAGTTGGAAGCGCCCAGGCGGGAGGTGAGGACGTCGTACACGACTTCGTTGTACAGCAGGGCGTAGTAGTTGTGCATGCGGGCGGGGTCGGAGTTGTCGTGGTAGACGACGTTTTTGACCGGGATGCGCTCTGCGAAGTCCGTTTTGAAGCTGTCGACGCCCGTGTCGATTAGCCGGTGCAGGTGCGTGCTGTACCAGGTGCGGGCGCGCGGGTTCGTGAAGTCGATGACGGCCATGCCGGCTTGCCAGTAGTCCCATTGCCACATGGAGGAGTCGGTGCGCTGATTCTTAGTTTTTTTTTCTTTTCCTTTATAAAGAAGTATATAGAAGGGAAGAGAGGAGAAATACCTTGATAAAGTAACCCTCGCGTTTCCCCTCCTCGAACAAAGGCGACGCTTGCCCAACATAAGGATTCAGCCACACGCTGATTTTGAGACCCCTCTCCTTCAGCCGGCGCAGGTAAGCCCCCGCGTCGGGGAACATCTCCGCGTCGAACTGGAAGTCACACCATTGGTAGGACTTCATCCAGAAGCAGTCGAAGTGGAAGACGCCGAGCGGGATGTCGCGGTCTCGGAAGCCGTCTAGGAAGGAGGTGACGGTTTGTTCGTCGTAGTTTGTTGTGAAGCCTTACTGTCATTAGTATCTGCCATATCTTGATATAGTAGATAGGGGTGGTGGCTTTATAGAGTAAATGGGGTAGGGGGCCATACTAGTCGTCAACCAAAGATTATAACTCCAAGCCGGCACAAGGGCAGGCTCCCCTGTCAAAGTGGCATACCTGCGCAGGATCTCCTTCGGCGAAGGCCCATACACAACAAAATACTGCAGCTCCTCGCCCTCGATAGAGATATTCACGCGTGACGACCTCTCAGTCTGCATCTCGAGGCTGACCTTCCCCGGATGATTCACAAACACACCATATCCACGCGAACTAATATAGAACGGGATATTCTTATAAGCAAGGTCAGACGAGGTCCCGCCATCTTCATTCCAGATATCGACCGTCTGGCCGTTCTTGACGAACGGGCCGAACCGCTCGCCGAGTCCGTACAGCTTCTCGCTGATGTTGAGGTCGAGGCCTAGCAGCATGTGGCCCTGGCGCTCGAGGAAGATCCCGTCGCGGTAGTCTGTTTTGGGGGTCGTTTGGTCCCCGACGTAGCCGATGGAGCGGAATGAGTGGCCTGTCAGTGTCTTTGTCGGGGATGAGAAGGTGAGGTCGAGCTCGTTGGGCGCTGTGTTCATCGTGAGGGAGAGATCCCCGCTTGTGTATGAGAGGCGGTTGTCGGCGTGGGTGATGCGCGTGTGGCCGTTGGAGCTGGCGATACTGTAGTGCGGTCCGCGGTCGACTTGGCCGGCCCTGTCGACAGCTTAGCAATGATGTCACTGGGGGGAAGAAAGGACCATACCAATGCACGAAGTTGACCCCAATGATGCCCTCCTGGGGAGACGTCACCCGCGCGGTAATCGTCGCTAGTCACATCAATCAATCGCTCGTATCGACCAGACCAGGAAACATACCCGAGTTCAAGGTATCACCACGATGCCGCTGGAACTTGTTCATCAGTATATCCACAGCCTCCTTGTCCTTGTCGATATGCAATCGCTCGACATTGCTCATCCAGTCGATGCGGACGCCTTCCTGTATGGTTGATTCACATTAGCTTCTAGTTAACAATCTCCATACAGGATATTCTCACCCGCAATCTCCACATTCCTTCCGTGAACTTCATCTTGCTGGTTTATCTGAATGCACACTACCGTTCCTGGTTCAATTGACTCAAGTGTGTATAGAGAGCGTGTGTACGAAAGAGAAAAACCAACCTCACTCGAACCCCTCCAAATAACCCTCCTCGGAACCCCATCCTTGACAGATTAGGCCGTGCATACTTACACCAGACAACAAGCACGATAGCGGTAGAATCCAAGTGTAGATCCCATCTCGCCATTGACGGAGATTCACCATGCATCGATCCACCAATCGCATAGCCAATCCTCCTGCCAAGATACAGGGTTGGCAATTCAGCCTGAATAGCCGCGTTTGGGCTAAGTGAGTTGACAGGGGGCGTGGCCAATCGTTGCGAGTATGTTATCGTCAATGTGTGGGGTGCTGAGGGGAAGTATTGAGGGGAAGTACTCCGTAGAAATGCTGGAGAGGGGATATGAAAATATGGGTGATAAGGAAGTGATGATGATCCTTTCGAATTCGTATATACAGAGGCCAGGGCTGATCTGGATGAGAATTGATTATATAAAGTAGCTATAGAGGGAATATTGTATAGAGGAAATATCGTAGCGGAACCTCTACTAGCCCAACCGCAACGGCCGCAGTCCCCCGCTCCGCGGGCTCGCCGGTAGAGTCAGCGGGCTAGCCTGCGGGCCGATCCGCGGACTCCCCGGCCCAATGCTTTCAGCTCGGCCGCGCACCCGGGCATCCAGCGATGACAGCGCAGGGGAGGAATTATGCAGTCCTCGCGAAGCAAGACCAGACGGGGGCGAGATCTGATGGCTGACTACGCTGGCGGGGAGTTCTAGAGACGGGATGGAAGCGTCCATGACGGATCCCAGCGTCGGCTCGACCTTGGTCGATGTGGGCCGTACGTGGGACTCGCGGTAGAACTGCTCGAGGCGGGTGGCGTCGTTGCAGAATTCGACGAGCGCTGTTAGGACCTGCTCGGGGGCTCGGTAGACGTTGGAGGAATCGGGGTGGTGGATATGCTCCGAGGGGCTGAGGGGGCTGTGGATCTCGTGGATGGGTCGCACGACGGGGGAGAGTCGAGGAGAGATGCGTTCGATGGGGTCGTAGGTGCTTGCGCGCGCTCGGTACGGCTCCGGGCGGTGGTCCATCCGCTCGTGGCGCGCCATGTCCCGGCTGGCGGCGCTGCGCGTGCTTACCAGTCGGTTGGCTAGCACTAGGAAGTCTCCGTCTTCGTTGATCTGGATCAGGAGGCTCCCTGACCGGTGGATGTACTGCGAGTATCGATAATCTGGGATCCCCCACGAGTATGATACCTCGACGTCGGGGGGAAAGGCCGAGCGCGCCTCGAAGTCGAGGACAAAGTCGAACTTCCGTAGGATGGCCTTTTGGAAGTAGTGCTGGTCGGACGCGCCCTGCTGCTGCGAGAACGCCGTCGGGTTGAAGCATGTCGGCGGCACTGGCCCCGAGGGCGGCTTCAACTTGAGGGGCACCCGGTAAGGCTTGCGGAAGGGCTGCGTCTGGTCGATCGAGCTCCCCTCAGCGACGGGCACCTGCACCAGCTTGAGCCCGAACCGCTCGGCCGTAGACGCCCACCCCAGCACCGCGTCCTCGATTAGCTTTGGCGTGGTGTTCATCCAGCTCAGCTCGATGTGGAAACAGTTATCTGGGTTGTGCAGCCGGTCGTAGTGCAGGTCAATGACCTCGGGCCGGTTGGACCGTTTGCGCGGATCCACGTCGTACTTCATCGTTTTTGATAGCAGAATAGTCGCCTTATTCTTGGTCCGCGAGGGCGTGGCCGGCGTCTGGGAGCCGTGATCCACGCTGTCAGTCCGGGGGCGACTCGCCGGTGACTCCTTCGCGCTGTCGCCGGCCGGTGTGCTCGGGGCGGGTTTGTCGGGCCGGATGTGGGGGAACCAGCCGCCCCGGGACTCCGGCCGCGCGATCCGATACTCGCTGGAGATCTGGTAGAAGTAGTTACCGTCTCGGAAGTTGTGCCGTTTCTCCACGTGCTGGAAGAGGCCGTGCTTCATCAGCTCGTTGCCGAACTCGACCGCGTCCTCGCGCGTGTCGATGTCGCGGAAGTTCTGCTGCAGCCACGTCGTGAGCTCGAACCCAATGAAGCAGTTGTAGTGCAGCCGCCAGTGCCACCGACGATCCATCATCCGCACCCCCTTGTCGCCTTGGATGATCTGCGCCAACGACGACACGGTGACGCTGGGTCGCTCCAGCAGCTCGGATTCCGGCAGCAGCTGGGCCGGCGAGTTGTCCAGACCCGGGTCCGTCAGTATGATCCGGTCGAGCTCCGCCGCCACCACATCGGACGGGTTGCGCGTTTGATACATGATGTTCAGGGGGTTCTGCTCCCGCTTTTTGAGGCCGGTTTCAAACCGCTTCTCCTCCGGACCCACGTATTTGTGTCGTTGCCAAATCTGCGTCAGCTGGCTGATCCCCAGGAGATGAATCTCCTCCTCGGTATCCTCGTTGAACGACTGCAGCTGGCGTCGCGAGTGGGCGGGTAACTGGATGGGGATCAGCACGTAGCGCATCCGCCAGAAGTGAAGCTGCTGGGCCGGGTGGAAAAGGTAGTCCCGGTGGCCCGCAACGTAGTTGTCCGCGTAATTCCAATTATACTCCTCGAAGCATAGATCCATCCGGATGTTCCTTAGCTTGTATTCCGGGCTTAGAATCGTCCGCATGGCCGCCGTGTACGTCGTGTAGCCACTCGCCTTCTCCCGTGCGGTCACGGCCGACGTCTGATGCGTAAACCGCGTGACTTCAATCTCCGTGCTGCTGATGCAGACCAGGCGATGGATTGATTTTCCTTTGGATAGATACACCGTGGCGCCGTCCTTCTCCAAGCTGCGCGGATCGAACACATTCGACGACGCAAGCGACGGCTGCCCCGCGACCTCCGCCACCGTCTTGCCGACCACGATCTGGAACCCGTGGGCCAGGCGGAGGGAGAGCAATTCTCGGAGGAGGATCCCTCGGGATCGAGGCGCCTCAATGCCTTCGGCGTCATCATTCGGGAAGACACGGTAAGGAGTCTGCAGGTATTCCGAGGCCAGCTCGCTCGCCGTGGGGAACTCCTCCGTGGTGAGCGGTAGGATCGCAGGTGACTTCAGACTCTTCCACTTGACCACGGCGACGTGGGGCGGCCTGGGGTAGGCATGCTGCCAACGTCCAAACCAACTCGTGTCGCGCAGCAGCTCTCGCGGGGTGTTGCACGGGTTAATGGGACGCACCCACGGAGCCAGAGCTTTACTCTGCGGGCTCCTGGGCTGTCCATCCCGTGAGCCGGCATTTGCCGTAATTTCGACTTTCGGGGCCCTCCTCGATTTGCCGCCGTGGGGCGCGTCCTCGCCGATGGGGATTTCGGTGTTGGTGGTGGAGTATGATTCTGCGATGGCCGGACGCCCCGCCTGCTCCGCGTCGTCGGCGGGCTGCTTCGACGGTAATTTAATGGATATCGGCCGCGACGGTGTGATTGCCGAGTTCTCTCGAGACCGCTGGGGCGTGACCGGCGTGGTGGACCAGTCGATGACGGTGGACGCCGACGCCGAATCCGAGAAGCTTTGCGAGTCTGCGCTGGCCGCGTCCGTCGTTGAGGCGCCGGAGGAGTTCTTGTTGGATGATGGAAGACCGCGGACATGCTCCACATTGACCTCGGTGCTGGCCTGCGCTCGGGGCGGAGTCGCACTGAGCCCGCGCAGAGCAAAGCTGATTGTCCGTGATATCCGCGGGGGCCTCTTGGCCGTCGGGGGTTTTAACGCGGGCTTTTTGGGGGCAGTACTTTGCGACGGAGCAGGACCCTTGGGACCCTCAATGTTCCGAGGAGCCGGGTCACCGGTGGTACGATTGCGCTCGTTCGACAGGGTCTCTTGCTCTCGGAGGCGGAGGACGGATCTCGCCGACAGTCGCTCATGCGCACCCGATCCATGCACTTCTGGCTCGCTGGGCCGCTTCTGTCTTACGGGCTGGCGGCGTTGCCGGCGCTTGGGGAAGGGGGAGAACACCGCCTCATCGTAGCTGTCCATCCACGACAGGACCGAGCTCGGCTTCTTTGACCGAGCGGACATGGCGTCCTTAGGGTTCGACATATTCTGGAGGAACGGCTCGGGCCGGAGACTATCGCTCAATGGGTGCCGAAAAGGCGAACTGCGGCGAAAAGAAGCCCGGGGCGGGGCGAGACTGGACGAGCCCAGGCCGAATCGTGACGCTGCCCCCCGCGAGACACTCGAGCCTTCGTAAAGATATGGGATGGAGATATTCGACTGTTCGCTCTCCATGACCCCCATCATCTGGATCTCGTACATGCGCACCCGCGGCACAAAGACCTTGGACTGTTTGGTGACGGTGTATGGAATGGGGGCATTCGGGTCCTTCTTGAGGATGCGCCGCGATTCCCGATACGTCTCAGGGTTCCAATACGAGATATCTAGCCAGTGAGGAATCCCGTAATGCCACTCCTGGGACCGCGAGGCCCACTGCTCCCGAGGCGACGTGCCCGAGTAAGACGAACCGTGGAAGGTCGACCGGGGCGATAGGTGGGGAGTGCGATTGGCCAGCCCCGCAAACGAGTAACGCGTCTCCTCGGGGGAATTGCCGCCTACCCGGAGATCGCCCGCCGACGAGGTGGAGGGTCTCCGGACCGGTTCATGGTACTTAAACAAGGGCACCGAGTGAAGCGGCATGGGGCTAAGGCAGACGAGGTCGATGGCGATGCCGCGGTTCATGAGCGCTTCGGTCGTGGCCGCTAGGGACTCGTACGAGGCCTCAAAGACCCCGCTGCCGGGGGTGATCACAATGATCGAGGTCCCCGTGTGGATCATATCCCGATCGATGTGGTCGTACGCCAAGTGAGCCGACGCTAGGTGGATGGCCTCGAGGATGTTGCCACGAATGGCGGTGCTCGGCCGCCCGGCAATTGTCGCCTTGGGTTCCCAGCCCCCGTTCTTCCCATCAGCCGTGGGCGTATCGACCTCACTCGTCTTGAGGATGCTGACGTCCCGGAGAAAGGTCCGGAAGTCCTTCTTCAGCTCGTCCAGGATGGTCGTCCAATGACCGCTGGCCATGTCATTGACCACCACGCGGTAGAAGTCCCGCGTCGGGGCATGATTCGGCGCCAGCATGCTCTCCAGATTCTCGGCGCTGAGCGTCGCCGAACCCAGGGCCAACACGTCATATTCAACCCGCGTGAACAGCACGATGGTGACCAAGTGTCGCGCATCTGCGTTCGCCCACCGCTTGAACAGCTCCGGCAGAAACCCGTTGATCACGCGACTGAAGAGGATATCGCCCGTGCCCTCCGAATCAAAGTCCCACATTTCCCGCGACATCTGGATGAACAGCACGTACTTGGCAGATTCGCTGCGGAAGACGGGGATCGTCTCCGGGGCGAAGAAGCCCGAGAGAACCTTCTTGCCGCGGACGAAGATATTCTTGACCGTCGCCTTGATAGTACCCATGAAGACGATCTTCTGTCCCTTGTAGATGATTTTGTCGGCCAGCTCCGACATGACAAGCCGCCACATATCCGAGCGCACCATGTACTGGTCGCGGAAGGCGATATCCACATGCGACGCGGCGCACTGCGCGCGATCGACGATCGAAATGTTCACAGTGTCGCGGTTCTTGAACCCAAAGGTATTGGCAATGCTCGTCGTGACGGACAACTCGAGTCGCGGGTTCCGGGACTTGATGTCCTGCGGGAGGGGCTTGACGACACAGAGGCACCGGCTCTGCAGTGGGGTCTTGAACTTGGAGATCGCGTCCGCGTGGAGCGTCGAGCTGGAGTCGAAGTGGCTCTCCCGCAGCGACCGGGACCCCGGGTCTGCTTTCCCAGCGTGATGCGCCGCATCCCCGGCAGGCCGTGCGGGGAGGATCTCGATCACATCGCCAACCTGGACGCCCGTGTCGCTGAACGCGGTCTGGTTGAAGAGGATCTCCTCGCGCGAGAAGGTCTCATCGTGAACCCAGAGGGAGCATTGGCGGCGGTTCAGACCAGTAGAGGACAAACGTGGGTTCTTCTCGTCGGGGGTGAGTGGGCAGTCGCTGCCAGCATCGTGGGGAGGAAGAGTATCGGCGGAGCGGGAGGTGGAGAGCGTGTCGAGGCTGGCGGCACTGACCTGCCTGAGGTGCGAGCGCTTAATCGGGCCACGCACAGACATTCTCTATCGGTGAGGGTGCATCTTGGGGGGGATCGATTTGCCAAAAGTCGCAATGGAGTGTGGAAAGGACCTGATGATGAAGTCATTTGAAGATGTTCCTGTCCGTTGATGCACGGGATGGAGTGGCTCCCAATGAGGCAGGCGGTGAGAGACTGTATTGCGGAGGTGGGTCTGGTGCCTGAGGCACTTTCTGGCATTCACAATCAGTGAGAATCTGCGATTGATCCTGGTAGTCTACGAACGATAATAGCTGTTGTTCTCAGGAAGGATGCTCTAGCTGAACTTTAATCCGACTCAGTCTGTCCCAAAGATCTTGCCCGGGTCCAGACATCATGATCGTGCATAATATAAGATTTGTCATGGCGCTGGTGGCTTTGAATCGATTGGATCACCACAATGACTATTGAACAATCCAGGTGACAGGACAGTCGGGTTGATTGGCTATGCTGTCCATCCAGAAGAGACCATTCTAGAGGAAGACTTGAGGTTGAGAACTTGAGACCCACACTACCTAACCGGTACCGGACTCTCGGCAGTCGTTCATCTACAATAGACCCCGAGAAGGAGCCAATCGCACCCCAAGTTCCCAGGCAATTGCATCTTTGGATGGATGACACACGCGTGGCACAGGAGAACGAAGGGACCGATCATGCACGATCGGGATTTGGTCCGTTCCACGGACGGACGGGTCGGGGTTTGAAAGAGGAACCCCGGGTGGTGGGTATCGATTCAGTCAGGGATTTCATGGTGTGCCCAATACTCTTATCACCTACGCCGGAGTATCTGCTGTGTCCCCCTTCGTGGCGTACAGATAGCATCCTCAAATTGCTTGGGACATCTCTATCCAGCATGGTCCAGCATGGATTATCCTGTCATGGTGGTTGGGGACCGCATATTTGTGGACTAACTAGTTGGCTGGCAGGCGCATAAGCGAGGCCGTGACAGGTCTCTTTGGAGCAGCTATCACCGGTCGACTAGGCCGTCTAGTGTCTGATGGGACTGAAATTCGTGACCCTCCTTCCTCCCGAGTAGAGATAGAGCTCCGTCCGCAAGTTCGGCGCTGTTCTCTTGATTAGGAAAGACCTCAACCCACTGGAAAGTTTTGCTCACGGTCGATCTCATGTTTCTTTTTCTCTCTGATTTGTTTCATCTTTACCGCTTTGTAGGTTTTCTTGGTTTCTCTTCTTTTTTCCGTTTCGGCATTTCAAGACTGGGAGGGGGAATTCCGGGCCCTCAATGTCAAAGTGGATATGGTGTGGAGTGGTCAATAAAATTGTGCAGTGGTGCACCTAGATCCTGGAAGTCTACGCGTTGCATGCGAAATTCGCATCATTCTCTTATGTCTTTTCTTTCTTGTTCACTTCCCTTTATATTTTTGTTTTTTACCCCTCCACTTCTGTGGTTTCCATTCTGGTGGTTCGGTGTTTGTTTCAAACCACTCCAAAACTCCAACAATCGTGAACGGCAAGGTTACAACTATATCACTCAATACCAACCTACCGTGTGCCAGAGTCCCCGGAGGACGTCCAAAGTCCAGACCATATTCCAGCTCAAGCCCCTGTAAAACCTAGGGAAGGGAGAACGCTCCCGCAGCAGCCAGACAGATGCACGGCAGTGGACTCAGGTTTCTCAGTCGATGGTAAAACAATCAGCTAGCGGGGGAGAACCCTTGAATAATAGTGGAATAGAACAATAAGGTATCGAGCTAGAACGAGCTCTCCACTGCCACGGGTCTGCTTACCAGCGAATAAGGGACCACGGCACAAGCAAAAGGGACCCACCGCGCAAATGTTGGGAATTGGGTGCTTCCATGGTGTGCGGGCCGTGATGTAATAAAGGACAGCGGTCATGTCCGTGGTCCTCCTGTCTGCCCGAGTAAGGACTGCATCATCCCTCGCAGGCTGAAATCGGTGGCACTGTAGAGGACACCCACGATGCCGCTCCCTGCCTAGTCAGTATGAGTGTGACTCATCTCAAGGGAAATGGAGTATGTCCGTCGTCATCGATCGACCCAAACCGACACTAGGCTGATCTCTAGTGGAATCTCTAGCCCGGTATCAGACACGGACCATCGATCCATGGGTATGCGAGCGGTCTGGTAGAGAAAGGGACCGAAAAAGCAAAAAGACATAGAAGGAAAAAATGAAGAAGCAGAAGAATGGGGGAAAATAGAGAATACAAGAATAGAAGGGTTCTGGAACAATAGAAGTAAACAAGATAGAAAATGAGAATGAGAATCAAAATCAGACAAGGGGAGAATGGTGGAGTGCAGGGACCCCACAGCCCACCCCCCCACATGGACACATGCAAGGGTGTGTGAAATCAGAGCATCCCTGTATTCCACTATTATTCGACGCACAGGGCTAACCTGCCTCATCGAGGTGGTTGGACGGACTATCATCTGGTTGGCTTATCCTTCGAAATATGTTGAAGGATTTTAATCGGTCTGACAAATGAACCTCAAGTTTCGTCATCCACGTCTACTTGGGTGGAAAGATGCACTGATTACCGAGGTGGGTATCATATCAAGATCAAACTGAGAAGGGGAAGAGGAGAGGAATAAAGAAAGATTCCGAAACAAACAATGACAATGACCACGTAGAAAGGAGCCAGGTCAGTAGCTGTGAGCATCCGAGACATAAGACAGGTGGATGAACCACGGGGGCGAGGGAGTTTATAAGAAGAAAACAGTCCGCATAATCTAGGGTCGTATACCAATACCCGATCTATAAAGTTTCTGCCGAACAACAGGTCGATGATAGAGAGAGAGAGATATACCGGGGAGGAGAAAATAGTCAAAGGGAATGGAAAGGGAAAGGAAAACAGGTAGGAAACAGAGAAGGTCTGCACGGTCCCGAAAGCGATGTCCTGCATTCCAGAAACTTTTCCCAATGGACAAACAGGGCGAATTGACAACCTGTCCTGCCTTGTCGGGAAGTTGTTCGACCGAAACAAGGACAGAAAGGAACAGGGAGGAATCCGACTGTGGGGAGCCGGAGGGAGGGCTGAGTGATCTCATGATCATGTAAGATCAAAAATTGGAGCTAGGCACAAAGGACCCAACCAACCAGGCGATAGCAAGCCTTGCCGAGATGATTTGCAATCTCTGCTAGAAGTCAGTTTCGCTCCTTATCTGCGAAAGATCTAGTGTCCGGGTCCCCTGCGTCCTGGGTGTAGAGACCCTTACACACGAGCCACGCTCGCTGGTAGTATGAATCCTTCGTCGACAGCTGAGACAGCCACCGGGTGACCTTACAGACCTGCTCGAGCACGGTCCGGTGTCGGATTGTCCCGGCCTTGGACCGGAGCAGCAGTTCGATCAGGAGTACCGTCAGCGGCTGAGTGAGGAAGTGAAGGATACACCACCAAGGCGAGACATGGTACACCCACGTGGGATCTGGCAACTCTGGGAAGAGCTCGATCATCTGGCCGGCGGCATTGACACATACGTCGGCCATGGTGTCGCAGAAGCTTCCCGACGTCTCCGTGCCTGGGCCGTGTCGCGTCAGGCGGCTCAGGCAGGGTTGTGAGATGAGGATTTTGGTGCTGTAGAAGTGGAATGCCAAGCTGGTCCGTTGCTGCTCCAGGCCAGGCGTCCCTTGCGTGAAGTGATACGCGGGTGAAAGTCGAGAGTGCCAAGCATCCACCTTGCCGTTCAGGACGGCGATCGCCGCCTCAATGTCACGCCATGATTTTCGGGCGGCTCCTGGAGCGTAGATCGTGTCAACAGTCTCACGCACGGTCAGCACCAGATCGACGAGGTACAGAAAATAGAGCGAAAAGTTCGGTGTGAGGGACTCCATGGCAATGGACACAAGTTGCTCACATTGTCTCCCTATGTGTGTCAGCGGGGGTCCCATTGTGTCCGGTGTTGTGGCACCTTCCATCGCCGACTTCCCCGACCCCCTGCAGAGAAGAGACTCCATGAACAAATTTCGGGCGTCATGGTCTTCAATGAGCAGGGCTACTCTCTCCTCCAGAAAGACCTCTTCCCTAAACGGCAGTGGAAGTGGCGTGGTGCGAAAATCATCGCTGCTGCTGGGGGGCCGACCGGTCATCACACAGAGGAGAGAGTCGAGCATGTATAGGGACCACCACACCCGATACCGCGTCTCTTTGGATACGGGTGCAATACTACTGCTCTCACTGCGCAAATTTAACCCCATCGTGACTGCCGACCGCATAGAGAGGCCGCATAATCTCCATGATCTAGTGACGGAAATTAGTAGCTGGGGGCGGGGATGTCGAGAAGAGCCAAGCACACGCACCGGTTGACCTGTCCCGTCAGCAGTAGATAGAAAGAAGTCAAACCTTCCACCTGAACTTGTTGAAGATTGGGGTGATCCAACAGGGATATCTCGTTATTGCTCAACTTCCACGCACGAGAAAAGTAAGAGAGGCTGCCATCGGGGGTGTCATCCGTTTCGTCTTGCAAGTAATGGGAGTACTTGGCGGCGATGGCGAAGATCAAGTGAAGTATTGCCAACCACCTTTTTCCGGGCCGCATGAAAGGGGCCGTATAAAATGAGTTGAGTTGTTTCAGGAAGATCACTTTGCCAATAATCGGAAAAGAGGGGTGCACAACTTCAAAGTAGATGTCCGCCAGGTAATCGGCCAGGGCCTGCGGAGGTCGATCCGTGATGTCCACGTCGTCTAACACGGGGATGTCAGTCTCATCAACAAAGTAATTCACCGAAGCAAGCGAATGGCGATCCAAAGCCTCCGGTGACACCGGGATCGTCCGCTCCAGCATCTGCTTCAACCGGTACATCCATGCAACCTCCGAGTGTTCCCCGACAAACCCCATCGCCTGCACCTTCTCGTCACGGTTGAAATCTTCGTTGGTATAATCCAGCGTTCCGGAGGCCGGCCCCGGGCTTGAAGCCCGAGCCACATTGGTTGAACTAACAGCGGTCGGAAGGGTGGAATCGTTAACCCCAGCGAAGGACTGATCGCGATCGACCACGTGTTTCTCAATCTCGGTGTCATCAGAGAATGCGAGGAATGATTTTGTGGAGGGCCTTACTTCGTTGACTATACCCTCCACGTGCTGCGCCGTCTGGGAATCTAACTTGGGGACGATCTCTCGGAGGAGCGCCTGATAAGTTTGGATCCGGTGTGTACATGTCTGCACCTGGTGCGTCAAGTCGCTCAGCTGCCTATCGACTTCCTGTCAGAATATTTCGTGTCGTCTCGTTTATAAAAAAACAAAAAAAAAAAAATTCTTTGCTTGGCCATGCCATTTTTTACATGGAAGATGATGTCACACAACGCACTTGGCCGTCTTCTCTCGCTTGCGATCCCCGTAGGAACAACGGATTTCTGCTTCCTGGCATCGCTGGCACGTTGGGCGATGTCCGCTACACTTGGCTTTCTGCTCTCGACAATTCTCGCAGGCCCGGCTGACGCGGCCACTACTGGTCCAATTGCTCGCGTGTGTCGACCTTGGGATGGCGACTTTTGTTTTCAACGACCGGTCGCCTGGGATGTTGCGCGAGGCTGCCGTCGAGGATTCTGCGGGAAAGCCGGGGATCCCTTCATAGTTGGACCCGAAGGGGAGGTTGGAAGGGGACCAGTCACTGAAGCCGGCCTCATGCTCAGAGGATTCGGGGACCGACGCTGTATTGTAAGGGTCATAAAGGAAATGGGGAGGACGGCTGGGATCACTCATGATTTCTGGGAGGGTGGGATGTCGTTGGTGCCCTTTGTCCCGACGGATAGTCCAGGTCCTTGTCTCGGTAGTACGAGGCGCCTCGAATTAGTGGTCATCCGTTTTAAAGACATCCACTGATAAACAATAGACAATAAAAGGATGAAAAATGGGGTGGGGGGGAGTGAAGTTCGTAGGGGCACCAGAGCCAAAAAGGGACAAGGGAAAATAAAACCAAAATAAAAATTAAAATAAAACAACATCAAAAACATCAAAAAACAATCGTTAATTTAGAGACAAATCGATCCTAATAATAACCACAATGATGACAATAACGATTACAAGAATAACAACAATAACAGTAATAACAATAGAAACAGCAACAGCATCGACAAATAATAAAAATGGAGGATTATGATCAAAGACGGTGGCAGCTGTCGTTGGTCGATAGCTGAGCCTTTTCTTCTCATTTTCTCTATTTATTTTTATTACCATTTCCGTCTCGGGGTCAGGTCCAATGGGTCTCGGACGGTAGAATAGACGGGTAGACAGTGGAAGATGCTTCTTCAATGGGGTTAGAATGAGAGCCGAGACTGTGGAAATGGCGGACGGTGGTAGGCTGGAGGTGACTGCCGCGGCAGCCTAAGAGTCAGACCCCGTTCCGACTTCCAAGTTGTATGCGTATGTGGTCGGTATGCTTGCTGTGGCTGCCAAGTAATTATGCGTAAGTCCAAGTAACTTGACGACCCGAATGCCCCGGTTTCAATGAGGGACTCTAGAACAACATTCTGCACAAGAGAAACGGTAGGGAATAAAGTATAATGATAGAAAAATCAAAATAAGAAGCCTGTACATAACCGTAGCGGTACCTTGGTAGTACTACTTGGCTCGTAAGCCATGTTTTCTGCACGTCTTCCCTTGACCCCTTTACCATCCAGGTTTCATGAGTTGCTGTGTATTTTCGGCGACCTTGGTCCCCACACCATCGTTGGTGGCACCAATAATTTGACCAAACGCCCAGAAGGGTACCGCCAGAGGGCTAGGCGAGCTCGGGTTTACTCGAGAGGTCCGGGTTTTTGGATCTATCCTGTCAGAGAATATCCCCAACGCACCACACCATCTTCCTTGTCTTGATCAGCGTTTCTCTCTCGGATGAGACTCTCGGTCGACCTGCATGATACCCGGCAGTAAGACAGTAACTTAGGTGAGGCCGACGCCAGGTGTTCACGGGGATCATAGACACCCCGATTTCGGTAGGCGGAAAGTCTCTCGCAGCAGTGCAAACCACTTCCTCAGGTATCAATGAACCCAATGGCATCCCCGCGTGGTGTTGGGGAGCAGGACCACCTTGCATTTACAGGTTGAGATAGTCAATGAAATGACGTGTGTGTGCCCGTTAATATGACGGTGGAGGCTGCCACGTTTCCTTGGTAACGCGGAGACAATTGAGACCCCTGTCTGTTTCGCGCGCTGGCTGCCATCCACCGACTGTTTGGGCCACCAACGCCGGATGCATGAGAGAAGCCAGTAGCCAGGACTTGGGCAAGGACTTGGGCACAAACCTCAGGTCGGCCGATCGACAGGACATGATGTCAACTCGAGTGGACCTGCATGTAACATTCAATCGGAGGATTGACTCGTGTCTATGGTCCCGTTTTCGGTCTGTGAGTCTTCGTCGCCGTAAGGCCCCCTGTCTTATCACAACGATAGGGTCAATCCCGTTGATCGGGTCCGGAGAAGCAACGCAAAAATACAGAAGATTCCTTTTCGCGTCAGACAAAACCAGAGGGCCAATCAAGGCTACCTCACGCATAGACTTTCTTGCACGCACAAGACTTCTTGATGGAAGGTCCATTTGAATTTGTTCTGCCGTACGGGGTGCCTAAGCATGCCCTCCACTGCCTCGACTGTCACCGACAGTTGTGAGATATAGATGCACGCAAATGACGGTTCATACTACCACTCATTCTCAGGAGATTCGAAACACCTAAGCGATAGTCCGCTGCCTTTGTGCAATTGCAGACCAGCGCATCGACTTTGCAATTCCTTGGGAGGGCGAAAGGAGCCGTGTGGGGTGCATCCCGCCGACCCACGGTTTCTTATACCACGAGGGCCCATATCGGCAGACAGCGGTGTATCAAAGACACCGGGAGTCGAGTATCGTCCAATGGGTTCATCACTCGAATGCGTTGAGGTAGTTCGGGTTCATTTTCAGCTAGACTCAGAGGCATCAATGGCCCCGAGGCCGTGCGCCAGGCAGGGCTCACCAGGGACAACCTCACGATGGAAAATCCGACCGATACATCTCAATAACGTGTCAATACGACACTGGAGAATGCAATTCGAATTGAGGACCGAGTCCAACTAAATTGGCCGACGCAAAAGAAGGAAGAAACTGGAGGAAAGTTGAGAAAGAAAAGAAGAAGAAGAAGAAGTGAGAGAAGGAAAAGGAGCAAGGGTTGTTTTGTTCTGTTCCTGTCCCATGGTTGGAAGTCGGAGCCTGAGGTTACTGTAATTGGTAGGGAAATTGGTTCCGTGGCCCAAACTTCCTTCCGGGGGAGAATCCCTCCTTTTCTTTCCTCTTCCCGCCAGTCAATCTCCACTTCTGTCCTGCGGACCAACTATTTTTCCTCGGCCTGTTATCGCCATCGTTTGTCTGCTGTGAAAGCCCACAGAGACCGTGGTTTCCTATCCCTGATCAGGTTGGATGGGCCTGCGTCGGTCTATCTTCCTGTTGGGCGGAGGTGGGTGGGTTCGATCAGGTCGAATCCACGATTGGCTTCACCCCGTGGCAATTTCCTGGTCCAACAAAACAAATGGGATGGATTGGCTGAAGGCAGTTGACGGTGCAGGGTGATCTTCAGTCCCCAAGGCTCCTAGGGCCGGCCTCTTCGTTCGGATCCGAGTGGTCAAACTAGTGGACATTTCTCGGCCGGTGCCGGTGCGCCGTTTCCACCGGCGAGTGCAGATCGTGCGGTTTGAAAACGGATGTCTTGGTCTCATAATCTGCTGGACCGCTGTGGGGGTCAAGGTTTCCTAGAAAACCCCCCTGAGTGGTTCCCTGCATGTCACAGGGTTCAGTAGTGTGATCTTCTCACCGGTTTTAACTTGCATAGGTATAACTAATGAGTTACAATAAGGTTGGCTCAACAGGCACTAAACATGGCAGATGAAGGAAAAGGAGAGAAGCAGCAACGACAAAGATAAAAAAAAGGGAAACAAAACAGTGGAAGAGAAGTGGTAGGGAAAAAACGACGGTGGCTCTACATCTCGCCCTCTGACCCTCACTGAACATGTTCCCCGGGAAGTGAGCTGGTACCAGGATGGTGGGAAACGGGACTAGTGGTTGGAGGCAAATGTTGCAGTTCTTCGCTGATCATTCAGCATGGGAGGTGGACTTAGCGTTGGCATGCCCCTGAGCTGTGGATTAGCGGGACTTTCCTGCAAGTGGCTCGAATTTGCGTTCCCTTCCCGGTAGATTCGGCTTTTCAGGGTACGTTAGGTTGAAGACGGGAGGAACCATCTAACATGCCCGGGCAGTGGTTACCGGCGGAAGCGTATGTGGGCCCACATTGGCATATGTCGGTTGCATCTTCTCCGCGGATATGATCCGCGTGGCTGATCTAGTCACAGTCGCCGGATCGGATCGGTAGCATTACCCTCGAGGCGAACGAGGAAGCCCAGCTGAGTTCAACTCCCCGCATATCGGGATCTTAGATCATCAATGGTGGTGTACGGGCCGCGGGCCGCGAGGATCTTCGGAGTATATCTCCGGGCTGGTCAACCCGGCACACTCGCCAATTGAAGAGCAGCACAAACAAACTCAGATAAGTGGTATATCAGTGGCTACGTAAATTCTATCATGACCTCGATTTTATTTATATTATTCAACGAGCAATCTTTAGGAATTCCTTACATACAATGTCGACTAAGGCACTCCAAATAACATCAACACCAAATACTAGACTGCATATATACGAACGAACACCGATACGTGGTATTGTTTTCACATGGAACGTACATAGAACGTACATAGAACCGTACAGAGTCTCATAATCCTCTATAGTTAAGGACAGGAATGGGAAAGGGGAACCGAGAGCCTTCCAGTTCCCTCAGCCGGTGGCTATCACTTATCTCCACCATAGTCTACTGGCCCAGCTCTCCAGGCGGATGACATTCCCTCCCACCAGCCATATATGTGTATGTATATATGGTGCTGTGATGTGGCTATTGTCGATTACCGGTTGCAGCTCTATACCTGGAGTCTATGGTGATGAACATCGAACACGAGGTCAACTCTTGGCTACGAAGAGACCACCCGTGTCCTTCTTGCCGTGTCGGTATCATCTTCGATTGAATGTGGTATTAGGCGTCCTATCTTTAGCCTGCAACCTGGGTGGGGGCGACATCATGAACCTCGGCTAGGGATGCTTCATCACGCAGCGACGTCCAAACAATGCCAAGAACCTGCGGAAAGAGCGGATGGAAACGCGTCCTAAACGAGGAGATTCGGACCCACGGAAAAGCTTGCTTGATGATTGAGAAAACAAAATGAAAACCAGTGGCGAAAGGACTTCGCAAACGCTGCAGGTCAGCTGGCATGCCAACCGTTTGCAGTCACTTCCACAGGGCACATCACCGGAGGATACGAATCAATTGACCGATATAATTGACTTAGTATTGGTGAATATCTGACAATAACTTTCTCAAGCATGGAAAACCTCGATCGGATCGTCAATGATTACACCCACCCCACAACGGGGTCCTTGCACGCAGCAGCGTTCATTGCTGTGGACCAGTCTGGTATTTCAATACCCCTCAAGTTGATATTGATCGTGGCTCACTACGCAAGGAAACACTATCTACAGCAAGGCCGCTGGCCGGGCACATCCGGACGATAAAGATGAAGTGCCAATGGACTCCCTCTATTGGATTGCGTCCATGACGAAGCTGGTCACGGCTGTTGCTGTAGTGCAACTAGTCGAGAAAGGCATTCTGTCGCTGGATGACGACGTGCGTGAGCGCCTGCCGGAGCTCAAGGACATCCAGATCCTCCGTGGCATGGAACACGGTAGCTCCCGTCTAGGATAATTAAACAAATATACTCTTCTAACTGGCCAATATAGACGCATCTCGAGGACCAGCACGGCCAAAGCTTGATCCCGTTCAGGGGAAGTTGACACTGCGGTAACTGCACCAGCCCACTCGCTTGTATATCGACTCTGTCGGTGGTTTACTACTACCCCATCAGCGAGACTGACATCCAACCACCTAGTCAACTTCTATGCCACACCTCCGGGCTCGTCTACGACTCGACGTCGAAGCTCCTTCGACACTGGTCCCAATCCCAAGGCCGGACCGCGTACACCCTCAGCGGCAGCATGGTGAGCTACCAGCCACCCCCACTCGCAACGACGGAGGATCCTGACTACAACGACCTCGTCTCCAGGCCGGCTACCACCACCCGCTCCTTTTCGAGCCCGGCACCTCCTGGGGCTACGGCGGCGGCCTCGATTGGGCAGGCCAACTCGTGAGCCCTCCCACCCCCCCCTCTCCTTTCCACGATCACCAAAACCCCCCTAACAAAAAACACACAGATCGAGCGAACCACCAACTCCACCCTCGAAGACTACACGCAATCCCACATCTGGAGCAAACTAGGCGCCCAATCCACGACCTTCCACCCGGAACGGAAGACTCATCTCCCCGCACTCGTCCCAATGAAGTACCGCAACGGCATAACCTCAGCACCCAACGCAAAGAGATCACTCACCCTCGCCCAACCAGCGCAACACGCCCTCGGCGGCATCGGCCTCTTCAGCACTCCAACCGACTTCTCTAAACTCCTCGTCGCCATCCTCCAATCCAGCACCAGCTCCGCCCCCAACGACGCAGTCAGCCAACAGGGCCCGATACCAACCCCCCAACTCCTCACCAAATCCGGATTCGACTTCCTCTTCGGCCCCCAACTAGACGCCCAATGCCGACAAGCAATGCCCCGACCACTCGGCTCGCAGATGCGTCGCGTCCTCAACATCAAGGACATCAACGACGCCGCGCAAGCTGACCATGCCCTTGGAGGAACCATCACACTGACGGATATCCCCGGTCGACGACGAGCGGGGAGTATGAACTGGAGTGGATTGCCGAATATGCATTGGGTTTGTCTCTCCTTCTTGTACATTACATACATTCGTCCTAATACCCCCACAAACCTTACCCTAATGCAATACTACAATACTAATTAACACATACTCAAACTCAACAGTGGATCGACCCCAAATCAGGCATCGCCGCAGCGCTCTTCACTCAATTCATGCCGCCGACAGACGCGAGCGTTACGGACTTGTTGATTGAGCTGGAGCGGGCTCTTTACAGCGCTATTGCTGTGGAGGCGGAAACCGAGAAGAAGCCTTCCACGTCTGGGGTGGGTGATGTGAGTAATATGGCGAAGCTATAAATTAGGTCTTGCTTTTTATTGTCTCCCCCGCCTTTTTGTGTTTGTTTGTTTGCTTGTTTGCCGTCTGGACTAGGTACGATGTTGTGGGGTGGAAAGTGCAATACAAAGTGAGAAAAGTAGACAGCTACAGGCACTACAACAAGAACAATAAAAGGTAGAAAGATAGAAAATAAAACGTACGTCACATTCAAACTAAACCACACCTATACAAATATGTACTTCCCAACTTTGAGTAACGTCCCCATTCAAAAACGAAGAAAATACAAGACAATGTCCAATTCAACCTCACAACGAATCCATAGTGAGAAACCACTACAGCAAGATCATGCCGAGACCGGCCACCAGAGCCGTCACGGCGTAGGCACCCAGCTGCCAGCTACCAACGCGAACGGCGATGGGGCTGGCGGCGATGCCGGCGGCACCCTCGGAGCCGCTGGCGGTGGCGCCGCTGCCGTTGCCGCCGTCGGTGGGCGAGGACTTGACGGTGCCGGTGCCCTTGGGGCCGGCCTCCTTGAGCAGGCTGCTGCAGGAGCCGCCTTCCTTCTTGTCCTTGGTCTCGCCCTTACCCTTGAAGCCGCAGGCCTCGTCACTCTTGCCCTGGGCCTTGTAGTACTGGTCCATGACGAAGGAGAGCTGCTGGCGCGGGCTGCAGACGCTGTAGGCGCCGTACTTGCCCTTGCTGGGGTTGGCGTTGATGCCGGCGCAGACGTCGCCGTCGCTGCAGATGTAGCCGAAGACGCTGCCGAACTCCTTCTCCTTGACCGAGTCCTTGATCTGGCAGGAGAGCGACTGGACCATGCAGTCGCACAGGTCCGGGTTGGGCGGCGGGGGCAGCTCCTCGGCGGCCTCCCAGTCCTTGTTGACGGCCGGGCACTTGGCAGTGGCGGCGGCCTTGAGAGTGTAGTCTTCGCTCTTGACGCCCGAGGGGGTGGCCTTGGCCATCTGCTTGGAGAGGTAGGAGAAGTCGGCCTGGGTCTTGACCTTGTCGCCGTCGACGGAGACGAGGCCGTAGTCGTTGGCTTCCTGGAAGTACATGTAGACGATGCCGCCGCTCCAGACGTCATTCATCTTGGGGCCGAAGAGGACGGGGACGTCGGTGAACTTGCGGGGACGGGGGTCGATGCAGCCGTACTCGGAGAAGAAGGCGGGGACGGGGAAGTCCTTGAACTCCTTGGTACGCTCCTTGTAGCCCGAGGTATCGAAGGAGGAGTCGCCGCACCACTCGTAGATGTTGTAGCCGAACATGTCAATGTGGGCTTCCTCGTCACCGCAGACGAGGTAGTCGCGCAGGCCCTCGCGAATGCTGGCGTCGTCGTCGGTGGCATATCCGATGGCGAGCGACTCGCGGTGGCCCTTGGCCTTGACGTAGGCCTTCATGTCGCGCACGGCGGCCTTGACGAAGGCAATGGAGCCGGTGTTGTTCTTGTCGTTGGCGACCTCGTTACCGGCGAAGAAGCCGATGACATTGTCGTACTTGGCGAAGGCGTCGATGACGTCGGTGTAGCGCCTGTAGAGATCGACGTCCCACCGGGGGTCGCTGCGGATGATGGACTCGGAGGGGGAGGACAGATCGGTGATGAGGTAGATGCCGGCATCTGACAGGGCCTTCATACACTTGTCATGGTTGGCCTTGGGGTCCACGGCGTAGGTGCGAATGACGTTGGTGTTCAGCTGTTGCAGATAGGGGATGTCGCGTTCGCAGTCGGAATCATCCGAGAGAGGATCGACATAATCGTTGTTGGAGGAGGCCGATCCATTGGCCGAGTACTCCTCTGGAACCCATCACGTCAGTTGTCGTCCCGTTTGGTGCTCGGAGCACGGGAGAAGAGGGATGGGTCACATACGCTGATAGGCAACGCCACGAATGAAGCTACACGATCCCTGTCAGCGGGACGATCAGAGGGACTTTTTGTGGGGTTGATTGTCCGACTTACAATTCGGTGCCATTATTGGAGTAGAAGAATTTGTTTCCCTGCGCGAGTCAGCATGTTCTTGTGGACTTGCGACCGTGTTATATAGGGGGAAACCGCGCGTACCTTGGTGACGATGGGAGGCAAGTTGGCCGCCAGGGCGCGAGCCACCAGCAACGAGGCGCCAGACAAGGCGAGAGAGAGTTTCATTGTGAGAACTCCAGCAAGGAAATGATTGTTGGTGATCTACAACCACGGGTGGTTGATCAACTTTTGAGGATCTGCGGACCCAGTTTATCTCGAGACGGCAGAGATGACGAAAAGAGTAATGAGATGATGAGGAAGTGACAGGAGAGGGGAAGAACGAATGACAATATATTGAAAAGGGCAAAAAAAAAGAGCCGGAAAAACGAGGGAAAGAAAGGATGGAAGAGAGATGAAGAAGGAAGAGAGAGAGAAAGAAAGAGAGAGAGAAGAAGAAGAAGAGAAAAGGAGAAGAAGAAGAAGAAAAGAGAGGGGGATGGGGAGCCTGAGGAAGGGGGCTGCCATCCCTCTTTTGGGTAAGGCGCTGCATAATTCGTCCGCAGGATACGCCGGTTAGTTTAGGCTGACTCTTTTCTATATTTATCTTATTTTAGTTATTGATTCTCTTCTGTTTATGTATTTGATCTCTGGAATCCAAGGCTCGTCATCTGTTGGACGAGGACCGCGTTGTGTTCCCTCGTCCATCACACAGTCCAAATGGTCAAATAAATCCCCGATTCCACCAACGCATGAATACAGTTGTTGATTTCCACGCAGGGAGACCACGGTTCCTCTTACAATGGGAGTAAGCAGACCATCGTCTAGAGTAGTGGACCCACCGGGCGCAATCCAGGAACCAATCGATACCGGGTGTTCCAGATTGACATCCACCGTTTGATCTAATCTTAGTTAATATGAATCAGAAATCTCTGGGTTCAGCTCCTGGAGGACGAGATCACAACTGGTTGGCCAATGGACGATGGGCTAGTACCGCGGCACGAGATAGAGTGGCGCTGGGTTGAATATAGATCGAACCGTTGGTCTAGAAATTGGATCACCAATGAGGATGAGGATGCATCAAGGCACATTCTTAGATCCATGGGCGTTTATCCCATACACCAATTGGAGTCTCGGGCGGCAACTGGTGCCGGTTCGGCCATGATACCGTTGCCTTTGCTTTCTCGAGGCATCTGGGATCTAAATATGGATATAGACTTCTCAATCGGTTAGTATGGTCTCCTCATAGACAATGGCATCATGCTATCATCCCAAGGTGGATACTGGATATGCTCCAGCCACCGCCCTATCGTTCATATCAGCCGGATAAATCCACCCAGCAGCCACCAACGCGACCAACGCGACCAAACCACCGCGTATGCTTACCCATTGATAACTCGTGGTGGGGATATTCTGATATTGAACGACGCCGTGCTCAGCCACGTGCAGGGCCATCGTTCCCATCATCCGCCAGTTGTCATAAATAGTGCCGACCTGCAGCCCTCGAACTGCACGTTCTATTCTCTTCGTTCAAACTCATGCATTCGAGACAGGCCAGATGTAGTTAGTTTCACCATAATCCTAGTTTCTCAATAGTCAGTAAACATCGTACAGTTCGGGTTTCTAAAAGAAACGGTTCCCCATCAGGATCATGCTAAATAAACAATGATCACCAGAGGGGGGTAAATCAAGCTAACCCTACTATCCATGAACAGACAACAGTCCAACGATCAGACTTGACCAGTGCAGATGAAGAAGTAAGGAGTTGCCATGGGGGATATCATCCCTTCTTTCCCTCCACCACGACTACCTCGACCAACTCGATTGGGGCATGCAAGGGGATGGATGATCGAACGTTTGACTCCTCTCCCGGTAAGGTGCTTCTCCGTTGAATGGGATTGTAGACCAACCATTTCCACTGCCACGGATGATGACTGCGTGGGAATTTTCAGGAGTAAGCATAGAAGATTTCACCTCACTGTCTCTCTATATAGATATCTGTGGCGCAGTCTATATATCACCGCCACAATAGCACCAGCCACTATCCCCCAATTAGGAATAGTTCGTTTCCTCCATCTCAACCAACAACAACAACAACTTTCCAAACTACTACTACTACTACTACTACTACTACTACCACCACTACTACTACTACAACAACTACTACTACTACCACACCGTATTCTAGGCTTCTCCTTCATATTGGGCAGCCTCCACGTTTCACCATCGGAGCCAGAGTGGGTCTGGCGTCGGATGATACCGTACTCATCGGCAGGGTCCGTTCAGTCCGTCACTTTCTTCCGGACAAGGAAAAGGTTTCCTGATGGCTTCTTGATCATCCGACGGTGAGGTGGGAGATCTTCGTCGACACCCATTACCTCTCGACTTTCTCTGGGTCGTACAGTCCAATCTGCTGGTGTCTCTAGCACTACGAATGACTCCGGGAGTGGAATCGGTCAATCCACTTCATCAGGACTAGTGAGATCCGGTCTCTTGGCGCTAAACACAACTCGTCTCCTTAATATCATCGTCGGTCAATCAGATCCGTCCACCGGCGCCACACCACTGTAATGAAAAAGAACAATTTGAGTGTCCTCTGGTCAAAGGTCACGGCTATCGTCCTGTTGACTGGCTGGGTTGAATCTGGCTCGCATCGCTGGCCCCTGGAGCGGCGTTGGGGAGAATGCATATACAGTCATCCTCCGAGGTAATTAGCGGACATCCACTGATCTACACCTCTTGTGGCTGAGTTGGGTGAAGGAGGATGTCCCTTTCTTCCCCTGCAATATGCCTTTTTCCCTCCTTGCAAGACCGAATCTCACTCTTTTTCGTGCCTTCACGATCTTAATTTGATCTGTTCTTTGTTTTTGTTGTCTTATTTGATTTTTTTTTTTTTTATTATCCTTCTTGTCCCTCCCTATTTCCCAGGCCAATCTAATAGATATCCTCGGGACGTTTTCCTTTTGTTATTCAGTCACTCCCTTTTTTGTTGATTTTTAGTCCCTCCTTTTCACTCCCACTCCGTGTGTAGACATTCTTTTGATCGTGGACTGGAGACTGGAATTCGATCCCTCTCGTCGCGATCTTTCAACTCCGATCGTTTTCTGTCCTTTGTGTAACGAGCCAGTGGGATTGATTGTTTGTTTCTCCGAAGCTTGTCGTGATCAAGAGTCTTGGTATTTCTTGGACCGCATCTGAGGCTTAGCATTCAGACCCATCACTTCAGCCACACCATCTTTCGTCCTAGATTTTGAGGCTGACCATAGCCACCACGTCACCGTAAGTCTTCACTGTTGCTTTTACGAGCCGACGTGTCGGTGAAGCCCGTGTGCCTGTTTCGGGCGGGGAGAAAGAAAACTCTATATCTTCCAATATTTTGTTGGGCGCCTAGCGCACCGCCGTCAGTCGGCTGGTGGGGGGCCCTGTCAACGTGGCCATGGCCCGGTTCTACATAAATCATGCCCCGGCCAGTTGTGATTCTAACGTGACAATAGTTTGACGCGCACTGGTTGAAAATCGGTTTGAATATGCGTATGCTTCTCAACCCCTGGCTTATGGCCGTGCCAAGTCGCTAATCGGGTGACACGCAGATATCTACCGACGCCATGCCAGGAACCTGGCCTGGTATGACCAGGAAGGGGAGCCTGCCTCCCATAATCCGTTCAAGAAATTCCGTTCCCGTCCGCGACGAGGCAGCTCCATCCACCTCGAAAATCGACTGGCTCCCGTCCCCAGCGCGTCGCGCGAATTGCGCCTGTCCGATGATGAAGAGGCAGCGCCGCGCGGCATATCTGATGACCTGACGGATGCCGAGAATTCCCGCGGACTCCCGCCCCAGTCGTCCGGGACCGATCAGGTCAACCGCGTGCGCAGCCTCGAGAAGACGGGCGACGATCCGTCGATGCACAGCGCCGCGCCCATCAATGTGACCAATCGCGACTCCGGAAGCCACACCAAAGCCCGCAAGCGAACGCTCTTTGGCCGATCCAGTCCGGCCGAGGATGACGGGGCCAGTCAGAGAGACCAGCTGGAGGACTACCCGGACAAGCAAAAGTTCACCGCGGTGGGACAGTTCAAGGCCACCGTGCTGAATTCCTGGATCAATGTCTTGATGCTCGCCGCGCCGGCCGGAAGTAAGTTATCACCTAGGATCTGTGGAGCGGGCGGGTGTTGATGATTTTTAGTTGCCTTGAACTATGTGCATGCCAATCCGGTGGCCATCTTCGTGGTCAACTTTATCGCTATTGTGTATGTTCTTATTCAAATCACTTTCTCAGAATGGAGAGAGAAGCTGACAAGTTAGTCCCCTCGCGGCCATGCTAGGTTTTGCGACGGAAGAGATTGCGCTGCGGTGAGTCCATCCCTTCAAGGGCTTGGGCCCAGGCTAATGTTTGTAGGACCGGTGAAACCATCGGAGGTCTGCTGAATGCCTCGTTCGGGTAAGTCACTGTGCCCCAATTCGTGAAGTCAGTTGGTCTGACTTGAATAGAAACGCGGTGGAGCTGATCGTGGCAATCATCGCGCTGGTGGACGACGAGATCCTGATCGTGCAGACATCGCTGATCGGGAGTATGCTCTCCAACCTGCTGCTGGTGATGGGAATGTGCTTCTTCTTCGGAGGCCTCAACCGGCTGGAACAGCATTTCAACCCGATCGTGGCGCAGACGGCAGCCAGTCTGCTGTCGTTGGCGGTGGGCAGCTTGATCATCCCGACAGCGTTTCACTCGTGGGCGGGCAACCGCATGGATGGCGACAGCACCAACGACAGGCCAGATCACGGCATTACGCCGTTGTCGCGAGGTGCGATCCCCCTTTCCTACTGGCCTCTTGCGGCACTCCTGCTGACGGATTCCAGGGACGAGCGTGATTCTGCTAGTGGTGTACGGATGTTATCTGTTATTCCAGCTCAAGTCGCACACGGAGATCTACAACGCGCCGAGCCCCAAGGTGGAGAAGCGCCGCCGACGGGTGGAAGAGGGCGACGCGAGCCGGGGGATTGCGACGATCGGCAAGATGACGGCGACGATGGGGGGCCAGAACGCGCAGGACCTGGCGCTGAAGGACCCGGGCGATGAGCCGGAGGAGCCGCAGCTGCATATCTGGGTGGCGGTGCTGACGCTGGCGGTTTCGACGGCGCTGATCGCGCTGTGTGCGGAATACATGGTATTTTCCATCTTCTTCTTCCTCCGCTTCTATGTTATGTCTACGATACTAACCGATCAGGTGGATTCCATCGACGCCATCACGGAAGAGGGTAGCGGGATCTCGAAGACGTTTGTGGGACTGATCCTGCTGCCGATTGTGGGCAATGCGGCCGAGCACGCGACGGCGGTGACGGTGGCCTGCAAGGACAAGATGGATTTGGCAATTGGCGTGGCGGTGGGATCGAGCATGCAGATAGCGATGCTGGTGCTGCCGTTGATTGTGGTTATCGGATGGATTATGGGTATTCCCTCTTTTCCATTGGGTGGGATTACATGATGCTAACGATGGTACAGGCAAAGAAGACATGAATCTGTATTTCGACGGGTTCCAGATTATCCTGCTGTTTGTGTCTGTTTTACTGGTGAGTACGTCCAAAATTCGGGTTCGATATTATATACTAATGAAATAGGTCAACTATCTCATCGGAGACGGCAAGTCACATTGGCTGGAAGGAGTGCTGCTGATCATGATGTATGTGATCATCGCCCTGGCCGCGTGGTATGTCTCCGTCTCCTCATCCCGAAAGGCAGAACAGGAAGAACTAACCGAAGACAGGTTCTACCCCAACAAGACGGAAGCGATGCAGGGGGGTGGTTGATAATATATATATATACCCATATATATTAAATTGTCATTCTACTAGATACTACTGTCACAATAAATCAAATAATATCATACCAAATATCCTAATTCTCAATATCCAACCAAAAATAAATAACCGAAAAAAAAGTCCCACGGCCGACTCCCCGTGACAAGTCGGGACCGACCGTAGCCGAATCCCTCCCTCCCTCAATCTGGGCCGACCGATTCACGTGTTCATCTGACCTTCCCTTTCCTTACCCAGTAGTAAACCATTACCCACCGGTAGGAACTAAGCCCACTACGTACTAGACACTAGGCGAGTCCGGAGAAAAATGGACAGATAGATCGGCCCAACGGAGAAACAGGCCAATGGCGGGGGACGAAAAGGTCAGACCATCGGCGGGTAATAGTACCTTGGGCCGTCCCTGGTAGGGGTGTAGAGCGGGTAAGGACTAAGTCGTAGGGTGTCAGCGCGGACCACTCCGACCGCGGCCGAGAATATGCGTCTCAGTATTTACCTAGTAGGATTGGCCTAGTGGGAGGTAAGTCGTAAGTTAGTTGAGAGAGGAGAGAAGAGAGAAGAGGAACCGACGGAATCCGACCGATTCGGGGGGGGGTGAAGGTAGAGTGTGTATGGAGTGGGTAGCCGAGTACCGAGGCTACCCTGTTATATTATTTATGAATTATTGGTTTATTATTCTTACTCAGATGAGTGTGAGTGGAGAGGAGGATGATGTTTCGTCTAATTTAGTAGGATAGAGTTAGTTAGTTGGAAGGATAAGTAAGACAAGGATGGTGGAGAGCGTTAACCCCGGATTACCCCAGTTTTTATCATGGATATAGTTTTACTTGGTATGTATGTCTTCTCTCTCGCGCTCTGAGTGATGGAGGACAGTCGAAATATATCAACCATATATTATCTATCGATTGGCTATATCCTGTCTATTTATTCTATTGATTCTGGAGTGGTTGTACGGTATTGACGTATTGTACCGTATGATTGAGGCATCCGGTCATGTGTCTCCATCTATTATTGACATAAATCGAGTTCTCTATCTAGTTATATCTATCTATCTATCTCTATTGATATATTCATTTATATATTCATATATAGATAGATAGATAGATAGATAGAGATGTAAATCAATACATCTCGATCTAACCGATTTCCCGTCCATGTATACAGGACGAACTACACTTCTATCAGGTCTACAAGAATCCCTTGATTCTCTCCCCTAATACTTCTACTCTTTATATTTCTCTTCTCTCTCCATTTATCTCTACTCTATCCCATCGATACTCGATATTCCATCGGATCACATTCTCGGCACTCGGACTCAGGCACCCCCGCTAAACCCGGACCGGACTAACTCTGGTCGGGCCTCCGCAACTTCTTCCGATTCCCATCTTGTCCTTTCTCCAGTCTCTATACGGTGGATGGTTGATTTGATTCTTCATTGATCCTCCATTCCATCTGGTCTCTCTGGGGGTCTCTCCATTCATCGATTCTCCTCTTACCCAATCCGCCCGAACAATCCGGTCGGCCTCTCCCCCCGGACCGGTGCCCCGATCCTCCACTAAATTCCCCCACAACTCCGCTTCTTCCCGCATTGATCTTCTTTCGCTTTTCTCTTCACTTTCTTCTCTTACTTTTTCTCTTCCACTTTCTCACTTCGTCCCTCTTCCTTCTTCTTCCTGCTTCCTTCTTCCTTTTGTCACTTTCTGTTTACTCTCCTCTTGATCTCTTTTTACCTCTACCTCCTCTGGTCTACCGTCTACTCCCTCGGTCGTCCACCGACCCGACCGACCCAGTCCCACTCCCGACTCCGATTTGACCCTTCCCCAGTCTCCACCGACTATCATCGCGTTTTCTCTTCTGTTCCTCTTCTTTTTTTCTTTTCCTCTTCCCATTTTCTCCTCTTACCCTCTTGGTTTGGTTTGTTTTTCGACAAAAATAAACAAACAGTCAAAAAAGACAGGTCATACGACTCCCGGCCACTTTCCCCCCTTTTCCTGTAGGACGGACCTGTGTGTGTCCCGGCGCTGCGTTGTCCGGATTCCCGGCGCAATTGGTCGGACAAATATTGCACCCCAAATTTTAATTTTTTTTTTAAAACGGGAAAAGAAGAAACCATCTGGGAAAGGAAAAGGAAAGAATAAACAGACCACTCCCCTCATCGCAAGCCCCCGGGGCTGCTGCGTCCCCATCCTTTTCTCCGCTACGGCTACGCGCTTACCCACATCACCACCATGCGCTCCAGCATCGCGTGCGCCCGCTGCCGTCGCAGCAAGATCAAATGCGTCAATGCCGGCATCGACACCACCTGTCGCGCCTGTGAGTCCTCTGGTCGCGAGTGTGCTTACCCTACCCCCGCCATCGGAGGCGGCGCCGCCGCCGCCAAACGGGATCTCGCGGCCCTCGCCGATGGGGACGAGCGCAATGGCCACCCCGACTGGGAGAGCCCCAAGCGCCAGCGCTCGCGCAAGTCCGTCGGCCTCGCCGCCGCCGCCGCCAAGGAGGCCGCCGCCAAGGCTTCCCTCGACGCCCTCGACGCGCCCGTCCTGACCGTCAAGGTCTGGGAGGCCGTCTTCGACCTCTTCCAGTCCCACGCCGCGACCCTCCTGCCCTTCCTGCACCCCGCCTCCTTCCTGGCCCAGATCCGGCCCCTCGCCCACGGCGCTGGCCCCGCCCCGCGAGCCCCCGGGCGCCCACGCCCCCGCGCCGCCCCCGAACCCGCTGATCCCCCTCGGCGTCCTCGCGCTGACCGCCCGCTTTCACCCGACCCTCGTCGCCTACCATGCCCCCGCCGGCGCTGGCGCCGGCGCCGGGCCCCCGACCCCCTCGTCGCCTCCGAGGTTTACGCGACCGCCCTGCGCGCCCGTCTGGCGGGCGTCGACGGCTCCAGTCTCGCCGTCCCCGACCTCACCCGCGTCCAGGCCCTGCTCATGCTCGCCCTGCACGAGTGGGGCATGTGTCGCGGCAAGAGCGCCTGGCTCTATGTCGGCATGGCCATCCGCCTCGCCCAGGCCCTGGGCCTCCCCTGGGAGCTCGAGCAGGACGGCGTCGCCCCCGCCGCGCCCGCCCCGCTCCAGATGGAGGCGGAGCTGTTCGGCCTGCCCCGTCGGGCGCCCCCGGCGCGTGAGCCCACCGCCGACGACATCATCGCCCAGGAGACCAAGCGTCGCACCTTCTGGGCCTGCTTCCTCCTCGACCGCTGCCTCAGCTCCGGCCGGTATCGCCCCCGCATGATCCGCGTCCGCGAGCTGGGCATCCAGCTGCCCAGCGACAACGCCTTCGCCTTCGGGGAGCGCGTCCGCACCGCCCGCCTGGGGGAGCCCCCGCCCGTCGGCCCCCCAGCTTCGGCGCCCCCGGCGCCCCCGTCATCCCCAGCCTCCGGCAGAGCCTCGGCGGCTTCGCGGACGACCCGCGGCCCGGTCCCGCGTCGGATGCGCACCACCCCCCGTCCGCCTGGTCGCCCGTCGCCCGCCGCGCCGACGCCGCCGCCGCCGCCGCCACGGCCGCCGCCACCGACGACGAGGGCATCGACCGCTGGGAGGTCGGTGCCGAGGAGTCCGTGCTCGGCCGCGTCATCCGCATCGTCCGTCTCTGGGGCAGCATCGCCCAGTGGTCGTGCGCCGGCGGCCGTCGCACCGAGCCGGTCGCCCCCTGGCACCCGGAGTCGCGCTTCGCCCACCTGCGCACCCGCCTCGCCGAGTTCCAGGACGGCCTGGCCCGGAACCTGCAGTACTCGTCCCGCAACACCGAGACCCACATCATGTACCGCCACAGCCTGGCCCCCTACACCGTCATGCACGTCGTCTACTTCCTGTCCGTCATCGTCCTGCACCGCGCCTACATCCCCTTCCTGCCCGTCCACTGCCCCGGTCCCGTCGGGCCCCTCGACGAGCCGGGCGCCGTCGCGACCGACCCGACCACCGCCGGCGGGCCCGACGGGTTCTGGCGCGACAGTGCCCGCGAGCTCTTCGGCGCCGCCCGTCGCATGATGGACCTGGTCCTCACCTGCCAGGAGCGCGGCGTCCTGGTGGAGAACCCGCTCGTCGGCTTCGCCGTCTACCATGCCGCCTTCGTCAGTGTCTACGCCGCGCACTTCCCGCACATGGACCCCGACGGGGCCCTGCGCCCGCCACCCCGCTCCCCGACGCCCCCGGACGCCCCCGCGCCGCGGTCGCCCCCTCCCCGGCCCGCCAGATGCTCGACCTCCTGCGCCGGATGCGCCCCCGCCTTCGCATGGCTCGCGGCTGGTTCCGCACCGTGAACCGTCTCCACAGCTACTTCGCCAAGGTCCGTCGCGACGTCCGCCGCCACACCCGTCGCCCGGATGGGGGCCTTGCCGCCGACGACGCCGGTCCCGACGGCCGGCCCGTGCGCGAGGGCGGTGCCGGTGGAGGCCTCGACGAGTTCCGCCTGATCGAGAAGCTGTTCCTCGACTTTGGTACCATCGAGGATCAGCTGCCGGAGACGGGGTCCGATGCCAGCGGGGATGGGGGTCCCGTCGTTGCCGCCACCACTGCCCTGCCCGCGGTCCCTCCTGGCCCCTTAGGGAGCGACCGCGCCACCAACCCCAGCGATGCCGGCAGCTCCGTCGCCCGCAGCGAGACCGGAGACGCCGGCGAGGAGCCGTCCGCGGACGGTGGTATCCCCCCCAGCGGGCGACGCGAGTCATGGGTGCCCGTCAACAGCCCCGGCCTGCCGCCACGAGGGCCCGACGGGGACCGACGGCCCAGCCTGCCGCTGCCCACCACCAGCCGGTCACTGCAGTCCCAGTCCCCCTTCTCCCTCCCCGCCCTGCCCCCACCCCCGCCCCCGCCGGTCCCGGCTGACACGCCGCTCTACGGACATCCGTCGCCCACGCTGCCGTCCATCGGGACCGCCAGCTCTCAAGCGCCCCGCCTGCAACCGCTCAACTCATGGTTGCCCCCGCGGGGACCGCCGCCACCGTACGCCCAGTCGCTGCCGCCGATCAGCGCCACCACCGCCCACGGGCTTCCGCTGCTGCCGCCGCCTGGCGCGGTGGGAGGGCCGGGTGGGTCCTCGCCGGGGACCGACGGGTGGGACAGTCTCGCGCCGCCGCCGGGACTGTGGTCGACTAGTCTCGGTGGGGAAGATGTGTTGGCCTTCCTGGAAGGGTGTGATTATGACCAGCTGCCCAGTCCGACGGCGTCGGAACTCGGGCTGCCGACGGGGTGGTTGAGTACCGTGTGGACTGAATTTGCGCGGTAGTTTTCTACTCCTTCTTTCGTTGGTGTTCTTTCGCCCGCGTTCGGTCTTCGTTGAGAGGCCTGCGGCGTCTGTACGAGTATCGACTGTCAGTCAGCCTATCAGCATTACGATCTGATATGGGTATGGATATGGACATGGGTATAGGATATTGGATCTGTCCGGGTGGACACTTGTCTCCCAGGGCCAATCAAAATCAAAACAGAAAAAGAAAACAAAAAAAAAAAAAGGCCACGGAGGATCTATCTGCTCGGGTTCTTTGTTCTGGGTTGTGTATTTGCTTGCTGCACGTTCTGGGCGCATGCTGTGTGGAGGGATTCCCAGGGCTTGTCTTGCGATTCTGAGCGGGCGTTATATTTACTCTTCTTATTACTTTGCTTTACTCTAGCTACCATGAGTGGTTGATATATGAGATTATGAGCTAGCTTACTCTATTCTATTGTACTCTGTATCTAGATCTGGTATGCTATGCTATGCTATGCTATGCAGTATAACGTAAATGACATAATAGCGATAACAGTCACGTGCCCACCCACCAATCACAACGCATCGCATTCGGACTCACCTCGGCCTCCATCGTCATCATCTCATCCCACCATCTACCTACTACCAACTTCTCTCACTTCTCAACGATTCACCCCTTCCTAACCGCTCAATCCAATCCAACACACCTCAACAATGAAACCACAATGAAATAGTATTACAAACAACAATGTCCGAAACCACCTACCCCTACGACACAGGCCTCGTGCGCGAACTGCTCAAACACAAGCGCAAAGCCCGGGGTATCCGGTCCTGCTTTCCGTGTCGCCATCGCAAGGTGCGCTGTGATGGGCAGGTTCCGTGTGGGAGCTGTGTGAGGCGGAGTCATCCGGAGCTGTGTCAGGTTCCGACGGGGTTGGGTTCTGGGGGTAGCGCTGGGAGTGGTAGTGGTGGGGGTCCAGAGCAGGTTTCGCCGGGGAGTACGGGGACTGCTGGGTCTGTCCGGGGGGAGCCGAGTCTTGAGGTTTTGTATGTCAATACCCCTACATGTCATGTATATGAGTGTGTGAACTAACGAATGGATAGAAACGACCAACCACTACCACTACCACTACCACTACCACAACCAGACCCCCACACCAACACGCTCATATCCCGCCTCGAGAAAATAGAAGACCAAATCTCCTCCCTAAAAGCCGACCTCCGCTCCGCACCCCCACCCCCCTCCACAGCCGGCACAACAAACACCAGCCCCCAATCCCTCCCGGACCCCCCAAGCCAAGGCCACTCCCAACGACCGCACGCAACAGGCAAATCCCCCGGCCGCTACTTCGTCGAAGACGCCACAGGCGCAACCATCTTCCTAGGAAGCCACTCCGACACGCCGCTCACGCTGGGATGTCGACGGGCGAGTGCGACGGGGGATGCGATGATCCACGACGCCATGATGGATCAGTTTGTGCCGCGTGCTTATCCGTTTACGAATCTTTGGGGGCCGGATGCCAGTGCTAGGGAGGTTTGTGAGACGTTGCCGGAGGATGGGGATGTTATTCGGTACGTCTTTCTTTCCAGTCCCTGATGGATGGATACAGTGGTTGGAGTCGCGGGGATCAACCTATATGACCAGCCAGCTGACGACAGAGTAGATACTGGCAAGCCTACCAAACAACATCCTACCCCTTCTACCCCGCCCTCGTCACAATCGACCAATTCGGCCCGGCCCTCTTCTCATTCCTGGACCGGCGCGCCGCACCACAAAGCGGGCTATGGCAGACGGAGGAGCCGCACCCGTCGTGGCTGGCGCTGCTGTTCGCTGTGTTGGCGTGCGGTGTGCAGTTCTCGGATGATCCGATCAAGGAGAGGGATTTACGGTCAAAGGTGTTGAGTATGTCTCTTCTCTCCCCCTCTCTCTCTTGTTCTTGTCATTAATCAAGACAGTCTGCTCCGCCTTCCAGTGTCTGCGCATGTCGAACTTCTTCAACCAGACGGATTTGGATCAGATTCAGGCGATGGCGCTAATTGGGCATTGTCAGAGGAATAATTTGGATACTAACAGTGCTTGGATATTGATGGGTGTGTTTCTTCCCCAGGATGGATGGACAATGGATGGATGGAGCTGACTGTGTAGGGGCCACTATGCGACTGGCGCAGAGTATTGGGCTGCATGAGCCGTCTCTGTCTTCACCACCTGCTGAGCAGTATCAGCGGAATCGATTATGGTATCCCTTCCCACCCTCTATCTCTTCCTCTATCTCCCCCTGCTCCCCCAATCAAGTACTAATAATCCAGGTGGACCCTCATCTGGCAAGACACCTTCCTCTCATTCACCTACGACCGCCCCTCCAGCTCCATAACAATGAACTGCCCCATCCCCTACACCCCCCACACAAACGGGCTCACCTTCTCCGAATCCATCTTCACAATCTGCTCCATCCTCCGCGACCGCACCCGCCAAGACCTCTCCACCTCCACGACCACCACAGACCCCACGCAAAGCGCCCTCGACGCCAAACGCCAACTCGAATCCCTCCGCGACTCCGTCGCCCCCTCCCTCCGCTCCAAATCCCACTGCCAATCCCTCCAAGACCACCTCGAGCGCCTCGCCCTCAACATCCACCTCGGCTACGCCATCTCCCGCCTCACCCGCGTCTACATGGGCTCCTCACTCTCCAACGACCCAGAGTCCGACTCAGAGACCATCCCCCCCGCCGTCGCAGCAGACGCCATCCACCAAGCAATGCAGGTCATCGAGAACTTCCTCGACCTGCACCGCTTCTCAGCGAGCGTGTGTCGGTCGTGGGCGTTCGTGCATAACGCTGTCAGCTGCGCGATCTCCCTGCGCGGGTTGACCGCGCGGGTGCGTGTGCCTGTGGCCGGGCTGCAGGGGCAAGACCCTGACATGCTTGTGAGGCGGCTCGTGGCTGTGCTCGAGAAGGAGGAGAAGGAGTCCGAGTGGTGTGACGCTGATACGAATGTTAGGTATTTTGGGCCGTATTCGAGGGCGTTGAAGGCGCTGAGGGAGGTTTATCGGTGATTTTACTTGAACCGGTGGACGTGTACGATTATAACAGCTGTGATGCCGTTTGATGTTTCGGGTTTGAAGCGAAGAAGAAAGAAAAAAAATATATATACAGATTATCTGTCTATCGAGTATCTATCAAGACTCTATCTGTCAACTAATCCATCAGGGATCCCAAACTATCAAACAACCCAAGCATCCAAAAGCTCCATCCATCAAAACCAACCGATCAAACCCGTCTCTTAGCACGCACATAAAAGTTCAACGGCCGAATAAGCTGAAACTCAGGATCATAATCAATAGCCTCCAAGCCCTCCCTCACAAACTCATACCGACTGACCAACTCACTCAACAAGATCTTCACCTCCAGCAGCGCAAAATTAAACCCGATACAGCCTCTCGGCCCCGTCGCAAACGGGATATAAGCGCACCGATGCCGCCCCTTCACCTCCTCGGAGTCCCAGCGGTCGGGGTCGAAGCGGAACGGATCGCGCCAGACGGATGGGTTGGTGTGGATGGCGTACAGCGCGGGGATGATCACGCTGTCTGGCGGGAGGCGGTAGCCGCCGGGGAGGACGACGTCTGTCTTGGTGGTGCGGCCGGGCTGGAAGGACGCGTTGTGCAGGCGTTGCGTCTCTTTGACGAATTTGTCGAGGTAGGGCATGCTGTGGGCGAGGTCGGGGTCCCACGTCGTCTCGTTGCGCTTGTTGTTGGTGGGATCCACGATGCCGTACTCTTGCAGCTCCTGGTACAGTCTGTCTTGCGTGCCTTCGTACGTGACGAGGCAGTAGATCAGCCAGGAGAGCAGCGCGGAGGTGGTGGTGAAGCCCGCGCCGTTGACGATCAGCATGTTGGCGAGGATGAGGCCGCGCGGGAAGTGCTCGCCCTTGTCGTCGACAGCCCGCAGCAGGTAGTCCACGACGCAGGAGGCCTCGAGGGCGGCTTCCGCCATGGGGAGATCGCCGGTTGTGCCGGCGGCCTCGCGGGAAGCCTCCACGTCGTCGATGGCCTCCTGCAGCTGGGAGTAGATGGTGTGCTGGACCTGGCGCAGCTTGGCGGGGTCGCCCCAGGGGAGATGGCGGTACCATTCGCCGCGGGCGGTGATCTTCTTGTTGAGCGAGAGGAGGGTGGCGGTGTTGGTGACGAGCGGGTGGAGCGGGGCGTCGACGGCGTCGAAGTGGCCGAAGTCCTTGCCGAACGAGAAGTGGCCGATTGTCTGCGACGCGAGCTTCACCATGAACTGGTAGACGTTGAAGGATTCGTCGCGGGCGTCGAGCTCGTCGAAGACGGGGAGGGCCTTGCGCGCGCAGTCCTGCATGACGGAGGTGTAGTGGCGGACTGCGCGGGGGCCCATGGCGGGGGGCAGGTACTTGTGGGCGAGGCGCCAGTTCTCGGTCTCGGTGTCGCCGATGAAGATGGCGGTGTTGTCTTTGACGCCGAAGAGGGGGTGGCTGGGGTTGATGTTCTTGGTCATGTAGGCGGATTCGGCGAGCGCGATGGCTGCGACTTGCGGGCTGTCGGTTAGGTAGGTTGTTTTGCCCATGTTGGTTGTTTTGATGACGGGGCCGTATTTCCGGAAGAGCCGGTAGTGGTTGCCCAGGTGGTCGGGGAAGATCTCGTAGTAGCTGCCTACGAGGGGGAGGCCGGGGGCCCTTGGGGGGATTGCACGGCGTTGCCATCGATGCGGAGGCCGATGGGGTGGGTAGTGGATGCGGTGATGATGTCGGAGGGGGAGGTGAGGGTGTCGGTTTCGGTGTGGAAGGAGATGCCTGATGGGTTAGTATAGGCTCAATTGAGGAGAAGATTGATATCATACCAGTTGGCTGCGCGACGTGGAAGACGATGCCCACCGCGCGCTGCAGATCTTCAAACTTCCAGCGCGCATCGACGTCCACCGATTGCGCCGTGGCGATATCGTCGCCGACGAGGTAGAACTGACACGACATGATGAGTTCTGTGATTATTGTCTGGCAGTGTTTAGGATGTGACAACGACGTACCGGCACTTTTATATTACATCTCGGATGTCCATCCGTCCATTGATCATCCCGAACATGATTCGATTTCGGCCTCCGAGGCTCGGGCGAAGTTCGCCCGACTCGGCATCCCGGATCGACGGGTGGATCGGGATGCGGGTCGGGATGGGTCTGGATAAAACGACAAGGAACGTCCAGATTATAAATAATACGCTGTCCGGTCGTTGGTGTGTATTCGGAAGGGTTTGGAATTCAGCAACACTCACCGTCGGTATGTCGTCGTTTACTTTGGAACAGGTCCAGCAGCACTGCAAGCCGGACGATGTCTGGATTGTGCTTCACAATAAGGGTTAGTCTCTTTCCTGGATGTGCCATAGTGGCTGACAGCTAATCCCGATAGTCTACGATGTGACCAAGTATCTGGAGGACCATCCTGGTGGAAGCGCCGTGCTCATCGAGGTGGCTGGCACGGATGCCACTGAGGCCTTTGAGGAGATCGGCCACTCGGACGAAGCGCGCGAGCAGCTCGAGCCGTTCTACGTGGGCGACCTACCGGCAGAGGTACTTCACCCGATCTTCATACAGCGATATCAATGGCTAACAGATGATAGGAACACGCCGAGTCCATCGAGGTCTACCGTCCCAACTACGAACAAGTCTCGCAGACAGCCGTCATCAACGTCAAGCCCGCCTCCTCTCCAAGCCTCCTCCCCACCCTCCTCAAACTCGGCCTCGCCGGCGCAGCCAGCACCGCCGCCTTCGCCGCCTACCAACAAGGCTACACATTCTCTCGTCTAGCGCAAGCCCTCCCCTCCCTCGCAGGGTCCCTCAGCGCGCCCTCCGACCGGTCCACCTCGCGCCAGTTCTGGGCCGGCGCAGGCATCGCCAGCACGCTGCAATTCAGCCTCACAGTCGCCCTCGGCATGTGGGCCTCCACCAAGCTCGACGTGCAAGAAGAGTTCACGCACTACGCACCGCGCCGACGCACCCAAACCGCACGCCTCCACCGCCTGCCCCGCTCATCCGTCCCCCTCCAGCGCGCGAAAGTCCTCGACGCCCGCCAATGGCGCTCTTTCCCGCTCGCGCAAAAGACAGAAGTCGCTCCCAACGTGTATCTCCTCGTCTTCTCGCTCCCGCAGTCAGACGACATCCTCGGCCTGCCCACCGGCCAGCACGTCGCTCTGCGCGCCACCACCGCCTCCGGCCAGACCGTCACGAGATCCTACACACCCGTCTCCAACAACCGCGACGCAGGACGCATCGAGCTGCTCATCAAGACCTACCCCAACGGCGCCATGACGCAGCACCTCGCCCAAATGCAAGTCGGCCAGACGATCGACATGCGCGGGCCCAAGGGCGCAATGCAGTACTCCAGCCAGTACGCGCCTCACATCGGCATGATCGCCGGCGGAACGGGCATCACACCCATGTACCAGCTCATTCGCGCGATCTGCGAAGATCCATCCGACACGACGCAGGTGTCGCTGCTGTACGCGAATAACACGGAGGCAGATATCTTGCTGCGGAAGGAGCTGGATGCGTTTGCGGCGGAGAATCCGGGCAAGTTCCGGGTGAGGTATGTGCTCTCGCGCGCCGACGAGAGCTGGACTGGTGAGAGGGGTTTCGTGTCTGCCGAGATGATTGAGAGGTTTTTGGCGCCTGTTGCTGCTGAGAATAAGGTGTTGCTTTGTGGGCCGCCGCCGATGGTGGGGGCTTTGAAGAAAGCATTGGGGGGGTTGGGGTGGACTATGCCGGGGGCTGTTGCGAAAGCAGGAGATCAGGTTTTCCTTTTCTAGATTACTTTCTTTTTTCGGGTTTATAGAGTGAGCGATGGAATATTACATTATTATAGTATATTTTTATATCTTGAATAGACTGTAGACGAGGTTGTTATTCGGGGGTATTGGTCTGGTATAGAGAGCTACTACCACACAAGCAAAGCCTCTCTCGGCAGCCATCAAACCAAGTACTATATCCACAATATACCAGCTTGCCGCTATGCAAGCTGAATCAGAATAGCTTCCGCCTGACGCAACGACACCTCCACAGCCCCTCCATGTCGAACAACCGCTTTCTCCTTTCGTATCTTGCCCACCGGCTCACCAGATTCCAGATCCAGACTCACCCCCGACACATCGACCTCGCTCTTTGCATTTGTCCCCGGGCCCTGGAGTCTGATGAACTGCAACTTTGTACCTGACGGCCAGGACGTTTGAACGCGGACGTCTCTGGTCGGACGATGTCCCGGAGACACAGACGTGCTGTCGGTGGCGGACAATGTGGACGGGTTAGAGAGACCGACGCTGGCGTTCCACACGCCCATGTCTATGAAGACCAGCTTCTCGAGCCCCAAGTGCTTGTGCTTGTGCTTGCCCTCGCCGAAGATAGCGTATCCGCTAAAGTCGGAGGCGTTGGCCGAGGGCAGCGCGCTGATCTGTTGGGGTTTGTTGTCCTTGGTAGCCAGGACATGCGCCAGGAAAAGATGCGAGTAAACGTTGGCCCGAACACCAGCTGTCAAGCTCTCACCCTCATACTCATACGCCAGCGGAGTGAACGCCGAGTATTCGCTCTGGTGGCCCAGGTGGAAGTACACCTGCTCGATACCCATGCTAGCCGCAGTCAAGACATAATCCGTCGTCCAGAGCGCCGCGCCAAAGGTGTCGCTGATGCCGCTTTGCCCGCTGCACGACGCGGAATTTGTCTCTCCCAGGATGAGCGGAGCACGGGCCTTTTCAGCTGCCTCCTGCTGGGGGATGAATTGCGACACGTTCGTCCAGACTACTTGATGGTTCGACAGGAGGTCCAGGGACAGTCTCGCCCGACGGACTTCATCGCAGGTGGACTGGGGATACAGATGCACCGCGTACCCCTTGATGATCTCCGGATCGACGAGACCCGCCTTGGTGGCGTTTATAATGTCAAAGTCGTCGATCTCGTCGTGTTGGTCCGGCACCCAGGGGGGATCCGCGAACACCGCCGCCTGGAATAACGGCTGATGACTCGCTTGTTTATAGAACTCCGACGCGAGGATCTGCCCCGTCAGACGCTTCCACTGGCGCGTATACTCGCTCGTTCCCCAACTATCATCCCTCCACCCTTTATTAATATAGTGATCGATCTCATTCCCCAACTCAAACAACGCAAGCGACTCGCCCAGCGCCTCCATCGCGGCAGCAGCCTCCTGCATCGCGTTCACCCACGCATGGGACTCATTGCGCAGGTTGAGTGTATAGATGAAATCCGTCCCAGGCGGGAAATACTCCGTCCAACCGCGGAACCAGTCGTCGCGGATCTTCAGCACCTCGACGGTGGTGTCGTTCGGTTCGGCGACCGAGGGCGCGTCCAGGTCCGGGACGAATAGTGTCTGGTCGGCGACGTTGCCCCGACGCGGATGGGCGGCGCCACGCCGATGATGTCTGCGATTGTTTTTAGGACTGTGCTGGCGATGGTGCTTTGTAGGTATGGGCTCAGCGAGGACGGTTCGATTGAGTATCCGTATGCGTCTGGTCGGAGCACAGCGCGAGAGATATTGGAGGGGACGGTCACTGTTGAGAAGGCTAGTGTCTGTCCTGCGGTGAGGAGTGAGGCGATTGTCGTGAGTCGAGGCATTGTGTAGGATGCCTTGTTGTGCTATCTGGCGATATGTGATGCATATTGGGGGTCATCGCGCGTGCTTTATATAGTCACGGGCTGGACGGCTTCCCCCGTGTGGGGTGAGGGTTCGTTATATCCATGTCGCGTTGGTATAGCCCGATTAACAGCTCTACGACTGATTGAACACGGAATGATTTTCTCCAGTGGAGTCGATCCGGACCCTGCTCCGATGCGGGGTTGCGTCTAGGGTTGGGCGATATGATATCACTGATATAGCCCAGCCGGAACAACTCACGGAAGTAATTTGACCGCGAGAGGGGAATGAGGCCATGATCGACAGGCTTGTTCCTGGCGTTCAGTTAGTTATCCTCCGTGAGGAAGACGCGGTCTGTATCTATTTAGACCAAGTCTAGACTTATTCGGACTGGAAAGATCTATATCATGTTGATATAGTCTATGTTAAATAAGGCTATATGTAAATATCGAACTGTTCTTCTCATAGAAAACACATGTGCTTTCATTTAGTCTATTACCAGTAGCTATTTCTAGTATTAAGTTTCTTCTGATAGTATAATCTATAATCTTGGAAATCTCAACATGAGCATAATCCATAAGCAGCACCTTATCACGGTAACTAAACACTGGAACAGTTAGTAAAATGTCGAAGTAGCTAAGACCTTAGCTAGACTCAGTGGTGGATACTATGATATAAAATACAATAGTTCTACAAAAGAGCTTCTTGATGATACCGTATCATCACTAGGATATAATTTCTTGTGGGAAAAATCACCACTCGGTTACAAAAGATATCTAGACACTTTTGAGCACTTGTGGATCACTTTGATACACTGTCTGATTTCCGACATATTTAGTTGTCCCCAGGGCAGCATCACCCCATGCAAAATACACAGTGGAGAAAAACCATTCGAGAAGGGACGATCAGATATACAAGACATGTAGATACTGATATAGATGTATGATTGTATAGACAGTTCCATATCTAGAATATACCATGGAAATAGATAATCATCTAGTAGTAACAACCAAGTATAAAAGTAGGGAGGTAGTATACACTATTGAATATCCATATCCACCAATATACGGAACCCCCCTCGGAATTGGCATCCAAACAAGCTCTCCAAACTACCCAACACTAACCATCCTTATCCTCCTAGCTTTTCCTCTACCAACCTGTCAGACCCACAGTGGAGACCATCAAAGACGTGCCGAGTTCCAAGTTCCCAACGTGGTTCACTCCGAAATACATCCGAAGCTCTCCGCTCCGAGTCCGTCCCGATTCCTTTCCTTTCCTTTCCTTGCTTTCTTTCTCCAGTGGCTCCAGTGCTCCACGGATGGGTCGGTTTCTCCTGGAGGGATGGGTGGATGGATTCGGGTATCGGCATTGCTTTTTTGGTGACTTGGAGAGGGAGGCGGTATTCTGGTTTATCTATATATAATATATGTACCTTCTATTAGTATTGTATTATATATGTGATGCCTGTATAATCTGACTACGCATCGTTTACCTACTACTTACATATACTTATTATACCTACCCTTATATACGTCTACGTCTACTATACTATAATGACCCGTCCAGTCGTCGTCCTCGGCGCGGGCGTCCTCGGCCGACGCATCGCCTCCGTCTTCCTAGCAGGCGGCTACGACGTGCACACGAGAGATCCCAGCGAAGCAGCCCTAACAGCAGCGAAGGAGTACGCCGCCGAGAACATCGGCTCCTTCACGGCGCTCACACCCGCCCAGCCGAAGCCGCAACCGGGCACCCACCGCGTGTACACAGACATCGCATCCGCCGTGCAAGATGCGTGGCTCGTCGTCGAAGCCGTCCCCGAGCAGCTCCCGCTGAAGATCGCCACGTTTGCGGAAGTCCACGCCGCCGCGCCGGCGGACTGCATCATCGCGAGCAACAGCAGCTCGTTCAAGTCGCGGTTGATGATCGCGGAGTTGCCGCGTGAGCGCGCTCAGCGTGTGCTCAACATGCATTTCACGATGCCGCCGGCGATTCGCACCGTTGAGCTGATGACGTCTGGCGAGACGGACGAGGCGCTGTTCCCGTTGTTGACGGATGTGTTGGCCAGCTGTGGCGTGCTTCCTGTGACGGCGCGCCGTGAGTCCACGGGCTTCATTTTCAACCGCCTGTGGGCGGCGATTAAGCGCGAGATTATGATGATCCTCGCTGAGGATGTCAGCTCGGCGGCGGAGATCGATCTCCTGTGGGAGAATATGTTCCAGCTCCCGACGAGCTTGCCGCCGTGTAAGCTGATGGATCAGATCGGGCTGGATACGGTGGCGTTCATTGAGGATAACTATGTTGGTGAGAGGGGGTTGGATACCACGTTGACAGTGGATTGGCTGCGCGAGAAGTATATCAAGCCGGGAAAGCTAGGCAAGAAGAGTGAATTGGGAGGGTTGTATCCTGCTTCTTCTCCTGCTTCTTCCTCCTCTTCCGAGTCGGCTGGGGCTTCGACTCGCCCCTCGACTGCGTCATCCGCGCCGGAGAACGACGGAAAGAAAGAATTGCTTGTCCTGGACGTCGGCCTGGGCTCCAACAACGCCGACCTCAGCGCCATCCCGACAGCAGGCCGCATCCTGCGCTTCGACACCGCATCGCGCACGATGACGCCCGTCGTGACAGGCCAGTCCCTCCCCGACGGGATCGACGTTGCGCGGGGAGCCGGACGGATGTTCTGGACGAACATGGGGCGATCGACGTCCACATGCGACGGCAGCGTGCACTCGGCGCGCCTAGACGGCAGCGACGTGCAGACGATCATCCCGCCCGCGGCGGTGCACACGCCGAAGCAGCTGGTGGTGGACGAGACGACGTCGCGGGTGTACTTCTGCGACCGGGAAGGGATGGGGGTGCACCGGGTGCGGTTCGACGGGACGGAGCACGAGACGATCGTGAAGACCGGGTGCGCGACGCAGAATAAGGGCGAGATGACGCGGTGGTGTGTGGGGATTGCGCTGGACGCGGAGCGCGGGCTGGTCTACTGGACGCAGAAGGGGCCCAGCAAGGGTGGTCAGGGCCGGATCTTCCGTGCGCCGGTGGATGTGCCCGCTGGGCGGACGGCTGAGGATCGTGATGATATCGAGCTTGTGCTGGATGGGCTGCCTGAGCCGATTGATTTGGAGTTGGATGCTGCTGGGGAGACGCTGTATTGGACGGATCGGGGGGAGCATCCTGTGGGGTGTTCGCTGAACCGGGTGGTTGTTGCGGGGGATGGTGGCGTGGAGGGCCGACGGGGGAAGAAGGAGATTCTGGCGCGACAGTTCCATGAGCCCATTGGCTTGAAGCGCGATGCGTCCGGGGATGCGGTGTATGTGGTGGATCTGGGAGGATGTGTGTATCGGGTGAAGGATGGGAAGAAGGAGAAGTTGTGGCAGGATGATGCTTGCTATACGGGGGTGTGTTTTGCTTAACTTGCCATCTAATAGATAGAGGTATACACTTATTCATATTATACAAATGTACAAATATAACAATATAAATAAATATAGAAATACAGATCAAAAAAAAAAGATCCTTCCAACAGAGTGAACACTGGGGAAAGAAAAAAGAAGTGGTCCCAGTGAGGCTCGAACTCACGACTTTAGAGTTATTAGCTCTACACTCTAACCAACTGAGTTATAGGACCTGTTGGTTGATTTGCTGAATCTTTTACAGATACAGTAACAGACTCTCAAAATGCAAAGTGATGAGGTCATAAATCCATCTATAACCTCTATATCCTCTATACGATACCATACTTCTCCATCAACCACACACAACCAACATAATGCCCTCCCGACAAACCAGTCCCCTCCCCAAATCCCTCCAAGACCTCCTCATCGAAGACGAGGAGGAGATGGAATGGTATGGCGATTATGAAGATCACTGGATTACCGCGTATGTCTCCTGGCTGTCAATCCTTGGGTCTATTAACGTGATAGACGTAGGGCGGCGCAATCGAATCCCCAAGTTGGGACCGATCCAGAGCCATCGCAGACAAAACTGAAGACAGGAATAACGGAGACGGAGAGTAAGACGGCGGGGCAGGAGGGGGAGTCTTGATTTCTTCCTAGGTTTCGTTGCATATTAGTGGGCTTGTGGGTATACTACCAGGTAGTATACTATATATTAGTCTATTCTCCGTGGTATCTGTCAGTAGCATACAGATCATGTCTTATCGAGTTCAGACGTACTATATATTTCCTAGTACCAAGACCAGACTGTCACTATCAAATAATACTCTATGTGACTCAATATATATATATATTCAACCGAAGAGGTATCTAAATAATTGATATTTGAAGAGAATACTATCACAGCTCCTAACAGAATCCGACACCCTTTTGAACCATACCCCTGTCAGCCCGAACCCATTATCCCGTTCCATTCTTAAGGGTATGTTTTAGAGGTTGAGTATGTCCTCCATGGTTAAGCCCTAATGAAGCCATCCAACCGTTTTTTGTATAGCCCGGGGTAAAAATGGTATATTATACCTAGGTACATACTATATATAATCTTCCTACCTAACTTACTGTATGCTAGTTAGAGAATGAACCGATGCTAGGGAAGTGGGGAACAGAGCAGCAGTGCAAATATGTCGATTATTATTCTGGAAGCACAATAACAGGCTAGATACATGATTTCTGGAGGCAAGAAGTGAACAAGGTCTATGCCAATAACTTATGTATATTATTTCTGGGGTGTTTGGTTATATAGGTAGTAGATTTGTGGAGATACTAGGTAGTATATACTAGTATATCATATACTAGTCTACATCCTATAGTACCTAAGTAGCCCACAGTCATATAGAATCAAGACACATTGAGATTCCAAACCCATACTAAACTAACCACTGCAGTCACAATAACATAAATGTCATCGCCCACACCTTTAACCCCAGCAACTCCAAACAATGATTCCTAGACAATTGACCACCAGGGACCACCAGTAAACACCATAGCTCAAAATCAAACAGGACGAAAGACATCACCCACAAACCAGCCCTGCCAACGCAAGTCTCAAAAAGCATCAGTCATAATAACATCTTCATCCTGCTGAGTTATCTCGTTAGATAAAACCGTCTGCAAAATCTCCATGAAGATGGATTCGGGATTAGCAGATAGTTCGGTTTCGCTGTTGAGAAATGGCGTTAGCCTTGTCTATCCATATACCTATATATCCATCCATCCAGCTAGAGATACATATATGACGATAAGAGAGAAAGAGGACTCACCCATCCAGATCAGCCGCCTCCCAGTAAATCTCGGGCAGATGTTCCACTATGTCTGAGAATCGGACTTTTTTGGCTGGTTGGGGAGGCGAGGTGTAGGGACGGCATGATTTCTTTAGGATGGATGGCATTTTTGTTTCTTTCTTGCTTTCTTTCTTTTCTTTTTAGAGTGTGATATATAGGGATGTTGTTTTTGATGTGGTTCTTTCTTCTCTTTTCTTGATGAGATTGATGAGTTTGGGATGAGATGGTTGATTTTTGGGATGAGATGGAGGGATGCCGTGTAGCAGATGGATGATTTCAAGAAGATGGACGCTGTCGAGAATAAGGTAGACAAATTAAGATTACTGCATGAGCAATACTGACATACCGGATAGACTTCATGATTGAAGATATCCGTCATTGTGATCATCTGCTCGTTCAAAATATCGTCATTCCGTGTCTTCATTTCCCGAAACGGTATTCTATCTACAACTACAATCAGTTCACTACCGCCTTCCCTAACAGACCGGAAACACGATAGACGAAACCCCCCCAGTTGAATGAAGAATATCATACCACCAAGTCTATGTACCAAGCCAGGGAAGAAATGAAAGTAGATCTGCCATCGGGTCCAGTTAGCAACGAGAACAGACCGTCCGAGATAGGATTATGAAAACGAAAAAAGAAAAGGTAAAGAAATAGAAAAATATGTAAATAAGCAAGTTCGTCACCAAGCCAGGGTCGTTTCGTTATCGGTCATGCTTATGCCTCCGTCTCTAGTAGCCTTCTTCTTCGCCTTGTTGATATACATGGCGGGTTCGGGTGGGATCTTTGCGCATCTGTTGGCCGGAGCCGGTGAAGCCGACTGTCATATGTTAGTAGTTGTACAAAAAAAAAAAAAAAAAAAAAAAAAGGAAAAGAAAAGAATAGTTGTGAAAAGAGAAGAGAGGAAAAAAATACCTCGTGCGTTGACCCCCTCGCCCGTCCGGAACATGCTCTGCTTCCGACCTATCTTCCCCTTACTGGCAAAATCCTTCCACTTATTCTTGCCCTCCTCTAGCTCGCGCGTGGCCTTGACCTTGCGCGGCACCTTGGCCGGCCGCGCGGGCCCATCGCTCACCTTACTGGGCTCATTGCGCGCCTGGGTCGCCAGCGCCGGGTTGATGTCGGCGGCTGCCGAGATGACACCGGCGTGGGACGGTTGCGGCGTGGACGACTGCGACGACGTCGCACTGCTGGCGCTCCCGTCGGCCTTGCGCTTGCGCGAGTCCGGACCCGTCACGGGCCGGATGTCGCGGGCGGTCAGGGATTCGACCGTCGCGTACGACTTGAACGACACTAGGTAGACGGGGTTACTGGAGGAGCCCGTGATGGAGGTGATGCGGGCCGGGTAGAAGGCGCCGTCGCCGGAGACCCATCGCGCCAGCACGTGGTCATTGACGGAGAAGGAGACGGGGGCTTGCTCCTCGGAGCGGGGTTCCACCGTCGGGGTCCGGGAGTCGGATTGGGGAGGATGGTGATGGTGGCTGGCGCTGTGGTTGTGGTGGGAGGCGGAGGAGGACGAGGTGGACGTCTTGGGTGGGGCAGAGGGTTTGGCGGGTCGTAGTTCGGCGATGGAGGTTTCGGTCAAGGAGATCAGTTCTTCCAGCTCAGCTTTGAGACTCTGTAGTTCCGTATTGTCTGGGTCTACCTGCAAGCTGGACTGGACGGTTTCCAGCTGATGGAGGTTAGCGATGGATGGGACCGCCGAAGGATGCGGTGACATACCTGGATTTTGAATTCTTTGACCTCGGCCTCGAGGGCGGTGACATCGGACATTGTGAAATGTATGATAGGATAGGATGACAGGACCTAATTAACCTAATTCAAGTGAAATGGGATGGTTGGGAGGCGAGAAGTGATCTGCCCAGGAATGATGTTGTTGCGACGGATTTCGATCGCCGCGGCGGAAGGACAGGTCACGTGTGACGTACTTTCATAGTGACTCATCTTTTATGTCACCTTATGCGGTATATCACGTGAGCGGAGATCAACGGTCGATCCCCACGTCATAGAATGGACTTTACTGATGGTATAGCGTAGTGGACGGTATACTACCTTGGATATATACTATATACGCAGTAATGGAGGAAATAGAAATCCAAGTATTACTCTGTGGATGGTGACGATCAGACATCCAACCAGGCAGTCGGGGAGAAAAGACCGACTCGGAGACTTTTCCAATTACGTCAGATCTGGAGAGATCCTGATCGATAAGAGATCAAGACGTCTTCATGGTTATTATACAGTCATTTCAGATCAACCAGGCAAAAGGAGACATCAAGTCAAATGACAGAATACGAAGAAAAGGCACCCTGTAACATCCCTGTCATCCACCAATAAATCAGGAGTAAGACAGGATCGATCCTCAGGCCAGAAGATGATTTATAAGCAGCATAAGTCTCGGATGTGGTCTCGGCCCGTCCACCGACCAATCAGAACGCGCAGCTGCTGCCTGGGGAATCTCCCGTCACGTTTCTCGTTCTTGACTCAGGCTCCAACTCTCTCTCATTCTTTCTGTCTCACTTTCCCCTCTTTCTCTTTCCATCTCCATCTTCATCTCTCCGTTCTTCATCCATCGAACCCTCAATCCCCTCCTCTACTAACCCTTTCTACTCGATCGTTCATCTTGGCTCGTGGATCCCCCTCTGACCCCACTCTCAACTGCCGACTTCCTTCGATTGGCTTCTCCCCACTTCCATTGATCGATCGGAACGGCGTGGTCCAGATTACGCCTTCATCCACCCCCCTCCCCCCGGTCATCTCCGGTCACCATCTTGGTCGTTTCTGCCCCTTTCGCAAATTCTGATTATCCTCCTTTGCCTCCCCTATATCCTCGTGGATATCGATCGGAGAACAGGGTATCCTGCGGCGACATCTCAAGTGGGGAACCGAGGAAACCTTACCCGCGGAAATACGCCACTGCCCAACAGACAAAGCCTTGCTGACTCGGCCTGCGCCCTCGTGTGCAACAACCTTGATCCGGTGATCGCGCGACGGTCTCCATCGTTCGAACAGCGGGCGGGAAGCCCGACCCTGCACCATCACGGTTCATCACTGGCCTACACGTCACTGTCGCCAGCCCCACCATGACCGATTTTAACGCCCTCTACCAGCAAGGCCTTTACCTCACCCCGAACCAGCAAGACCTCCTCCTGGCCGCCCTATCCTCCAACAAAGCTCCCGGCCAGAGGCCAGAGAACAAGTCCCCATCGAAGGAAAGTCCTCCGGCCCATCATCCTCAATTCAAACCCGACCCCGACGCCACCCCCGCTCGACACTCTTTGGATAGCTTCACCATGTCGCCCGGCTTCGATCGTTCCGCCCTGTCCGGCGGCTTGGACGAGAGCCCGTTCCTCGACTTTCCCAACGACCCTGAGTTTGACTTCCATGGCGACGACCTGATCGGTGATCTTCCCGGGAGCCTCCCCTCCGATGAGGTGGAGTCCGGGGAAAAGCGGAAGGACCTGTCCGACGACGAGGCAGAGGAATCGGGGAAGAAGCGGAGGGAAAGCGAGGGGGCCAGAAAGCCCGGCAGAAAGCCCCTGACCTCGGAGCCGACCTCGGTATGCAACCCTTTCCCATCGGTTCGGTGACTGGGACCTTGTCGTTGGCTGACCCCACTTGTAGAAGCGCAAGGCCCAGAATCGGGCCGCCCAGCGCGCGTTCCGGGAGCGCAAGGAGAAGCACCTGAAGGACCTGGAGACCAAGGTCGATGAGCTTCAGAAGGCCTCGGAGAACGCCAACCAGGAAAATGGCCTGCTGCGCGCTCAGGTCGAGCGTCTGAATGTCGAACTCCGCGAGTATCGCAAGCGTCTGAGCGTCGCGGCGAGCAGCGGAAACGGCCTCTTGGCCATGAGCTCCGCCCCCAACGCGCCGTCCCGCGGCCTGCAGGGCCTGAATAACAGCGAGTTCCTGTTCGACTTTCCCAAGTTTGGCGACCTGCCCAGCTCGCACCTTTTCAACAACGGCCCGTGGGGCAAGGCTGCACCCCAACCCCCCAAGGACCAGGAGGCCTCGCGCCGCAACGCCAACGTGCCCGGCGTCGTGAGCCGCCAGTCCCCCACCGGTCGCAGCCCCACCGCCCCGTCGTCCGCCGGCACCACCCCGGCATCCGCCTCGGCGCCCGCGAAGCCCCCCGCCCGGTCGGCTCGTGACTCCAAACCGCCGCATGTGATCGACCTCTCCAACTCCGATTCGCCATCCTCCTCATCCGACTCCCATCAGAGCCACTTGCTTTCGTCGAGTGGTACGTCCCCCGAGCCCAACACGCACTCCCCAGCCGCGAAGGCCCCGGGCCACCACGAGGCCTGCACCTACCACTCCATCAACGGGGAGGAGTCCTTCTGCGCCCAGTTGGGGCTGGCGTGCGGCAACATCCGAAACCCCATCCCCGCGGTGCGGTCCAACAGCGAGAGTGCCACCAACACCCCGGCCCAGGGCACCAGCGAACCGCCCAGTGCCCACCACTGGACCGAACCGGCCGATTCCTCCGCCGACCAGACGCCCGGGCTTGATTGGATGGCCCAGCAGAACGGCGGCCAGTTCGACCCCGTGCTGTTCGGGGACTGGCGGGAACCGCAGGATAGCATCCTGTCCCAGGACTTTGGCACCTTCTTTGACGACGCCTTCCCGTTGCCGGACCTGGGCAGTCCCTCGCACAATTTCTCCGAGCTGGGCACGGGCACCCAACCGGCGCCACCGGCGCAGCCGGCACCCAAGAAGGGCCTGCTGGCCCAGATTGACAGCAAGTTGGAGGAGGATGAGGTCGTTCCCGGCGAGGACAAGGCCCAGATGCTGTCCTGCACTAAGATCTGGTATGTGGTCTCCCCATTTCAGCCATCCGTCCGACGCATCGGGCACCCTACTGACGGTGATCGCAGGGATCGTTTGCAATCGATGGAGAGGTTCCGCAACGGCGAGATCGACGTGGACAACCTCTGTTCGGAGCTGCGGAACAAGGCACGGTGTTCCGAAGGAGGCGTGGTCGTCAACCAGCAGGATGTGGAGGACATCATGGGCCGTGCCAAGTAGTTCCGGGAGGGATTACCCGCATGATCTTAATATCACGGCTGTCGCGCCACTACTCTTGCCGATCACACCCCCATCGTTCGATACGAAATGACGAATCTGAGAAGGACGGTGCACCTTCACAACAAGAAAAGATATCAACACAAATTAATACGAGGATGGAGCATATGCTCTCACCAAATTTCATCTTCTGGACCGCAAACCCGACTACGTTCGACCACACTGCATTATATTTGACATTTAACCTTATTTTTGAATTACTTTATTTCTTTTCTCCTGTCTTACTTGGCACCTTTGCACACTCGTTGGGTTTCCCTTCGTCTGGGTTGGTTTTTGTCTTGCGAAGGGAGTGATCAACTAATACATGGCGAGCTATCGGAATGAATGAAAAGAATGGGAAAGGAAGAATGTACACCACGCTATGACTTGCTCGGCGCTTTGATGGGAGGGTGGCGGACGGATGAACCTGGTTTGACGTGACCTAGTGCAAGCGTATCGCCCTTTACGGCTCGCGTTTTGCAAGGAATACTCTCCCGGTTGGCGTAGTCGTTGGACTTTTTGGATGGTGTTTTCATGACCATTTCTTGTGTCTGCTTCCCGGAGTGATTGCCTTTATCTCTACTTTGGTTGGCCATGCACAACATGATTACTAGGTACTTATTGAGTGTACTTATGATGATATGATGAAAGTTTTCTTCAATCTTATAGTTTCCTCCGTGGACAATCTCTACCGCATCTAATACGTAATACATGCCATAATGACAGACAACGGCAACTGTATCCAGTGAAGAAAACGTCTAAAAAGTGGCCAGTAGATACATACATACCCACGAGGTGACGACATGATGTAGTAGCTCCCCTCTTCCTTGTTAATTCCTGTCTCTTTCTTATATAGGTGTTTTTCTTTACTCCTTACTCTTTGGAGATAGGATATGACATTTTCTTACCCTAGTATGTAGCTTGTGTTTGCATGGAGGAGATAACCTATTCATTTGCCGTGGATTAAGATTAGGGATGGGAAAGAGGGAAAGAGGGAAAGAGGGAAAGAGGGAAAGAGGGAAAGGGGAAAGGAAGGAAGGACTAGACAGCGAAAACATAAATTAAAATAAGAAAAAGAGAGGAAGCTACAGAGGTGTATCGATATTGATTTGATCCTGCTTTTTTAGGAAAGAAGGAAGGAAGTCAGGAAGTCAGGAAGGAAAGAATGAAAGAATGAAAGAAGGAACGAGGTATAAAAGTAAACGCCAGAATTTACACAACAGAGAGGAAGAGGTTTATATAAAATGGAAGGATAGGATGATAGATTGAATGAATCGACAAGGGGGGAAATCTATAAATCTATTGATTTTGAGTTCTTGCAAGCTTATTTTTGAGTTTGTTTTATTATTTCCTTTTGTCTTTTCTTAGTTCGTCTCATCTTCTTCTTCCCCCTTCGAGCCATCTGATGCTCATTCATCTCATCCCATATCATACCATACAAAGAAGTGTAAGGCGTACCCGTCCGTCGACCGTCCGATAGACAGTCCCAAGAAGACTGACTGACTCACTGACTACTGCGGAGAACAAAAGCATGAATCTCGCTGCAAGGTAAAAACAAGAACAACGGAGTAGTAGTTAGACAGAGGGTCGGAGGAAAAGAGATACAGAAGATACGGTGTTGTAAATAGCACAACAAATAAAAATTAGAATATTCGTGGTAATTGAAACACGTGCTGGGAATTTAACGAAGCCCTGTAAGAAAAGAGAAAAAGAGATTTCGATACAAAAAATAGAAAGGAAAACGAAAAGAGAATAGGGCGTTTTAAGAAAGGAGAAACGGGGGGGAGAAAAGATCAACAAGAAGCAAACATGCCATTGGTCATAGTCACGGCTTAGGCTGCGTCGCCGCCCGACGGACCCGGCTTGTCGCCGCCGGAGGGTGTCGACGTCGGCGCCGGGGAGTCGGAGGACCCCTTGGTGAATCCCCCGCGACCCCCGCGCCCGCCGCCGCGACCACCCCGGTCTCCGCGACCCCGACCGCGTCCGCTAAATCCACCGCGCCCACGGCCACCCTCGCTGTCACTGGCACCACCGCTCTGATATCCGCGCTGCGGGTTGGAGCCGCGGGTGCTGCCTTGCCAGGTGCCGGCGTTGCCGCGGTGGCCGCCCCGGTCCTCGAAGAACTTGACGTTGGGCTTGCGGGGCTGACCCTGCGGGGTGGGCTTCTTATGCTCGGTGGGTTGGCGGTCGAGCGCAGCCTTGGCCTCCTCGACCGTATTGAACGTGACGACGTGGTTGTACTTGCCCCATTTCTCCACCTTCACCACCTTCGACCGATCCTCCTCGGGGAAGATATCCCGGACGGCTTGCTCGTTGTCGACGTTGGACACAAACAGACCGTTCGTCAGCTTCTTCTCCCCGCGGGACGCGGGCGACTCGGCGGACTTGTCCGGTTGGGCGGTGCCGTTGGCGTCGGCGGACTTGGCGGGGGAGCCGGGAGCGGCGGATGATGCCGCGGGTTGCGGCGTGGCGGGCTTCGGGATCACGGGGGCGGGAGAGGCACCGGCCTGGCCCTTGGGCGGCTGCTGGGCCGGCGGGGCGACCCGGGCTGGCTGGGCCTGGCCAAATTGCGGGGGCCCACGCGTGGTGCTGGCGGGGGACGAGACGCCGGCCGGGGGACCGCCCGTCACGGGGGCCGGGACGCCGGGGCCAAGGGCTTGCCGCTGCGGTGGGAGAAGTTGAACCCCTGGGCGCGCATCTCCGTAGCGATGCGACCGCCCTCGATCTCCAGCACCAGGAAGCCAAACGCGGCATCCGCCAGGTTGAAGTTCCACATGTTCTTGAAGGCGCTCTCGTCGACCTGGCCGGCGCCGTTGCCAGCGGCCGACGGACCGCCGAAGGGGTTCCCGCCATTGGCGACGGTGGGCATCTTGTGGACCACGTCGAGGGCGTTGTCCAGGAGCGTCTTCTGGGCTTCGTTGGAAGAGATGGCCGCCTCGACCTCGCCCCGGACCGTCTCCCACACGTCGTGGAAGGAGGCCTTGGACGCGGCGAGCTTGCCCCGGTAATGGTCGAGCGAGGGGTTGACGGAGAACTCGTTGTAGGAGGAGCCGTATCGGAAATGCAGACCGGCCGAGACGGAGAAATCGGCCTTGAGCGTCACCGACAGCTGGTTCAGCATGCCCTCCCGCGCGGGCGAGGCATGGGTCACGAAGATGCGGGTCTCGGACGGGTCGTAGACGCGGTTCGCCGTATCGATCAACTCGCCCATCTGCAGCAACGTCGTCCACATGGTACCCTGGCCACCGGCAATCGTCGTCTTCCCCTCACCGTTGTCGAACAGCTTGTGCATCACGACGGCACCTCCCAACCCGAGCAGGCGCAACTTGACGCCCCCGATGTCCAGCAACCGCGAGTTCGCCTCGTCGATGATGTGCAGCTTGTCCACCTTGTATTCCCCGGAGCGGAACTTCTCCAACACCCGGACATCCTCACAAGCACCCCACACGGTGTATACGGGCACGTCGAGGGTCAGCCGCTTGTCGAGCAGCATGGAAAGCTCCGAGAGGGGCAGCTGGTCCGGCGTGAACCGTTGCTTGATGGACTGCTGGGGCGGGGTTTGAGCAATCGCGCGCTTCACATTTTCAGGAAGCAGCGGAGAGTACTGGGCCACATGTTTGAGCGTCCTGGGAAGATGACGTGTTAGCTGGATGATCCGGGAGTCATCCTTGACACGAGGCCGACAGGCAGGTACGCGGGGATGGACAGTGGGGGTGGAGTGGTCGGTTTGCTGATTTGGGGGATGACCGCGTTCGGGTCAACCCGAGGGGGAGGGGAGGGGGACTCACTTGTCTGCAATCCGATCCAGCGAGGTATCATCATAGAAACCAAAGTCACCAGTGTGGATAATATGATCAGCACGGGCCTGCTTGGCCAACTCATTCAAAGATTTCAAATTCCCTACGTCACACAGAAGGACACATCAACATCCGTTAGCCACATGGAAACGCTAGGATCCTACCCACCGCGCGAAGGACGGGGGGACTCACCTCGAACATCGGCAATACACAGAACTCTAGTCGGGCCGTTCTGAATAATCCGGCCATTGTTGGGAAGAAGAGGGACCGCTCCGGGGACAGGGTTGGTGGCGCCGTTGGGGAGGGACGAGTAGCCTTGCGCACCGAAGTTGTGAGGCGGACGGGGCTGTTGATGGCAACACGTTAGATCGGGGCGCGCATCTGGGGATGCGTATCACTGGGGGAAGGGATTGAGAGGGTGGTAGCCAAGGCACCGACGAACTTACAGAAGCCATGAGTGAGGGAGAGATCGACGAAATAGAATGACCGTGATGGGAACTGGGCGATCAAAGATCAGGAGGCGGATTTGATATGGAGAGTGGTCGACCTGAGGAGGCGGTGTGAAAAGAGGAAAGAGGGGGAGAAAAAGAATCAAGGGAAGGGAAGAAAGAAGAAGAAGAGAAGGAGGGGAATGAGAAGTGAGAAAAGAGAAGGAAGTTGAAACTGGATGAAGGGGAAGAAGTGGAAGCGGAAGAGGAAGAGGAAGAGGAAGAAGAAGGTGAGGTCGAGAGAGAGAGAGAGAGAGAGAGACGCAGTTGGGGAAGTTTGGATTCGTCCCGTTTGGGTTTAGCGCCCTGGGAGGGGAGCGCCCGCTTATGTCAGCCGCTCCAGGGGCAACTGCCCATCGCCAACTGGCGACGGCGCAAGGAGTTCTATATTGATCTGTTTATTGTTTGAATCATGTCGATCTATCTGACCATATCAAGGGCTACGTTAATACGCCAGTCGTGTGGTCCAGGTATATACATCATCCGTCATAGTTCGGCACCGTCCATCCCCACCAACACCTCCGTCGCTGCGGGCGTCTCATCCAGCGCCTTCGCGACAGCCAACTGGAGAGACTTGGGCCCCTGGAGTGCCATCAGAGCGAAATGCCCCCCGACCGTGGGTCGTGCGCGACACAGAACCGGCACGCCAGGGGTAGCCCCCTTGGCCGAGGTGGACACATAGCGGTCCGAAAAGGGCCAGGTGTGCTTGCCGTTGGTCATGTACGCCCACAGGTCATCGACAAACTCATCGCGCGTCGTCGCATCCAGGGTCGCCGCCAGCCACATGTTCCAGTCGGACTTGGCCCAGTCCTGGCGGTGGTCGAGCGCCACGCCGTACTCGGCGCGCACCGTGCGGAAGAAGGCGCTGCTCATCTGGTGGGCTGCGTCGGGGAAGGTGCGCAGGTCGAACAGGACGTCGGGGAAGATGTTGTACGGCGTCTTCCAGGATTCCTGGCTGTCGGGGTACTGCAGGACGAAATGTGTCTGGGTGTCGTCCGTGCCTAGTCCTTGGTGGAAGAAGAGGTTGGCCCGTTCGTCGGCAATGCGAGAGTACTCTGTCTCTCCGGTTAGGGCACCGTAGGCCTTCAGACCGACGGTTGCCTTGATGGCCAGGTTTGTCTCGTTGGCTAGGGGACCTGCCGCGTCATTGGATGACAGCTGCAGGGCAATGTCGACGCCGTTGTCGATCAGGTAGTCGGCGTAGGGGCGCAGGAGGTCGACGTACTGCTCGACCCACGCTGTGTCGCCCGTGGCGCGCACGTAGGCCAATGCTAAGACCATCAGGTTGCCGCACTCTTCGATGGGCATCGGTTCAGCAACTTGGTTGTCGTGGCCGATAGCGTTGGGATAGTGTGAGCCCATGTCGTGGATCACGTACGGCTGCCGCCAGCGGCCCGCCGCCAGATACCGCATCATGGGCTCGAGGAGCAGTCGGATGTAGTCGGGGTCCATCACGTAGTAGATGGGGAAGGCGGGCATGATCACGTCCACCGTGTTGAGGTTGCCGTTACTTGACAATTCCTTGATAAACGCCAGGACATCACTAGGGTCTTTCGTGTCATCGGGAATCGTGACATCAATGCCGCCATAGGCCTGGCGCGCCGAGAGCGTGACAATGTCCGCATACTTGGGACCGGCCGCGGCCGCCGCTCGGGTGGCCATCTCCGTGTCGAGCACGCGCGATTCCAGGAGCGCATCCGTGTAGTCGTCCAGGAAGTGATTGAGGGCCTCCGCCGTGGAGGGATACGCAGCTCGATAGTATCCGGTATAGGGTTTCCCAAGATAATTGATGGCGGCTTCTCTCACATAACCAACGGCGAAATTCACCGACTTACTCCCCGTGACGGTGCCGAGATCATGCGACAGCGCCACGATGCCTCCAGGGACCCAAGGCTCGTTGTTGGCGGACAGTTTCCCGGACCGCACGAAATCAGAGCGCACGTCGCCGCGGTCTCCGGACGAGAAGGAGAGTTTGGATGTGCGGCTCGGGCGCGCAGCAAAGACAGCATCGCCCCAGGTCGCCATATCGTTGTGCTCTGAGTATGGGACCGCGTTCTTGACGCCCAGTGAGTATATGGCGGTTGAATTGGCGTGCTGAAAATGACGGGCTGTCCGTTGTGGTCTCCCCGCCCACCTGCCATCTATACCAGAGAATATCTGAACATCATTGCCCAAAGACTCCGAAACGGTAACAGTCAAATAGCCTATACAGCAAATTAGCACCAATCCAGGATCAGAAAGAAGGGCGTCCAAGCGCACTAAAAGGCAGCGACTGCCTCAGATAATTCGCCGGCGAAACCGGCGAAAAGAAGTCCAGCATAAACACAACCGAACCAGCCGACAGTGTAAAAACCGAGTGCGACGCGGTATACTCCGCGGAGCGCACGACGGCGGGACGAATCCTGTCGCCCGGGTTCTTAACGCTCATCAAGCTATACGTCTGGCCGTCGACGCGGGCCATGACCGACCAAGTCAAGCTCTGGCCGGCCCAGAACTGGGGCTCCGCGTAGGGCAGCGTCTGGACCTGATCGCTGGGCATCCAGGCCGAGAGATAGGGGTTGCGCACGGCTAGTGGGTATGAAGGAGGAAGGGCGGGCTCATGCTTCACGAGGGTGCGCTCACGCGGGGAGACGAGCGAGAGGGCCATCGTGAGGAGGGAACCCAGGCCCAGGCGGTTGTGGAAGTCGAGATACATGTTTGAGTGGCCATGTAGAGAGATGGGGAGGAGGTATTGGATGTGAAACAGGGACTGCGAAGTAGAGGAATGGAGAAAGAGGAGAAGGCGGAGGTGGTTTATTATTAGCAGAGTATCAACCGTCGATCGTTGCGTCATCCGCGCGTCCAGAGTCCAGACTCGCCAGTGCCAAGAGTTGATAGAATGTGGGGTGAACAGTGAAACAGAAGTATGATTTCTATATCTCGAATTGCTTCAATGGATGTCAAAGACGGTGGAATGGCAGCATTCGAAAGAAAGGCTGTTCCTCCTACTATAACAGCTGGTCAAACTCAACCACGGTTCAACCAGCCACCACTAATTCTAAACATTCTACAGATCAAGCAAAAACCACACTATTCCTCAGCGTCCCAATCCCCGTCACACTCACATCCATCTGCGTCCCAGGCGTCAGATATTTCGGAGGTTTCAATCCAAACCCAACCCCTGTTCAGAACACAGCGTCAGTGACAAAATACACAGAGAAGGATAGAGAGACACATACCAGACGGCGTCCCCGTCATAATAACACTCCCCTTCTGCAACGTCGTCCCCTGCGACAAATACGACACAATATACGCACAATCAAACAGCATATCCGCGACATGTTCATCCTGGCGCACCTCGCCATCGACCACCGTGCGCAGATGCAGCGCCGCCGGATCGGCAACCTGCGACCCAGCAACTAGACAGGGGCCCAGCGGCCCATACGTGTCGAAGCCCTTGGAGAAACACCACTGCGGCACGCGGCCTGCCAGCGCGGGGTCGCGCTGCAGTTTGCGCGACGAGATGTCGTTGCCGACGGTGTAGGCGCCGATGTAGGAGAGGGCTTGATCGCGGGGGACGTTTTTGGCGTCTTTGCCGATTACGATGCACTATTTGGCGTTAGGACATAGGCACGGTGGAGGGAGGAGGATATTTGAGTCTGTATTTTGAAGACCACGAGGGACAAGAAGAAGAACAGGGGACGTACCAGTTCTCCTTCATAGTCCGCCTGCTCGTCCTGCGCGATGGAAGGGATCTCAACAGGAGCGCCATGATCATGAACCGTAGTGTTGGGCTTGAAAAAGATAGACGGGAACGGGGGAGGCGTGCGTCCTGCTTCTTTGACTGTCGTGCGTGTGATGAGCTTGTCAGTACATCTCTTCAATGCGTCCAGGTCCTTCCATGGGACAGAAACCAACTAACTATGGTTCATATAATTCAGCCCCACACAGCGAACAATCGGCACCTCATGCTGCGCCAGCGGGCCCAGAATCGTCTTCACAGTCACCACTTCATCCGTGACGGTCGTCTTGCCGGTTGTGTCGTAGATATCGTCGCCGGAGATGACGCGCGCCTGGACCTGGTCGGCTGCTGTCACGAAGCCGAGGTCGACGCTGTCCTCCACGAGGGGTTCACCGCGGAGGATCCGGCCGTCAGTGGCTTCGAAGCGGATTAAGCGTTTCCAAGGGAGCTCCATATTTCTATTGAGGGTGTTGGAGAGGGTGAGGAGAGTGTGGGGGACACTCGGTAGTAATAGGTATATGAATGAGGGGCGGGGAAAGATCGGGTGTGGACCGGAGTGAAGAGTAACCTTACGCGATAGTCTGCAATTGCGGATAAGGGTAGTCGGGATATCATACAAATGGTAAAAATAGGCTTGTTTGGTCTTTATATACTCCTTGGGAGAAATAATTACATGACTATCTACATCTATCAATTGTATGGCTGATCAGTATGGTTGTCCCCACGTAGACCACTCCAGGAATGAACGGGCTCATATTAGGGCTCAGTGGGCAACCGTTCTGCCCTTGAAACCGGTCCGAAAGATCCTAATTATTTGACTATGATGGATGACAGGGTATAGGTTGTTCAAAATTCCCCGAGAATCTTATCCTAACGTCATGGCATGCTAAACAACTACCAGTCTAATCTCCTCGCCCTGATTCTTTTCTGCATCGGAAGACCTTCACATGATCTACAACCCTTGTACTCATAGTTTCTTCCATGAAGGATAATGCAAACTCAATGGGGCCGGTGCAACGCCCGACCTACCTAGGATAGCATTTACTCCCGATTGAGCAAAGCTAGGAGGTCCCCGTCCACCATGAACTCGCCAAACTCCATTCCCAACGGTGAAAAATTAAAATCACTCGAGGGAGCCAGCGACGCCGTATTATAGAGACCGAAGCTGGGACCGAGAGTTGGGTCTGAGCTTGCTTTTTCTGTGAAGATGACTACGTTAGTATATGCCTAACTTAGACCTAGAACGGACGTCTACGAGGAGCAACAAGCGAGGGAGAGGAAAAAAGAAACAAAGGATTTACCTCGCGCATCCAAAGCACTACTAAAATGCTCTAGATATACACGACAGCGGTCAACCATCCGGTTCCCGCCGTCGAGTTTAAGAAGGGCGGCAATCGCCCGAGAAGGGTATAACTGCGCGCGGTCGACCAACTCAGCCATCGATTGACCTGTGACAGTCTCGTTCCGACACACCCAAAGCAGACCCAGGATGACGAAAGCCGCGTTGAACGCTAGAGTTAACAGAAAGGATGAGCAACCGTTTCCCCTGAAGTGAGCGATTATAGACGAAACATACTGTAGTAGAGCGAGAACCACCACGCTCCCAAAAGGCTGCGTCGCCATCCAGGGTCGTAGACAATATCGTAGATGAGATCAATAATCTCCATGGCACAGTCTGCACATACGCACAGACTATTCGGCCCCATCTGCTGAAGAAGTTTCAGCTCCTGCGGATCAGGCTGCAGGCCACCGCAGGCGTCGATGAATTTGACGAGGATCGGACGGTGTAGGAGAACTCGGAGGTTCAGGTGTCGGAGGGTGAGAATGGTGCGGAATTTCCAGGAAAAGTGCGCTGTGTTTGAAGAGGGCTCGTGGGCTGCGTTTCTCAAGCCTGCGATGTTGATCAAGCGTAGTGCGTCCGGGAGGGACTTCTCCCAGGTGAACAGGTGCTGCTCTATGGCGAATACCTGAGAGACGGTTTGGCTGACGCTGAGGGGCATGTCGCAGCCTAGGTTCTGACCGTAGAGAAGGTCGAGGATGGTCCACATGTGCTTGTATAGCTCTCTGGTTGGACTGTGAGCGATATGGGCCGGGCAGCGGGAATGAAACGTACATGGATGAATTGAAGAATGATAGAGAAAGACAGCTCGTTTCAGTCTCTATCACCGCGGAGGTGTTCAGGTCAGGATGTGCTGCTGGTAGTTCAAGCTTGACATAGCTATCCGGGATGGCTGCCGGGCGTCCGAAAGTCATACTTAACGTCCTGATATCCACTCAGTTGGGAAGGTAACAGAGAAATGTCGGGGTTTAACGCACCGGTCTAGTACAACACAACCATACCACGTCCTCTTCCTCGTTTCTTGTTCAACCGGAGAGAAAGCCCTAGAGGCATCCCGGGAATGCAACCCAAGTTGAAGGGCAGCTTTGACAGCCAGACCATGGATGGTCCATGCCTGCACAGACTTTTGCGTCCCTTGAAGGTACTGACCCATCAGGAGAAGAAACTGAACTGAACGTCAACTTAGTAAACCGCGAACGGCATCTCTACACAAGACAATCTTACCAACTTCCACAGTGGTACCCCTAAGGATCTCACTACCGCAGAGCCCGAGACCCCGTTGGTAAAACACATCCGACTCTGCAATCCGCGCGTCGGCATCAGCTACCCCGGGACTGGTCGTAATCGTAGACATGGCGAGCACCATATTTAACAGCCCCAACCACGTCCGCCTTACTTTGCTGAAATTCTCCCTTGCCACCTGGTGATATGTTTCGAGAAAGGCGGGCGGGTATATGTACGGGAATAGCAGCCCTGTGTCCGAGAAAAACCGATGGATGAGCTCCAGCGTTTCCGACCGAGGGGGTACCGCGAAGATACTATGTTCTCCGCTACGTTCGGATGGCCGATCACTTCGGCGTACTCTAGGGCTAGGCGGACGAGAAGCGCTGACGAATCCGCCTTCATAGACGCCTGTTCTGAGCACAGGGTTTTCCAGGCCCCCGCTGAGAGTCCCGGAGTTGACGATTCCTCGCGTCAGGTGTCGCAGAAAGGCGACATTCGACGATGGGCCTGACCCAGTTAACACGGCGAATTGGCATGGTCAACCAGATTTTAGAATAGACACACCGAAGAACCCCGAGTCCTCCTCTTCAGCTAGCTTCACAGTGCCCATTCCATCGACGGAATCTTCCGTCCCTGCAAGGTCTGGCATCGCAGAGCCTGACGGAACATCTTCATCGTGTCCGACTTTAGGATCGTGTCCCTGGTCCACACGATGTGACAGCCCACTGAGATCATTCCGGACTGCTAACAGCGAGTCCTCCAACGTCTTTACACGTCCTTCGAGACCACTCAAATAGCTAAGCAATGACTATCAACCACTTGTACCGCTGGAATAGTGGCATACATACTCTTTCTGAACGATGACATTAGTTGCCGTGGAGGAAGGCGTATAACCGCAATCAAAACCCAAATCACTGCACAAGGAGCATTTTGGACGATTTCCATCACACTAGAACGACATTAGTGACTCTGGCTTGGTGTGCTTGTACGTCGCTAGAGTGGAGAGAGAAGGAGTAGATACGAACACGAGACTTCCGAGTCCTGCAGGGGTCGCAAGCCAAAGCCACCCGGCGCCGTTTTACTGGATGTGGCTCTGGAGAGCGACTGCCGCTTGTATGATCCATTGCAGAGTGATCTGATGAGGTGAGAGGGCAGGTTAGTGTGTATGTTCCGGGGAAAGGATGGAAGTGATGGGGAAGCGGGGAACCATCGGGAGGATCGGGGAGTGGTCGGGATATGTTTGTGCCTTGCTTTTTAGGCATAAATGGATATACTGCTGGATTAGTACATTGTCTGAGGATAGTAGACTTGCATTTGCTGAGACAGCAGGATTAAGCTTGACTTAAGTATTTTTGTGATGGATATGTTCACAGCTACTGGAATATATACGATGCCATCATAATCAATTCACTATGAATATATGATTGCCCTACTTAGAAGTTAGAGTTAGGGAGCAATTTCCCAAGTAAACCACATAGCAAAGCCCACAGCAACACACCTAGTCTTTCACAAGAGACTCCACATCTGTATCTTCCGTACGATAAAATCCCAAAGCCTCTATCATCGGCTTATCATCAAACCGATAAAGGTAAACCGTCTGTCCCTCGCTCGCATAGTGCTGATATCGGTACCACGACGGCACACAGAACGTATCCCCCTTCTCCCATGTGAATTCCTGCTCTCCAATAATGGAATACCCACTACCAGCAATAACATGATACACGGCAGAGGTCGTCTCGCGACGCCACGGCGACAAATGACCTCCTTCCAACCTCTCCGCGCAACCACCGAGGATGCGACTCACTGTTGAAATCAGCAGATGCCCTACTATAGAATTCCATAGGAATACCCACCTTCACGGCCATCCGCTCTCAAATACCGCCGAGACACCCAGTGTTCGACAGCATCCCCATCCAGCAGAGCCTTCATGCGCGCCCACGGAAACACAATCGGGGAGGACCCGCTGTCGACATCCTCAGCCGGATACCGCGACTGCGCGAAATGCTGCACAAAATGCACGGGGAAGTGCTGGAAATTGGGTAGATCTAATCCGTCGAGCCAGATCATCGGGCCCGATCCGTCTTTGCCGTGGTCATGGTAGTTCCAGGTTGGGGTTAGGATGACGTCGCCCTGCTCCATTTTGATCCGCTTGCCATGCACGGCCGTAAAGCCACCGTTGCCTTCGATGATGAAGCGCATGGCAAATGCGGTGTGTCTGTGGGCTGGGGCTACTTCGTTGGGCATGACGAGCTGGAGCCCGGCGTAGAGAGTGTCTGTTGTGTAGGGCGCGTCTGGGTGGTTCAGCTTGGCTCTCTTCGAGTGTGTAGAATAATTGTCTTTGGGTCAGGGGGGTAAAGTCAGACCTCGTGCAGGGTTGATCAACATGAGCACCCTCCTCTCAGCCTCCTTCTCAGTGACGAGCTGGCCAGCGCGCAGCAGGTTAGGCTTTATCGAGCTGTACTTCCACAAGAAAGGGACACAGGTGGGGTTTGGTGCTGGCGGGTTTAACCGCGTCATTTGCTTCCATAGTGGGAGGGTTTTACTGTCCTCAAGATCTTGGAGCAGTTTTTCTTGGGTGTCGCTGGCCGCGACTACTTCCACGTCCCTGGTCATTTTGCAGTGGGTAAGATAATTCCTGTGAGGGGTACTTGTCTTGAGCTAGAGAATACGAGTAGGGAGATTCTTTCCAAGATATATCTCGGGATACCCCAGGATACCCCAGAGTAGCGGGGGAGGCGGGGAAAGATCGGATGTAGGATGGGGGCAGTAACTGGGGGCGAGACTATATATGTATGAGCCTAGATCGGTTATATAGATGGCTTCCTCCATGGTCAAGGTAATCGCAAAGCAAACTTGATATTCAGCATCTAATACCGTCATGGGATCCCACGCTAACCAGCACGCGACTGCCTCTCTGAAGGTCAGTACGGTCTGACACCAAGAAAGACAGAGATCACTTCTCACAGGATGAAGATAGGACCCGACATATCCAAGCAACTGCTTGGAATTCATAAAGCAGTTTAAAGAGCAGGACACGCCATGCCCCACAGACAGACCCAAATTAGACATCATCGTTGTCGGCGCAGGACTCGGAGGCTTAGCAACTGCAGTTGCGCTCGTAACCCATGGCCACAGAGTCACAATCCACGAGCAAACGCCTGAGCTTGGCGAGGTAAGACGAGCATCTGACCTGCAATCTCAAGAATCAATCCACTGACTTCTCTAGGTCGGTGCAGGAATCCAGATTCCACCCAACTCGACCAGGCTTCTCCTCAAGCTAGGGCTCGGGCCCTACTTGAAACCCTACGTGACAGAGCCAGATTCAATCTCATTTCGCCGCTGGAGCAACGGAAAGGTTATTGGGTACACAAAGCTGGCTCCAAATTTTTGCGAGCTGTTCAGTGCTCCGTATCATGTCATCCATCGGGCAGACTTCCACTCCGCCTTGTACCGAAGGGCGCTCGATCTGGGGATCGACGTAGTTCTAGGATCTAAAGTAGTGGATTATGACGCGCAAAGTCCATCGATAACCCTAGAGAATGGATCATTGCTCAAAGCAGATCTGATCGTTGCGGCAGATGGTGAGTTATCTAGATTCTATCATTGGATGTACTCTAACTAACCATAACCAGGGATCAAGTCCATCGCAAGAGGGATCTTGCATGGATCCATCGAGAAACCACTAGAGAGACCAGGATTTGCCGCCTACAGAGCCACAGTAGATGTGAATCTCATGAAAGACGATCCTGACACCGCGTGGCTTCTGGAGAAACCAGCCCTAAATATCTGGTGAGCGCCATCACATACACCTAAAAGTAAGTATCACACTGACGGTCTTTTCCTAGGATCGGAGACAAACGCCACGTCATGACGTATACAATCGGCGCTGGGAAGGCCTTCAACATGGTATTGTCGCACCCGGATGAAAGCGACCCATCCACATGGGACCAGTCAACGGCGCTGCGCGATATGAGGGCCGAGTTTGGGGATTGGGATCCAAGGTTTGCAGTAGCAAATCTCACGTACCATATCAGAATACTGATAGTAGAGTGACCAGACTGACGAAGATAATTGGTTTCATCGACAAAACCATCAAATGGCCGCTCCTCACCGGTGCCCCTATGCCGCGCTGGGCCAGTGGGAAGACCGTCATTCTCGGAGACGCCGCCCACGCAATGCTGCCATACATGTCGCAAGGTACGGGCCTCACCTCAACATCGGCAGATATATAGGTAGCTGACAATCTCAGGCGCCGCGATGGCCGTGGAAGACGGCGTCGCACTGGCCCAGGCACTGACGCATCTAGCGTCGCGTGCAGATCTTCCTGAAGTACTCTCGATGTTCGAGACGGTTCGCATCGAGCGCACGAGCCAGATGCAGGAGGCTAGTCTTCTGAACGGACAGCTTTGGCATTTCCCAGACGGCCCGCTACAGCAGGCGCGCGATACGGCTATGTTTCCCGAGACTCAGGGCGTCTCGTTTTCGCATAGCCCGAACCAGTGGAGTGATCCGGCGACGCAGATGTGGTGTTATGGGTATGATAGCGAGAGGGAAATCGACGAGGCTTTTAAGAAACGGAAGTTTGGCATTAAAGATGCATTATGATTGTGGGACCAGGTAGAAGGCCGTGTATTCTTGTGCATGAGGTAGTCTATCGAGATAGGACGCATCCATGGATTCAAACTGCTAGAAAGCGGGTGAATCTTGGTTCAATATGAGTACACAATCAGTGACGCTCACTCTACACATACCGTCTTGCCTGTTAAACTCGAGAGTGGTACATCCCATAGCTTTCGATGATTTCGAGCGTGATTATCATCCGGCCTTGGATCCTGTCGGGGCGTAGTTGGAGTGATATGGATCCTTCTAGGATGTCTTTCCATGGCTTGATTCTTATTCCTGACTTCTTTCTGGCCTTTACTCTTATCGTTTGATAAACAATTATACCAAAACTAAAGCGCTATCACAAGCCGCTGGCTGGGGTACTTAAAGTCAAATTCAAGCCGAATGGCTCATATAGTCAGCCCAACAAATGCTGCATAGTCCGTTGATTGACACTCCAGAGCTCCATGCTTTAGGTTTACAGTGTTGGCACATTCAATCCGACCATTAGAGTTTGCTGAAGAAATATAACCACAGTAAGAAGTGAACACGACATGGGTCGTCCTCCTTGCCTTGATGGATTAGTAGATCCTCGGATGCCCTCGCAAACTTAGAAGTAGTACACCAGAAAGAGAAATAAAAAGAGAATGAATAAACTAGTAATGAAAGACTGCTTTTTGCGGTATCTTATTTGTTTTCATTTCATTCTTACTTTGTAAAATTATAGTCCATATTTGTAGACACTCCCATTCGTCCCTAGGTGATGTTTTTCTATCATATCCGCGAATTAGGGTTATGGTCCAGACAACAACGACATCAGTATTCTTGCTTCACGCTCACGTTACACTTCATGGCTACTACCTTCTAGATATTCCATGTCTACCACGTTCAGGTGTCCCACAGGCACCAATTAGAGCGGTGTAACCGGTGTAGAAGCAGATCCTACAAACAATCGTGCATAGCCTCAAAACCCTACCAGTTAGATGACCTATCATATCAGCCCAAAGACCCTGCACGATGCAAGCCGATAGACGATCTGGATCACTTGACTCCAGAGACGACATGACAACCATTCCACAACCCTTATCACTGGAACTGCCGGTGTATGAGGCCGCGTCGACCCCTCGGAGATCTCCTTTCTGTGGAGGATCTGGGCAGCAACGGCCTTACTGCTATTTTGCCTAACCTGTGAATATTTGTTGCATTCGCAACTTACTGTGCTTCTCTACGTGTAGCGGCCTGATATGTCAAGCATTCGCGGCCAATCGTCTTGTGATCTTCCAGCCAAGCCAATCTGCGATGCCAGAGTGAGCAGCTCGATGCACGATCCAAAGTCAACCCGATGAAGCATCGCTGCCACATCACTCCACTCAGTGTGGCACACAAGCCGTTCCTCATTAAAGAGCAATTCTAGAGCCAGTTTGGGCATACCTATTTTTATCCCATTATCAACTCGACCGGTTCAACAGACTGTGGGAGGGTCTCTTATCGTGGTACACCATACCTATCACTTTTCTACTGTCGACGCGCCTCAACCACGAGCCAGCCACCGTCCCGATGTCGCTCTGGCGTCTGTGGAAAGCACGTTCTTCGCCGTCCTCTGAAGACCGCAGTACTTCTGCACCGCCATCCCCGCGCGAGAGAGGTCCCAATGCGACCGAAGACCCGATCCCCTTCTTCTCATCCGATCGAAACCAATCCACACGAGACTTTCTCGATCCATCAGCCGATGCCCAACAGCACCAACAGCAGGAACAAGAACAAGAACAAGAACAACTTCTTCCTACCCAAGAAACAGCATTTATCTACGAAGACATCGACCCCCCGGACGAGTACGAGTATCTCCCGTCTCTAGACGAACCCACCCCCCTCCTCCAAGACCATACCGAAATGCTCTCCTCCTCCCCCGCCTCGATAAGCACCAGCACCAACATGGCCAGTACCCTCCCCGGCTACAACGACGTCAGCGGCGCCGTCATCGTCGACTGGAACGGCCTCCCCCATTTCCTATCGCCGCAGGAAGAGGAAGACCGAAAGGTCCAGCTTGAACGTGCTGTCCGTGACCGCATGCTGGGCCATCCCACCCGCACGGATTTCACCTGGGAACGGCCCTACCAGGGCACCGGCCTACCGCAATACTCGCCGACCCAAGAACGGAGAAGAAGAGCCAAGCGGGGCTCGTGGGATTAAACTCTTGACGGGTTGATGTCCGATATAGGCGATGATGATGTTCTGTGGCCATGACTTGATGACTTTTCCTTCTCTCTTTTTCTCTTCCTTTTCTTTCGTGTTTCTTTTTTTTTACTTTCTGGATGCTAAAGTAGGAGAAACTGTACATATCACTCGCATGCTTCCACATTCCCTCCTTTGATATTTCCTTTGTGAATTGATTGACTACTTGAATTGGACTCGGGGCATGGTTCGGCCAGGTGCTTGGATAGAGACCAATTTGACGGATCTGATGGACGGCTGGCGCGTTTGATTTAGCGTTTTGAGATGGTGGGTGATATTCGAACGGACGATTCATTTACGAACGAGGTTGACGACGACCATGACGACGACCATCATGATGATTACGATGATGATGACAACGAAAACGGAAGAGACGAACTGAGACTATGCTTGATGACCTGCATGAGACCAGAATATTCGATACCGGAATAATCCAATCCAGGATTTACTAGTCTCCTTTTATTGATACCTAGCTCATTGGTAATACATAGGGTTATGGACTGGTTTTCTTGTAGGTTGGTTGATTATAGACGGGCATTCATGTAGGCAGCTTTCATGTCGTATATGGTCAAATCGCGCTTCTTCGATCAATGTGTGGACATAACCACATTGAGGAACCAAAAGTGTCATCGCTACAGATAGTTGTACTTGAACAGCGTGCGCAATGCGAGATGAACAAGTTGATCGCTCTAAAACAATTTATACAACTATGCTATCAACAATCTACATATCCAACCAATTTAACTGCGGAACAGACGCAGTCCACCCTCCTCCATATCTTCCTCGCTCTCCTCACCACCGCTGCTCGCCTCCTCGTCATCGCCTTCACCCAGCAGCCCACTAGCCGTCCGGCCCAGCAACGACGCAAAGAACTCATTCCGGGAGTGGCCAGTCCACGAAGTCCGATCTTCAGGCGCCATGAAATTCTGCAACTTCTCATGGACGTCGAACCGCATCTTGCGGCCCTTGGACGCCCGCGTATCGATGTCCCGCTTGATCTTGTCCTTGCGCATGCCCGTGACGTGGTGCACCGCCCGCGACGGCAGCTGGATGTGCAGGGTGTCGATGCCGTTGGTGATAGCGTCCGACGACGACAGGCGCTGCTCGACGAGCTCCCGGAGCAGAGACTGGTAGAAGATGGTGTCATCGTAGATGGGCTCGTCGTCGGCATTGGCGGAGTCGCTGGCTGCCGATTTGCGCGCTCGCTTGGCGGCGCGGTCGCCCGTTTCGGTGGCGACGTAGGCGTCCAGGACGGCGCTGACGTTCTGCTGGCCGGCTGCGCTGGCGCCGAGGAGTTTGCCGCGGGTGTTGGGGATCGTGGCGTTGGAGCCGCGCACCTTGTGCGACCACTTGTCGAGGACGGTGCGCCGGTGCGAGAGGGAGGAGGCCTCGAGGTCGGTCATGCGCTTCCACAGCGAGGCGGACGAGGTGGAGGGCGTGGCGGGGCTCGCGCGCTTGCGCTTCTCGCCGGGCGTGTGCGCATCTGCGAGGGCAACGCGGAGGTCTTCGAGCGTCGACCAGAGGGTGAGAGCGGCGGACTCGGCGGACTTGACGGCCTCACCGTCGACTTCGTCCGCGTTCTTGGTCGTGCCGGAGAGCTGGTTGATGGCCGCTAGACCCTTTTGGAGTTTGATGCGCGAGTTGAGAAGGGCGTCGAAGGTCGCACGCTGCTGCTTGACGGCTTTGCCTTTGACGGCATCGGCTTTGGTGGCTTGCGAGATGGTGGCTGCGATGGATTTTTGGTCCGAGGCCATCAGTTTGCGGAGTTCCTCGCGGTCGTCGGATGAGGATTTGCGTTTGGGGGGTTCGTCTTCGTCTTCATCTTCATCCTCGTCCTCCTCATCTTCATCCTCTTCGTCGTCGTCCTCATCGTCGTCCTCGTCAGACGGGATTTCCATGTCTTCGTCATCCTCGCCAGAGAACCCCTCGCTCTCATCATCCGACCCATCGGTCTCCATATCTTCACGCGCATTCGATTTCCCCTTCTTCTGCACACCCTTAGAGCGCTTCTTTTCCATCACTTCTTCCTCGTCGGAGACGTCCTCCTCGTCACTGCCTGACCCCTCCTCATCCTCATCATCGTCACTGGCGTCATCGTCGTCGTCGCTGGAACGTGCCGCGAACGGATCATCGTCACTCTCCGCCTCAAGAGCGTCTCTGCTGACCTTCGATCCGGCGTATTGCTTGCCCAAGTTGATAGGGTCCTGCTTGCGAAGTTTCCCTTTTCTGCAGTGTGTCAGCAAACTGAGTCGCATCCAACAGGATCGAAAAAGCGAGACACGAACCCTACAGCCTGGTAATGTTCTCTCCCAGCACTAGCATCGGCATCCTGTCCGCCCTCCTCGTCGGAGCTATCTTGGGCCCCCTGTTCAAGATCCTCGGGATCGAAATCTAGTCGCGAAAATTCAAGTCAGTTCACGATATTCGGTATGCGAATAATTGATGATCGCGTGAAGATCAAACTCACCCTTCGGTGTCGGGTCGTCGAGCTCCGCGATCTGTTCTGCCAAAGATTTAGGAGCCATTGTTTCTCTGTATGGAATTCGAGAAAAGTCTTGTATTGCGGGAGCTTTTTTTCTTCATTTGTCTTTTCTTTTTTTTTTTTTTTTATTCTTTTCTGCCGCGGAAACTCCGAAGGCGGTGTCGGATAATCTACTTTCTTTGGGAGGCGGAGTGTTTCTTTAATACGGTGGGTTATTCCGGCGGTGAAGTATAGCCGGCAATATCGTCGTTCTATATCGAGTTGTTCAACTACACCATCAGCGCCTTCAACACTACAGGCGTAACTATTTCTTTACACAGGTCGTCTTGCTACTTTTTGACTACTAAGAAGAACTGAAAATGCCCTGAGTATCCTGAAATAAGTTTGCACATGGTTTCTCATCAAAATACCTCATTCTTAGATCTGCTAACCTTGCCTATCTTGAGATCCTTTCTACTCTTAATCTCTGTTAGAGAAATAGAACAATATTTGATCAGTGCTCTTTCATAAACGCAGCGAAGAACTGCGCAAACTCCGAGTCTCGTGCAAGCAATGCGGTCGGACTATCACATTCAACGAGCTCTCCCTCCTTCACAAGAACCACGCGATCGAAGCGGGTGACGTAGCGAAGTCGATGCATGACCATGATAACCGTCTGGCTGGCGAATTCCGTCTCGATCACTTTTTGCATGATTGCTTCCGTTTCGGAGTCGACGCTAGGTAGGGAGGAAGGTTCCATTCGTTAGCTCTTGCTCGTGAATACTCATGATCTGTTGCCGTTGTACTATGAGGGAGGGACAGAAAGGGGTGTAGATGCGATAGGCAGCAATCAATACTCACTTGCTTGTCGCCTCATCAAGGATCAAAATAGGGCTTCGTGAAGTCAACGCTCTCGCCAATGCCAGCAATTGCTTCTCCCCCATAGACCACTGAGAAGCGTCGAGATCTCCATCAAGGCCGCCGTTCAACTGGACCTTCTCCCATAGGCCCAGGCCCACTTTCTTGACTGCGCCGATGATCTCGTCGTCGGAGGCGACGGCATGGGGGTTTAGGTTGAACCGGATCGTGTCAGGCACAAAGTATGGGTCCTGGGGGATGACGTTGAGCTGCTGCCGTATCTCAGATGGCTGGATGAGTGCCAGGTCCCGGTTATCGATGGAGACATGGCCGCCTCTGACTTCCGTCATCTGCAAGAGGGTCATGATCAGCGAGCTTTTACCACTCCCCGACGGGCCGCAGAGGGCAATCTTTTCCCTAGGCTTGATCTTCAACGTTAGATCTCTGATGACAGGTTGACGATCGGTACTTCTATCCGGAGTCAGCCATTTCTAGACCGTAAGCAGAGGTGAGTTGTCACCTACTGGTACGCAACCGTAAGATTCTCAAAGGCAATAGCGCCCTCCGATGGCCACTTTTGAGACATGAGCGGTAGTGCCTGAACCTCGAGAGCTCTGTCCTCGCAAGGTGTGTCCTTCTGGAAGCTGTGCACGCGAGAAACGGCACCAATGGACGTTTCCAGCTGTGTCCACGCCTGAATCGCTTGCACTAGAATCTGATTTAGACTTAGCACCACATTCAGCGCGACACCTATACCACCAGCACTGAATTGATCTCTCAGGTGCGTGGCAATCGCGACTAGTATAACTGCCATGGCTGCAATGACCAGGTTCAGAACCAGGGTCAGCCATTGCTGCAGACAGAGCAGCGTGTAGAACGGCCGCTGGGATTGATTGATTCGCTTGTTGCATTCTGTTTGGAAGGCGTCGCCCCAGCCAAAGGCTCGCAGCGAGCTGATCCCGTCGATTGTCTCTGCGAAATGGGCGTAGAGTGGCGCTTTGGCTTCGATGTCGAGCAGCCGCACCTGTCGGGAGGTCCGGAGGTAAATGCGCTGGATGATGACGAAAGCGATCATCAGGAAAGGAAAAGTGATGGCCATGTACTTGCCAACAACACATAGTAGAATCAAATTCATCAAGGAGAGTGCGACATCTGTTGGCGCGGGGTGAGTAACCGGTTCAAGAATGGGATGGGAAGTCGAGTCCACTCACAGGCTACGGTGTTAACCACCCAGACTGGAAGCTTCATGTCGATGAGATCCATATCTTGGCTGAACCGGTTGGTCATGATCCCGACGTCGGTTGTTAGGAAGAAGCTCCACGGCGCTTTTAAGGTGGCTTTCAGTAGGTCCGTGTGTAGTGTTAATGCCGTGTCGTTGATGATGTTGATAAATAAGAGGCTGGAGATATTAGAACTCGTTACCTCACTCTCTCATCTTTCTAGGATCGAGACTCACACGCAGCCCACGAAGCAGCCTACAATACCGACAACTGTGAATCCGGTGTAGAACCCCAGGTACCAGCCAACCCTGCCGTTGGGATCTGTCGCATTCGACTCAGACCACCACTGGATCCACAGAGCTGCATGGGGTCGTGAGTGGTCCATTGGGCACTGACATAGGGAATTAATTTAGCGCAAACTCACTAGAGAAGGTATTGAAAAAAGTCCAAACAAATATCGAGGCAACGAACGCCACGGCAATCCAGGGGCCTGCACTCCTAGTGTAGTATGTATACACCTCCCAAGTGCCATCGCGCCGTGAGAAGTCGACTTCGTCTACTCTGGACCGGGTATCACTTGCATCGTCCTCGACTGCAAGACGTTGGCTTTCTTCTGTAGGAGCTTTGTTAGTATGAGGGTTGGGCGTTTCCCGGTGGGACACGATCGAATCCTCCGATATAGCATCTGGCGTCCGGTCTATAAGGTCTCCATGTGAGCTTGCATAAGCAGCTGCTCCATGGTCCACGACAATAATCTTATCTGCGTATGGAAGAAGACTATCTGTACGACGTTACTCCTGTTTCCCAGCTGTCGTAGAGTACAGATAAGGCTATACCGGTGTGAGTGGCCAGGATGACTGTTATGCCGGCTTTGTGGAAGTGTCCATCCTCAGCGAATAGAGCTGCAGCTAGGCTACTTACACGCTTGGAATCCAAGCCGTTGAAGATATCGTCAATTAGAATGACAGGGAGTCTAGAGTAAATGGCCCGTGCAAGCGCCTGTTACTTCCATGTTAGCTACGTCGACAGCGTCCTCAATGGCATCCACCTGGACACGACCTACCACCCTTTGTTTCTGACCTCCACTCAAGGAGGCGCCGTTACTCCCTGCGACATGCATGTCTCCAGCAGTAATATACCTGAAATCATCCTTCAGCCCACAAGCAGAAACTGCAAAGTCATACCATTCTGAGTCGAACTGTGCGCCCCCGGTGATGTTTTGCTGGATAGTGTCGTCCACAATCCATGGTACCTGAGGGCAGTACGCAATATTTTCGGACGTTGTGTGAACAGAACCTTTGCTCACAGTCATCTCACCAAGTATGCTTTTGATCAAGGCCGATTTTCCAGAGCCCACCGGCCCGGTAATCATCGTGATCCCTTTGCTAATCTCCAGGGTAAGGTTCTGGAACACGCCTTCTGAGCCAGATGGCCAGGTAATTTCTGCATCTTTAAATGATACTACAGCAGAAATACCAGAGAGTTTCTCTGCATCCTCAGTCTGCTGGACTTTTACGTCTGTCAGTGCAGACGTCGAAGGAGGGTATGTAATCGGCGATCTCTCCAGATACTCCTCGATTCTTTCGAAACAACCGACGCACTGAATCAATGCTGGAACCGCTTGCACAAAATCCAACAGAGGCGTAGTCAACAACGTGATTAAAGAGAGTGAAGTGAAAGCCTGAGACGCCATGAGGGACTGATTCTGCCGGACCACAGAGATGATTGCATAAACGGCGAATGTCATGTACGGGGCCACGTCCCTTGGTACATTTGCTATCGAGAGTCAGCACATCTCCAATGAACCAGCCGTCCTAAAGCCTGCATACATAGTAGCACGGTCCAGATTAGCAGCTTGCGGAACCGCGAAGATGTCTCCAGTTCTGCCACTCGCAACTTGGTCACCAGCCCAAAAAACACGTCGGTCAGCCCCAGCATTTTCACAGACTTCATGTCTCTCAGTAATGTGGACGTAACAGCAACCCGCTTCTCGACTCTCTCGACCCAAGCTCTCTGCGCTGGTGCGCTCCGCGCGGATATCGGGCCTGCACCAAACACGCATGCTAAAGCATGTCAGTATCTTTGACTTACAAGTAAACAGGAGTGCTGTGGAAGACTAATCTCACCCAAACAAATGATTGCAGGGACAAGACAAGCCAGAAAAACCTGACGTTGCAAAAGATAGACGGCCACGATGACCTCTAAAATTGAGGCCCAAATTTCATGCAACGATCTGAGACTGTTCACGATGCGCTCCACGTCTGTTCCCATTAGTGTGAGGGCTGCATTTCCTTTCACGTCCTCCTGTGCCAGGACGGTAGTTTTGCAGTATAGGCGCGAGATGAGACCTCCTCGCACCATTGTGCCCAGTCGGTATGTTTGGCGCCAGTAAATGGACGTCGATATCTAGACATCGTCAGTATACTCAGACCCAGCACCCCGAGAGCATTCTGGTTCAATCCACGGGGCCCATAGTACGTGTATAGACATACTGCAATCCCCAGATAAACGAGCAAAAATGCCCCCACCAGTGCCTGTCCGTATTCCTTAGGCTTATTCTTCGCTTCTCCCGCGAAGTAATCCACAGTCGATGTGATAAGGAACGGCTGGCAGAAGGTGAATCCAGCGAGGATGAGCCGAGGAATAATCCCCGAAATAGCAGTCCAACGGTACGCGCGGAAGACTGCTTTGATGAGCCGATATTTCCCCTCTGATTGCTCCCAAGCTCTTTCCAGCTTTTCGCGCGCCACGTCGCCTTGTAAGCTCTCGTCGACCTTCGGCATGTCTCCGACGGACAGTATCGTGGAGTATCCCAGCCGGATAGAGGGCACAACCCATCTAAAGACGCTTCGAGACCAGAACCCACTGGCCTGCTCTACTGTGACATGTTTGTACGAAGGACGTAAGGTCTCGACCTTTCTGGTCGATTCGAGGAAGGCAATTAGGACAGCGACGACGTATATCGTTGTCCACAAGACCCTGCAGGGGCCTGACGCCGAGATCAACCACAGGGAGCGTAGTCGCGGGATCCACAGCAGTGATAGCAATGAAAAATAGATGACGAGGAGGTCCGATGGTCGGGTCGAACGTTGATCTTCTAGGAAAGAGAGGGCCACTGCGCCAGCGGCGACAACGATATTGAGGATGTCGGATGTCAGTGACAACGGAGTATGCAAGACTGACGTTCGAATCCGTAGGACCGTATAGACCACAAGCAACACAAAGAGAGTCGTTAAAAGTGCCTTTTTTCCTTGTCATGGCCTGCGATTAGTACTCGTAGCTCTACGAAGAATGTTGTTCTTACCACTTTATACGCTGCCAATTTGTAAGACATCACTTTCACCGGATTTCTTCGTAGGATCTCCAGCCGGACCAGGAAGAAAATTACGAACAAGCCAGCGGGTAAGACAGTGAGCACGGCATCTTCGAAAAGAAGAGTGAAATCAAAATTTCGACAGTTGATGGCAACACGAGGGCCAAACTGACGGTCGCTGCCCGCATAGCAGGTTGCCGCCATGTTTGCTCACACAATTTGAGAAATATATTTTTCTTCGCAGAAGTCTAGATAAAATATGAAGAAAAGAATAGTCTTTTTGGTCCAACGAACAAATAAGTAAGAAGAATGGGAGAAGAATGGAGATGATATTACTTATTAGGCTGCGCCTGACTACGGAAAACGTGACAGTCATGCCCTAAAGATATCGTTTTTAACCTATGCACTCTCCTGAGAGCTCTTCCAACATTCTAGATTACTAGGGTCCAATCCACCCTATTCTAGCACAAGTCCTGTGGCATCTTTACAGCTATCAAGTGTTCAGGCTGTTCAAGCAACGCTTGGAGTTCCCACCGAGTAATCACGGAATGGCTTTCAGGCGATGTAACAGCGGGGTCATTAGTTGCAGTTGGGGCTGAAGCTCTTATCAATGGCAACACACGATAAACAAAACGGATTACACAAATCCAGGGGATTCTTGGTGCGTGGAGTGCTATGGCCCATTTGTACAAGGTTTGTCTTCCTCCCAAGGCGGTACTTTACCTCATTAGAGACTCTGAGGTGGTGATGATTGGTTGAGCTCGGGGGCTTAGACACCGGCACGACAGAGATATTTTCCGTTCTAGTGCTTGTTTGGGTAGGCCCCTGTCAAGTCCTATCCTTGGTGCTGCGATCCCAAGCTAGGTGACGTAGATCGCCTTGGAAGATGTCAGTTGAGTGCGGCTATCAAAATGCTTATCGGATATATCTGCCTAATCTCTCTTTCGTAAATTATGAATATTGCCTTACTTTCCTATTATTAGTTGCTAAAGGTTCAAGTAAATATGTTGGTGGTCTATATAACGTTGCCTTGTTCGGAAATTTCTGACACCAGTCCAAATTCAGTCATTTCAGATAAGAAATCCCCTGTGCTATAAAGAGCGTAAGATTCATACAGACACGGTTCCGCTCTACCTGGAGATGTTATATCAAACCAGATGACCGTGTGGTGTTCATATCTCACAGCTCTAACTGCTAAAGTGCTAGTCAGCTGTATCATTTCCCCGCGGCCACCCTGAGCTAGGGAGGGAATCCAAACATATTAGATGGCACGCAAAAAAAGGTGGCTCATAGTATCATCATCTGATCCCCAATTAATCTTGGATTTTCCGAAAGCTATATTAATTATAGTAGACTGATGTCAAAAGCTCAAGGGAGTTGCTAACAGTTGTCTGATAGTTACCACTGGTTGCAGCTGGTCGCTACTCACAGATGATGATAAACAATTTATGATGATATAAGAATAATCTTACACTTCTTGTAACTATTCACAAATTTAGTATAGTCTGTATAGTTACATACCTATTACCTTATCATCTAATATCCGTATTCATTGGTTATAGAATTATTACTTTTCTATCGCATTATTATTCGCAGTAGACTATAACTGTATCTTGTTTATATGCTGACCACTTAGTTACCGTATGCATAACTCTCCACCATTCTTCGTACTCTCCCGTCTTGGGTCGTGCTGGGATGGGTTTGAGAATATTTTGAGTAGAGAAGGAGAAGAGAGGGACAAGATTATTGCCATATCTAGTAATCTGGGCTTGGAAGACATGCAGCTTTGTTTCATCGCTTGTTGGATAGATATGTGTAGTAGCTACGTTTTTGAAATCAAGTTTGTGATGCCATCATCCTCGTGGAAATAACTAAAACATACGAAGGTACTCAAAGATGACTGGATTTTCTGGTTTATCAAAAATTAGGGCTGAGCATTCTAGATCATAGTATGGTCTGCGGGGTGGCGGAATCAGGGTTGTAGTGATCGTCCATTTGAATCCACACGAGAACTCCACTAGATCGATGATCTCTTTTGTAGATGTACCACATAAGTATATTCAGTAATTCTTGTTTGTTGATCATGCAGATCAGGAGGGAAGGATATCATGGATACCCTAATTCATAGACAGGCGCATCTCTATCATCAGCTAGGCCACCAACATTGTTTCTCTTATTTCCTCAATTAAATACTCTTCACAACACGAAGTCACCAGTTGAGTATATTACTAACTGAGTCACATCATGATTTATTGATTTATCTTCTTTTGCCCCTTGCGTGTTGTTGATCAAGTTTTCCAAGATTCATTGGCTCTCTGTCCCGCTTGGCTGCGCCGCATCTGTAAGGGTTAGATTGGTACCGCTAGTTCCATAACACCAACCACTTCACCGTTATTTGGCTTCGAGATAAGCTTGTCAGCGAGTTCCAGGGCAAGGGTGAGGACCGCCACCCCCTCTTTGAGCCTTAGCTTGTCCCTGTTCTTTGTTAGGCACGTGCCCTCAACCTAAATACCACGCTACCGGAGCCTAGGAGACAGTTCGGGTATAACAAACAGTTCGCGGTCCCTCCACATCATCTTGTCTCACTCTCCAAACGGAATAACGACACAATGAGTACCTCCAGTACTCACGATGAGCACGCCCCTTTACTCGGGACCGATCAGGTCCCAGATCCGCCCACAGCACGATCCCGGAAACGGACGGTCATGATCGCAGCGTCCACGCTCGTCCTCGCTTGTGACTTTGGCTTCTATCTGACCACCGCACCCCAGACAGAGATCTTTCAGGATATAATCTGCCGGAATTACATGGCCACTCTGGGAAACCCCCCCGGCACAATTCCCACGGAGGCCATCTGTAAATCAGAGCCGGTGCAGAGTGAGCTGGCGCTGGTGAATGGATGGAAAGAGACGAGTGATGTGTTACCTGGTATGGCTATTTCATTGTTTCAACGCTGCTACTACGCGCTGAGAGTAACATTGATTAAGGAATTATCTTGGCCATCCCGTACGGCGTGGCGGCGGATCGTTGGGGACGCAAACCGATTCTCCTCTTGGGGATATTGGGCATTCTGCTTGGGGAGATCTGGGTGCGTGTTGTGTGTAAGTAGTACCCCCCGGTGCGCTTTCAACGCCATAACTTACACAGATAAAGGCTTATACTCTACCCTCCTCCCCCTGCGACTGGTTTGGCTGTCGGGGATGTGGAGGCTTATTGGCGGCGGTGACATGGCGCTCTCATCTGTTTCTCTCGTTATGGTAGCGGACGTGTTTCCCAAAGAAGAAATGTATGCCCAGCATGTTAGTAGGTTTGATCTCTTGCTCACTCAGTTCTAGAGCCACTGCCCTTTTCCGCCTCTCAAGCGCGGTCATTCTATCCGAAGTGCTAGCCACCCCCGTCAGCGCATACCTCATGGCCCGTAATCCATGGCCACCGTTCATGCTAGGCCTAGGGGTTGCCATTCTAGGGTCACTCAGTGCATTCCTCATGCCGGAGACCTTGACCGACGCCAGATCAAAGAGTGTCTCAACGACAGATTCCAACGAAGACACGACGCAGACGCAGACGACAACAGCTGGAAAGAAATATCGGACGCAATATATCAAAGACAAAATGCGAGACCTCCACAACTCAACCCGGTTCATCACAGAAAACCCAGGCGTGACCATCTGTCTCTTTGCGCTGTTCATTACGAGCTTCAGCAAACAGTCAACGAGTCTGCTACTACAGTATACGTCGAAGCGGTTCCATTGGAGTATTGGCAACGTATGCACATCCCCACCTTATGTTCTCCAAAAGCTGAAAACGCTAACGTGAATAAAATACCAGTCCAGCCTTCTCATCTCCCTCCGTGGTCTAATCACCCTAGCAAGCTTCCTCCTCCTTATGCCGGCCATCTGTTCCCTCCTCAGTAAAAACCTCCACCTCCCTAATAACCTTATAGACCTCCGCCTCTCCCAAGCCACCAGCGCAGTCTCCGCCCTTGGTCTCGTCACTATCGCAACAGCGTCTTCTCGCGCAGTACTCGTCCTCGGCATTGTGCTGTTGTCCCTCGGCGCCGCCTTCGCAGTGACCTGTCGCAGTTTCGTGACCACACTCGTGAGACCGGACCATGTGGGGACACTATACAGCTCGGCGGCGGCAGTTAGCTCCGTGGGGATGGTCATCGCGGGCCCGTTGCTAGCTTATGCGTTTCGTGTGGGGCTGCATTGGGGAGAGAGCTGGTTTGGGCTGCCCTTTTTGATGGGGGGGTGTTTCTATGCCTTGGTTTCGGGGGCGATGATGAAGGTGAAGGCTCAATAGTTCTGAGGGCAAGGAACAAAGCCCGATCTTCTCATTACTAGTTGCAAAAATCCCCACTTAGCTACAAAAGATATCAGGACACTATTGTGCTTCGTCAGTAACCTTATTTCTAGTGCGACATTACCTAACCTACACGTCTCCTTCCACAGTCCCAAGATAGTACCCAGTATACAGACTGATTTATGTCCAAGTCTTCGTCCTCAACCTACAGTTTCTTCTTCATTGTCTCTACCGTCTCCTCCCATCAAATGTCGCTCGACGCACTGAGTTTGGCCACAAAAAAGCATCTTTCGGAATAGCCATCTTCCCAAACATATCACTATCAACCGCATGCAGCTCGTCCCATTCACGGATGGCCTCGAAGTCGCGACATTTCCCATTAACGTCGAGATCAGGCGATGGCGTATCGTCCCCTTCCCTCCACACCATGGTCAAGGCCTCGGTGGTTGCGTGACATTGGAGATTTTGCAACAAACTAGCGACGCAGTTACTGAGACGAGACCACCACATGCTGTTGCGGGTTTCGTTTTCCTTGTTGCCAAATGCGGTTTGACGGAGCAGATTCAGGCAGTGGATCTGCTAGGAGTGTTGGAATCTTGACTCCTATTCGTGAATTGTGGTGGTTGACTTACATGCATGACGTCTAGCTGAAACATGTAGGCGTCGTCCCCCAACCCCCAGTACGAGTCTTCAAGACGGGCTATCTTATCTGGATCCTTGCCCAGTTTGAGGATATCCGCACGAGTCGCGATATGCGTCCTGACGTTGTCAAAGTCATCCCATGCCGCGTTGTCTTCTGATTTAGTTCTCTCCCGTATATTCAACACATCCGGGCTTGGAAACAAATCTCTGCTGCGTATCTTCGGGCGTATAGGGATGTCGATTTCATTAGAGACGGGCGCTGGCAGCCATACAATCAATCAAACAATGCCGTATCTTCTATCCAGCTGTCGGGCTTACACCAATTCGACAGCCTCTCCATATCTAAATTCCACTTGGCCGGAGCGGAACAGCGTGAGGTTAACAACAACCCGATATGGATCCCTAAAAGCAACACATTCGCAATGATCAAAGAGGTCAATATCATCGCTGCTTCTGTGACAACAGATGCACTACGGGGCTCGTTCCCTAAAGCACTTTCGTCTTTCTGACCCTCTACATCGGCCTCACCACCGTCGAGTGTCGGGTCAAGACGTCGAGATCTGCGATCCTGGTAGGCCGCAAACTTGAATATCATGATGTCTGTTTCATCTGGCATGAAGGTGCAAGCGCCTCGGGTACTCGCGCTGTGGATCTCTTTCATGGAATCTGTCTCCGTGGGATGGGCCAACGAGAGGAGGATGGACCAACGAGAGGAGGATGGGCCAACGAGAGGAGGATGGGCCATGCAAGCCCTTGCCGTTATCTCTTACTTGCTTGATGGGCGCGTCTCTGGTTACAGCATACTGTGGTCCTGTAACTGTCTAGCCGGGTGTTGCGCCGTCGGTTCTTTTGCTTCGGGTCTTTTTGGTCTATAGTGAAGCAATGGAATTGCAACATACGGGTCTTGAGGCATCACAGGCTGTCATAATGTCCGCTCGAGCGAGGACATCCGTTAGTTAGACTACCCTAGTCGCCTGATATCACGACTTTCCTATGGCGCCTACCTTTATGGCCCTTATGGCACTACATTCAAGCCAGAAACCAGCGGGTAGAGGAATCTAAACTCCTTCCCTCCTCCCTCTTCTCTTACGCATAATGACAGCTTCTCCCATCTCTGCATGTTAAGCCCGCATAGGTGTTAAACACCTGAAGACCTAGTGCGTCGGGTACTTGACCCTATCATGATGTTCACGGGAAGCATCAAGCCGTGTGGAACGTGCCTATTGAACTACTGTTCTACATGTCTATGCTAACAGTGATACAAAGCCTCGATATCAACCATTGTGGCCCCATACTTCCGTGATTCTCCTCTGTTCTCTCCGTTCCCTTATCCCCTATCCCCTATCCCGACTCGATACAGATGACACGCCGGAAGTAGGAGAATCGGCGCACTGCATACGGTCTATGACCAGTTTCTTCGCATCTAGGCCCAATATTGAGTCACCATAGAGCTTCACATGGAAATATGAAGACTTGACACTCACCAGGTTCGCTATAAAAGCACAACATTGACTCGACTCACTGAATTGGGGTCAGACCAAGCCTCATCGCCCAACACACAAGGCCGCCCACCACAAAACCAAGGCCTTTGGGCAAACCCAACAATAAGGAGAAGAAAAAAGAAAGCAGAAAACCGCCAACATGCAACTCCCTATCATCCTCCTCTTCCTGAGCACAATCCTGTGTCTCGCCTTCGCCCACCCCATCATCGACCCCAACAAGAACAATAACAATAACAACAATAACAACAATAACAACAACAACAATCTCGCACAAAAACCCCGTATCAACCACAATCGCAACCACCTCGAGCACCCCATCCAACCAAAGAGACAATTCCCCCCGCTACCCTTCCCCATCCCGCCCCCTCCTCCGCCTCCGCTATTCCCGCCGCCTCCGCCGCTATTCCCACATCCGCTTCCGCCGCCGCCGCCCCTCTTCCCGCCGCCTCCGCCTCCACCTCCACCCCCTCCTCCTCCTTCTTTCCCGCCGCCGCCTCCACCCCCTCCGCCGCCGCCTCCGCCTCCGCCTCCTCCTCCTCTGTTCCCGCCGCCCCCGCCGCCCCCTCCTCCGCCTCCTCCTCCTCCTCTGTTCCCGCCGCCCCTCCGCCCCTCCTCCGCCGCCGCCGCTTCCCCCACTGCCTCCACTACCTCCGCTACCTCCTCCACCACCACCTCCTCCACCCCCATTCTTCCCCCCGAAACCCCAATCTAGCGCCATCGCCCCGGGACCCCAGTCCAGCGCTATGCCGAGTATCCAACGACATGCTCAGAGTATGGGCATGTAAGGGGGTGGAACTCACCACTTGTCCTCTGCATAGCATTTACGAGCAGAAGACAAACGAATTCAGGCAGGCTGTTGGACGGGGAGGAACCGTTTGGGGCACTAAGGGAGGACGGATGGTTTGTGTTTTATCGCGAGGGTGGATTAGCAGTTGATATTAATTAGTTAGTTGCTTGGTTAATTGTTTGTTTAGTTGGTTAATTGATTTGTGGTTTTGTTTATTTGGTTTCTACAAAGGTGTGTTAACATTAGGTGGATAATGAGATAGTGCATGCTGCTAAGACATGTAGTATGTTCGATTTCATAGACAGTAACCAAGTGTAAGTAGCTTTCGTGGTAGATTGGGTATATGTGTGTGTACATGTGGGTATGTGTAGGGTATCTTTGGCCAAATTCATTTCTGGATGCCATCGAATGGATGGATGTTATAAATGAATGGTATTCACACGCCCGATGGCCGAGGGCTGAGGCTGACAAAAGGGTATTCAAAACAGGTAAAAATTATAAACAAGGAAAAGGGGGGCTGTGTCAATGCTGTGCTTGGCTGCCCTAAATATGGTAATAATCTCAAAAATGGCAAGGGAAGACAACAAAAAGGAACAAAAAGAAAGGCGTAAGTACATGGTATTAGATAGAACGAGTATCAAGCCATCATCAGTAGATGAGTAAAGAAAGACTGTTGTTTATATAAATCATTGGGTTACGTATTCATCGGCGGTCTTGAACACCTCCCGCTCAGGCATATCCGGCCGTGCAGGAGGCGTCACTCCATCAGTCGCGGTTCGCGCAGCGGATGTAGACAGGGTGTCGAGATCGGCTGAGCTGCGCGGCACGGAGAAGGCATCGACCGAATGGCGCGCGGAATCGCCATCACCGTCGGCCAAGACGCCGATGACACCCTTGGCGTTAACTACGGCGCGCGTGCTCGCCCCGTCCACCCCCTTACCGGTCACGGCTAGGGACCGGTCGTCGATGGTGCTGGCATCGTCCGCCACGTCGGCGGCGGTGATGCCGCTGCGGATTGTGGCTGAGCCGCCGTAGGATGTGGGTCGGTGCTTGCAGGGGAGGACTCCGGGGGCGTGGAAGAGGGCTCTCGTGCTGGAGTTTTCTTCCGAGAACGTTTTGTCGTCTTCGTATGCTGGCAGCACGATCAGCGGGCTGTTCGGTGGCTTGTCGTTACTGAAATCTCGGCGATGCGAGGAGCTGGCTTCGCCGTTGGAGCGCTGTGGAATGTTCTGGGGCTGTGTGTTGCTCTGGACGGCCTTTTCGGGGTTTGTGGCGGATGATGTGGGACGGGAGCCTTTGATGGACGCTCCCGCTCGTCCGGCGTCAACGCTGGTTCGTCTCGAGCGACCGTCCTTCTGGTGGCCCCGTTCTATGGTTCTTTCGTCGTGCTTACTGGCCCAGTTACTCCACATCATCATCGGGTAGCTCTTGCGAGGGTTGAGGGTCGGTAAGATCTCCGGGGCTTCCTTCCTTGCTGCAAGGGAGCAAGCTGGAGGTCGCTCTCCCTTGAATCCGCCGAGAGACGAGGCGATCTCTTTGGCTTGTTGTTCTTGGGCCTGGCGCTTTTCTTTGCCATATTTCTTGTCCCACTCCAGCTTTTCCGCGAGCCAGTGCTTGACGAGTTCAGGGCTGAACGCCCCGATCTGCGACCTGGGCATCTGAAGGGCTTCAAACGAAGACGGAGGGTCGAGGGGGTATACGTTGCCTCTCTTGTCCACCCGCTGGCGTATCATATGGTCTCTGAAAGCTGGCAGTGGGTCCCCAGCCTTGCCGATCGAGGACACTGGCAGCGTGTTGGTCCTCTTCGAACCGGTTCCGTGGCGTGAAGAGGTCGGCTGGTCGACAGAGTTGGTAGATGACACGGGAGAAACCTCATTGTCATCGAGGATGTCAATCTCGGACTCCTGAGCGCAAGCCAGCGCCCACGCTCCGAACTGGGCGATCGACCGAAACATATACTTGGCGGGACGCGTGAAACTCAACGTCGTCGCCACATGGCAGAGGTCATCCCAGACTTGAAGCTGCACATAGGTGCCCGAATACTTATGGAGCGTTTCCCGGTTGGGGTCGTGCTCATCCAGGCAGGCATCACTCGGGGGGTAAGCTGCTGGATCCGCGGCTTTATGAGCGAGGTAGATCTGCTCGTCGCGTAGCTTCTCGCCCCCTCCAACCAAGATCTGGAGTGGGGGAAGACCGCCGAGGGAGGCCTGCATAGCGGGCGACACAAGCGGGTGGCCTAAGAGTTCATTTGGCGCGTATGTGTGGACCTGATCTTTGACCTCGTAGACCTTGCCGTCAATGGGGACCTTGATACTCTCCGGTTCATCGAACATGCACTTTTCCCCCCCGGGCACCTCCGAAGATTGGTCATCGGTTGCGTCGCTCTGACCCTGCCTCTCACCCTGCCCTGAGACAGGCAACTTGCTAACTCCTTTCCGGATAGCCAGTATCTCGTCGGAATTAGGTGGGGGCCAAGCAACGGATGGTTTGTGCCTAAAGCCATAGCGGGGGATATAGTCGCCGGGATTTTCCTTCACAATACTAGGAAAGGAATGGGTGAGGTCAACCCATGGCGATAACAAGATTGCCCCTGCGGGCAAAGGCAATCCCTGGTCCCGAATGATGACGAGCAGCCTTCAACCGGTTAGTCAACGTATCAACCGTACCAAAGGGCTAACTTACGATAACGCAAGACCACCCCCAGCAGAATCTCCAGCAAAGATAATCTCTTCTGCTTTATACGAATCCAAGAGGTACAGGTAAGCAGCCAAGCAATCCTGCAGAGCGCACGGGAAGGGAAATTGCGGGGCCAGGCGATATTGCGCTACATGCAAGGTCAGTTCCGTCCGCTTGCACTATTCGTCAAAACGATAGAAATGGGCAATCGCCAACTCACTGCGCACATCCAATCAGTACAATCGCCAACGTAAGCAAGGCGGGGTTTCTTACCGTGTGAAGATCCGGCCCTGCAGCTTTCTAGCGTGGCGCTGTATCTGGTACCGATGGGAGTCCGGACTCCCGAAAAAATACGCGCCACCGTGTAGATACAACATGATGCGCTTTTCGCTGGGATGGGGACCATTTCCCTCCGTCCTGCCGTTGTAGTCATTGCGCATCTCGATCCATTCCGACATCAGGTCTTCCGAGGGCCCACGCCACTGCCACCATTCCTTCCCCCCAACGCGCGCGATGCCCCTGGGACCAAGCTCATTGATAATTGCGGTCGCAGCCAGCGACAGGTAATTCTCCGGAATGGAGAGCCGTTCGGTCTTGACCCAGTAGGGTGAGGGGACGCGCTGGGAGCAGAAGCGCTGGAGGTCCTCGATGGTGTGTTTGGAGGAATAGACCAGGAACTCGCGGATAATCCGAATGCCTTCGTCGTAGGAGATATGGACGGAGGGGGTGTGGTGGTGCGACTTGCGATGTAGGTACTGGGGACATGTGTTGTCAGCGGGGATCGGGTGCGTCACCGCCAGCCGAGGCTGTTTGAGCCGAGCAAATGGCAACCCACATGAGAGAAGAAGGTCGAGACGACAGTTGGTGTGAGGGCCACACTCAGTGCGACCATATTTAATGGCATTGTGAATAGGCTGCAGCTGACAATGGCAGCTCAACGATGGGCATCACCTTGACGGGGAAGGGAGAAGTTGGGGTATATACTATGGACGAAGAGAAACAGAGCCAAAAATCGAAGGCTGGGGATAACAGGCGTAAGGGATAGGAAACGAGGGACAGTATGCCAATGTAGAATAAAGATAAGGCTAACAAGCAACTGAATTCATGGTGAACCCGTGGAAGAAAGACGGTCAGGGAGGCAGGGAGAGTTGAGGACGAAGAGTTGACGAGGCCAAGATATCTCGATGTACGCCGTGGGGACAAACAGTCAAAACAGCGCCAGGGGTGTGATGATGTCATCGGTCGCACTTCGCCCGACGACACTAACTATAAGCAGAGCACAACAGCTGTTCCCAATCTCCTGCTCCACCTCAGACCCGCTAGTTGGCGCATCATCATCAGTGTTCAGACAGTTAGTGCAACGACAGCAAACGGCGATTAAGCTCAAGCGGACATAGTTATACTGGACGAAACCCGCATTTTCCCGCCTCCGTTCCCGCGGGTACCTCCCACAGCTATACTTATCGCCCCTCGTCCAGGCAATACACGGAAATCAGAATAAGAAGAAACGGATAGAAAAGAAACCAACATTCAATTGCGCGAAGAGAAGCCAAGCAGAACCCACCATCATGCCACCCGACTCAACTCCCCCCACCATGAAAGCTTGGCTGTACAGCAGCACAGCCGGTGGCCTAGAGAAGAATCTCGTCCTAGACCAAGCAGCGCGCAAACCCACCAGCCTCCGCGCCAACGACGTGCTCGTGCGGGTAATCTCCGCGTCAATCAATCCAGCCGACTACAAAGTGCCCGAGATGGGCGCCCTAACCAAGGTCCTGACGGGGACGCCGGCCACCCCCGGAATGGACTTTTGCGGCCGCGTGGAGATCACCGGCCCGTCCGTGAAGGGCCTCGAGGATGGCCAACTCGTGTACGGGACGATGGGCCGGCCAGTGCAGTTTGGGTCTCTTGGCGACTACCTCGTGTGCGACGCGAGCGTTACGGCGGCGTTGCCGGAGGGACTGGATCCGGATCTGGCGGCGACGGTGGGCGTCGCGGGCCAGACGGCGTACCAGGCGGTGGCGCCTTACGTGCAGTCCGGGGACAAGGTGTTCATCAACGGGGGTTCAGGCGGCTGCGGCATGTTCGCGATCCAAATTGCAAAACAGCTGGGCTGCCATGTGACGACGACGTGCTCGACGCGCAATGTGGAGCTGTGCAAGGAACTAGGCGCGGACGAAGTGATCGACTATACGACGGAGAATGTGTTGCAAGTGCTCCGGGAGAAGGGCCAGGTGTTTGCCCACGTGGTCGATCATATCGGGCTGCCCGGCGAGCTGTACCACGAGTGCGACGCATTCTTACTGCCAGGGAAGGCGTTTGCTCAGGTGGGTGCGGAGTCGATGCTGACGTTCGTGAATCGGATGGCTTGGCCTAGTTTCTTGGGTGGGGGGAAGCGAAAGTACGTTATCCTGCTGTTTAAGAACAAGAAGGAGGATCTGGTTCAGGTGGGAGAATGGATCCAGCAGGGGAAGGTGAAGGTGATTCTCGATAGTGTGTATGACTTCGAGGATGCGGTCCAGGCGTTCGAGAAGCTGCGTTCGAAGAGAGCGAGGGGAAAGATTGTCGTCCATGTGTCAGAGAAGCCTTGACATCGGATCCCTGTATAATGTGCTTCTGTTATAATTACTTTGTCTATTTAGGTATCCACGAGCTTAATTTATGATAATGCTCGAAAGCAAAGACGATGGTAAATAGGCCTAGTATGAACCCTTGCGACAAAGAGGCGCGTATTCAACAATCTCCCCCCTGTACTTGGAAGGCTTTGTTGGACGAAAACAAACTAAGCTGGGCGCAGATTCAATTTCCGAGATGCAAGTAACCGGGGAGGAGAAGCAAAACAAAGAAGCCCAATTCACCGAGCCGTGTAACCATCACCGATTTTCTTCTGAACACCCGTGTAGCATCACTTTCTCCTCATTCACCATCAACCTCTTCCACTCTCCCTCTTCCCAGCTAAAAAAAATAGAAAAGAAAAAGAAGAAAAAGGGAGAAAGAGAAAGCGAAAGACAACAGACACGATGAAGGCCTCCACCATCCTCTCCGTCTCCATCTCCCTTGTGCTCGCTCTCTCTACCACAGCAGCGGCAGTAGCAGCTCCCCTACAAGACACCAGTCTCCTCGACAAAGCGTTCCGCGAACTCAACGCCGACACCTGCGGTCAGATCTGTGACGGCCAATTTCCCTGCAAGGGGAAGTGCAACAAGTGCATCAACTTTACCTGCCGTCGTAAGGTCTCCCACACTGTTTTGCGTCCCATCGAGGTTACCCCAGACACTGGCGACGATAATATCAAGGCTAACAGCCAGTGTTCAGATCGCTGAGTAGCGTTCAGCCTACCCAAACAGGGCGCACACGGTGATCGGATTCAACCGATGGTATGGTACCTGGATATTCTCATCCATCAATCCATAGATACATCAACCTCATGTCTGCCGCAGTCTGGTTGGACCGAGGCGGGTAGCCGTAATGTACTTATACTGATTGATAGTGGTAGACGGCTCTGGAATCAACGCTCCTACTCTGTCTAATACTATTCGTGCGGTTCATTGCGTGGGCGGAGTGGATGATGGGCGGCGACGGAGATGACGAGTGGAGAGAGGCAGTCGCCCAGGCTTTGGCGGATTGATCAGATCATTGTCTGAGTCTAGTCTCCTTCTGATGGTTCAACCCTGCGGATTTTCATGTATCATATTATCGAGACGGTATCAGCAATCGGTTCCTTGAATACCTTATGGGTGTTGAAAGGCGCTGTGGGCAAGGATCATGCCTTGCAACATGCCAGTGACATTAATATTATATTTCTCTCCATCTGACATAGGAACCCAGGAAGTCAAGCAGGTAAGTATACAGACATCTGGTACGGAGTAGTAGTTGTACAGAAACAACCCTACCCGAAACCCATTAGTTAATTGGTCAATGGGTGGATCCATACCAAAACCATCTCGACCCACATCGTCCACACACCTGGAACCAAAGAAAAAAAACCCCCGAGTCCAGCAAGAATGAAAAACTGCAAAAAGAAAAGCCCAACGCGGGGGTCGAACCCGCAACCTTGAGATTAAGAGTCTCACGCTCTGCCGATTGAGCTAGCCAGGCTAACTTGTTGAAAGGGGAAGCTTTCGAATGCTACTCATACTACATTCAGTGGGTAGTGACTGTCAATCACCGTTTCAGGTATAGTGCGCGCTACCGCTGGGTTTTGGAGTGTGTGGTTTTATACACAGAAAGGATATCATACATGTGATAACAGGTGAGATCAACATGGTAATCTCTATGTCCGCCCAGTGATGATGTTGTTCACCACATTTGAGAGTGTAATAGTTACATAGTAGAAATACTCGGCCATATTGCCCTACACATGCAGTACGCCGGGATATATATAACCAAGGCAGATTTGGTCACCATGGATCTATTGCACTCTATAGACAGCATAAGCACCAATATACTATGAATTAAGCAGACAGCTATGATACCCGAGTTCTTGAAGCATTCTGTGCCTTTCTTGAAACTGCCTATCTGCTTCCTTCATTACTTATCACTACTCCTTCTCGCACACACCTCTTTCTCTTACTGTTGTCTTCTATGCGCTGGCCCCATATCACTGTCAGTTTCTCCCTCCTGTTTTGGGGAGCTTGTCCGTGCCTTAGATATACCTAGTAAGTCGCCTTTAGTTGACATCCTACTTGGCTAAAGCATGCTGACAGGCGTGAAAAGCATTCTTGCTAATCAAGTGCAAATTTATATAGAAGATAAGCCCTATATATAAGCTGCTGATGCTACCTTGGAAGGTAGATTTCTTGTTCATCCTTATTACAGAAGGCCCTGAACACCCTTATAAGCAAAACATTATACTCAGCTATAGTCACGAAATTTGGAAGATACCAGCCGTTGAACATCATGAATAAACAGATCGAAAAGTATGAGAGGGCTCTTGCAGCTCTTGGGTCCTGGTCAGAAAAACTGGAGTTAAGATTTACTAATGCTTGGTTACTGATTACTTTGTTGTGAATGATTATCCAAACCTTGGTAAGGTCCTTGGGGCTTACCGTAGTATTACCTCACTTCACTGTCCCAAGTACCTTACCCACCTCTTCATTCTCACATCGCTTTTTCCTCACCTTCTTCTTAATCATCCTCTTTGGATTCTGTATCTACCTACTAGTTACTACCTACCTAAGATACCTACCCACAATCCACTTGTCCCCTAGCACACATCTGTCTCGTATCTGCGCCATCGCTCTTGTCTCCATCAAAATGACGGAAACCTACTTCTTCCACAGCGACTTCATCGGCAAAGAAATTCATTTTGATGAGGGTTATGTCTCGACCTGGATTCTCGAACGCAAGTTAGGTGAGATGAACGACCAACTGACCGCGCTTAAGTACGTAGAGTTTCAGAAGGCTTCTGGAGCCTATGGCACGTTCATCTGCTCCCAAAGTGATAACAGGAACAATGTCGCGATCATCAAAATCTTCCTACAGTGCGTGTATTTTATACCCTCCCGGCTCATCATTGGGAGTCTCGCCAACGGGGAACTGAAGCTAATGTACCCAAAGGGTCCCCTATCAAGGGTCTGAACATGCCATTCATGCTGAAAGAGCCCGTCAAGCAACTCAAACGTTGCCTATGGCTGGCCAAGAGCAACTGGATGCACTGCGTATCTTGACCGCCAATCACTGCGTCTCGACCCCGACTCTTCTTTCCCAGAAGATTGAACAACAGAGCCAGGATTCCCCGCTTGTTCCCGGTGGTTTTGCCGTATACCTTCTTATTGAGCATGCCCAGGGCATACAGTTGACCGAGTCAATCTTTTGGGCCTTCAAGCGACAGGAACGCGACAGAGTTCGCGAAGCAGTAAAAACCGCATGGGAGTACGCTTATGCCTTTCTGGAATTCAATCCTGAATACACTACGTGATCAATAAGTGCTGATCTCGACCCAACAGAAAGGCGGTTGCGGCGGGGATTGCAATCAACCCTGGAATACTTGAGAACATATTCTACGACCCTATGACCCAGAGCGCGTAAGTACCTAATGTCCACCAAGATCAAACAGACGGACTCCTAATTCATAATACTTGCCATTTGCTTTAGTATCTTGACAGGATTTGTGTGCAGCGAAAAAGTTGGCAATTACCGTCGGACTTGGAACAACAAATTGTGGGTGTCGTGGGATCTAGTTGTTGAAGGCCCGGGTTTTCGTTTCAAGTTTTTCGATGACTCCGAGCCTGACATGTCCAACTGCAAGTTCTAAAAAGGTTCCTATCAATGAGTAGTACTTATTCTAATGTTATTATCCAAATCTTTCGTCTGCTAAATGTCTATTGTTTGCCGAATGACCCCCTGCATTCTTGAAACATATTGTGATTCTTGTCTAACAAAGTCGAGCCCGGCGTGAAGTCCTGCGATAAGGCCAAGTCTTGGGTGTAGGAACTGAACACTGTTTATTTCGCGACATGAGGAAAGAGTTATGTGTATGTATGTTGCAATCCGCAACTGGCTGAGAGAGCATAACCGGTTCAGTCACTGGATCTAAAGCATGGTTGACTAGAAAGATGAAGTTTTTTGAGATGATTATTATCTGAAGTGAGAGTCTCGGAGCGGATATCCACCGCATGATTTGCCCTTATATTTGAAAATGAATCCATAGTACGGGGAGTACGTTGCTTTGATCGAGAAGGTTGCAGATTTCCTTGCTAGCGACGAAGCCAGAGAGAGACATACCACATTTTCCGCGAGGCCGTTGCGACCCCGGAAAATCGAAGCAAAATTATATGCGTTGGCAGTTTTCATAGTCAGTCCCAGACGTTCATCAACTGTCAGAGCTGAAGGTACATCTCATTGCTTAAGGAAACAATGTTTCAAACACTGTCAGAATTCTATCACGACCAGAACGACCGCATATACCCTCCATTCAGCACATGACTGATAACTTGCGTCCCTCATGACAGGTGTGAAAATTCGTCGTCGCCGAGCCCCGGAAGACCAATGGAGGTAACACGCATCAGATTGCCGCGAATAACTGAATAGACAATCCAAAGAACCTGTTAACTTTGTCCTGAAACTCCCTACAGTCCTGACAAGGAGGCGAGCTGATCAATATGACCGCCTCAGCTAATGAAGCTGGCGGGGGCGAATTTGTCATATCAACTAGGTTGGCATGTGTGTTTAGCTGCCGATTGAGAATTACCAGTTGGCTTTCTAGCTTCAGTAAAGGTCGGGCCTGGGTGGCTAATAGCCGGTTTAGGGTTGTTTCAATGGTCTTGAGCCGTAGCTGGAGCGCTTTGACCTCATCATGTTTTCCGACGAGCTTTTCGTCCCCGTCGAAAAGCTCGAGCTCTATATCATCCTTCTCCTTTCTGAGGGATGCCACATTGGCCCCTATATCGGAGCTCGAAAGGAAATCCCAAAGTTCATCCTTCACAGACCTGATCCTTTCCTCTAGCTCCAAATTTGGGAGACTGTCGCGTGGAAGAAAAGCATGACGATCAATAAAGTATGCTATCAACTGCTTTTCTGCATGGGATGCATTGTACTGGCCATCTGTACCCTGATCGTAGTCGTGAGAAGACAGGCGATGACCCACTACTTCCGAAATGTGAAAGACGTCGTCGGTCCACTGCCGCCCATCGACCCTGAGGGACTCCGCCGATTGATGTGACCATCCGCTCATCGCGCCGACGGACGGGAATTTTCCGCCTCGTTCCAATCTCGCCACCGTCTTCCACCTACTGGGGATTCGATACTCTTCGATTGGCCCGTTTAGAACCAGCGAGTCGTGCATTGGAGAGCGTTTAAAAGAGTAGGACTTAGATAGCGATAAGGTCGGAGGGCGCCCAAAGACAATCTTTGACTTTCTGTTCTCCCCGCCGAGGAGGCGTACGATTTCCTGACGGTCAATGTCCCTTTTGAATGTATCCTCCGAATAGGCTAGTCGTCGGCTGGAGTAAGGTGTAAAGTCGCCTCCGGCACGGCTGTATCTCTCCCGTCGGCTTTTGTAATGGTCTCGAGCGAAATCGATAGCAAGTCGGTTTTCATCATCCCGTGCACCCTTGTCTGCACCGTGGTCTAGGAGAACCTTGACATTGTCGACCCGACCAAAGAGTGCTGCTTCCATAAGGGGGCTTCGTCCATAATTGTCAACAGCATTCACATCGGCATTGTGCTCAATTAGGAGCGACACCATCTCGGTACTCTGCTCAGCTGCTGCCAGGATAAGGGTTGTTTGACCCGCGGAAACTCGTCCTCGAACAAACAGCGGAGCCTCGCTAGAAGTCTCCAAGTATCTCTGCACCGCTCTCGTCTTCCCTTGAACACAAGCACTGATCACTTCAAGTATTTTCTTTTGTTCAACTGGCTCTAGCTCGAGTCCTAGATCAACGGTGACGACCTCCCTTGATTGTTCATATATATCTGCATATGTTTCTTCTCTCTGTACTGCGACCATAGCCTTTCGCGCAAATTCCATCGCCAGGTGATCAACATCATCGTCGTCCTCCGTATCACTATCATGCAATACGCAAATATTGGTATAGCGTCCCCGTCTCTTATCTATTTCATACGCGACCTCACGCTTATCATTTATGGGAAAGCAGCAACGGTAAGCCTTCATCTTCTCGCAATGTGAAATCCTCAACTTGTTTGTTTTCCAGTTTACCGCGTGGCGATGAATTGCTTCGCAGAATGGACATCGAACGTAGTAGGAGTCTGCGTTCCACCAGATAACGTCCGCTTCAGGGAACGTTTTCATAGTTTCCATCGGGAAAAAAAAATTCGACGGACGATGAACTGATGGAGGCGGATTTAGTGAGACGATGGCGTTATCAGGAAGCGGCGTGAAGATAAGTAGAGACGAGAGGCGTGTATGCTGGAGGATCCGCTGATTTGAAGGAATTTGAGTACCTAATATAATGGTATGAGGGGAAGTGGGGTTCAACAGGATACCTATCAGTAGGGGTTCTGAGTCTCAGAATTAAAGCCTGGGATTTACATAATTTGCATGGTATTGACAAGCGTCTGCCGTAAATTAGGTCAATTTATATGAACATCCCCCGTCCCATGAATATGGCTTGCCTAGTGCCGCAGGTCGTCAAGAACCAGGACCTGACAGTGATATATATTTTTCTTATCCATTAAGGGAAGTCTACTGAGCGAGCACCTAGCTGGTCTTGACCAAGTCTTGCCCCACCTCTCTAATATCTCCATCTAACTGGTCTGTGGAGGAAAGAAGTGCTGTTAATAGAAGCTTTGCTACATGTACCACATCGTCTTCACATTGAATAAACCATACGAAGAAAGACCAGAAGATGATGATACTTTATCTCTTATCAAGTGTCTTCAAGCTCTGAACTCATATAGTATCCGTTCAGTGAGGAGGGTCATGATTATATGACTACTCGCCAATTTCGTCGATAGGGTGAGGCTATGCTAATATAACGCCCTGCCCCACGAAGAACCCTGGATTCTTGGATTCTAATCATGAGAGATCTGTTGAGGGCCAGATTGCTAATTACACTACATCACCAGCTTTCATAATGCTGTCTTTGCATAATTGGGTATCTCACTCGCAATAGCGGCCGTTCTGTATACTTCGTTACTGCGCTATGCGCGGGGATATCTAGGATAATAATAGCATCAATGAATCCAAACCTAGATATGGTATCAAGAGTAAAGAGCTAGCTGGAGCAATCATAAAAAATATTAAAGAAGTCGAGAAGTATATTATTGATAGTAACTTGGTATTCATTAACTAACAGGATAGATTAGATAGGTCAATGTTCAGATATCTTTCTTATTTTTATAGCCACCGTTACTTTTTTTCACAGGTATATAAGTCAATGCCCTCGCGCTGAACAAGATGTACAAGGTATCTTAAACAATGCATCCTGAGATTATAATGCTTCTTTCCCGCAGGGTTCCACCAGCAGTACCCGTCTCTGTTTGTAAACGGTGATCCCAGACAGCGCATGGTCTTATAAACATCTTGCCAGGGAAAATAATGTCCAGAACTCTCCGCAGTACTAATCTGAGAACTCTCTGCAATAAGTATCCCCCTGTCACTGATCTTAAACCTCTCTTATATCCTCTATATCCTCTTCGTGCAGAATTCTGCGATCATATCCAGCTATATCAGTGATAGATAGATAGCCATGGAACAAGGTCCCTCTATGGAACTTACATTCTCCGGTTCTTATTAATGCCTGGTTTATATTTATCTATAGCAGGTGCGCCATTTCGATTCCAGATAGTAATTTCCCTCGTTCTATTTCAATAAAAGGAAGGCAACAACTGGGGGTAAGAGTACTGTTGCCTGAGAACCGAGCTGTTGCCTGAACAGTCCTCAGGCAACAGCCCAGGGACGTTGGTTGATTCCCCAATTACATTCAGCCTCGTCGCCATAAACACTGTAGTGTGTAGTGTCAGCCAGGCAGGAAGACATGTGCAGATTAGAGTTGCAACCCCTCGGAAATACAGAAACCCGCCGTCCGATGCCAGAAATACAGACATTCGAGTGGATCGTTGACCTACGACTCACAGCTGGACGAATACCTCCCCCTCTTCTCTTCCCCCCATCCTCCTCCTCAGCCAACATACCCCGGACAGAAGTCTACGGTCTAAAGAATGTTACCTACGGTTCGTCCAATGCCATTCATCGCCGTCCCTACTTAGAGAACCCCGGGAATTCCAGCCAGAATCAGGCAGCGGCGTATCGCGGCTAGGTTTGCAAACCACCATATCAAGAAGAGGGGAACACGATCTAGACTTAACCTCCGCTAGGCTGAATCTCAAGGCATACTCGCCTTGGCCCGTGCACAGATCGTGCGAATCCCCGGTGGTGACCCATTGTACGGGTGGCGACTTTCTGGCGGAGCCTCTTGTGACCCTGTGACGGCGAGTGTCCCGTGGGGTACCGAATATTTCTCTTTTGCCCCCTCTTTGCCCACCTCCTCCCCCCTCCTATAGCGCCTGATAGAGTTCAAAAAGGTAAATGTGGGGGGGAGTGGTGTTGGTATTGTACTACACACCTGCGCGTATTGGAGACACGGCAGAACCAAAGTATCGGTAGCGAGTTCCAGTAGAAAGTGCAAAGCACTGGACGAGAGCGTCGACAAAGCTGGTACACGAAACGGTTCCAGGCGCCCATCGTACCTCGATAGGAAGAGAAAGGCCCATGCAAGACAGACAGCATTGCGCGCGTCAACGGCGGGCCGATCGGCGGGCCGGGATCAGAAGCTTGGAATTGACAATCGAAAGGCATGGCGATGCATCTCCGATGAGCCACTGTGGCAGGATCGATGATGACGGCGGCGCCTACATGACGCTGGTCGGAAAAGGAGGGAAAAAGCAAAGACGCGCTCGTAACCAGTCGTGCTGTGGCTGAGGCAGTGGTCGATGAGGCTGAGACAGCTTGATCCTTAGGCCGTAACCGGCGCGCGCTTAACCTTTTATCTTTCTGGTGCTGACGACTACACGGGCGTCCTCGTGTCCGCACCGTGTATTTTTAGTTTTTATTTTTAATTTTGTTTCTCCCTGCAAATCCGTCGTCCCAAAAATAGAGACGAGGGAATGATCGTCCGGTTTTGATGGGTTACCGTCTGGACGGCACCAGGGGGTGTCGCGTCTCAGGACGATGGTGTTGGGCGCGTGCGGCTCCAATATGGAGGGAGAATGGGAGATTCAGTCATAGCCAACGATTTCTCATCAGTCGCTGCATGTAATGAGCCGGGCAGTGTGTGAGGAACCGGTTTCCGGGTCGAGTGGTGAGCGGTGGAGGTGCAGTTCATGGGCAGCTTGGCAGGTAACAAAGGAGCTGAAAGATGACTGCGCCTCAGCAACACGAGAAAGCTCAAGCCACAGTTCGGTGACTTCATCACGGTTGACGATTGTGGAGGTTCCCTATGGACAAAGACGAAAAGCGAAGTATGACTCGACGCGACCCCGACCACCTTGAACGGGTTAGATCGGATCAGAAAACCAGGGTCACAGCCAGTCATGGGGAGAAATGACCACATGGAGGGATGGATCATGCAGGAGAGAGGGGCGGTTGACCGACCATCTCGAGGAGGAGAACGAATCAGGGATTGTTGAAGAGCATCAACGACGGTCAGAGAGAGGAAAACTGACGGGGAAAGGAGGAGGAGGAAAACACAGCCAGGATGCACCAGCCACAATTACTCGACCTGGTTGACTACTGTAAGGAACTGGCTTTTCTCCTGTCAGATTGACCTTGGATCATCTGCGCGCTTTTTCACACTTTCCCACACTTTTCGGTGTTTTTGATTTATTTTATAATTATGATGAAATAATATTTATTATTATAATAATAAATCTATTTTTTATTTCCTCGCTTCCTGTGACCAATGCCGTCATTGTAGTTGATTCCTCCCGCGCCTAGGTTCCTCACCCCCCCCGGTACCATAATATGGATGCCTTTGGCTTCGTCGAGACTATATAGTTCCTCCTCACCCCCCCCCCCCCCTCTCTCTTGCATTTCTTCATTCCTCATCTTCAAACGCATTCTCATACTTCCTACTTTCCAAGCCTCAGCAATTCAACACCACAGTAACTACTACAACGAATAGTTACTGCCTACTTCAACAAACAAAACCATCTCTCGTCTTCCCCTAAACCCTTACAGTGTGAGACGGCCTTAGAGCCCGCCCTCCAATTTCGACACACTCAGTCACCGTGTCTCCTCTCGAGCCTTTTTCTCGTTTTTTTTGGCCTCCCCTCCCCCCGACCATTCGGGACATCCTCCGTCGTCGACGAGACCCCCGCGGACGACCCCAGTTACGCCGCACTAACACCATGCCTGCCCCTATCATCGAAAACGTCGCCGAGCCCGTCGTGGCCGTGCGCGATCTGGAGGCCGACGAGGAGTACGTGATGCTTGCCTTTGAGCGCCACGCCGACCATTGCGCCCAGTGCGTGGACCCGCTGCGGGTCCACGAGGAGAACGGTTCCCTCTGCGATCGCGGCCACCAGTATGCGCTGAACGTCGCCGAGTACCTGTACAGCAAGAACGGCAAGGCCTACTCGGTCGTCGACCGCGAGGTCAACCAGCCCACCCTCGTCAAGATCCCTCGCAACTGCCTGGCCGTTCGCGGTCTGCTGCTGGCCATGGAAGACGGCCTGCGCCTGCACCGCCAGGAGCAGGAGTTGCCCGCCGCCCGGGTCCAGCCACCCGTCATCAGCTACGACGCGACGTACCCCATCCCACCCCGTCGCACGGCGACCCAGCCTGCGCCGGTGGTCCACCACGAGGTGATTGAGCGGGAACCTCGCACGCTCAAGCGTCGCCGGATCATTGTCTACCCTTCTCGTGAATCGCCCCGTGACTCTCCCAGCCGGGGCTCTCTCTACGAAGCCGACGCGGCCGACCGCGTCGAGCGACAGAAGGAGTCCTCGCGCATCTACCGACCCGCCGAATACCACCGTTGATCGGATCGCTTTCTTATAATACACGTCTTGTCATCATTCGCACAAACGTCTTTCACCATCGCTTCACATGCGACTCGACCCGCGCATGGAGACCCAACTAAATCCCGCGATTTAGTGCCCGCCGCGACTCCCGCCGGCACGAGCCCTACCCCGTTCGACCCGTTTATGGGGCCGAGCTTGGCGGTTCTCCAGAGTCTCCACCGCATGTTGCCCTGACCATCTTCCTCGATTTAGAGGTGTGCACCACTGTCATTGTTGTTATAGTACTATCAAGTCCACCAGAAAAAAAACAACATGAAAAAATTTGAAAAGACAAATATGCCAGAAAAAAAAGACGCACAAAAAGGGCAAAAAAAAAAAGAAAAAGAAGTAGAAACGAAATTACACGGAGAGACGAGAAGAGAATTACGTCGGACGATATGCAGGAATCTCCACCAGTTGCCCTGAAGTGACTCATGACTGGAGGTGACCCAAGGACTGGTGCATGCGTTAGGGGGGCTGACCCCACCCTCCATCACGGGGGGAAGTTGGAGTGATTGGTTTGTTCATAGGATGATCTCTATGTTTTTTTCATTTGTTTATTATGATTTTTCTTTTTCATGTATTGTGATGAGTGTACCAGTGTGATATTCTAATAATATCTGTCATCATACCCAACTGTTCCTATAATATGTACATCCTTTATCTAGACTATATTCTCCCATAATATCATACATAATTCCCCAACCAGAAACCACATTCTATATACCTAGAATCATAGTCATATATCCAATGCATACCCTCCCAGTTAGCCCGGTTTCACCCCATTCTAAACCAGCAAGGATGTGAAAATCTCTTCTCATCAAAGTGGGGGTGTACTTTTCGTCGATGCTCGTGCGCTTCTTGGTGGGGGCGATCTTACCTACGAGGTCACTGCTTTGCAGCTGGGGAGGCGAATGTTCTCTTACTTAGTTACTCTCTGAGCTGCTTGGTGAAGAGGGGGTAGGAGGAAGTCGGCGACTTATTGCCGACTCGGAGATTGAGGTCTGGCTGGACTTTGAGGCGGATGAGTAAGGTGATCAATAGTAAGAATTCGCTCTGTTGGTGGGGTTGGATGTGGTTTGTTTTGGTTGTGGGGTGGGGATTTAAGTTGCAACTGGTATGGACATGGGAAAGGATAGACATTCAAGAATAGCGTGGAACCTACTTAATAGTCTTTTGGAACTGGTTGAAGATAGACGTATACAGACCTATAATCCGATTTCTACTGCGTCATAGATGAGTGCCAACATGGGGAATCATACCCAAAAAAACGAGACAAAAAGAGATAGGAAACAAAAGAAGTAAACATAATGAAAGGAAGATGATAGAACAGAACTTGCAATAAAATAAGCAATAATAATACCTACCTCCCCCGGAATTCCCCGTGCCACACATGGATTCAAACTGGTTAGTGCGATCATCCTTGTATAGGTCTATTCCGCCGCCGAGCTTCTGTATAGAAAGCTAGCCCTACCCGCTTCGGCTTCATTTTTGATAAACCACTTTAGATAACAATGCTTCTTGTAATATAATTCTACTGGAGTCCATCAGACAATAGAAAATGACAATCCATCACTGTGTTTATTATGTTCATCACTGCAGAGCAGACGATGCCTCGAATAGGCTTAGCGTCTGTCTGTTGACAGTGACCGTTGGTAGCAACGGTGATCGTAGATACTATGAGAGAGTATATAAACCTGTTTGCTATTGTTTCTGTCTTCTTGATACTAATCATCATCATCATCTCTTACTCCCTGCCATCCAGTGTTCTTTGAATCCCTTCATCATCGTGTCATGCTCCTGTTTGTATCTCAGTCTAAAACATCTTTATCATCAGTCAAGAACCATCCACCATGTCTGAGCTCGCGTGGAGCGAAGATCAGTTGACCAGTGTGCTTCTGAGCACTCTCGACGCTGACCCCAACAATCAAGAGGTAAGTTCATCTCCTATCTCATCTAGTATTTGCTTCCAATATCTCAAAGCAACCTAGCCCTAACGTGTCACCAACCAGGAGCTCTCCCGCTACCAGCCAGCCCTCGACGCGTTCGCGAACAGCAAACCCCTCGAAGAGCTCGAGGTGGAAAATGAGGGAATTTGGAAAGAATACCAAGCCCAGTCGTCCACGTCTGGTCAGTCTGCGGACGAGGCCAACGATGGCATCAAAATCCCTTCAACCGAAGAACTGATTTCCCGCTACAACTGGACACAGGAGGATGTCGAGCGTGGATACAAGGGGTATGTAGAACCTTCCAAGCTTTTCAATACTCCACAAGCACGTATAGTAACTAACAAATATATGTGATTCTAGCGGCCCCGTCAAGTTCCAATACTTCGAGAACCCCGACTCTGATGGTCATAATCATAATGAGGAGGAGATAGTGGTGGTGGAAAAGGAGGTGGACGTCATCAGCATCGCCAGCTCTGTGGAGAGCCCCAACGATATGATACCCACAAACTCGTCCACCGACTCCGGCCAGCTGCCAGAGACTGCCACCATCATCTCTTCTTCTCCTGCAGGCGCCAGCACTATTTCATCCATGAGCACGCCCACCGACTACAGCATGCTGTCGGACACTGGTACCAACGTCTCTTCTTTTACAAGGGCCAGCACCATGATATCCACAGACTGGCCCTCCGAGTCCAGCCTGCTGTCAGAGTCCGCTAGCAGCATCTCTTCGTCTCCATCAAGCGTCAGCAGCATGGTATCCACGGTCTCGCGGCCCTCCGACTCCAGCGAGCTGCCAGAGTCTACTATCAGCGCCGACTCTTCCCCTGCGCAGAGCCCCAGTGCCACGAGCACTCCCAGCGACTCCAGCGAGCTGCCAGCGCCTGATATGAGCGTCAACTCTTCCCCAGCGCAGAGTGCCAGAGCTACGGGACCCGCGAACTTGATCAATAATTCCAACCAGCTGCCGGCCCCTGCTCTCAGCACCTCGTCTCTTGCGCAGAGCATCAGATCCATGCTACTCGCCAACTATCAGCCCACCGTCCCCACCCAGCGGCCACTTCCTGATATCAGCACCTATCATCCCCCCCAGGGTACACTGGCGCCCATGGACATACTCCTCGACCCTACCAAGCTGAGAGCTCCGTACACCTTTCGCGCCGCGGCCCAGCCCTCGAAGGAAGCATCCATGGACCTTCCAACCCGCCCCGCGCAGCCACAGCCACAGTCGGCACCCATGGGCCCGCCAACCTGTCCCGCGCAACTCCCCCCAGCTCAGCAGCAGCCCTCAACCCCAACTCCCACAATCTACTCCTCCCCCGCGCCACGCGCCCAAACAATCATAACCACCCCGAACGCCCCAGGCGCTCTCCCATCCCCCCTCCTCAGCGCCTCCACCCCCAAAGTCCCAGCCCAAGAATCCCCCTGCGTCGCGCGAGCCGCCCGCAAGAGACGCGCCGCCGCCATCCACCCCACCGCCGTCGCTCCCCCCACCGACAACAACAGCAATAACGACGACAAAAACAATTTCGAACCCCAAATGGGCATCGAGCGCTTCCTGATGCAGGCGTTCCCGGACGAGGTTACCCCGCTGCAGAAGCGGCGTGTGTTGAACGCTAGTCCGCTTGGTGAGCGCATTCGCTATTGTCGTGCGCCGACGGCGGATATGGCGTATGGGGGGAGGAAGCTGAGCGTGCGCTCGTTGCGGGGCATGATTTTTGCGGCTAGGTTGGCGGAGGCGAGGAGGGTAGAGAAGGCTGCGAGGGCGGCGAGGGCTGCGAGATGTGTGGTTGTTTCTGCGCAGGGTGCTGCGGACCAGGACGTTACTATGGTGGATGTTTAGGCTGATGCAGTAGTGATGCTGGGAGATGATAGTAAGTCGTATTGGCTGTTTTACTGCTGCAAAGTCTACGCTAACTAGGAGGCAGTGAAAGTCTATGTGCAACAATTTTACGAACACGGAAACGATATCAAGACGGCCATTCATGTCACGCATTACGACCCCATTTCTCACTTTCTTGTTTTACGATTTGTTCCTGGAAGAACACCGCAGATTGATACCCCTCTGGATGGGACAGGAGTTACCAGGACACACAGTACCATTTCATTGCTTGTTTCCATACTCGAGTCAAACCCTGTGCGGACTATTTGGATCTCATATTGGTCAGACTATCTACCAAGTCCAACCATGTACAGATCCATTTGGACCACTAACTGGGCAGACCTTCTCATTGTATTGTCTTGATATTAACATTCTACTGTGGAACCACGACTGCAACAAGCAAGTCCGTTCACATCTGTTGATTTCTTCAGAGCAGGCAGGCAGGCAGGCATGTATGTACATAGGACAGGATTCTGACTCTTGTACCACCATCTAGCTAGCTAGCCAATCCAAATAACAGATGCATTTTTCATACTTCGGTGTCTTCTCTTCCGTGCTTAATCAAGACTTTAGATGGTGGTGGTGTGCATGCATCCGTGCATGCATCCATGCACGCATGTACGTATGTATGTCATCTGGCAGATAGCGGGGTGAGATGGATGGATGGAGATGGTATCCCCGCTGTGGCTGGTGCGAGTGTACTTTTACTAGTGTGAATGTAGGTAGGTTGCACATCATGCACGGATTGTCTCACGATCCCGTCATAGGATGGGAAACTGGGCTAATGCAGTTCCGGTTCTGTTGCCACTGGCTAGACTGACTACCTTGTATAGGAATAGTCCTGTACTATAAGCTACTGACTTATATGTGCAGTACTGGATAGCTTTGTAGATGTACAAGACTAGCGATATAAATTTATTATTATAATCCTCTATCAAATCTCTCTCTTCTATAATATTGACTTAAATAATACCATTATATACATCAGGATGAACATTCCCCGCGACGATCCCGTCGATCACGGCACGTTGATCCCATGACATCCTCCTCCTTACTTCAACTTTTAATCTACCACTAGTACTACCTAGGATACTCCAAGATAGGTATACTACTCCCAGATTAGTCCATTGAACTAACAAATCGGCTCATCACCAGACAAACCGTCCGGTTATCCCCCAGTAAATCATCCACACTATGTCTCCGTCTATCCCGCTAGACACCCGCTAACTACCCCGGTATCACCTATTAGATGCCGTCACCCTTACCCTTCATGATAATATGACCATCCAGCTATACCCCCCAGCTTTTTAGTTTTATATTATCCATCCCTTCGGCAAGATGCATACTCACGCGGGCGCTTGCATGTGCGTCACTGTGGGTGGTCTGAGCAGTGCCGTTGGATCTGTATGCTGATCTTATATTACTTTTACTTGGTTTTTTCTTACCCGAACTTGGCATATGGGTATTTACTTACTACATTTAAGTAAAGGATGGGAAGGACGACAATAATAGCGGCCATTCTAGTCTACGTCGAAACGAGTATCTGAACACCGTTCGACCGTTCCAGGCAGCTGCATGGGAGAGGTAAGGAGAAGGGGGGATCATGGGGACTGTGTTCAGGCATCCTTTGATAGCTCGGTGTATGGAGGAGCTCTTCTATAGACTTTTACTTCTTTCTGTGTATATAATAGAGTTTCGTGTTTCCTTGTTCTTGTTTTTGTATGGGTGGTGGTACGCTTCAGCTTTGACTTGATATTACAGTAGTGTAATATGGGTGTTTGAAGACATACTCTGGTAGTATACGTAGACAGTTAGGTAGTAGAGGGACATATTAAGATATGAGTACATGTAGTTATCAAATCTCTAGCAGTCTATATCGCGATTCATATCCCAGCTGAATGCCGGATATGGATATTCCTATCAACAACCCCGCAATATCAATATCATAGTAGAAGTCATATTTGTTTTATTATGTTGTGTTCTATTAATCATTTATTCGATTCAATAATTTATTATCTCATTATCTTGTATTTTATCATTTCAAAGAAAATTTAGCAAGTCATCTGCCCAAACCCAGGCAAAGTATATCTACCCACCTTGAAAACAAGGTTCAAGCATCCATCAGCCACACCCTCCCTAATAATCGCACTGGCCAAAAGCATGGATTGAGATCTGCAGGTCTAGTCCGATGCTGTTGTGCCATTACTGATTTATTGACCTTGCTTGCAGTTCCAGGGTTAGGTTGGTGTTACCATTATGCACTATAAGATGTAGTACTAAATGGAACATGTCTGTTCATTGTAATTCTACTGGTAAATGTCTTGGTAAAACCAGTATAGATCACGATAAATAAAACTTATATAAAACGATAACTTCTACAAAAATGCCATAAACTTAGACCATCAATATAAAGAATAATACGTGGGGTACCAAAGTAGTAAAAGTGGGTATAACCCCATCGACGCTATCCCCAATCCAGTAATTCCCAATCAGGCAGTAATAGACCACGTGACCTACCCTTCTCTCGAACCCAAATTATTCCAACCTCCGTCGCAAACTCCGACTTTCTCCATCGCAGTCAACCTCCGACAACGACCACCATGGCCAAAAAATGTACCCCCTCTTCCCCCCCCCTCCCCTATCTCAATTCGACCCAAGGATAAAAACTAATACACACATCAACCAGCTAAATCCCGCACCGTCGCCGTCCGCCTCATCTCCATGGCCATGACTGGCTACTTCCGCACAATGATCCGCCCCCGGACGCACCGCCCGCTCAGCATGCTCAAGTATGATCCGGTTGTCAAGAAGCAGGTACTCTTTTTGGAGGCTACCAAGGGTGGGCGCAATAAATAAATGATTCATCTATCGCCTGCCACTTCTCTCCTGCTTGGTTTAGCAATTGGAGGGAGGGGAGGGCGCTTGTGATCATCTTTTTTGCGCCTTTTCTCGATCGATCAACCTGTCTATCTATCTATCTATCTATCTACCTATCGAATCGCTTTCGCCCGCCTGATACGCTGTGAATACGGTACTTCGATAATCGACTACGCTGGTTTATGGAATTCGGTGCGCGCCACGTCGTGAGATGGATGGTTGATGGGTGATGGGGAGGGGTCGGTCAATATTGTACATTAGCGGTGCTGCGGCGTCAGACTGCGGAGGTCTCTTTCCACGACTTTACCGTGATCTAGATCGCGCTGTATGTTATTTGGTTTGCATTTGGGCGTTTAGAGCAGTACAATCTGGGTCAATCAACGTGTTCGTTATATCATGAGAAAAACGCAATCATCCATCTGTTCCGTTGACATACAATCTGATCTTGTCTGGGAAATCGGGGGCAAATAAATGTCAATAAAACGGTACAATATACTTCAAGGGGTGGATAGGATATATATGGTAATGTATAGGGTACGTTTGTCGCTGCTCATTTGATCACCTCTCGTTCCAGCACTAGTTTTCCTTGTTGAACCGCGCGTTGTATCGGGCACCTGCTGGATCAGCACGATTTCTGATAGAAGATAAACATGCCTTACCGCGTGTTCTCCGCCCCCTTGCCATTCGACCCGGGGGTTTCTGGCTGCTCTGGTTCTCATTTATAGAACCTGGCCTGCTGCTCCCCGAGGCGAGCTTGGCGGGGCTCGCCTTGCGTTCCAAATATTCCGGTACCGCTTGCGCTCCCTTCGGCGTGCTTTCGTGCGAATGCTTCGTCTTCTTGATCCGGATGGGGCCCAGGTTATCAAGGTGGGAAGAGTTGCGAGAGACTGCCGGCGATGCATTATGCGGCTGAGATCTGGCAGAAGCACTCGCGCCAGACTGTCGTATCTTGCTGTACGTTCGTCGATTGGCGCGAGGACGGGGTTTTTCGGTCTCTCCACTCTGAGATGATGCTCCATTTTGGGAGCGGTGGCGTTCTCCGCCTGGAGATGGTTGGCTTGCTGTGAAGGTCACTGCCTTTGGCTTCAAGGTTGCCTCTTGTCCGTTGCTCTTATTGGCGACTGGTTTGGTATTTGACTCAGAAGCATCATGATCTTCACGCGTCGGAAAGCCCTCACCAGTTTCACCGTTTCTTCCAGCTGATGCCGACCCTGGTGTCGCCTTATCTGGCATAGTACCAAATAGAGCCGCCATACCTTTGTCGCAGCTGTCTGGCGTCGAACAAGGGGCCGGTGACAGCTGCTGACGAATGCTTGAAAATGGCACGATGCTACTCGGCTGCGAATCAGGGACGCACGCAGTCCTGCCATTGATCCAGTCAGGACCAACTTTGTTCATCTCCATTGACATCGAGGCCACATTTCTTTGGACACTCTGCGTCCGATATATCACCTCCGTTGTCTGAACCAAGTCCTGTCCGGCGGTTCCTCCCAACATCGGCGATGAAGCCAAAACGATGTTCTTTGCAGCATTGGGGGTCATGCCAACAGTAGTTCCATTGGGTTGGTGCGTTGATGGGGTGTCGCGAGATTTGGTGGCCCTAATTGATGGCAGGAGCTTCTCCAAACGAGTCAAAGTTTCTTCAAATGGCTCATCTGGTACAGCAGTACCGGTGCTCTTAATCATATCCTTAATCTTTCTCATCCATTCGTCGGCATTTTGGACCCTTCGAAGCAAAGCATGTATTTCACCTTTAGCTTTGGCCTTACCCGATTCAAGGGTTGATTTGGTAGCGTTTGCATCATCAAGCTCCTTCTGAACGCCTTCAATCATTTCACTCTGCTTCAATGTTTCTTTCTGAAGAGACTCAATCCTGTCTTGTTGGTCATTTGATGACGCGAGGTTTTTGTCGGATATTTCGGCCAGTTCAGCCTCAAGATCAGAGTTCTTTTTGTTGGCAACCTCAAGCCTCAACTGCAGGTCCGCTTGCTCTAATGCGTTCGTCGTCTCTAACTCCTGAAGCTTTTCTATCTCCACCTCTTTCTCTGCCAGCTTGGTGGCATCATCTGTACGAGAGTTTTCCAAGCTGTGAATCTGTTTCTCTTTTTTTAACATCTATGTCTATTAGTATTTGTCCATCAAAACGGGCAGTCACACGGACCAGGCATTCGAGATCCTCGCGCTCCTTTTTCGCTGAAACTTTGCTTTCCTCCTGCGATCTGTTAGTATGTCACATGTGGCGCATTTTAGGATAATACCAAGTTCTTTTGGGCGTCACGCAGCTGCTCCTGCAATTTCTCCACATGTATCTCAAGGTCGGCTTTCCCTCGAGAGAGTTGGTGCATTTGCTGTTCGAACTTTGCTTTTGTTTGATCTCTAGCAATGACGCTAGCTCTACTCAGCTGCTCCCGAACTTTGGTATCCATGTCTTCGAGCTTATGCTTCAAGTCATCGGATTCTGCTATGACTTGAATGGTCCGTTGCTCTTCTTGTAGAAGTTTCTCCGTAATTGTCGACATTGACAATTTCAAAGTTTCAATCTCTGTGTCTTTGGCCTCCACACTCTCCCCAGTCAGCAATAAGTCCGAACGTAGAGTTTCAATGATCCCCTCGAGATCTTGCTTTTCCTCAATGCTGACGTATCCTGCTGCTGGAAAGGTTTCAATCTTGTCAGGGATCTTGACTTCAGAAATTCTTTCCCCGAGACGTCCCATTTCTTTGACCAGGCAGGTCTCTTGTAACTCAAACCCTGAAAGGGACTGTTTCACTTCTTCGACATTCAGCATAAAATCTCCTAATCTTTGTTGCATTGAGCGGAAAGATTCGTCATTCTCTCTGAGCTTCTCCAGCAGCGTTGACCCCGTTCCCACAGTATGATAAGCGATTTGAAGTTGTTCTTTCAAGGTATTAGCAGTGTCATCATTCACATTAGTGCTTCGGTCGATTTCTTCTGTCAGCCGTGCAGTTATCGAATTCATTCTGAACCATGTCAGCATACCACAATGGCAAGTTTATACTAGACACTTACTGGGATGTGAATTCATTCGCAATTTTGTGACACCTTTGAAAATCTGCCCGCTCGAGAACGCGTTCGTCTTTCATGCCTCTCAACAGATCGAGGCACTCTTCCAGTGTACGACCAAGTGCTGACTGGACATTTCTCTGAGAACTTGCCCATTCAATTTGTATACGTTCAAACGCGGATTCAACCTTCTGCGATGTCTCAAGCTGACCGGACCTAACAAGTTCCAATCCTTTTGCTTGATGAATTGAATGGGATCGAATGTATGACTCCAAAGACGCGTTCCTCTTGAACTCTTTGGACAATTGCTGCTGGGTATAGGCCGCTTTCTCGTCGGAATTTTTGAGTTCTTTCTGCAACAGGACAATCATATTCTCCAGCTCCGTAGAGCGACTCTTATTCGTGTTGACAAAGCTAGTCGTCTGAGCTAGTCGTGACTTGAGATCGAAAATGTCTTCTGCAATGATTTTTCTCTCCTTGTCACAGGCGGCCCTAGCTGCCCTAAGCTGGATAGCATCGCCGCGAATATTTTTGTAATCGGAGCCAAGCTCATTCAGGAAATATTTGAACCTAGCCAGTTTTTTCTTCCATAGTTCCTGTCTGGATCGGTACGTTTTTGCTTCCGCTGACTGCTCCTCAAGTTGAGTACCAAGCGTTTCAAGCTCAGCTTTCAGGCCATTGTTTTCTTCCTGCAGTTTCGCGATGTGTGTTTCCATTTGCCGTTGGATGTTGGTTGCAGCGGCTTCATTCTCTTCACGCACCTTGAGTCTATTGATCAGAAGCTGGAAAATGTCTTCCTCGGATAACTGGGAGCTCTTGTTCATGGCAATCGGTAACCCTTTTGCATTTGTCCTTTTTGTCCGATGGGGCTTTGCGACTCTAAACTCATCATTCGCCCGTGTTGTTGAGTGCAGGACATCAGGCACTTCTGCTGTAGTCCCATCTGCCACCGCTGAGCGTTCATCGGGGCGAGCTTTGCTCGGTCTAATTTGATTGTATCCAGCATAGATTTCACGAGACCGTCTCCCTAGATATGTGTTAGTCTGGCTTATCATTAATTGTGAGTAGAGACATACTTTGAGAACCATCCGCCGAGTCCGAGGATTTTCCATTCGCTACCGGCAGAGAGACACCACTTTTACGTCTGTCTTCATAATCTCCGGCATGCTCAAAATTACTCTCCACATATTCCATGGGTCCAGCGCTTTGAGTGAGTGTTTCTGATGTTGAATGTGAGGTCGGAGGACTCTGGTTGTTTGTGGCGACTCTGAGTCCGCCATGAGACAAGTATTCAAAGCATAGTGACATCTGTCCGTCACAAGTGGGAAATTACCTTGGATTACTCTCTTCCTGTCTAGTATCATTTATATCATCACGCTCAGTCTTCCCTTGACCTCCACCCCTATTTGACGTCGATCTAGCTTGCGACCTGACAGCCGGTTTCAGAGAAAACACTTTCCCATGCTGAAGTGGCTTTGCAAACGAAAACGCTGTTACGTCGATCCCGGAAATTTTTGGGCGTTGTACAAGTGACGAGGGAGGCATCTGCTGTTCCACTGATGGGACTCGTCCTTGAGGGACATCCATCGCTGCGTTGAGCCTAGGGGAGACAGGTTCATCAGCCTGTGCTATTTGGAGGAGTAGAAGCTCGTCGACTTCATCACAGTCCTCAGGCTGTCCAAGGACAGAGGTGATGGGAGATTCTATAGCAGACAAAGAAGGATTGTGTGTGAGATCCATGGCGTTCAGTTTCTGTCAAGCTGTGCCATGAGAGCTCGAGCTCAGTAAACGAGTGGAGGACTACACGATATTGTATTTCAGAAAGGAAGGCAAAGGAATGATTTGATGGATGAAGAGGCTTTTCAGATAGCGAAGGATTGTCAAAGGGGGTATGGTGAAGCTCACGATTTACATGTCGGAAATAGATGAGAACTGGCGAGCTGAGCAGACAGAATTACTGGTGGTCCCGTGATGTCTCCGGTCTTTCGTCTGTTCTTCTGCTTCTACCTCTCGACTAGGTAAAGACGACTCTTCCTCTTCTACAGAACACCGCTTATTACTCTCATTTGATCTGTGGATGAACATTCGTGCTTGATTAATCGCTACAAGCAACAAGATCAGCCAAGCAAAGCTTAATATACATGCCATGCAATAAGGCCCCTAAATTGAAGCCATCGCAACCACAATATAAGACAACCACCACCTCCAAACCAATCCCCCCAGCAAACAATCAGCCCTACAAACACCGCAAAGACAACAAAAAACAAACAAACCGCTGACCCCCACACCGTCTGTCAAACCCGTCCAGAAATCCCGGCGGCCAAGGCCCCTCCGCCATTGGGCGCTTGTGCAGCAGCCAAGCCGGCAATCACAGACCCCCGGCGCCAACATCACGCAGAGGCACACATACGGGGTCCTGATTCGCTGCGGTGATATATCTTTGCTCCCCTTGCAGTGTCAATCTGCGGTGATCAAGCTGCAGAAATACGTGCAGAGCTTGGATCTCGCCCGTTGGGCCTATCAGTACAGGGGCCAAGAAGTCCTGTTTAGCGCTTTTGTCAGGGGAAAGTGAAGGTGTCGGGGCAGTGCTTGGGGGAGTGGTGGTATAATTATCATTGAGGGTTTCTTCAGCGGGGGTTTGTTTTGTTCTGTTTCTTTTGTTGGGGATTTTATCGCCTACTTCCTATTATCATATCTACATCTTACCTACTCAAAAGGAACCACCGATAGTCGCTTTACTCTGCTGTCAGAACAAAATGCATTTCTCAATACTCCCCATCTTCCTCGCCGCTCTCCTCTCCCAATCAACAACAGCCCAAACCATCGCCGAAGAAATCGAAGCCCAAAACGATGCCGGCGCAGAAGGGCCCTCCTCCGAGTCATCCGTGGGCGTCTCCTCAGAGGGCATGATCATTCTCTGCACGATAGTCGGCGTCGTTGTTCTCATAGGAGGTATGCTATGTCTCTCTCCCACCCCAGCTGTACTCACCGCAAGTACCCATCCTTGTCACTATTCACCACTAAACGCAATGCAGTATCCTCCGCGGCGCTCTTCGTCGTCGCAAAAAGACGCCAATGGGCCATGCGCGAGACGATCACTCGCTCTGCACGCCAGGTCACGCAGGCTATCAAGACGCCGTTGACCCCTCGGTTTCCGCGAATGAAGCCCCAGGGGCGGGATGATGGTGGTGGTGCTAGGGGGGGTGGAATGAGAGGTATCGCGAAGCAGCAGACTAAGGATGTTGAGAAGGGGTCTGTGAGTGACGAGGATGTTAAGAAGAAGGGCGATGACCGTAGGGAGTCTAGGGGGTGGGGATCGCGTTTCTCGTTTAATCGGGGGTAGGGTGTTCTCCCACGGCTGGACTATGCTGTGGTTGGGTATTTCGTTGTTATACATACCTTACTTTTCCTTGAGTTTGGTTGCTGTGCTGCTGTGATGTTGTGTTGCTGGTCAACGCTTCTCATATGTCTACTTTTTCACACCGTCTACACTGGGTCGAGTGATATTTATGTTCGAGTATAGCATGTTTGGAGTTTGCTATTATGATTCATGTTTGTGCTTCCGGGCTTGTATTCGCAACTCATTCTATATGTCTATATCAAAAAATGGCTTCTTCTCAATGAAACAAGACTTGCTTGTATTGAACTTCCAAAGGGTGGCCCAAAGTATAATCGGCGTTTCATCATCTCAACAATGTACAACAGCTGGCGAAGCCGCATAGAGTATAGATACAGATGGGCAGGTAGGTAGAAAGGATATTAAAATATGCAACAATGGACACAATGCAGTGGGGGTAGACAAAAAAAGAACAAAACGTCACCACATTAACCATATCCAAAACAAAAGGATAATATACACCAAAAAACTCAATAATAATCCGGCAAATCACCAAAATCCGGCATATCATCCCCACACTTAAACGACGGCTCATAAGCCTTCTTAGGCATGAACCCGTTCTTCCAAGCGGTCTTGTAACTCCACTGAGCAGCCGACTCAGTATGCCAGGTCCAGTAGAACCAGCCCTGCCCGGTCTCAAAGGCAGACATCTGGGCCTCCGCATAGGTCTGGAGCAGTTTCTTGTAGTCGTCTGAGTAGTCGGACGGGTCGGCGTTGGCTTGTTCGCAGCTGCAGCGTGGGCCCGAGTCGGCTGTCGGGCAGTACTGCGTTGAATCGGTCTTGGAGAATGTGCCTTCCCAGCGGGTGCCGCGGCCGACGTTGTTGAGATACTGTGCGCAGTCGGTGTCTGCTTGGGACCACTCGCCGCACATTGTTGGGCCCCAGCTGCGAGATGTTAGTTTGGGGAGCTTGCACTGGGGGTCAGGGCTTAGGTAGGGCTGGAATGGCTACTCACCCTTCGCTCGTGCTGTTGATCTCTTTGATCATGTTGAACCAGTCCTTGCAGATTAGCTTGACCCGTTCCTTGTGTTTGAGGACGATCTGCCCCGTGTTGAAAATGCTGTACTGATGGGTATCAAGGAGCATGTGGTCCGGACGGTCCTTCAGCATCTTCTTCCACTTGCTGAGGTTCAGGAAGCCGTCGTGGACAACAATCCAGGCCTTGATGCCATTTTTCTGCACCAGTTCAGCGGCCTCCTTGCTCCAGTCTAGGACGTCTCCGACTGGCAATGTCAGCATAAACGGCTCGTTGACGAGGCCATATATGGTCACAACATTTTTGTACCGCGGTTGCGCAAAGAACTTTGATACTTTGTCGTGGATCTCCAGCGAACGCTTCCGGTTCTCAGCGCCGTCCGGTCCCTGCAGCCAATTGATAGACCCCTCGCGGCCACTATGGTTCCACCCGTTCTGGCTTCCAGGGAGTGCATGCGGGTCTAGCTTGACGCGCAGTCCGTACTTTCGAGCCCATTCAATGGCACGTAAGAGATATCGCCAAGAGATCTTCGCGACGTACGGATCGCCGTCGTATGTTGTGACCGCCCAGTATGAGAACTGGATTCGGACGTGGTCGAGTCCTGCGTCCCTGATCTCGGCAAAGTCTTGCTCCTTGATAAAAGTCGAATAGTGTCTTTCAATCCGCGACGCAGCGGACTCTCCCAGCTTCTTGCAAAGCGTGTACTCATCGATCACGTCGTCGTGAGCCGAGTAATGCTCGAAGAGAGAAGGGACTATAAACGGCTCGATCGACAACCATCCCCCGAGATTAACGCCACGGATGGGCTGGTCTCCGTACGGGAATGGTTTATTGAGCGGCGGCACGTTGTCGTTTGGACGGGCTGAATCGTCCCACTTTGAATCGATTCCCATGACGGAAAGGCCTCCGACGGTCTCGCTCGTATACGTGACGTTGAAACCAGTCGAGTCGTACCACGTGAATGGATCCAGCTCAGTTCCTTTGGCAGATTCCTGAAACAGATCGTCGTTAGCCCATCTGTAGTAAAGCGTAGACCTCAAGCAAAACCTACCGGAATGCTGTCTCGACTTATCTTGTCCAGATTCGAGTTTGCTGGTTGGTCCTCGCCGGACTGCCCTGAACCGGGCTCGTCACCCTTCTTCTTCGACACAACAACAGCAACCGGAACGATGATAGCCAGCAGCAGAATCAGCACCCCAACAGCAATAAGCCACTTCTTCCTCTTCCAGAAAGGAGGCTGTCCCTCATCGCCATCCCCACTGCTATCCCAATCACCTTCTTTCCGCCACCGATCCTCCACCGCCGGGCCCCCACCCCCCCGATGTCGAACCTCCATCTCAGGACTCCTTCCCTCCTCCAAGTAAGCCCCAGACACAATCCGACCCTTCGACTGCCCTCTCGGCATCTCCCCAGGGAACGGCGCCAGCTTGCGCGGCCGCTCATCACCAACAACAGGGCGCTTCCGGCGTCGTTTCCGTTCAGCGCGGGCTTCATCGGCAGTGCGCACTCGTTCCTCATCATCGTACCGCGCCCCCAGCCTCGCAAGCGCATCAGCACTCAGCAAATGCGACGCGCTATTACTCGAGTCTCCACTCTGATGCTTCGATGCCACGGCCCCGCGATCGCGATCGCGATCCCTCTCCTTCCGTCTCGCCCGCCGCGCCGCCGCCTCCCCATCCCGCTCTCGCTCCCGCTCCCGACGACCCTCGCGCCCCGCCTCTCTCGTCCGACTCCCACGATCCTTCCTCCGCACGGGACTCTCCTCATCGTCCGTCTTGCGGCGTGCGCGTCTCTCCCGCTCACGCGTTCGGTCTCGTCGATCTCTCTCCCTCGACGACATATCATGCGCAGCCGGCCCTCTCCTCGCCTTCCCCCTCTCCCTCTCCCTCTCCCTCCGCCTACCCCCATCATCCTCCGCCCCCCTCAACGGAACCGCAGGATCCACATCCGCTAAATCGTACTCGTCGCGCGACTCATACCCGCGCGACTCATACCCCCGGGCACGCGACGCCCGCCTCCCACTATCGTCTCGACGATACCGCCTCTCCCGCCGCGGACTATCCTCCAATTCATCATCGTCGTAATCCTCATCTCGCCGGTATCGGTGTCCGCGCGCGGGGTGGTGGTAATCGTAGTCGTAGTCGGAGTCGTAGGCGCGGTCTCGCTCGCCGTCGCGACCGTCGCGGGTGCGGGGGTGTCTGGGCATGCAATTGATTGATTTGATTAAGCGCAGTCTTATCGCGGTTGGAATGTGCGGGGGTTAATTCGGGTTTTGTGTGGAGGGTGTGATGGTGCGGGGGAATGGATGGGATTGAATTGAGTCGAATGCCTATGAGGTGGATGGATGGATGGATGGATGGGATCGATCGGATGTAATGCGGTGCGGCCCCGCTCGTAGATCTGTTGTTGTTCAAGATTGTTGGAGTTGGAGCTGGTGTTTCTGCGTTGTGGTTCGGGATATGGATAGCTAAATGTGGAGGAGAGAGAATAGGTATCGATTATAGAATTATGAAAACGAGATCACTCAATCAGTCGAGAAAGAAGAAAAGAAAAAAACAATCAACAGTAGACGCAAAGTCTAGCCAGGTCGTTAGATCGTAGTAAGCTGGTAGTAGTCAGTAGGCACAGCTGGCGCCCATCCATCCCCACCAACAAGACCAGCTAAGCTAGTGTTTCTTAGGCTCACTCAGCCTCTCTGGGCAAAAAGTAAACAAGACAGACGCAAGGCGCGTCAGAGGCTGAGACAGTGAGTGCTCCTATCATTTCTCAGATGTCCTGCGTGCGCCCTACGTTTAATGAAACATACATACATTAATAGAAAGTCTTTTATATGAATAAATAAAAGATAGGTGATTCGATGCGGTGCGATGGGCGGGATGATCAGGCCTAGGTATGTGCCTAATATAAGCAGAGCAGCGTGGTGGATCCGCTCGCTTTGGCGCGGTTATGAGATCCTATATATGTAAAGCGGTGAGATTATCATACGTATAGGTAGTTGTTGTTACAGTAGGTTTTGACTGGATGCGTTCATTCAGTATCTCTATCGAATAAATCTCATTAAGTACAGGCAGACTCCACACAGATGAAGTCATCATCACGAATAAAACGATAGACAAAAATAGGTAGTATGTCCAACCATTGCATAGTCCAAGGCATGTCCATATCATGGCTGCGACGGAGCCATTCCCAAGCTCCGATATGGAATAAAGTATGCATGTATGCCAACGCCACAGAAGAGAAGACAAGAGAAAAAAAAAAAAAAAAACAGAATCTAAAATACACGCCAATCGCAGCGAATAAAATGATAAGAAAATATAAAACAAATCAGACAGATCGGTGTTGTGCCGCTAATATGTACAACTCCAGCGAGCATAGGTCCGATAGGAAGGGAAAATAGAAAGGGCGATCTTGCCACGCTGAAATCAAACGAATAAAAGATCAGAGCACAGGAGACGGAATGGAAGAGTTCGGTCACTACCTGGTGGGTGACGCCAGAAAATACTATGGAGAATCAAGAGGCCGAAGTCTCACAAACCTGCGTGACCTTCGGCACATCCGGGGAAAATAATTGGGAGTCGGCAGCATCGTGGAGGCAAACATCCCATCGATTCGAGTGTGGTACACCAGGAGACGCCAAGATTCCCTTGGCATCGCGAAACTTCCCATCTCGAGCCTAGGAATGGTCATTTCCGTCTCTGGGGTTGATGGGCAACCGATTCGACTAACGGCATTATACCCGGATCACTTGGATTTTCTGCATGGTACCCCGAAATGCGGGGATTCAATCGAACACGGATGGTCCAGCCAGTCGTACAGCAGGTCGAGAACGGCCGAAATATCTCGGAGAGGGAATTCCCAGCGTGTGCCGCAAGCTCCGACAGGGTTCGAGTACTGTCTGGAAAAACGGCTCCTATGATACACCTCTGGTGGCATTCGTTTCCTTCATTTTCGTGGTGTGCGGGGATGTTTGTTCAGCTGATAATCTGTCGGGCACCCTCTTTACCCAGAACACCGGGTTCTTGAGGCTTCGGGCTCCTGTCACGTCCCTTTTTGCGGCTCAAAAACGACAGCATGCCACTGTTGGAGCCTTTTCCTTTGGCGTCGTTGGCGTCATAGCCTTCCGCGGGAAGAGTAGAACTGTGATCCGCAAGCTCGCTCCAGCTACCCGTTTCTTCCAAGACCATCTGCACTCCTCCAGCCTTACTCGGTTTACGCGCCGGTCCCCGGGGACGTTGAGCAGGGGGTGGTGGATTAAACGGACGATGGAACGAGGGAGCCGATGGCGGCGGGGGAGGTGGCTGCGACGTGGGATGAGCAGGGAAGTTGTCCTTTGGCAGGGGGGCCGGGGGGATGTCTCCACCCTCACACAAAGGAGACGGAGCCCTATTGGTGGTATTGAACCGACCAGTAGACCCATCATTCTGAGGTGAGGGCGAGTTCCTGGAGATATCGGGTTGCGAGCATCGACGGGAGTGCCCTGGACCGGGGTTGGGGCCGGGGCCGGGGGCAGGGGCGGGGGTAGAGGAGGCGTTAGGAAGGCAGTCTTCCGGGTTCCTGGAGATAATGTTAGCAAGGGGGTCCCCATTATGTTCCTGTCCTTCCCTTCGGAAAACCCACGTTGCCGATGCGATTGCTTCCGCCGCATTTCTGTGGATGGTCAGCGATCCGAAGGGGATACGTTCCAATATGGTAACATGAACATACGTCTTATACGAAGCCAGCGTGTAGTCGAATGGCTCAAACATAGTCTCGATCAAGCGGTGAAGCTCGTCTTCTCGGATTTCCTTCGCCGTAGCGTCTTCTCTGAGCTCCGCTCTCGGTTTCTGTCTGCGGGCCCGAGCCTCCAACGGTGCTTCTTCCAGCAGCAGCTCTTCCAGATCATACGTAGCATCAAAGTTCGTCTTGTCGCTAGATGGTGTGAAGACCGAGGGGATCTCTTTCCGTTCCAAAGCCTCAAAATCAAGCTCGGCAAAGAAAGGATGCGAGGTAAAACTCTCAAAGCTGACTGCACCAATCCGCCTGCTTCGGTCCTTTTCCATGAGCGCACCCATGGCCCGCAGGCAGGGGACTGTGACCGCTGGGTTGGTGACAAAGTATCTGGGCTGGGCCTTCTTGATCGCGTCGCTCAACACTTCCTGACTCCGTCCTTCAAAGGGTCGCTGTCCGGCATGTTAGTGGACTGTCGACAACCGGCCAAGCGGGCTGCCAGGGAGGCGGCGAGGCATACCTTATTGTAAACACACTCGTAGAACGTGACACCGAGCGACCACCAATCCACCTCGGACGCGTATCCACCTCCCTCGTACACTTCGGGGGCAAGGTAAGCTAGGGTACCAGACTTGCTCGTGAGCGGTTTTCCTGGGCGAAAATCCGAGGCAACATTCTGTTGGAAACAAACCAGTCAGCGTCTGTCCGAACAGTAGACCAAACGGGGGCAACTCACAAAATCGGCCAAATGGACATGTCCTTCGGAGTCTAATAGAATATTATCTGGCTTGACATCCCGATGGATAATCCCTTGCGAGTGGATATACCGCAGGGCACAGCCCAACTCTGCCAACCAGAAGCGAATCGCATCTTCCGTGAAACATTTTCGGGAGATGTGGAAGCGCAAATCACCCCCGTTCATCAAATCCACCACGAGGTATCTTCTCGGAGGTTAGTCGTCTGGCCGGTATGGGGAGAGGGTATAGTAGGAGCATTGGCAGGTGCGTACATGTACTCAATATCTTGAAAGCTGTATCTCAAGTTGCACAGGAATGGGTGATTCAGATGTTCGAGCATTCTCCGCTCCCGAATGATGTTCCGGACACTCTCCGACCGGACGACTACCGACAGACAAGCAATTAGCCAACATTGTAACGACACCCCCACCAACCGCGTGTAGGACCATACCTTCTTCTTTCCGAATGTATTTGAGGGCAAACGTCAACCCCGTATCCTTTTTCTCGACGATGCGCACCTTTCCAAAGGCACCCTTTCCGACCACCCGGAGGAGGCGGAAATGATTGAGGTTCGCTATTCCTACATCATCAGCGCGCGGTTCAACAAAACGGAGCCCGCCAATTTCACTGCAGCGGGAACTGGCGAGCCAGGCATTGGTACGCACTCTCATCGCCGGCAGCTATCTGTTTCCCCTGCGAATTTCCCATTTAGGCGGATGTTGTAGCAAGATATCCTGACAACGGTTGTTCCGAGAAGCTCCCAACATCCCACGACGGTATCGGCCGGGTATAATCACGTAACACGGCTGGTTCCGCGGTCTGCGAGGGTCGCAAACGTCGGTATGGAAATAAAAGTAAAAAAGTAAAAAAAGACCAGCAGGCGGGCAGTGAAAAGCACGGCGGAGGAATGGTATTCACGCGGCGACGAGACAGTATATAAAGCGACGCTGGAAATGATCCATCCAGAACCTACGGACCTTGTGAAACCGGCGTTAGCTGAGTCCCAGGAAACAAGGCAAAGACGGGAGAGAGGAACGTGGGCGGAGGGGTTCATTTTCCCGACCAGTGTAAGGAGAAAGCGTTCTGCAGGTGAAACGTACCCCAATGGAATAATACAACGAACGGGATCAATCATGCAGCTGAGACCGAAACCGATTGTCTTGAATGAGCAGTCTTCTTCGGAGGGAAAGATAGAAGAGGAAAGTCGACAGATGGGAAGAGATCAAAGAAGGTAGTAGGTAGGGTAAGAGTAGTAAGGTAGTTCGATGGTGGTAGCTGGTGGAGGGAACCTCGCAGCCCCTAAAGCGGGAGAAAGTTGGAATAGTCAGAGTGGAGAAGCGCTTTGTTTGGTCCAGAGGAAAAAGGCGGGTCTGTTCGAAGAAGGAGAGTTGACTGACCACGCGAGTGATAAATCAAATAGGGAGTTAACTTTGGTTCAGTTTATGGGAGTTAAGGGAGATAGAATTAATAGAATTAAATTATAGCCTACCATATAGTATAAGATTCTAACGATATGGATTATACTTTATAGATGATAGCCAAGTGCTGATAATACAATACGGATACATGTACAGGAAATGATACAGGGTAGCATGTTTAACCTGGGTGAGATAATATAGAAAAATAGAACAATTCAAAAAATAAAAATAAAATAAGAAGCAATCAAACACTTCGATCGGATCGTGGTTTTGAGGACAAATTTCAGGAGATATTCCTAAGGGGGAGTAGACGTAGGGAAGAAACCCTCACCCCAATACCATACTTTACTGGAACGGAAATATAGAGAATCGCAGACATCACACCTGACTTCGTATACACAGTATAGAACCCTATTCTAATACGAACAACCGCCCATGTTGTCAAACAACCATTCCATCGTCCGAAGAGTCCACGTCCAGTCACGTCAGCGATCCAGCGGTCAGCGCCGGGAACCATGCATAGAGCATGTCCTGTGTAATTATCGAAAGGATTTAATCCCTCCCTCGATCCTGACTCTAGACAGTTACCTAGTCTAAGTAGGAAGGAAACGACGAAAGGAAGACTCCATCAAGTCTACGGGGAGCGATCAGGGGCGACGAACCATCGGTCGTTTAATCATGACGAGAGAGTGGATTCTCGATGACAGGCGTCGAAGGATTGACAGAACAGTATCGTTTCCGCTTCAGGGACGATATGCGCAAGATTGAAATGATGATAAAAAATAATTGAGATTGGAATTCATGCTGATCAAGAAGCGGACATTCCCTCCTGTCTCCCCGCAAACTCGCCGCTCAAACGATCATTTTGACCAGAGTTGACCTGTCATCTCATCGGTAACCGAGAGCCGCTCATCTCGTTCAGTTGAAGGATCCGGAGGATCTGGAACAGGGAAGTCACTCCTTGCTTCTTTGTTTCTCTGCATGACCAACCCCCGTCTCGTGGCCGCCACGTTTCGCACGGGGTGCATGTTGCGGTGTGTACTGTGTACGCAGTACGCACGCTGTGGATGAGGGCGTGGTGTGTATCACAGACAACACGAACAACATCTGTTGTTTTGCCGGTATCCTGGAACATCCGTCATCCATCTAGACCCTAGACCGGACGAGACAACTTTGCCCTGGGGGACGATGCTACTACCGGTAGTGGTTAGTTCAACCATTGAATATCCCGAGATTGGATGCAGAGTCAGACACTAGTACAGCTGTCGATCAGTCCACCACCACCCTGGTTGGTTTGGCTGCAAGATCCCTGCTGGCCCTAAGTTTCATATTCGTTCTGGCTGGCTTCACCAGCTCTGCCTGTGAGATTGAATGGGGGGTGTTTGGGGGTTGTACGGAGTACGGAGTACCCCGTACTGGTGGTAGTATATTATGTGAGAGGATAGAGTCAGATGGGGTATTATTTTCTCACAGACCTCCTTGTTGTTCCTTCACACGTCAGAGTTCGATGGAAAAAGACGAAAAAAAGGGTCAACCCCACAGGCTCCTATCCAACCCCATCATGTTTTTCTATATATATTTCTCCGTACGACATACTCTAGTTACTCCACCAGGAGTACCCAAAAGAACTAATAAGAATAATCATAAAATAAAGATATAAATAAAAATAAAAGAAGGAGAGAAAAAGGGTCCAACAGAAATTAGAATAAGGAGAATCACCACCTCACCAAGATCGCCACAACACCTTAGCATAAGCGGGTCCCCCATCCATGATCCACCTAAGCACCTTAACTCCGTGCTCTTAACGAATTCAACCTTCAACTGTCAGTCCCCCTTCAGAGAATCAAAAGTCAAGACCAGAGAGAAAGGACAGGGAGAAAGTCCAACTTCCCTATTCGTCGCCCACACCGCAGATCCTATTCATCTCACGACCAGCCGGCCCCCCTTAGCCTGCGACACAAGCCCAGAAGCTAGCCAGGAATAAGGCTGCAACGCCGACGCGAGGCGCGCCCCGGCCAGGGTCTATCCATGATTCTATGGGTTCGTTTGGCGTTTGGGCGGCCCCTGGGGGCGTCCCAAGACTCTTTTCCAGTTGTCAGACGCAAGTGGGTAGTGGGGACACTCCCCTACCTTTGCCTAAGGGAGACTAGGTAGGAGACTAGGGGCGTCTTATGCACAGTTCGTGGTGGCAATCTCCGAGAAAATCGATGTCTCATCCTTCCAGGATTAACAAAAGCTAAATAAAGACAAAGAATGGCTAGTCACCGCTTTTTTCTTTGCTTTTCTTTTCTTTTGCTTGTCTCGGAGGTGCTTTCTTTGGATATTCTAGAAGTCGACAGGAAGTACGGAAGACGGATAGATGCAGCGGAAAGGGGCTGTATCGGTAAAACCCGGAGTCTAACCCCGTATTTCTTGGCCGGTGGAGGAGATAAAGGAATCTGTCAGGAGGAGGAGAGGGCGTCATACCTAATTGAGTGGTTTAGTATATTGATCAAGCTAGCGTAGTCTATCCTACTTAGTAAAGGTAGATACCTGCCCTGATGTCTTCAATAGTTCTCATTCCCCAGCTTCTTGTCTATCCCGAAGAAATAGTTTCCCCAGACGTGGAGTATACGCGCAATAAACAGCCCTTGCATTCTATGTACAATATTAAGGTACCTTACCTAGGGCTCTGTTTCCTAGGGCTCCATATATTCTCGTCTCTCCCCAAACCGATAGTGAGTGTCACGCATCAATATCCAGAAGACGATCATTCTAATCTAAGAGTATTACTCCATCTAGACATGATCCTCTCCTTCAGACCAGGAATATGATCCTCTTCCCCAGGTCACCAATCACCACCCCAGATCATCAACTGTGATATTACCAGGTGCTTGACCTCTAGGCAGGTCAGGTACCTAGGTTAGGTACCTACCTGGGCAGTATACACTGAATATAGCCTACCATGTAATCACACCATAGGTGATCATTGATCACCAACCTCAGGGGCATCCAATTTCCCCTTGCGGCAAACGGATCAGATGATGGATTAGGCGAATTGTTTGCAAGGGACTAACTTACTGGTGGCTTGCCGGCGCTATCATGAGGTGATGATTCGAGGCTATGCAGTGCCGATAGAGTTGAGACTAACGTCAGACTGAGATTGCATGAGTCGTATAGTCGCACGTGAGCTTGTTTCATGTTGCTTGTTGGCTGGCTAGTAGGCGTTCGAGATAAGACGTTTCATGGGTGGGATAGATGGCTGAATGGATGGTTAAAGATGTTAATTACCCGAAGATGGACCGAAGTTTATCCTCTTGGATTCCTCGGATGTCAGCTTACCACGGTATTGGGATGTGACTAGGATTTAACCGGGAGATATGGCAGATACAGATGATAGGTAGTTGATGATGTAGTGGATGGACTGGGTTCATTCCAATTTTCCCGTTGCATGGCCATTGATTCGTATCATAGCCATGTACCTCGTAAATCCATATATTAGATCCAAACCAAACCATAGTATAGTATAGTTAGTATATATAAAACACCGTCGATCAAACCTCCCCCACCACACACCTCAATATTTCCGGAACAACAACACCCGCATCTCCCTGAAAGAACCAATCCCCAGCCCCCAACCCCCCGCCCCAACATCCCCCCGATCCATATTAACAACCGCCACCCGCGCGCCCCTCGCACGCGCCTTGTCCACATACCCAGCAGCCGGATAAACCTGCGAGCTAGTCCCTACCACGAGAATCAGATCGACAGGCCCGGCCCTCATCCACCCGTCCACGAAATCCAGCGTCGCCAGCGGCAGACTCTCCCCAAACCACACCACCCCCGGCCGGAGCAGCCCGTCTTTGCACTCTGGGCAGTGGGGCAGGCCCTCCCGCCGAAGCGGGGCTAGCGGAACCCGCTCGTCGGAGATGTCGACTTCTTGGCCTTCTGCTCCTGATCCTGACATTGCGGCGGACAGGGACCGCCCCGCTGCTTCGCCGGTCTTGTCGTCTGATGATGGCGTCGGCTCCGCCCCGCCTGTTGGGATGGCTAGTGCGGGTGTGATAGGGTCCGAGAAGTCGTTCTCCCGAGAGTAGCTGCAGTAGAAGGACGTGCATTTGACGGTGAATAGTGACCCATGTAAGAGGTGTAGCTGTCCCGAGGGGTGTTTTGCGCGTTGCGAGAGACCTGCATCAGGGGTCAGTCAGTGAGCAACACACACACTTCCACCGCCAGCACCTATCGCAGCCTGAGGAAAAGAAAGACACAAAACGCACCATCTACATTCTGCGATAGCGTATGAAAGTCCGGCATGCGCCGCGCGAGCTCCGCCAGGGCATAGTGCGCGCGATTCGGCTGCGCTTTCAGCGCCATGTGCCGTCGGTAGCTGTAGAACTGCCAGACCAGGTCCGGGTAGGCGTCGAAGGCTTCGGGCGTCGCTAGGTCGGTCGCATCATGAGATCTCCAGAGACCGCCTGCGCCGCGGAAGGTGGGCAGTCCGGAGGAGGCGGAGATTCCGGCGCCTAGCAGCGCGAGAACCCGCTTGCTGCGCTTTAGGTGGTCTGTGAATGAGCGGAGATCAGCGGCGGGGATGCTGGACGCCATGGTGGTAGAGGGGTGGGCTTCGCTGGGGTTTATTGTTGATGTCGGGTTGGGATTGAGATGGCTTGTTGGTGTTGTCTTTAGGGGTCGTTGGGTTATTGTCTATATTTATGTTTGTCGCGACTGCTTGGGCATGGTATAGCCTGTCGTTGATATATACGCTGTCGGTGTTGGTCTGGCCGGTCTGACAGTTGGAGGTGACTCCAAGACGCGCCAAGGCGGAGAGAACTATATATGACGTGGGGTGCGATAGTATTCCGCGGTGCGTTTAGTAGAAACAGGCAACAGACATGGCAATTCGTCAGCGGAATAGCGAATTTCCTGTATCAGTAGGTTATTGAACTGCCACTGTTATTTTATGATCAATAGAATCGTGGTTTTGAGAACAGTGATTTGTATAAAATAAACAAGCTTAAGGCTTGACATGTGTCAATTGATAGGCTCCGGGAGCTGATCGTCCACAAGAATGTACTTCACCATGTAGCGACGACAGGATAAGGTATCTCCTATATAACTTCTATCTGGATGATTTGTTTGATATGATGTTAAGTTACAGGTAATATTTGGGCCTAGGTTAATCTTTCAACGCGATATACATACTGCGTTGTGCTGTACAGCTAGACGCAAGATGTATCTATCCCCAAACGCCAAGCCAGCTCGAGAGAGTGGGTTGAACACTTGTCGTGTCCAGCTGTATAATTGATTCTTCGAAAGTACACTATATGATCTAACCCATTGCTCATGCGAGCCCCATCTTGCGAGATAGGTGGTGTACTGTTGAGCTGGAGTATCTTCTACTCCGCAATTCCAGCACATCGTCAACCTACAAGTCCAAGCGAGCCCGATCAGCAAGACATTCATCGCAGGTGCTTATGGAATACGGCGCACTCACCATCCAATCTCAACCCATGCACACTTAGGAGGTAGGCCCATCGTAGTTACCCTTACCAGGGCACGTGGCGAGGGTAGTCATGGTCGAGACATCACATCTCCATCCGTCTCCCGCTCCAGCTTGTTCGGTGCACTATCAAAGAGGTTTAGAGGGTTAGAGGGTATTTGAGACAGTCACAGAGAACAAGAGTAAGAAGAGAAAGAAAGGTAGGAATTGGAAAAAACAGTCTTTCTCTTACAGAAGTGCCCCGGTAGCAGTCACTAGATGGCCTTTGTCAGCATACAATTATCAGAGATGCGGATTTCTCGACAACGTACTAGTGTGATCCCCCCAAATTGCAGCGCGTGCCGTTGCAAGTCTAAAGCTAGATTAGTCTTGTGCAGAGGGAAGGTTTGGGCTGGTCGTACTCCAGGCAAGGATTCTACTCGAGGCTCGAGCTGGTTTCCAGGGGCCGGCGCAGCCATGACCATGACGGCGCTGGTAGCGATAGCAAATGCCACAGCGAAGAGCTTCATCGTGGTGGCTGATTGAAGTGGATTTGGCTTGTAAAGTAGTGGGTGATTGAAGAGATGGCGTAATGAGCTGATGAGTTGAGTCAGATCTCTGAGAAACTGGGGCGGGGGTTTATATAGCTAGATCGGAGACTGGTAGAGCTCACAATAATATCCTGCACCCGTTTTCTCAAGTGTGGACGGGCCAGTGTCTGCATCCAATCATCGATGACTCCATCATGCCCCCAATGTGCGGCATACGCTACGATCAAGGCTGTGCTCAAGAATATCTTGACCGCGCCGAATCCTGTCAGGGAGCGTTGGGACTTAGTCGTGCAATGGCGTCGCTTGGGCATGTAAGGTACGCTGTCAGACTCTTCCTGCGTGCTTGTCGAGCTGCCTTGCGCAAGGAAGCACGGACTTAGCCCTGTGCTAGTGGTTTTAGTGATGATAGAACAGTGTTAGGACAAGGTTTTCCCTGTTAAGGCGGATTTTTAGCTACTCGGGGGGACGCTTAGTGCTTAGTCGGTATGGTCCGGGTATCAACTTGAATTCAATCATCGATCCGCATAACTTAGTGCCGGTAATATCTCAACCTGTAGTGTATATACTAATATTAGTCCTTCGTCGCTCAAATATTTCGCAATTAGATGACAATCAGTTCAAGTGTAGACCCCATAAGAGTGACTTTGGGGTCGTGTCATTAGAGTACTTCTTTTGCATGGGTTGATTGTGCAGATAACTCTACAGCTGCACTAAGCATCCTTCAACCTCTTGGCAAATATGGGGGCTGTTATGGTGATAATAATAGCTCGGGGCTAATTAAGCGAAGTACCGCCCCATCAAGTCTATGGAGATGCAGCAGATACAGTTGCACGGTCTGTGATCTACGATTTTCTCGCCGTCGAATTGAGAAAGTCAAACTACCTACGAGGTATACTCCGACGATCTTATGGCCCTGCTCGAATGACTGCAATTTCTCCAAATGTGTTTTGACAATAGCACCATAAACCAAGCATATGTCCCGTCGAAGAGTGTATTCTGTGCCATGAACAGGCATTGAAGGAATGACGCGGGTCGAATTGGGGGTGTCAAGCGGAGCGTGGTCCAGAGCTGTAGCAACAGGGTCTAGAACATGGACATAGCTTATGGTAGTCTAAGCATTCTATGGCGAAGCAGTTGAGCAAGTCCTTGAATATTCTTTTTAAATCATTCAACCATTCTTCTTTCCTTTTATTCATGTTCCATCCACCAGCGATTGTGCTACTTTGAAGTGTTCGAGGACATATGCGATTGACCCTCCCTGGAGAACCTGTCTGATATATTCAATGCGACGATCTTTAATATATACTTCATAGTATAGAGCAACGTTATATAGGGGCGCTCTTGGTATAGATGCCGGCAAACCTGCACTTTCGGAATCATCAATAGAGGCCTTGGTATATGAGACACCTGGCGAATAAGCACAGGCTCGGACGTTCGAAAGTTATAAAGTCTCTGATGGGGTGTCAGTTGTTGCAAATGACTCTGATTTCCAGAATGCATGATAGTCTTGTCATATGGAGGAGTTTTGATGTCATCATCGCCATGTTTAACTATGAAGGACGAAGCTCAAATTCTGATATAATCGATATCAGGTGGATTGCAAGGTTCCAATCATCCATGGGAAGCTTCCGGACCTTGACAGCGTCCAGCGCGTCGTTACTGATTGCAGAAGAGCCAAACACTTTTTTGTTGGTGAACATTGGTCCATCAGATCAACACGAAGGACTTCAAACCATTCAGCCAATCCTTGGTATTGATGCAAGACGCAAGAATAGCTTGACGTCGAACAGGTTTCATCCCACTGTACTGATTGTATCCTCGGTCATGGTTGAGATTCTCCCAGTATTATTTCAGTTAACAAGAAGAGCCCAGGTCGTGAGCACTGCAAGAGGCTTGAAGATAGATACCGAGTCAGTAAGGACAAACCCAGACTTGTTCTACGTCTCAGATTCGCTTTGTTGAATACTATGTCGTCTCCCCGATCTGGATATCTTGCGCTTGGCAGGTCATGGACAAGTAAATCACCCAAGAGCGGTATGGATCCATTCCCGATCGAGCCCATTAGAACCTTACCCCACTTTCATGTACTCCGTACAGTCATGAAGAACTGCGACATACCAATACTTGGATCAAAGACGCGGTTGGATCTTTCCACCTCTTGATAGGTTCAGTGGGTGCGCTAGGAGATACCAAGAAATACAAGAAACTGACAAGCGAAACAGAGGGAAACCTCGCGATTTATGGGAGAAAAGATCAAAAGAAAAAAGAGAAAAATCAAGATAACAAAGAAACGATACTTGAAATGAATTGAGGGCTTCGCGGGCGCGGAAACATAGGAATGCCCAGCAGCATTCTAAGAGTAGTTGAGGATATTTCAACGCGGGTGGTTTTGTTACCGTCGGATTTCGTCCGCCAAAACAAACCTTACCCGTTCCCCGTCCCAATCGGGTTTAGTGGGTGTACTTCCACCCTCTCTCTCTCTCACTCCCGCATCTCTCTCTCACTGCTCCTCTTGTTGACGGTGGTGACTTCGACCTGTCTTGCTCTTCTATACGGCTCTCTTTTCTTTCTCAGAGACTTGATCGGATTCCTGTTGGTGGGAAGATCAGGTCGGAGGCCTGTCTGTATTCCTCTCAAGTCATTCTCTTGTGTTCCTTTTTCACGTCGCGTGAACAATGGCTTTTTTTTGATCCAGCCATTGTCCTTGGAGACAGACGTGTAGTCCATCGCGTGCACCGCTTGGACGACTCCTCTGCGGCGGGCGTTTTCCTCTCACTGCCGATCGCTCGGGAGCATTTGTTGTATATTGTTACTCTATGGCAGCTGTATCTGTCCACCCTTCGCCGCAGACGTCCCTTAATATGTCGACTCGCCGACCACTCGCCAACGTGCCTAATGCCACCAATTCCCCTCACAGGCTGGGCCTCGTGCCTGCCAAACGACCCCGGACTAACACACAGATCGATATCCCTTACGGCCAGCCTCCTCCGAAAAAGCAGATTGCTGACGCGGCAGAGGATGACCGGTCCCGCGTGAGCGCGGACTCCAGGTTATTCTCGCGACGACCAAACAATGGCCAACCCAGTGCATTCGAAAGGAAGCTGGTAGCGGTCAGAGACAAGGAGCGTCAGGCTCAGACTCGGGGGGCGAGACACGACAAGCCGTCTGCCGAGACGATTGATTCGATCAGGCAATGGCAGAGGCACTACCGGAAGGCCTTTCCCCAGTTCGTCTTTTATTTTGACAGTGTCTCGGAAGATGTTCGGAGCAAATGCTCGAGACAGGTCACTGCGTTGGGAGCGGTAAGTGTCATCCTAGCTGTTCCATGTTCAATTTCTATCTTACTTCCATTTTGATTTTTCTTGTACACACCCGCTTCCCTGTTTGATCTTCCATCGTTCCCGTGTTGTGATCCTCGCCCCTTCTTTCAGAATACTCACAGTCCTCCAGCGAGAGGAGAAATTCTTCTCCCGTCTAGTCACCCACGTCGTCACCTCCCGCCAGATCCCTCCAGAAAATGAATCGAACAGCCCAGCGGAAGCGAATACCGAGCCGACAGAACAGGTCACGGTCGATGGCACTCTACAGACGGTCAACCCGTCCCTACTCGAGAAAAATGCCGATACGCACCTCCACATGTCCCTCAAAAATGATGCACGACGCGAGCAGACATCCATGGATGTTTTGCACCGGGCTCGCCGGATGAAGATGAAGATATGGGCCTTTGAGAAATTGCAGCGGATGATTACTACGATCAACGATGGAGATATCGGGGGCACCGGGCAGACCGTGCGAAACAATGTTGCAGGGGGCGGGTATGTGAGGAACAGGGGCGACAACGACCTTTCACAAGTGCTCCAGAACGAGCTTCACGGCTCGTCGGAGCGCAACCCGCACAGTGTCTTGAAGGACCTGGTCATGTTCAAAGGCCCGTTTGTTTATGTCCACGATATGGATGAAAAGACGCGTCCTGTCATGGTTCGGGATTATCCTAAAGTCGCCAAGCGTCAAGACGGCATTTGGCCCCAGTTCAGGAGTGCACCGTTAGGGAAGTGCCCGTTTATCGAGGAGCCCCCTGCCAGGAAGGACACTGAGCGACAAAGGCCGCGCCAACAAGACCGGGAAAAGAAACCTATTCCCAAAGCTATTCCGGCCCCGGCAACACAGAAACCCAAACTCAAGGCACCAAGCGCCCCCCCTCCCGCAGAAGAACGAGGTCTTTGTAAAGAGACGGACCATGGCGATGTTGAGGAACCCGTCACTCAGGCGAACCAACCAGAGATCCAGGAAATACCACCACCAAGGATGGTGTCGCCTAGGAAGAGCTCCGAGAGCTTTGCCCCCCCGCCGCTGAACCGCACGGGACCCTTTTACCACGGCCGTGAACCCGCCGCCTCTGGTGTGCAGCCCTCCAACATCACCTCCGCGATCCGTTCCCAAATGGTGTCCTCGACTGCTGCAGCCCCCGGGGCAAAGGCTGGTGTCAGCAAGGAGGTTCATGAGCTCAAGCGAAAGGTACTAGAAAAGGGCACTGGTGGATTGTCCACGGGCACTGGGAACCCGATCAGCCGGGGCGCAGACGCGTCGGGAATGCTTAAGCTGAATCGGAGCAACCCTTGGCCGGGCAAATTCAACCCGCCTGAGAGGCCCGGACATATTGCGGACGACAAGAACCGGTACCCTGCAGGAAATGATAGTCTAAGCCGTCGGCCATCCATCAAGCGGACGAGCAGTCAAAAGGAGCGAAGAAGGGATCCCAAGCCCGGATATTGCGAGAATTGCAGGGATAAGTTTGATGACTTTGACGAGGTAAGAATTTACATATCAGAAATTGCGGGGAACGGAGCTAACCATGCCTCAGCACGTTGGGACCAGAAAACACCGCAAGTTCGCAGCGAACCCGGGGAATTGGCATGAACTGGACGCTTTGCTGTTCGAACTCAAGCGCCGGTGAAGAATGACCTCGCAGGATCCTCATGGTATTGCACTGATGGTCATGAGAGTAACCGGGAAGACGGCTTGATATACCCTAGATGCATCTGTTATTAACTTAATACACACCGTCGGTATTCTTTGCAGCATTTTGTCTCATCGCTTCAGCATCAGCGAAACCGGACAGTATCGTTTATGTTCTGCCGCGAGTGTAGCCTTATCGGCCGTGTGCAGCTGCCCAGCAGCTCCTGCCTCTCGCTTGCTACAAGTGCTTTGGATTTACAGCTTTTCGTATCATTTCGCCCGCATTGCATATTGCCATGTTTTTCTTCGCATCATCAGACTGGCGTTCTTGGATTTCACTACGGTGATCACAGTTACCTGCGGACGGAACCGGGACCACCTAACGGCCTTACCAACATCTTTATCTTGGACAGTCTACAGGAACACAAGGCACAAAACACAAAAAACCAAAAAAAAAAGGTAAAAAATGATCCAAAAAAGAAACAGCAAGGGAGAACCCTGAAGGGCATAGGGGTTGCGTCTATTGCATCGGATCAATTCCATCGCATCCATCGCATCGAGATTACTCGGGTTGAATCTCGTAACAACATCTTATATTGGCTCTTGTATGACGGGGCCAATTAATACCTACCTACTCACATTACCTTCTTCACATTTCTTTGTTATCTTCTTCTCTTTCTCACTCCGTCGCGGGGTGATGTTTGTTTATGGGGTACGTGACGTGACCACGGGGGTTTGCATGACAGGCGCAGTGTAGTGCCTGCGGTATCGGCGGTGTTTTGTTTTACTTTACTTTACTTTTCTTTTCTTCATACTCTACTTTTCTTTCATATTCGATTCTCCTGACTATGTTTGATTCTTGACATATTCCCATGGGAGGTCTACTATTTCTTCAGGCTGACTTAACCCCCCTGTGGACGCTAATCGTCTGGGGTCGTTCTTGTCATTCTTCGGTATAACTATGTAGTACTCAATACATTGTCCACATTTAGTATACTTTAATCAATCATATATAAATAGTACACTAGTACGGAGTCAATATACTTCTACTTCTAGAAACATGTATGAAAAAGCAGTGCAACCTCGGCTTCTGCAAGTACATCTGTAAGTTACATGTCCCCTCGGTCTGGAATGGAATGAATCCCCACTCTGGCGGAGAGCCTTAACTTACTACCTGCCATTTAACTAAGACGCCAAGGGATTTATACTTGTTCTAACTAATCGATTTGACTGAAAGCGCAAACTAAGCCGCCTCTGACTGTACACCCTGTGACTGCTATGATGCGTAATCAAGTGTTTACTTCTAGAAGGGATCTATTCTCCGCACTGCGTCCAACTGCCGAGTCCTGACCAACCTAGACAAGAGGCTGCAGTGCTGTAACAGACGATCCCAGATACCTAACTTGTGCATACCGAAAACAAATAAAGAAAGACGGAAAGAACGAAAGACAAACAAACAATAGATGATCTACACACTAAGCAGTAGGCCCTATTAACGCGTGATGGGCCCTCTGCCTAGGTGTGTCCGCCCACCACAACCCAACCCCAATTTATCTCTTTCCTTGCTTCTCCAGCGCGTACCCAGCCATCACCATGGTCCCGCAAAGGCGGGCCCCGTCTATCTCCCTCAGGCAAAGCGTGGCGAGGGGCTCCGTGGGGAACCAGACGAAGGCCGTTCTACGTATACACGCATGGTTAGTAGGTGGTCTTTCTTGTTAGGAAAGACGGGGACTTACGTGACACTCTTTGGGTTGTTAAGCTTAGCCGGTTCAACTTGGACGCGCACTGGCCGGAAATGCTGCAGCGCACCCATCAAGATTCGGACATTCACATCGTTTGCGAGCCCGCGGATAATGAGTTTGGAGCTGGCCGCTGTCGAGCTGTTGAGAGAAGGCTGGAGATCCGTGGTATTGTCGAAGACAGACGCGCGGGAGTGTTGAAGATCGCGTAACTCTCCCCTGATGTATTCCATTCGCTCCACTTCATCCTTTGCCTCTGGGTCCAGGATGGTGATCATCTCGCCGCCCGCCGCGGTTAGTCGGAGGCGACCCGTGATGGTGTGGGTTATGGTGGGAGGAGGGGTGTAGAAGACCACGCATGAAATCTCGCTGCTGAGGTCGACTCCTGCGTAGAACAGACGGCACGTAACGAGTGCGTAGTACTGCCCACGCTGGAAGGCGTCGAGATGGACTTCTCTGTTATATGTGCCGATACTTTTCGCCAACAGCCCGATTGCACGACCAGGGAACCGCGCGGAGAGGGACTCTTGCACAGCTTCGGCTTCGTCGAGCCTGTTCGTGAAAATTATGGTCTTCTTCTGGGATAGTATCGGAGCGATCAGGCGGGCGAGGGTATCAAGGCGCTGTTCCCCCTCCTGCATATCGAACGAGGTCAGAATGACATGCCGAGGCCTTTCCATGGCAGTGATATCAATGCGTGTGTTACTGTCACGGAGGCAAAAGCGCCCCATTGCAGGCAGTATCCTCGACGACGAGGTCACAATCCGCGCACCGGTTCCAGACGGTATTCTTTGGCAGAGAGTTCGACAATGAAAACCTACACCAGTGTCCCCGAGCAAGCTCCACACCTCGTCAAACATGTAGTATCTCACCGAGTCCAGAGACAACGCCCCAGACTGGACCGCTCCGAGGACTTTTCCAGGCGTCCCAACGACGACATCAAAGTGTGCGGAGGTCCCATCGCTGGTGGGATGGTCACTGTGTGATATCTTCATCTGGATCTGAAGCTTGTGGGCAGGCCGCAGGCGCTCAAAGGTTTCATACACCTGGATGGCCAGCTCTCTGGTCGGGAGGAGGATGATGGCTTTTGGACCCGGCTCAGTAGTTGCATCCAAGCAGAGGGCGTTCATGATCCCGTACACACAGGCGGTGGTGACACCTAGCCCTGGAGTGCTAATTGCCAGGATATCGCGTTGCGTCGCGATCAGGGGGATTATGAGGCTTTGCACTTCGCAAAGTTCAATCTTCCCATGAAGCAAACGCTCGATTTGAGGAGCCAACTGTAAGGGCAGTTTTGGTGATCCTTTGAGAACGATGCTGGTTTGTCTTGAGCTGTCCACGGGGAACGTTAGCTAGGTTCTATAAGACATGAGGGAGTGAGACTGACGCATCCATGGCTGATCAATTGACTGGTTGAGTGTCGTGGTTGGAATGAGCAAACCTTGAAAGTGAGAAGAGAAGGTGAGAGAGAAGTTGAGAGAAGGTGAGAGAGTAAGTTCCTCCTTTTGTTTCGGTGACTGGAAGCACTTCCTGTTAATCCTGGCCCTGATACCTATGTTTTCACTGAGATCTATCTTAGTGATTGGTGGAGTCTTTTGATCAAGTAACTAATAAATGTATGTGAATCTATTCTTCCAACTTCCAGAAAGGAAGATAACTGTGAAGAGCCAAATAACTGGAAGTCAGTGAAGTGTTTCAGCTGGCTTCAATTGGGACTTCCTGTTATTCAACCTCTTCATCTCACCCGCTCCCTCCTCTTCTGTTCAATCTTCAGCTACTTCAGACCATCATCATGTCGTTTCCCACGCCTGTTCCTCTCGCCCAGAGATCTGAGGCTCAACACACGATGATCGAGCCCTCGAAAACATCTCATGCCCTGCCCTTTTCACGTATGCTTTTCCTGGTAGAGTGTCGATTCAATTCAAGGTACGTTCAGTCATCAGAAATCTGCTTAGTTGCCTGGCTAATTCGCTCAAGTACTCGCTGGCGGATGAAGACTGGGAAGCAAAAGCGTGCCAGCAGTTCTTCGAGGCGGCCACTGCACTGATGGGTTATGGCGCGCCAGAGCTTACCCTGACTGCCTACGTGCAACTCGGGGCTGTGGATGGAGCCAGTGGTTCCGGATCCGTGCAGATTGAAATTGCTGTAAGTATCTCACTTATATTCTCTCTCGCAGCTGGTTATGCTAACTTTTTGTGTCACAGTTCAGCAAGACTCAACTCCAGGGTTGCCTGACACGCCTTGCATCGGCAATCATGGACGGCATCAAGGTGTTTCTTGTATCTCTGTCCGGAGGTTCGACCTTGCAGGTGCAGTGCAATATCCGTGGCGCAGATTTATCTGCAGCCGTGACCCCTCTCATAGACAGGCAGCGGAAATGGATCCATGAGGGTCTACTGGTTCCAAAGTTTGACGATAAAGTCAAGTTTACAGACTTGTCGCTCCAACCACCAGAGGACTATGCCAAAGTCTGTGTACAGGCTCCGAACAAAAGTCCATCTGCTGCCGACATCGTGCACCCGGGTCGTACCCGTATTCCTCCACGGCCCTTGCAGCTTGCCCTGGCCGACACTGCCGAAGCTTCCAGCGCACAGCCATCCTCCACCTCATCGGCCACCGAGCCTGCCATGCATAGCTCGGCTTCTGTTATGCCCTCTCTCTACGATGGTAATCTCCTGCGCCGGATATGCCCGGCTCATCTCATGGGCGCCTCTTGCGAGCACGAAGACTTCTCAGGTGTGAATTGTGATCGGCTGTGGGTCTGTGAGGTAAGCTCCCCAGAGTCTGCGATGGACATCTAGTCTTGGAGATGGTGCTAACCACGCGAATAGTACATCGAGGGTTACGAATGCCGAGGGGCCACGTGCCTATACCTCCACGGCATTCCCAGATCTTGCTATCGAGCAGTCTGGGATCGCGAATGTGATGCGTGTGACCGTGCTCATGACTACCTCAATGACAGGCGAGCTAATGCAGAGGATTTGAACGATCATATGGGGATCCTTGAAATCAGGAGATGATCTCTAGGCAAGAAGTTTTTATTAACAATGCACGTAATATTAGAAACAATACAAGATCATCCTGGCTCACTGGACCTAGTAAAAGGGGTGGCGAAGCGCGGAACACGGCGAGACCGGCCCAATGGCAATAATAGCTCAAATTAATTAGAGTCAAGACGGCATCAAAAGATAGGAAAGTAACAAAGAGAGGCAGACAGGCGAGGAGGCTATCTATATAGATCATGTATCACGATGCCAAGCGACAGCGAAGCTATACCGGATGCAGTAGTTCGCAGTACACAACTATGTACATTGATTACCCCTCGGTTCGGAATAGAGTAAATCCCACTCCGGCGGTGAGCCTTAACTACTACTACCTGCCAGCTAACTAAGGCACCAAGCAATCCATTTGACCGAAAGGTGCAGCTAAGACCATTCTGCCGGGCCCCTCCATACTTACCTAGGCAGTATAATTAGTGATAGTATAGCATAACGTAACCTTAAAAGTTATGTTCACTAAGGCCAAGTCTGGGGATGCTCGGGACTACGCTGCATATACCAGCACAGTTGGGTTTATAAGGGGCGTTTGTGTTTCTTTTTGACTTTTCTTTTTCTCATTTATATTTTGTGTTTATTTGGTTGATTTTCTACTCTGTACTACGTGTACTACTGTTGGTTTAAGATTTTGATTACTTTCTTTATTGACTTCTTTCCTTGTCCGATCTACCTGGTTGTCTTTGTTTGCTTATACTACTATACTACGACCTCATCTATTCCTGCTACACTACGACTGCTACACTACTACAACTACACTACTCCGTGCTACTCGACTAAAGTCTCAATACAATCGGGGAACCTTATATTAATCATCTCAGTTCCTCCCGCTACCGATCCGATCCTTCGGACAATTTAAGGTTACCTCGGTTGCCTCTGCGGAGAAAGTTTAAGCTCGTTCCATTGATATTCTTCACGGGTTCCGATACGGAGTAAAAACGTCACTGCACCCCACACACAACTATCTTTACTTCTTCTTCTCCTCCCCCACACTCAGACCTCGTCTTTCGTCATTCTCCTTTTCAAGGGTTGTTATCATTGCGGAGCAAAAACTAAGCGTCTGATTGACTATATTGATCCTTTTCGTCACCGTTGAGCTTTCGTTCTTGTCACATCACATACAAAGGCATGGCTTCGAGGACGGCTTCGCGGATGGTTTTGCCGCTGCGCGCTTTATCGAGCAATGCACCCGTCCGTCCTCTCCTCTCCACAGCTCGTCCGATCCTTCCGCTAGCTCAGACTTCCCGCAATGGCGACCGTCGCTTAACACCGGTTGCCTCCGTCCGATACAGTTCGCATTCGCCGTTGGGGAGCACGCCGGTAAATCCGAGGAAGAAAGTGACGTTGCCGACGATTCAAAAACTTTACAAGAAGGGGGAGCCTATCGCGATGCTCACGGCGCATGACTTCCCTAGCGGACATGTGGCTGATGCTGCCGGCGTGGAGATGGTTCTTGTGGGGGATAGCTTGGCGATGGTGGCGCTGGGGATGGAAGATACGAGCGAGCTGCTCATGGATGAGATGCTGTTGCATTGTCGGAGTGTGGCGCGCGCTGCGAAGTCTTCGTTTACGGTGTGTTTCTATGGTTGAGGCATTGTGTGTGGTTGGTACAGTGGCTGATTCTTCGATCTAGGTTGCTGATCTGCCTATGGGGTCGTACGAGGTGTCGCCGGAGCAGGGACTGCAGTCCGCAATTCGCATCATCAAGGAGGGGAGAGTGCACTCTGTGAAGCTCGAGGGTGGTGAGGCCATGGCTCCCACCATAAAGCGCATCACGCAGGCGGGAATCCCGGTTGTCGGCCACGTGGGGCTCACACCACAGCGTCAGAACGCCTTGGGCGGGTTCAGGGTTCAGGGGAAATCCACTGCGAGCGCGCTCAAGGTGTTGCATGATGCACTGGCCGTGCAGGAAGCTGGAGCATTTATGATCGTGCTCGAGGCCGTGCCGGCTGAGGTCGCCGCAATCATCACCAAGAAACTCCACGTTCCAACTATCGGCATTGGCGCGGGCAATGGCTGCTCGGGACAGGTTCTTGTGCAGATCGACATGACGGGGAACTTTCCTCCGGGCAGATTCCTTCCCAAGTTCGTCAAGAAGTATGCCGACGTTTGGGGCGAGGCCATCAGGGGAATTGAGCAGTATCGCGAGGAGGTGAAGAGCCGCGCGTATCCTTCGGAGGAATACACATACCCCATCCCGAAGGAGGAGCTGTCGGAGTTCGAAAAGGCCGTCGAGAAAATTCCCAGTAAATAGATTTGGACCCTTTTGCCCATTGTGTTCATTTTGCATACCATTGTCCATCTGGACAGCTAACCTGGACATATTATGACTTGCATTGGCCATGCCCACCATCATGACTTGTGATACCTTATTTGTTGCTTGTTTTTCGTGATAGTTGAGATAGATCTAATGGCCGCTACAATCGTTGCACATTTTGAGTATTGTCTAATAATTGATTGCGTTTCTTCGGGTATCATTGCAAAGTACTTGTGCATCTCACCATCTAACTGACGGTAGGATGGGGATATCACCTAGCCAAACGCGGGTGTCATGGAGTAAGCGACAATTAGTTGATCGTCCGTTTTGAAGCACTGTTTTCAATCAGACTCGTTGACTCGACCTTCATCATAATGGACAAAAACTTACTCGCCACAACCCCCCAATACCCTCGTCCAGCCCCGGAGCGAAGACGCTGTTCACGTAGCAAAAGACAGAATCGGTATTCTTGCAGTCAAGCTTCTTCCGGAGAAATTTGACCACCGTTTCAAACTTTTGCGACGCACTAACTTTGAAGACCCGATTTTTGAGAATGGGCGCCGACGGCAGAGGCTGAAAGCGAACAGTCACTGTAGGGGGTTAGTACTAGTAGTAGGTTGAACATCGCAATCACGATCAGCTCCCTCGTAAACGAGCAAAGGGATTGCTAGATGAAATAGCAGAGCTTGGGAATTCCCGTTCGACCTACCTTTACCTGTGTCCACGGCTTCAGCGTCTGCCATGGCTTGATGCGCATCGCGTGGCAGGCTGGTTAATACTACCGAAGCTGACATGGTCAACGGTAGATCAGCGCCTTGCTTCTCGTCTGGAATGGGGGCATTTCTGTTGTGCAATGGCAGATCTTGGGCGGTCGTCCGACTCGACGATCGATCGCTCCGACTGGGTCTTGATGCGCTGGGGGCATTTTGGTCTGGAGTAGGGGAGTTTTGGGCGGAGGGGTCTCGAGAGGAAGATGATTCCATCTTCACCTCACGAGGGGTTTAGGAAATTAAACAACGCTTAGATATATGGATTATATGTTATTGACGAGTAATAGACGACTACATGTAATGTTTATAACAGAGTCCCGCGTGGAAGGTGATGGATAAGCATCAAGGAAGAATTGAAGGTGAGGTTAAGCTCCTTCTGATCCCGATGGTTGATTTGTTCTTGGACAGACACCTCAGGCACCACTGTCCCATCTCTCCAACCACCAGTTCTTCCTCTGTTTCCATCTTGACCTGTCACTTTTCTACTTTTGAGTATGTTTATCTTCATGACCGTGAGGTCTTAACACCCCACCAGTTCCTATTGAGGCCCATCCACATCATCAACCTTGACAATGATGTCAGACTCAACAACCATGAGAAAATGTGCCACCATTTGGCCGAAATACTCTGCCCCCGCGAGGCACTTATGCATCAATTCTCGAGCTACCCGACTATACATCCGCGTATAAGCCACCAGGTCATGTTACCTGGTGAGACACGACGCCGACACCTGACGACTGCAAGTTCCTCCGCCCAACAAGAGAGATCTAGTCGGGAAAGACGCTGTTTGGCTGCAGGACTATCCTTGCACACTATTGTATCGTCATATTCCCTGATGCCCAGTAGTTCGCACTACTACCTGATGGATGATATGATAAGCCAGCCAGTGCCATCTCACCCCACTAGGGATCAATGACGATCGTCTCTGACTCGGTATCAGAATCTGTATTATTGGTATTCCGCGGGAAGTATGATAAGGTGGACCGTTGCCACTGATAATGCCCACAGAGCAGGAGAAACTCCCCCGATTAAGGTATCAATGAGTCCGGAGGAATCAGTACCTAGAGAATGGAAATGCTATTGATTGAAAAGCTGTTGACCTGACTTGAAATGATAATCCCATTTAATGATGTGGCGTGGATCCACTTGGTACAAGTATGGGGTCATGGATGTAATGAATCCCGCCCGTTTCGGGACTGACGGCGGGACCATACGATACCGTGACCTAATGAGGTACGTTCATCGGGTAGTATACCGTACCTGCTGCTGCTTCAGTCCCCGCTCTCTCTCTCTCTTTCTCTCTCTCTCCGTTATTTCTTCTCTTCACACCCTCATTCAACTCCCCCTTTTGGATTGTCTCCCGCCTTTGGTTCAACTTCTATCTTCAACAGTGTCCCTATCTTCCCTTCCCCGTCTACTCCGGACTGTTCGTCTTTCCTATCCACTTGCTTACTAGGAATCCCTCCCCCGCTCCTCCGTTACTTCCCCGCTCCTATCTTGAGCACGGTCAAAGACGCCACCTTCTTCGCCAGTTCGGCTTCAGTCATTCTCCTTCGTACCACCAAAGGTTCTTTGGACTGTCAATACCTCTTTTCGGATCCGGTTATTCCTCACATCCGCCAAAATGAGTAGTCCGAAACGAAGAATCGAGACAGATGTGAGTCGCAACATGGCCCCTAGTCCTGGTGATAACAGCAACATGCGGTCTAACGTATTACTTTCTTTCTTGGTATATAGGTTATGAAGTATGCTCGATACCACCCGTTGACCTTGCGATGGGTTGTGACTAACCTGTGGCAGGATGTACGTTACGTTCTCGACAGCGATGACACCCCGGATATCCCCATCTCCTATTGAATGGGCTCAAAGCAATCAGATAGACGATGAATCATGGATGTAGGAGTTATACTGACATTACACCCAGGTTGATGAGTGACTATGAAGTGACACTGGTCAATGACAATAGTGGGTTCCATTGTTTGCCACCCGCCCTGCAGGTACTAACCTATGCTAGTGTATGTGCACGAATACTTCATCCCTCATAAGTTCTAGCTATGGACGTATATTTACAGCGGTATCATTTGATAGGCAGGAGTTCTACGTTCGGTTCAAGGGTCCAGAAGAGAGTAAGTGTAGAGCATCGCCTAGGTCCGTCTCCGATGTCGCTGACCGGACACAGCACCGTTTACTGGCGGACACTGGAAAATCCACGTCGAGTTACCAGATCAATATCCCTACAAGAGCCCGAGCATTGGTTTTGTCAACCGGATCTTCCATCCTAACATCGATGAACTGTATGACCCCGCTTACTGCCGTGGTGTTGCCATCCCTATCGCTGACCCGTCTGTCCGTCTTTCCTAGCTCCGGATCGGTTTGTCTCGATGTCATCAACCAAACTTGGTCGCCGATGTACGACATGATCAACATTTTCGAAGTCTTCCTCCCCCAGCTCCTTCGTTACCCGAATCCTTCAGACCCATTGAACGGCGAGGCGGCTGCAATGTTGATGAGGGAGCCCAAAAGCTACGAGGCCAAAGTGAAAGGTACGCCGCAGGTCACCCTGGTTTGAACAACTTTGCTCACAAGCCGTAGAGTACGTGGCCAAATACGCTAGCAAAGAGGCCGTCGACGATGTCGGGGAAGATACCGAGTCGGAAGACGAATTAAGTTCCGCCGGGAGCTACGAGTCCGGCGGGGAGGAACCCGCGGGCACGATGGACGATGTCTAGACACTGATGCTGCTTGCATCTTTCATTTATGATGGTTATGGCATTTGGGATCGGGACGTGTGAATACTGCATGCTTTTTTTTCTTACACCGACACTTACTACATTTGTCTTTTATTTCTCCCCTCTTTACCATGTTACTCGGGTGGGCGTTCTGTGAGTGGCGTTTTGACGTTCATGGTGCAACCGACCACTTTACCGGTCGCGAAGACGGAGTCAAGGATTCGGACAGGCTTCTGAGCGACCACAGAGTCTATCTACTTCCAGAGTGGGCCCAACTTCTGGCATTGTACCTATTTACGCCTGGCTATCCTGGCGGGGCTTGTTCATTTTCTGTCCATGGATCTTTTTTAGCATTGAGATTGTGAATACAACTTACTGGCCCAGCGCGGCTTAGGGATATAACTTACTTTGTTTGTTCGATTATTTTCATTATGACGTATTGACTGTTTACAGACTCTTTGGACAAGAATTCGACAAGGGCAGGGAAAAGAATCGACGAGCAAAGAGCAAACCCATATCTTGACAATTCTATTTTAATAATGCTACCCCAGCTATGACAAAAAGGGAAACCGCAACAAAGTCACGTACACAAATGGAAATGTGGAGTTGGAGAGGATAAGCTTGGTACAAGGCTTCACAGAAGTCAATTGTCATGAACGGTGTAAAATGAAATAGGAAAAAGAAAGTAGAAGGGTATTATGGAACAGGATGGGCGGAGACAAAACAAAAGACAGCAAGACAAGACAGATAGCATAGGACATATGTAGAAAGTGAGATGAATGGTGGTGGACCACGGCAGGGAAGAGTAATAAGTATCTGGTGGAGATGTGATAGGACGGGACTATCGACCGGCGATCTTCTGCAGCAAGGAGATAGTAATGGTGGATTTGAAGACGCAGAAAATAGTCGATCGAATCTGTAGCGTGACTGTTTCATCGTCCCTCTCTTTTTTTTTGCTTTTTTTTTCTTTTCATTTTTGTATGGAACTTTATCAATCGGGGGGTCGTTTCTCCACAGTCTATCGTAACGAGGCCATGGATGAATGGCACGTTCATGTCACCTTGAGTACGCCAAAGACATCCTGTCCGGCGACTTCATCGGCTTGCGCCTGCTTATGCTTGCGCGGGTTGATCACCACCTCTCCCCAGTGCTTCGGGGCCTCGCGGCCGTGGGTCTTCCCGTTTGTCGACGGCGCTGTTTCTGCCTCTGTCTCTGTCGCTATGTGGATGGGGACCTCGTTGGAGGAGGCGCCTCTTGTCGAAGAGGGCGATGCGGAGCCACGTAGGGTGGCTTGGGGTTGGAGATGCGGTTGCGGCTGGAGAGACCAGATGTCGATGACGGAGCTGGGGACGGACGTGGGTTAGTTTTCTGCATTCGCGATTTGAAGACTGGTTGGAGGGGGGTGCGCTTACTCCGAGGCTCGTTGGCAGATCGCTTCCAGTGCTTCCCTTTCCCGCTTGATGTAGCCCGGATCCGGCTGGTTGACTTGGCTGGTGTGGTTTAGGGCGCCGTAGCCGTAGCCCGCTTGGTAGGGGTCATCGTCGAGGAGGCGCGAGGATTCGGACTGTAGACAGGGAGGAAGTGTTTGTTAGCGATGTGATTCTCAGGTACTATACCAGGGAATGAATGACGTCGCGATCGCATGCTATCGCACGGGCGCTTATGTATGAGGGAACCTACATCGTGACTATCCCGGCGGCCGAGGCCCAGGCACGAGGAGCAGTTACCCATTTGTACCGAATAAAGGCCAGGCCTATTGTAGGTTCAAAGCAGCGCAAGACATCCAAGATGGAAAGACACCCCTTGGGCGTGAAATTTTTTGATCTTGATTATGAATCTTTTTCGGCCCCCCTAGACTAGCGATAACGGTGCCCGACGGGTGGTTCGGTTGACGGTGGAGTATGAGGGCAATCAAACAGAAAAGAAAGAAGGACAGGCGATGCGACTGACGGAGACACCTGTAGACTCGATTGTCGGGTGCATCAACCGGTGATGCTGGGAGTTACTTTGGTACAGGAATTAGAATTAGGATTAGAATTAGGGAAGGACTTGATTCCTGCAGACCGAAGTGGCTGGCGGTGGATGCGTGATCTGGTCCGTGCGCATCCGATGACATCCTCATCTGTTTCCTTCTCTCTGCTGTGTTTCCACCCTTGCGTTCTTGTTCCACGGTTTGGCTTGACTGGCAGCCGTTCTCGACCCAGCAGACTAACATGGAATTAACATCTATTACTTGGTGGGTTTGCATGGTGGGATTTACGACTCCATCATAGGATAGGATGGCCTAATGCACTGGTACACTTCCTCAATGGGGATGGATTAGCGCCCCAGCACTGCCTGGCTCAAGAAATCGGGTCAAGTCCGACTTGACTGGACACCGTGATTCTATTCCATCGATTCCATGGTGAATGAGTGGCCAGGACAACGGTCGGAAATATTCCATGCCGCCCCCACGAGGCAAGACAGTGGGGTTCACGACCGAAGATCGGTGATGAGACAGACAGGGTCGGCTCCACCAGTGTCGAATATGCGGAGAACGCCGTGATACCCCCCCTCTTCCTTCTTGCGCTGATTCCGCGCTGCAGAGCAAGAGACAGAGTTTGGATCCGGGATATGTCTGGACCCCTCCTCGGTCAACCCCGCATGATGGCCGTTCCAGCGCTAATAAGTAGTTCACACCATCCTGCGTCCACCCACCTACTGTGAGACTGTTCTGGCTTTGGATTATCCTTGAGAGAAGACGCGGAACCTCCATTTCAGTACTATTTTCAATTTACACTAATAAACAAAAATGACGATCCGCGCGGCAGCTGGACGCTTGGAGGGCAAGGTGGCTATTGTCACGGGTGCCGGGTCAGGGTTCGGATATGGCATTGCCTCCAAGTTCGTGGAGGAGGGCGCCAAGGTGGTCATCGCCGAACTGTCCAAAGAGGCCGGTGAAAAAGCCGCCGCGCAACTAAACGGGACGTTCGTTTCCACGGACGTGACGAAACGGGAATCTTGGGAGGCGTTGCTGCAAGCCACGCTCGACGCCTACGGCAAACTAGACATCATCGTCAATAATGCGGGCGCCACGTACAGCAATAAACCCACGGCGGATGTCACCGATGCGGACTTTGATAAGGTCATGTCTGTCAATGTCAAGTCGATCTACTTGTCCTCCGATGTTATCGTCCCTTATTTCATTCAGAACAACCGGCCTGGTTCCTTCGTCCAGATCTCTTCTACGGCTGCTCTGCGTCCTCGTCCCGGCTTGACATGGTACAATGCCTCCAAGGCGGCGGTGTGCACCGCCAACAAGTCTATGGCCGTTGAGTATGGACCCAAGAAGATCCGGTTCAACTGCGTTTGCCCTGTTGTAGGGAGTACTGGAATGTAAGTGCCTTATTCATGTCTACAAGCCTCGGGGCGATTCCATTCTTACGAGGTAAACCCTACACAGGACGCACTTGTTCCTAGGCAAGCCGGACACGGAGGAAAACCGAGCGGCGTTCGTGTCAACCGTGCCGTTGGGCCGTCCCAGCACTCCGGCCGACGTGGCCAATGCCTGCAGCTTTTTGGCCAGCGACGAGGCCGACTTCATTACGGGTGTGAATTTCGAGGTAAGACGAATCCACCCCATTTTCCTGCGTGTTGTCTAATGCGTTTTCTAGGTGGACGGTGGACGTTGCGTCTAGCATTCATATAAGACTACTGGCGAGCCCAACCATTCGTGGAACCGTCAAATATCCTACATACTCCAGAATGAATATCATCGATGTATACTCGAATACTAAGCTCGTGAACACACCTCCGTAGCAGTACACCCACACCAATTACACAGCCCCAGGACCACGAAAGAAAATAAAAAAAAAGCACCATGCGCGTAGTAAGATATACCTGCCTATCAACAAAGAAGACGAAGAAAATAATAAAAAAAAAAAAACACCACTAGAATAGAATACAGCGCATGCATGCAAAAATAAGAACCCAGCAAGTTTGTAAACCCATCACTCCTTCCTTCTCCCTAAAACTCAACTCAACGAGAATAACGCTGCACACTCAACCCAGGACGCGGGTGAGCATAGCCCAGATCTCGGGGACGACTCTCAGCAGTTCGAAGAGGAGACCGCCGCAGACGACGAAGGCGAGGAGGACTAGAATTGAACTGGTCAGGGATGAACTATTTAGGTGGGTAAGATTAGGAAAGACATACCAACCCATCCTTTCGAGAGGGAGGGCTTGGAGACCTGCTTGGTGGGCTTCGCGACGTTGCCGGGGGCTTTGCCGCGCTTTGCGGCTTCGTGCTTTGCGAACTTCTCGTTTGCGCGGCGCTGTTGGGGGGTTTGGGCCTGATTTGTTAATACATTGCTCATGTGTCTACTTGAGTCATCACGGATGGGAGTAGAATGTATGTTTTCGGTTGGTGATTGACTGATTGATCGGAGTAGCAAAAGGGAGAGAGAGGCCTACCATAGTTGCGGAGTGTTGTAATCTGGTATGAGAGATCGTCCGCGTATACAATCAATGAAGATAGACAGAATAGTTCAACGAAGGACAGCAGTGAAGTAGTGTATTATAAGTAGCTCTGTCAGTTGACTGACTCACAAGACGAAACAGACAGCGTGTTCGAGTAGATTGGAATTAAACAAGTGGTATCATGTCTCCTTCCCCTCGAGCAAGTACTAACTATGTTGACAGCTAATCCAAACAAGAGGCCACGTTGTGCTTCACCGCCTGCCACTTTCTGCCCCCTCCGATCTGATCTCTCCGCATTCGGGTTTTTTGTTCCGCTGGTGGAATTCACCCGCGTGCAGAATCTGGTCCGATAGGAACTTCTTTCTTATCTCCGGTTCGTGTTGTATATTTGACCCTTTGGTCTAGTGGACACCATGTTTGACGTGCCCAATGCTAAACGGTATGTACTACTACTACTACTACTACTACTACTACTACCTTTTTCACCAACGACCAGACCGGAATCCAACTAACGCCCATTCTTCAGCGTCCGTCGCGACGAACTCCTCTCGCGAGCCTCGTCCTCGCGATCACCTTCACCAGCGCCCGAAAACACCGTAACAGATGGATACCAGCGTCTCGGCGAGCTCCTAAACCTCGACTCGCTTCTCGCCCCGACAACCTCCGAGCAACAGAAAGAGGAACCTCCCGCAAACCAACAAGACGAACAGCCCCACGAAGACGAAGATGAAGAACAGGAGTTCGAGTTCCGTCTGTTCAGCGCGCCCTCTGGCGCGGCACAACCCACGGCAGACACCACTACGCCCGGAACACAGGACGCAAGTGGTGGGGGAGAAGGAGGAGGAGGCACGCAAAAGCTCCGTATCCGGTTGAGGTCCCCGTCGCCTGGTGCGGCTGGGTCTGGAGAAGGACGCATCGTGAACCCGTTCCGCGGGTGGGAGTATTACTTCACCGCGCCGGGCTTACTATCTGGGTCTACGGGGGCCGGTGAGGATGTGGAGTTCCAGATGAAGAGGAGCCAGTTTGAGGATGTTGCTGTTAGTGGGGAGGATATGCGGGCTTGGGCTAAGGTGGATTGGGTGAGTCAGGTGTTTTGTTGTGCTTGGAGGATGAGCGTGTTCTTTGTGTCTGTGTGATGGTGTGGCTGACTTTATGTTCTGCAGCCCGGGTGTCACCTTCCGTGGAAGGTAATTCGTTTAAGGCGCGATCAGACCAAGTTGCCGCGCGGGTCTGCCGATCCGATGAATGCTGCTGTCACGTATGTGATGGGTCCGCAAGAGAAGACCCCGAAGTCTGTGAAGAAGCCGGGGAAGAAACGGCGGCTTCAGCTGCGCAAGCGTGTCACTGCTGCGGAAGACGCGAAGAAGCAAGATGCTGAGAAGCGGACCCGGAAAAATCGCGAGAAGAAGATCAAGCGCCGGCAGAAAGCGCGCGAGGAGAAGGCTGCTGCTGCTGCGGCTGCGGGTGAAGATGTGCCTGCTTCGCCTGTGGATGAAGACATGCTTTCACAGGATGGAAGCGAATGATCTACGTCTATTGGATTGATTTCGGCACAATCTATGGGGGTTCCCGCCTATCACAGGGGTTTCTACGCATACGGACGACAGCGGAGCAACTGATCATTATCTGGCCTGTAATACTAGGCCTATGACAGTGCAGGGTCCTGGTGAAACAGCTTGAATTGCCAAAGCACACTTGAACTGAACGAAGAATCAAGGCTGGGGTATGAAATGCGGGCAAAGGCACAAGACAAAGCAAAGAGTACCGGGGATGGTCAGGGTAAGACTAGGTCTGGTGTCATAACCACTCTAGATCCATCTGGACTCGTAGGGCATTTATTTAGCTTTTCAACCACACTCCGTCAGTTCAATCTTCTAGACAATGTTCGGCGTTAACTGAGACTTACCTGGTGCGGGCTCCGTTTTCTCAGCGGGCTTCTCAGCTGCTGGTTCTGCGGGTGCTGCTGCGGGTGCGGCCTCGGGTGCGGCCTCCGGTGTGGCCTCCGGTGCAGGCGCTGCCGCTTCTGTCTTTGCTTCTGGAGCTGGCGCTTCGGTCTTCGCCTCTGGAGCAGGAGCAGCGGCCGGAGCAGGGGTAGCAGCCGGAGCAGGAGCAGCGGCCGGAGCAGGGGCAACGGCAGGAGCAGGGGTAGCAGCCGGAACAGGAGCAGGAGCAGCCGGAGCAGGAGCAGGAGCATCGGCGGGAGCAGGAGATTCGGCAGGAGCGGGGGTAGCAGCGGGAGCAGGAGCGGGAGCAGCGGCAGGGGCAGCGGCAGGAGCAGCAGCGGGAGCAGGAGCGGGAGCAGCAGCAGGAGCCGGGGCAGGAGCTTCCGTCTTCGACTCGGGTGCGGGAGCATCAGGCTTGGGTTCAGCCGCAGGAGTCTCTGTCTTTGGCTCGGGAGCTGCGGCTGGGGTGGGAGCGGGAGCTGGCGCAGCATTGGCATCTTCAGGCTTCGGTTTGCTGGGTTCGACGTCTGCGGGCATCTCGACCGGAGCTGGTTGTTCTTCATCTTCCGTTAATATTTTGCTCGCAGAATTATCGAATTGAAGTACGATTTTCGACATACCAGGCTCTGGCTCCGCTGCAGGAGCGGCCTCTTGGGGCTTGTCGTCAGCGGGGGCTGCCGCGGGAGCTGCTTCAGTCGGCTTGCTCTCCGGCTTATTCTCCGCTGCGGGGGCTGCAGTTGCGTCCTGGGCGGGCTTCTTCCTGCGGAAGATGGCCTTGAGGCCCTTCTTCAACTGATCAAGCGCATCGGGGGCTTTTTGCAACCAGGTCAGAGAATGACACTCTCCATGAGCCAGTCATAAGGGTATACTCACGAACACCGGGCATTTTGAAATTCAAGCTTGAACTGTAATATATGAGGTAGTGATTGGTATAGAAAAACCAGGTGTCACAGAAGAGAATAGAGTATATTCAGTGAAGAACCTGCAATGCAGTGAGATTCACCGGTTGAATAAAGAGAACAATGGGGTGTGGGAAAGAAGAAGAACTGATGAAAAGGAAGTGATGAACGGACGATGATCCACGACTGGAGGGAATCATGATGCGCCTGGGGCACCGGGCCCCCCCCACGTGATGGGCACGGTCCTGGCCCTTAATTTGCCCATTTGTCTCCTTTTTATTTCCTTCAATCCTTCTTATTTTTCCCCCTCAGTATTGCGCACTTTTGGGTCTCTTGCTTCATTTGCCGCCGGCACCTCCGCGTTAAGAAGAGGATGATAACGGGGTCCACACCAGGTCCACGATTGGCTGCTGCGCGCTGCTACTGGTAGTAAGGTGTAAACAAGTATACCTTAGCCAGACGCAATGGCATCATTCCCCCCCCACATTGGTCCCTCAACTTACGCGGTACTTTACCCCATACCGCTAGATAGCCAGTTGATCCTGCCTTAGCTCTTCCTGTAAGGGCCGCCGTGGCGTGGCTGTGCTGCAGACTAACGGGCCGCTGCTAGATATTGGTTACCTCAACCTCAACGTGAGGACTGACGGGCGCACAACACATTCCCCGGGGGTTCTTTGACTTTCTCGATGGCATGCCGAGGCGGGAGATGTACCCTTGTCATTTTTCCACAGGGCGCCATGGATGGAATACTTGTTGGGGCTCTGGATGGATGATCGGATTATTGTCGGTTCGGACGGGCTCGACCAGCTCTGGGACGATCTTCTCCTCATAGGAGAATTGGTTCGCTATCTATTTGGCGCTTATCTCCAGATCACTACACTAGGACCCTTGCCATTGCGGAGTCTCCCATGGAAATTAGGAAATGGTGCCACTTTCGGATACACCATGGGGTTTAATTCGTTTACTGCTACCACGATGCAAAAGTTTATCACATCATTGGGACAGGCGCTTTCCGTTGAACTCAAAAAAGGAGGCCGGGCAACTGGAGAACTCAGGAGGCATGGATTGAAACCCCGCCGAACTTTGTAGCTATTAATCCAACAGGAACTTCTATTCTTCCCAGCGCTACGACCTCCAATGAGCAGGCAAGTAGGGCAGGATTGAGTCCGTCCTCATCTATCTATGGAATGATATGCACCCCTGTTTCATGTTGTCGCTCGTGCCATATTGTTACTCGTCGCACTGTTGACTCCAGTTGTGGATTGAGTATGACCTGGTCGATTCATATTCTTGCTCAAATCCTCCGATAGTTGCATGAAGAAAGTGACAAACGGGATTGTTGCTCCAGGAATAGAATTTCGACATGATCTACTGGCTAATCGAGGTCACGACGAAGTAAGTTCCATCAAGGAACCATGGATAGAAGAGGGATCTATCCGCACCGAAAGCAAATCTAAATGGCTTCCATGGACCACTGGACCAATTTGAACACCACACCTCGACAGGTTCCAAATGTTACTCCCCCTTTCCCATCCATGATCGCGTCATGCCGTGGTGTCGATAAATGATCGGGTCGGATATGGTGTTTGTGCCGACGAGATGACTAACCTCGGATTCTCCAACAACCCCTCACCTCCACTATTTTGCACCGTGCTCGTCTCCCCGCGTCCATCGCTCCATCACGGCCTCTTAAGATTCAAGGACCAACCGTCTCTACGGTAGATTGAGATGCCCTCAGATCGCACTGTCGACGCTGCTCCAGCCGATCCGGCCCATGCTGGTCCGATCTCGGAGCAAACTCCGCTTCTTGGAGATTCGAGCCAGCATGCGGGGACGGGCGATGGATCCGGGGTTCCCTTGGCCCAGGAGCGCAGCACCAAGGAATTGATCCTTATCTTAGGAAGTATCTGGGTGGGCGTGTTTCTGGCTGCTCTGGGTAATTGATGAATTCTCCAGTTAATTCGCCATGCAAAAGTGGTCAAACTCCTAACGGTTGACAGATACTACCATCGTGGCCACGCTCACGGCACCCATTTCGTCGAGCTTCCACTCGTTGTCCTTGCTTTCATGGCTGGCTACATCTTACCTGATCTCTAATGCCGCTTTTCAACCGCTGAGCGGGCGCTTGACGGATATCTTCTCCCGACGAACGGGCCTCGTGTTCTCCAATGTGTTCTTCGCAGCCGGAAACATCATCTGCGGTACTGCGAAGAGTCAAGGGACCATCGTGGTGGGCCGTGTTGTTGCCGGAGTTGGCGGTGGTGGTCTCTTGGCAATTTCGACGTTTGTCACGTCCGATCTGGTCCCGCTGCGTCAACGTGGTGTTTGGCAGGGTGTTGGGAACATCTGCTATGGAGCCGGAAGTGGATTGGGCGGCGTCTTCGGGGGATGGATCAATGATACACTGGGGTGGCGATGGGCATTTCTCATCCAAGTTCCCTTCATCGTTGTGTCCTGTGTTCTGGTCGCCGTCACCATCGACATCCCTGTGAAATACACCGACAAGGGAAGACTGAAGCGGGTGGATTTTCTGGGGGCGATCACCCTGGTCATTACGCTCGTGTTGTTTCTCCTGGGACTCAACATGGGCGGGAACCAGGTGCCATGGACACACCCTCTGGTTCTTACATCGCTCCCGCTCTCCGCCGTGTTCTTGGGGATCTTCGTCTACATCGAAGCGTACGTTGCGTCTGAACCTGTGATTCCTGTTCGACTCTTGCTCGATCGGACCGTCTTGTCGGCGTGCTTGACGAACTGGTTTTCGACCATGGCCATCTTTGGGCTTCTCTTCTACCTTCCGCTGTTTTTCCAGGTCCAAGGTTTATCGGCGACCTCGGCTGGGGTCCGGCTGATCCCGCAGGCCTTGGGAACTTCGATAGGATCTTTGGGATGCGGCATCATCATGCGGTCCACGGGACGCTACAAGACGATGAACTACGTGTGCATGTTCACATTCGTTCTGTCCGGTATTATGATCTGCACGCTGAACCTGACCACACCCGCCTGGATTCCCTTTATTTACTTTTTCTTCTTGGGTGGGGGCTACGGCAGCATGCTGACGATCACCCTGGTTGCGCTGATCTCGGCCGTGGACCATGACTACCACGCGGTGATCACGTCGGCTTCCTACGCGTTCCGCAGCACGGGGAGCACCATCGGCATTTCCATCGCGTCCGCGGTCTTCCAGAATATCCTCATATCCGGACTTTGGTCTCGCTTCGGCGACCGCAAGGATGCCAGCGAGATGATCTCTCGGATCCGCGACAGCCTGGACGAGATCCAGAAGCTTCCCGGCGATTGGAAGCCAGGGGTGATGGACGCGTACATGGACTCCCTCCGGGCGGTGTTCATCGCATTGCTGGGGCTGAGTGTTCTCGGGGCCATTGGAAGTTCGGCCATGCGAGAGCACAAACTGCACTCGAACATGGCGCGCCAGGATCCAGATGACGAATAAACGAGCAACATAGAGATATCCACGCGACATGATTCCGTGCATCGTTCGTCTATGTTCGAAGTACCTTGGTTTGCTCTATAGAGTCCTACAGACATGATGCTTATAGATTGACCAATATGCCAAGTCCTGTTTATGGAGTATGACATGACCGTATCCACTGTAGTGATCTGCACGTTATGAGTGGTGCATAATCGTATTATATAAGCAGCGGATGCACAGTGGCGCTGGAGATTCGGCCTTCTTTCCATTACACCGCTTCCTCCTCTCTCAGTCGTCCTATCTCTTGCCAACGTGTGTTGGGTGGTTGTCTCTTTCTTTCTTGGCTATATTCAGCTAGTAGGCTGTGGAATACGTGTGTCGCAGAGTGTGGCCTGACGCAGAGTTGCTTGGGCTGCAATTGACTTCGACTGGTCCGAGGCGCTCGTCCCACCTGGCTAGTTCCTCACTTTATCCTGTCGCATTCTCTTCTTTTACTTTCTCGGAACTCTCTCGATTTCTTGCTTTCGTTATAGATTTATCTTCTTGTTGTCTTCTGCAGAGCATCATAATCATACACTGTTTGAGTTCTTCGTTCTTTGAACGCCACTCATCTGTTGACCTCCGCATTCCCGAGCCTCTGAGATTCCCGCAAGCTACTCCGCGAGTTGGGTAATCGACAGTGAAAACCGATTGTCTCACCTCTGACATTCACATTCTGACTTGCGATGGCAATAGCGTTCCACTCGGGCATTTTAACGGATTCTGGAAACACCGCAAGCGTCGTCCTCAAAGGTGCCTGGCCCCCGGAAATGGAGGTCGATGAGAAGTCCGGCGGCAAATCGAACACCAGATTACCCACGAAGGAAAACACACTAGATCAAACCGTCTCGCCTACTCCTCCTCGTCGTAAACGCTTGCTCTTGTCCACGGAAAGCGCCTTTGTCGACCATGTCCTCCCGTCACTCGTTGCGAACCCCGACGTCGAGCTCCGGTTGATCACAGACGAACCGTCCGCCCTCCTCTCGGGCATCAACAAAGTCCCACATTACTCGGATACCGTGGATAGTCGGAAGTTTGAGAAGAAGACCGGGGCGCGGAAATGGCTGAAGGCCAAGGCGGCGGAGCTGTGCGAATGGGCTGACATGTTGCTGGTCGCCCCCGTCGATGCAGGCACTTTGGGGTCGATGCTGTCGGGTCTGACCAACACCCTGACGCTGGCGCTGCTTCGTGGGTGGATGCCGCCCAAACCGGTGGTGCTGATCCCTGGCATGACGGTCTCGGAGTGGCATCATCCGCTGAGTGAGAGGCAGCTCGGGGAGGTCCGCCAGTATTGGCCGTGGATTAGCGTCGTCGCGCCTGTCTTGTGGAAATTTCAAAATATGGAGGAGCTCGTCCAGTTGCCCTGGAATGGATTGGAGGAGCTCCACCACACTCTTGAACGTACCTTGGGGCTGTCCTTCGCGCAACCCCCCTCGCTCCCGGACGCCTCCGCCAAGGAGGCGGTCCCGGCTGAGAAGCAGTCTTTGAACAATGTCGCGACGATCGCGCGGAATCGGATGTATCTGTCGGACATGATGCGAGGCGGGTCCCGGGCGTTGCCGATGGAACTTTGGTTGAACATTTTTGAGGAACAGTTACACGATTGGGAAATCGCGAAAGCGGTTGGGATCCCGGCCAATCTACCGGTGCCAAAGGAGTGGCAGAGCCACTTGTTGAAGATGTCGACCCCTGCGTCCTTGGAGTATACCATCTTACGGGGCTCGTTCGCCGCAATCAAGAAGCGCATCGATAGTTTGCCCCGGTGGAAACCACTCTCCGACCTCTCATGCCACCTCATCTTCAAATTTTCGCGAACCGACATCCTGTCTTATCTCACGGAACACCACCTCGACCTCCTCTGGACCACCTCTCGCCTCACAAACATCCCCTACCGTGCCTCCGCCATATACGGCAACCCCAATATCCTGACCTGGTGGCGCGACGCTCCCGCCCTCCCTACGAAAGACTACATTGCCGATGCCATGGACGGCGCGTCGCGTGCCGGCTTTGTCAACGTCCTCGAGTGGTGGCGCACCTCCGGCCTCGAGCTCCGGTATACGGAGCGTGCCCTAGAAGCCGCCAGCGCGGAAGGCCGCATTGCCGTTCTAGACTGGTGGAAAAAGGCCTCCGCCAACGCTCCAGCAAACAATCCCATCCCGCTCAAGGTGGGCAAATCCGTCCTCCTCGCAGCGCAGTCCGGCCGCGCTTCCTCGCTCGCCTGGTGGGACGCATCGGGCATCCCATACAGCCACGCCGAGTCCGTCGCGCGCATCGCCAGCACACACGGCCACGTCCACGTCCTCGAGTTCTGGCACCAGCTGAAAGGCGCCAAGATGATCTTCGACTGCCAGGTGCTGGTGGGCCCCACCAAGAACGGCCACGACAACGTCCTCGAATGGTGGCGACGGAGTGGTCTCCGCGTGGAGTTCAAGACCTGTGACATCGAGGAGGCCCTCGAGGACGCGGACCCGGTTTCGGGCGCCGAGGAACGTGTGCGCCGGTGGTGGGCGCGTAACGGCCTTAATCTGGGCGTGGGGACGAGCGAGTGGATGAAAACGAAGGTTTTATAATAATTTCCCCCTACATTTTTTCCTTTTCTCTCTTTCTCTGCATATTCTTTGGTTTCACTTTCGGGCTACTTCCTCCTTTCGGTGACATGCATGGGCCATTGTCCACTCCACTATATTCATAATACCCCTGTCTATGACCTTCTTCTACTTCTACTTCTCTCCATTTAGTTCTCGTCTTCTTTTCTGCCTTCCTCTCTTCTTCTTTTTCTTCTTTATACGTTCGGCATGGATAAACAAATTGCACAGGGAAGGAAATGCGCACGGGGTACAGGAGTTTCAACCCTCGTCTTTGCATGCAGGTGTACGGTGCGATCTTTCCTGGGGAAAATGAATCATGTTTATGTTTATGTTATGCTATGCCTATGTTGATGATCATGTCTGATGATTGACTTTTTGTTGGATGAAGTTGTGAATAGATCCGCCGTTGTGTTGGAATTAAATCTGTAATGGTTGTTTTTGGTACATAGGTACTATTATTGCTGCTTCTTGCTGGTGATGGTAGATTGCGTAGGGGTTTGATTAGTAAGTTAATAATTTAGTGCACTTTACTAGGTAGTGTAGCGGTTTCGTGGTTGAGTAAGTGTGTGACAAACTGTACTATAGGATAACAATAATAACAGTTCTGATTTGGATTCATACTGGGTGGTACATGTCCGCGGATTGGCGGACGTCCGTCCAGTCCAGTCTAACTACGCTCGTGCCCATATTCAGATACTGATATTGTTCTTCATTTCCGTGCACGTATCTCATCAGTAATAAAGCTTCGTTGGATGTCCACATGACCTTCAGCCTTCCGGGGTGGTCAGTGGGGACGTAATGACATGAGATAGTTGGCCGCGAAAAGTCTGCTTCTAGCAGTGTGTCTGTCATACTTCTCTCCTAGACTAGGGTTAGTGAGGGGTTGTTTAGAAGAAGGTAGGAGAAATCGCACCAGGTGGGTTGGGGTTGCTCCAGGCGGGGAGTGCGGATGGCATTCCGATCGCCGAAGGGGTTGTCCTCGTCGTCGTCCTCTTCATCAGAGTCCGAGTCGCTGCTTGCGCTGTCGTAGATTCGGGGCCGCGACTGCGACGGGGATGGGACTACGGGCATGCTTAGTGGGCGGGCGGGTCGGGGCGGCTTGGGGGGGTTGATGGACAGGCCGGCAAAGGCCTCCGGGACGTCGTCGCGGTCCGGGGTCCAGCCCGTTTCGAGGACGTCCTGGTCGCTGTCGCTGTCGTAGTCGACGCTCTTGTCGAGCACTTCGAAGGCCATCAGCGCCGTGACCAGCTCCTCGTTGGCGTGGATCAGACTGCCGAGGTACTCTTCGCTCTCTACGTGCTGGATGTACCGCAGGATCTGGCGGCGGAGCTCTTTGCAGGTCTCGAATCGCTGCAGGCACTCGACATCTTCGCTGACGCGGTGCGTCTCTCGGTTGACGAGCTTGAGCGCGTTCAGGAGGTTGGTGCTGGCGAGGGAGGAGGATGCGAGCGTCTGCAGCATCTCGGACTTCTCTCTTTCGAGATTGAATGGGCGCGTGTATATTTTCTTCTCTTTCTTTTCCTTCTTGTCCTTCTTCTCTTTCTTGAGGGACTTGCTGCTCGAGTGCTTGTGCTTGGAGTTGCCGACGACCGTCGACGGCCCGTTGCCTGCGGAGATGGAGACGCTGTGGCCCAGGGGCGGGTCTTTGGAAGTGCCAGACTCCCGTAGAACCTTGGCCTTGGCCTGAGAGGCCGGTTGCTTGCGTTTCGGCAGCTGGCGGTAGAGCGCCGTCACGCGCTCCATGCCTGGGGTGTTTTTATACGAGGCGGCCCATTGTCCAAAGAGTTGCTTGCACTTCTGCTTGACCAGGGGGTCGGAGACCGGGTCGGTGGCAGCGATCCGCAATCGCTCGAGTAATGGCTCATCGGCAAATTCCCGGAGGAAGCGGTCGCCGGTGTTTTGGATCAAGAAGTCAAGGATGGTAAGCGACCGTAGCTGGCGGTGGATGTTCCCGTACTTTCTGAGACGAAGTTAGCAACGTGGGTGGAAGGTGAAGGTGAAGTGAGGTGAGACTGACAGCTTCTTGCGCAGTGCACGGCTCGCTTCTGACGGTCCGCTGGCTTGAATACGGATGGCTTCAATCAGATCGACAATTCCGCTAGAGTCTTCGACCTCATACTGCTCGCCGGTGAGGACTTCAATTTGTACGGACACGGCCGAATACGGTTTCTAACAAATGTCAGATCAGTACCTAGCGCCATTTGAGTACTGGAAAACAAAGCTTGGGCTTGCGTCCATGAACTTGTCGCGAGGAAAGACAAGACATTGCGCAGATTATGCCACACGCACGGCGTAGATATCAACATACCGATGAGTGAAACATCTTGATCTGTGGTATAGAGCAAGGTGCGGTCAAGTTCAACGGATTTTTAGCGCAATGCGGGGGCGGATAACCAAAGTAAGGACAGCCCGTGTCCTCACATTCGTATCAGTGTGCGATCAACCGTCAACACCGAGAATTGGATCAGCGATCACAATCCTTGCCCAATTTGAGAACAGTATTGCTGATAAATAAAATATCGAGACCAAATGCGACTGTGGTGCGAATCGGTCGGGGATTTCAGTTGTCCGGTGACGTGTTACAACCAGTGGTCCGATGATACGCGTGCCCGAGGTAGATAAGAGACCTTCCTAACAAGAAGCTTGCAAGTGAAACCCACAGGACAACCACTGAGGAAGCCCGTCTCGCGAGCAGATCAACGGGGGAGAGACAGTCGAGAGGGGGAGTTGGAGAAGAAAGAATGAAGCCTCCAACGTCATTGCGCTTCGTTGTTGATAGGCGGTCCCGTGACTGCCCCTCGCGGATCGTCCCGTTTGGGTTTAGCGCGGGGAATGTCAATATGGGCCAATTCCTCCTAATTAGGTTAGATCCCACGTGATATCGATCTATATCTTTTCTACAGTGAGGGAGTCGACTCTCTCTCTCTCTCTCTTGGGATAGATGGTATAGCATGACGGTGTGGGCTGGCATCATTCCCTTCACCTCAAGGTTTGTTAATCAATATCACGATATGTTCTTTCCCGTCCCGTATGTTCCTTTTCTCCAATGGTCATCCTCGCCAGTCCCACTCTCGTGACAACCACCTACTACTATACGACTGCTGATCGTGCTGGAACTTGATCTCAGGCACTTCTTCAAGCTACGAACTGTGGTTTGTTATAATCGTTGCATTCTTCTACCTGTTCTTCAATACCTTCTATCATTATCAACCATCTTACTGCTGTACCGATCTCGAGATTACGACTGAGCCTTGCTACAATGAAGCTTTCCAGTGCATTCCGCATTCCCCATTCATCCATTTGCTCTATGAGAACTTTGATACTATTGTCATGCTATTGCACTACTGGCATGGCGACGACTGGTGATCTCTGTCTCCCGATATACATACTTCACTATACTAATCAAGGTTCTCTTAGTCTCAAAGGATAGCTCGAGCGAAGGCATCAACCTAGTCACATTCCTAGAAGGAAAGCCACAACAACATGATGCAATCTATACAGGAGCAATTCAAATCCTCGAGTCAATGAAGACGTCTCCTTCCTGCAATCGAATGGCAGCGTCCAAGTTGGTCATGTCATGCCAATCTCTAGGAGACAAGTCTGGTGATACCCCAGACTCCGAGACATATGTTACCTTAGAGCGTGTGCGCTCCTTGTATGCAGCAAGACTGGCTATCTGTGAACTGGACGGGGCTGGGGCATCTGTCCCCCGTCCATGCATTCCAATCACTGTGTCGGCGCCGCCTAAGAAACGCATATTCGGTATTTCCGCCAGAAGCAAACCGCCCCTTAGTCCCGTGGACCAGGAGTCAGCAGCCCTCCTGGAAGGCTGTCTGAAGACTCTGGAATCACGTCCCCAATGGTGGACGTCATATAGCAACAACAGGCAAAATGCAGTAGTTATATGCCAAGCGGCCAGAATCGAGGGTGAGAAAGAAGAGCTTTTGGAGCTTTATAGATCTATAGTCGAAAGCTCCTCAAAACTGAACGATGGTCTGCAAGACGCTCTGCGGGCAGCTACAGCGCAGTCTTCTCAGTATAGAGCATTTATGGACACGACGGAAGCCATGCAGGTGAGGCTGCGCCATGAAATGAGAGAAACAGAGTCGCACTTCAAAAGCTTCTTAGCAAGCATCTTCCAGGGAATCGAAGCCAGTACTCATTCCGCAGTTATTGCGCTTACTTCAGCCATCGAAAACTTCCAAACGGGTGCTTTGACGGTTGAGAAGGTTTGTACCTTGACGTTTATATCTATGAGCTGATCTGACGCCGTGTAGGGTATCCAAAATATATCACGCGAAGCTGATGGGTTACAATATATCATACGAGCAATTCATGATGAAGTTCTCGCTCGACATGAGGAAATGACAATGGCTCGTCGACGGGAGGCCCAAGCACACAACGATCTTGCTACAACTATCCACGGCGAGCTAGAGACAATATTACAAAACGAAGTGGTCAAAATCTCTCACGGCCTCGGAACATTCGATGCTTCTCTGGTGAGCTCCTGGATCATACCTTGAAGTCTTATAGCTAATTGTCAGCAATGGCTGGCTGCGAGGCTAGAGAATGTATTGCAGCAAGAGCTGAGTATATCTGAGGTATGCGAATCCACAAAGCTTCGTGGTATACATCTGATTCTGGAAGCGGCTACGGAGTTTTGAAACATCTCTCGAGCAATCTCGTTTGAAAGCAGAAGACCTTCAAAAAGCGCAGGTCCGACAGTTCAACACCACAAAGGCGCAATTAAAACTGCAGGATAGTCTACACATGCAGCTGCAGGTATCGCACGCTTTGCTCGGCCAAACAGCTGCCGCTGCTGCGAATTTACAGGCCATGATCGATGAAGCAGCAGCTCAATATAAGGGATTTCCTGGCTTAGTGGGACTTCCCTGGCAATACTCCACATGGATGGCATGCGGCATGCTTTTTATCTTTGTAATGATGCAATGCCCAGCTTTCACTGTCGCGTTGCTTGCTTTGGGGATCGGTGAGACCACACGCGCCTTCCAACTAGACTATAGCTGATCTTGTCGCAGCCCTGTTCATTATTTGGAAAATAATATGATCTCACGACCAACTCGCGGCGAGATCTATCATTACTCAAAATATTCTTACAGTTCCGCTTCGAAGCCGGATTTGATTTATTGACTTATTGATCTAACGATTTATGATTTATGATTTATGATTCATCATTCTTTTTGCTTTTCTTTTCCATGCTTTTTTCAGTTACTCATGCGAGAGATACTAGTGTCCACGGCGCTAGTCATAGGAGATCGACACCCAAGCCTAACATGCGCATTTGCCCAACAAGCCTGGACTTTTCATTTGCCTCTGTACTTATGGGCAAGAACACGAATGATAATAGAAAGTCTTACTGATCTTCACGTACAGTTCACCAAACAGACCTAGACGGACTACAAACAATGACTAAGTGGCGCGTCCAGGAACTAAACATGAGGCTCTACGGAATTACGACACCACCGTTAGACGTTCGTCATCGGAGTTATGCATAGTCGACACATATGTTGTCCTGGTTGCATGATCACACTGCAGCCTCGTCCGGCGCCACGTAGATCATCACTCCGTCGACGCACTTGAGAATTAGTCGCAGTAATTGCCTAGGTAAACATTTAATCATATCAAGTGTCTGAATGATATTGAAAATGGTTTCCGTGTCTTGCTTCTCCGCAAGGAGGCTCTAGATGTGACAGTTGTTCATACCCACGTCGGCTAATAACTTGTCTAATTGTGGGACTCTAAACACTACTTAGTATTTACTAGTATACTACAAGCAGGACTCGGGCTCCGGTGGAGCAACTTCGGGATGGATTTCCTCTTTTCTCTTCTGCAGCCGCTAGTCTAGGTTTTGACAGGGTTTACATGCATGGTTGCAGTAGTCGTCACATTCCTCGTGGACTTAGACATCTGGATAACCCTAGAAAATGCCACTGAGTTAATTGACTGGGGGTGATTGTTGCGATTGCCGAGTTCACTACTGTGGTTGACTACATTATACCAGGCTAGGTTCTTTCTGATATATGCGGGGTCTATGATAGGAGAACTGGACCTGGTTTGTGGAAATTATACCCCGGCCATATCACCCATGTAGAGTCAAGGTCTTAAAGTGAGAATTTACAGGGATATCTTCAGTTAGGTGTCGTAGATTGAAATCCTGAACAATATATCTTCACTGTCTAACGGTAACTATTTCCGGATTCATGTCCTAACAACATAATATATCAACTGCATGTCGAAATGTTCAGAGTCGCACTACTATTATATAGCCATGTAAAGCATAAACAAACGTAGGGTAGATTCTATCATGATAATTCCAGTGAGTATTCACAGTCCAATCTCCAACAGCCTTGAACTTAGTCCGCTGAAACAACCCACCTCGCTGCATTCGAATGTCCTTTTGGGTAAGAGCACCATCTAGTATTTACCCCACACTCGGTTTGTTACAATATATTCGGCTAATTACCGAGGCCATAGACTTTTTTGTCACTGAATATTGCCTTCATCCAACTTGAGCGGGGTTCTGCCGCAGTCTATCTTTGTTCGCACTGGTTGTTGGCTGTACAGAGAGATGATGAATGAACTACACGCAAGAGATCCAACACAAGTTACAAATAGACTTGGGCTCGCCCCTTGAGCTTGTTTTCCTCCTCGCCTCTTTACAGAAAAAGGAGTAGCATCTTTTACACGGATGTGGACGGCCGAAACGATGTTATTCTATCTTATCTCGTCTCTGCTCACATCAGGCATTATAGCCCTAGCACGCCGAGACACTTTCCAATCTCGCTGTGAAGACTTTGCAAGCAAGATTGACCTACCTAATGTGCGTGTGAATCTTGTTGACTATGTCGCGAGTGGCACCAATCTCTCGCTACCCGACAATGACCCCAGCTGCGGTGCGCCGTCGCAGTCGGTGTCCGCAGACATGTGTCGAGTCGCCATGGCAGTATCTACCTCCGACAACAGCGAAATCACCCTTGAAGCGTGGTTCCCACGCGACTACTCTGGCCGGTTCCTGAGCACCGGGAATGGGGGGCTCGGTGGCTGTACGTCCCCCAAGCCGTGATATGAACCTCATCATATCAGTAAACTAACCCATCCCCACCCAGGCATCCAATACTACGACCTCACATACACAACAGGCATGGGATTCGCAACAGTCGGCGCTAACAACGGCCACAACGGCACCTCCGGAAAGCCCTTCTACAAGCACCCCGAAGCAGTCGAAGACTACGCATACCGGTCGATTCACACGGGCGTCGTGGTCGGCAAGCAATTAACCAAGCTCTTCTACGACGAAGGCTTCGACAAATCGTACTACATCGGCTGCTCGACCGGCGGCCGGCAAGGGTTCAAGTCAGCGCAGAAGTTCCCCGACGACTTCGACGGCGTCGTCGCCGGCGCCCCGGCCTTCAACATGCTCGGCCTTCTCTCCTGGAGCGCACACTTCTACTCGATCACCGGCGCCCCAGGCTCAGAGACCTACCTGACGCCCGCGGAGTGGAAGCTCGCACACGATGAGATCCTCCGCCAATGCGACGACATGGACGGCGCTAAGGACGGTATCATCGAGGACCCGGACCTCTGCCATCCAACAATGGAAGCCATCATCTGCGACCCCGACTCCTCCACCTCTCCATCCTCCTCATGCCTCACAGGCACACAAGCCGGAACCGTCCGCGAGATCCTCTCCCCGCTCCACGGCGCAAACGGCACACTCATCTACCCGCGCATGCAGCCCGGCTCCGAAACCCGCGCCTCAACAATCATGTACACCGGCAAACCATTCATCTTCAGCCGCGAATGGTGGCAATACGTCGTATACAGCGATCCCAACTGGGACGCATCGCAGTGGAGCGTGCAAGACGCCGCCGCAGCGCTGAAACAAAACCCCTTCGACGTCCACACGGGGCCCACTGACCTGTCTGCGTTCCGCGCCGCCGGCGGCAAGCTGCTCACTTACCACGGCCTGCAGGACCATCTAATCAGCTCGGAGATATCCAAGCTTTACTATGCGCGCGTTGCGGAGACGATGGGGCTCCCGCCTGCCCGGCTGGACGAGTTCTACCGCTTGTTTCCCATCAGTGGGATGGCGCATTGTGGGGATGGCGATGGGGCGTATGCGATTGGGAATGGGGCGGGTACGCATGCTGGGGATGATCCTGATGATAATGTTCTTATGGCTGTTGTTAGGTGGGTGGAAGAGGGCGTTGCGCCTGAGACTGTGCGCGGGGCGAGGTTCGAGGATGGGGTAGGCTCGAGGGCTGAGTATACCCGGAGGCATTGTCGCTATCCGCGCAGGAATGTGTATAGGGGTCCGGGGGAGTTTACTGATGAGGATGCGTGGGAGTGTGTTTGATAAGATAGTCTACCTAGTAAAGTATTATGACAGCTGCTGCGATGAACCCTGGATATAAAGTGGCGACCAATAACATCCTCCACATATTGTTCATAATGAGGTCACCATCCAAACAACTATCCACGAGCTCGCTCTTCATAATAAATACTCCTCTAATTCCAAGCATTCTCGCTGATATCACACTAACTAATATCTCTAACCAATATTGATGATCCCATCATCAACCCTTATCAGCCTCCAACCACCAACAGCCCCCAAAATCATCCATATACATAACCCATAATATCCCCAACAACACCACCACAATGGTCCAATCCGGCGCAAACTCCTCCATGAACCACCCCTCCACCTCCATCCGCGGCGGCGCCAGCCTGCAACCGACGCCCGCCAACAACGTCGGTGGCGGACGGGGTCTGGGCGATGGAGGTTGGACCAAGGGAGGGACGGCTGCTTCTGAGGTTTGTGTCTTTCTTTCGCTTTCTCTCTATGCTTTTGGTCTAGTTGAACTAGTTGGTTTGCCTGGTGGCGATAAGAAGAATCATGCTAACGGTGTGGCGGGGCTAGAACAAGCAGAAACAGAGGCAGGGTTCTGAGAGCAGCATAGACCAGGGTAGAGGCCAGGAGCGGTGGTGGAGGAGGGCGAGCGATACTACTAAGGATCCGGTGAATAATTTGTGAGTTTCCCTTCGTGGCTTTGGTGTGGGTTGGTTGGTTGGGTATATGAGGGTGTGGGCTGATTGTTTGTGTTCTTGTCTAGGTTCTCGACGTATGAGTAATGTGACTATGTTGCGTGTTGATCGTTGCAAGGTGTGATTGCGGTGGAGGCAAAAGTGTATTCGTTTGAGGTACTGCCTATGTCTATATGAAAACTGCTGCAAGGCGATGCACTGTGATACGATATTTCCTTACGCCTTATCAATGATGGGAAATTGAACCCGTTGTTGAAAACTAATACGAACAATATATATACTGAATGACTGATTACGATATCTCTATCCACAAATTAAAACCAGCTTATTCCGTCTTCGACTGCTTCCCCCCTAGACGATCTTTCAGCGCGACGACCTTGCCCAGTAATCGGCCCTTAAGCGTCTGGGACGTCAGCGCCGCCGCTTCGTCAGCGGAGACAAACCGCCGGACTAGCAGGTTGAAGACACTCCCGAAGGCGAGCGCGATGACCGTGCTGGTGAGGATGATCACGTTGTAGGGCATGCTGAAATCTGGGGTCGGCAGCGGGAGGAGCAGGCTCGTGGTGCGGATATAGACCGGTGGGTCCTGGCTGAGCTTAATCACCGCGGGCGCGACGTTGAAGCCACGGTTGGCGTCGGGGGGGTACTCGGTGTAGCGCAGGATGGCTTTTTCGAAGTCGTAGGTTAGCGTCACGGTGGAGGCGGCCGGTACTGAGATGGCAAGTTCGAGCTGCGTCCCGCGCTCGCGGTCGATAGCCGGCCGGTAGAAGGTCTCGCGGATGATTTGCGACGCGAGGACCTGGTGCCGGATGCCGTCGCGGCCGGTGATCGTTGCCTGGAGGGTGTGCACGTATGGACGTAGGAACCACGGGAGGGTCTCGAAGTAGACAAAGTCGACGCCGTGCGCGTCGCTCGGGTTGTCGAAGATGATCCGCATGCCACCTCGTTCTTGGCCGTGGCCGACAATTGTCCGTTCGGCGCGGAGGACAGGCTCATCCAGAGGGACTTGCACCGTGGCGTCCTGCTCCTGGACGAGGAGATCGAAGGGCTGGGAAGGGTCGAGGCTAAAGCAGCGCGAGAAGCCCGTCTCGTCTTTTCTCTCTGTAGCGCCAGGAGATACGTACACGCCACGGTCATGTGGCACGCGCAGACATATCGGCTCGTTGTCGTCGGAATTTTCGGCCAGAGGGCACACCCCGCTGACGGTACGGCCGAAGATCTCGTGCAGACTCCATCCTTTCTCGGCCGCGCTCTCCAACGGGTAGCACGCGTCTTCGGAGTGATAGGGCTTGGATGTGTCACACACGAGCTCTTCAGTAGGAACAGGTCTCGGGATCGGGTTGTCTAAAAGCAGTCAGAAGAAGGCTCAATTCCTGCGTACGGACAGGTACCAACCTCGAGGTCGTTTAGACCGGTCAATGTCCAACACGATGTCAACAGTCTGATCAATTTGCACGACACACTCGTCGGGGCCGGTGCAAATAGGACGCACATCGACGGACATGCTCTGCCACGACGCATCAAACAGCTTGTGCCCATCCATCAGGCTAGAGATTCCCGCCTTCCCTTTACACGGGAGGAGTTTCACAAAGGGCGTCAGGTTCTCGGTGCACACCACTTCGCCAGGAAGCGTTCCGTGTAACAGATGCAGATTACTAGATGCGGGATGATCGCCTGTGGAGTCAAACAAAGCCGCAGGGCGAGTAGTCCGCGTGGAGTCGACGAAATTCAACGAGGCGCAAAACAGACCCGACAGCGACTGCGTCAAGGTGATCCATTTCGCGAAAGCCCTGGAACAATCAGTACTTCTCCCGAAGATAATATGGATCTGAATCATCAACGCGTCAATCGTCGCATTGCTGTCGCACGTACTCTTGGTCACTCGGGGCATCAATCCACGCCCATAGCTCCACCCCCGTGCCGCCTTCCTTGCTCCCGTTCCAGGGGCGCGAACCCCAGCTTTCAGCGTCCCATCGCCCCGTCGTAAATCGGAGATGGAGTTCTTTGGTATTCGTATGGCGCAGAATCTGGCCTAAGGCCCTCGGGAAGTATCGGAAGTGTCGCTCGTCAAAGGATTGTTGCGACTCATTGCCCCGGAAGGTAAAAGAGGCTAGGAGGGCTGATTGCGGTAAAGGTTGTAGAAGGAGGTTTTCATAATAGTCTGAAGCGGCGAAGACGAACGGTGCAAGCGCAACGAAGGCGAGCAAAGAAAAGAGAGCGCGGGCAAGCATCACGTCATCCTTAACGCAAGAGTACTTGTGCGCTGATGCTGGGTAAGTAGCTCAGAATAGGACAGATTGATCACTCGAGTCGGGGGAATCGAACAACGATCGCGAGCGCGGGATTGGACAGGGGTTGGTGAACGGGATTTGCCACCGTCTGCCTTGAGTCTTGACGAAGGGCGTCAGAAGATGTGTACTTGGATATTGATGATGGAGTTAAAGAGTAGTCCATAGTTTATCAATCGCCATGTTGATGTCCTAGCTCCTGTCAAAAAGGGGAAGGCGGTCTACGATTGGAGATTCACCGCCCCATTATTGCGGGACTAACGATGTGATTGCGATGGGTCCGATCTTTGGATAGAGCAACAAAAGAAAAGATGAAACACCAGAAGAGTAAGTAAAATGCAATAGATATATATGATCTGAGTTTCCTGGGTATGTATGATAATAGGAATCGATGGCAGAGGTGACCGAGGAGAGCAAAAATATGTAAAAAGACAAAAAACGATCCACACGGGGATCGAACCCGCAATCTTCGGTTTAGGAGACCGACGCGTTACCATTACGCCAATGGACCCTTATCTGATAAGACCGAGTCCGTATGGTTATCTATTCGCCTGAAAGTGATTTGACTGCCTTCCACTGTTCAGCCTTAATACCGAATTCATCATGACATGCATGTTCGGCCCCATGAACAAGGCTTTGCATTTACTATTTTAGTAGGGAGACACAGAATTCAGCTATATAGCCCCATATTATATAGATTTTACCATAATTGTTCATAATCTTCAAAATTGTACGGGCATCATTCACACATATTCTATGCTCAGTGTATAGACTTACATAAGCACATACAGGCTTGGCGTCCTCCGCAAAGAATCATCGCCAGCAAGCTAAACGGCTCGACCATCTCCATCTTTTCGCATCAGCTCCGCCACTCCCCCCAATCCATCTTCACCTTCCCCCTCCACACCATCCAAAGCCTCATAACCATGGCGGCGGAACAACGGAAGCTGCTCGAGCAGCTGATGGGAGGTACGTCGCGTCCTTAAGGACCTTATCATCCCGTCCAGACCAAAAGCCCCAAGCAAGCAAGCTAACATATTTACTTCTGTTTACGCAGCGGACCAGCTCATCGGCCTCGGCGCGAATTCCCGCAACGCTCAGCTCTCCATCACAGACTCCAAAGTCTGTCGCTCATATCTGGTCGGCACGTGTCCGCATGACCTCTTCACCAACACCAAGCAAGATCTCGGCCCGTGTCCCAAGGTACATAGCGAGGGCTTGAAAACGGAGTATGAGACTGCGTCGGCGGCTGAGAAGGCGAAATGGGGGTTCGACTATGACTATATGCGCGATATGCAGAAGTACATTGACGATTGTGATCGGCGCATTGAGTCCGCGCAGCGTCGGTTGGAGAAGACGCCGGATGAGATCCGGCAGACGAATAATTTGGTGTGTTTATACCTACCCCATATATGTTGAGATGGAGTGAAAGAAAGAGAGGAAAAGATAAAGCTAACGCAAACCCAACCAGCTCAAACAAATCGCCGACCTCGCCAACACAATCAACAGCGGACTCCTGGAGATCTCCGTCCTCGGCGAAACCGGCTCCGTCGCACAGGCCCTCAACGAGCTGCACAAAGTGCGCACCGCGAAGCAGCAGAAGGAGTCCTGCGAGCGCGAGCTCAAAAACCTCCAAGATACCTCCGGCCCGTCCGGCCACCAGAAGCTGCAAGTCTGCGACGTCTGCGGCGCGTACCTGAGCCGTCTCGATAACGATCGCCGTCTCGCGGACCACTTCTTCGGCAAGATGCACATGGGATACTCCGATATGCGCAAGGGGTTCAAGAAGCTCAGCGAGGAGCTCAAGGGTCGGCCGCCGCCGGTGCGCCACCACGATGATGATGACGGCCCTGGTGGTGGTGGTGGTGGTGGATGGGGCGGCGGTGGGCGCTCTGGCGGTGGACGCGGCCCGCGGTATGGTGGAGGTGGTGGTGGGTTTAAGAAGCGTGGTGGGCGGTGGTGATTCGTTACTGGTTTTGGTAGGACCTGGGGTTCTTGCTTTTTCCTTTCTATTTTCTGTTCTATTATTTTTGGTTTGCATAGCGCAGGCGTTTCTTTTCACTATGCCCTTCCCCCAAAATAGTCTGTCAAGTGTGGTTGGCGGCACGAGTGTCGAGCCTTACGACCTCTACAATGTGATTGATATATTATACTATACTATACTGTATTAGAAAGAACGAAGTAGCGAATTTATAACAAAGCATGTTATTTGCATTCATGTAGGTGCTCGAAAAGCTTAATTCAATGTGTAACACTATTTAGGTACTCAAAGCAGCATGAACGGCAATGGTAGTAACAGACAGGTTCGTTCATCACAGGATGGGATCAATACAGGAGCTATTTAAAAGAAAGCAAAAGAGGCGGAGAAGAGAAGGGGAAACAAGAATAGCATGATCGACGTTAATATCCCATGACAAAGTAAATAAACACAAACAAGCCCAAAAGGATGAAATCAAATAACCCATTTTCCCTGTTCTCGCGCACCACGCACAACAAGTACATCATTCAATCGAAACAAAAAGTGAAGGGATCAAAGACCAATAATGATAAAAGACAGATAAATGCAGAAAACAATGACATCCAGGCCCTCCCCACGCGTAGCATGCAAGCCTTAAGTAACCACATTAAGATAATATACACCCAAGCAACCTACCAAACCCTCCTAGGCATGGTGTTGTCCCCCATTGCTGTTGGCTGCTGCCGTCGCCTGTCTAATCTCCTGCATCAACAGGTCATAGTCATTTGCCGTCTCGGGTCGACGCTGAAGAATGTCCCTGACGATAGCGAGCTGGGCGACGTCCGCGTTGGGGGCATTGCGGAGGAGTTCTTGGATGGAGGGGCTGGTAGCCTGCGGGCCCAGGACTTGCACGGCGGCTGGGAGGCCGACGACGGGGAGTGCCGGGATGGGGGCTGCTTGGAGGGGCTGATGGGGCGAGTATTGCGGGGCTTGCGGCGTTTGGTTGTAGAATTGGGGGGCGGGGGTCGAGCCGGGGAAGGAGGATGTCGAGGTGGCGGAGATTTGGGAGGCCGCGCGCGGGCCGGGGGTCAGGAATTGCGCTTGCTGTGGGGTGTCTGCCACGGCTGTTAGGGGGCTGGCTGCGGCGGCGCCTGGTTCCTGGCTTGCTTGGTGGGAGGGTGGTTGCACGGAGGGTGGGTTGGAGTCGCCGGTTTTGACGGCGAAGACGACGAGGAGGACGCGGGCGGGGGTGGGGTCTTCGAGCGAGTTGTTCTCGAGGAGCTCGACGAATTCGGGTTTCTTGGTCATGCCTGCTTCGATGGGGATCATGTAGGTGTCTTTGACTGCTGGTAGCGGGTGCTTGCCGATGACGCCGTAGCGCTTGCGGTCTTGGAAGTAGTTGAAGAGGCGGTCGAAGCTTGCGCGTTCCCGAGGTGATTCGGGGCTGCTGATGGAGATGACTGTCACGTCGGTGGAGTTGCTGAAGCGCAGGCCACAGAGGTAGTTGCTGGCTAGCTGGATGTCGATGCGGCCGTCCACCAATAACGTCGGGGGCACCAGCTGGCTCCAGGGGATGCGTCCGCTCAGGTCGGCGCCGCCGACGTGCTTGGCCGACGAGGTGAAGTCGGCGACCGGGTTCATGACCACCTTGCCCCGCCAGATGCTTCCCTCGTCGTTGAAATCCTTCGGGGAGTAGGGCGGAGAGTCGGGCTCGTCGTCTCGCAGCAGCTGGTCGATCTCGGCGTCGGCTTGCGCCTTGCTGGTGGGCATCGGCTCCCGGATGTTGGTGGCGACCTCGGGGAAGACGGCGTCGTGGCTGGTGCCGCCAGGCGAGTGGCCCCGGGACGGGAAATGTTCGTCGTGAGTCTTTCTCTCGGCTCGTCCTGCTTTGGACGATCTTCGACTGCCGTTCTTCTCGCCCGCGTGCCTCCCCGTGGGACTCCCCGGGCTTTGGGCGTCCGGGCTCGCCTCGTTGTCGACGTTGCGACGCGGCGCCGTCGAGAAGACGGGCTCGCTAGCCACGTTCTGCACGTCGTCCTCGATAAGCTCTTCGCCCTTGTGGGTGCGTCGGATGCGGGGCCCCTGCTCCTGGACGATGATGTGCTGGCGCTCGGCCTCGCGCTTGATCTCGGCGTCCTTCTGCTGCAGTTCGTCGCTGGCCATGTCCTGGGAACTCATCTTGGAGAGAGCATCCGCCGATAGACTACCTACGAGCAGACGGTCTCGCAGCGAAGTGTTCTTCTTTACGTTGAACAAGATCGTCCGCAGCTGTTGCTTATATGGGTCCGTGGGCTCGCCCGATCCTGCGCATATATTGTCATACATAGCATCCTCGACCGCAAGACCATGCTGCTGCGCAACCTCCTGGACCGTCTTCCCTTGCGGCACGCGGTATGACTTTTGTTTCTGCGCGCTCGTGATCTGATCTACAAACAGGTTGACCAGGGCTTTGGCAACGTTTTTCCGCGCCGGGTTGGTGATCTCCTCCAAGGGCTTCAACGGCTTGGTGGGCACTGGCTCCGCCACCGTATCTGGTTGAGAGGGCTGTGCGCTGGGTTCTTTCTTCACGGGAGTGACTCTCTTGGTCTCACTCGGCTTCTTCGTTTCGGCGAATTTCTTCCGCTCAGTCGGTTTCTCCGCGCCCTCCCCAACTTGAGTGTCAGCCTCCACATCAGCACCGGCACTGGGACCAGCGTCGCCGGCCTGAGGACCAGCATCGGGCATGGGCGCATCTTGAGGGGGTGAGATCTTGGGTTGCTTCAATTTCGGACGCTACACGATAAGGGGTTAGTCAAACACGATATGAAACCCACGAGGGGGGAAAGATTGTACGCACCGACTCGGGCTGAGGGGTTTCCTGGTCTTCGTCAAACTTGCGCTTCTCCGACGCTCTCCCCGGCGTATCCTGGACCCGGGTTGTCCTCTCAGACACCGGCGACCTCGGCGATTGGGCCGTCGCGCTGGGCGCAGGCGCAGGCGTGGTCGAGGTGGCCCCACGGGTCGGCGTGCTGGCATCAGTTCTGGCCTCACTGGGTCGACCGCGACGACCGCCCTTCTTCCCCTTCTTCCGTCGCGAGTGTTTCTTCTCTTCAGCCTCTTTGCGCCGTCGCTCGGCGACCTCTTCCCACGGCCTCTCGCCCCGGTTCATGCGCTCCAGGAGATCTTTGTGGTTCTCGGGCCTGCACCGCTCACAGTAATACTGGTCGGGTTCCTGCCCCTTGGCGAATCTGAGGCCCATGCAGTCATTGTGCTGCCAGGCCAGGCACTGGTCGCAGCAGATCATGTCCCGCTCCACATCTTCCTCCTCCTCGTATTCGCCACATATGCATCGGATGATCTCCTCCTCGTCTTCCCCCTCGCTGGGGCCAGGTGTGGGTTCGGCGGATGTCTTCGCGGCTTTGTCCTTGTTGTGGAGCTTGGACTTGCCTTTCTTCGGAGTGTCGGATACCATGTCGAGGTTTTTGTGCTGGCCTTTTGTTGACCGACCGGACCGTCGCGGCTCGTCTGTCGCCTTGCTGTTAGCTCACTTTTCAAGTCATTCTGGTTGGGGAGAGAAGGGGGAGTGTTTGTGTGTGTAAAGAGAGGGAATGGGAGACCTGGCGCCCTTCCGTCGCCACCGCAGCGATAGCCGTAGCGGTCCGGATGGGGCAGCTCGACCAGCTTCCAACAATCTAGGGTACACTATTTGCTTACCAGCCATGATCGATTTGTATGTGACCGTCGAGTGTGGGGGTGGTTGATAACCGGGAAAAAGAAGACTCAAATTTCTACGGGGGTGTTTTGGGGCACCGCACGAGATATGCGCAACACACCACCCAGATCGCGTTTCTACGACACCCGAGGACTAGGTAACAAGCAATACACAGGAGAATCGCCCGGGGATTTGTTGGCTTCAATGCCGCAATCCACGATGGTATTACTTCCCCTTCCTAACCTGCCTCGCCGTTCTTGTTTTGTTGATCTTTTCTTCTTTTTTTTTTGTTCCTTTTCTGTTATTGTTTCACCGAAACAATGCGCAATGCCGACCACTAGGGTGGGTGGTGGGACTGTGGACGAGCAGTATCGCGCGCACTGCGGATGAGCTTAGCGCGAGTGGGGTCGCGTAAAGGTGTGCGTCTGGGAGTCGATGATGTCAAATAGAAGGGGTCGCTGAATTCGGCGTATCAATCGGGTAGATGACGCGATCAGGCACCTGTCGAAAATTCCGGTGAGTTGTGAGAAAGATGGGGAGTGAAAGGAGGAGTTGACAGAGAGTTGACAAGGGGAGAGAAGACGGGAGGAGAAAGAGGAGAGAAAGAGGAGAGAAAGAGCAGATCGTTCTTTTAAAGCAGGAAAAGCGAATGGAGTGCCTGAGTTTCGCCAAGACATTTCGAGGCCTTCCCATGCTGACTCAGGACGGTACACGTGACGGTGGCCTTGGCATCCAGGCCCTCGCGTTAGCTCATCGTTTGGCGCGCTCAGCCTTCTTTGTCTCCAGATCAGATCTCTCATCCCCACATCGATTACTTTCTACCTTAGGACGACTCTTCTTACTCCACATATCATCTACTCCACTACTACAAGGCTCTTCTTATTATTATCACTATTGTTATATTCCCTACGATGGCAGATGTCCGTTCGTTACTCCGGAATGAACTCGCTTCTCGCAAGGGCGGCAGCCCATCCCAGTCCGGCAAACAAGCAAATCGTGTCACCAAGAAGCGCAAGGTAGATTCCGGAGAAGACCTGACGAGGAAGAAGATCCGACAGGCAGTCGCCCATGCAGACCTGCAACCAGCCAGCATAGTCCAACCGCCCAGCGCCCAAGCCCTCGAAGACGCAGCCGAAGCCGAGGAGGTCGACGAGCAAGAGATCGCGGGACCCGAACTCCCCACCGACGAACAGGAGGAAATGGAGACGAGCGCAGAGGTATCGACAGTTCCGCCGACGACGGCGCCGAGCAGCCAACCGACGACCACGACCCAGGACCAGCGGACGATCGATGAGGATGAATGGGCTGCCTTTGAGCGGGAGGTTGCGGCGCCGAGTCGTCTAGCGCACGCTCCGGCTGCGCTCACGGCGGAGGCAACGATCTCTGCCGCTCCCATGACGGCTGAACAGCTGGCTGCGCAGCAGGAGAGGGACGCCCAGGCGGCGAAGTCGCGCAGTCGGGAGGCGGAGGCCGAAGGGGAACGGGAAGATGCGGCGCGGTTCATGGAGGATGAGTTTGACGAGATGGAGCAGCTCGAGGAACGGGTTCGACGGCTCAAACATATGCGGGAGGAGCTGCGAAAGAAGACGGGGGAGGAAGAGACGCTGGCACCCGGTGAACCGACGGCGACTGCGATGGCAGGGAAACAAGACAATTCTGCCAACGAAAGTAAGGAAGAAGAAGACGACGACGACGACGACCAAGACGATGATGATGACGACGACTGGGATAACTGGAGGTTCCGGTAAAGGCTGTACGACAACTGGGCTGGAGTAGAACACGGAACGGCGTCATTTCGAACATAACATACATACAGAGGTCTGGAACTTTCCTATTGATTGATACCCAAATGAGCTATGGACATGAACAATCCCGCGCGGGCAGCGCTTCTTAACTCTCCGTCTAATATTCAAGGGGGAACCCGGACGCGAACGACATATTGGCTGGCTTTTTGATTGTGATTTGTACCTTTTGTAGCAACTCTGGCTTGACTTATAGAATGATGATCCACTATTTGGAGAATTCAGAAGACTAGATAGAATATAAATCAACGAATAGTACTAATAGATTTACATGGTTTCTATCTGGCTTGATGGTATATATCTTGATCATTGTTTACTCGGCGGGGGACGCCCGGTCTGCTCCCTCCCCTTCGATGTAGCTCCGAAGCCCTCCCTTGTCGATTCTCATGGCTTCCTCGATCTCCGCCTCGCCTTCTCGGAGAAGCGTCTTCCCACGGAGGAGGTCCCCCCGCTGTTTCCGTTTCTCCTCCCCGACCTGCTTTTCTCGCTCAGCTAGTGCCTTCTCACGTTTCTCGCGCTCCACCCGCTTCTTCTCAAGTTCTTCCCGCTGCTCGGCGGTCAGCTGCTCTTCCGGCGCAGGCGGGAGCGTAGAGATGTAAGCCTCAATGAGAGGGTCGCGAACTTTCGCAGAGAGCGCAATATACCGCACATCGGTGATGATGCTCGTTGGGAGAGCCTCCAGATTCGACGAGCGGTGGAGCTCATGGAGAGGCACGGATTTCAGCAGTGCCGAGAGTTCGGACTTGCGCTTGCTTTCCGGCTGCTTGACCCGCGAAATCAGGTCGCGGTACAGCTTCTCGCGGTCCTTGTCGGAGAGTTGAGAGTCCCGCATCTCGTCTTCCTTGCGGTATTTGCGTTTGAATTCGGGCCAGTAGAGCTTGGGCGTGGCGTACTCTTGCAGAAACGCCAGGTACTTGATACGTGGATCTTTCTTTTCCTGTTTGGCTTTTTGTTCCTTGTATTGTTGGATGCGGTCTCGGCTCCAGTCGGACCAGACCTCCCGGCGTCGTTTCATGTTCGGGAGTACCGTGTACCGGGAGTCCTCGACGATACGGCCCTCTTCGATGATGTTCTCCCACGGTGAATACGGGTTGATGTGGTAGTCGTCGAGCAAGTCGCGGAAAAGAGCCGTGGAATCCTCGTCCGTGAGGGGAAGTCCTTCTGCGCCCTCTTCCCAGTCTTCAGCCTCAGGGTCGCCATATTCGCCGGGATCCAGTCCGTATTCCTCGCCCATGGCGGCAAGTTGGTATTCCATATCCTCCTCGGTGAATTCAACCGGTTGCTGGTCTTCTCCGTCGTCGGTTTTCGTCCGTTTGGACGGCTGTCCCGCTTCTTCGTCCTCGCTGTCCGTGACCTCCACTTCCTCATATTCGTCGCTGTCTTCCCCTGCTGGCTGGGTGACCGGTGGCTCTCTCGAATCGCGTCGTTGGACCTCCTCCTCCGGGGCCGTTTCCATTTCTTCAGCGGGAGGTTCCTCCTCTTCAGCTTTCTCTCCCCGTTCTTCCTTTTCCTTCGCCTCTCGTTCCATCCGGTCGAACTCCACAACTCCTTTCAGCACATCCTGCGGGAATTTCCAGAAACTTTCATTGGTCTCCGTATTGAAGACAAATCGTCTCCCAAGCCTTGTCTTCACGAGAACCCACGGCGCACACCCGGGTATAGTATGTTTCGATCGCGGTCGGTCCTCTGGCCCCCTTCTGCGATCCTGATAACCCTTTCCGCCGCGGAAGCCACCGCGGAAACCTCCCCGAGCCGGGCCACCGTGAGGAATATTCTGCGGTTGCTGGGCGAAGCCAAATCCCTGTGGCGCATACTGTGTAGAAGAGAATGGAGGCAGGGTGTCCGGTGTCAGAAATGGAGGGGCCGGCGCGGCATGTTGTTGTACCGGGACCGGCTCCGGTTGGGATTGGGGCCGCTTGTAAGTGGATTGCTTCGTTTGTGCATTATAATAGTACGAGTGTCCTGCGACCTGTTAGATGCGAAGCCCGGCATGGGTCTGGTAGACTGACTGACCTGAGGGTGCTTTGTGTTCCGTCCATCCTGGCGGTAGTGGAGGGGGAGGCGCATAAGTGGATCTGAGCATGGTCGATCGTCGCTGTAAAAAGCGTCGTAGCAGACAAAGAGCAAGTAATTTATACCAAAAGGCGTAGGTGCATGTCCACAGACTGATTGAAGTGGTTGCTGGAGCGGATTTGCGGCGAAGCTGCGCATCGACAATTGGAGGAGGTGGCCCGAGCTCAGCGGAACCTGCCCAGTTCAGGCTAGAGGACGCGCCAGGACGAGTTGCCTTGGGAAGCTCACCCAACCATCATCATCGTCTCCATCATCACTCCCATCGCTTTGTCCAGCTCCCACGTTCCCCTCTCAGTCCCTTCGCTTGCAAATTTTCTCTCCGATCTACTGTTTGATTTCTTTCGTTTTTATTTGATTCAAAGCGAACTCGCTACACAGAGAATATGTCACGGAGATACGATTCCAGGGTATGATTCCCGTCCCTCCGCCCGTTCGCAGCTCCAGCTAACCCGATAACGCTCGTCCACAGACAACCATCTTCTCTCCGGAGGGCCGTCTATATCAAGTCGAATATGCGTTGGAGGCTATCTCGCATGCCGGCACCGCGCTGGGCATCTTAGCCAAGGATGGTATTGTCCTTGCGGCCGAGAAGAAGGTGACGAGCAAGCTGCTCGAGCAGGACACATCCGCAGAGAAACTCTACATCCTGAACGAGTACGCCTTTTCCATTCGAATTGACTGGATACGATGATACCTGATAGCTAACTCTTTCTAAAGCAACATGATTACAGCTGTTGCTGGTATGACGGCTGACGCCAACATCCTGATCAACTACGCCCGACAAGCCGCCCAGCGGTATCTTCTCACCTACAACGAAGATATCCCCTGCGAACAACTCGTGCGCCGGTTGTGTGATCTGAAGCAAGGATATACGCAGCATGGTGGTCTCCGTCCGTTCGGTGTGTCATTCATCTACGCCGGTTACGACCCCCTCCGCGAGTTCCAGTTGTACCAGAGCAACCCCAGTGGTAACTACGGCGGCTGGAAGGCGACTAGTGTGGGAGCGAACAACGCAAGCGCGCAGAGTCTACTCAAGCAAGATTACAAGGAGGATTGTGACCTGAAGGAGGCCTGCGCTATGGCCGTGAAGGTCCTCAGCAAGACCATGGATTCGACCAAGCTCAGCAGCGAGAAGAGTGAGTGACTGCCTACCCTGATTTTATGTGCTCGTAGTGGCTCATCGTCAACTCTATGTTATCTACTGTACTAACTCAAACGTCTCTGCAGTTGAATTCGCTACCGTGGGCAAGACCAAGGAGGGGAAGATCTACCACCATCTGTGGAACGCGGACGAGATCAACGCTCTCCTGAAGGAGCACGGGTTGGCCAAGGTCGATGACGAGCCCGAGGCTGGTGACTTAAAATAAGTGCTAGACAAGGAATGAGTTAATGTTGCGTCCGATGACCTGATCGAGATAATCCCATGTGTTCTGTTATCAAATCCGGCGCCAGGATCTCGCCCGTATTCCTCCCGTCGTAAGCCCATGGGTTAATATATGCTACGGCTGAAACATCGGGCCCTCCCACGCCAGACAGGCATGCCGCCCACTACTGCTGCATCTGAAGCGCAACTGACGTCCACGGGTGACGTGGCAGCCGCGCTGACGAGTTGAGGGGACGGGCATCCTCGAAGGCATTGTTTGCTGTTGCATTCTTCACGCGCCCTCCCCTGATGGATTTTGTCACGGGTTGTGCAAGATGAATGGTCCACGTAGTTCCGTACCCATGCTTTTATAACTTGAAGACAAGTATGTAGCACTCCAGGGGGGTTCGACCTCCCATATATATATCCGTTCCAGCCTCGAATCTACATCAACATCCACATCCACTTGCATCTTCGCCGCAACGACGCCCATTCTCCTACAGCATCCGTCTACACAAGGTAGACTCCCAACCGATGCTCGTATCCCTACTCACCAGCCATGTTGGTTGGGTACCACGATCATATAATTATTCTCCACACTGTGTAATAGGCACCTATGAGGGTCGGAATACGCTACCCATGACACCATGCGAACGGTCCCCGACAGTAGCTGGAGCGGTGGAGCCCATATCTATCAGGTAGGGAGATATACCTTCTAAAAATGCAACTATTCTTCGACTTACGCCTTAGATTTCCGCCTGAAGAAGCAGAGTCACGGGCCCGACTAACCCGTTTCAGACACATCACGTGCCGGTATAGAAAGCGATGGGGAAAACGCGGGGCTTTGACGGTTGGTTTGTTCACCGCTCCCTGAAGAAAGCATATGTCAACCTCTAGAACAACAACGACCTAGAGAGGCGTTTCATCCAAATGTTGATGCCCTCGCATATCTCTGCAGATTCTCAGCTCTGTTGCACCTCCACAGTACTAGTCACATTGCTACTAGTCAACCATATAGGATCCGTCGCCGTGCGCTGAACTACTCCCGCCAAACTACTACACGGCGCTTAGCAAGTGGAACTGTCCCTTGTGGATTCGCTTCATCGGGTCCTAGATTTGCGGATTCTAACGAAGTTCATTGGATTCCTGATCTCATGCCCCCTGGGCGTACAACTATTAATCCTTCCTATCCAATCGTTCGGCGGGTCCGTCCATCATGAAGAAACCTGTCCGTTGTGATGCCACTGTCAAACCGGCCAGGGATACAGAATTGTGAGACACCTGATTAAAGACTCGGACTCTCAACCAAGAAAAAAAGGTAGTAAAAAAAAAAAACAAAAAAGGGGGTGAAAAGTGAAAAGAATTAAACAGGGAAAAAGAAAAAAGAACGGGCTAATGAGCAAAATCAAAGAATGACAAGAGAAAGAAAAAGAGGATGCCCATTTCAGAGGCACACCCCCGGCTTGATCCTTCTGTTTCCAGATCCACCAATCATCCCAGGGCGCTTCGTTTGTCCTCGCGCTCAATTTGAAGCTTTCCGATCTCTCTGTCCAGCTCCATTATGAGCCTTTGGGATCGGTCCATGGAGGCTACGAGGGTGCCCCCTTCGCGTCTCCAGCGGTTCAACCGTTCGACCTCGGCGTCTCGCCGGCGGAACTTGGTCTCAATCTTCTCGCAGAGGCGACATTGAGTGTTCTCATAGTCGGTCACGTTCACAAGTTTCATTCCGCATGTTTCGCCCGTGCGATACTCGTAATGGCACCGGTGGGCGAAATTCGTCCAGCTCCAGTCACCGCAGGCAAATCGCTTTTGGTTGTAGAAGCACATGCCTATCAGATGGGTCAATTATGGCCCCCTTTGGGTCCGGATCAAACACACTTACTGTCGGAGAAGTATTGTCGTTTCACCTGCTGCGTTGGATTCTATTGGCTCACTCGTTCGGCACTACCGCGCTTGAGGGGCTTGATAGGTTCAACGTGAACAGGACCTGTCAGGCTTCGATAGAAGTTCTATGGGGTTGAAACACCTCTGACTGGGAACGAAGCTTTTCTTTTGATAAAATTGATCAAGGAAGCTGTGTCTGAAACGATTATCGATTCAGAATCATCTAGCCTCAGGGACTGACTGGCCTATTTATGTTTGGTGGGAGGCTCCCATGTCACGGTTCAGGCATCTCTTGTTACTCCTAACGTCCACTGTCGATCAAACCCCCTCAACCTGTGATGGCTTATCGTATACGGCACTCTGTCATCACATTCACACCACTTCCTGGAACTGGGTCCCTGCGGTTGGCTGTGATGGCCTTGCCTAGCGGTGGAGACACGAGATGGGCACTACGGTTTCTTGCCAGGTCCATCGTAATCACCGGATGCTTCACGAATGCATGCACCCTGCTGTTGTGGCGGAACCACTTTTTCTAGCTTGGGTTGAACATTCGAAAATCCCTCACCCCGGCCTGATCATTCTGGCCCTGTTACATGGATTATCATTGCAGCCTGGGTCACTCAATCGCCATCTCCCCGCTTCGCGTATGCATCCAGAGTCCGTATCAAGCCGGCTAACGACAATTCGATGGCCGTGTCTTGCCCACCCCCCCCCCCCCCCTAAGCTGAATCAAAGCTCCTGCATGAATCACTCCTACTTTGTGCCAGCTGTCATGCCGTCTTACATTGGAACCTTTGCTAGCGTTCCAGCTGAACGAGAAAAAGGAAAAAGGACAGGAAAGGGAGCGAGCCCCTGTGCGGAGCCGGTGTGCTCAATGCCTGTGCTCAGATATCCTGGTTTGATATCTCACCCTCCATCATTACTTGGCCGGTCACTTACAGCCAATTAGTCTTGATATGGTTGCCATATAGCGTCATAAAGTTTGATACGGACTTTTGCTCCAAGGCAATTCCGCCTCCGGGAAGATATTCCCCATGGAACGTATCTTTTTATCATTTGCTCCTTGGGTTGCAACTAGTACTCCCAACGAAACGCGGTTCTGTGTCTAGTTGCAACCCTACCTCGCCTCCACCTTTCTTTTCCATTTCGAAAAAGTCAAAAATGTTTTTCTTTTTCTCCCACCCCCCCTGATCCATCGGACCCATCGTCGCAGGGATATCTATCCGGTTGCCAATGGTTGCCTCACGGGCTCCGCGTGTTCCCGTTTGGCCATGGGAGCTAGGTGATTCTGTGTCTAGTGGCGAAAGACGCGTCACTCGAAGGTCTCGATTGGTATCCATTGCCCCTTGGAAATGGGCCTCTGAGATGAGCCCTACTTCCAGTGGCATGATGGACCTGGAGTCCCATAGGGTGCCGTGCTTTCAGCTGATCTCTCACATCTGCAGACGAATAATCCCGCATCAACCCCCGCTCAGGTGCAGGGTTTGTCTTCATTAACATGCTTTTTTCGACGGAGATGATAGGGTATCCGTCCTGTGCCCCGGCCGTGGCAGATACAAATCGTGGTACCGGACACCTCCTGTTGAACCCATGCATCTGCACTAGAGCTCGGAGACTCTGACGTGGCGCCTCTCGTCTGGTCCAGATGCGAGGAATTCTGACTCCTCGGGCTGAAGCTGGACTTCTTCCTGCGGAGAATGCTCACTTCGCCGTCTCGAGTGATGATGAGCGCGAGACCCTTGGGGGGAAATTAATCTTCTGGGAATTGGCGAATGAGGGCACGACGGTTCCGGGACTCCGTCTGTCCGACACTCCTAGGCTGGCACTCCGTGACTGTGCCTTCTCCTTTCCATGACACGAAGCTACTGGACTATACGACTCGGGTGTCTAAGCCATTGGGAGTGGGGATCCACGGCGAGGTACCTCTTGCCAACTCAGCTGCCCGGCTGACGGCCGCAAAACGATGCAATGGCGTTCACACCCATCTGTGCACCCTGACGGGGGTGCAGCCTTGTCCATCGCCGGTTAGGATTTGCCACCATCCAATCTATGGGCGAGCTGTCTTACTTGGAGACTCCTAAGCCTGTCTTGGGTGTGGCGATTATACTTTGAGCAAACTAGGATCAGGCCGAACAATATTGATCGCTGATGCTACCCAACGGTGGAAAGAAGTGCAATTGACCTGTCTCAATGGCATTTTTTGCCCTTCCCCCAGCACATTGTGGTGCTAGGTTCTCCGTCGACGTTGAAATTGAGGTACATGACCCACATAGGTACACGGTCCACCATGCTGGGCTCTTCCGGTCCCGTGACCGCGCAGTCACCAGCGCCCTCTGCGCAGTTACGCACCCTGTGTTTCCCAACGACAAATGGTAAGAGCCCGTCCGACCTTGGGAAAATTAAAGTAGGAGGGGCCCTCGACTGCAACCCGGGCTACCCATTCGGATTGGCTGGTGGGTCGATTGAAGCTAAATGGCTATCGGCAAACCACAGCCAATGGAGTCATTAGATCGACGACTATGTATCTGCAGCTAGGGCAGACCCCTGTCCGCTGGATTTGTGGGTTGATGAGCTCATGTGCAAGGGCTTACAGTCCCGCGACGGGAGGATCAGGCGGGTCCTCGCAGCTGCAAGTTGACAGCTGCCCACATTCCTGCTGCGGTCTTCATGCTCGGGGCTCCATTGCCGTGCATGTCTGTTGACGCACCCTGGCGCAAGCCACACCATTCGAGAAATCGACACAACGCATTCTGTCATTGCCTGATGCAACGCGATTCTCTGGGCCTTGGACCAGTCCGGGTGCGTGATCCGGCTCCATAAGCACCCCAGCATGAGACATACAGCCTAATCTCTTCCCCCCCCCCCGCCTTGGCCCGCCACTCGTGCTGTTGTTTTTTTATTTTTATTGTTTATTTTTTGTCCTTCTGGATTTGACAACTCGCATAAGTTGGTCAGTCACTTCCCCTGGGAGGCATGACACGAGGGACGCCATCAAAAACGATCTGTAGCCTGGGTCGTGCTAGCACGAGTCATCACATTGCGGCACAGGACGCTTGTGCCTCATTCTTGAATCTGGACGGATAGTCTATTGACGTGGCCGATCTAGTTCGTCCGCGTCCGGTTGAACCTGGCTACTGAATACCAGTCGTGTTCGGGTTAGGCCCGCGGGGGATCGGATACTCCAACGTGGAGTGCATCTCGTCTGCTAGTAGTTATGACTGGGTCTCGATAGGTAAGTCAACACATGAGGCTCTACCGCCTCCCTACCGTAGGTCGATACTGCCTGTAGAGCAAGGGAGAGTCGTAGATATCATGTTGATGCCTGAATGGTGAGGCGACAAGAAACCCGGTTTGTCCGTTTTTAGAATGACGTCAATATGACTGCATATCCAGACAGTCTTGTTCTCAGTGACCAGTCCACCTTTCTACGATTCTTGATTTTGTATTTAGATTTGAGATTGTTCTGGACACAGCTCTGGTGACAATCCTTCGAATACTTAACTTTTACCTATCTCTGCTTCTGTTTTGTCCTAGAACAACATATACCACTCCTACCTACTCTACAATATATCCTCTACTACTCCATACAACGAAAAACCACAATCACAACCACAACCACAATGCCAACCAACACCCTCCTCCGAACAACCCGGCTCACCCGCCTAGCCCTCCCCCAAACCCGCCTCCCCTCCAACCGCCTAACCCAACCCCTCCTCAACACAAGCCGAACATACGCCACAAAAGACCAAACCAGCGACAAATACCAAGACCGCACCAAGCTCGACCCGCAGCGCTCAGAGGTCACCAAGTCCGGGACCGACGCCGAAGTCGCCAGCCACCCCGCAGCCTTCGACCCCAGCAAGACGTCGCCCGAGAGCGAGATGAAGGCCACCGAGGAGGAGAGCAAGCAGGCGGGCAAGACGAGCAATCCGCTGAATATGAGCCCGGCGAATAGTGAGACAAGCGATTGGCAGAATCAGGCGGAGCAGGGGGCGACGAGGAATGAGGATAGGGAGGGGAGTAGTCAGAGGGGGGCGACGAGGAAGAATAGGGAGGTTAATAATTCGGGGGAGTGGAGGAGGAAGTATTAACTTATATATATATATATTTTCTTTTCTTTTGTACTTTGGTTTTGGTCGTGTATGAATACTGCTAGGACTGCTATTAGGGTTATCAAATAAAGCATCAATATATGAGTGTACGACTAGAAATATACAGTATCAAGCACTAATCACAGTAAGATCATGAACAGAAGTAACCGCGCAAAGTAAGCATCATAAAAGACCATAAAGAAGAAACTACTTCCCCTCCCGAATAATATCACTCCCCATCAACAACCAAACCTTCTCACTCCCCGTAGGAACATCCCCCTCCAGCGCCTTCACCCCCGCATTAACCGCCGCCTTGCCAATAACATCCGCATCCTGCGCCCACCCATTCTTCAAGCCCTGATGAACCTTCCCGGCCCAACCCGCCACAAACCTCGCCGCAGCCTCCAAAGGCCGGCTCTCGTCCCTCGTCCCAGCAATCAGCCCGGGCCTCAAAATAACCGTCCGCTCGAACCCCAGCGCCTTGACATCCTCCTCAATCTCGCCCTTCATCCGCGCATACGCCATACTCGCATCCTTGCTCGCCCCCGTCGACGAGATCAGCACCATAACCCGTGTGCCGGCGTCGCGCGCGGCCCGCGCCATCTCAACGTTCAGCCCATGCTCCACGGCGTACTGGCTTTCGAACCCGCCTGCTGCGGCGCGCGTTGTGCCGAATGCAGAGATGAAGATCTCGGGCGTGGGTGTGAGCGAGGTTAGCTCGGAGGCCCATTTTGAGGTGTCGGGTTCGACGAAGGTTGTTAGCTTCGTTTGCGCTTGGCTGGCTGCTGCGGGTGTGCGGCGCGAGATGGTGTCCACGCGGTTGATGGAGGGGTGGCTGAGGAGGGTGGTGAGGATGTGGCTTCCCTTTTTGGGGTGGAAGGAGCGTGGTTGTTAGTGGGGTTTATTTCTGAGTTTTGCAGGTGTCGTGGATGATGAGGTAGGTGGGTGTTTATTGTTGGGTGGGACAGAGGGAGAGGTTGATGGGTCGTCTACTAACCACCATGCCGGTGCCGCCGATGAGGGCTACGTTTGCCATTGTTGGATAGAGTGGGTGAGAATGGGAGATTCAAAGCTCTTTGGTGGGATGGTGTGGTATATGTTGCGATAAAGATGATGTCTTTGGCAGACTTATCAATTGTTTCATCGCTCAGGAGATGGAATGACGTCGATCGCCACTAGCACTGATTGGGAATAGTGTGTTTTATATCTGTATCATGACTCAGCCTTGACTAATGATCGCTTTTGTGCTTTTCTTTCCATGTGAATGCAAGTCTATCAAAGTATATGCGTCCTTTCTATACATAATAGTGTATATACTTGCCGTTACTCATGCCAAGCACCCGTCTTTCAGTCGGCTAACCGACCCTAAACCGAACCTGTAAAGAAAATCATCGTAAACATCATGTAAACCTTGGGAGGATCACGCCCGCCCAACAGCCCCCAGCTTCGTTTTCCCATACGCCCCGCCCTTATGCTTCCGCAGCTCCAACGCCCGCCGGTAAGGGGGCGCCATGGGCGGTTGGACCGGATCCAAACTCACATGGTCCGGCGGCAGCGTGTACGACGCATCCGAGTCCCACGAAGACAGATCCCCGCAGGCGATGAACCGCGGGATCCAGCGGTTCTCGACCGCGAACTTCTCGGGAACGAGCTTCTGAGCGAGCGGCTCGGCAGTCGACGAGGCGTGTGAGTCGGCGTGGAGCATGCGGACCTCCGTTTTCCCGTCGGCGCCCGTCGACGAAACGGCCAGTGCGGCCGGAGGCGCCGCATCCATCGCATCCTCGTCCGTCATCTCCACCGCGAGGTTCCCGTCCGCGGACAGTGAGCTCGGCATGGCGGCTCCCCCGAACAGCGGGCTCTTCAGCGCTTCCATGCCCCGCAGGCCGTCGTGGATCGCCGGCGGGATGAACCCCTCGCACACGACGAAGGCCTCCAGACTGCTGGCGCGGCTGCTGCGCGGCTTGGCGACGCTGACTTTCTCGAATACCGTGCGCAGCTGCGCGTAGAGGAGGTCCACGTCGCGGCCGCGGAAGATCTTGGCGACAAACTTGCCGCCGGGGCGGAGGACACCCAACGTGAGGTTTAGTGCCGCGTACAGGAGTTGCGACTGGATGTAGATGTCGAGATCGTGGAGACCCGTGACGTCGGGGGCGCCGTCCGAGATGACGAGGTCGACGGGGTTGGGTTGGCGCTGGGTCGAGGAAAGAGAAGCCGAGTCGTAGGCCTCCGGGTCTAGCGCGTGGAGGAGAAGCGGGATGGTGGAGGGGTGGGTGATGTCCGCCTTAAGCGTCGTGATGCCTTCGAGTGGCGCCATGGGCTGCAGGTCGATGGAGACGATCTTGACGTTCTTGCGCGGCTTCAGCTCGGGCGTGTCTTCTCCATTGGTCTGGTTTTCTGTCGCTCCGGCGGCGGCCTCTGCTAGCGCTTGTTGCTCTCTGCGCTGTTTCTCTACCCACGCTCTCCGGCCGAAACTCTCTCCCTTGATCAGGACTCGACTGAGGACTTGGCTCCAGCTGCCGGGAGCGGCGCACAGGTCGACCACCCGTGTTACCTGGTCTGGGTCCTCATGCTCGAAGAGGTCGAACTGTTCGTCGATCTGGATCAATTTGAACGCGGAGCGGGCCCGCCAATTCTGCTCCTTGGCGAGCCGATAATAGGCGTCGCGCTTATCTTTAGATGACTTTCCCATCGTCGCAAGCTGTGACTGGACCGGTAGGGTTTGAAATTGGAGAAATTCTAGATTGAGTGAACGATGGCGGGCGATAAGATTAGAGGCGGGCGGTCGGGTAGGACTGCAAAATTGTCGGCAATATAACGCGCTAGCCTATTTCGGACTAGTCGATATATATACTTCGTAACTTGAATAGCTTCAAATCTTAGTATAGTCGACAACTATCTCACTTTTGCGCATCCACGGGTTGGACTCGCTTGTACCGCTAAAACCTTTTCTTTTTCTAAATTATGCTATGCTAGTATACCAGCAAACGCATCCGGTTTTCCTCATTTGCTTTTCCGAAAACAACATTATAGAACGCTTGGTCCAATTCATAACTGACTAGCTTATGCTGCCTCCTCCAAGGTACAGGTTTGACATTTTCATATTATTTGAGCATTGATATACAATCCATGATCAACTGCCAACACGTAGGCAAAAGACGGCGGCATATCATGCCGGATCCGACATGGGCAACTCCATGATTCGGCAGGAGTTAAAGCAATAGCCAAGATAAAGTTCCAATCTCACAATGTATCTGCTAGGTGGCACATATCAGACGCAATTATGCAAACATGGCTCTAAACTTCACGTTAAACTCGCTCTGCAGCATCCGAAACGCCACCAGGACCTCCCTCAACCCTCCCTCTTGGGGTCTGAAATCCTCTCCGGTATTATCCTCTTCTATCGAGCTGATGGGATCTTTGGAATATTCTTCTTTTTCCGTTGAACTGTCATCGACCTCGTCTTCCCAGCTATCGGCCACTTTCGCTTTGTTCTTCTTAGGTTTGACCGACGAGACAGAGAAGGAAGCTGATGTCTTGTCACAACCAGAGACTCGTGATCGATCACCTTGCTTCGGCATCTCGGGATTAGGCCCATCTTTCATGAGTTCATCTTCCAGCTCATTTTCATATGCTTCACCGCTGCCGGTGGCACTTTGAAAGTCGTCGGTGTCGGGCGACTGTTTGAAGAAATTTTCCAAGGCCGTAGCGATCGTGGCGAGAACAAGCGAGAAATCATTCAACACAAACCAAATATCGCCTTTGCGAATCATGTTGGCCGTCTCCAAGGCATGAACATCACCGTGGCGGAAGAAATCGTACAGGTAGGCGTTCAACGGACCCATTCCATCGTCGGTTATCCCTACGTGAGGAACGACATTTTGCTCGAGCCATACTCCACTGCGTACTTTCTTGCAAAGATCTGGAATGCTGTTCCAATAATCGCGATGTCCCGAGAGAGCAACGAATGCGGAGTTGACTTTTGTAGGGGGTAGCAATGCAAGAGAAGGACTCAATTCTTCGGCAGACTTGTCTCCTCCAACCTTGACATGCGACAGCGGTAGAATGCAATCTGGCTCGGTGATATGTTGGTCGACAAATGTAGTAACGTATGCCGAATAGATGTCCAGTGTCTTTTTATTGTGGGCCTGTAAGATCTCTGCCGCGTCCGTAGGCAATGCAGGGAGAAACACTATCGAAGGCGAGTCCACCATCACCGCCCGTTGGGCTTCGAGAATGGATGGTCGAATATGGCGCCGTCCGAACAAATTCGCCATGACCAGCATCAAAATGCGAAGAACTCTTTCTGGATTTTTGTGGACATCTTTGCAGAGACGGTGGAAATATCCTCCACTAAGCAAAGCATGGAATGCAAAACTCGAATTTTCCGTATAATAGAGGTGGCATATAGTTCCAGCAAAATTCAAGGGAGCCCCCGCCTCATCTAAGAGATGGTTACGACGAAGGTATTCAATCGAAAAGCGTAAGTGGTGCAACACGGTATGCTTCGATTCAGGCCCCCCGAGATAGATGCGGGGGCACGAAAGAATTGAATTGATTGCCTTGACAGCGAACGGGGCTTGCTTCGATTGATGAAGGAGAATGAACAGCCGCAAGACTAAGCTGGTCGTGATCGGAAAATGACCATTGAGATCCGGCAGTTTCGAGCTCAGCAGACGACATACTTTGGCGTGGGAAACGTTTTGAAAGACGACATTTCCAAGGACATCAAAGCCTCGGCGCCCAGCTCGGCCGGCCGCCTGGCGAAACCCGAGAGCTGTCAAGAACACGGAATCGCCGGCGAAAACAACAGTTTTGCAGGGCATGTTAATTCCCAAGGCCAGCGTCCCTGTTGCGATCACAACTCGCAGGTAACCTTTCCTGAAAAGCATCTCGCAGACTTGTCGATACTTACGGTTCATACCGGCGTGGTGGACGCCTACCCCCCGTCTTAGGGCATCAATAAGCCACGACGGGACGAGGCGGCCTTTCAATTCTTCTGCGAGAACCTCAAACTCAGAATATAAAAGCTTTCTCTCGTCAGCTAGGGAAAAGCGAGCCAGTGGCGCCTCGGGGTCGAAAGATGCAAATGGGCTTGACTCGGTGGAAGCTTCCTCTCTTGCCTGCTCGTCTTTTGACATGTTTTCGTCATTATCTGAACTTCTTTTTTTGGTCTTCGTCGGTGATTTGGCCTTGGCTAGTTTCTGCTGGCTTTCCTTCCACGCCTCCCATTTGGTGACTTTTTCTGCCCACGCCGTGCTGGTGGACTTCCAGTTATCTTCGGCCTGCTGCAATTCACCGATTATTGTTTCACAGATTTGCTCGCATTTCCTTCGATCATAGTTGAATATCAATGCCGGAAGCGCGCCTTGGTCGTGGAGTGCACAGATCAAAGGAAGCGTAGTGCTCAGGATGCTACCTTGCTTCACTTCGCGGGAAAGCCCAGGTTTTTGGGTATTATCATTGGAAGCCCTTGCTAGTGGCACTTGGGACGACAATTCATTCAAGACTGCATCGAATGGTGATCCGCTTTTGGCCATCCATTGCTTCAACACAGCCTTCAGCTTAGTCTCCCACTTGATGATATCAGCTTTCGAGACGACATTTGGCAAAGACTCCGCGGGGTCTAGAGACAGATCGAGCGGGAATTCGACAGTTTGATACTTGTTCATGGCCTTCCAGAGCGATAAACCATCCCGTGGCTCCAAAGTCAAGTCATCTGGGATACCCCTAGACTTGTCAATCAGGCTTGCGACAGGGTGTAGAAAAGCCATATGTGTGCTGGCATCTAGCCCGAGCGCGTTCAATCCATTCGATTTAGAAAAGCCATTGAAAGAAAAACTGTGCGGTGGGTGAAATTCGAACTTTCTCAAATCCGACCAACGCGCCTTGTGCTCGACTAGTTCTAGCTCATGGCCGTTAGATTCCTGTGTAAGACTAAGCCAGTTGTTGAATTCTTTGGGGTTTCCCACCGTCGCTGAAAGTGCGATGATAGGACACGGGGCGAGAAGAAGTAGCTGTTCCCAAACAACTCCATCATCTGCTTGCCCTATGCAATGGACCTCGTCAAAGATAATCCGTTTGATCCGGGAAGACCATGAGTCTGCATGAGCTGGTGCCAGCAGCATGATCTGGAGAATATGGGGTACTGTGATCAGCACCTGACATCCCACGGGATTATTGATACGGTAGTCACGCGTATGGATTGCCCACACAGACTTCCCGGGAGTTTTATAGCTCTTGGAGAATCTGGCCATTATCTCTGCAGCAATCTGATTCACGAGGGCTTTGGTCGGGGCAACGTAGACCAGGATCCCGTCTTCGCTGTCTTCAAGGACTTGTTTCATTGCGTAAAACGAGATAAATGTCTTGCCGGCGCTGGTAGGAGCCACCACAAAGAGGCTCTTCCGGGCATCAATCAAATCCAGAATCTTGCGCTGCCACTCATCCGGTTCAAAGTCGGGAACACGTGGGTCTACTCGTGAGCCCATGCTGCGGTCGAAATAAGGCCCTGCATGCATGAGCTGGAACTCAACCGGCGATAGCTCAATAGCAAGGTTGCCACCCATGTCAGACAGTGAAGGAAACCGGAAAGAAAGTTTTTCGTTGCCTTGAGATGCGATATCAATGACGGGAAGCTTCAAGGATTCGATGGTCTTTCTGATGGATTTGGCGATCTCCTCGGTGACTCCTTTCTTCAGCTTTGCAATTCGCAAAATTGCGTTCCATATCAAGGCGACTATGTGAGTGGAGTCATTTCTCCTATGGGAACTACAACGCCGCGCCCATATTTCGAGCAATGTGGCCACGGTGTATGTCAACACCTCTGCTTCCAGAACCTGTCTTTTTGAGCTGTCTAGCCCATTCAGGAACTTCCTAGCTTCCAGGTAACGCTCCATGAGACTTTCCTTCTGTTGGAATTCCGAGCTCTTATATTTCCACTGCGCCATGTGCTTGTGGACCGATTTGCGAGCTGCCTCCGCCTTCTGAGCGGCGGCTATTTGCTCTCTAGTAGAAGGCCCTGGTTTAGAACGACCGTGCCGTTTATGATTTTGTTCGTGTGTGCGCTCATTCCCCGCTGCCTTAGCAGTAGATGTCGGTTTCGAATGGTTTAGTTTATGCTGTTGTTTGCTGGGTACACCTGCAATTACCTGAGGTTCAAGGTGCCCCCCGGTGAGGCTCTTGGCATAATCTCTCATCTCGATCATGAAGCGTTGGTTCCGGCGAATAGCTCTCGTACGTTGCCAATCCGTCATATCCTTCATCCCATTTGTGTTCAGCAGTCTTTTGTGGTTGTGCCAGTGGCTGATTTCTCGGAAGACTTGAGACACCGCACCGGGGTCTTTTTCCTCATTGTGATTGTCGGCTGCGAGGGAAATATCCTTCAGATGGGGGTCCAACACCGGATTGCTGAAAGGGAGAACAGAAACGAGTACAGGTTGGTGACCGGTGTTGGGTACCACAGATTGTCGGGTTTCATTGGCCTGTCGAGGCTTTCCGTCTTGGATCAAATTAATTCCGCACTGGTCTCCCAGAAGATTCATGATCATGTCAAACTTTGCAGATGCAGACGGACTCAAAATGTCCTCAACATTCATGTGCTCCAGCGTCGACAGGACCTCAAAGAATAGTCGTCCGTCAATCATGTCTGCGGTATCACAACATGGTGTCTTTTTCTTAAGCAAGTCTTGCCACATCGGCGATGAGATGATTCCCAGAGCTATTTGGGTATAGTGTTTCAAAAAATTTTGGCCTATCTGTGTGATGGTAGGATCGCATGACCGGTCACACAACCTACAGTCCTGTAGGATAAGCACATGCACCAACATAGCCCGTGCTGCGAGGATGTAATCTTGGGGGCGTCTGGTTTCTAGTATTGCAGCCAGCGACAAAACCATCATCCATTCACGCTGCGTCAGGCTGATAGACAATTTGCTGTAAATGATTTCGGATAATTCCGCCAACTTGGTGAGGTCCAAGCGCTGGTTGAAGCCAGTCGTGACTGATCGACATCTCCTACTGTCAAGCGTGGTGACCGTGTCAGAAGCGGAAGACTCCTCCAATTCGGACCCAGATGACGAATTGTCAGATGTAGAATTGGAGGAAATGGTTGTCAATTGAAAAAGCTGTCGTGCATGCGTCGCAGAGCCCTCGACAACCACGGTAATGACCTATAGTGGTAAGCTATGAGCTATACATACAAGAAAGAATACTGACCTTTGTGTCATGACACTCTAAGTTGTTCAGCAAGGCGACATTATATCCATGACAGATAGACCAATGAATCATAGATCGCAGAAGCAAAGCTGTTGGCCAAACGGTGGAATACCTGGTTGATGGATAGGAGAGCGAAACGCCATCTAAATCTTCATCCAGTGTCAGATGAAGGCTCTTGGCTGCTTTTGTACTTGCACCATCATGGCACATTATGAAGTACGCCCCTACCGAGGCGAGGTAATCCTCAAATTGCTGGCAGTTGTAGGTTTTGAACCGCTTGATGCAAATCGACGGAGCTGTAGAAGGTAAGGTCTGCTCCAGGTGTTGGAGTATAGCTTCGCGTGCAAGCAAGTATTTCGGCCACTGTGTCTCATCGACATCCCGGGGGATACACGCCTGGGAATGTGTAGAGAGAAAGACGATGTGGAAGTTGCACTTCCTCTGGTACAGCTGGGAGAGAAACCGTTCGACAAGGTAGGTGGCATGGAGCAGCTGGAACCCGGGTGAAAAATCCAGCTGTTTCTCAGAAAAACAATGCAATAATATTGAATCGCCTTCGATCAGAAACAGCTCGTTTCCCGCGTAGTCCCCGACCAGGTCCAGGGTCCGCGATGGGAGTTCGTTGTACCTTATTCGTGCATGTAATCAGCATCAGGATACTAAGCCAGCTTTATGGACCCAGGACTCACCACCCCACGAGATTCTGGGAGTCAGTCATGATTTTGATTACTAGACTTTGATGAGACAGTATCCAGAGGTCTGCAAGGCAGGTGCACAGACCGATGCTGAGGTATCAGGAAAAGTACTCTGGTACAATGAAGCAGTTACAAAGACAATGTAAGCCAAACACCCGTCAACTGAGACTAGATTTGATGGATTGAATGCAGTGGAGGTGGAAGATGAGGTTAGACAATTTGGGGAGGGAAAGCGAAAGATAAAATAGGCGTTTACACTTGTAGCCTCAGGCCGTGAAACACGCTGTGCGTACAAGACAAACAGTCACTCAACCTGAGCGGCACAGCTACCTGTGCCATCACTGCGAAATAACGCCAGTCTTGGGCAGCAACCAGGTTATACCATGCCCTCTTAGATTCAGCCTTGGGTATCAACTGATTCTTGGTATCAGATACCCGGATATACTTCCTATTTCCCCTCGCAATAACGAGACGCGGGATATTTGATGGGATCGCCATGTCATATATACGTAGGTCATGAAGTATAAGCTCATGTCCGCATGTTACTCAGACACCCCATCATTTCTCGTGTTCCACTGTCGTGACCATATAAACTTCTAGCCACTGACATAGAACCACATCGAGGAAGAGTATTTAATTTATTTGCTATTACCAGGGAGCTGGCGCTGTGGTGGCCTAGCTCCCACGAATCATAAGTGAACTGCGGAGCTTCACGCCAGATTTTAGCGAATGAGACATGAGATTGATAGCCACACACCCCAGACGCCACAGCAGAGATACCTAATGAGCTGCGGAGTGATGGAGGGCCAGTGCAAGGCTAACTCGTGTGCAACGAACTTGACATACATCAGAAGTGAAGTGATATGGGGTTCAGGTCGCGCTAGACCCGTTGTGGACAGTGTCACCTGACATCAGGGCTCCCGTCTCCTCTGACGGAATAGGCAGGCGGTCGAAAGAGCGGTAATTGACGACAGAGTTTCTGCAGGGCGGAGAACTTTTTTCTTTTTTTTCTGCCGCTGTCTGTTTCAACCGCGCGCATTGCATTTGGGAAATTCCTCGACCTCAACACCTCTCGCGCCCTAATACCATTCAGTCATGGGTCAGAAACGACGTAGAGACCCCAAGGGGTCGGCGCTTCAGTCGAAAAAGAAAACGAAGGGCTCTTCTACGCATGTCTCGAATGGAAATGAGAGCGGGGATGAGATCGTGGGAATGAACGATCTCAACTGGTCGTCCGTGGATCTCCCTGATCGCATGGAGGATACGGAAGGCTTCTTTGGTTTGGAGGAAATCGAAGGGGTCGATATCGTGCGACCGGATGGTATCGGAGAGATCAAGTTCAAGGTATGGGATCCAATACCGGCGGTGAGTGCACGGTGCTAACGAAAAGCCAGGCCAAACCAGGGAAACCTAAGAACTCCATCTTGAAACAAAAATCAGCCGAGGAGAGTGGCTCCGACGACGAATGGAGCGGCTTTGGTGATGATGATGATGATGCTGTCGACGGGGACGCGACGGAGGATGTGCCAGTGACCGAAGATGACAAGGGCCAGGACGACACCAAGCGGAAACCGAAAGCAAAGGACGCCAAGCCTGAGGAAAGCCAGGAAACCGGAAAGAAAGAGAAGAAAGAGAAGAAGAATCCAAAGAGAGAAGCGAAAGCGAAACTTGCGAATAATGCCGATAAAAGCATCAAACCGGGGCTATCCTTCGCAGCGCTACAAGACGAGGAAGAAGACGACGGTGTGGACGTCTCCGAGTGGGAGTCGCTCGGTCTCGCCCCGGAGATCCTCACCAGTCTCTCAAAGATGAAGTTCAGCACCCCAACCACTGTTCAAAAGTCCTGCATTCCACAGATCTTGAAGGGCCACGACGTCGTGGGAAAAGCCTCGACGGGTTCCGGAAAAACCCTGGCCTTTGGCATTCCGCTCTTACAGCACTACCTAGAGCGGAGACGGGATCGAGAGGGAAAGAAGTCGGACAAGACGGAACGGCCACCTCTGGCTCTGATTCTTTCCCCAACGAGAGAATTGGCCCACCAGCTGGCAAAGCACATTGGAGAGCTGAACAACAATGCCCCGGGAGCCAATGCTCGAATCGCGCTCCTGACCGGTGGTCTGTCCGTGCAGAAACAGCAACGTCTGCTGGTTGGAGCTGATATCGTCATCGGAACTCCCGGTCGACTGTGGGAGGTCCTCCGTACGGGAACCGGGTTGATCCGTAAGATGCAGCAGATCAAATATGTCGTGGTTGATGAGGCGGATCGGCTGCTGAGCCAGGGCCACTTCAAGGAAGCTACGGAGATTCTCGATGCGCTCGACCGTGTGGAGGTGGACGAGACCCCGGAAGGTGAGGAGGCGGCGTCCGAGGAAGAAAACCCTCGCGACGAGCGGCAGACATTGGTGTTCTCGGCGACATTCCACCGCGACTTGCAGCAGAAGCTAGCCGGCAAGGGCCAGTGGTCGGGAGGCGATGTCATGAGCACCCAGGAGTCCATGGAGTATCTATTGAAGAAGCTCAACTTCCGCGAAGAGAAGCCCAAGTTCATCGACGCGAACCCTGCTTCGCAGATGGCCGAGGGTCTCAAGGAAGGCATCGTCGAGTGCCCTGCAATGGAAAAGGTAAGGAAACATACAGCCATCACCATCCACCATGAACTCATTACTGACCATTCTACCAGGACCTCTACCTCTACACCCTAATGCTCTACCATCCCAAACACCGCACCCTAGTGTTCACCAACTCCATCTCCGCCGTGCGCCGACTCACCCAACTCCTGCAAGCGCTCAAGCTTCCCGCCCTCGCGCTGCACTCCTCCATGGCTCAAAAGGCCCGTCTCCGCTCCGTGGAGAAGTTCTCCTCGCCGACAGCCGACCCAGGTTCCATCCTCGTCGCCACGGACGTCGCCGCCCGCGGTCTCGATATCAAAGGAATCGAATTCGTCGTCCACTACCACGCGCCCCGCGCCGCTGACGCCTACGTCCATCGGTCCGGTCGTACCGCGCGTGCAGGCGCATCCGGAAAGAGCGTCATCATCTGCTCGCCGGAGGAGATGACGAGCGTTATCCGTCTGGCAGCCAAGGTGCATGCCCGCAGGGGCGACGCCAAGAGCATGCCCCTCGAGTCGCTGGAGCTAGACCGCCGAGTAGTGGGCCGCGTCAAGCAGCGGGTGGTCCTAGCGTCGAAGTTGACGGAGTCGAATATCGCCAAGGAAAAGATTACGGCAGAGGACAACTGGCTCCGCAAGGCGGCGGAGGATCTCGGAGTCGACTACGACAGTGACGACTTGGAGGACGCCCAGAGCCGGCCCCGTGGACGGGGAGGTGGTCGTGAGCAGCGGCAACGCGAGGCCGGCAGCGTCAGCAAGGCTGAGCTGGCCGGCATTCGCGCCGAGCTGAACCACCTGCTGTCGCAGCGTGTCAACGTCGGCGTCAGCGAGAAGTATCTGACTTCTGGGCGTGTGGATATCGAAGCCCTGCTGCGGGGCGAGGGCAATCAGAGCTTTTTGGGACAAGTGGATCCGTTGGGATTTTAGTGACACATATTCCAGCATATGCAAGAGATACCATTAAAATTAGTCGATGGGGTTTACATTCATATTATATTAACTGAACAAAATCTAAGATACCTTATCCCAGTCCCACCAATCCAGCTGTTCTAAAGTTATAATCAAAAATAAGACACGCCAAGGGAACGTCAAAGTACATAGGGCCGCCACCCGAAACCTGGTACCGAGGCAAGGATGACAGTGCCACGGGACTCGGGAAAGTCGGAAATCGGGAACCCGAGTCGCCCCACTCGGGATGCCGATCCACTGCCTGGTGTGGTCGAATTTTCCTAGATCTAGACAATTTATCCAATCTAGTTCACTCAGGAGGAGTCTGGTCAGCTCCACTGTGGCTTATCTCTAATTTTTTTTTCTTTTCCTTTCGTTTCTGTTTCCGGTTTTTTTTTATGTCTTTAGATTAAGCTCGTTTGTGCTTTGGCGGGACTCAAAAGGTTGCTTTCTTGCAGTGTGGTTGATTCCTTGTACATATCTCCGGCTGATATACAACAAGGTAGGATAGACATATCTACGTCCTACTATAGACCATACAACTCACAACACCACAGACCTCTCAACACCACACTATAATATCTCAAGAAAGGGAAAACAGAAAGAAACGACAAGCACAATGTCTCTACCCGGAACCCTCACGCGCACCCTGCGCTCCCGACCAACCCTCCCATCCACCACCACACACCTCTCTCCAATCCAAGGACTCCTCCAAAAACGAACAGTCAAGATCTCCGCCTCAGCAGTCGCCCAGGATCCCACGCCCTCCGCCTCGCACGCTTCCACCCCCTCATTCCAATCTCCCCGCCACCCCCTCAATCAACACCACCACCACCACCCAAACCACCGAAGAATCCCACATCGAATCCCTCATCTCAACCCACCCCATCACCCAATCCCTCCGCCAAAACCCCCTCTTCACCGAATCCCGCCCCCACCGCACCATCCCGCTCCCGCTCCGCCAGAACCACCTCGTCGCAGGGACACTCTCGGGCCCCACGCGCCTCACAGTGCCCCCCTACGTCTGGGCCACTTCCCCCTCCTCCTCCTCCACCACCACCCAAGAAGGCCAAGGCCACACCCAATCAACAACCCACACCATCTTCCACATCGGCAACAACCTCGGCGGCCACCCGGGCTACGTGCACGGCGGCCTGCTAACAGTCATGTTCGACGAGGCCTTCGCGCGCTGCGTCTCTGCGTCGTTGACGAGCGGGCTTGGCATGACTGCTAATCTGAATGTTGATTTCAGGAAGCCGGGCATTCCGGGCCGGTTGTTTTTGCTGAAGGCGGAGACGGTGAAGGTTGAGGGGCGGAAGGCTTGGGTGCGCGGGGATTTGACGATGTTGAAGAGGGAGGGGGCGGATGCTGGGGCTGGGGAGGAGGATGTTGTTGTTGCTGAGGGGAGGGCGTTGTTTGTGGAGCCGAAGTTTGCGGATGTAGGTTCCTTCTTCCTTCTTCTTCTTCTTCCCGTCTTTTGGTGGTCTTGTGCTAACTGGTTTATAGTCGATTGTTCCGTTGTACCGCAACTGATTGACGCAACTGATTAATGAGGTAGTATCTGGAGGGGCTCAAAAATAGACATAGAATATACACTACACATAGACTAATAAGCATCATGTACTTTCGTTTCTATCTACCAGAAATCAGATCCGCGTACTCCCGCCTAACCTTGAAATAATGAACATCACAAAGATAGTAATGATGAAATCCTGAGTGCACAATATCCACCAGCAAAACAATTCCACGCGTAGATGAAGTAATACTTGAAATCTCTTTTGTTCTAACGTACCCCGCATGCAGCTTAGCTTTAAGAAAGGTGGAACGCCCCTTGGCCTTCCTTGATGGCCACGGTCAACCGCTCGCGGAGCACGTCCAGGCTGCTGTAGTCCGGCAACTTGAGGTAGTTCACGCAAGTCATCACGCTCGGCAGGTAGTCGTCTGGTGTATAAGGCGGTTCGCTGGGCCGGCACACCACCGTGAAGATGGGGGTGAGACTCTTGAATCCTGTAGAGAGATGTATTAGCTTATGTAGAACCCAGGGCGGTTGTCAATTTTACCTCCAATCGGAAGCTTCGGGCTACCAGTAACGAATTGCAGGAATTCCCGTCGTTGCTGCGCGCTCAACTCGCTCATGGTCTGCAGGAGATTGCGCACGCTGCGGCTATCCATATTGAACCCATGGTCCGCTTTGATCGAATCCGTGAGAGCTGCTAGCGTCAGTAAATCATCACTCCAAACCATGGACGCAAACTTACTCTCGATCGTCCAGTCTTCCTCCGCTCGACCAAATAGCATGATCAGCTCGCTAGGCGTAAAGGTTCGAAGCGCCGCATAGGGGAACACTTGCGAGAATCCTTTGCGGAATGCCTCCACTTGGTGTCGTACGCCGCTGCCCAGCGTCATATCGACCACGCGGTCCACGTACGTATCCACGTTGTCAATGGTGACGGAGATATCAGATCCACCCTTGATCAATTCCACCGAGGGATATCCGGGAAGAGTGAAGTCGAGGCTGAGATCCTCGACATTGACCCCGTCCACCTCGACCTTCTGGAGCGCCTGTTCTTTCTGCGTATCCGAGAGACTGTGGTCCTTTTCAATGGCAGTCTTGGCGTTAGCGAACCGCTTCAGCAGGAGAAGCGAATTGGCCAGATCTTGGTCAACGGCTTTGACCGTGCCGAGAGACGGGACCACGGAGTTAGAGCTATTAGCGATGCGGAAGAAGGCGGGATTGAACGAGACATCGATGATCCGGGAGTCAAGCATCGAGCGTGCAACAAACTTGCCAAGGATCCTGAACAGTTGCAGCTGCTTCTTCCCGGCGTCCGACTCAGCTTGCTCTTCACTCATTGGCGATGGGAATAACCCCCGCTTGCCGAATGCGTACTCTTCCGAGTTGCGGCAGTCATTCTCCCGCCAGATTTTGAGTTTCTTCTTCGAGAACTCCTTCGAAACCGTGGAATAGAATTCCAGAGTAGGTCCCAGTCCCGTCCCGACTTCTTCGAAATATTCAACCTCTAGGACGCTGGGCGACGACCCGTACAGCTCCATGACCTTCATGGCAGACTCCAGGATGCGACTACGCGAGATTCGCACCTTCTGGCGCTGGAGACGTCCCAAGAATGGTCGGTCGTCCCGCCGGTGGTCATGTCTGTCCTCGCCCTCCTGGGAGTTGTGCCACCGCATCATCGCCCGCGAGTAGCCGAAGGCGGTCGATTGCAAGAAGAGGTGACGAGTCTCAAACGGAAACAGGAAGGGGAAAAGACGGGCGAGATCCTCGCTCCAGCTGGGAAGACAATTACTTGCTACGATGAGCGGCTCCTCCAATTGCCGGTTGAGCTTGGCCGTGAGTTTCGTATTGATGAACTGGGCCAGTGGCTCGGGCTTGAGTGCGCCCAACTCCTTCGTCTCGGCGACAATATCGTCCAGCGTTGTGTTCATCTCGTGCAGGACACGGAGCAGACGAAGGATAGATGCGGTGGTTGTCTCTTGGCTGAGGGAGTGCGGCATCTCGTTGCGCTCCTCGTCCGCAGCAGATCGCGAGGGATCGGGCGAGATAGAGGACTCCGGAGGTGGGGGACCAGGGACACGCTTGAACTTAACGGTGTGAATGGCAGACCACACATTGCGTGGGTTGGCGTCCCGATGGTCACGGTTATGATGGACAGCGCGGTAAACGGTTGTCTCGCTCGTAACAGGTCGGTCGTCCACGGTAAACTCGATGTGCCAGTCGTTAGGAATCGAAGCCATCGCAGCGGCGTAAGAAGAGAATGGGCGGCCGGCCGTGGCCAGTGAGCCGCTTGCCCTTGGATGCATTCCCGAGCTAGGCCCCGAGGATGGCTTGGAAGCGGGCGTAGACTGCGACGGTGTCGCAATGCGGGTGCCGTCCTCCTTGCGCGCTGTCACTTTCCCAGTCGAGGCCACTTCCATGTTCACCGCGGTGGGGTCATGGGTTGGGTCCTCTGAGATATCGTCGTCAAAGTCATCCACAATGGCGTTTAACTCTTCGTCATCGCCCTCGTCATCCTCATCCTCGTCCTCACTCAACTGCCTTTCATCGGCGCACTCGAGAGGTTCGTCGTCGTCGCCTTCGGTGGCTTGGTGCCGGCCAGATCGCCTAGACTTGGAGCTACGGTCACGACTCTCGTTCGACGACTCCTTGGTACCGGAGTTGGGATCGTCCGGACGGGGAGGTCGGCCTGTACTTCCGGACGGCTGAGGAAGTGAGGACGAGGTCTCACCCCCGGAGAGTTCCATGTTTCCGGTCAACTGATCCCGGAGCCGTGCTGCATTAGCAATCTGGGAAAGGATAGTCTCGCGGTTGCGTGACGGTTTGGGTCGCTCCGAAAGGCTAATTCGCGGGTGAAGGAAATCATCCAGCGCCTTGAAAGTCGCGATGGCGTGGATAGAGACCATGATGTTTCGATAAGGGCGGGGGATGTCAGACTCGTCCTCCGCCACCAACCGAAGTCTCAGCTGCTTTCCTAGCATGTACGCAGCGTTGCTGCGCGTGTTCTCCAGCGAGTTGTGGCTAACCGTAGCCACCTCAAAATGCTCAGTCCGGCTGAGCAAGTCTTGCAACTTTTGGACAAGTACACTAAATGGGGTAGTGGCCGTACTCTGACTCTGGGCCTTTGCTGAGATATTTGTCCCCATAAAAGCCTGCAAAAACGCAGCACGAGCCTCACGCATCGACGGCTCTGGTGAGATGGTCAGCACTGGGCTTGTACCCCAGAAAGAATGTGCAAACTTACCTTGGAAGTCGCCAAAAACGTCCAAAAGGACTTTGATTATTCCAGAGCTGAGCAACTCGGAGCTGGTGATGCTTTCCAACGCATCTCCATCGAAGTATGTGGCCAACTTCTTGAAAAGCGAGAGACCATCTCCGCCGGCACCCTTCAGGTAACAAGCTTCGATGTCGGTCGCGAGACTCTTCAGCTCCTCTAGAATCTCCAAGGCCTTGCTCCGCATGTCCCGGCCCTGACTAGCTTCGTAGAGCTCGACGAACGCGCGAGCATCGCGGACTACGAGGTCATTCATGGCATCATCAATCCGGGTTGACGGCACCGGCCCAGAGAAGGAGGAAGAACTCTCGTCAGACTCGGACATGTCATCATTGTCCTCGTCATGATCCTCCTGCTCATCGTAGTCGTCGTCGTGGACATCATCGTCGGCGCCGCCGTGGGCTTCGGTGTGGGCATCCGGCTCGGCAGCCTCCGGCTTGTCTTGCTGGTGAGAATCCTCCGAAGTGTCCATGGTTCCCGCAGTCGCTGTGTCCCCGGTATCCTTGGCCTGCTTCTCTGCAGACAGGGGCTCTTCTGCCAGCTTGAAGATCTCCGCGACGACACCCTCCCGGTGGAATTGGTGTTGATAAACGTTTTCCAATCGTTGGAAGAGCAGCTCCGAGCACCTAAGCGCCAACGAAACAAGGCACGGATGGTCCTTTTGCGACAGGATTGCGGCCAGAAATGACGCATAAGGCACAGTCCGCAGGGCCTCTTCGATGACACTAGAGTCCAAATGATGCAGGATCTTGAGTTGGGCGATCAGGACCTTCTGGCGGACCTCCAGGTTGACTGTGCTCGAATACGCGTCGGTCAAGGTTGGCAGCAAAATCATGGCAAAGCGCTTGAGCTCAGATTTGCAGTCCATCAACAGGGCTCGTCGCTTCTCGGCAGATTCCTTGGCCTTGGGGGACTTCAGCCCCAGGGCTGTGTCGTTGTCCAGAGGGTTACCGAGCCACGGATCTACCGACGAAATTGGCGCACGACTGGGAACCCCAGGAAGGAGTTCACAGATGACGTTCAAAGTTTCAAAGACTTGTTCCCTGGGGCGGTGGATCAGTGCCTGCATGACAAGGACACTGTCCATTTTGACAGCGGTGTCATCCAAATTCTCCGGCGGCGACACGCCCGTCAAGATTTGGTACAGGGTATCAACCACATTCATCTTAAGCAACTCCATTGACAGTCGAGGGCTGGCCTTCGATGTGATCGCCAGGACACGAAGGAACTGCGTGTGGATGTGCGGGCCAATCAAGTTGGTTGTGCCCGGTAACAGCAGACGAAGGACGGCCTTCAGCATCGCAGGCTCGATGAGCTCCTCGAGCTTCTCGGGCTTATGCCTGAAACTTTCCACAATCCGAGACACGCAGAGGCACCCCTGCTCGACAACCTTGGGATCGCTGCTTGAAAGGACGTTCAGGAGGGTTGGCATGACATCCCGTACGACAGGGAATGAATCGTGGGGCAGATTGCGACAGCAGTTAGCCGCCGTTGTGACTGCCGTTCGCTGGGTGCTTGTCGGGAAGAAGTCCAGATATGTCAAACAGGCCGTCAACCCGCCCTCCCGGACGATAGATGCTGGGAAGTCCACGGAAATCTTGGAAAGAGTCTGTAACGGATGTCAGTATGGTCCAAATCCACAGCGCGGTAGGGGAAATAAGGATCATGGTTCATGAAACTCACGCTCAGAGCCTGTTCTGCCAGGTCAATAAATTGAATATCCAGCAACTTCTGGCAAAGAATCGGCACGGCGCCGCCATAGACGACATTGGCCACCGAACCACGCAAAGCCTCCATCAGATTGGCCAAACAACGGCACGCCAGGAGCATGATCTCAGGGTTCTCCTCGCCAAAGTCATTCGGCTGCATCAACGCGACCAATTCTTTTACATACGGATCCGGGGAAAACTGGCCCGACAGATTGTCCTCATTAGATACGAGCAGGAGATCTGACAGCTCCTGCAGAGCAATCAGCTGGAGGGAGGGATCTTCTTTGGCTCTCAGATTGCTCAGAATTTCCCGTAAGCGGGAAGACATGCCCGACATCATACCACTCAAGGCTCTGAGCGTACTTTGAAGCCCGAGGGGGCTGCGTGACCCAAACAAACTGTTATGAAAGAGATCCCCTTCCTCATCATCGATGCCTGATGGGTTTGTGCCGTCGTTACTATCACTTGGCGGAGAAGAATCATGTTCTTCGCCATGCTCTTCCCCCTCCACGTCCTCGTCCGCTTCTTTCATAAACACGTCCGGGTTGTTTCGGGGTGAACGCTTCTTATGTCGGCGGGGTGGTGGGGACTGGGCGGTGGAAGGACGCTCTGTTGCAGCTGTGTCAGTTTGCCCGTCGCAGAACCGCCCTAGTGGTGATTTCAGCGTTCCCTTACCTTGTGCGAGCTTGCCGTTTCTGTTGGACTTCCTCCGCGATGCAGGGGGCGATGGTTGATTCTTCGGAGTCTCCTCCGCGGGGTCGGAACTCGGACTGTCAAGGACGAAGCGGTTAGCCAACAAGCACGGGAAATGGTGAGGGGTCAAAAGCGGCACTCACCCAGGCTGGGACATAGCTGGGCGATTTCTGGTGCTGCGGCTCGACGCCACAGGAGCCGGAGTTGGTTTGGGAGATGTACGCCGCTGTCTCTTGTTCCTCTGGGGCGGAGAGGACGAAGTTGGCTGTCCGGCGGCGGGCACGGGTGGGTCGCTTCGGGCGGGGCCTTGCGCTTCCTCGTCGAGGCCGAACCAGCGGCGGGGGTTGCGGAAGAGGAACTGGTGCCGGAAGGAGGGGGTTCGGCAGCTAGTCTCGCAGCGGAGCGAGTGACCCTGGAGGACATGAGCAGCTGAGACTTGAGGAACGAGGACAGTGGAGGTTGAATGAGGGAAGAGGGGCCTGGTGGGAGGACTTTTGGGAGGGAAGCCGGATGACGAGAATGGGCACCCAGGGATCAAAGGAGGCGAGGTCGAGTCAAACTGCTCAAACAGGACGAGGGAAGACAAGGAGATGTGGAATATACCTGGCGGCAGTGGCGGAGGAGGGCGCAGCGGATGAGTCCTCAAGAGGGTCCTGGCGGTGAATGTTGGGCCGTTGTCTGGCCATATGTTGATCGCTAACGAGAGCTGGATCGGGAGTGCTCGCTCGTCAGTAAAGACTGATCAACCTGCCATCCATTGACTCTAGGGGATGAAGACCGAGAGTAGAGGAGACGGGCAAAGGGTGGGATTGTCGAGGGGGAGTTTAGTGATGGAAGCGTTGGTCAGGAGATAGCAGATGGCCGCAAGACCGAACCGAGTGGACCAGAGGCAATCACAATCAAACCGACAAGAGAGAGAAGGGTAAGATCGATAATAGATACAAGACAAGGTCAAAATCAATGGAAAGATTGAAGTGGTTTTGGTTTGAGAAGACGGGGTAGATGAGCAGAGATAAGTGATGGCGAGGAAAGAGGAAGATGGAGAGAAGAAAGAGGGTGTGATATAGTAGTAGTTGACGTGGGAAAGCGGTGGTGACGCCTCAGGAAGCAACCGCTTACTACTCCGGCGAACGTCAGGTATACCAAGCGCAGTCCAACTGCTACCCTCCTGCCCCCTCACTTCTCTCCACTTTGGTTGGCTCATAGGGTGTTTATCACTGCTCATATGATTGATAATATTCCGACATGGTGAATAGTGTTGTTTAGGTGAAGATATTTCGAGCTTGTCTGTCATATCCTGGTGGGGTGGAATGCTCCTGGCGACTTCGCCTATCCATGGAGCTACCCAGCGCAATCGTCATAACACACATGCTTCTCGTCCAGTGTGGCTTACAGGGGAATTTCAGTTCATTCAATTAACGCTATCGTAAGGTTGTTCATAGACCCGATGCGCATCAGTGGCTTTAAACCGAACAATCCTTCGGCGGTTACCTCTCCGATCTCCGACCAGCGATGCCGGTACTGATCAACGATGAAGAGATACCAGGTCTCATGCGATGAGGTAGACATTTTGTCTCACGAATAACGCAGGGGATATAGTCATTCTCCTCTGGTACCCGAGAGTATTTCTACAGAAAATATATGATCATTCGACAGACAGAAGGGTCAGGGTGCGAACCACCTCGGATCCACCTTGAGATCGGACTGTTTTCGGGGATTCGTTGTCTATCTACCGGACTAGGTATACGGGACCGATCGTGGCCACATATATCAATCAATAGCTTAAGTATCATCCCGGCCTTAACAACCGATATACGAGGAGAAAGGACGTCAGCAATTCCACGAACCTGAATTCTCAGGCAAACAGTGATATCCAATCATCGTACTCTTTTCTTTACTTTATTTTGCTTTATTTCTATTGTCCATTCACTTGATTTAATCTATATATTGTATTTCATTTGACCTTTTTTTCTCTCTCCATCTTTAGATCAGTTTATTGTTGACAGAACACTTCCGTTGACATACTGAGTACTGACCCTGCTGACCTGCTCAGCATCTGCGGGGCGCATTGATCGTTATCGCCGTCCGTGCGGGTCCCTTGCGTCGAGGGATCAAGCTCGCTGACGCCACTACAATCGTGGTAGAATCAAGTGCGTTGTTTGGAGTTAGCAAGAAATGCCAGACTGACCACTTGAAATCAATCCGGGGTACAATACGCGCAGGTGGAAAGAAGAGCTTGTTTTAAGGAGGTCGACATTCATCGGATCAATGTTACAATGATCATCCCTGTTGACTTTGCCGAGGTAGGCCGGGACCCTGAACGGAGCGATCCATCGGTTGCTCTTTGGTAGGAGACCGTGTGTAATTTTGAGATCGCACTCCCGAGGGAATCCCCGAGGTTGTATGGGTCTTCGGTGTAGATACAAGATAGGCAGTAGGTGGGTATTGGTATATCAACAAGCTGCCTGTGGATGTCCTATGCAAATACCTACTTGTATAATATGAAGGGATAGTTATAGAGTTCGTTGGGATCAATTTGGGATTAACTCAAAAGAAAACAGAAGGAACTGTCTAGATATTCAAGAATCCAACCATATAGATTCCTCCATAGTTAATATAAGCGACTGGCGAGAAAACAAGAATGAGGTGATTTTCATTTCCGGGACTCACCGAGTAACAATCTGTCACCAAATTACCACCTTCGAGATGTTAATATATAATATTTATATTACAATACGGTAATCCAGGTAACCCCCCCCCCTTCCCCACGGATGGCGGCTGATTAATTTATCTCTGCCTGCCTGCCTGCATCCAGTCGCCGCATTCCACTCCATCCATTCCGTCTCTTCCTCTCCATCATATTTTTTCTCTCTCTTCTCTGGTGTCTTCTTACCTCCATATCCTTTTTCTCTCAAATTATCCGGCTCCTCTACATGTCGTCCGATCCGAGGGTTTCAACTTGAGTGTCCGTCTAATCTTGAAACCCTAACTGTTCCCCCATCTTGGCACCGCCGTGGTCGCCCTCCGATTACAGACCCCCGCCACTCGGCCTTGCTCCCCCCCCCCGCATTCAGCCTCCCCGTTCGCAATCATGACCAGCATGGTTGGAGGACAGAGCGACGACGTCCACCAGTCCGCCGTTCACCAAGCCTCGGCCACAATGGACGAGTACAAACTCCCGGAATTGCGCCTGAAGCGCAAGATGGATGATCCGAGCAAGGAGCCGCTCATCCTCGTGGCCTGCGGGTCCTTCTCTCCCATCACCTATCTCCACTTGCGCATGTTCGAGATGGCCGGCGACTACGTTAAATTTAGCACCAACTTTGAGATGGTGGGGGGTTATCTCTCTCCGGTATCGGATGCCTATCGCAAGGCGGGCTTGGCCAGTGCGGAGCACCGGTAAGATAGATCTTGGGGTTTCTCGTGCGGAGGGTAGAATACATGGATGCTGACTGAGATGCTTGATTGGGATAGGGTGGCTATGTGCCAGCTTGCAGTGGACCAGACGTCCGATTGGCTGATGGTCGATACGTGGGAACCGATGCAGAAGGAATACCAGCCCACGGCGCTCGTGCTGGACCACTTCGACCATGAGATCAACGTCGTACGGCAGGGTATCGACGTCGGAGATGGCACTCGGAAACCGGTGCGGATTGCCCTGCTGGCCGGGGCAGATCTGATCCACACCATGTCGACGCCGGGTGTGTGGAGCGAGAAGGATCTCGATCACATTTTGGGCAAATATGGGGTGAGTTATTCTTTTTTCCCCGTGACTGCCGGCGCTTTTCTGACTCATATCAGTCTTTTATCGTTGAACGGAGCGGAACCGACATCGACGAGGCGTTGGCTGCGTTGCAGCCGTGGAAGGACAATATCTACGTGATCCAGCAGCTCATCCAGAACGACGTCAGCAGCACGAAGATCCGGCTGTTCCTCCGGCGTGAGATGAGCGTTCGCTATCTAATCCCAGTGCCAGTCATCCACTACATCGAGCAGCACCACCTGTACGAAGACGACGGGGCCGCCTCGACCACCGACAAAGGCAAAGGCAAAGGAAAACAGGAATCCAACCAGTCTGGCTGATGCCGTTCGCCGTTGGCATTCCGGTCCTCTAATTCCCAATCGAGTCAAGTCGAGCCGATAGTTGCGTGGGGAGATCGCGTGGTCCAAGGAGAGAACGCACCCAGTCCCTACATTCGTTTTCTAGGGCAACCCATATTACCAGTCCTCAAACCTACGCAAAAATAGAGTCTCCATCCACTGGATCCTCACGCGGCGAAAGCCCTGTCCGAGAATACCCGGTTCCCCACCAACAGAGGCACAGCAGGACGTGGCTCCCCTCTCCCCGCAGTTCCCACGTGATGGACGGTTCAAATCGGCAATTCTTTTCTACTACGATACTGTCCTGCCTGCCAACCTCCGATTCCACTTTATTGGACCACCCAGTCAATGTCACGAGTAATGTATTGTGTTGAAGATTTTAAGGTCTGGATAGACAGTACCCTGCCGTTGGTTCTTTCTTCTGTCATCCCTCATGCGAATGTTTTGTTATGTATGCGCTTGTTTTTTCTATGGTTTTGCCTTGATTTTGTTTTAAAGAATACCCCCCACCTTACTACCTCATTTTACATGTATTCATGTACCCTACCTACCTACTACCTACCTAGGTATCTCCTCTTCTAGATAGAGCCTTCCCAGGATAAATGGTGATCTAGTTCTCACGAATACACAAGATCCCATCATATTATTACCTTCTGCTATAGCGGTTTCATATCTTTCTAATGCCGTGAATACATGGATAGAATAATCAATTAAAACAAATTAATGGGATAGTATAGTCCCAGGATTCTTTCCACACTCAGAAATCTATCTTATATAATGATGTCAAACGTAACGATCACAACAATATATACTAGCAGAATAGAACACAATCATATATAAACATAGAGTATATAGTATAAACATAACAAGGATAAAGTATAAACATATAAAGTATAAAGTCCAAAGTATAATGCATAAAGTATAAGGAATGAAAGGATAGGGATAGGCGAATGGGTATGATAGATTGGTACCGGAGTATAGATCAGAATATACATACTAGCATGTAATAGATGGATTAGACAGACATGTACATTCGTGAAATGGATATTGCAATCAACATGTGTCGGACCGTTTAAGGTGCCTGACACGGGGTAATAAAAAAGAAATCAACAAGATGGAATAGAAACCTCGCAAAGGGGCAATACAGGAAATGAAAAGCGTGATCTCTATTATGGTCATTTCGTGACAAGAAGAAGAGGGGAGGAGGAAGAGAGGAGATAAAGTCATGGCAAGCCAGCCGTGCATGCGGACCAAGATTCTATATGGTCTGGGCGGTGTGTAGTGTAGTGTAGGATGTGAAGAGTAGAAATTCAGCCATGAGGATCCCACAGACTTGAAGCCTCGACCACGCCTAAACAGACGTCCGGTTTTGCGTCGTGCATGGCGGCAATGACTGCGATGGTAGGGCCAGTGGACTCGGCGACGCGGCGGCGCACGGAGTCAACGGTACTGGACGCAGGGAGACAGAGCCACTCGGCGCGGGAGACGGCGCAGGGGAGGCCCTTTTGTGCGCAACTGGAGACAGTCATGTCGACGTCTGTAGACTGCGAGAGGGTGCGCAGATGGCGAGGCGGGATGATCTCATCTTCCGTCTCGGAGAGGAAGACCCACGACCGGGCCGATGGGTGCTGGATGGCTGTGAGAAGGACATCCAGGAGGCGGGTATGCTGGGAAGAGGAGGTGACTGTTGGGATCTGGTCGATGGGGACGAGCAGGTCGCATAGGCGCAGCGGGGCCGCGCCGCTGGTCTCGGGGGTTGGCTGCAGGGACGGAACGGATAGATCGTCTGTGAGGAAGGACGCGGTGGACATGCTCATGGGGGTCGAGGCTGATGAGGCGGCGCCGATGGCTCCGCCGGGGTGGAAGCTCTTGAAGACTTCTGCGGGGCCGCGGCCTGGCGCGGTATGCAGGCGGCGCGCGGTTGCGATGGCTAGAGCGTCGCCTAGAGACAGGGCCACTGTCGTTGAGGAGGTTGGAGCGCACACGCCGATGGCGGACTCTTCGTCTTCGTGAATGGGCGCCGGGAGGAGGATGCCCATGTCGGAGGGCTGGAAGGATAGCAGTGGACAGGTGGATGGGTGCATGTGCGCTGTAATGGCGATCACAGGGACCGTGGAGGGGATGTGCGGGAGCAGGAGTAGGAGCTCCGGGGTGCGCCCCGAGAAGGAGATGACCAGGAGGGTGTCATTCTATGGGTAGACACGACGTTAGCATTTTCCACGCCATTCGGTCCTATTCCCAAAATCAATCGGTCTGGTCTTACCGGTCGAACCATGCCGAGGTCCCCGTGGAGAGCCTCCGTCGGGTGTAGAAAGGCACTGTAGATCCCCAAACTATTCATGGTGGCCTCGAGTTTCTGGGCGATCTTTCCGCTCTTTCCCACCCCGCAGCAGACCAGTTTACCGCCATTGCGAATGCTGCGGGCGATCTGGGTCACGGCGCGCACGAGGTGTTCTTGGGCCAGGGCGTCGGTCTGGTAGATCTGTTCGAGGTGGAAGAGCGCGGCACGCTCGGTGGAGATCACCTGCAGGGCAGCCGCCACGGATAGGCCATCTTTAGTGCTGGAAATTCCGGAATCAGAGGGATCGGGGGGCGTCATGGGCAGTAAGGAAAAGGCCGAGACGGAGGGAACCATGGCCGGCGAGTGCAGCTTGTGGTGACCCATGATCAGCCACCATTGTCTGCCGAAATGAAGGACTGGAGAGGCGAGTCGTCTTCCGGGAAGAGGCGAAAAGAAAAAAAGAAAGAAAAGGAAAGGAAATGGAACCCCCAGCGCAATCCCAGACGGAAGTGGAGGGGGGAAGCGAAGGATTGCAGTATCGGAAGAAGAAAAGGAAGGCCGCAATGGCGGGGGAGGGGAAGAGAGAATTTTCCGAGAATTGGAGATGGAGAGAGAGGAAAAGAGTGGAGATCTCCAGCCTTTATCAACCGATACCTCCGATCGGAAATAAAACTCGGAGAGACAGAGATTAGGGCACGAGGAGGGAATCAAGATCTTTTCTGGTCTGTTCTATGCGATGGGACGGGACGAAGTTAGGCATGATGACACCATCATCGGCGATACTGATGCATTCGGAATGCCGATCTTCAGGAACTCCCAGGGTGTTTTCTGTCCATCCATACCTTATCAGATCATTGTTGCAGATTGTCCCGGTGGGAGAGATATATCAGACGGGGATATAGTTATGGATGGATATACGTGAATGGACATGGAACGGAGATTTTCCAATGGATCTTCCGTTGATCTTCAGTACATGACAGAATGGTGCAGATTATAAAAAAAATAGATTATTCAGATCTAAATGATTTAACAAGAGATACATCTGAACGGAAACAGAAAACCTGGATAAGAAAGAAAGAAAAAGAAAAAAAAATGGACTCGCGGGGAATCGAACCCCGGACCACTCACATGCTAAGCGAGTATTATACCACTAAACCACAAGCCCATCTTGTTGAAGTTTGCTTTCTGTCTTGGCTTCATACAGGGATTGATCTTTTGTATATATCCACCACTCAGGCTGTCACATCCACCACCATCTCATGGCGTAATCCCCCACACGGATTGCCCGATCCCAGGATCCATGATGTTAATTGAACATCCACGACAATACCCCGACTCGCCAATCATAATCACAGCTCACGGAGAATGGATGGATATGGAAACCACCGTCCGTCATTCAGACAAGCCAGTACCTAGCGCCTGTTAGGGCACACCTCTTATCTACTCCCAACCAACCCCGCAGCGGAATCGGATTGGACTGACAGGCATTGTGATCCTGATGAATTAGTCAGTGGAAGACGCGATGGATGGTGTGTGCAGAGATGCCATTATTTGCACCGACATCTAAATCTAACTGAGAGGTGGGTATATAATATATATACAAGGTATATATATATTATCCTAAGAGGTCTGGATAAGCTTCGAGAGATTGAGCATGGAAGAGCCTAAACATCCTGGGCAAAATGATCATCAAACAACAAGCATCGCTCCTTCACCGGTATCTTCCCACCTAGAATGAATGGTGACAGAAAATTTCTGACGCGTCATAGGATGGAGGACAAGCCCTAGAACCCTCACGCGGGAGACTGCTGGATCTCTTCCTCTGGGCTCCTCCCCGATGTCGCTGGGATCTGGACAACCCTCCCAAGTTCAATTACTATCTAAATGTCTTGTTCGCCTTTGCCGCGACCTTTACGGTATGCTCCATTCATTGGACCTCTGCCAAACCCCAAGAGCCAAGAGTCATACACTGACAGCTCGTAGGTCGCCAATCTCTACTACGCACAGCCACTACTAGACATCCTCGCCCACCACTTCAATGTGACGCAAGAACGGGCATCGTTGATTCCCACCTGCTCGCAGGCAGGCTATGCAGCAGGACTTATCTTCCTCTGCCCAGTGGGAGACATCGTGCGTCGAAGACCGTTCGTCCTCCTGCTGACCTTCACCACGGCAACAATCTGGATCGGCCTCTGCTTCACCGAGTCCTTCAACGTGTTTCTAGCCCTCAGCTTCATCACCTCCATCACCACAGTCACACCGGTACTTTTATCTCCCTAAACTTGACACCCCCCTGCCCCGGCCCCATCCACACAATCTAACACACCACAGCAAGTAATGCTCCCCCTAGTAGGCGACCTCGCCCCTCCCGCCCGCCGCGCAACCGCCCTCTCAATCGTCTCCTCAGGCCTCATGCTCGGCCTGCTCTCCGCGCGCCTCCTCGCCGGCATCATCGCTGACCGCTCCCACTGGCGCAACGTGTACTGGCTCTCCCTCGCCCTGCAATACCTCATCTTCATCCTCCTCTGGCTCTTCATGCCGGACTACCCCTCCACAAACGCCAACATCTCCTACTGGTCCACCCTCACCTCCATCCTCGGCTACTTCCGCAAGTCCCCCGTCCTCGTCCAATGCACCCTCATCGGCTTCCTCGGCTCCGCAACCTTCACCTCCTTCTGGACAACCGTGACCTTCCTCCTCTCCGGCGCCCCCTACCACTTCTCCACCCTGACCATCGGCCTCTTCTCCATCGCCGGCCTAGTCCCCATGTTCCTAGGGCCCGTCTTCTCCCGCTTCGTCATCGACGTCCTCGTCCCGGAACTCTCCCTCCTCATCTGCCTTATCATCGTCCTGACAGGCATAACAATCGGCACCTACACAGGCTCATTCACCGTCGCGGGACCCATCGTCCAAGCCGCCGTGCAGGACTTCGGACTGTCGATGTCCCAGACGGCGAACAGGGTAGCTATCTACGCCGTGGCCCCCAAGGCCCGCAACCGGCTGAATACGGGGTACATGCTGGGCGTGTTTTGCGGTCAGTTGACGGGCACGGCGGTTGGGAATCGCGCGTATGCTCAGGGTGGGTGGATTCTTTCGGGGAGTGTTAGCGTTGCGCTTACGGTTGTGTCTGTGGGAGTGGTGCTTGCTCGGGGGCCGAAGGAGACGGGGTGGGTTGGTTGGAGGGGCGGGATGCAGGTGAAGAGGGTGATTCCAACTGATTAAGTTGGGAGATGTGATGGTGGAGGTGTGTTAGATGGTAAAAATGAGGGGTGGTTTCTGGAGGGAACATATAGTAAGAGAGAGATGTGTAGAAAGAAGAAGATAATTAGAAAGGAAGTATATATAGAGTCTACTAGTTTATGGTTTGTTGGGGGTATAGTTGCGACTACTCCCTTGGTATACAAACTATGTTGTCCCCGGGGAGTAGTGGCATAGATTTTCAACACGCGTACATGCAACAAGATTAGGGTTTCCCTAACCACAAGTAAATGAACCGCGCTTTCCTCAAGTAAGAAATTAGCATATCTCTGCTATGAACTAGAAGATAGAGAGAGAGAGAGACCTTAGGTATACTCGATTTTATCTCCATTCCCGGGATTCTTCCGACTGACGGCCGAAATGCCCGCATAGAGCCAGTCAGCTCGCATCAGCAATGTGATCATGAGATCATATCTGTCTCGGGTACGTGGTATAGGGGTGAGAGAGTAATAACACTAGCCAGCTATATAAGCCTCCTCACATAGCGCTGAAACTGTGGTTCTTTGTCTATCTTAGCTTTATAGGGCTAGGATCAATTATAGAGGGAGAGATATAGCCTTCCAGACATGCCTGAGACGATGGAATTTTATATATAGATATGAAGAATATTTATCAGTTTAACAGAGTTAAGATAATATAATATAACTATAGGTTTTATATCTCTAAAAGAGTATATATCAGGATATAGTAACTAAAGTATCCATGACTTAGATCTATAAAAACATCCAAAGTCTGACTCTAGATATATGATATCATAATTACTTAGAGGTTACTTAGAGTTCGTAGCCACATTCAAGCAAGCCTATAGCTATACATCTTTTAGGTCATATGGACAAGAGTTCCTTGCAGATTTAAGCCCATTTGGCAAGGGGTAATCCTCCACGAGACCCCGAGGTAGGTATCTAGATCTAGCCAGGTCACTAGGGATCGTCAGGTGGCGAGGAATAGCCAGGTAGCTAGGGGGTTCTCAGGAGTATTGCTGGTTACTGATGGTATTGCAAGCCCTCTGATAAGGTTTTCAGGTATGAGTATCTCCTCCGGGAGGGTCGGCCACGCTTGTTTCGACTGATCTGATTCGAAGGAGGAGACGTAGAGACGAGCGGCTGCGTGGCTGAAGGAGGCAAAGGAGAATGTAGTGTATATGTGAATTGAAGTAGAAGATAGTACTGCACCTCCGCCTCTGATGTTGCACTCCGATACCGGAGGACATGCATCAGATGTATACTTAAACCAACGTATCGCATCGCAACACCTCCAGTCCCTCCCTTCCTTCTACACACACTCAACAATTCCAATACCCAACAGACTCAAAAAAATGACCAAAGAATCCGCAACCTACACCCACGGCCAGCACCCGGCCGTCCTGCGCGCCCACGCCTGGCGCACAGCAGCCAACTCAGCCGCCTACTTCCTCCCACACATCAAGCCAACCAGCACAGTCCTCGACGTCGGCTGCGGCGCGGGCACCATAACAGTCGACCTAGCCCAACGCCTCTCCGACGGACACATAACCGGGTTCGACAGCGACCCCACCATCATCACCCAAGCGCAGTCTCTCGCCGCCTCGCAAGGAACCACCAACGTCACCTTCACCGCCGGCGACGCCAACGCCCTCCCCTACGCAGACAACACCTTCGACATCGTCTTCTGCCATCAGCTCCTCCAGCACGTGGGCGACCCCGTCGGCTTGCTGCGCGAGATGAAGCGCGTTGCTAAATCGGGGGGCGGCATCGTCGCTGCCCGCGAGTCGGACTTTGGCTCTTGGGTGTGGTATCCTGAGACTGAGGGTATGGAGGACTGGAGGAGGCTGTATATGCGGGTGATGAGGGCGAATGGGGGCGAGCCGAATGCGGGACGCATGTTGCATGCTTGGGCGAGGAGGGCGGGCTTTGAGAGGGATGATGTGAGGTGTAGTACTAGTTCTTGGTGCTTGAGTACGGCGGAGGAAATGAGTGATTGGGTGGATGCTTGGGCGGAGAGGACGGAGGCGAAGGATTCGGAGTTTGCGAGGACGGCGGTTGAGAAGGGGGTTGCGGCGAGGGAGGAGTTGGAGGCCGCGGCGAGGGCTTGGAGGGCGCTTGGGGCGAGTGAGTTGGGGTGGAATTCGGTGCCGCATGGGGAGATTGTTTGTGTGAAGAAGTAGGTGGTGGTGAGGTTGGGGAAGGAGAGGAGTTGGTGTTGTTTGATGGGAAGGTACTACTGTGTACTGCTTTCTGTTGTCGTATCTTACTTTGTCTTCTGGGGATGACTTCTTTCATACTTACTCCCACTCACACTCACACTCGTTGCTCAATTCTTAGTTGGACTGCATCTTACTACTACTTTTTATCTATACTCCTTAGCATCTATTAGCATGGACTTCTTCCGACCCTTCTGGGAGAGCCCCCGCAAAGGTAGCCCTGACAGTGATACCATCGACAATGATACCCTTGACAGTGATGGTCCCGATGACGATATCCCTGACAATGATATCCCTGACAATGATATTCCTGACAATGATACCCCCGACAATGATGGCCCCGATATCAATACCCCCGACAATGATGGTCCCGACAATGATCCCTTCGACAATGATACCCCCGACAATGATGGCTACGGCAGTGACAGTTCGGCCGGCACGGTCGTAGGACCAAATAAACCCCAAAGACCATCAAAGACAATCCTGGACATGTTAAAAAAGGCAACTCAAAACGGGTCGAAAAAAGTAGCCCTAGACAGATCAATAGAACTGATTGAGGGCGTGGGCCTCCAGTACATCCAGCCTAGTTGCAAAAATGCCAGCCCAGCCTCCCAAGACGCAAAGTCGGATGCCTCTACGGAAGACATGAAGGCTGTGGTCGAGCACGTGCATGAGGTAAGGAATTTCGCAACTCCTGGTATGGATTGGAGCAGAGATTGACTGGTTTAGATACGTGGTCAAGAAAGCGTCACGGGGCAACCCTTCAAGTATAGGACCCGAAGAAGCGACACGTCTCCCCTCTTGGATAGATCCGACGAATGCGTTCTGGCCCTGCGACGCGTATTCTCAGAAGACTACAAGACGCTGATCGATACCTTCCTGGATGTTCAAAGCCCTTTGATCCTGAGGGCCTTGATGGAGGCAATGCCGGAGGAGAAAGCGAGACTGGAAAGCAAACCTTCGTTCAAGTGGCCATATGACCGTCTATTCAGATATGTGAGTATGTAGACATGATACACTAAGCGGGTGGATGATTGATATGCGTTAGCGTTGGAGAATCCATGACGCGGCTGTCAACGAGGGCGAATTGTGCGTCAAGCATGTAGCCGTGCTCTTGGACCTCATTCTGGAAGAGTACCAGTCTCGGCTTCGGGACATCAATGCCATGCTTCCCAAGTAAGTCAACGTCTCTAGATTGGATGGATGATGGTAACCTTCTTCGTCAATTTTCCTGGGAAGGGGCACGGCGAGCTTTGATATCTTAGCGGACGCCTTTTCCCCCGGTGATGTGGTCGTCGATCGGGTTTCCGAGGGTGCGCGGGCCTATCGAGTGACCAGCTCCTACTATAAGAGTTCACTACCAAGGGAAGTACCAGACGGGTCTGATATTTTCGTCATCGAGTACGAATATGTCGACCATGATGGCCAGACTTTTGGAACCGTGTCTCGCCATGCGGACATTGCTCGGTTTGAGGGGATTCGTTACCTGACCGAGCTGGCGTTGTTTCCCTTCGAATCCCACCCGAATATTGAAGGCCTCAGAAGAAATTTGATGAGACGAGGCCTCCAGTTCGAGGAGCTGAAGGGACATCATTTCAAGGCATACTGGGATCCCCGAAGCGAGACTCCCACTCGGGTTGTTGTTAATACCCTCGCCATCCGTGGATTGGAACCGCGAATGCGTATTAAAGTCAACGACATGTCAGTTAGACTGGATAGTGGCCAATTGAAGGCAGACGATCTGATTATCTGCACCGACAAGGTCCCATATTTCTCACTGGACGAGAAAGCCTTTCTCTGGGGGGATCCGGAGTATTTCGAGGAAATCCAGTTCGACGGCGAACTTTGGCACGAGCTGATTCTCTCCGAGAATATCAAGCGCGTCTTGCGTTCTATGACGGCAAACCATCTCAAAGGATACAAACTCAACGATGTCATTGCGGGTATGTTCCATATGTCATGTTGATTGACACGGCTAAGGGCTTCGTGACAGGCAAAGGAAAAGGGCGTGTGGTCCTCCTTCACGGACCGCCAGGAGTTGGGAAGACCCTGACTGTGGAAGGTAAGTGACGAGTCCTTTCCGCTCGTTGAAACCACACCACGAGGCTCATGGCGGCAGCAATCGCTGAACACATCGAACGTCCCTTGTACACTATCACTCCCGGCGAACTCGGTGTGTCCAGCGTCGACATAGAGCGAAACCTGCGCCGGGCCCTAGACATCTCCACGGCCCTCCGTGCCATTCTCCTTCTTGACGAAGCAGACATATACATGGAGCAGCGGGTATCAGGCAATATTGCCCACAACGCCACCATTGCCGCGTTCCTTAGGCTGCTGGAATATCACCAAGGAGTCATGTATCTCACCACGAGCCGACCCCACGTCATCGACACGTCCTTTCATTCACGGCTCCACTACTGTGTTAATCTGCCCACCCCCAGTGGCAACGAACGAAAGGAAATCTGGGCAAACTTCGCGCGTCGGACTGGCGGAATCAAGCTCCCACCTAAAGAACTCGACGAGATTGCCCTTCAAAACCTCAGCGGCCGCCAGATCAGGAATACCCTCTCTATGTGTACAGGGCTAGTGGCCGAGGAAGGCAACGTTGGACCGAAAACGATTGGTGCTATACTGAATACAATGGGATATAATCAGGGCTGATGGGATTGAGGCTACGCCTGTGGGGGTGTCGCTTGAATTGTATGTTCGATACGGGATAGAATATGGTGGTATATTATTAGACATCAAACTGTTTAAAGACAACACAAGCAAGACTTACACAACCTGAATTGGATTTCTTTTGTATCAGGATAGATGACTGTATCTCCAAATTTAAGTTGTTATTCCACCCTCCTGGGGGTTATCATAGGTTAGTAGTAAATGACATAGATAGTGACATACCTACAGTACCTACAAACTATGTACCCCAACGCGTCAAACCACAAAATACTCCGGTACGCGCCCTCCGGACCCCTCCCCTATTGGCCCCCTAACCAAAGTGGATTTTCGCGATCGGTTGCAATCTCGCTCGAGCAAGGGCTGTAATTGGGTGAGGGTTGGAGGCAGTGACGAGATGGCGACGGCAGGAACCTTCTTTGAGAAGGCTGGACGCCTGGAAGGGGTCTGGAAGGGGGGCTGGAATGAGCTTGTTTTATCTGATTGCTGCCTTGGGTTGGGGGACTGTGAATGTAGCACATGATTTGAGTTTCTTTACTTCTTTCTTTCTTTTTTATTTGGGTGGTTGAGTGTGTCGTTGTTTCCTGATTCGGCTTTTGTCTTGTATACCCTGTTGCGAAATGGTGATGGATTGGGCAAGGCATGGCTGTTAAGACTTGACGCTTTGAATCCAATAAGCAATAGCAAGTGGGAGACTGCTGACTCTGATGCATTCTCGCTGTTTGAGATAGACCTTGATGATGGAATTCTTCTATAGAAATAGTAAGTGTGAAGCGTTTTTATATAGATTGCCCTGACACATAGCAGTTACAATAATAGAACCATGGGTATATGACACTCTATTGGCGCAGATCAATATATCTAACGGGCTCATCAAGACGAGAAAAGCCGTGGTTAAACAAAGAGACAAACTGCAAATTATCTCATCAGTTACATTTCTGAATCTCCAGCTCTTTCGAATAAACCCCTTTACCCTCTCCATTCCCAGATGGTTCACCCCCAAACGGCCTCTCTACTACATCCCCACCCTCCCGATACGCCCTCTCCATACCCCAATAAAACGGACTCTCAGTCGTGAAAAGCCCCTCAATCGACTCCAGTGACCGATTACCCGTCTCCGGGTAAAACAGAAACACGACCGGAATCCAGAGCAAATTCAGCGCAGCGAGCAGAAAATAACTACGGCTTTTGATCCCGTCGAACATGATGGGATTCACAAGCGTCGTCATCCCCACGCCGATAGCCCACCCCGTGATTCCGAACCCGTTGCCTTGGGCCCGGAGATCGGAGGGGAATAGCTCTGTGGGGATGAGGAAGGCCACTGTGCCCCATGTTGCGGCGTATCTGGTGTGAGTGGTTAGCGCTGTTGTGGGTTTGTGGGTGTGCAATGAATGGTAGCTGGGCTGAGGGCTCGTTGCTTACCCTAAGTTGAAGAGGAATAGCATTGCTACTGCTGCTGGGGCGAACTGGGGGGCTTTTTCGGGACTGTGTAGAGAGCCTTCGTATATGCATCCGGCCTGTGTCTGGTCAGCTGGTTGTATGTGTCTGAGACACACGATAAAACGTACAATAAGCTGAACGGTGAATAGGACGGCAGATCCTAGCATTAGACATGCCCGACGGCCCATCCGGTCTATAATCTGCGCACTGATGATCGTGCCGATAATACCGATGGTGTTCAACCCGCCAGCGAGCCCATTCTGCTTTATCTCGCTGTATCCAGCCTGGCTGAGCAGGACGGGCGAATACGCCGTGACTGCCTATTGAGTCCGCATTAGCTGAGTCTACTAACATCCTTAAACGGCGCACAAACAGTAATCCCCGTCCAAGACGCCATGATCTGGAGAAACAGAGAGAGCCAAGCTCGACGCCCCAAGCTCGACCCTGGCCTTCCCCCCTTCCCAGCAAGGATCTTGAAGAACTGAACAGGAGAGCTGGGCTTGCTGTCATGTGCAGACGTAACAATTTCAGAATACTCCCGCTCAATCTCCTTAGCCTGCACCTTGTGGCTGCGAATACGGACCAGCAGATCCCACGCTTCGTTGGTGCGTCCCACAGATGCCAGAAACCGAGGACTATCGGGGAGCATCTTGATACACACTGCGAGGATAACGGCCGGGATGCATTGGAAGGCGAGGAGGAAGCGCCATCGAACATCTGCATATCCGTGGTCTATGAATGCGAGACCGAAAGATAACCAGTAGGCGATAGAGATACCGAGGTCTAGGCTGTCAATTAGTATGATCCAGCAAATGGAGAGAGTAAATACTAGACCTTACAGTTGGCGATGAAGACGTAACCGAGGGATCCGCCTCGATGATCAGCTGGAGATATCTCCGCTACCAATACCGGCGTGATACCAGTCAGGGCTACACAGAATTAATTCCAACTCATTAACCAATCCAGTCCAACAAAAACACCCACAGAAGAGACAGAAAGGGGAAGTAAAACCCACCACCAGTCCCCACCCCAGTAACAACCCTCGCAACAAGCATAAAATCCGAGCTCTGAGCAGCAGCCTGCAGCGCGCCCCCTACAAGCGCAAACACAGACCCAACGAACAGACCATTGATGCGCCCAACACGGTCCGCTAACCAACCCCCAGCGAAACACCCAAAGATACATCCCAGGTAGTAGATACTCACCAGGCCGCCTTGGTGCGTCGTGTCTGTCACGGTGCCGTCCGGCTTGCCGATCCCGACTTGCGTGACGTATCGCGGGGAGGCGTTGACGCCGCCCATGACGCCTTGGTCGTAGCCTTCGAAGAAGATGGAGATCAGGGAGAAGGTGTGGAAGGCTGTGTTTAGTTGGGAGGGGGAGAGATGTCTCCAGAGGGTGGTGTAGCCCATGGTTTGGGTGCTGTTGTTTGGGGTAGTTTCTCCGAGAATTCGGGGAAGCCTTGTATTGGCAATGTGAATACGGGCTCAAGAGGTAGATTTTTGTTGACACCGTGCAAGATATGGCCGGTTGGTTGTTGTCGCTCCAGGACGCAAGGATATGCAAGGGATGGAAAGAGTACGGACGGCTTGCCATTTTAGGCCTCGGAATATAGCAGCGTAGACACAACGACGTTATAAGAAATTATGGGAACCGACAGTTTGTTTGCTCTACTGCGTAACGCCTGATATGGCCGCATCTGCTACGAATGGATGATCTTTGAAAATGAAACCTCGCTTAGTTCGACTACCACTATTTGTATATTGGTAATGGACAGCATACTAAAGAAAACTCGTCCACGTAACGGTCAATGAATAAGAGCAGGGACTTATCCGGATACTTCCCCCAAAGGACGTCCTTTACGCCTTCTGATCCCACAAACTCTGAACAGTCACCTCTTGCGCCCATTTTCCATCGGTTCTATCCTCCTGGACGACAAACCCAACAGTCTTCTTCTGACCCGGAATTAGGACAAACGAGTTCTCTTCAAAATAGCCTACCACGCCTTCCGGGTGGGTAAGCCACGTGTAGAGGGAGATGCCTGACTGGGCTTCAACGGTGAAGGTTTTTGTCTTAGCATCGAATGACACTTTCACTTTCGGATCCACGAGAGCGAGGTCCTTGGGAAACACCGGGGTAAAGTGGTTGGAATGGTCGAGGGACACGATATCCTCAGAGTTGGGAAGTTGGCCCTTTCCGTTGAGGGACAAGAGAAGGATGGAATTCTTCTGGTCTGGCAGAGACAGGTCCTTGATGTTAGTACTATAGATCTTGGTCGTGTTGAGGGCCCCCACGGTGAAGGAGATGGATGACGGCGTGCCGACATCGGAAGCGAGTCTGCGGCCCGATAAGTCCAGCCACTTTAGTTCCACAGTACCCGTGGCTGCTTCCCAAAGATCCGATGTCACGTAGACTGACAGGTCGCCTGTAGTGTAGTTCCAGAACGGGGACACAATGACAGGTTGATAAATATCCCTCGCCGCGTAGTGGAGAACCTTCCAGCGCCCGCCGTACTCGATGCCCGCCCACGACGGCGCCTGCCAGATATCCTCGAGCTGCCAGTAGAGCGAACCCAGCTGGCGCTCGGGCATGCCGCTTCCACGGCGATAGAACTGGATTTGGGACTTGTACATGTCGGCTTGGAAGATCTGCGTGGCGTGGCACCAGGCGCTGAAGTTGGCGATCGGGTCGGGGTTGCTGGGAATGGGGTAGTACCGTTCTACGCCCATGGTCATCTCACCCATGCCGCGCGACGAGTTGGCGTAGTTGTCGGTGTCCAGGCTGCCGACGACGTAGTGGTGGTTGCGCAGCACGACTACGCTGCTGTTGAAGTGCAGGTCTTCAGGTGCGACCGCTTGCTGCCACGTCTGCACGCTGGGCATGCTGTGGAATCCGAATTCGTTGGCGAAGCGGCCGACTGGATAGGTGTGATAGTTGAAGGATACGGAAGTGTCGTAATTGTAGTGGTCTGTATCGCCATAATATGATCCAGCGGTTTTGTTGTCGTATCTTTCCGCCATGGGGACGGGCGCTGAGAGATCGATATTGAGGTAACCCTCGGTGGTGCTACTCGGGGTGTATGAGATGGAGCGTGTGTTCTGATAGACCAGTGGAAGGATGAGACTGATAAAAAGCTTTTCGTATTCCCCCACATATTTCGCGTACCCCTTGGGATCTACCCCGTGAACAATAGGAAGCATCAAACTCTCGATCTCGTTTCCTCCAGCCCACAACGCAAGCGACGGATGGTGGTTCACGCGGCGAACGTTGTAGACAACTTCCGCGGCCACATTTTCCAGGAAAGCGTCATGAACGGGATATAGAGCGTCGCTAAACTCGAATTCACTCCAGAGCAGAATGCCCCGTTCGTCTGCAAGGTCGTATATGAAATCGTGGAGGTAAGCGCCGGAGGACCAGACCCGTAGCATATTCTGATTCCCGACTATGACCGCATCAAACAACCGGGCCATCTTCTCTTCTGTGACCCGCGGCCAAAAAGCATCCGGAGGAATGATGTTGGAGCCTTTGGCGTAGAACTCGCGGCCGTTGACCTCGAAGTGCCAGTTCGCCCCGGGGGCCACCCCCTGCGCCAATTGGGCGTCGGTGATATTCCGTTGATTGAGGAAGATGGTGCGAAAGCCCGTGCGTTTGGTGACACGGGCTACTGGTTCTTCGTGACCCCCAGTGACTGTAATGGTGATGTGGTAGAGGTTCTGGTCACCAAGACCAGACGGCCACCAAAGTTTAGGCTGAACTTTGTCCAGGACCGTCACACCGGTGAGAGAGTTTCCAGAGATGACAATATTATGCAAATTTTGGGTTGTAAAAACGGACCCGGATTCTCCATCTTGTATCTCGATGGCCATGGATGGGTTTTTGGGGAGGTTGCCGACGAAATCGATGCTGGCGTTGACGACCCACGGCTGAGTCTGATCCGGGGGTAGATAATTGATCTGGCCTTTCCTGTAAATATCCAAGTCTGTATTCAGAACATAGATGCTGTTAGGCTTATCTAGCTGGACAATGCGAGCGGGTTTCCAGGGACCTGCGGGGGCAAAGGCTGGTCCCCAGTCCCACCCAAAGTCAGACTGTTCTTTGCGCATCCACCAACGATTCGGGTACTCGTGGGTCAACTGCACGCCATCCGGCCATTCTGCGGCAAGGAAGTGACCGGTTAGACTTGCGTGCAAAAGGGTGATGGAGGTACACACTTTCAAGGCTTGGATCTTCAGCCATCGCGTCCACAATTCTCGGCGCACTGCCGAAGTTGATGCTCAATACTGGGTCATCTTTACAGCCCTTCAGCACAGTTGATACATCGAAGGAGTACTGGCGAAATTGATTATCGGTAGATGCGATCGGTTGTCCACAGAATGAAATAGTGGCGAAGGTGTCAAGTCCATCAAAAACCAACCAAGTGGAGGCATGGTCATCCTTTCTGCTAAAAGTTCAGCAACCTTCAGATCCACACGGATGTATATGAGTAAACGTACAGGCCCTTTATTGGGTCACTGGTGTAGGTCCAGTTCGCATCAGCGATCCAACGGAGATGAAAGTCATTGAGACCATTGTATCTTGCATTACATTAGTAACCCGTCTTTAAGATTCAAGCAGCCATCCGAAGGAATCTCACGGTTCATCTGTGACATTTGCTCGGTCAGACTCGCTCAGTTAGTGGCGGTGATGATGAGTAACATACCAATTACCCCCGCCTTCAGTAAATCCAAATGAACATGAGAAGGGAGATATCCCGGTACCGTTCGATTCAAAGCCGGACTACTCACAGTCCAAATTTGATCACTCAAATCCGTGACATGCTGACCGAGCCCAGCCGACAAGCTAGAGGCTAAAATGGTCTGCGTTGCTCCTGAACCCAACCTCATCGCGGAAACCAGCCTGTAAGTAAGTTGCGAGATGACGATGGATCGCGACTTGACGCTTCCTTTATTCTTTGCGTAAGATTATACTGTCGGCATCATCCGATTACCGACTCGAGTATCTAGAACGACCGCCTGAGATCTACGGCCGGACATGCCTTGTTGAGATAACGGTGGTCAGTCCGTTATGGAAAAGAAAAGGAGGCCCCAGCGCGTCGATCAACTCAATGCTTGTTTCTTTTGTCGTTGCGAGGGATGGACGGAATGCGGGGACCGACCGAATGTCTCACAGCCCAATCAGGTCCGTGACGGTGTTGTTGTACACCGGGGACGACGGAAGAGATGATCGACAGTGGAGGTTCCATGAGCTCCGATTGAGATGTACGGCATCTGATGTAAACTATGAAGTTAGTGTCTGCGTTGGTTTACTATTGATATCAATGATATAGCTTAAGGAAGGAACTTAAGGCCGCACATCCACCGGAGTACATGTAGGGTTTATGGTGAAAGCTTATAATAGGCGGGATTGATTTGACATGGATTGCCACATACATTGAAGAAATGCTCTCATATCTCTAGTTCTGACCGAATATCAACTATCAATGGACATGAGGATGAAGATGAAGTGAAGTGAAGAAAAGACGATCTAGATGTGCATCCCCCACGTGACCACCGACGGATCGGTTATCCGCGGCGAGCGGGCATGACGTCGGGGCCGAAGCCAACCGCCTTCCTCCGCATTCCCCCCCATCGTTTAAAGATATCCCCAGAAAGATGCGCCCAAGGAGTTCTGGCCTTGATCACACTTCTTCAACCCCCTAGGTCATTCATTTTTACCATGTCGTTGAATCTCCTGGGTCGTTTCGCCCGCAGTCCGCGAGTAGCGCTGAATCGTGTCCCTCGACGATGGAGTAGCATTTCCCAACGCCCTGGTTCGGACCGGTAAGTGACGAGAATGATAAGAACGATAAGACAGGAAGGACAGCAGAAAGCAGCTGAGGATTGAGGCTAATATCATGCAGGGTGCAATTCCCCGGTGCGGTCAACAGCAAATTCACCACCGAGATGAGTTTCATCAATCCTACCGACCTCCCGAGTATCCCTACTTTCCGCGTGATGAACTCCGACGGCGAGCTGCTCGACCCCAATCGGAAACCCCTCGGAGTGTCCAACGAGGAGATTCTCACCTGGTATAAGAACATGTTAGCGGGTGCGTATCCTTCAGTGGTATCCTTATATGAGAAAGGATATCCAGACTGACGACCCCAGTAAGCGTCATGGACGTGGTCATGTTCGAGGCCCAGCGACAAGGCCGTCTCAGTTTCTACATGGTATGTCACACCCCTCCCTCCTTCCCCAGATAACCAATAGCTAACAACGATTCGTCCAGGTCTCCGCCGGAGAAGAAGGCATCAGCGTCGGGTCCGCAGCAGCCCTAACCCCAGACGACGTGGTATTCGCCCAATACCGAGAAACGGGCGTCTTCCAACAGCGAGGCTTCACCCTCCACGACTTCATGAGCCAGCTCTTCGCCAACTGCAACGACAACGGCCGGGGCCGCAACATGCCCGTCCACTACGGGTGCAAATATCCTCGCATCGTCCGTCCCTCCCTCCCACAAGCCCTACCCATCCTACCACTCAAAGTTACCCCCCCACTAACTCACAAAACAGCACGCCATCTCCTCTCCCCTGGCCACCCAAATCCCCCAAGCCTCCGGCGCAGCCTACGCACTCAAGCTCCAAGCGCTCCAAAACCCAGACATCCCCCAACGGATAGTAGCCTGCTACTTCGGCGAAGGCGCCGCCAGCGAAGGCGACTTCCACGCGGGCCTGAACATCGCCGCTACACGATCCAGCCCCGTCGTCTTCATCTGCCGCAACAACGGGTACGCAATCTCAACACCCACCCTAGAGCAATACCGAGGCGACGGGATCGCCAGCCGCGGCGTCGGCTACGGGATCGACACGATCCGCGTCGACGGCAACGACATCTTCGCCGTTTACGAAGCAATGCAAGAAGCGCGACGCATCGCCCTCTCAGACGGCGGACGACCGGTGCTAATCGAAGCGATGAGCTACCGCGTCTCGCACCACAGTACCAGCGACGACAGCTTTGCGTACCGGGCGCGCGTCGAAGTCGAGGACTGGAAGAGGCGCGATAACCCGATTATCCGGCTGCGGAAGTGGTTGGAGAATCAGGGGCTGTGGAATGAGGACCTTGAGCGGGATACCCGTGACAAGATGCGGAAGGATGTGCTGAAGGCGTTTGGGGAGGCCGAGCGCGAGAAGAAGCCGCCGATTCGGGAGGCGTTTACGGATGTTTATGAGGAGGTTACGGAGGAGGCGGAGGCGCAGATGAAGGAGTTGAGGAGGATCGTGGAGACGTATCCCGATGAGTATGATTTGAGGCAGTATCAGGATGGGGTGAAGGGGATATGATTATGATTAGGGGGTTTATTTTGACCAGGGCTCGGAGACGTAGATATTTTCTATAGATGGGACATAGGCTCCTGTATGCATGGGAGTCGGGCCAATGGATATGTGAATATGACGACGATGTTTACTCCAATACTAAACATGCTACGAACATAGTATTGATACAACAAGTGATTGCAATCATGATGCGGATGTCATTCCAGTTCTCCATACATATACACATGAATCTTTGTACACAAAAATGCATCCCTCCAGGGAGGAGTCATTTACAAATGGATAGGTGCGTCACCAAGCTTCACCCACGCCCGTAAGTTAAGCATCCACGGCAGTGGTGAGCGCCTGCTGCGCCAGCTTCTTGTTCCGCTTGACCAAGGCGCCCACCTTCTTGTCGATACCGTCTAGCTCCTTCCGCGACGACTCGAGTTCCTTTTGCGATTTGACGGCAAACGAGCGGAGCTCTGCGTCGGTCATGCCGACCACGTCGTCCAGGTCTGGCATGTTGCCCATGACGACACCTGCGGCGCCCAGCATGTGTTTCGCGGTGGCTGCGGCGAAGGACCGCACCGAGGTAGTTGTTGCGTTCACCAGCTCGGCTGTGTTGGTGATCGCCCAGTTGTGGGTGCGATTGCTGTCCGCTTCCATGGCCGAGAGGACGTTGGGAGGAAGGCCCGCGGTGAAGGAGCTCTCTGAGACGTCCAGGTCTGCGGTCGGCGAGGCAGACGAGAGACCGCCGGACGTCTCGTCGACCCAGCAGACGTTGAAATTCTCCGGGGTCGCGAAGAGGGCGTCGAGGTCGCCTCCGCGGTTGGTCAAGTCGGGCTGCGTGATTGGGACTGCCGGATACTCGTGGAAGGAATCCATCGCCCAAGCGATGCTGTTCTCGAGGGCGAGATACCGGTCTTCCTCTTCGGGAGAAAGGTGGTGGAGAACGCACCCGCGGGGACTGATCAGGCAGCGATCCTTGAGCGACTTGGAGTCGGAATGGAGGCGAATGGGCTCTCCGCGCAGCAAAGTCTTGCGATGCTCCTCGGTGAGCTCGATGGGCTGCTTCAGGAGGTCGTAGTCATCGGAGTTACACTTCATGTCGAAGCGCTGGCTGAGATTCGGAGGGTTGAACAGAGGGTGGTTGTTGAGGTCCAGATCACCCGACTTGTGCAGTCTAGCGAGTAAGGCCTGCAACGATGAGGTCCGTTCACCAAACAGATCCCGGATAGGGACACCGGTCGCCTCGGAGTCATTGATCATCTGTTCCACGGTGTTCCTTGCACGCCACGCCTCGGTGGCAGCCTTCTGGGCCGGAGTCTCTTTCTCTTCAACGGGACTCGGCTTTGTCTCTGCCAATTTGTCTTTGGGCTTCATTTTCTTGGTTGCTTCCACCTTGGGTTCCGTCTTACCGGGAATCTCGCCATCGGATTTTCCAGGAGCGGCGTTATTATCCGTCGCGCCGCTAGACGATTCGTGGCTGATGACAGGCGCCTTCTTGGTCTTGCGCTTTCTGCCAATAATAGGCGCCTGCACTGGTTCCTCTACCGTCGTCACCTCCTGTTTCTTGATTTCAGCCTCTTTGGCTTTCTGTCGTCGCTCTTTCTTGGCTTGGCTCTTGGTCACACTCCGTACGGGAGCCGAGCCAATCCGTGAAGAAGCAGGAGGCGAGTTGGCACGAGAGACCGAGGCAGACGTGTACAGGTCCGCTTCTGACCCGATGTCACCAGGGGTATCCGGACGGCTCAGAGATGAAACACTTGGTCTCCTGGACCGCACTTTGTTGACTCCCGGCAATGAGTAGACTGACTGGGTGGCGGAAATAGGAGGTGGGGTTTCGGCCTTTGGGGTGTCAACAACACGAAGCACTCGAGGTTGACGGGGCGCTGGAGAATCTGAGGTACGCGAAACGCCGGTCAAAGGTGTATTTGGACGCGAGCCCACAGCGGAGTGGGGGGCGGCAGCCTGGACGGATACAGGTTGGACCGATGGCTCGACCTTGGGAGCTTCTGCAGCCGGGACGGTGTTCAAGGGGAGATCAAGTTTCATGGGTTTGCCTCGCGAAGCTACCGATGGCTCCCCGTCAGCAGTCACACCAGCCTTGGACTTCCCCGCTTTCCTTCCAGTAGCGACTGGGCGTTCGTCCTTCGACTGCGTACGAGCCTTTTGCGCGGATTTGGGAACAGGCGATCCCAGGGAGATCTCGGAGGCATTCTTTGTCCAACTGGAGGGGGGAACATTCTCTGCCGTATCCGAAGGCTCAGGAGATGCGTGACGAGAAGATTCATGCAATCCCTGCGACGGGGTACCCAGCCGGTGGAACGGAATGTTCAAGCCAGGCGGAAGAATAGCGGTTGATGATGCCGGGCTAGGAGGGTTTGTGGTGTGATGGATTAGGCTTGACACAGGATGTGAGTGTGGCAAGGGAAGACCGGGGGGAAGGGTCGGCGTCCCCGAACGTGCCGATACCTGGGGTTCCGCATGAAGATGCGATCGCCCGAGAAACCCGAAGCTGTCAACCGGACGCTTGTCTTTGGCGGGAGCGCCCAGAGGAGGGAAGTCTTCGTCAACTAAGCATCCACAGTCAGTACTGCTGCCAGGAAGGACGTGGGTGACGAGGCAAAAGAAGCGGCGCGATGGAGAAAGTAGAAGCTCGAAGTAAACCAAACGCTTGAACAAGATAAGACAAAAAGAAGAAAGAGAAAGCAGAAAAGCCGATACGCGCCAGGCAAAAGACAATAACACGACGAAAATACGAAAAGGGCAGTTAAAGTAATTACACGAAAGGTCCCGGCCGGGTTGACCAGACAGACAGAGGGCAGGTCTATATGAAAAGTAGTCGTGAGAAACTGTGTTTCGAATAGAAGGCCCCGCTTCGGTATATGAAGGCCAGGGCAGGGAGGTTAACGTACATAAGGCCATGATTAGACCGAATGGGCCACCAAGGTGCTGAAAGATCAACCCAGCTGGGATGCAAAAATAAAAAGCAAGAGAAAAACCAGACACACAGCTGTCACCAGTAAAGGGGATGTTCAGGAGCCAGGATGCGTCTAGTAAGGACGACGATGGCTGACATCCAAGCGGATGTCGACAAACAGATCACGGTGTATAGAAACAGAACAATGAAAACAGAAGGAAACGCATGGAGAACAATGTAGAAACCCATCCAGTCGAACGCCAGAACCACGCCGAGCCCGATAATCTTGTTCTTTTCAAAGCCGATTGCTCAATGCTTCGTTGCAGGAATAAGTCGCAAAAGTTGCACGAATGAGAATTCGAAAACCGAGAAAGGAAACAAAACAGATCCTGCACCCATCTAAAGGAAATATGATATCATGTCATAACGCAAGAGGGGAAGAAAAATAGAATCAAAGACACCAAATGAAAAGACGGGCAAACATGCAGGAAAAGACCAAATGGGTGAAGATACAAATCAATGATCATAAAAAACAAGATCAAGAAGTGAAGATGGAGGAAGTGGGAAAGGAAGAATGGGGAAAAGGGGGATAAAGAACAATCACCAGCGGTTGAACCCGCCGCCTCCATACATCATGGTGGGATTGTACCCACCTTGACCCTGACTCCCATACAGCGCTTGCCCAGCAGCAGCATTCGCACCGACCTGGTGCATCCTTGCCTGCAGGATACTCGGGTCCGCAAGATCTACTACACCGCCTCCACCGGAGGAAGTGTTAGCGTGTCTCTGCTTCTTCCCCTTCTTCTTCTGCTTCTGTGGACCCGTCTCGGAGAGATTCCCGGGTTGGGCGCCATAGAAAGAGCTCAGAAGGCCATTGGCGGTGGGAGTCAGGGGAGGGGGGGTCTGGTGTTGCTGGAGAAAAGGAAACATAAACTCACGCTTAGCGGCCTCCTGCCCCTGTAAACCACCGGCGTTTGTACCGCTGCGGCCGCGCAGCAGCTCGCGCATCAACTCTGGATTGGCCTCCTGCTTGCCGAGGTTGCCTCCCAGGGCCGTGTTAGTCGTGAACCCGTGGCCCTGGGCGAACATCCCACCCCCGCTGATCGGAGGGGTTCCCGCCGTCTTCAACCCCGGGGGCGGACCTTGCACACCACTGGTGTAGAAGTTGTTGGCCAGCCCGTGCTGGGGACTGGGTGCGGCCAGCGGGTTCGGCGTCCCGGACTGTAGCATCGACGCCTGCTGGTTCAACATGCGGACATTGGGCAGATTCTTCGAGCCGGCCTCGTTGCTGAAGGAGAAGCGGGAATTCTGTCGGTTCTGGGCCTGCATGGCATTGAACTGAGCCATCTGGGACTGGATCAAGCCCTGGCGGACCTGGGCCGCCTGTTCCAAGGAAGCCGGGCTGATGGCACCTTGCAAGGGGTCGATGGCCGCCTGCTGGTTGCTCGCGGACTTGAGAAGCATCAACTGTTGCTGCTGCAACGGCGTCAGGCTGCGACCACCCAGGTTTAGATTTTGGAACTGATGACTGGCGGCGGAAACGGGGGACCCGACCACCGAGTTCGTCGTCGTGCCTTGCTGCGACGGCGGCTGAATGGCGCCATGGGACTCACGGCTGATCCGGCCGCGCGGAGGGTTCAGATCGTCGGGTTCCCCGCCCAGTTGCAGACTGCCGCTCTCGCGACTGTCTTCCTCGGCGACAGCCGTCTGCACGATCTCCTGATCGCTCCGCGCACGCTCGTGTTCCGCTCTCTCGCGCATCGCCCGGCGCTTGACACCACCATACGGATCGATGAACGACGGGTGGTTCTCGATGCGGGCCGCTTCTTCGGACGAGAGACCGGCCGGGGAAAAGATGAACTTGAAGTCCGGGGAGTTGACCGCCTTGATCAAGTTCTCCAGGATGGACGTCATCGGGTCGGTCGGGGTCCGCGATTGGCGCGGCGAATTCGCTGCCGATGGGGCGGCCTCCTGAGGAGACGGCGTTGCACTACGCTCCGGTGCACTGGCGGACTGCTTCTCGGGCCGCTTTGGCTCTTCGGGAGGAGGCGTGGCCACTGCTGCGTTCGCGGGCCGTGGGCTCTGCGATGCCTGGCTCCCGGTCAGACTCGCGCGTCTCGTCCGATTGATCGCGCTGTCCTTGTTCGCCCAACTCGCCGATGAGGGGAGTGCCGGCCCATCCGGAGCGCGGCCACCGTTCCCGTCGTCTTTACTCGGTTGGCGGCGCATGGGTTGCGATATCGGCTGAGCGGACGACCGGGCGACATGGGGAGGGACCGTCTGAGTGGGCCCGCTCGGCGCGCCGTTGGACCGTTGACTGGAAAGGGTGTTCATCGACGAGAGGTCCTGTCGACTGTAGCTCTCGCTATCCTCGCCGGTCTCATGCAAGAAGGTGCAGTTCCGGTTGTGGCATTGTTCGTTGCGCAGGAAGGATGAGCAGTACTTGGTCGTGCCGTATTGTGCCCTAGCATCCCGTCAGCATATGGGAGGGGAATGGAAGAAGGGATACCTCATAACCTACCGGAGAACTCGATCACCATTGGCCGACCCATCCACCGCAGCAATGCACGTGGCCGCATCGCTCTTCCTCGTGTACGTCACGTAGACGCCAATGCCCTGGTTCGGATTGCCGCCCGGCTTGGCCTTGCTCACGACGATCTTCTCGATATCGCCATACTGCCCAAAGTACTCGGGGCCACGCAGGGTCTGCAGGAGTTGGTGCTCGTCGCGTATCGTCGGATTGAGGCCGATGACATAAACGAGGTTCTTCTGGACGACCCGCACGCCGGCCAGGTTTTTGCGACTGGAAGCCTCGATCTCGCGCTTCTCGGCTTCCTTCTTCTTCGCGGCGGCGGCCTTTCGGTGTTTCAACGCCAAGTCTGCCTTGAATCTAGATTGGGAGATTGGGGGTTAGCGCCAAGAACCGGGGGGGGGGGGGGGGGGCCGCAAGGGAAAATCCGGAACACCACGTACTCATCGGCATCGGGCACCTTGTACTGGATAGTACTTTCATCATAGGGACGTCGGCAGTTGGGACACCGGCCTTCTTCGCTGTGGGTTTTGATATTGTTGTAGCAAAATTGGCAAATCTACATTCACCACGTCAGAATTGGCCCAATCGCGTACGTGTCGAATCCCGAGGGCGACTGGGAAGGCGGTGGAGGCGACCACGTACCTGATACCCACACGGACACGGCTTGAAGTTCTTGTCGGACAGGTCGAACTCCTCGATACAGAGGGGGCTAGAGAGGACAATTCGTCAGTCCAGTTATAACCGTCACGACTCGAGGCCACACATACCAGAACTCATCGTCATCGTCGATGACGGAGTCGATCTGTTGACGATTTGACATTATGTTCGTGAGATTATGAGAATGTACAGTCAAGGAACGGCAGTCGCGATACGAAGCAGCACGCTCGTCAGGCGATCTAGAGAAGCGGCAGCAGGGGGGAAGGAGGGGATCGTTAAAACTTCGTCGCGGACCAAAGTAGACAAAAACGAAAGCTCAGGGGGGGAAAAAGAAACCGAGCAAAGGGGAGAAAGAGCGGTAGAAAGAGAGGGGAGATGTGTGGAGACGAGGTTGCCGAGAGGGAGGTTGGCAAAGGTGAGATGAAGAAGCGATGAGAGGCGAAGAGAGAGAAATGAAGAGACGAGAAGAGGAATCGAAGCTGGCGTTGGGTTTGCACCGGTTTGCCTGGTTTGCCTGGATTAGGTCACGTCTTATGTAATGCACACGTGATATCACGGGACTGCACTCGCACCCGAAAAGCTCCCTGCAAGCAATGTCCCTCCACTCCCTCTCTCGCCGTCGCGCTTCCTCCCCTCCATCCGCTCGCTCCACAATTGTTCGTCCATCATGGCCTCTGCTCGCTCTTTGATGCGATTGGGCTCTGGCCGGTCGCTGACGGCCGCTGTTCGGTCGCCCCGGGTCTGCCGACCCTTCTCCTCGACGGCTCTGCAGTACACCAGCGAGCCTCCGAGTTACCGCACGGTTGAGCGTCCCGGTACGTGGAAAGACAATTGACATTGGTAATTGGTAGGGGTGTCCCTCTAATATACAGTGCTATAGCCCCCGAAACTCTCCGTCGACCCGTCGTCAACCCGGCGGACAAGCACCAGGACAAGGCCGAAAGCCTGCACAGCTACGGCCAGTACGTCATGTCGTGTATGCCCAAGTACGTGCAGCAGTTCTCGGTGTGGAAGGACGAGTTGTCCATCCACGTGCCTCCGTCGGGGATCATCCCGGTGATGAGCTTCCTGAAGAACCACACGGCGGGCGAGTTCACGCAGATCTCCGATATCACGGCGGTCGACTACCCGACCAAGGACCAGCGATTCGAGGTCGTCTACAACATGCTCAGCGTGCGACACAACTCGCGTATCCGCGTCAAGACCTACGCCGACGAGGCCAACCCGGTTCCCAGCGTGACGGGCCTGTTCGAGGGTGCCCTCTGGTACGAGCGTGAAGTTTACGACATGTTCGGCGTTTTCTTCTCCGGCCACCCCGATCTGCGTCGCATCATGACCGACTACGGCTTCGACGGCCACCCGCTGCGCAAGGATTTCCCTCTGACCGGATACACGGAGCTGCGATACGATGAGGAGAAGAAGCGGATTGTCATTGAGCCGCTGGAGCTGACCCAGGCGTTCCGGAACTTCGAGGGTGGCAGCACTTCCTGGGAGCCTGTTGGTCCTGGTAATGACAAGACTCCTGAGTCGGTTCGTTTACCCTATTCTCCTGCAGTATGATATTATGATCGAGACTAACGTGAGCAGTTCAAACTCCCTACCCCCAAGCCGGAGGAAAAGCCCGAGGAAAAGAAATAGAGCTCTCAATGTATTCGTAATTCAGTTGCTTTTTCTGTATGTATATATCGCGCCTACTGGATCGTCACTTAACGGGATAAGATGTAGATCTAAGTGTAGGAGAAACAGCTTCTATAATGCTAGGAAGTGTTCAATTTTCCGTTCATCTCTCTTGCTCTGTCATTTTCTGTCTCCTTTTTTTATTCAAATTTCTATTCATTCCCATCTTAATTTCTATTTACATTGTTCTCTGTCTTCATGGAATAGCAGCAAATATCAATCTTATCCATCAGCGTAAATCGACCCCAAAACCAATCACAAGCCCGGCATAACCAAGCGCCAACCGATCTCCCAAACCAGACGCCAAATCCGCTTTAGGCAGTCCGCCGGTCTTGGCGCCGAAAAACTTCCGTCGATCGATAACAACAAATTTCCCTATCTTTATACTCCAACATCAATCACATCAACACGAGTCGCATAAACCACAGACAACATTCGATCAAAAGTTCAATTGACACAGAGTTCAGTCCAGGAAAAGGAAATCAAGAAAACAAAATGCCCAAACGAAAACTCGCCGACCTCGCGGAGCCGCCCGCCCCACAGTCCCTCCAAGCCATCCGACTATCGCAAAAGTTCGACCAGAGCGTGATCGTGCTGTCGCGCGCCTTCAAGGCTGCGCGGGGCTCCGAGCGCCAGAAGATGGGCCGGCGGGAGAAGACGGCGAAGGCGCAGCCGGATAGTAGGAGGACGCTGGCGCGATTGGCGGAGGAGGTGCAGGTTTTGAAGGTATTTCTCTCTCTTTTTCTCTTCTTTCTTACTATTCTATAGACTAGGGCAAAGTGAACTAACTGAATGTCTTTGAAACAGGCACTCGATTTCACAGCCGCGGCCAAAAAACACATTTTCAAACAACTATCTAGAACGAAACGCATCGCCGAGTCGACCACATTCGCGGAATTCCAGCAGTCAAGGAAGCTCGCTACGGGTGGGCCCCCGTCCGAGGCGGAAGCGAATGTCATGGCGCTACTGTGCAAGTCGGCGCCTGTCAAGAATGTCTTGCCGGGTATCATGGATGGGATCAGGGAGATTATGGGATTGGATGATATGTCGGCGGCGGGGAAGAAGGGCAGTCAGGCCGCGAAGGGTGCGCTGAAGAAGGACCAGACGAAGCCGAAACGAAGTGAACGACCTACATCAGCCGACGGAGACGAAGACGAAGAAGAGGGCGAACCCCGCGCCATAGCAGCAAACGACAACGACTCCGACGACGACATGGACCTAGCCCAATACTCCAACCAACTCGCATCCGACTCTGAATCCGACTCTGAATCCCCCCACCCACCGCGAAACGCAATGTCCATCTCCCCCTCGTGCTCCCCGTCCCCCACATCCTCCCCGCAAAAGAAACAAAAAGCCCAACCCCGACTCAAACCAACAACAACCACCTTCCTCCCCTCCCTAACAATGGGCGGCTACTTCTCCGGCTCCGAGTCCGAGCCCGAAGACGCAGCAGACAGCGGGGTCGCCCCGCCCCGCAAAAACCGCATGGGCCAGCAGGCGCGCCGCGCGCTCTGGGAAAAGAAGTACGGGACGGGTGCGAACCACGTTAAGCAGGAAGAGGCGATGGCGCGACGGAGTCGGGATAATGGGTGGGATATGAAGAGGGGGGCGACGGGTGGGGATCGGAGACATGGTGGTGGGAGGGGAGGGTACGATCGGGGAGACGGTCGTTCTTCGTTTCCCTCGCGGAATGGCGGAGATGGGAGTGGACACATGGCGAGGAAGCCCCCTCCTCCTGAAGATAATAAACCGCTGCATCCGTCTTGGGAGGCGGCGAAGAAGGCGAAGGAGCAGAAGAATATGGCTGCGTTCCAGGGTAAGAAGATGGTGTTTGATTAGATGGGTCAGAGTGTATATATCCATATATTTAACAAGCGTGCATGGTACTATATGCTACCTTGTAGTACTATATACTACGGTAGTATATAAATGTGTGATATATTGCAGTCATCGTAACAATCTATATCACCAGCTCAGTTATGAGCCACACGCATCTAAAGTGCTTTGCTCACTCTACTATACTATACTGGCCCTAAATATCTTAGAGAATCATAGTCGATAACCGTTGAATGCACAGTGTGGTTACTTTCGTGAAGCGACCTATCATCAAAGATCGCTGCGTGAGCTTGAGCCATGAGGGGACTAGTCGTGATGGCCTTTAGACCCTAGAAGCGTTGACCATTATGCACAATCTTGTTGTCCAGCGTATGTCGCCAGACTGATGAGACAGTGTCGACCCACAGCAAGCCTCGCCATGCTGGCTCGACACTTACTCCCTAGAAGCTCGTAGTGGGGATACTTTCGAAACCTCCAGGTGTGTGTCATCCGGCTTTCGGGCCACATCCTTGATATCTCGCTGCCATGGATATGACGGCAAACTACTCAGCACCGTACCTGGACCATTGATCGCCGCCAAGCTGATTGGAACGGACCGAATGTACAGATGTCCTGCCGCTCTTAACATGCATCGGAATAGGTCATCTCCCCGGACGAGTGTGGGAATGTAGTCAATGTCCTTGCCCCGTTCCGGCGCCTCCTGAATAGTCTGCTTGATAGAAGCCGAGAGCGCTGAATGAGGTCCTATCTCGACGAGGACACTCCTGCCGGTACCTTCCTTGAAGCGATCTTGAAGCGCGCGGCAGAATTGGACAGGCTGTCTCAGGTTCCTCCACCAGTATTCGGAATCAAGTCGCTGGGGATCGTCAATCACCTGGCAGTCGACACTGGAGTACATGGGCACCATCGATGAAGAGGGGATGACGTGAGGCTGTATACACTGTTTGTACCTTGCACCAATTTCCTGCATGTGGTCTGTACACCGTTAATCTAAACCGCACCACCAACGGTATTCACGCGAGGAGACCTACAGGAATGATAGGCCACGTTGACCGGTAGTCTTCGACAGAATACGTCTGGTCGACACCTGCGGATAGACTCCAGGACGGCTCCAAGGGCATCTCTATCGCCTGAGAGTGTGACCGACTTAGGACTGTTCACGCAGGCAACCTCCACGCCATCCTGAAGGTACGGACGGGCCTCGGGCTCGCCCATGCCAACAGCTGCCATCCCCCCGCAAGTGTTGAGTTGTGTCGCCACAACACCACGGTAGTAGGCGAGGAGAATCGCTGCTTTCGCGGTGATCGCTCCGGCTGCATACGCGGCCACGATTTCCCCGCTAGAATGGCCGAGCACCGAGCTTGGGCGAACACCCCAGCTTCGCATCAGTCTCACCAGTACAATCTGCAGCGCCGTGCAGAGAGGCTGGCTGAGATATGCTTCGTTGACCCGGCTGCCATCGGCTAACTCTTCTTTGATGCTCCAGGCTGGGGGCTCCTCTAGGGACGACAGAACGCCGTCAAGTTCCTGTATAGTCTCGTGAAACAGAGGGGATTGGTTGAGCCCCTTGCCCATGCCGGCCCATTCAGCCCCTTGACCCGTGAATACGAAGCACACGTCGTGCACTGGATCCTGGGATTTGGTAAATGACGCAGGTGACAGTGGCTGCTTCGGATCCAAGAGTGCAAATGCTCTGTGGCTCAGGTGCTCTCGCCGCTTACCAAGCGTATAAGCCAAGTCGGCCTCGTTCGGCTTGTTTTGGGTGACAAAATGTGTCAGGGAGTCGATCCGTCTGCTCAGGGCGTCCTGGTCATTTGTCGATGTAACAAGGAGCTTCACACTCGGGGAACTTTGTGGGCTTTCTTGTGCCGCGGGATTGACATAAGAGGCTGCTGAGTCCAGAAGGACCTGCACAGGTCAGTAAGTAACACTGCGTTGACCCTGTCAACTGAAAGTCTCACATGCGCATTGGATCCCCCAATACCGAAGCAGTTTACACTCGTAGCGGGGTGGATGTTGACATCGTTATCTGGATATCTGGATAAGGTGTAGTCCTGCAAAGCCACAGGTCTGTTGTACGCCAAAAGAAAGTTAAAAACATACCTTGACTATGATCACCATCTTTACAAAATCCGTAGTCTTTCGAGTAACCTTCGTTTCTGATTTTGTCAGTGCCGGTCATCCTGATCAGCCCTGGGATGGAAATCTTGAAAACACAGAGTCAAGTAATAGACCCGGACAAATAGACAAAGGATGAGCAGAACACCAAAAGTTAAACAGAAATGCTGATTTATAATATTCTTCTTCTCTCTTAGTTTTTCTCCACGATCTTATTCGTTCTGTCAGTTACAGTCCTCAAAGCATGCTGCAGCCTTCACCGCTGAATCATTGCTGTGGACATGCGTGCAGCATGCCTGATATATCGACCAGAATAGATCAATACCACCGCTCAGTCAAATGAGATACTTGCGGAGTCGATGGTAGATTATACGGAGGTTTTTCAAAGATCAAATTGTCCTTCCAGCCCTCCAAGTGACAACACATGGCTGTAGAATGTCTTATCGTGATGACCACGACCTGCAGCCAGGGCGCGTAATTTGGCACGTACCTGTATCCAGAATATCAATCAGCCCGTTCAATAAAGCGTTATCCTCGGTACCAGGACACTAGTACCGTCATTCCAGCAGTCTAACTTACCCTAATCAACATAAAAGTAGTGCTGGATGGCAGAGAGCCTTGCAGTAGCAAGGCAGATTATCTCCTGTTCCCTGCCTGGTCTTATGCCCAGATCTGGATCAGCGTTTGCTCCTTGCATCAACTGACCAAGCTGGGGGGTACATTTCTAGTGCTCGCTAAACATGTGTCGCCACTTATCTTTGAAAGTAACATCTAGTGCGTGCCATTGAAAGTCAAGGAGTTACGAAAGGCGGGATATTGCTTAACGCGACGCATACTATTATCGGTGTGACGGGATAGAGCAAAGAAATTTACGACCCATTGCGCCCTGACTACAGCCTCGGGGATAGTCTCTGACTGGAGCACCTTGCTTTTACTACCGCCCCTAAGCACAGCGACCCTGTGTCCAGCAAGGATGGTATTGGCGTGGTTCAAGTGATCGTACACCCCCCGCCAGTAAACATAGAAGGGAGGAGACCACGGGCTTTCTAAATCACCGCAAGGATAGAGCATCCTTGACGAACGTAGTAAATGTATAGTGGGCTTGAATCCGCCGGATTTATTCGTATGCTAGGAGGGAGATCAAATGATGTACTGGTGAATGAGGGGACTATCATAACATCATCATATCATACACAAGATCCAGAAATCCTGGTTCTATCTGAACAGACATGATGCAGCCCAGCCATTACACAATGCTTGATACAGACCCGTCGAGATGCAGTTCAAAAGATACGGCCTTCTCCGTGCAGCGGGGGTAGCTTCACCCGTGGGGGGCTGTTACGATTGAAGCCACGGCCAGCCAACTGGCGCAACTTACGTCCAACTTTGAGGATCTTGGTTCCCAGGTCAGCTAGGCTCTCGAGCGCAGCGCTATAACAGTGGATTGTTAGGTGCACTCCGAGTCGCCAACACCGTTGTTGTTCATGGGGTTCATAAAGCGACTTCGACTGTTGGGAAGAATGTTGCAAATGTGGCAATTTCACTAGATTCGAACGGGCCCGGGCGGTTGATGCTTACAGTGATCTGTATCCTGGCCAAAGATTAATAGAGTCTATGCTGTGGTGTGTGCCATTTTAGATGCAGAGGGCTGGTAGAAGGTATACTAAGTATTAGTTTTGAAAATATCTTTATTGAATCTTTGCTTGGGAGGTAGCTGATAGGTAGGTAGGTAGTAAAATCAGAGACCCCCATATAGGATGGTGACTAGGGAAGAGTCAAAAATCATATCACCAGTTGAAAAGAAGACCGAGAATAGAAAGTACTATAATAAAAACAAATAACCATCCGTGCTGTAAATCAAATCGCCAAACTACATCAAGTGAGTCAGTCAAACTTCCAATAACAATGCCGACACGCCAGGGCCGTATATAAGCCGAAACCAAACCAAAGAGAAAAAGATTAAAAAAAATATAGAAAAGAAAAGAACAAAAGATGATCACTCAGTCATGAACTGTATCCACCTCGCATCTGTATTCGGCCCATGATTCGGATCCGTCTCGAAGCAAGGAATAGCCGTGAACTCGCCCAGTTCTTGCGGTAAGTTAGACACATACTGGTCGAAGCCAAACGCCGGCATCTCGGACAGGTTGGTGCCGTGGTGAGCTGCCGAGTAAGCCGTTGTACCCGTCAGGTCTGATCTTGCAATCTCGCCCTCCATGGAGTCGGCGCCGCCTGTTATCGGTGTGATTGGGATGGCAGCTGGTATGCCTGCACTTCCTGCTGTAGCAGGCCCGGTGGGATACGGCTGCTGTTGGTCTTGAAATTGGACGCTTTCCGGCGAAATGGGCCCCGTCTTCCAGAGCATTTCCCAGTTCTTGAAGCGGTCGTAGGCGGATTCGATGGTGCCGGGGTTGCCGGAGGAGGAGTGCGTTTCGCTGTACTCTTCGAGGCGGTGGATGGCTCGTTCGAGGGCTTCGATGACGCTGACTGCTGATCGTGCGGATCCGACGCCCATAGACATGATTTTGATTAGCGCCATGCCTTTGCGGAGGCCTTCGCGGAGTCGCTCGGTGCGCTTGGTTAGACTTTGTGCTAGGATGACGAGGAGTGCGGCGCGGCAGGAGCTGAATTCTGTGAATGATGCGCGGGCGAGACCCGTTTCGTCGCGGAGGAGTTGGCACAGGTTGATAATTTCCAGTGCTGCTTCGACGCAGTCGGTGACTAGGTTTGAACGGTTCTTTGCTAGGCCGGAGCGTGTTTTGAACGGTGGGCCTTGGCTTGAGGATACGCTGATCGCTCGCATACTGCTGAAGAGGAACGGGCGGCCCAGGAAGATGCGCGTTAGGCAGTAGTCGAGTTTTAGATGTACGTTGGAGCGGAACAGGGGGCCTGGGTTTAGGTCCCGACAGCTGGTCTCTTCCGGGAGTGTCGACCACCAGTCGATGAGGTTTTTCCGCAGGCTCAGCAGTCGCTCGATGCAGTCGTGCTGCTGGTTTCTTTGGGATTTCCGCAGGACGGATCTTCATTATGTTAGACACGTTTCCCGAGAGGAGGTTCAGGGATATAGGGGCGATTTAAAGACGCACATTTCATTGGCCACCTCTCCAAGTTTCAAGGTCAGCTTGATGAGAGTGATCATGTTGGTATGGTTGGACACTTGGCCAGCCGGCATCAACCCAGGAAAGTCCACCGGGAATGCGGCGTCCACATCCGAGTCCGACAAGGACACTGGTCGTCCGTGGAGGATGCTCACACGTCTAGATTGGACTGTCAGCGATAGTCAATGCTAATATGTTAGAGGGTACCCACTTTTCAATCGTATAGGCCGTCCAAAACACGCGATTCCGCACCTCGATCGTCCGCGGAGACAGGCCTTCCCCTTGATACTTTCGGTGCATGCCATTCTGGATCGCCATTTTGAGAGCCAAGCCAAAGTACGTGTAGCAGAGGCCCGAGGTATCCAGAGGCAAGAGGTAGGTCCCGATGAGCAAGCAGGCCTGCACGCTGCGGATCGACGCGGTCGCGATGATGTCGGGGAGGAGTTTCGATGCGAACTGGTAGAAAGTAAGGCCGACCTCATCTTCCGAAAAGTGGTGATCCTCGGGGTTCATCGGACCGCCGGACAACCGGTTGACCGGCGTGGCAGACTCCATGTGGGCGAACTGCGTCCCGACCGCCAGGACCATCAGGATCGAGCATACCGAACCGGCGTCGTTGGAGCTGAGGCTCGCCGGGTCCATGTAGCATCGGTTGAGCTTCTCCTTGATCCAGTCCTCTTCGACGTAGAAGTTGTTCGTCTGGGCGTATTTGAAGAAGATGTGGACCAGGAAGTCGGCGACGAAGCGCGGCGGGAGACAGGTGACTGATGCCGAGACAAGGGACGTCCCGGACTGAAGCTGCGTCGCACGCCATCGTTCCTCGAAGGGCTCCACGTCGGCCGGTGCCTGCGCCAGCCATTAGCCATCAACCCATCAACAGCTCAAATCCAGACCCGAGATGACTCACCTCCGGCGTCGTCGTATTCATCCACTCATCGATCTTCTTCCGAATCTTCATCGAAAAGTTGAGATAAGAAAACTCCCCGGAATATTCTGCGACAATTCACTCGACATTAGACAGGCGAACGAGGGGCAAGCAATGCGCACGAGGTAGAAAACAGAAGAGCATACGGGTCGTATTATCCGGCAAGGCCTTGATCGTAAAGTGCTCATCGTCAATCGCTAGATCCTCAAAGTCGTCGCCTTCCATGCGGATCGACGGATCCGTCTCCGACTCAGAACCGCGCTGTTTGTGCAGATTCTCGGCCATCTTCCGCAGCGAGGGGACGTCGAATGTGATGTTGGGGACGAAGTGCTGCAGGATACGCTCCATGTAGCGGAGGCGCTCCGCTTCGGCCATGTCGTTACGGGTGATTCCGGCATTTCGTTCGAGGAGACTGTATGCGTTAATACGAGGACCCGAACGAACAATATCCAGAAAGAGAGAGCGTGTGGGCGACATACGACAGTGCAGACGATCGAGGATTCTTCTCCGTCTGATCAGGATGGGTAAAGACGCATTGCCTCCGATAGCGCACGCAGCGCCGACACGGGACACCGCCTTCGCATTTCTCCTTCACCCTGCGACAGCCATCGCATCTGAGCCAACAATCAGCATCTCGTTCTCAATTCTCTTCTCTCGGCCAGACGGAACCTACGCTCGCACGGCCCGCTTGCGATTCTCCTCCGCAACTCGCGGTCGTTTATGATGTCCAGGCACCGGGGACGGCGTGGACCGGGTATCCATGGTCTTGTTTCAACGTCGACGTCAATATCAATATCAGGTACAACTAGCGGGGTTAAGGAGGACGAGGACGCAAGGGAATCATGTTATTTGCATAGGATATGGACCGTATATGAAGAACGATGGTTAGGGGGGGGCCAAAGAGGACGAGGGAGCGTGGCTGTGATGCACCCGAATGATTGGACTTGGACTGCCAGTTGGGGAGAGAATGAAGTAAGTGGTGATTGAGGAAGTTGAACTAGTCCGGTATAAGCCAAGGAGAAGAAGGAGAAGTCGAGGAATCAATATCCCAGTCAATCAGGCGCGCACGAGAGTTCAGCGATAGTCGAAGAAATTTCCCGTTCAGGTCGGGGCGTTGATAAGAAGGATTGAGCTTTGGGCTTTTTTGCTTCGTTTGCTGGCCTTGGCGGGGCGGAATGATACCCCCGCATACGTGTATTGTATTGTATTGTATTGTATTTATGGTATGGTATCCCCTCCCCGATAGCATTTACAGTCTTAGTAGCTACACCATCTTGAGTATATAGTAGGTGAGAAAGATAGTAGGTAGGTAGGTCCCCAGCCCAAATTCAGTTAGTCCAGCTATATTTCCCTCTCTGATACTATACTAAATAATACACATACTGTAACTCAAAAAATCAGAACCCATCCACCCCCATCCCCAACCCCCTCTCCACCCCCAACTCCAACAACTTCTTCCCAATCACCAGATCCATAATCCCCATCCCAACACACTTATAAACAACATTACACCCCTCAGGCACCTCAACCGTCTCACTCCCCACCCGTCCATACAACTCCCCAATCTCAACCAGCTGGTCCTCCTTCACCTCCGCCAGGATCAGCTCCCCACTCTCCTCCAGACACGCTTCCTTGGAGTCCACGTAGATCTTGCTCCCGCCGGATAGGAGCGTCTCCGTGTCGATTTCCCGCATGTGAGGCTTGTACGAGCCGATGAGGGAGATAAAGCGCTGCTTGCCCGCTTCCCCGCATAGGTAGGAGTAGGGGAAGTTGGGTTCTGTGGCTGGGGTGCAGCTGAAGATGACGTCGCTGGACCCGACAACTTGCTGGAGTTGGGCTTCGTAGGAATCGGGCGTGGTGCCGTCTTTGGCGAGGGTGGTGATTGTGAGGTGTGGGTGGGCGGATTGCAGGTCGTCGATGACGCTCTGCATGGCGGTGAGTCTGGCACGACTGCGGTTGACGAACGAGAGACGTTTGATCTGCTGGTCCGGAGTGAGGAGCAGTGCCAGTCGTGCGTGCCACTCGGCTTGTCGTCCCGAGCCGAAGATGACCACGTTCTCCTTCCGTAGCGAGACGCAGCGCACGAAGAGCGTCATGATGGCCAGCGCGGTGCGGAAGGCGGTTATCTCTGCGGCGCTGAGCAGGCCCAGGAGTCGGCCTTCCGGGGAGAAGATGTTGATGACGCCGATGATGCCGTGTGATTGTGACGCTGTCACGATTTTGATCCCGGTGGTGTCGGTGTTGGACACGGGCATAAAGAGCGAGAGGTTGTCATTTTTGGTGGTGATGGTTGTGCGCAGCGGTTGGTGTAGCTGGCGCTCTTCTTGGGGGAGGCGCTCGTCAGTGGTGAAGGTTACCAGGGCGTTGGTGAGGGCGTCGAGGAGGGTTGAGCATTGTGCGGGGGTTAGCTGGCGGAGGAGTTGGGCCACGTCGGGTTCGGAGAGGAGGTGCATTTTGAATGTTTTTTTTTTTCTTGAAGAGGTCGTTCTTTTCTCCTGTTCTCTCTCTCGAGTTGGATTGTATCTGCGTGTCTGAGGATATAGAACCAAACAATGGGGAAGATATCAACTGTCAAAACAGCGAAGTGGGATGTTAACGTGGGGTAAAACAACGTCAGGAGAACCGGTACAGCCTCCTGTATCGGCCTCGTTCGGGTGGATCCCGGTCCCAATTCCGCCCCAATGGACCCCACGCGCTAATCCAGCAGGGCAAATGATAGTCCTGAAGACAGCAGTTGACCATGGTAGACCATGGCTTAGTTTCACTAGTGTTCTCATCGTTCGAAGTCTCGGGATATTGGATTTGAGTTTACGAGGGATAGACATGGTAAAATACTGGGGAGAATGAGATATCATGGTATTCATTATCGTGAGCTTATTAGCACTATGGAAGCATGCTCTGCTAACGCCATCTATATGCATCTGGGTTATCACCCAGGAAGGAAACCGGACAGTCACGCCAAAAACATGGACAAACATGCACAAAACGGGGACAAAAAATAGACACATAAGAATGAAAAAAAAAAGAAGGTATAAAAAGGGAAAGGAGTCAAAAAGAAAGACGATTATTTCTCCGCGGCAAAAGCCTGACGGGCGCGACGCTTCAACTCCGCAAACATCGCCTCCTGCGACTGCTTGGTGCGACCGACGGCTTCGGTATTCTCGACTGCCCGTCGGAGCAGGAAGCCCATGCACTCCTTGACGGACCCCCAGGTCAGCAGCTTGAAGACATTGGGGGTTTCCATGGTGGCGGGGTGGGTGTGGGCATGCTCGGCATCCTCGAAGCCCTGCAGGAGCTCACAGCTGACTTCGTCGGCCATGCCCTGCAGCTGGGCGTAGGAGAGATCCACATTGGGCGTCTCCCCCCGGCGGGCCTGCTCGAGGCGCAGGGCGTGGGCCTTGCGGACCGAGTCCCGGTTGTGAGTGGCGACGATGACGTGGACCGGGGGGAGATCGGTCGGGTGCTGGGCCGAGGCGGACTGGAGCATGTCGTTGTAGCGACGGGTGAGCAGAGCCTCGACGACGCCGTCGTAGCAGGCGTCGGTGTCCTCCTTCTCGGCCCAGATCAGATGGCGGGGCTCGGTCTTGAGGTAGGCGCCGCGCACTAGCTTCACGCCGAGGGTGTAGCCCTCTTGGCGGGCGATCTCGAGGTGCTTGGCTAGGGTGGCCGGGGTAGAGCGCAGGTAGCCCTGGTAGGTGTTGTAGAAGACTGCGCGGCCGGGAGTGCGCGAGTTGCAGTATTTCTGGTAGGTGGTGGCCCACTCCTCGATGCCGCGCTGGACGGCCTGCTCCTCGGCATCGACCAACAGGCGCACGTTACGCGAGATGGCCAGGTCGCACACCTGCCGGATGGACTGATCCATGAACGGGGAGGGGGCGCTCTTGTTTTGGAGGTATTGCAGGGCTTGGGTTCCCATGCCGGTGAATCTGAGATGATTAGCGGGGTTCAACATTAAGGAGAGAAGAAAAGAAAAACATACTTCAGAGCGATAAAGTCCCCCTCGTGTGCCATATCGACGGTCTGCAAGGTCCCATCCAACCACGTCTGGATCTCCTCGCGGGCCGCCTTGGGATCGGCGGGATCAGCGTTGCTCTCTCCGACCAACACCTCCTTGGCGTATCCCAGCAGGACTCCGCGGTACCCCAACTGCTTGATCTCCTGGATGGAGCGCTGGACCTCGCGTTTGTTTTCGCCCGCGTTGAACTGCTTGTAAATGGTGTGCTTGACCAGCATGTTCAACAGGGGGTTCTTGGCCACGTCGAGCAGGGGCGTCTTGGGGTTCGCCAACATCGACAGGGTGTAGATGCACGGCTTCAACAGGAGGGTGGATGAGGAGACCGACAGGATCAACAACGATCGCAAGACGGTGGACAAGGGCATCTTGGCCAGCGGGGAGGTGGAGTGCTTTTGCGTGGAGGGCGAACTCTGGTGGAAGACATGGGTGGTGGGAGTGGTTGCGGTCGCAGTCAAGGAGGACTTTGCGTTGCTGGTGCGGCTGACATGACGGGCAGAGGGGATGCCCGACAGCGCCTTGAGCGGACGGTGAGACTTGATCATCTTATGAGTGGGAGGTTGGAGAGTGAAGACTGGGTGGCTGGATGACGGAGGAAAGCCAACAGGATAGGAAGGATCAATAGAAGTCAGGTCTTCACAGCACTCTGGGGGGAAAGGATAAGATGAGGGTGGCGGCGGGGGATTAAGTACTTGATCTGATACGACTATCACTACGGTCAGATTAAGGATAAGAATCAAGAGAGGGGTCCCACGGTGGCATCAGGTCTGCTGTTCTCTAGAAGGACGGAGTCCCGCTGTCTATAGCCGGTGGAAACCGCTGGTGACCCGGGACGGTGCTTGGCCACATAACAAAGGGAGATTCTAGTGGAGACACGAATATTATTATTATTATTCCTATTTGATTTATTATTATTGATATAGTTTATATAATTTATGGATCGTGTCAGATGACTAACAGATTCCACCGACCGACCAATTTGGACCAGTTGACCAGTTGGACCAGCTGAACCGGTGGTGGATGGACTCCCGATAGGGTTGATAAAGTTCAGGGTTTGCGCTGGGACCAGCGCGTACAGGATGGAATCGGATCCGACCTCGGAAGCAGATACCGGAGGAAGACTAACACCCGAGATGAGATGATCTGGAGAGAGAGAAAGAGAGAGGACGGGGCATAGTTTTTGTAATGTGTACAGGTTCTTTTCCGATGTTGATCAAGGTGAATACCGGCTGAAGGGCCCGGTGTGGCGGGAGTCAGGATAGACAGGATCTAACGGGATCTAATCTGTACCAATAAGTCTGGTATTGATTATGCAGGAGAATTTTCAAGTGGAGCTGGAAGAGAAGGAGACCCACCCGGTTGCTGCTTGACCGGGCCGGTGATGACCCAGTTCTGATCACATCTTTGGGTTGAAGTATTGGGCCATATGGAGACCTTACGTATGAATACAACGAACACGAGTAGAATTGTAGGATGTCCCATGTGTTTGTTCTTATCTATAACCCAATTGTCTGTATTATACGTTCTATCAGTAAGTAATCAGATGTAAGGAGTATTGTAAAAAGAACTCCCCAATAAGGTGGACACTAGACGGAATAAGGTTAGAGGCTGATCGGTCATCCCCACAGCGTTCAATGCGGGGAAACAAAGATAAGAATATTGGCAACAAGGGTCTTTGGTCTCGAACTCTTAGATATAAGCACATGAGTAGTTAATAAACATCTGGCAATAGTAAATATAAATAAAAAGTATCTACCTTTTATCTGTTTATATATTCTTACCTATACCTAGAGATCATATCTTCTATCGATGTTCGGCCACCGACTCCGGCCCGGTCAAGGCTTGTCCCACCCGGAATTCCGTACCGGAAAGGTCTCCGCTGTACTCCGCCGTACCGAATCTTACACGTTGCAGCCGGAAGAGCCTTCCAGGCCACCAGGTCACCCGACCATGCAAGGATAATTTCTCCTACAATCCTTACAATCTCATTCATCTCCGGTCCATTTTCCTCGGCTGGACTCGGCGTATGGTCATTTTGGTATTCCCGTACGCGGAGGAGATGCCCGGTGACTAAGGCCGGCCCAACTCACAGCCAGTATATCATCAGAGTTTCCCCGCAGCCCTGGATTTTGTGTCTTCATCTTTCTTCTCTCATTTTCTCCTTTTCCTCCCCAGTTACTCTCTGGATTCGTTGGTTGAGATCGCATTTGTCGTCGATTTTAATCACAATGCAGTCCTCTTTGCTCCTCCGCACCAGAGCCCTTCCCTGGGCCAAGGCCTCTAGATGGAGCGTCCCTCGTACGGCCACTCGCGCCATGGGCTCCTTTGCCACCTTCAAGGTCCCGCGCATCGATAATGAACCCAATGTGAGTATTTTAAGAGGGAGACAAGTGGTCAAAATACAACAATGATGAGTGCGCTAACCTGGATGGACAGCAACATTACGCCCCAGGCACCCCCGACCGCAAAGGTCTCGAGGATGCCCTCGCCCGCCACAAAAGCAGCGCTCCCCTCAACGTCCCGCTGGTCATTGCCGGCAAGGAGGTGAGTAATTCCACAACCCGAACCAACTCAGATCGAATTCCTAATAAACCCAATCCTAGATTAAACCCTCTGAAACCTTCACTCAGGCGAACCCCGCGACCCATGCCCCCTTGGCGACTTACTCGAACGCGAGCGCCGCCGACGTCCAGTCGGCCATCGACGCCGCTCTGAAGGCCCGTCAGTCCTGGGCGGAGACCTCGTTCGCTGAACGCGCCAGTGTCTTCCTCAAGGCCGCGGATCTCATCTCCACCAAGTATCGCTACGACATCATGGCCTTGACCATGCACGGCCAGGGAAAGAATGCCTGGCAGGCTGAGATTGATTCGGCCGCCGAGCTGTGCGATTTCTTCCGCTTCGGCGTGAAATATGCTGAGGACCTCTATGCCCAGCAGCCGGTGCACAACTCCGCGGGTGTCTGGAAGTGAGTTCCCGTCTCCCGGTCTCTCAGAAGTGAAAAACGAAAAGTATACTAACAAAGTCTAGCCGCGTGGAATACCGCCCCCTCGAAGGTTTCGTCTACGCCATCAGCCCCTTCAACTTCACCGCTATCGGCGGTAACCTGGCGGGCGCCCCCGCCCTCATGGGCAACGTCGTCATCTGGAAGCCCTCGCCCTCCGCCATCGCCTCGAACTGGCTGGTCCACCAGATCCTGCTCGAGGCTGGCCTGCCCAAGGATGTCATCCAGTTCGTCCCCGGCGAGGCCGAGGAGGTCACCAAGGTCGCCCTGGACCACCCCGAGTTCGCCGCCCTCCACTTCACCGGCAGCACCGGCGTCTTCCGCAGCCTCTACGGCCAGATCGCCGGCGGCGTCGCCGAGGGCAAGTACCGCAGCTACCCGCGCATTGTCGGCGAGACCGGCGGCAAGAACTTCCACCTCATCCACAAGTCCGCCCACCTCCGCAACGCCGCCGTCCAGACGGTCCGTGGCGCCTTTGAGTTCCAGGGCCAGAAGTGCAGCGCCACCTCGCGCGTCTACGTGGCCGACTCCATCGCCGACGAGTTCGTCGCCGAGGTCGCGGCCGAGACTAAGAAGCTCAAGGTCGGCGAGCCCACCGATTTCACCAACTTCTGCGGCCCCGTCATCCACGAGGGCTCCTTCACCAAGCTGTCCCAGGTGATCGATGAAGCCAAGCAGGATCCCGAGCTGGAGCTCGTCGCCGGCGGCTCCTACGACGCCTCCCAGGGCTGGTACATCCACCCCACGGTCTACCGCACCTCGAACCCGGACCACCCGCTGCTGTCGCGCGAGCTGTTCGGGCCCGTCCTGGTCATCCACAGCTACCCCGACGCCACCGAGGCCGATTTCTCCAAGATTTGCGAGAAGATCGACTCGACGGGTACCTACGGCCTGACCGGCGCCGTCTTCTCGCAGGACCGCGTGGCCCTCCAGGCCGCCAACGACGCGCTCCGCAACACCGCCGGTAACTTCTATATCAACTGCAAGAGCACCGGCGCCGTCGTCGGTCAGCAGCCCTTCGGCGGTGCCCGCGCGAGCGGCACCAACGACAAGGCCGGCAGCGGCAACCTGCTCTCCCGCTTTGTGAGCCTGCGCTCGATCAAGGAGGAGTTTGTCCCGACCACCAAGGTTGAATATCCCAGCAACGCATAGACGTGTCATGTTGCCTAGCTTTGATTTTTCTTACTGTTTTTTTGTCTTCTCTATTCCCCACCAGTGCATCTGGTTTGTGTATGGGCATTGCATCTCTGGCGTTGGATCATGATTTCTACGGCTGGTTCGCAGCGACGAAAAGTACAATTCAATACATATTTTACTTTCCTACATACCTATATCCCTCTACTTCGTACATTACCTGCCAATCCCACTTCACATTGACGAGTGTCCAAATCAGTAGATAAGAGCGCTGCCTCAGGAACCAGGCACCCACAGCGGGGCCGATAAGCGGGATTACCCAATGGGGCAATCGACCCCTCCCGTGCCTCAAGTTTTTTAGGTTAGTTGGATGTAACCATCATCAAGGAATTGTCTTGGTTTACCCCGACTTTCTCTGTTCGCTTGATTCTTGGTGTTCTTTTTAAGAAATCTCTTTCGCGGTTTTTTGCATGCTTAGATTCCCTTCGGTTTTTCACCGTCGTCTCGCTACTACCACTTCTAAACCCCTCCGACGTATCGAGTCGCCTAAGCAACTTGCGAAAAGAATGGCTGCCCTTCCCGATACCTACAAGGGTGAGTGAACAGGACACCGTGGACATTGCCTCTACTCGCTTGTCAATAAATACTGACGGATATTCTGTCCAGACCCCGTCCGCATCGCCGTCATCGGCGGAACAGGCCTGAGTGAACTCCCCGGCTTCACCCAGGTTGCCTCTCTGAACGTCGACACCCCCTGGGGCAAGCCGTCCTCCCCGATCACCATCCTCCACCACCAATGCCACCACAATAACCAGACCGTCGCGGTGGCCTTCCTCAGCCGCCACGGCATGCACCACCAGATTGCGCCGCATGAGGTCCCCGCGCGCGCTAACATCGCCGCTCTGCGCTCCATCGGCGTGCGCTCCATCGTGGCCTTCTCCGCTGTCGGCAGTCTGCAGGAGGAGATCAAGCCCCGTGATTTCGTCGTCCCGACGCAGGTTATTGACCGCACGAAGGGTATTCGCCCGTTCACCTTCTTTGAGGGTGGTGTTGTGGCCCATGTGCCGTTTGGAGATCCTTTCGATGAGGACATGGCCAAGGTTGTGAGGGCTTGTGGGCACAGTCTTGATGGTGAGGGTGTGCGTCTGCATGATAATGGGACTCTTGTCTGTATGGGTATGTTCTCTTTTTCCCTTTTTCCTTTGCCTAGTTCCCTCTGGCAGCATACTAATCTACTGCAGAGGGCCCTCAATTCTCCACCCGCGCGGAGAGCAAGCTCTACCGCTCCTGGGGCGGCAGCGTCATCAACATGTCCTGCCTTCCCGAGTCCAAGCTGGCTCGTGAGGCCGAGATCGCCTACCAGATGATCTGCATGTCCACCGACTACGACTGCTGGCACGAGTCGACCGCCGACGTCACCGTGGAGATGGTGATGGGCAACATGAAGTCCAACGCCGAGAACGCCCGGCGCTTCGTCACGGCCGTGCTGGACGAGCTGGCCGCGGACCACAACTCGGATCTGGTCCAGGCCAAGCACTATGCGGGCTCGGTCAAGTTCGGGCTCAGCACTGCCCAGGAGTACTGGAGCCCTGAGGCCCGGGAGAAGATGAACTGGCTCTTCCCTGGTTACTTTGAATGATTTGGTTGAGGGTCTTGTTGGGATTAGATCAGCAATTTCCACTGTATAGAGTTACTTTTCCATGGCGGGATAGAGATGCATAGTTTATGACGAGCTCACGAGAACAAAGACTCTACCTACATGAATTTCTGGGACTGTACTTTTCTGAGTGTATTTAGACAGCTGCATAGCTCTTGCTGTGCAGTCTCTGTATAGGTCTGCCCCTCGTGGACTGACCAACCAATCTGGCAAGGACGACTGGTTATATCGCAATAGACATGAAGTCAACATTTGCACACTCATCCATTGCACATATCTGTGACACAACACATTCATTTATTGCGATCACTGCAAACACTCATCTTTAGTGCATGAAAAGTCGTTTTTGATGCCCGCATACTCTCCCACCAAACAATTACTAGATAACCTCGACCACACAGCACACTGTCCAGACATGGCGTACCAAGACCACGAGATAGACCCCACCGGGGACGCTTTCATGATCGTGGAGTCTCGCGCAAGCGAACTCTACCTATGGTTTGTCAAAGCCGGTGGGCGCCATCCGACTCCTATCTGTCCTGCAAAACCGGCACCTACTGATGGCTCCCAATCCCAGATCCCCAGAGCAAGCTCTGGTCCGAGCTGGTGGACATCTCAGAAGGAAGACGATCAAGCCAGCACCGCATCATCAACAGCGACACCAGTTCTCCCTCGACGAGCCCCTCTTCGTCTTCCAGATTGGACGCCCCAGCCTTGACCATGGCCTCTACATACTCCAGTCCCCACGACAGCAACGGCGAGTTAAGCGACCGCGAGCCGAGCCCCGGCCCCAAACAGCTCAGAGTGCGCGTCTCGTCGAAACACTTGGCCCTCGCGTCCAGCTATTTCGGCAGACTGCTCGCCAATTCCAAAACGGTACTTCTCCCCGACATGTGGGAAGAATTCCGCGGCGACATCACGCAGCCCCTGCTGCTCATCCTGCGCGCCATCCACGGCCAGAGCAGGAAGGTTCCCCGGTTCCTGGGCTTCGAGATGCTGTACAAGGTCGCATATCTGGCAGACTACTTCGGCTGCAGTGAAGCCGTTGAGATATTTGCTGATACCTGGATCCGTAATGCGGAGGACCTGCTCCCGATGAGCTACACTGTCGACGTGCCGCACTGGCTCTGTATCGCTTGGGTTCTTCGTCATAACGACCTCTTTACTGCTGTTACGTGTCTGGCTATCCGTGAGTCCAAGGCGCCTATATTTCGCTGTGATAATAGTCCTGTTCCGGAGGAGGTTTTCTGTGGGTCTCACTTTCAACATACCTATATACCCCCAATAGGTTTCCTTTATTAAAGCAGAGGGAGGAGTAAACTAACGCAAGGAAGACACCATCGCCAAAACCCGAGAGGAATACATGGAAGAGATCCTCACCTCCGTCTACGACTACATTGACGCCCTCTCGCTCGACGACTCCACCACCTGCTGTCCAGACTGCGCGTCGTTGATCCTCGGCTTGTTACTCCGCCAGCTCACGTCCCTCAAACTCTATCCCCAGCCTGACCCGCCGTACTTCACGCACAGCTTGAACGGTCTGCTCAAGTCGCTCCCGACGCTGGAACCACCGCGCTGCAGTGCCCACGTCCATAAGCTGAACGGATGTCACGGTCGCTGTGCCGTGTTGTTGCCTCGGACGGGGGAAGTGTTGCAGAAGATTGAGGCGAAGATGAAGGGCTTGGATTTGGAGGATTATGTGGATCTTGCTTGGGTGCCTCATGTTGGTTGATTGGTTGATTGCTTGGTTAATTGATTTGCTTGGTCTTGATATAGTGATGGTTTGGAGTGGGTGGGTTTATTTTTATGCCTTGGGTATGATTTTCTTTTTGACTGGCATTTTGTCATTCTTTTTGTCATTCTTTCTATCTTTTTTTTTTGTCTTTTTTTTATCTGTGTATTTTGGTGCAGAGGACTTATAACTAATGGATGTTTATTATTTTGAAGAGTGGTTAAGAGGGTTAAGAGGGTTAAGAAGAGTATTCGAAAGTGTATGTAGAAGAGTATCTACAAAACCCAGTATAGAAGCAGTATAGAAGGATAGAGTAGATCACATGTCACTCTTCCCCTTCGGCTCTTCTTCTTCAACTCACCAACTCACGTCAATCAACCAAATCAACAATCCAACCCCGAGTTCTGTGGAACCCTCTTCCTTGGTATCGACGTTACTCGACCTCATGCTGCATCGAGTCCCCATGACTTGTCTCAATTTCACCTGTCATTCAGTTGAACTAATCTCTCCCCGTGGCCACTCCTGCTGATTCGCCGTCTTAAACTCAATCCAGTCCAATCCCCAGAATACACCGACGATGATCAGATCATAAATGGGCTGTCCATAATATCACATTTATTTGGGGAATGTCACTAGGTATCCACGCCACGGGGTAGTGGTCGACGGTCTCCATCCCCTGACGATCTTGGCTGGAGAGGTGTTTAATGTCCGATGCCTCGCCGTATTCGAGGTAGGGATCGTCGTGGACTTTCTTCGAACCGAACTCGCTAAAATTGATGGGTTGATTTCTATTATAATCGCATCTGAACGCAGTTGTTGTCTTTGGGGTTGTGAATCAAAGTCCAGCTCATAGTCACCAGTCAGATTGGACCAAGGCTATCCATGATAGTGACAGCGACATTGGCATTCTGGCATCTGCGCATGACTGCCCATCATACTATCCCTACCTGCGGGGTTGGACCGTTGCATTCAGCTCAGATCCACTAACAACCACTAACCAATGATCGACACGTTCGTCTTCCCTTCCTGGCCGTCTAGTCTCTGCAGATTCCCCAACTCCCCATGGCCTCCTCCACTAACAGACCAAGGTCAACCCCTTACTATACCGGACACTTCCTAGCATTTGGGTAATTGATCCTCGCCAACTCTGTCCATGCCATGGCAGCATCCGGATTGCCTGGCTATGATCGGCTTCGCTCTGAGACCGGCCCGCTTGGCACGCGACTGGCCGCTACTATACTTCCCTGTATTCATTTCGTCTACTATCATAGTATCCTTGGCATGGTTAGTGCTACAGGACGGGTACATGCGTGGCTGACCCTTCGCAAGACCTCCTGATCGGGCTTCACACGAATTATCGTCCAGTCCGGATCGCAATCCCATGCCCCACTGGCCCCTGCAGCGGGCTACAGCCTAAACTTCTGTCATCCCCGGAACCTGGCTAGCTATATATCTAGCTCGGGTCACCCCACACTGGGGTGGGAAGATTGTTCTTCTTGCAAAATTTCTTTGCACTCTTGCACGAACTATCGCCATGGTGGCTCTCTCGCTATCACTGGCACTTGCGGCGTCGCTGGCCCCTTGGGCGCAAGCCTCGCCCACCACGAAACACCTGGAGGTCCGCGCTGATGACAAAGCCTACTCACCTCCGTACTATCCCGCCCCTAAGGGAGGATGGCTCTCCGACTGGGAGGATGCCTACGAGAAGGCGCACGAGCTGGTCAGCCAGATGACCCTGGCGGAGAAGGTGAACCTGACGACGGGTACGGGAATCTTCATGGGCCGCTGCAGCGGACAGACCGGGAGCGTATCGCGACTGGGCGTGCCTCAACTCTGCATCAACGACGGCCCGCTGGGCGTTCGCAACACCGACCTCGCCACGGCCTTCCCCGCCGGCATCACCGTCGGGGCAACCTTCGACAAGGAGCTCATGCACGAGCGGGGTGTCGCCATGGGAGAGGAGTCGCGCGGGAAGGGCGTCAACGTGCTGCTGGGCCCGTCGGTCGGGCCTATCGGCCGCAAGCCTCGAGGAGGCCGCAACTGGGAGGGCTTCGGCGCTGACCCAGTCCTTCAGGGTATTGCGGCCGCGCAGACCATCAAGGGCATGCAGAGCACTGGCGCCATCGCGTGTATCAAGCACTATATCGGTAACGAGCAGGAGATGCACCGCATGAGCAGCGTGGTCACCCAGGGCTACTCGTCCAACATCGACGACCGCACTCTGCACGAACTTTACCTGTGGCCGTTTGCCGAGAGCGTGAGAGCGGGCGTTGGCTCTCTCATGACCGCCTATAACGATGTAGGCTGGCCTAACTCTTAACTCTTAGACACGAGGGTCGATGCTAAACGTACTAGGTGAATCGGTCTTCCTGCAGCCAGAACAGCAAGCTCCTTAACGATATCCTCAAGGACGAATTGGGCTTCCAGGGCTTCGTCATGACCGATTGGCTGGGTCACTACGGCGGTGTCTCCTCCGCTCTGGCGGGTCTGGATATGAGCATGCCCGGTGATGGGTCGCTCCCGCTGTTCGGTACTAGCTACTGGGGCTCCGACATGTCTCGCTCTGTCTTGAATGGAACGGTCCCGCTCGATCGTCTGAATGATATGGTATGTTTCGGCCGCTAGGAACCTTGAAATCGTTATGGTGCTAATGTGCTGCATAGGTTACTCGCATTGTGGCGACGTGGTATCAGATGGGCCAGGACAAGGACTACCCCTTGCCCAACTTCTCCACCAACACCGCTGCCGATAAGGCTCTTCTCTACCCCGGGGCGGTCCTCTCCCCGATCGGCGTGGTCAACGAGCATGTCGATGTGCAGGGCAACCACAACGAGACGGCGAGGGCCGTGGCGCGTGATGCCATCACCCTGCTGAAGAACGAGGGCGAGACGCTGCCGCTGAAGAAGGACGACTCCCTGTACGTCTTTGGCACCGATGCGGGGTCCGACCCGCAAGGGCTGAACTCGTGTGCCGACAAGGGCTGCAACCGCGGTGTCCTGACCATGGGCTGGGGCAGCGGCACCGCCAAGCTGCCGTACCTCGTCACCCCCCAGGAGGCCATCGCCAACATCTCCTCCAAGGCCGAATTCCACATCACCGACTCCTTCCCCAAGGACGTCTCCCCCGGCCCCGATGACGTTGCCGTCGTTTTCATCAGCGCCGATGCGGGCGAGAACTTCATCATCGTCGACGGCAACCCTGGAGACCGCACCAAGGCGGACCTGAAGGCGTGGCACAAAGGTGACGAACTCGTCAAGGATGCCGCGGAGAAGTTCTCCACGGTCGTCGTCGTGGTCCACACCGTCGGCCCCATCCTCATGGAGGAGTGGATCGAGCTGCCGTCCGTCAAGGCTGTCCTCGTCGCCCACCTGCCCGGCCAGGAAGCCGGATGGTCGCTGACGGACGTCCTCTTCGGCGACTACAGCCCCAGCGGCCACATGCCGTACACCATCCCGCGCAGCGAGGACAACTACCCGGAGAGCGTGTCGCTGATCCAGCAGCCCTTCGGCCAGATCCAAGACGACTACACCGAGCGCCTGTACATCGACTACCGCCACTTCATGAAAGCCGACGTCACCCCGCGCTACCCCTTCGGCCACGGCCTCTCCTACACCACCTTCGACTACTCCAAGCCGAGCCTCTCCGTCGTGACCCCGCTCGACAGCGCCTACCCGCCAGCCCGGGGCCCCAAGGGCTCCACGCCCACCTACCCCGACACCAAGCCGGCCCCCTCCGAGGTCGCCTGGCCCAAGGACTTCCCCCGCATCACGCGCTACCTCTACCCCTACCTCGACAACCCCGAAGGCGCCGCCGCCAACTCCAGCAAGAAATACCCCTACCCAGAGGGTTACACCACGAAGCCCAAGCCGGGTCCCCGCGCGGGCGGCGGCGCCGGCGGCAACCCCGCCCTGTGGGACGTGGCCTACTCCGTGCAGGTGACGGTCACCAACTCGGGGAAGCGCCCGGGCCGCGCCGTGGCCCAGCTCTACGTCGAGCTGCCTACGGACCTCGGCGTCGACACGCCCTCCCGCCAGCTGCGCCAGTTCGAGAAGACTAAGACGCTGGCTCCTGGAGAGAGCGAGATCGTGACCCTTGAGGTCACCCGCAAGGACGTCAGCGTGTGGAACGCTATCGTGCAGGACTGGCAGGTGCCTGTTAACGGCGAGGGCGTTAACATCTACGTGGGAGAGAGTGTTGCCGATGAGCGCGTAGTGTGCAAGGTGGGGGATAAGTGCTCGACTTTGTAACTTCATTACCATTTTGATACCTAGTATGGACATAGTTATATAATTTCATAATTGTACCAAATAACATCGTTGATCTCACTCAGTCTTGCTGCCTATACTTCCCAGACCGTACTATGATATCAGAAAGTAAATCAGGCAGGCGGTGGCAGAATCCCCACCCTCCACTCGCCGAAGCGCATCGCATCGCATCGCATCCCGACTAGATTGATAATCCTCGCATCTCCATCTTCCGATCTCATCTTGCTTGCTTCTCGACCAGCACGGCTGGCTCGGTGCCGTCCAGGGAGCCAGCCAGACAACCAGATATAGACAGGATAGTACGTTGGTGTAGACCAACTCGTTGCCCAACATGCAAGGCTTTAGTGAGTCCCGCCCACGATAACTTCCGCCGATCGAACGGGGTACTAATATGCGATTGATTGCTTTAGATATGGGACGGTATGCAGTCTCCTACCTTTCCAACAGTCCCCATTAGAAAAAGAGATATCCGAAACAAATGCAAGAGAGAAATATCAGACTAACAAATGCAACATCAATATAGATACGTCCCCCCGGACCAAGAAGGCCTCACAAGCGGCAACAAGTTGCACAACAAGCACGCGCTCGGCGCCCGCGCACGCAACCTGCACAAAACGGGCTCCCTCACCGTGCGCTTCGAGATGCCCTTCGCGGTGTGGTGCACGACGTGCAAGCCGCATGAGACGCTCATCGGGCAGGGCGTGCGGTTCAACGCGGAGAAGAAGAAGATCGGCAATTACCACAGCACCCCGATTTACAGTTTCCGGATGCGGCACCCGCAGTGCGGCGGGTGGATTGAGATCCGCACGGATCCGCAGAATACGGCGTATGTTGTTGTTGAGGGGGGCGGAAGAGGGAGACTGGGGAGAATGCGGGGGAGGGTAGTGAGGGGTGGTGAGGGGGTTGGCGGAGATGGGGGAGAGGTTGAGGGCTGGGACTGGGGCTGATAATCGGGATCCGTTTGAGAGGGTGCAGGGGAAGGTGGATGATAAGAAGGCTGGGGAGGCGGAGAGGGGGAGGGTGGAGGAGCTTTATTGGGGGCGGGAGAGGGATTGGGCGGATCCTTATGCTGTGTCGAGGAGGGTGAGGAAGGGTTTCCGCGCGGAGAGGAAGAGCTTGGAGGTTAGGGCGAGGGAGAGGAGTGCGTTGGCGGAGAAGATGAGTTTGGGGTTTGAGGTTGTTGATGAGAGTGAGGGGGATCGGGTGCGTGCTGGGTTGGTGGATTTTGCGCCGTCTGCCTCCTCCGCTGGTGGGGTGCGGTCGAAACCGCTGTTTGATCAGCGGCCTGTGTCGTCGTCTTCGTCATCTGGAGCTAATTCGCCGCGTCTTGGAAGATCGAAGGATAAACGCGCCAGGAGCAGGACACAGCTGCAGAGCGAGCTGACGGGGAATACGCGCGCCGCGGTAGATCCGTTCCTGGCGACGGATGACAGCGAGTGGCGGCCGGAGATCAAACGACGGAAACCGAACCATACGAGTCGACTAGCTGCGACGAATACCGCTACGAGTCCTGGTGCGCAAACAGATGCAGAGGCAGAACAGCGCGCGTCAGGGTCCGATAATACGGACAAGGATGCGTCTGGGGAGAAGCAGGCGGGTCCTGTGGCGTTGGTGGATTATGCGTCGGATTCGCAGTGACTTTCTTTTCCTTTCATGTTCCTCTTGGACTCCTTTTGGATTGCATTTGGTGTACTATTAGGCGTTTACATCATGATACCCCCGTTTCTGTTAGATTCACATATCTAGTTGCTGCATCTCTTGCGTGTGGAGGCTGCATTATTAGGGCTCTTGTTCGTGTTATAGGTGGTGGTAGGTAGGTAGTAGGTAGGTAGTAGGTATATGCAATGCGCCTCGGAGCCCCTTTCGGTATATCTCACCAAGGAGCCTTGGTCACCACATCCGGTCTATCATCAGGGCTTGGACCCGGCGACGGGGAACTAGACCATGGAGCGCGAGTGGGCGCCATTGGTCCAGGCGGTAATCGAGACGTGTCTGTTAGCGAAGTCGGCATTGGTGCTCTGGACGAGGGGACTGCCGGTCCTCGAGCGGCGGCCCAGGGCGCGGTGGTCCCGCCTGGAGGCGGCGCTGTTGTTGGCCCTGTCGCCGACGCCCACGGTGCTTTGGTGCCTGGTCCTGCAGCTGCGGGGGCGCTCGGTCGAGGCTGGGACGTAGACGAGGTGTGTGCTGATTGCGGTGGGGGGATTGTGTTGGGGTCGCGGTCCCAGCTGAAGAGGGAGCCGAAGGGGAAGTGTTGCACGACGGGGAATTTGGAGAGGACTTCGGCGTTGTACATTTTGATCATGCCCTGGGATTTATTAACCATCTATAATAAAAAAAAAGGGTTAGGGAGGGAGTAGAAAAGACATACTTTGTTGATTTTGGCCCAGCCGGTGCGGATGCCTGATATGTCGAAGAGCATGGGGCTGTGTTCCCAGAAGGGGCCCTTTTTGACGTCGTAGATGAATCCCACGGCGGAGAAGTATAGGTTTGTGATGCGTTCTCTCGCGACGATGTTCGCTTTGGCTACACCGCTGGGATCGGGTGCGTCTGGTAAGGAGCCTTCCTCTGGGACGCGGTCGGATTCGGAGATGGCGGGGGCGAGCTGGGCGGAGCCGAAGATGTATGGGATGAAGGAGTGGTCGTCGAGACCCCAGACGCCGTGGGAGCCTGCTGGTTCGAGGGTGTAGGATTTGATGATGGTGCGTACCAGTTCAAAGTATCTAGATGGTCAGTACTTTCTTTACCAAGGGGGATATATCAGAGGGGACGAACGGCTGCATCACTCCCAGGACAATCTCCCTCTCCTCGACCCCAGGACCACTCTTCGGAAACCCATTCAGCTTCCAGATGCAACCCAGAAACGCCAGAAAGCTCAACTCGTGTCCCGTCCCATAGTCCAGACGTTGCGGGCTACCCCAGCTGCCCAGAAAGTACGCCTTCAGCTCCTCCTCCGCGGTAGGACCCTCGGGGTCCAACGCAGAACGCATATGCAGCATTTCCCCCGACAGACATTCCTCCAGCAGGTCCGTCGCCCGGCTCTCCACGATCTGATACCACTTGCGAAAACTGACATTGCCGAAACGACGCGGACCGGTGTCGGGTGGGACTTCAGACAGGGTCCCCTCCAGCTTGGATAGTAGCAGCTGCAGCTGTCGGACGGGAGCGGAGAACCCCACGGCGTCCGAGTTCAGCGGCCACGCCTGGACGCTGCCGTCTGGGAGCTTGCGAGGGAGCATCGACCGATTCAATTGCAGTAGAAATGTCATTAGATCGACGTAGGCGCGCGAGCAGAGAAAGTCGGACACGTCGGGGTGTTCGTGGATTCGCTTGGTAGGCTTGATGAATCGGTGCCCCTCGGCGTCGGCGGGAGCGAGGGGGAGGAGAACGCGGACTGGATTGTCCGTGGCCATTTTGTATTATAGTATTCGAGTAATTAGTATTCAGTAGAGAAAAGATTGAATAATCCCGATCTGTGAAAAAGTTGTAGAACAGAGAAAGAGGGAAGATGAAAAGGATCGAGTATAGAATGATGACGCTGCTATCGATAAGCCCGATCACGGGAGCGGATCTTCTCCGCTTTAGCCTGAGCTCTTTCTTTCTCTTTCTCTCTGTTTGTTTATGTGAATTCCACCCCATTGACCGGCTGGTGCCCGGGTCTGGCTATTGAGTCTTTCATACTATCTACGTGGGTATTAACTTTTCAATCTAATCAAAATGGCTCGCAGAAACCGCAGTTTCAGAGCTTCCGGACGCGCGCTCGATATCCTCAACAGCATCAACAATCCCAGCACCAGCCGCAAACAACGCGACCAGCCCGTCCGAAGTTCCCGCCGCGCGACGCATGGGGGAGAGAGTCAAGACGTCCCTAAAAATCGGGACGATATCTGGCAGATTCCTGTGTCGCCGGAAGTTCGCACGCCTTCCCCTCCGGCCTCCAGGCACACACCACCGCAGACCCTACACATACCCGAAGCAGAACCCACACCGCGGCGATCGAGGCGGCTTCAACACGAGACGCCGGAGAACTCGTCGCCGCTGCGAGATCCGTTGCGGCAACAAGAGCAGACGCCTGATGTGGAAGAGCCGGAGCCAGAGGCGGAGCCGGAGTCGGAGTCGGAGTCGGAATGGGTATCAGATGGAGGAGGCTCTGAAGGAAGCGAGGAAGTGAGCCAGGAGCCGTTGGAGGAATACAGTGAGGGCGATGAGGCACCAGATGGACAACAAGCGGTGGCACACGAGACAGCGACGAAGAAAAGGAAGACCGCTGCGATGGAAAGCCCGCGAGAGGATGGAGAACCGCAGAATACGCACGATCGGGATCAGCCGGCAAGAGACCAGCAGGCCAACGCCCCTTCACCCCATCGCGGCAACCCTGACAATCTGTCTAGTCCCACATCCCGTCGTCAGCGGCGCCGGGTTCGGTCTCCTTCGCGCGTACGAATAGAGATCCCTCCGCGCGCGTCGTCGCCTGCGCAACCCGAGCCATCTCCGGATTCCCATGACCAGACCCAAACGACCGATCGGGCCCTGGAGGTTGCGCCTGAGCCGGTCAAGGAGATCTGGTTTGACCAAGCGCAACATCTGGGGGGCCAAGAGGATAATTGGAGGACACTGACCGCCGCGGTGAGGACGCTGCGGAAAACCAAGGTGCCATCCGTGGAGCACTACCTGGGAGATGTCAAGGGTGCCGTCGACTTCTTCCAAAATAGTTACAAGCGCACTGTCATTACGCCGCTCCGGGAAGGCGATGCGCCCGCGTCCGAGAGCGCGGCGCAGTTCGACGATCTCCTCGCCGTGATCCAACAGGAAGGGGACCAGGTCATGGACGTCATCTACGAGCTGACGGAACCCGCACAGCGTCGGGACCTTCTTGATGGGTTTGGAGCCCGAGCGATCGACTGGGCCTACAAGGTGGTGAAGCAATGCTTCCGAGCCTACTATATTGCGGGGGGACGGTATCCGGCGGCGCGAAGACATTTCCGTCGGGCGTTGGCCCTGCTCTCCTGGTTCTGTCGACGGCTGGGCTCGTTGGCGGGTCGGATGCAGATGGAGACGCGACAGAAGGAGCTGCGACGGTTGGAAAAGTCGCTGGCCAAACTCCAAGCGGCGTTGGAGTCGCGGGCGTTGGAACCGGAGGCCCGGGAGGCCCGGGAGGCCCTCGAGGGCCCCGGGGCCCCCGTCGGAGGGGGCACACTCCGCGATCTGGTTTTCCCTTATGGTCGCAAGCCGTGGACGAACGACGAAGGGCAGGCTTTACTGGATGGTCTGCAGCGATACCAAGGTATGTCCCCGCTCCGCCTTTCTTCTCTCATAGCGCCCATCTGACCGATGTCAGGCCCAGATCGATACTATCGGATCCTCACCCAGTCGGGTCGACGACTCCTCGGTCGCACCGCGTTGGAACTGCGGGAACAAGCGTGCCAATTACGGGATCGCATCCTGACGCAGCACGACCATGAGCTCCACAGCATGGAGGGACAACGGAAATGGCGATGGCTCCTGAGTGTGCGTGAGGAGTGAGAGTGGTTGAATTGATGGTGATCGAGATACCCAGTTCTATTTTTGTATTATTCCTACTATCGTATTCCAACTACTGCAGTACTACTACAGCTCCACGAACCATGGGTCGAACAAGTGGAGCCCTGGAACGAGGGTTTCAGGAGACCACAACAAACAATGACTGAAATTCGGGGATTCAGTGGTTTCAGGTGAGATGTATAGAAAAGAAATCAATATATATAATCTAGAGGTGTATAGGGTGTATAATATCGAAGTAATCGATAGATCACCCGGCGTGCCTGAGGTGTCCCTTCCACTAGTCTCTCCTCCTCTTCTTCTTCCTCCTGTCTTTCTTTCTCTCTTTCTCTCTTTCTCTCTCCTCTTCTCCTCTTCTCTCACTTCATCTCTTCTTCTCTCTCTCCAACCATCTACTTCTCTCTTCTGTTTCTTCGGTTCTCCCCTTCTCTCTCTATTACTGTATTTAATATTTCATTCCTCTTTTCTCTTTCATCTTAATTGCCCCTCCATTGCCCTCCTGATCGGCATTCCCCCGGAATCACACGACACTACCCCTGCAGGTACCTATCACCCTCCACTCTAGCACCCCCTCTAGTACCCCCTCTCCATACACAGCGTCGCAGTCAGTTCGTATCGCGAGACGGACAGGTCATCTTCAACGGCAGACAGAATACTTCCAGACACAAGACACAAGACAATCGTGAGAGGAAGCGTGTGTTGACAACCCCGGTGGATCTCGGCCGTCCCGAAAAGGAGAACAGTCTCCATCGCAGCTGCCTCTGGCGGCCGATCGTCATTCTGCTTTCCGACTCCAGGCCAGCTCAGCGTCTTCGCCGGTTCCCTTCTCTCTCTCTCTCCGATTCTCTCGTCCCCTCTTCTCTGCCAATGACCTGATTGTCCGTCCGCACGCCGACACACTCACCCTTCTCGCGGTATTGAACCGAACGCGACGTTGTCTCTTTTTCTCTGTCTCGTTTCTTTTTCTTCTTTGGGTTCCCCCAGACTAACGGGAATCTCCTTTTCGCTAGATTCCTGCTGAAGAATCCCCTCCCCCGATTCGTCAGTCCCTGACTCTTCTGACTCTCTCTCTCTCTCCCCCCCCCCTCTTCTACAAATACAAGATGGCTTCGACGGAAGAGCCCATCCCAGCCGCCGCCCCTGCGGAGGTCCCTGCGGAGGTCCCTGCCGTGGAAGTTCCCCCCACGGAGGCGCCCGCCCCGACCGAGGCTCCCACCGAGGCGCCCGCCGAGGTCGACTCGGACACCGCTCCCCCGGCCACCCCCGTCGACTCGACCGTCCTCTCCGGCAGTGAAGAGCCCGTCACCAGCCCGGACGCCACCAAGGACAAGGAAAATGTCAAGTCCTCCCCCGCCAAATCCACCACGGCCACCAAGCGTCCCGTGTCCGGTACGACGGCGACGAAGCGGCCCAGCTCCATCTCGAGCACCTCCAAGACCGCCACGGCCCGCACCTCCACCACCGGCGGCACCCTGAGCCGCCCTCCCACCCGGCCGTCCACCACCTCCACCACGAGCTCGACTCGCCGCCCGCTCAGCACCTCGACCACCGCCTCCCACCGGTCGCGCGCTTCGGTCAGCAGCTCCGCCGATGAGAAGGCCCGCTCCATTGCCAGCTCCGGCGACGAGAAGCGGGGCATCGCCGGCACCGCCAAGCGCATGTCGCTCGCCGGCACCGCCAGCACCCGCCCGTCCACCCGGCCCAGCACCAGCACCGTCGATCGCCGGTCCAGTGTCGCCGCCTCCTCCACCGCCGAGAAGCGGTCGTCCGTCGCCCGGGCCCCGTCCACCGCGACCCGCCCCGCCGCGCGCACGTCCACTGCCGGTACCACCGCCCGCCCGCGACCTCCACCACGGCTGCGCGGACGAGCACCACCACCCGGCCAACCACCACTGCCACCAGGCGGCCCGCCACCGCGGCCCGGAGTGCCGAGGACGAGGAGAAACTGCAGACGCTCCAAGCGAAACTCACCGAAAGCGAGGCCACTGTGTCCGGTCTCAAGACCGAGTTGGACGAGGTGAACCAGCGCCTCACGCAACTGTCGCTCTCCGGCGAGTCCGCCGCCGACGCCAAGGGCGGCGAGGCGGCGACCCAGGAACTCCAGGAGCAGCATGCCGCGGCTCTCCAGGAATTGACGGCCCGTCACACCGAGCAGCTGCAGGCCATCCAGGCCCAGCTCGAGGCCGCCGAGGCGGCGCGCAAAGACGTCGAGGAGAAGGCCGCCCGGGATTTGGACGAGGCCGCGAAAGCGGCCGCCGCCCAGGGCGACGACCAGGCCGCGGCGGCCCTCGAGGAGCTGAAGCAGACCCACCAGACGCAGCTCGACTCCCTCCAGCAGCAACTGGCCGGGCTCGCCGAGGAATTGGAGTCCCAGAAGCAGCGCAACGAGGCCGCCGCCAAGGGATTCGAGGAGGACAAGGCGCAGGCGCTGGATGACCTGGAGAGCGAGCTCAAGGGTCGGGACCAGGTGATCAAGGATCTCAACGTCGAGATGGATAAGCTCCACCACGCCAAGGAGCAGGAATCCGAGGCCGCCCAGCAGGCCGCCCAGCAGTCCGTGGCCGCCCTCGAGGAGAAGGTCGCCGGGCTCGAGTCGCAGCTGGCGGCGGCTCACGCAGCGTCCACCGGCACTGAAGACTCGGCCGCGCTCCTGGCCGGCAAGGAGCAGGAAGTCGCCGACCTGAAGCAGGCGGCCGAGAAGGCGCAAGCCGAGCTCCAGGAGGCCCGCGACGCGGCCGGCAAGGAGCTCGACCAGAAGATCCAGGAACTGAACGCCGCCCACGACGCCGCCGTCGCCACGCTGAAGGCGGAGCAGGAGGCGGCGGTCGCGGCCGCGGCTGCGTCCCACGCCGAGGAACTGGCCACGGCCAAGGACGCGGCGGCCTCGGCGGAGTCGGCCGGAACCTCGCACGCGCAACAGCTGCAGGAGCTCCGGGACGCGCTGGATGCGGCCGAGGCCCACGCTGCCGAGGGCCGCGACGAGGCCCTCGCCGAGCTTCAGGCGACGCACCGCGCGGAGCTGGAGTCGCTGCAGCAGAAGCTGGACGCGTCCGAGCAGTCCGCGCAGCAGGTTGGGGAGGACCGGGCCCACGAGGCCGAGGCCGTGGCTGTGCAGGAGATCGAGTCGCTCAAGGAGAAGGTGGGCGCCTTGGAGTCGCAGCTGTCGGCCGATCGGAGCGAGATGAAGACCTTCGAGTCGGAAATCCAGAGCAAGCAGGCTGAGGCCGAGGCCCTCCAGCAGAGCCTCGTCGCCTTTGAGGCCCAGACCCAGGCCAGGGATGCCGAGCAGGCCAGTCAGCGCAAGGCCCTGGAGGACCAGGTCGCCGCAGCCGAGCAGGCCCTCGAGGCTCAGCGGGCGGACGCTGCGACCGCGGCGGAGCGACACGCCCAGGCGCTCGACACGCTCAAGGCCGAGCATGCCTCGGCGCTGGCGCAGGCACAGACGGCGGCCGCGGGCGCCGACGACGCGCACGCCCTGCAGGAACTCCAGGCCAAGTACGATGAGCTGCTGGCGACGAACCAGCGCCTGGAGTCGAGCCACGCGGAGGCGGTCCAGGCCCTCGCGGCGGAGCTCCAGTCGACCCGCGAGCGCCACGCTGCGGAGATCGCCACCCACACCGAGTCCCGGGACCAGGCTGTCGCCGATCTCCAGAAGGAGTTTGCGGAGACCAAGGCCCAGCTGGAGGCCGAGCTGACCACGTCCCGCACGTCCCGCACCTCCGAGGCCGACGCCGAACACAGCCAGGCGATCGAGGCGATCCTCAGCACCCAGGACGCGAAGCTCTCGGGCCTGCGGGCGGAGCTGGAGGAGGCCCACGCGGCCAAGCTCGACGAACTGCGGCAGTCGCACGAGGCGGCCCTGGCGGCGGTCCACAGCCAGCTGGCAGAAGCACAGACGGCGGCCGTGCCGGATAACTCGGCCGTGGACGGACTGACGGCCACCGTGGCGGAGCTGGAGCAGAAGCTCGCCGCAGCGGAGCAGGCGGCCGTCGCGGCGCGGGAAGAGCAGGCCAGCCAGCACCACACGGCCCTGAGCCAGCTGGAGGCCGAGAAGGCCGAATGGGCGCAGAAGCACGAGGCGGCGGCCGCGCGGGTGGCGGAACTGGAGCAGTCGGTGGCGGCGTCGGCGGACCGGCCGTCGGACCTGGCGGCGCTCCAGCAGCAGCTCAGCGCGTCGCAGGAGCAACTAGACCAGGTGAAGGGCAAGCACGAGCAGGCGACGGGGGCGCTGGACCAGCTCCAGGCGCAGAACAAGACGCTGAGCGACAAGCTGTCGGAAGGCGAGCGGGATCTCAACGACCAGATCGACAAGAACATGTCGCTGCTGAACCAGCTGGGCGAGGTGGACTCGGCGATCGCGAGCAGCCGCAAGCGCGTGCGCGAGCTGGAGGCGGACCTCGAGGCGCTGCGGGCGGTGCAGGGCGAGGGTAAAGATCCGTCGGTGGGGTTGGAGGGCAGCCGATGGGCGTCCGAGGACGAGAAGAAGGCGACGACGGGCGGAGAGGCGGGCAGTCCGGCCGGAGAAGGTGAGGATCTTGGTTCATCTATCGAGGGAACGGTGGGCACTCCCCGTCAATCCAATCCTGGCTTTTTTTCCTTTTCCTCGATCTGGGACCGTTCTCTTGACCAGCGAGCCCATGGCTGACCGGAGTTTTCCTCTCTCCTTATCAGATGGCCAGCATTCAGGAGCAGCTTAAGCATATTCGCTCGGCCAACGATGATTGGTATGATGAGCACCGACGGTACGTTTTCTTTCCCTTTTCTCTTTTTTTCTTTGGGTCTGTTTCTAGTAAGTTGTACTCAATGGCTGACGGATGGAAACAGGTTGATTGGCGAGCTCACGCAGCTGTCCCAACGCGGGACTCCCCACATGCGGAGTCAGACGTCGACGCCAGGGCTCGAGCGGGTGCTCTCCAGCGCGGAAGTGAAGACGCGACCGGAGTAAGGGGGGTGATGCAACCGGTGGGGCTGGAGGAGTCACTCATTTTCCTTTGTTCAGAGTGGACAGGATGGTATTCGGATAATGTTGTATTGGCTAGGAAGAATTGTATGTATAATCAGATAATCAGGATACCCCTGTTTTTATTCTTTTTTTTTTTTTTTTTTTTGTCTTCTTTTCTTTTTCCTTCTTCTTTCTTTTCATTTGGGTCTTCCCCATGCTTTTTCGGGCTTAAGCGGATGACTGCTGTGCTGTCGGTGGCGTCGAGTTTAGGGTTGTCTGTACGCCCCGAGAGGGGGTATGTGCGTATGACCCGGGCCTTTGCGTGGGTCACGGACGGGCGCACACCCACCCCCGCGCCGTGGACCACCAGGGCCGGACGGGACGGTCCTCGGGGGTGGGATGTTTGCGCTGCTGAGCTTGGGCTTGCGTTTGAACGTAGAGAGCGGGAGTGAGTATGCGAGGGGGTGGTTGTAACTGGGGATGCGATTCATTGAGAGGGTCGAAGTGTGGACTGGGCACGCCGTACTCTCCTTCTTCTCTTCCTACCGCTGCTGCTGCTGATGGTGGTGATAGTCCCGGAGATGACGACCGTGATACTGTCCCCGGGTAAACAGAAGCCTCCATGGTCCAGCGCGACTGGGAGAGTGAAGAAGGAGGATGATGTTGATCTGGACACCCGGACCCGGTAAAGGCGCGACAGTAGGCGGCGTATTCTTCTTTGAGGCGTTCTTCGTCGGAGTCTTCTACTTCTGATTCTTCATCGTGTTCGTCGGGGTCGTTGTCTTCGTTGGTTTCTTCTTTGAGAGGTGCGGTGCGATGGTGTCGTCGTCGTCGTCGTTGTCGTCGTTGTTGTCGGCTATTGTATCCAGGGGTGTGGTGAGGATTATCTTGTTGGTTATTGTTGGGATTGATATCGTTATTGTTATCGTGATTATTATAATGGGGGAGATCCGATCTATCTGACCCAGTGTATTCCTCTCGTAAGGAACGACGAGAGATGCGATTGACGACCCAGCGGGAGAGGTTGGCGATGGAGGGAGAGTGACGGAGACGGGGTGGATGAGAGTGAGGATGAGAGTGAGAATGAGGGTGAGGGGTGAAGGAGGGGACGGAGGAGACAAAGGAGAGGTGGTCGGAGTCGTTGATGATGTTGATTGTTGGCATTTTATATTATATTATATTGTATTAGATATTGTATTAGATGTTAGATGTTAGATGTTAGATGTTAGATGTTAGATGTTGGATGTTGGATATTGGGAAGTGAAGGGATATATCCAGGATATATAGTGGGATATATAGACCATGACGGGAATTTAATCCAACAAGAATCAAATGATAGGATGGATAGAAGGAGAAAAATGTGCCGGACATTCTCAGTATATATAATCTTGTATATATTTTATTATATATATAGAGAGAGAGCAGATTGTATAGAATGGATAAGACAGTCTCAAACCAGTCCAATGGCAGGATCGGTGCAGACGCCACCAGCACTTGTCGAGGTCGTTACCCTGTCTTGATTTTGACGTATGGGATGATTGAATTTGGCTACTTACGGGGATGTACTTTGATTATTTTTTGATTATTTTTTGATTATTTTTTGATTATTTTTTTGTTATTTCCTAGGGGTGCAGGTGTAACTTATATATGTTGCACTGAGTATTTGTAGGGTTACGTGAGTCTAAAGTGTATGATCAGGATATCTTTCTTATATCTATACATGTATCAGCCCCAGACTCTATGTAGTTATTATAAAGCATAATATGTATAATATGGAATGTAGAGTATAGAGTCTATCTACATATCTAGAACAATAATATCAATATCATACATATAGAGATAATAGAAGATATAAGATGAAATAATATAAGCTAGAATATTGAAATGTCTTGGCACCGGTCATTCCCGTGACCCGCAACTCGCACGCTTTCTTTCTCTCTCTTCTTCTCCCTCTCCAGTTCATCTTCATCTTCCACCACTCCACCACCATGTCCTTCCGTCCGGTCTTCTCTCAGGTATGTGATCAATTCCTCTCATTATAACGATTGCAACTGACCGCCAGGCTACCCCCCTCGCCGCCACCCTCCTGGCCGGTGGTGTCGCCCTCTATCCCCGGCGCACCGCGTTTGCCGAAGAACCCCGGGACCAGGTATGTAGCTCCCTCCACCTCCAACCTCAATGCATCCTGCTCATACAACCAGCGGAAACCCATCTACGATGATCTCTCCGACGTCGTCTCCCCCGTCGCTCCCCCCGTCGCCCCCCCGTCGACACCCCCAAGGAGCCCACCCTCCCCGTCGAGCTCCCGACCAAGTCCGCCGCTCCCGCTCCCGCGTCCTCCGCTCCCACCCCCACCGACATCCTGACCGCCCAGGTCCGCCAGGCCCGTGTCTTCCTCTACAAGAACTCCCTCGCCGCCGAGACCTGCTTCAACGACATCCTCGCCCGCGCCCTCAACGTCGAGAACGCCTTCACCAACACCGTCGCCGCCCTGGCGCCCTCCCCGGAGTCCGGCGAGCGTCTCCTCCCCGGCGGCGCCTACGTCGTCGTCGCCGCCATGGCCGGCTCCATCGTCGCCCGCAACCGCGGCATCATCCTGCGCTCGGCCTCCCCGCTGGCCTTTGGCACCGTCGCCGCTTGGTCCTTGCTCCCTGTCACCATGCGCAACGTCTCCGACCTCGTCTGGGAGTACGAGAAGCAGGTCCCTGCCGTCGCTGAGCAGCATCTCGCCCTGCGGAACAATGCCCAGCACATCTGGTCCACTGGTCTGGCCCACAGCGCCATGACCCGTGCCATGATGGAGGAGAAGATCGGGGACGTCCGGAAGAAGTTGGAGGAGGTTGTCAGCAAGGGTCATTAACTGTCTACCTTCTTCTTCTTCCTCCTTCCTCTCCCATCTCTCTCTCTCCCTCCCTCTCTCTGTCTACCTGTCTATCTCTCCTCGCTCTGCTCCCGATCTGTGGATTTCCTCTGTTAAAACAACCCCTCGGTTGACATTTCTCTCTCCCTGTTTAGCGGATGTGCGGGTCGTTGTATCCCGTTGTTTCTATCTGGTTCCTTTGGCATTATCTGTACTCTACATTTAGATCGGAAGGATTCCTTGATTTTTCCTCCCTCTTTTCCCAGTATTTCTTCTACGAAAAGTAATAATCCACCTGTAGGATGATTCATAGTAATATGGAATATCATAGGTCTACCGAGCCAGCTCAACACATCACGCGGATCCACCCTCCGCCTCCGCCTCAGCCGGCGGCGGAGACTGCACCCCGGCCTTGGGAGGCGGAGGAGGAGGAGATTGCACCCCAACTTTAGGCGGCGGTGGCAGCGGCGTCCCCCGTCTTGACGACGGTGCATAATCTTGCTCCTTACTCTTCTGCTCCCCCTCCGCAAAGTACTCATCGAACGCCCGACTAGGCGACACTCCCCCCGCGCCCGCACGTCTCCCCCCACCACGCCGCGTCCCAGACGGCGACTGGCTCGCTGACGGTGACACTGACCCCGCCAACGGCGGCGGCGAGGCCATCGTCGCTGGCATCAGGAATTGACTCCCGCTTCCGCTTGCGCTTCCGGTGTCTGCCTGCTGCTGCTGTTGCTGTTGCTGTTGCTGTTGGAAGAGGCGATTCGCAAGAGGCTCCGAGGATCCATCCTCGCGCGTCTCAAAGACAACCTCACCGGGTCCCTCGACTTCCTCGCCCAACCCAACAGGAAGCCTATGCAGCGCCCCGAAGCCGAGTTCAGCGCCCAGCGCGCCCTCTCCGCCCCAGCCGCGCGTAGGCACCAGCTCGACTTCGCGCACGACGTCGAATTCGCTGTTGTACACCCAGAGGACGAGCGTGCGGTTGAGGTGCTCTTCGACGAGCTCGCCGAGCGCGGATTCCCCCCGGAGGGTGCCGCTCGGGGTGCCGATTATGTAGTCTGAGTGCGGGAGGAGGCCGGCGCGGTAGGCCGGGCTGAGCGGGGATGGGATGGACAGGACGTGCCAGATGTTTTGGGTGGAGGAGAGGGGCGCGAGTTGGAGGGCGAGGTTGAGGGTTGGGTTGGTTGGGGGATGGGGAGGGTTACGGTGTGGGTGCGTTGGCCCTGTTGGTTGGTTGTTAGTGTACTGTTGGGGCTGGTTTGTCTGTCTGTCTGTATCTTTGTATTTCCTCCGGGGGAAGGTAGTGGCGTACCTTTGCGCTCCATATCTCGAAGCTCACGTTTCCTCCTGCGCAGTTGCGCACTTCGGTCGCGAATAGGGAGGGGTCTGGGTCGTCCTGGATGACACCGTCAGTTTCCCATCCTTTTCTTTCCTCTACTTTTGTTTCTTTCCATCAAACTCACTATCAACCGCCCGTTGATCCCCACGATGAAATCAAACCACGGCTCCAGAGGGAGCTCCGCGTCTTTATTGCGGAGGACCTGGAACCCAAAGGCGTTGTCGTGGGGGGACTGCGCGTGCTGGAGGGGCTCCGCGTCCAGCCGGCCGATGAAACGATTCAGGGCTCCAAACATGCTGTATCGAATTCAGTGTGGGCTAGTGTCGTCTGGACAGGTGTTGGGAGACTTCACGAGGCGCAGTTGGACTCGGTGGTCTGTTGGATGGATAGATCGGGTGCAAACGGGACAAACACGCTATCGACCGCGTTATCGGGATTGATCCTGACTTTCATCATCTTCGTCCTCTTCTTCTGGTGTCAAACAAAAAGAATAGAGAATATTATGAGCGATGGGCGATTCTGATGGAGAGGCACCCTCTGAGGTCCACCATTACAACCATATCAGTGAAGTTCCCTGGGACATTCAAAAGTGCGATTCCTTCCGTCTTCCGCACCGGTTACTGAAGCTAACCCGTCACCCAGCTACTGGCGACAACGCCATAACATCTTCTCCAAATATGACCAGGGGATCTGGCTGACCGATGATGCCTGGTTCGGGGTGACTCCTGAGCCAGTGGCAACGTAAGGAGACCGTCTATCTACACGACGCCATGCGCTTACATATTACCTTTTTTACTTTTCTAGTAAAATCGCAGATCATATAGCCAGCTCCGCCCCCCCGGGCGCAGCGTCCTGGTTGACGCATTTGCCGGCGCTGGGGGTAACTCCATCGCGTTTGCGCTCTCCGGGAAGTGGAAGCGCGTCTACGCCATCGAGAAGAACCCGGCTGTCTTGCGGTGCGCGAAGCACAACGCCAAGATCTATGGGGTGGCTGACCAGATCACCTGGTTTGAGGGAGACTGCTTTCAAATCCTGAAGAATCAGCTTAAAGATCTGGCGCCGTATAGTATTATCTTTGCGAGTCCGCCGTGGGGAGGTATGTCCATAATCCCGTCCCCCTCCCGCCTAAGTCTTCTATTTGTCTTGAGACAGTGGCAGATCTGACCATTACTTCGTGTAGGCCCTGGATACCGATCGGATCAGGTCTTTAATTTGAAGACCATGGAGCCCTACTCGCTCGAAACGCTGTATGCGGAGTTTTCGGCCTTCTCGGAGCACCTGGTTCTGTTTCTCCCGCGCACGTCGGATATGAAGCAGCTGGCTAAGTTTGTTCCCGCTGGGCGCCCTGCAATGGTGATGCACTACTGTATGGAAGGGGCTAGCAAGGCGCTGTGTGTGTACTATGGGGGATTCAATCTGGAGTGATTTTCGTTTACCATTTTCTTTAACTCTTGTATGATAGTGATACCCTGGCTGGGCGTTCCATCACGTGCTTGACAATATGTAGATTGTATGTCATTGTTGTGTAGTATACATTGGTCTCAGATATTGTGTTTCTGGAGACCAGACCATATCTGAATTACAGTAAGGTACCTCTGAGATACCGCGCTAACCTAGCAGTCGCCCGCAAGATCGAGGTACTTCGGAGGTACCTGCCAGTGACGCAGAGCTTATTTCCCGTTCGGGACTAGCGACACAGCAGTCTTGGCAACGACTCCATCTTCTCGTCCACTTCTCTCTCTCTTCCTTCACTTCACTCTTCACTCTCTCTTCACCTGTTTGATTCTCTCTATTCATGGGCTATTGGAGTCTGGGTATGCTCCCCACCTGCTCTCCATGCACCCTCTCTCTTAACTCTCACCCCTCCCTCCCGGTTTGCTCATTTCAGTCTCTGTGAACCGGTGATTAAACCCTTACAACGCGATCAACTTTCGCCTCTATTTATCAACCTCTCCCAACCCCCACTACCAACCACACACTCCCTCAACCACTACCATGCCACACGCTACAGAAACAACGGCTCCAGAGCCGGAGGATACCGAGTTCGAAAATGTCATGCGACAGATGAACGGCCCCTCCTTCGGCTCAGGCGGCCCGTCCTTCGATTTCCTGCAACGCGATCTCGACCCGGGCGAAAAGGCCGACGACGCCGTCGACTACGAGGATTTCAGCGACGACGAACTTCCCGAAGAAGAGGAGAGAGCACGGGCGCCCGCAGGAAATGGAATTTCGATGTTAGCGCCGGAGGAAGCCGCCGACGATGATGACGAAAAGGGCCTGTTTGGCGCGGAGGAGGAAGATCTGTTTGGTGGTCAGGAGGAACAGCAGGAGGACCAACACGCCCCGATGATGAACTCGACGATCTTTTCGGCGATGGACCCGCGTCCCCCGAGCCGGAACATATGGACTCAACCCGCGATCTGTTTTTCGACGAGGAAGAGCAGCAACCGGCTGTGCCGGAACCTATGCAGATTCCCCCCCTCGAGACGCAACCGATCCCCATGTCGATGCCGATGTCTATGCCGATGCCGATGTCGATGCCTATGCCTATGTCGATGCCCACGCCCATGCAGATGCCCACGCCCACCCCGGTGCAGGAAGTTCCACCGGAAACCCCCCAGGAAGAAGAAGAGGAGGAGGAGGAGGAGGAGGACGAGGGTATCTTGAGTCCCACCGGGGACGACATGGACCCCGCTGCACTGCGCGCCTGGAAACTCCAGCAAGCCTTGTTCGCCATGTCCTCGATTGGCCCCGACAACCCCCCCGCGCCACCGGAGAATGTTGAAGAGCTCCTGCACTCCTTGTTCCCCAAGTTCGACCGCAACACGCTGCCGCGATTCCTCGAACTGATTCCCCATAAGAAAGCCTTTTTCCTCGGCAAACAATTGCCGAAGCCGCCGAAACCCACCATCCCGAGCAAAGTCAACCTCGAGCTGGCCCAGGACCAGGAAAGAATCTTCAAAGCCGGGGGTCAGGCCCACAAGCGCTCTCTAGAGACGGAACAGCTGGGCGTCGTGGCGGTGGGCGAAATCTCCGAGGATGAAGAAGAAGCGGAGGAGGGTCATGGGGACGAAGTTCGGGAGGAGCTCGACCACGACACGGACGCAGAGGAGACGTTGCCCGGCGGGGTTACGTTGGATGATCTTCGCGTCGTGTGTATGGACTGGGATGTGAAGGATGAGGTCGAAGAGTCGTCGGCCATGGACATTGACGTCCCGCCCAGTGGGGAGCCGAACGGCGATGTGGAGGATGAAGACGACTGGATGGCCGAGACCACACGTCCGGCCAAGAAGCGCAAGACGGGCCGAGACCCCATGGACATGGTGGCTCTGTCCCATATCGACTTCCCCTTCGTCGATGACCCCGAGCAGGCCACGTCGCGCATCGCTCAAAAGGTCACTATGGATATGAACGATCCCTACCTGCTGCTGGATGAGCGCGGTGTGGACTCGACGGCCCAGAAGCCCAAGGCCTTGGGCGCGCGGAATCGGGACGAGATGGATGCCAACGTCACCCGGCGTCTGCTGTCGCGCTACAACATCTCCAACGACTCGGCCTACGAGATGCTCAAGCAAAACCACCAGAACAAGGTCCGGAGCACGCTGGGCAACATCACCCTCGAACACGGCATGCCGGCCCTGCGCTTGCAGTGGCCCTACTACCGGACCGAGCTCACCAAGGCCGAGGCGCGCTCGTTCCACCGTCCGGCGCTGTCCTTCCGACCGGGTCAGACCTCGTGGTTCAAGAACACGGCGTACATCAAGCGCAAGCACCAGCGGGGCAAGGAAGTCAAGGCGCTCTACGATTCAACCCGGGCCCTGTCGGCGGCCGACAATTCCAACGTCCTCCTGGTCGAATACTCCGAGGAGGTCCCGCTCATGATGTCCAACTTCGGCATGTCCAATCGCTTCATCAATTATTATCGCCGAAAGAACCCGGACGACCCCACGCGCCCCAAGGCCGAGATCGGCGAGACGGCGGTTCTGCTGCCCCAGGACAAGAGCCCCTTTTCCATCTTCGGTCATGTCGACCCCGGCGAGGTTGCCCCCGCTATCTCGAACTCCATGTACCGCGCCCCCGTGTTCCAACACCACGCGAAATCCACCGACTTTTTGGTCGTTCGGAGCAGCACGGTCTCGGGGGGTAGCGATTACTACCTACGCAACATCGACAACCTGTACGTGGCGGGACAACAGCTCCCGTCGGTGGATGTGCCCGGCCCTCATTCCCGAAAGGTGACCACCGTCGCGAAGAACCGCATGAAGATGCTGGTATACCGTCTTTTGAAGAAGAGCGGCGACATGCGGCTCTCGATCAGCGATGTCACCGCTCACATTCCCGGCACGAGCGATATGCAGAACCGGCAAAAGGTCAAGGATTTCTTGCAGCACGACAAGGACTCGAAGTACTGGGTGCCCCTGGAGCCGGTCCCGGAGCAAGACACCATTCGGTCGTGGGTCCAACCCGAGGACGTGTGTCTCCTCGAGTCGATGCAGGTTGGCCAACAACACCTGCACGACACCGGCTTTGGGAACGACGCCGAGACCGGCGGCGAGAACAACAACGAAGAGGACGAGGAGAGCGAGAGCTTTGAGCAGCAGATGGCGCCGTGGAAGGCAACCCGCAATTTCCTTCTCGCATCGCAAGGCAAGGCGATGCTCAAACTTCATGGGGAGGGAGATCCGACGCGCCGCGGCGAAGGGTTCAGCTTCCTCAAGACCTCCATGAAGGGCGGTTTCAAGGCCGTTGGCGAGAGTGTGGAAGACAAGCTGGACGCCCAGCGCCTCAAAGAGCTCGGCGGCCACAGCTACAACGTGGCACGGCAGCAGCGGTCATACGAGACATCGATCCGACGCATCTGGGATGCGCAAAAGGCGAGCCTGTCCTCCACGGTTGAGCATTCGGACGGCGGCGAGAGCGACATGGACCAGGACGACGAGGACGACTTTAACAAGCCCACCCCGCGATCGGAAGCCCCCACGCCTGTGCCCGGCCGTCGTGATGATGAGACCACGAGCCAGTTCAGTAAGATGAGCATGCCGGACCAGAAGGGGAAAGTCCTTCGTATCATGCGGTCTTTCCGAGACGAAAAGGGCGAGATCTATCAGAAGGAAACAATGGTGTGGGACCCTCGTGTCATCCGCCATTATATCCAGCACCGCCATCGGGTCGAGTCGTTGACCACGAAGTATGTGTTTCTTCTTCGTTTCACCCGTCCTCGCAAACTGACGTTATCTTCAGATTGGATGCTCTGCAACCCACCGGCGATCCAGAAGTGGATGCCCGCAACAAGAAACTGTATGCCCCCATGACCTTGTATCCCCCCGTTCCCCACCTAACTCCCTCCCAGCATCGAAGCAGAACTCAGCCGCTTGAACCGCAACAAGGAGCGCCGTTTCGCGCGCGAGAAACAAAAAGGCGCCACCAGGGCCTCCGCAGGCGACTCCCCAGCCGACGGAGGCGTCGGCAGCGGCCGAGGAGCTGGTACACAGCGCAAGTGTGCCAACTGCGGCCAGGTCGGCCACATCAAGACCAACAAAAAGTGCGTTCGCCGTGATGAACTGGGTTCCAACCCAGACATCCCTCCCCTTCTTTCCCCCCAGGACCCTCCCCCATTTTTTGCTTCGTCGTTCCCTGTCCCCTCTGCTGCGAAGCCTAGCGTTGCCCGAGCTCGGCGTTCGCGCAGTAGTAGTACACCTGGTCCCAAATCGGCGTCCCCACAGCCGTGACATGTCATTGAAGAGGTTGAGCATTGCGCGGACGGACAGAGTTCCGTCCAGCCCATGCCTCCAACTTCTTGTCCACTCCCCTATTCCCCTGACATACACCCATCTACCCCTTCCCATGGACCCACATGCGAAGCCAAAGAAAAGACGTCGACGACCATATCGTCTCGTCGCATGTCAAACCCACTGGACCTAAGGCATTGTTTACCAAAAGCCAAAAAAAAAAAGACAAAAAAAGAGAAACACACCAAAACAAAACAAGATCAGATATGCTAACGTCTTGGCCGCATCGCCGCGCAAATCTACAGACTCTGCCCCCTCCTCAACGGAACCATGAAACCCGAAGACCGAGTCAGCGATTCTGCCTTCGCTATGGGCGCCCCTCCTGCCATATAAGCTAGGCTTTTCCTCTACAGACGTGTCTATCCTTGAGAAAAAGACCGAAACGAAAAGAATCTATATCTTTTCCTAAAGACGCACACACCAGAACTACAGTCCTGATGATAGTGTTGTTGTCGTTGTCATTGTTGTTGCAGAATATTCGCTAACGAATGAATGATACCCTCCCTGCGATTGATTGATTGATTGATTTGTTTATCTTTTACTTACTTGCATTTATATGTCCTCCTCTTCTCACCTTTGCTCTCATATTCCTACATCCTCTCATGATACTTACTTCTTCACTTTATTGTTCGCCACAATGGCCCCGGACGGTTACGGTTACGGTTACGGTTTGGTTGGTTGGTTGGGTGGTTGATTGGCTGGCGGGCTGGTTGGTTGTTTGTTTCCACAATTCATTGCATTTCTTCATCTTCATCTTTATACTCCTCCTATCAAATCATTCGAGTCTTTCCCCCTCGATCTATCCCATCATGATCCATTCCATTCATCCCCAATCTCCTCGTTAAACGAGCCGAACCTCGGACCTGGACCCTGGACCCTGGCCATGATCATGCCGAACAAATGTTCAACCACGACGACGGTATCCGAAAGGAAGGAAAGGAGGAAAAACAGGCCAATACGAAGAAGCGATTGGTGTTGGCGCATAGATGTCTTTTATACCTTCAATTTCTACATTATTTTTTCTTTCATCATTATTCCCCTAATGGGTTGATTATTTGCATCATTCTTGTTATCATTTCATTCCATTTTGCAGCTTTTACATTGTCTTTTTGCTTTGCCTTGTCTCTATTGCCTGCCGTCTTTCAGATTTTTCTCGTGCTTTCTCGTGCTGCAGCGGTTTGAACGTTTATGTGGCTTACTTTTGAGATTGGGTTGTGGGATTCTCTACTCTCTATTGAGGTACTTGATGAGCGTTCTTGAAAGCTATGGATGGAAGGACAGGATGAAATATGTATTATATTAGCGATGCTGATGCACTGCAGAATCAATCAAGTGCGGACCAATTGCCTTGCCAAGCAGAGGTATAAAACATCTACCGCTTTTGAACAAGTGCTATGCTATAGTGTATGCGGTATAGTTAAGAATACACCATGATCTAAACGACAGACTGGTTGGCACAGATTAAGCTTGCGCCGTGCTTGACCCAACGATATGTGTGGAAGCTGACTGATTGTGAATGAAGGATAGATGCACCATGCCCGAAATTGGAATATGACTGGTATGGCCATCACCCATACAACTCAGATAGATGACCCTGCGAGAAGTACGGCCGGCCTCGATCGGGAGTGAAAGCCATGGCGACGGCCTTGGGACGGCGGTATGTGTACCCCATAAAGGCGCCGTTCTTGCGCATCTCGAGAACCGTCTGGCCCACGGCCTTATCCCGTAACAATTTGTCTCGTGGCCGCTTTTTTTCCTCTTTCTTTTTGGGCTTTGGCAACTCCACACCCCCTTCAGAGCCCTGTTCGCACGGAACTTCGTCTTCATTGGCTTCGTCCTCGGGTTCATCGAGGTCAGAGACGGCCGACATAGCATCGTCTTCGACCAACAGACTACAATCGTCAAAATAACGGGTATCGTCCCATCCCCTCACCTTGGGCACAAACGGGGGTATCGAACGGTGTATTTCGTCCCATCGGGTTCCCCGAAAGAAAGGATGTGCCTTGATATCCGTGGCATCGTCTGAGTATACGAAGGAGACCCTTTGGTCGCGGTTACGGGGGTCGATGTTGTAGAAGAAGGGCCTGGGATTGAAACCCGTCTTGAAGACGTCATTCTCTCTGTACTTGCTCGACGATAGGCGATACTCCTTTTCCTGGAGTAGGCGTGTGATGAGATCGATTGCCTCCGGAGAGATTTGTTTGTCTGATGACTCCTTTTGCAATGGGAAGTGCAATGTTTCATAGTGTTTCTTTCCAATCGTTAGCCACTAGTCAGTTCACTCGTAGACATTCACAACTAACATGGATCTTTATCTTGGTCTTCTGCCGGTCTTCCGACGCAAAAGGCGTGAATCCGTACAGACACTAATGGACTTGGTCAGACACCTATTGTTAAGATCACTCAGAAGGAGGAGGAGGTTCTACCTCGTAGAGGATGATACCCACACTCCACCAGTCGCATCGCCCGTCGTACAAATCCGCTCGGACTACCTCGGGAGCCATGTACTGGCTGGTTCCCACGACACTTCTGGCTAGCCTTCGTCTCTGATTGCGATCACGCCACCCCAAGAGACCAGCAGCTGGTGGTGGACATGTTATCTCATCAGTGGAGTAGCTCTGTCGTGATTTGGAAGCTGCCTTGGCTGCCTTTTTGGCTTCTTTTCGATCTTGCGTGTCCCCCTCAACTTGGATCCCCAGCCTCTTCACCAATGAGTGACGATGCTCAGTGAAATACGCTTGGTCATGCGACCAATGTCCATCAAATGCTAGACCAAAATCTGAAATCTTCAGGTGCCCCGAGGCTGAGATGAGGAAGTTATCCGGCTTGACGTCGCGGTGGATCCATCGAAGGCGATGGGCTTCTTCCACGCAGAGAATCATCTCCGCGATGTACCAGCGCGCGACAGTTTCTGGAAGTGTACATCGGCGCATCAACAAGCCGAAGAAGTCTCCGCCAACCATATAGTCCATGATGAGGTACAGATAACTGTGGTCCTGGAAACTGGCGATCAAGGGCACAATCCAGCGAGATTTCGCGGACGCGACTAGGAAATCTCTCTCGGCTCTCAGGTGCCCTTCTTGACAGTTGCGAATCATGGCCGACTTTCGAATCGCTTTCATAGCGAAAACGTCCTTTTTCACTCCCACCATGACCTTTCTTCGTTCTTTGTGGGGGATACCTTCACTGGAAGGCTCGGGACTCGAGACCCGCACCTCGTTCGTGCCAGAGACATTGTTATCATAAGAATATAAACCCTTTTCCCTCACTAGACGGACGACCCCGAAACTTCCTCTTCCCAAGACTTTGATGACTTCAAACTCAGCCACCGCCGCAGCCTGGTTATGGGGCAATGATTGAGAACGGGCCTTGAGCACCCGACATTGCCGAAGATATTCTCGCTCTTGTGCAATCCAGTTTCTCCATATCCTCCCCCGTTCTTCCGTCGTGAGAGGGAAAGAGTAGATATAGTGTTCCAACTCATACCTCCGTTGCAACCGGGGGTCCCCATCGGACCAAAGGGCTTGGAAGTATGTCTCCAGAAACACCTTTGCGTTCGCAGCGGCTTCAACGGTGAGAACGGATGGCGATGCTCGGGAAGTCTCCCGAATAGGATCAAGTGTAGTTCCGACGCCTAGGCTGGACGGAAATGATCTCTGCTTATTGCTCGACCTATCCGAAGGCTCGGTAGAAGTTGGTGGTGTCGACTTCGAGCTCACTGGAGAGGTGCTATCTTCGAGGCAAGTCGAGGGCACAGAACTATCATTGGCACTATCCCCCTGGCGGAGTGGGTCATCTCGTGTTTCCCCAAAGTGAACGGTGCGAAGGCTGGGGCGTGAGCGTAGACGCGATCGACGGATCACAGTGGGATTTCCGAACTTGGTGGACAAAGTACGTGAAATGATACCAGTCAGACCCGCTGGGGAGGACTGGCTTCGCCCAAGTCCGGGATCAACGGAGCTCTCGTTCTCTGGAATATCTGTCTTCCGTAGACGAGATCGATCTTCCACCCTTGAGAGCCGTGGAAATTCGAAGGAGACACGCGGTGTCCCGGAACGGCACCGGGATCTGTCCCCTGGTGGAGCGTTCTCCGCGCCATCGGTTGATCCAGTGTGTGGATGGGTGTGAAGTGGATGCGGAGGGCCAGCGAGGTGCCCTGGCTTCGGACTCTCGGGCGTCGCAATGGTTGTTTTGGTAGCTACCAAGTTGCATCAGCCCATCTGACCCATGGATCATCCCAACCCGCTTACCCTGAGTGGAACTGCGAAGACCAAGCAGCGATAGAATCCTGGAGCTTCTTTGCTTAATCCGAGCCCGTATCTTGGCCCTCTGGATGCGTAGGGCCCTGGACGAGTCCGAGGCCGTGGTGTCCGACATGGCAGTTCTATCCCGACCAGTAGATATAGTCTGAGTAATCTGTGTCGGTCATGGGAAGCATAACAGACCCGAAGAGACTCAGCGTTCTTCACGGCAAATGGTGACAGGTTGCCGTGGAGCCACAAAAATGCAGACACTATACTGGGCTTAACACATGCGTAATGATAGTAGAGAGCCAGGGTGATGAAGCCCTCAATCGGATGGAATGGCCAGTGCTGTGCATGGTGAGGATGAAGGAGATGGAAGTTCTAGGTCGGCCAGGTAAAGGTGAGGTTTGTTATTTTTCATCGAAGGGAAACCGTGACCTGGATGGCCACGGGGGGCAAGAGCGGTCGTTTACATAACCCAACAACCATAACTTGGGACGTACACGATGGTTGAGGCAATAAATAGGTAATATTTAAATGATACTTTTTCCATTATTCAACAACAGGACGTGGATTGCTTGCGATATCCTCATCCCTACTGCATGCACATCGGGGACTCTGCAAGAAGATAACAAGTCGGATATCACAGAACAGAACCTAACTATATTCAAAACCCCTATAACACCATTCCTTTTGGGAAAAACATGAAACATTGATATGAAAGAGAGCGGGCTCCACCACACTGACGGCCATGGGGCGTGTCAGGGGCGATGCGCCGACACACATCGTACAGACTCAGAAACAGGCAATTATTTGATCTCCAGCAGCTTGACATCGAAGATCAACTTCGAGTTGCCGGGGATGCCGGGGAGAGCCTTCTTGCCGTAGGCAAGGTTGGGGGGGATGGAGATGCGGCGCTCACCACCGACAGCCATGCCGGCGACACCGATATCCCAACCCTTGATGACCTCACCCTTGCCCAGCTTGAAGGTGAAAGGCTTGCCCTTCTTGTTGGCTGTGGGAATACGACGTTAGCGAGAACTATTCATAAACAATTGGTTGAAGCGAGGGGATTGAGAACATACAGTCAAAGACCTTGCCATCCTCGAGCTTGCCGATGTAACGCATGGCAATGGTGTTACCGCTCTTGGCGGCGGCACCGCTTCCCAGCTTCTTGTCATCGATCTTGACACCCTTGATCTCCTTGACACCCAGGGTGCCGGTGGACTTCTCGGCAGGCTTCTTGTCCTGGGCGGACGGGGTGGGGCCCTGCTCCAGGTTCTTGGCGAACTGGACCTTCTTGGCCTCCTTGCCCTCCTTCTTCTGCTCGACGGGGGCGGCGTCACCGTTGTTCTTCTTCACCTTCTTCTGCTGCTTCTTGCTCGAGGCCTCGGCCTCCTTGGCCATGAGATCGTCGAGGCTCTCGGCCTCGGCGGCGGCGCGCTTGCCCTTGCCCTTGCCCTTGGCCTCAACCAGCTTCGGGGCATCCTCCTCACTGTCGACCTCGGTGATTCTCGGGTTCTCCAGGTCATCCAGGTCGTCGCTCTCCTCATCCTCGTCCATGAGGTCCATGTCGAGCTCATCCTCGTCGGGGGAGAGGTCGTAGTCATCCTCATCCTCCTCATCGGAGTCGTCCTGGGGCTCATCCATGGGCATGACGTAGTTGCCGGTCAAGTAGATGGTGTGAGTACCGGTCACCTTGAAGAACACGCGCTCATCCTCGGACACGGTGATGTCGAGGGGCTGTTGGAAGTTCTGCAAGCCGTGTTAGCAGAAACCCATGGCTCGAACCACTCTGGCGGACTTACTCTCTCGGGATCCAGAGTGCAGATGACCATCTCGTCCAGGTCCAAGCCCTCTTCCGACTCGTCATCTTCATCATCCTCCATGGCGGGGCCCTTGCCCTTGACAAGCTTCGAGATAGCCGCCTTCAGGTCAAAGTCGTCGTCATCCTCGTCCTCGTCCTCGTCCTCGTCATCCTCCGCCAATGCCTCCTCCAAGGCCTTCTGGGCGGCAGCCTTCTTGAGCTGACGGGCACGCTCCTTGTCGCTAGGACCGCCGTTAACCTCATCATCATCCTCGGAATCCTCATCGAACTCATCATCCTCATCCGACTCGTCAAAGTCCAAGCCGGGGGGAGGACGGACGAGCTTCAGAGTAGCCCGCGGACGCTGGTTCTCGACGCCATCTTCGAACTCGGGGGTCTCATCGGGGTCAATGGCCGCCATGTTGACTCGGAACTAGCGGAACGGTGTGAGAATTTCATCTTGCGACATGAGGTTCACGTGGACGGAAAGCAATCCAGGACTTACCATAGCAGCGACCTCAGGAAGGGCCGGGATCAGCGCACCTCCAGGAGGGACGCGCAGGGCGTAGAGAGCCACGGGTTGAGTTCCAGACATGATGGGATATAGCTCTAACGATGGTCTATAAAAGGGAAAAGAAATAGAGTGAAAAGAGAGATTGGGGGGAGTGGGGCAAAGAGAGTAAGGGATTGAGAGAATAGGATATGTAGAGATAATATCAGACAAGCGAAGGTTCCAAAGAAGAGAAGAATCGCAAGTGTCCCAAGAGAAGAAGAAGAAGAAGAAGAAGAAGAAGAGAGAGAAGAGAAAAAGTTTTGAGACGGCGAGAATCAACGGCAGAACCCAAAGCGGTTTAGTCGCCGCCGACTTTGATTTTTTTTTTCTCCCCTCTTCTGCCCGTAGCTACCTCACCGCCTGCTCTATCGGACACCGCCTAAGATTACTCCACGTGATATGCCTCGGTCACGCGTTCCGCCACCGCGTATCATCTTGAATACCTTCATCTTCCTCTGTCATTATCTCCATTCATCTCTAGTACGTGGGGTTAAAACCATGCCCCTGTACATCGCCCACCATGGGCTCCCTCCTTGACGAAAAATCTAACTCGGTGCGCAAACGTATCGAAAACCGTATGTTCAACTACATTCTTATGACGTAGTACCACGCGATGGACAGACTAACAGCGGTACGTTCACTTTTAGATGTTTTTGAAGATGAGGTAGGCGAAGAATATGAGGCGTCTGCTTTTGGTGGCTTCGGCGACTATATGCGCCGCAAGAAAATCAAATTGCAGAACCTCGACGCCGAGATCCGTTCCTCATCCGGAGATTGTCCGCCGATATTTCGTGGCGTCGTGGTGCACGTCAACGGGTATACGCAGCCGTCCTTGCAGGATCTCCACCGCATGGTAGTCAGCCATGGGGGTGGTTTTCTTCAGTATCTGGAAGGGAAAACTTCGGCAACCCACATTGTTGCCAGTTCACTAACCCCGAAGAAGCGGGAGGAATTTCGTCGGTATCGCATCGTGAAGCCGGCGTGGGTGGTGGAGAGTATCAAAGCCAAGCGCTTACTCCCATGGGACGCTTTTCGCGTAGTAGACGAAGGGCAATCCCAGAAAGTGCTGAAGTTTGACAACGGGCGTGTCCTGAACGAGTCAAACACTTCACAGTCCAGTTACCGCGATCAGACGAACTCTAGTTGGTACACATCACAACTAAGGGAATCTGCGCAGGTTCAAACTGGGCAACCGAGCTCCGGCGTGTCTGATATGAGTCCTACCGCTGATCAACCGGTGAATCCGCCGACCCAGTCGGATTACGGGGATTTCCCCAGCTTCACCTCGCTTGACCAACCAAACGAAATGAGCAACAAGGCAGCTCGGTCCAGTCTTGAGCCCGTTGAAGAGCGACCGAGGACACCAACTCCTCTTGTTCACTCGCTGGGAGCGACTCATAGCCCTTTGAGGTCGCCCCCGGTTGTAAACCAGGCGTCGTCACCTCGGCGGGATGCTCCAGCGCCAGAGGTGACTTCGGAGGAGTACAATGCCCAACTGCTCTCGGATCCTCGCATGCGGAACAACAGCGTTGTCAATCCAGAGTTCATCCAACAATACTATAGAGAGTCTCGTCTTCACCACCTGTCAACGTGGAAGGCAGAATTGAAGGCCCAGCTCCAGTTAGCGGCAAAAGAGAAATCCCAGTCGCCCCTAAGCCGAAGAAGGCAGATTCCTGGGGCGCGGCGGTACATTATGCACGTTGATTTCGATTGCTTCTTCGCCGCAGTTGCCGTTCTCAAACATCCCGATCTCGACGGAAAACCGGTCGCCGTGGCCCATGGTACGGGCAGCGGCTCGGAGATCGCCAGCTGTAATTACGTCGCTCGTGCGAAGGGCGTCAAGAATGGTATGTGGATGAAGGGGGCTCTGCAATCGTGTCCAGATCTGAACGTCTTGCCCTACGACTTTCCGGCATATGAGGATGCCAGTCGGAAATTCTACAGCGCCATTCTTTCAGTGGACGGCATCGTGCAGAGTGTCAGTATCGACGAAGCGTTGGTCGATATCACCGGCCAGTGTCTGGAGGCCGGGGGCTCCGATGGGAGAGGCGTGTCCGAAGGCTCCATCTACAGAGAGCAAGCCAAGGCGGATGAAATCGCCGACAGTCTCAGACACGCCGTCAAATTGGAGGCCGGGTGCTCCGTCTCTGTGGGCATTGGAGGCAACATCCTCCAGGCAAAGGTTGCTCTGCGAAAAGCCAAACCAGCTGGCCAATTTCAACTCAAGCCGGATATGGTGCTTGACTTTATTGGGAACCTCACTGTCCAGGATTTGCCAGGCGTGGGCTACAGTCTCGGGGCAAAGTTGGAAGAACTTGGTATCAAATTCGTCAAAGACGTCAGGGATCAGTCAAAGGAAAGACTCACTTCTGCCCTGGGACCCAAAACAGGGGCTAGGATCTGGGATTATGCCCGTGGGATCGACAGAACTGAAGTTGGCAACGAAGTGATGAGGAAATCCGTGTCGGCGGAAGTCAACTGGGGCATTCGTTTCGTCAATCAAACCCAGGCAGAAGATTTTGTGCGCTCCTTATGTGAAGAGCTACACCGACGACTCGTCGAAAACCTAGTCAAAGGGAAGCAGCTCACCCTCAAAGTGATGCGACGATCAGCGGATGCGCCATTAGAACCCGTCAAACATCTAGGACACGGAAAATGCGATACATTCAACAAGAGTGTCCTGTTGGGAGTGCCATCTAATTCCACCGATGTCCTTGGCAAAGAGGCCGTCTCCATGCTCAAGAGTTTAGCAATCTCACCGGGCGACTTGAGAGGCATCGGAGTGCAGATGACCAAGCTCGAGCCTCTGAAACCTGCAACGGGGGGAAGCATCGAGGCCAGCCAGAAACAACTCAATTTCAAGGCCTCCCCTGCGCGTAAAAGGGCACAGCAAGCCCATGACCCGGACGATTTGGAGAGCCCACGCAAGGAGGAAACGGACACGGTCAACTACGGGCCGTCGCTCAACGACAGCAACCAGAAGCCTTTGAATATATCAGGCACTCAATTCATCATGCCATCTCAAACCGATCCGCAGGTCGTAGCGGAGCTCCCGAACGATATACGATCCAAGCTCGTCGCACAAGGAAAGCAGGCTTCTCGGAGAGACCGGTCGACTTCACCCTGCCCTCCTCCTCGTCGAAGCCAACCGCCGGCTACAGCTGAGCTTCCACCCCAGTCTCAGCTCGATCCGGAAACCCTCGCAGCCCTACCTGAAGATGTGAGGGCCGAAGTTCTAGGCTACTACAACCAGCAAGGCCCCTCAGACCCTCAGGCTGCACCCGGACTCACAGCACCTACAGCACCCGCAACGATGCCTGCTCCTCCCAACCCACTCCGCTTCAAAAAGCCCATTAGCCCACCGAAGAAGAAACGCGGTCGACCCAGCACCAAGTCAACCGGCACTACGACCCTTCGACAAGCCAACTTCCTCTTCCCACGCCCCACAACCCCCACCCTCAGCGAAGAGCGACGCGAACCATCTCCCCTCCCCGACCCTGCCAACGAAGTATCGCCCGAATTCCTCGCCGCCCTCCCAGAAGACATCCGGCGCGAGGTCCTCGAGGAACACAGACGAGCGCGCACGCGATCACGCCCAGGCAGCGCTACGCAACGCACCACAGGACAACAAACCCGCCCTTCTAGCGCACCGCACGCACCCGCTCAAGAAAAACGACTCCGACTCCCTCCCCTGCCGGAACGGCCGACGTTCACATCGCAGAAGTTATCCAGGCTGTCTGATGTGCGCGACGCAGTCGGGTCCTGGCATGACGCGTTCGCGGAAGAAGGGCCCTTCGAAGAAGATGTCGAGGCCCTTGCGCATTACGTGAAGCGCGTGGTGGTGGACGAGAGAGATCTGGACAAGGCTGTCTCGCTCACGAAGTGGCTTATGTGGCTTGTTGAGGATAGTCGTCCGATAGGGGTTGGCGGAGAGCGTGGATCTCCGAATGGTGTTTCGTGGGATGAGGCGGTGCGGTCTTTGCAACGGGGTGTTATGGGGGGGGTGGAAGAACGGGGGTTACCTCCTGTGGACTTCTCTTGATGTACCTTTCATTTTATATATTACAATAATTATGGCATAGCATGTACATAGAATTTAGTCCGGGCAGTCACATCACATATATCATATAGAATCTATGAACATAGCGATCCGTAACTGTACGGACTATGGCACGTCAACGAACGCCACAGCATCGGCGGTGTTCTTCCCCCAGAGAGCATTATACAGAACTACATACGAGCGGAGTGGGTGCAACCCAGTAGAGCTCAAGGAACTGGTCCGTTTTGTAGTTGGTTCAATCTGAGCAAAGTTGGGGTATAGCATAACAACCCCAGTTGTATGATCTGCAACATATATATATAGAAAGTGAGCTTACTGGGTACTATCATCTACGAGGTGAAATCTTTTCCCAGCACATCGGTATATCTTGATCAAAACTAGTCTTGCGAATATGTGTGCTGGCACTAGTAGGCTGGAGACCAATTCTACCAACCTCGAGACCTAGAAATCCGATTGCACGGTAGCAAGAGTAACAGGTGTTAACCCGGAGCCCGAATCTCCTAAGATCTTTGGTATCACTATGATATGAGTCTGATACTGTAGAACGCATGCAGCGTACAGTTCTGCGGGTAGCCTCGACCCCAGACATAAAGAGGATGACATAATTCTGACCCAGTTGCAGTTACCAACTGTATCGAACAGAGCATGTAGCATGTCACGTTTGAGACGTAAACAACCCAGCCAGGTTCTTGCACACGAGCTGACGGGGTTATACTACGTTCTCTCCATACCAACTAGACACCGATGCGCGCCTGCCTGGAGGCTCTCAACAACAAGACGCTAGCGAGATACTGATCCCAGAGATCCAAATACAGCAGCTGCCATTAGAATTAATGACGGGATACGGCCACCACGAAGAGGTAAACACTCTGCCGACAGTTATTCTGCGGTCGTGAGGGGTATTCCGGTCACTATTTCAGACTCAACCAAGCTTGCATCGATATGCAGTCGAGTTCTCAAGGACAAACACCCGAATGGGGTATACACTAATGACGCGCGAGACCGAGCAGCGCATGGACGCAACATATGTGTGATATCCCACATTTGCTTGAACCTCTGGCGCGTGTGAAAGGGTCTTCACTAATCTAACGTAAGAACAAGTGGGCCTTGCGCATCGCTGCCTGACTGCAGGCATCATGTATCAAGTCCAGTTCGAGTTGATCCCTACTAAGGTTAGTGGAAGGTTTTGCCAAGATGGCCCAAAAGATGACAGATGATCTACAGGTGGTGGCTGCAGTATACCGAAGACTGCGGGTGTGTACGTTGCGGCAGATCAGTTCGTAGATGGCCTTACATAGAGACCAAATCGGATGTCCTGGAGGGGCGGCTGTGATACTTGCGTTCCTGAAAGAGCAGTTAGAAATGCCATTGCATGTCATCTTCTCCCCGAGCGGGGGGCGAATTGGGTCATGTTTGTACAATCTTGATAGAGCTGTTGAGCCTCTTGAAATAAATTCTTCATAATGCGTACATACCATATCGCCCCTACGTCTATAGCTGGGCATATAGGACTTCACTACAGTGGTTGCCACATGTGGAACTGGTGACATGATCTGACGATCCGTATTCACACGGACGTCTTAGTATAAGTCAACCAATTCGAGGGAATGATGGTTACCAAGTAACACCAGCCTAAGAGGCTGATCGTGCAAAGGAGATACGAGCCGAATCGAACCGCTATAATCTCACCACAGATACAATTCCAATTCCGCCGTGTCGAACCTAGCCATTAGCAGTTCGGTATATTTATGGACATGATACTTTCCCTGGTGCAGACGGACAACGGCCCCAACCCTGGGCCATCTCCAATCACAGAAGAATACCCGATCTATGCCAGCCTTACTCGATAAGATGACCACCAAGTGTCACATTGATTTACATGCAGCCAGGGCTCAGAATCACCTGCAGCAGCTACAACCCGAGACACTGACTCGGATGCACGCTGTATCACCATGTTCAAAGGCGGCTGTCAAAACCACGAGACCTGACTTTCCGTCTAGAGAAGCCATCATTGGTGGTGAGGTGGCGGCGTTAGCAAGCCTCATCGTGACATCCAATGATTCAGGTTTCGTCTACATGATGCTGTAGAACGAGCTGAAGGACGAGGATAGGAACCGAAAAATGACTCAACCGGAAAGTCTCGACGGGAAAGCCCCATCTCACAATGTCGATGCACGTCGCGAGCATGCTATCAGGCAAGGCCTCCTGGAAGTTCTTCTCGATATAGAAGACAAGAGTGTATGTTCGCTAGCGAGATACCTATTAAAACCCCCCTTTCCCCCTCCGATTCAGGTTGGGATCCAAGCAGCAATTGAATCTTCTCCATCAAGACAACCAACTCTCAAAACTTCGAATTCAACCTCATCTTCATAACATCCTGTATCTTGCAAAATGCAGCTCACCAACATCCTCCTCGCTTTCATGGCCAGCGCAGTCGTTGTAATGGCAGCCCCGGCCGCTGAAGTTAACGAGAACAACGCCGCGGTGTGGAAGTGCCCAACAGGATGGGCAGTATGCGGCGTAAGTCACTTCTTTCATCAATCAAGCTCAATGACCCAAAATTTTCCACGCATCTAACAATCGTGTGCAGACGTGTAATGGAGGTGACTGCAAGGTGGCAGGCACAAACCGGTAAGATTCAGTGACAACTCAATCAACCAAGAGCAATCGGCTAATACTGAACCCTGTAGCCATTGCAGAACTGGAAGCGTAAGATTGATGACTTTTGCTTATTTCTATATCCAAGGCAGATTGTACTGACTTGACTTGCTTTCAGTGCACAAAACAAAGCGGCGCTGGAGATGGAACAATCTGCGGGAGCCCTGGGCTTTTCGACATTCAAATGGATTGCCCTGGCCGCCGTAGATGAGAAGAGCTTTTTGGAAATCCACTGTGATTTCCTATTGTGATTGAGAAGTAGGACAGGGAATTTCAACAATTACCCCTGTTCAAATGAAGACCGGAGAATATCGATAGTGACTTTAGCCTCGTCTTTGGATTTGCACTTGCTACTAAATTGATGAATGCATTCTTCTATTATATGTCTGCTCGCTGCTCAACATTGCGTAGTTATGATATGACCATGTTCAGCAAGCACCGTTGGGATGTGCCTCAATTAGTCTCAACTTTAGACGCACTATGAATCTGTCGTGAGAAAGATTAGAACAACCTCCATTATGATATGAAAAAGAACAAGAGGGAGAGCGCCAAAGCGGGAAGAAGGGAAGAAGGAAGAAGGAAGAAGGAAAAGAGATGGATGCTATTCCTTACTTGGGGTATCTTCATCCCAAGAAGAGCTCAAACTCTCGCAAGGTTTGGTTGGCTTGTTAGCTATTTCGAAAGTAATTCTAAGTTCTAAAGGGTATTATGAAATCCAAAATGTAGCCTTGAATGAAAGGTGGAGACTACATATCAAAACGGCATCATCGAGGGATCATTCTGCAGATTCATGAAAGCCTTAAGACCAGGTAATTAGCATATATCCGGCATATTCCGTCAGGATGGGGATAAAAAACTCACCCAAGAGTCCAGCTGGGTCCACCAGATCGACCCGTCTAGGTTCTCAAGAAACCCTGGATCCTCCGATGGCTCGAACAAGGTCCCCTCGAGGCCCGGCTGCTGCAAGCTGTCTGCGTAGTTCAAAGAGCCTGGGTCCAACAAAAGTGTCTGGTCCGTACGAGGTAGATCAACTGTTTCCTGCATGACGGTGGATTTCTGGTGGGTGTCAGAAGGCCCAGAAGTCTCTCCAGAGTGCGGTGGTGGTAGCCGGGGCCCGAGTTGCCTGTGTACTTCGAGCCGCAGCTCCTCTAGGATAATGCTGTAGCGACGACTAGGACAGTTCTCCCTGGTGGCTTCTGCAAGGTGCTGCTGGCAGGTTTCGCCGACGGCGAATAGGGACAGTGACCGACTGGTGTCTTCGGTGTTTCTTGGGGAGGAGTCGCCCAGGGCAGAAAAAAGACGATGCTGCTGGATGGTGTATATATACACTACGATAATGGCGCAGAAACAGACGTAGTGGGTGAACCAGAATGACTGGATGAAGGCACCTTGTTTCGCCAGGCTGTCGACCAGGGTGAGGACATTTTCAGCCGCATCGATACATTTGTGAACGTGGGTCGCTACCATAGGGTCTGGAATGGATGGCCGCCGCGTGAGATCGGTGAAATCGTTCAACAGGAATGACCGGGTTACGTGGATCATCGCATGAGAGTACGCCATCTGGAGGACTTGACTTTGTCGGCAAAGAGGTGGGATAAGACTCGTTGGGCATACGCTGTTAAACAGAGGCGGTGTTGTCTCTTTCCACTTCTCTAGTTCTGCGGTGAGTCGGGCTGCCATTTCTAAAGGCGGGTCGCGACAGTGCGGATTGAGCGAGTAGACTTGTCGGGAGATATCACCAAGAATCCGGCCCAGTCTGTTTTCGCATAGCTTAGCGTCGGGCAGAGGGGAGAGAAAAAATGCAGAGTTCAGTGAAGACCAACCGGAAATGAAGCACAGAGGCAATCATCATACAATCCGGCGACCCTGTTCTTCTTTCGGAAGTCTCTTGGAGCAAGTCATCATCGCTCACCTCATCCGGTAGCTTCTGGTCGATGTCCTCGTCATGTAGCAATCGAGGTCTTCCGAACATGACGCTCAGGTACTTATCTAATGTGTATGCACTCCAGAAAATACGTTTGCGAAGCTCCTGCTCCAGATAAGTAGTCCCCCTCTTCACAGACCTGGCCAGACACTTTCGGTGCAGACCCAATGCTGTCACCAGCTGCAGCGCCGTACCAAAGACATACCAGCATTCATTGGCACGGGACGAGCCCAGGAGATAGAGGCATTGGCCTAGTCGTGCCTGAACCGTTTCCAGATTCGGAGGACCAGACTCCATGGCAGACATGTGCTTGGACGCTGCATACCATCGTTCGCTAGACTAATTAGCCAATTGCTGTGGTGGAAGGCGAGGGTAGAGTCGTGGAAGGCACCCTTACCTCCGGTCCCAAGGGTCCCTCTGGCCGCCCGGTTCTAGCTCCTCGTACAGCGTGCTGACCGCAAAGACCATGAGAACGATTGCCGTCCGAGCCAGCATCGGACCCGTTGGTAAATTCGTGGAGGAGATATTGAGTTCGTAAACCTGTTTCAGCCAGTCTTCCACGCTCCCCCGATGCAGGAAGCGGTATGTGACGATAGAATAGTCGAAATAGACCTCCACAAGACTCAGTGCCTTTTCATAAGAGGGCAGAATAAACCCCGTCTCGTGATAAGCATCGTAGGGCTTATCACCAAACATGAACACGGACGTATTCTTCGAGCTAGCCTCAGTGTCGCACTGATTGGGAAACGCGCGCATTTCGTCCTGACGCAACCGACGCCATACCCGGTTGAGGAACGACAACCCCGACGCCGGCCCCAGATAGTTGCCCTCGAAATCGGTAGCGATGGGATCCGGAGAGTTTCGGGTGACAGCGCCAAGATCTTTGTTCTGACGACCTTGGCGCGAGATCACGGCGTCCCCACGAGGTTTCCGAGGAGATTGCTGGGGAACAGGGTTCCGACTGGCTTGGCCCCTTAAAGGAGCATGCTTGCTGCTCGGATGTGATACGTCCGTTTCAGAGGAGGGCAGGGGCAGGGGCACCGGGGGCAGTCCCCGTGAATAGGCAGCATTGTACTTGCAGGCGAGCGACAGCCTGGTACATCTTACGCAGGGCAGTGTCCCGGTGCACCGGATCTTTTTCTCCTTACATTGGTCACAGGCCCGCGTGATCTTCTGCCGTGGGCCATTGGACCTGTTGTTGTTGCTGCTGTCCGTGGTAGTAGGCGATGACGACTCGGATGCCTTCCTCTTTCTTGTCCGTTGGCTTCCACGCGATTGATTGCCATATGCTGGTGACCGATGTGTCTCCACATTGGCCACCAGCGTTGTAGATTCCATGAGATCAGCGCCGAGATGGGCCCTGTCGAGGCGTGGTTGCTGCCAGCGGTAGTGCCCCTGGTTTCCCTCGTATTGGCAAAGGGCCCGTAATTAACAGCAAGGGGAGATGAACTGTCGAACCTTCCGCGGAAATGGATGAGTCGCGCGGTGCGGGGTTGATGACTCCACCCTGACCCAGAGGGGCAGAACCTTGGGGCGAAGCGAGTACTGTATATGAGATTTCCCGCCGTCAGTCGCAAGGAACAGGAGGGGATCCTGCAGCGTCGAAAACCGTCATACGATTAGGACTAAGGGGCACGGTCATCACGACAGGCTGAATGAGGGGGGAAAAGTGAAGATCAATGGGAACAAGGCTGCGAGAGCGGTGGGGTTTGACGGATTGAAGTCTTTCGAAGTTGAATTTCTACATGGAGGATTGACGTCAATGCATGGGATTAGTCACTAGATCCGTAATGCACTGCTTTATACACTGGGCCCCGTATACAGTTTGCAGCGTCGATCTTGGACGGCGACAAGAGATTCTGAGAAGATGTCTCTTTCCCTTGCTCGTCTTCGTTATTGTTTGAGTGTTTCATCAAATCCCTATAAAGGTACGATAATCACCAAGACGCATCACATTCATTCTTCTCCTCTGGGTTATAGGACATCCAGGGTACCCGGAGCCATCCCACGGCCAGATATTCCACGGTCTCCTTAGCCAATCCAACGTACCGACAAGAGAATGTCTAGCGAACCGTGATCATAGGGTCGCCTCCTTTCTCGCTAACGGGATACTGAATGCACAACGTACGCCGATGAAACCGTGATATAAGGCAGGACGGGTCACGCCAGGTGGTCTGAAATTCCGGCACTCAGCTGGTCTTATCCTTCGATGGAGACTGCGAGTCAAGCATGTATCCTTGGCGTTGGATGGGTTTCTCAGATCGAATGTTCGACGGAGTCAAACGAAACATGACGAAGAGACATAGGACGGGGTGGATCGGATATGGCTACTGGCCACTTAAGAATAAAAGCACAGGGCAAGAGAAGACAGGATTCCACTTGGCCGTCAACCGCCTGAGTTGGCCGAACAATCATCGGGTGCAAAAGCGCTTCACCATCCGTGATTGTACCGGCAGATAGGATACCGGCTACCGCAAACAGAGAGGAACGGTCTCGTAGTAAAGTAAGGTAATTTGGTCAATATCGCCGGCTTTCAATCAGATTGCTCTATCAACCGGACGGTTGCCAGTCTCCAGGACCTGGTATCGATGTTGTTCATCATCACTTGCAAAGGATGATGACAACTAGAGCATTGCATTGTAGAAGAAAAAAATAAGAAAACGGCAGGGTACAAAAGGATAATGATGATGTTGAACGCGTGGTGACTTGCTCTCTCTCTCTCTCTCTCTCTCTCTCTCTCTCTCTCTCTCTCTCTCTCTCTCTCTCTCTCTCTCTCTCTGTGTGTGTGTGTCTCTCTCTCTCTCCTTCATTTCATTTTTGGGGATAATGGGGCCTTTTTCAATAAGTTTTTTTTTTGTCTCTTTCCACTCGCACATTGTTTGCAGTCTACCAGTGACCAAGGCATGCCATGTGATGTTTAGGTAGCTATGCCTCGCTCATAACGGAGCCCCTCTGCCAAAGTACTCCGTCTGACCTGCTACTACCAACCCCACAAGCCCGGCTCGGTGACGGCATGGTGTGCGACGGTCGCTCATTTATATGATAGAAGGGGGCCACGGTTACATTCAATGGCTAGGCTGCGCTCCCTCAAGGCAGCCAAGAAACATTCAATCAGATGTTATCCGGCGTCAATGAGGACGCATCACCATCAACCCTGGTCGGATGGGAAGCGGGCAACTGATCTTGCTCCTTCAGACGTTCACTGCCGAATTGGCTGACTGTGGCCTGGATCTCCTCTTGAGATGCCCCCGACCGGATAACATCGACGATCGTATCCACCGTCGACTGGTTGCAGTACCGAATCGCGGTGAGTAGTTCTTCCAAAAACCCACGGTAATATTTGAGATCCTCGTGGGCCCGCCGGGCCGCAACCTTGCGCCGTTTGTCGGCAAATTCGTCAATGATACACTCCCGGTTGTGTAGGGCACATTCCGTGCATGGAGTGCCGGTAGTGTCAGCGCTGCACTATATTGCCAGAATCATGTCAGAAAAGGGTATGGTGCGTTTCCTCAAGGGATCTCTATATGCGGGTAGGTATATCTGCGATCTTGGTTCGACGACAGGTGGATGGGAGGGGAAGGCAGGTGCCTACGCGGGGCACACTCCGGCACGGGAATTGATAGTATCCGCAGGTCTCGCTAAGGCCACTTCCCCGAAGCGAGATTTCCCCGGGACAAGTAGACGTACCTTCGTCCGACGACGTTTACATTCGGTACATGCAGTCGACGCCCTCTTTATTTTGTTGTTAGGTTCCTCAATGGGGGGTCCTGGGGCCGGGCTCTCTGCTAGTGCCCGGGGAGCAATGGGACGAAATGATCGGGATGACCCTTGCTGGGCCATGGTCTAGGGAGAGTATGTTAGGGTGATGGGTCGAGGGGGAGGGTCATGTCAGGATGAGAAACCGAGGAAGGAATTCAGAGATCAGTGCGAAGCGCGAGAACCAGTTCCAAGGGGATTCCGGGTCGGTATTTCTAAGAGCATACTTCTGAGGAGGAGTCGTATCTACCATAGAGGATCCGAACAGACCATGCCTGGGAGAGAATAATCTGGACGATGACAGACCGCGTGCCCTTACACTAACACAAGCCGGCCAGACTTTCGGGTGACAGCTGGTTGGCGCGCGACTGGTATTGGGTTTGCCATCGAACCCCAGAAAGCCAAAGGAAGGGGGGAGGGGGGAGGAGTAAGCGTCAGAAGTGGGTGGGTAGGCAGATTGGCGCCAGCAAGGAAAACTGTGGCGAGAAAGGTTGTCTAAAAGTCGCAAACGGATGATGACAGTAAAAAAAAAAAAGTTAAAGTATGCTTTTTCTTGGCCAAAAAAAGTGGGAAAAAAAGAGAAAAGGAAATCAAAATTAAAATAGAAAGAAAAATTATAGCCAAAAATGGGGATAGGCAGTGAACAGTAAAAATAAAAGCAAAATAAGACAAAATAAAATCAAACCAACGAAACAAGGAAGGAGAAAAGACGATTACAAGCAGAAAAGTGCAAGAACGATACCCACGGTCCGTTCCAGAGATAAACTAAATGATCGGACGGTTTCCAGGGACGACCAGAAAAGCGCGAGGTCGAACGAAAAAAGAGAGAAAAGTAAAGAGAAAGTAGCTTTGAGCGTCCTGGGGAAATGGATTCGGGTCAAAAAATATCGACCTCGCTATTTGGTGAAGAGAAATCTGTGCAAGCGTGGGAGTGGCGAACGCAATAATTTAGAGCAGCCCAAAGTGGATTTGCCCTCTTTTGCTGGCCCAATGTAAATCACTGTAAATGACCGACCCTGTACGCTGTACGGAATAGTGCTGGTTGCCTCAAACTTCATCCCAGCAATGCCGAACCATTCTTCCTGATGCCCACATGACAGCTTTTAGCCCGTGGCGATATGTATGCATGCCAATGCAGGAAGGAAGTTATGAGGGTTTGGCGCCTGTCGTACCAGTGTTGGATTAAAGGTACCATGGTCCAAATCCGTGGACAACTATAGCTATGGAGGCTGCTTGCGGTCAGATCATAAACCTTCTTTTTCCACGTGTCGACGAATTGACGTGGTTGTTGGTCGTCTTCAATATGAACGATTGTTGTGCATCCTGAGCCCTGAGGTGAGGCAGGTATTCCATGGTTTTCGTTCCATCCTATCCTGTCGGTCTGTACCAAAATCCTCACGTCTATCATCCTGAGTATCTGATGTTTTCATCTGTTTTTTTTTTTTGTTTTTTTTTTTTTTTTTTTTTTTTCTCCTTCTTATCTCTTTCCTTGTCTCTTGTTTGCTTTTTCTGTTATTCAATTGAATTAAGGTATATGTTCCATCTAACCCACACGCTTAGTGAAACTCCGTTGGCCTCTTGAGCCAGTCCAACTCTTGAAGTTGACCGCGTGTTATCCGCCAGAGGGAAAAGAGAGACAGACCACCACACCTTGCGTGTCCTCTCTCGTCCGCTTCTGCTTTGATAATTTCCATTTTTTTGCTCTTGCTAAATTAACACCGAGCTGGCGGTTGGATGATTCGGCCACAAGATCCCCCTCAGTGTCCACTGGCGAAATGGCTGCCCTGCGCGAATATAAAGCCAGGGTCATTGCGGATATAGCTTCCGAAGGGTTTGATAGGTCGTGAAAACGCCCCCCTTTGCGGAATGACCGATGGCGCGTAACCCTTAGCTCGATGGGTCCGGCAGGTGGATTCCTTTGCATTCCTCAACTGCTGTCAGACATTCCGTTAGCAACCATCTCCCTTGATGATAACAAACTCTCGAGGAAAGACTTTGAGCCGGAACGAGAGGAGACCTAGCCTGTTTGACTCCAGGATAAGCTTTGGTTGACAGCGGTACCAACCCGTCTCTATCAGTGGAAACCGACGTCAAACGCGATCTAGACCAAGGGAAGGCATGATCTAGGTGCCCAGTCTGAGGGACAGCCAATTGCAGATCGAACCAGGCCCGATCGGGTCTTTATCCAGGGTTAGCTTAATATCTTCAACTTCTTCAAAAGATTTGGTTGTCCGTACGGAGTAAATGGTCGCCTGACTGACAGCCGAGAGGCGCCAAGAGATATCCCTCACGTGGTGACTAAACCCCTTTGGGCCAGCATCCCCCATCACCTCACGCTCTCCTGCTCTCCATCTTTCTCCTTCATACTCTCGACCCCGGCTTGGTCAAGGAAATCCACATCTGTTTCATCCTCCTTACGCCATGCTTTGATGACTATCGTCAGTCACAGTTGTCAGCACTATCGTACGTGCCCAATCACCATCATCCCCGCGTCTGATATCTCTGGGGGCGGTACTTGGATGAGAGAAGTGATGAACCACCGGGTCGACGCAACCAGGTGTTGCCGGTCTTCGACTACTGGTAGAGCTCAGGCTGTTTAATCACGAAGCCATGGTAAACTATCATGGACGAGAACACGGGAGAGTGTTCAAAGTAGCTAGCCAGCTCTGGTATAGATCCGTGCGTTGTTCCAGTCCCCGTTGAACTATGGACACGTTCTTCGACTAAACACCATTTTCGGGGTCCATTCTGCATGGACGAGACGGTCTCGACAACAGGTGACGCGACGACAATCGCCGTCTTCACTTTTCACATGCGCGAAAGACCCTCAGAACTATACTCCGTATGTCTGTTCTAGGGTTAGCAGAGCACTAGTGGTGTCGCTAAAGACAATGACCAACATGGACCCTATCAGTCGTGCAAAGTACCGGAAATAAAAGAGTGGGCTATGGTCCAAAGGCGCGAAGGGGGTTGGGGGTAGGTAAACCAACATCCGACACATGCTGCGGGCTAAAAAGAACTAAGCACACAAAGAAAAAAAACGAAAAAAAGGGAAAAAAAATTGAAAACAAATTAAATCGAAATCCACCCCGGATCAAGTGGGGAAATGCCCACTGGTATGAAGGACTTCACAAGGCCGAGCAAAGACGAGGTCGAAAAAATTTGCCACAGTGGGAGCCCAAGCAGACGATCAAGAAGCAGGTGCATTTGGACCAATGAGCGGACTCAGATGCGGCAATCATTCAGACTACTGGGAGTTTTGCTGAAGGGATCCGAACCGTGGGAGTGCCACTATGCGCTTGGGTGAGGGGCCCAGTGGTGCCGCGTCCGATTTGGCTACTTGTCTTACCGAGGATTCGATACCTAATCATCAAATGATCGGGCAAATCATCGTGCTACAACGCAGCCACCGACGTAAGTTCCACCTGAGCATACTCGCTTGCCACTAAGTTGGGGTGTCGGACGGAGTCGACCGATAGCCGGCTAGGAAAACATTCGCCGAGGACGGTTATAGGCCGCCCAACAACAGGGGACATCCATGATCACGTACTTCTTCACAGGGGAGAATGGAGAAGGGCTCAATCACGGAAATGAGTAGTAAAACAAGAGAGATCAACATTCTTCCAATAAAGGATCGGCAATTCAGCAGGCTGTGGATATTTACATACAACACATGGTTTGCGGAAAGAAAACCAGCGAAATCGGAAGGATCCGAGCTATCTACGCACAATGAAAGCTAATAACCGACTTGGGAATCTCATACATGAAGGCGGGACAAAAAAATGGATGCAGGCAGCACAAATCCAAAGGGGCTAGAGTGAAGAAAATCCCCTCAAAAGATGAAGGAAATAGCGGGGCTCCAGGAACACGAGAGAAGGATCATCAGTAAATGGGCCGACCTTCATCCCACTTGCGTGGCATTTCCAAACGCTGCAGAGCAGTGTCGTCAGGCGGGAGATGGTGATCCCGGGTGCTTGACGCGGGTGACAGATGGGTCAGGCTGCCCTGGCGCTGTCGAGAGGCACTGCGATCTACATCGACACCGCCGATCCCACCAATCCATTCCCACACGCGTGCCACATCTCCACCGCGACCCTCTCGCACGGCAGCGCGGACGTTGGCATTTCCTTCCACAACACCGCGAACCCGTCGCCATAATCCTTCGCGCCGACTGCCCTGCAGTTCAGACCGGAGGACATCATCGCGCAACTGCCCAATGGGGATATACGCTTCCCGGGCTTCTCCGCGCGCATGCAAGGCTGCCTGCGTTGCGAGGCGGTCTAGGGTAGTAGCGACCAGGTCGGGGACGCGGCCCAAGTCGGATCGACGAGCAAGGTACCTAGAGCGAGCGTAGGTGGCGAGACCTATGCATAGAGCTAAAATTGAAAGAGGGAGTCGATACGCGAGGATAGAGAGTCGGACGTAGCGGCGGAAGGCGCATGTGAGGGGTAGGCGGCTGACGGAAGTTGATGTGAGGATGAGGACAGAAGAGGGTCTGTGATAGCGTTGTGGCTTCTGTTAGTGTCGGTGGAAACGTCAGAACCAGACAAAAAAAGGTCTCTTAATGCGGACACCGTGCGCCATAGCGCGAGTGTTTTTTCCCGAGGGGTTCAAAAAGACGAAGGGGAGCGGACTTACTCCGATTTGGTGATAACCTCGTCTTTGCCGACGATTTCGCCGAGGGCCCCTTTCCAGAGATCATCGAACTCGGCATCACTCATGCCCTTGCGGCGCTTTTCGCCAACTTCCTGTTTCAAATCTGGTTCGGTGATCTCCGGGCCTTTGGCTGCCTTGTCGCCCTCTGATAGTTCTCCACACTCATACTTGGCCCGGCGGTCTCGGAGCTTCTCAACGGCTTTGTCGGCGACGGCCTTGACGCGGCGTGCCTTCTCGCTGTCGGGTTCACAGGTGGGAGGCAACGGGATCAATCCCCCCAGCGACAGCGGATGAGGTTTGAGGATGAAATCGTGCTCGCAGCGAGCCTCGAAGTCGGGATAGCAGAAAGCATGCGGCGGGCAGGGCTCACATTGCGGTTCCAAGACGCTGGCCCATTCGGGAACCTTGGTTTCGGCTAACGACCACGTCGGTTTGCCAATGCCACAGAAGCCGATCTCGACCTTCTCCTGCCGCCACCAGGCCGCGAAGCCTCCAAACAGCATCAGTATCACTACCCACGGGGCCGCTTTGCTGACTGGTCCCTGTTTCCGAGGTCGTCGGGTCTGGTTACGCGGTGGATAAAGTCGGTCGGCCTGTTCCCGCTCTAGCGCTAGTTGTTCATCGGGAGTGAACTCTTCTCCCGCGCTCAGTCCACTTTCTTCCTCCTCCTCTTCCTCCTCTACTTCGTCGTCCTCTTCGTCCTCCTCTTCGATAGGCTGGGACAGTTTCGGAGACGTCCATTTGGAGGCGGGTGATGCGAGCGACGCCCGCGCGGAAGCTCTCCCGCTGTCGTCGGGGGCGGGGAAAACCGGGGTCTCAGACTTCCGGGCACGGAGCCCGTGACTCAGGGCCGGGCTCTGCGTTGAACGTCGCGAACTGCTCCTGCGCTTTTGGTCACGGGTCGGATCTCGCGCCGGACTTCCGCTCTGGAAGGGGTTATCCGTGCTGAAATGACCGTCCTCGAGCGGCTCGGCCTTGATCGCCGACACTGGGGGCTCTGGCTCGGTCGAGGGAGCCATCTCACTTCTCCGTAATTTTCTGGCGGTTGACTTGCGGGGGCTGGCCGTGCGTGGCTCGCGCGGGGTGACCGGGACCTCATGATAGTCCTGCAGGTCGGATAGATCGTAGCGTTTAGATTCCGATTTGGGCGCGGTTTTCCTCGATGTAGTCGCGGGTGTCGCGGGTGCCGCAGGCGTCTGTCCGTCGTCTGTCTCCACGGTCGATTGCCTCGTGCTGACGCGGGAGCGGCCCCGTCGGCCGACGGTTGAGGGAGTCGGCGGCGGTTGCGAATCACGGACGGAACGCGCTCGCGCGGGGGGTGCATCATATTCACTGGCGACAGAGGTCGCGCGACTTGGCATATCCGTAATGCCCTCGCTTGTCCTCTTCACGCGCTCGCGCTCGCGCAGCAGCTTCTTGGCCTGGGGTAAGACCTCATCTTCCAAGATGCGGATTAACTGCGCCTTCTTGGCGGAGGCCGGGTAGGGGACGTCATGGTTGACGAGGATAGAGCGCAGCCGGGGAACGGTGAGAGAATTGAGATCGAAATCGACCGCCAGGTAATCGTAGGCGTCTTCCATGGTGGGCAGTCCCCGAGAACAATCACCACCGGATGTAGTCTAACCGGTAACAAACCGGTAAGGCAGGGGCAGGAAGCAGTACGCAGGAGGTAGTGGTGAGAGTGCAAGATCTCCAGTAAGGAATGGAGTACCTAGTGGAAATTGCAAAAAGGAAAAAAACAGTTTGTCAATCCAGATAGTGTAAAGAAGAGAAAGAGGAACAACGACCCCACGAGTGCTGCCAGAGTTTGGTTGATTCGTCACGATGACAGTTTGGTGTAGAAAACACGGTATCCACGGCAACGGGGTGGGGCTACAGCCAAGAGATGTAGCAGGCTGGACAGGATGGGTTGCAGGTAGTTGGCTGTAGGCTCTCTTCCAGTGCCTTGTAGAAGGCAATTACCTCCACTCTGACAAGATAGATGATGAGATGGATGTGATGAGGGGAGTGAAGATGAAGCCAGAATAGGAGAAGTGAAGGGGAACTTGGCAGGTGAAGTGGACGAGCAATGATGACGACAGGATGCAGCAACACGCTCACGTGATATATTAGTCAGTGCTTATGTCATCTGATATAGATCACTGCCTGCGATATAATCACACACTAGCAAGTCACCTATATCAAAACCAACGGTCGACACGCATACAAAGTGCAACACCTTCCCAATGGAGCGCAGAATCACAGATAGACGCTCTGCAGAAGTCGTCGTCATGGTCGACAATAAAGTGTATAACTCAGACAGCGTACATCCTGTCGAAACGCAATTTATCAGGTCCCACCGCCCCTCATGAAATATTTACGCATCGGCTTTGATGCATGCCCGACAACGATCAATTTACGAATCGATCGTTGAGACGAGAGCAGAGTCAACAGATTAAAGCAAGAGTGCTATTGTATACGGCTTCCCTTTCGCATTTTGTGGCGACTACAGCCTTGTCTGCTCGCCGGCATACCACAGCCACTATTGATTCAGTAGGGAGAAACAATATAGCTTACATTCATCATTTAGCACAACAACCTCTATAATTGCAACAGTCTACAGTATATCTAGCTAATCCACCGAATAACTCACCTTCGACACCCCCGACTTCCTCACAATCTTCTTAACCAACACCTCCCCACATAAATCCGTCGTGTCGACATGCGTACCTCCACACGGATACGTCTCTACACCATCGATCACCACCACCCTCAATTTCTTCTCCTTCCCTTCCTCCTCCTCTCCTCCATTCTCATCCCCATCCCCATCCCCATCCCCGGCAATCCCCCCCAACAACCTCCCCAACCCCCTCTCCTCAAAATCCCCCACCCTCCACCACTCAACCCTAACCACCACCTTACCCTCCACAATCTCCCTCACCCTCTCCTGAATACCTCCCTTCCACTCCCCCGGGATCAACCCGCGGAACTCGCACGCCGCGGACCCCGGAAAATGCGACGCCTTGAGCTCGTCAAATCCCTCGATCTTATCCTCCAGTAGCTGGCGCACGGCCCCGCCGAGGACGTGCCCTGCCGTATGGAGGCGCGAGTGGAGGAGGCGCTTTGCTGGGTCGATTTTTTGGAGGATTATTTCCCCTGGAGTGAAGAGTTGGGAAGAGGAATCGAAGGTGCCTAGGTGAAGGACTTGGTTGTTGGATTTGCGGGCTGTGTGGACTGTGAATTTCGTTGGTGGGGTGGAAGGACGAGAGGGGAGGAGCTCCATGGTCCCTGTGTCCGAGGGTTGGCCACCCCCTTGAGGGTGGAAGATTGTGCCTGCGGTTGTGACGACATAGTGCTCGTCTGTGCCCTCTTTGAAGAGGGCGCGTGTTGGCTCGGGGAGGGCCGAGAAGGGGGTTATGCTTGTTGTGGTTGTTTCGTAGGTGTGGAGCTTGCCATCGTAGTGGTAGGCGAGGTATGTAGTGGGCATTTTGATTGGCTCTCTCAGGGTATGTGTTCTTTCTATAGATGGAGGTGGATAGAGAGATAGAGTGGAGGTGCGTGGTGTTTACCGTGTAGGAATGGATGAAGTCAAGTCCAGCAACGTAATGCTTCGGTAGTTGGAGGTGTAGTAGTGGAGAACCCCACTTGTTGTGTTTTGACCCCCGCGGGAATCGACCTTCACTTTCCTACTACGGCGTACTCGGTACTCTGTACGCCGTATGTACTCCGTCAACTCGCCCGAAATATAGGTATGAACCCACAGCTGATGATGTCCCCGCCAGACAGACCAACTGTTTACGAACACATTACAGTCTGTGTACATCATGGTGGGACCAGGGTTGAGGGATATCCTAGTTTGATGGGGGTGAGACGAGAGAATCACATTCCTATGCAAGTACCATTATTCAACCCCGTAAACCAAGAGCATAGACAGCAAACAAGATCAAGACAAGACAAAAACCCAAACATTCAGAGAGATCAGTTCCACCCGGGCTCCGACCCATGCTTCTGAACACAAAACAAAGAGCAGACCAGATTAATGAAAGGAAGAAAAGGAAGAAAAGAAAGGGGACACCCCGACACATCATGAAGAAAAGAAAAAACAACCGCCACAACGCCCAGCATGACGTGGATCTCAGTAAGAAATTAGATTGTATAATCCGTCAATGTACAGAATGGCATTGAGTACCGAAAAAACCAAGAAGGTTTCATGGCGGTATAGAGCTCACGTCGGAATTGGAGCGTAGGTTGAGATAGGAGGATGTCGGCGACGTCGAGATAGTGCTGTCCTCCAGGTACGGGTCGGGCGCCATGTTGATGGGTCCTCGGTGGATGTCGGCCGCGTTGTCTGCTACCTGCTTCTTGAGGAGTCGATACTCTGCTAGCTGGGTCTGGAGCTGCTGCATCACCTCGCCGATGGGGATTGCGTGGTCGTTGAGGTTGTCGCCTGGTCGGAAGGGGTGCATCATGTTGCGGATTGCAAGTGTGTTGATTGTCAACTGAATAGTTAGCACGAAATTTTGAACAAGAGAGAAGGGGGAAGACTTACTTCGATGCGCGTCACCTGTTGCTCTACCAGGCTGAGCACGGTGGAATCCGCCAGCTCCCCACCATGGTTCTTGACCACATTGAACAACGCCACGTTGGGCTCCTGCAACCGCGCCTCCCCAGAGTACTCCAATGCCCCACACAGTCGTTCCAGCCGAAGCGTGATCTCCCACAGTCGCCAGATGAGATCGGTCTGGATCTCCAGCTGCGAGTGCTTGCTGATGGTCGTCCGCGTCTGGTCCGGGTCGATCTCCTGCTCCAGCGTCGTCAACCGCCCGGACAGCGAGTGCGGGTAGATGAGGTACAGCGGCTCCGGGTTCTCCAGCCCCTTGAGCTTGCGCTCCCCCTGGTCCTTGATGACAAACCCTTGGCTGTTCAGCTGCTGTAGCTCTCGCCGGATGTTGTATCCCAGGCTGGAGTAGCTCTCCATGGATCCCGTCGACGCCGCCCGCTCCGTGTCCGCGAACACTTCGAGGTTGCGCTGGAAGTCGCTCATGAAGTCGGACGAGACGAACACCTGGCCGCCGTCTGCTTCGGCGGAGATACGCGACGCCCGGTTGACCATCGGGCCGAAGTAGTCCATGCGGTTGGTGACCGGGTCCTTCTCGCAGACCGGTTCTCCCCAGTGCACTCCCATCCGGACCGACAGTCCCCGGAAGATCACGTTGTTCTCGACGTCGTACTGCACCTGGCACTGCGGCTGCTCGAGGACCTCCGTCGGCCACTCGGCGTCCAGCAGCTGCGTTTGGCAGTTGAAGCACCACAGCAATGCCGCCGTCGTGGTCGCAAACGCCACCATGAACGCGTCGCCCTCGGTCTTGACCTCGTAGCCGCCGATGATCCCCAGCTGCCGCCGCAGGATATCATTGTGGATCTGAATGGCCGAGCGCATCGCGTCGGGACACGTCTCCCACAGGCTGGTGGACTTCTTGATATCCGTGAAGATGATGGCCAGCTCCCCGATGGGCGCGTCCACGTAGTCGAACCGTGCGAGCCGGGAGTCCGAGGGCATGTCACGCGCCTTCTTGGGTCGTTTCGCGCTCGGGATGATGTGTTCGTCCGGCGGTCCCATGGACATGCTGGCGTTCTTGAGCGTGTATCGGCCCCGCTTCTTCAGCTCGCTCACCCCGAGAATCATGACCATGAGCTTGTTAGTCGCCCCGTAGGCCAGCGCCAGATCCCGGATCTTCTGCGCCGCCGTCATCAGATCCGACCGCTCGGCCCGCGTCACGTCGACCACCAGGTCCGGGGTCACGTAGTCCCAGAGTTCCCGCGACGCGAGAATGATCATCTCGTCCTGCTCGGTCAGGTTGACGTGCATGGTGTGCGGCGCGGCAATGACCGCCGGCATCAGCTGGAAATGGCCAAACGACCGAGACACGTAGAGCTCGTCGTTGAGTTTCCCGTTGCGCGACACGTAGCCGCCCGCCGTCCGGATGCGCGCCCGTTCTTGCGGTTCGGCGGGATCGTGCAACCGCGTCAGATGCCGCAGCGAGCCGTCCGCCTTCACCAGGATCGCCTGGGCGTCGCCCACGTTGGCCACGTACAGGTCCATGTTGTTGAGGTACATCACCGTCGCTACGCCACCGGAATGGATGTCATCCTTGGTGAGCCGCACACGCTTCTGGTCCGTCGAGTCCTCGCGATACTGTCGGATGTCCTGGTCGATGGACTTGTAGCAGGCGAAAGCCATGTTCTTGTTGATGCCCAGGAACGTCCGGCGGAGGGCGTCCAAGGGCGTCTCCTGCTCGTCTGGACGCAGTCGCTTCAGCTCCGAGGAGAACACCTGAATGAAGTTCTCGTGGAGGTATTTGGCGATCCGCGATCCGCCCGTCGGCGGCACCTGTCCGTCGAACATGCCCACCAAGGTCTCCACGTTGTCGGGCTTCAGGCGGGGCACAATCATGTCGATGATGGAGAGGTGCTCGGTGCGGCCGAGGGTGTCGGCCATCCCGTAGGCGAGGGACCCGGCCAACGAGGCCGACGTGCGCACCCGGCGATCCTCCGTTTCCTCCGGGATGGTCGACGTGGTCAGGGTCACGTCCATCAACCCCAGAATTCGGAGATGGGTCAGCGAGTTGAAGTCGGTCAGGTCGGTCTCCCGGCTTGCGGCCGGCCCCATGGTGATGTTCGGCTTGATCTCGAGCCGCTTGTTCCCCGAGAAGTTCAGGTACTTCAGGTTGCGGTTCCAGTTCCAGTTCCAGTCGTACGGCCAGTTGGAGACATTGTACTTGAGCCCGTTGCTGCCGACGTCGAGGACCACCAGCCGGCTTACCTTGCACAGTTCGGCGGGCAGGACCTGAAACCGGTTCCCGTTGAGGTGGAGGACCTTGAGTAGATATTGATCATCCAGGTCGTCCGAGGGGAGCGAGGTCAGGACGTTCCCCGACAGGTACAGTTCGGTCAGGACGTGCCAGCGCTTCAGCAGGCCCTGCGGTAACTCCGTGATCTCGTTGTACGACAGGTTGACGACCCGCAGGTCCGGGATAAGAGACAGTTCGCGGAAAACGTCATCCTCCAGGCTGTTGTCGGCCAAGTAGAGGTTCCGCAGCGAGCCTCCAAACGTCGTGGCGATGTGCTGGGAGAAATTGGAATCCTTCCGGGCCGACGGGCTCCCATCCATGAGGGACCGGGACGCCGTCGACACCTTCCGCCCTCCCTGGGTGACAGAGGCGACGGAGGGTTTCCGACGCCCCGTGCCATTGGGCGAGCTGCCCACGCTCAGCGCGCCGGTCGACGCCTGGCTCGGACGCCGGGCCTCCCGCTCATCCAGGGTTGTCATGTCGTCGTAGGGGACCGCGGTCGACCCCGACGGGGTGGGGGCCGGGAGACCGCCGCCGCCGAGATCGCTAGGCAGTTGCGGGGCCGGACTGCCGTGGGCCGGGAAGCTGTCCAGCACATTGGAGGACACGTTGAGCGTCTCCAGCTTGAAACAGTGCCAGATCTCCGGGGGTAGCCGCCGCAGATTACACTCGCGCAGGTTGAGGTATCTGAGTTCCACCAGGCATCCGATGGTGGGGGGCAGGGAGGATAGGGGGTTCTTGATCATGCTGAAGTGCTCCAGTTTGCGCAGCTTGCCGATATACGGCGACATGGACACGAAGTGGTTCTTGTCGAGCACGAGCCGCGCCAGGTTGGGCACATTGTCGAACAGGGAGTCCCGGAACTGGACCAGCTTCGCCGACGCGATGTTCAGGGAGGTCAGCGTCGGGATCGGCGCGTCGATGTCGAACTGGGTCATGGGGCAGTGATCGAGCACCAGGGTCCGCATCTTAATGAACGAGCCGCGGAACCGCGACACGGCGTTGTGGCCGACGTACAGCTGCTCGAGGCGGGGGAGGTGCGACAGGACGTCGATATTGGTGATCTCGTTGAAGCGGGCGTCGATCTCGCGCAGATTGACGAGGTCCCGGAAGGACTCGTCGAGCGGGCCCCGGATCACGTTGTTGGTCATCCAGAGCCGCTCCAGCGCGGTCAGGCTGCCGATGTTGGGCAGCTCGGCGATACTGTTGAAGCTGATATCCAGATCGACCAAGCTCTTGAGGTTGCAGAAGAAGTCGGGGAACACGTGGAAGTTGTTGGACGAGAGGTTGAGGGTGCGCAGGTACTGGAAGTTGCCGAAGTACCTAGGGAGCTTGGACAGCTTGTTGTTGGCCATCTTGATGCTCACGAGGCCGTGGAGCCGGTCCAGGTGGGCGTGGTCGAGCGACTCGAGCAGGTTGTTCGAGACATCCAGGTAGGTCAGCCGGCTGGCCAGGCTGAGGCTAGCCGGCAGGCGGGTGGCCTCGCAGCCGATGAACTTGATCTCGCGCAGGTTGATGCAGCCGTTGATGAAGTCGGTGGGCACGTCGAGGGCCAAATTCCGCGACAGGTTTAGCGAAATGATCTCGGCGTTCCGCTTGTAGAGGGCGATGGGGATGGTGACCAGGCTGCGGCCCTGCAGGTCGACCTGGCTGAACTTCTGGGCGGGGTTAAACCCAGGCTCGCCCTGGAGGCTGCTGTAGCCGCTGAGCTTGGTGGGGAGGAAGGTGAAGCGCAGGATGTAGCTGTGGTCCTCGCGGCCGATCTCCTCGATGCGGTCCTTTTGGGTGTAGCCCACCTGCTCGAGCATGCGCTTCTGCATGAGGATCGGCTTCTCGCTCGGGTCCAGCTGGCGGGAGAGGTCGTTCTTCTGCATGACGATCTCGTAGTTGTTCAGGTGGTCGGTGAGGAAGGACTTGCGGCCCAGGATGAGGAGGATGTCGGCCACAGTGGCATACACGCCGGTGGACAGGGTGGCGAAGGTCGAGTCGATACGGAAGACCCGGATGAAGTAGGAGACGCCGTCGGCGTCGGGGCTGTTCCGCACCGCGGCCTGGGCGCGGGAGGGCAGGCGCGCGGTGTTCTCATCCAGCGGCCGTTTGACGTGCCAACTGTCCGGCGCGTCCCAGTTGCCCGTGGCCGAGGGCCCGTCGGCCTTGGGGGTGACTTCCTCGCGGGGCGGAGCGGGGCCGTCCGGCGGCGGCACCGCCCGGGGGCGGCCCTCGACGGGGAGGGCGGGGGAGTTTCGCCGGACGATGCCCTCCATCTGGGTCAGGTCCGTGTCGAGCGCCCAGACGCCGGCCTCGTCCGGCCGCAGCTCCTTGCCCCCGACGCTGGCGGCGGTGGGGGCGGCACCACCACGGCCCCGGAAGCCGATCAGACCCCGGCCATCCTTCTTGCGGTCGCCGTCGACCGGGTCGCTGGCGGTCTCCAGGCTCCCTTGGCGGCCCCGGCGGGCAGGGGACGCGTCGCGGCGCGAGAGCTTCGACGAGGCGCGGGCGGACGGCTCCTGGGTCGACGCCTTGGCGCCGAGGTTCTTGAGGGGCCCGTGCGCCTTGGGGCGGCGGATCTTATCGAGAATGGACCGCTTGCCGGGCACGGGACTGGGGGAGGCCCCGAGCCGTACTCCCGGCCGTACGCGCTCTGGACGCTCGGGGTCGGGCTCGTCGAGCGGACGGCGGCCAGGGTCGCGGAGGAGCTCGCCGGGGTGGGGAAGTCCAGGGCCTCGCGCGAGGGTCGCAGCCCCAGGGCGAGATCATCCCGGCCGGTGGCCGGGCGCGCCGGGTAACCCGCCAGGTCCCCCGCCACGGTGGGCTTCTCCTCCTTGCTCCGGGAGTGGCGGTGGCCGCCAAAGTGGCGCCGGCCAGGGTCTCGTGCGCCCGCGGCGGCGGACTGGCCCGGGGCGCGATGGCCGTCTGGGCCGGTCGGGGCGGGCCGCACGGGGGCCTCGCCGAACTGGGGGATGTCGTTGAAGCTCTGATAGAGCCAGGGGGTGATCTCACTCGACGGCAGCGGGGTGCCGGGCTGCTGGGGGGGTCGCTGGGCAGGTCCGCGGCCGGCGGGGCCCCGAGAGCCCCCGTCGGAGTTGGCTCGAGAGCGGGCCCTGATCTGGTCGGCCGCGGCGGGTCTCGCGTGCAGACTGGCGGTCTCCGAGTCGGGCTTCGAGTCGGACTTCGAATCGCCGTACTCGTCGCCGAAGAAGCCCTGTAGTCGTTTGCGGAAGCGGCTGCTGGTCTTGGAGCCCTGGCTGCTAACGGTCGTGGCGCTAGCAACGGACGGCCGTCGGTTGTCGTCCTCCTCGTCGTCGGCCAGGCGGGACGCGGCGCCGGCCGGTGGGGCCTCCGGCTCGGAGAGGTCGTGGAGGAAGGAGGTGGCCCCGTCGGAGGGCCCCCCGCTGGGGGACGGTGCATAGGGGGGGGTATTCGGGTCGTAATTAAAGTAGTCGGGATGGGTGTGTTTGCGATAGGGCCGGGGGGGCAGACCGGCGTTGGCGGGAGGGGGGAGGTCATCTGTCCCTAAGACGGCCAGGGCCTTGCGGGGGCCATTGGCGTGTGGGTTGACGTCGGGGGGGTCCCAGGAGAAGTTTGACGCGTACAAGTCGGTGGAGGAGTTTGGGACCGACGGCGGCGGCGGATCCGGTCTGGGGGCGTCAGTGGGGGACGGAAGGAGAGGGCCTAGAAGCCAAGACGGTTCTTACCTGTCCTGTCTCTCGGCGAGAGAATGGGGGGAGATGCCGCGATCATGCGACAGGCGATGTGGATGACGGGCGCGTTGGTTTTGGTTATCTCTGATGGTGTCTTGGGACAGCCAGCTGTACGTATCAGAGCTCTCGGAGCCATTCCGTCCATTGGACTGGTCGTGGCCGCGGGCAGCCATGGTGTCGATGGGATCGCGGGTCGGGTGGCAGCCGCGGGCGGCACAATGGAGGGGGGTTAAGGTGAGGACGGATGAGAGCGGACTTCCAGCGGCATTAATTGCGATCGGACTGGAGACCGAGAAGCAAGTCGTGTCAACGGGGACAGGGGGGTAGAGAGAGAGCTCGAGAGGGGGAGGGTCTGTGTCGTGACGGGTCGTCTGCGGTTGACAAAGGAGGGGATTCAAGAGAAGATGACGGTTCGCGATGGGATCACGGGAGCGAGCCAGAAAGGATGAAAAACGACGGGATTACCGGTGGATCGAAGGAGCGATGGCGATCGAGTAGGAATCACTGGCGGCAGGGAGATGCAGGCGAGAAATGAGGCGACCGATGAGGCAGGGAGTTTAGCGTCGGGCGCGACGGGGTGGAGGCGTGCTTCATGATCTGGGGGCGAAACGACCGCGGAGAAGATGGGACATTGCAGATGGAAAGGGACAAGACCGGCTCATGGTCTACCCGAGATGAACTAGAGAGCTGACGCGTTAGTGAGAGATGTCGGGGAGGATCGAGGGGGTAGACGCGGAGAGGGCGTAGTGTGGAAGTGTAGGAGATGGAAAGGTTGATGATGATATGATGATGGATATGGACAGGATAGAATTGAAAGGACATACCGGATAGGTTGTTGACTCCACCGTGATGCCAGAGTTGAAGGGATATCAACCTGGAAAAGGTCAAATGGGGAGAATCCAGATGGATGCAGTGAGATGGAGAGAAGAGAGATGGAGAGAATGAGAGAATGAGAGGTTGAGATGAAACCCGTGCTGGGAGCCTCATTGAGAGAGTGCGGGTGTGGGGACTAGCCGGGTTGGGCAGGCGGTGAGGGGGAATGAGGGGAAGACATCGACACATATTTATATATATATAGCTTTACACACACATATATATATATATATATTATATGTTATATATTATGGTGGCTACCTCTCATTGTTTCTGATTTATCTCGTTCTCTTATATATAATTATCTTGGTTGGTTTGATGGTCAAACCCAACGGGGATTTGGGACCGTGATCGCCTGAAACACCAGGCCGACGCTGAAACAGGAGCTGTTGAAAGAACTCGCAATACAGTAGTAGGTGTCAGCTCGAAAGGTTGAAAGAGAAAAAATAAACACTAGATACGGAGTCCTCAGCCGAAAATAAGAATCAGAGAATTGATCCTCCTGACATCGAAGGATATGGAATTGGTGCCTGAGGCTACCTCGACGATCGATCCATCGATCGACCGCACAGATATATAGTAAGAGTGACACCTCCAGTCTGAAAAGACGGTCAGATTGAAAACTGACAGACGCTCACCGTGCATGTGCATCCACATGACAGGAATGTGTCATGGAAATATGCCCGATGGAAGAGCTGGCCATCTATCGATCTGTCTGGCCAGATCCTGCTAGGTATACGAGATGATAAAAGGAGGTTGGGAGTGGATCAATGCTGTGAGATCCACCGTCCCACCGTGGCGATGTCATTTGACCAGCTATTCCATATATGTACATATACATAAGGTATATATCTATATGTATATCTATCTATATATATATATATATAAATCAATTCCAATCGGAGAGATCGGAGTCTCTAGTAGCAGTCTTGTATAGACCAGTAAAGATACATCCGAGTACCAAAAAGTCGTGAGAAAAGAGGAGGGAAAGAAGTAGACAAAAGTACCCTTTCTTAGTCTTCCCGCAGGCCCCACTCCCTCCACGAGGCTCTCCGCCAATCAACGGTCTTCGATCTCCCGGGTAACGTGGGTCGGCCTTAGTGCCTGATCGGGGTCGATATAATGAGGAGGTTGGTCTTTCTCTCGCTCTTCGCTCTTTCTCTTCATATATCATTCTATCTTCCCCCATTCTTTCCTTCTCTTTCTTCTCCATCTAGTGGACCCTGATCGTCCCCCTTGCAGCTTTCTCTCCACGCCCGGTTGATTTTAGAACCGACCTCCTTCGACATATCTTCTTAGCCACGTCTGCACATCCAACTCCACGCTTGATCTGCATTAGTTCAGATCAGCAAATATCTCAACGGTCAAACAAAAAAGGAAAGAAGAAGAAACAAAAGAAAGAGAGAGATTAAGAGAAAGAGAAAGCGAAAACCGGCCATGAAGCTCTCCCTCGCTGGGACGGCCCTGGCCCTCCTCTCCACCATCAACGCCCAGACCTTCTCCGACTGCAACCCTTTATCAGATTGTATGTCCTCACTACCCTGACTTTATTATTCCCGTTTGATATTAACCTTTTGTAGCATGTTCCCCCGTCCCCGCGTTGGCCAAGTCCGCGACCTTTGACTTCACCGAGGGTCATCAATCCGGCTTCAAAGAGGTCGGAAAACCCTCCTTTGACGACGATGGCATCGGTTTCTCTGTCGCCGATCAAGGCGATGCCCCCCTAATCCAGTCTGGTTGGTACATCATGTTTGGTCACGTCGAGTTCGTCATCAAGGCTGCCCCCGGAACGGGCATCGTCAGCAGTGCCGTCCTACAGTCCGACGACCTCGATGAGATTGACTGGGAGTGGCTCGGTGGGAATAATGCCCTCGTCCAAAGTAACTATTTCGGCAAGGGCAACACCGACACCTTCAACCGTGGGGCTACCCACGACAATCCCGGCAACCATGATGACTTTCACACCTACACCATCGACTGGACCGATTCCCAGATCGTCTGGCAGATCGACGGCAAGACCGTCCGTGTCGTCACCCCAGAGACCGCCGCCGAGAATCAGTATCCCCAGACCCCCATGACCGTCAAGGTCGGCGTCTGGGCGGGAGGAGATCCTGACAACCCGCAGGGCACCATTGGTGAGTTCCCCCCGAGAAAATAGATCAATCAAGAAAGAGAGGCTAACCAATCCAGACTGGGCTGGAGGTTCGACTGATTACGGGGCCGGCCCATACACCATGTACCTGAAGTCCCTCAAAGTCACAGACTACTCCACCGGCTCGACCTACGCGTACGGGGACCAGAGTGGATCGTGGAAATCCATCAAGGCTGAGGGCGGTCGGGTCAATGGTAACAGTGGTGCTGCGTCCTTTTCCAGTGTCGAGTCTGCCCCTACCGTGACAGCAACGGTTGACAGTGCGCCTCTTCCCTTCAGTGGTACGCACCGGGAGACGACGAGCTTTGTAACGCCGAACATCTGGCCCTGGGTGGCCACGGCGACGCGGCCGTCGTCCGAGGGCACGTTGCCGCCGCTTCCCAATGGCTGGACGTATTCGGGATCGGGGCTGGTCCAGCCGCCCGGAGCGGCCTCTGTGAGTGAGCATCCCTTAGTCACTAGTGATGATGCGATGGGTGCTAATAACCAAGAACAGTCTATCTCCCCATCTACATTACTTTCCTCGCCTTCTGTGCCGGTCTCAGCATTCCTTTCCTGTACTGAGGGGGATTCCCACTGCAGTTCTACCACCTCGAATTCTCCCCTCGGTCCGTCGACCGGCACCACGGCCGCTTCTTCTTCTTCTGTTGTTACTACTAGAGCTACTACTACACCGGACGGAACTTCCACGCGGTCTGACGGTCCGCATGCGACGAGCGCATCTCACCCGACAGACGATTCTCCTTCTCCTACGGATTCCTCGCATATCGCCCCGAGTGTGGATGGTGGCGGTGTGCTACGTCCTCCGATGGCACTGGCCCTGTGCATGCTGTTGTGGAGCATTGGTGTGTGGTGAGCGGGTCGGATATGGTGACAGACCGGATGAGATACGAGAGCATGACGAGATGACATTATTGTACATTAATAGATAGCGTTCTGATTATGGGGAACAAATTATGATGATTCACGAATATTGCATTGGTACAGAGGTTTGTAGTTTGGAGTATGTAGAGTAGGGTAGATGCTTAAGCAAGAACATCACTCCGTCTCTTCTTCTGAAAGAAACCACGCAACCATCTCCACATCTTCCCAAACGACAGCGGACTCTCCGTCCCAGCATACAAAAACAAATCATAGGTCGATCCACCGATAAGACATCCTACAAACGGAGCCACCATAGGAATCTACCCCTGTTAGTAATAATACAATAAGACAAAAAATAATTAAACAAACAAACAAACAAAATATATAAAGGGAAGAAGGTGGGGAGGGGAGGGGGAAACCCACCCAAAAATAATACCCCCCAGCAGTCCACACCTCCCTCCCATACCCAACCACACAAGACACAAGTCTGGGCCCGAAATCACGCGCCAGGTTCATCGCATAGCCCGTTTCCCAGCCGAAACTGGCGCCGATGCCGAAGACGGTGAAGAAGAGGCCTAGGGGGAGGATTAATTCTCCTCCTCTTTGTTCTTGGGGGGTAGTAGGGGGAGGAGGACTAGTGGCAGTAGTAGAAAAAGGTGTCGTAGAGTGGGGGGAAGTTGAAGAAGAAGGAGGAGGAGGAGGAGGAGGAGGAGGAGGAGGAGGAGGAGAAGCAACATCCTTCAAAACAAACACCATGAACATAAGAATCGCACTCGCCAAACCCTCCGAGAAGAACGCCCCCGAGCGAGTCATGAATGGCGCCGGGTAGGTGCTGAATATGCCTGCTGTCGCGTTCGACACGGCCATTGCGTCGGGGCCGGTCATTTTGGAGGATGAAGGGGAGGAGAAGGAGGTGATGGGGACGGAGCGCGCGTGAGGACGCCCCTCGTGGACGTCAATGGCGGAGTGGTAGTTGGCGTAGATGAGACCTGCGGCGATGATGGCTCCGAGGGTCTGCGCGAGGGTGTAGACTGGGAGGATAGACCAGGGGTGTCTGGATGGGCGCAGGAGACAGTTTGTGAATGTTATGGCTGGGTTGAGGTGCGAGCCGGAGCGGGTGGAGGTGTAGATTCCGAGGAGGATTCCTAGTCTTAGAGTGGTTTGTTGGCTCTTTTTTTCCTATATATAAATATATATATATATATTATGTGTATTGAGAAAGGGAAGGGTAAAGGGGAAAGGGAGGAAGAGATACCCCCACGCCCATGATATAGACTGATAATCCCCTTTCGATCCCCCACTGAGAGTAACCTGGGCGATGGCACCGTCGCCGAAGAGGACGAGGATCATTGTGCCGAGGAGTTCGGAAACGGCTGCTTGATAGAGGGTGGGTCTCTTATGGGTGGGAGGTACGGTGGTGGAAGAGGAGGGTGGCATATGAGGAGGTTGTTCAAGCATGTCGGAGAGGATATGAGGGCTTGTTTGGGAGACTTCTGGGGTTGGTTTGGAGGTTGTGGGGAGAGACATTTTGATTAAATATTGAGTATTAGATTGACTGGATAGATTAGTATATGATGAAGACGTGAATTAGACCTGCTGGTAGAGTCTCCTCTTATACTTCATGGACAAATTTGGTCTGACATCGTACAGGGCTGTGTGTTACCCCGGTGGTTTATAGATGGTCTTCAAAATATGCCGTCCACATGGTACTACAACCTTGGGTCTAGAGATATCTGTACTTAGTCTCTAGTAGCCTTGAAGATATTCTATGCGCCAGCAAGCCATCACCATATTGGCTAGTGCTATCATTACTAGCTGACATCTGTCTAAAGCCATTGAGTGCCGTCCAGAGGCCCGACGTCTGTACAACCGCACGACGGTAGACGGATGATTTTATCGGGCGAGCTACTGACCTTGAGCAAGGATAGATGGCATAGCTATTGCCAGTTGGTCATGGGAACCGTCGTGACGACCATAGTGCGACCTCATGGAGTTTCTTGGGTTGAGAGACGTCGGGGTCTGATTGCCAGTTAGGGCTAGCCAACCACCTGACGTGCCTCAGTCTCTGATATGCAACCAACATGTCGACGATGATATTCCTCTCAGTACCGTCTATGACAGTAGATATATGTTAACATTGCAAGAGCTGCTAGCCCTGGACCATATTCAAGGTGGACTCCGCCCTCTCTCCACCAACCGTCCGTCTTCTCAGACACGATGGAGGATTTCGTCGGGGTAGTCGATCAAGGCACCACGAGCACTCGCTTTATCATCTTCAATTGCAAAGGAGAGCCCGTGGCATGCCATCAAGTCGAGTTCCCTCAGCTGTATCCACATCCAGGGTGAGCCTTCCATCTACTATTGCCCCATCCATCATCCACCAAAAGACGCCCGCTGAGTCTACAGCTGGCACTCGCACAACCCCCTCGACATCATCTCCTCCGTCGAATCCTGTATCGATCAAGCCGTCCATAAATTTGAATCAGCCGGACACACGCGCACCAACATCCGCGCCATTGGTATCGCCAACCAGCGCGAGACAACCCTCGTCTGGGACCGAATCACCGGCGAACCCCTTGCCGACGCCATAGTATGGACCGACACCCGATCACAATCCCTAATCACCGAACTCAAGCAGAAACACACCCCCGAGCAACTTGCCACCGTCCAGCATATATGTGGTCTGCCCCTCTCCACCTACTCCTCAGCCTCCAAGCTCCTCTGGCTACTCGCCAACGAGCCGCGTGTACGCGACGCCTCCGAAAGAGGCACTCTGGTCATTGGCACTGTCGATACCTGGCTCGTGTACAAGCTCAACGGCGGCCCAGTCGCCGACGTCTTCGTCACTGACGCTACGAACGCCTCGCGCACCATGTTCATGAACCTCGACACGCTGGAGTACGACCCATTTCTCCTCGACTTGTTCGGTCTCTCCACCTCAAGCACCAATACTACAACAACAACCAACCACACCATCCACCTCCCCAAAATATCCTCCTCCTCCCACCCAACCGCCTACGGCACCCTAACCACAACAACCCTCGCCGGAACCCCCATCACCTCCTGCCTCGGCGACCAATCTGCCGCTCTCATCGGCCAACGCGGCCTGTCCGCCGGAAAAGCCAAAAACACTTACGGCACGGGTTGCTTCCTGCTATACAATGTCGGCGAGAAAGCTGTGCGCTCCACACATGGGCTCCTCGCGACAGTCGCGTATCACTTCAAAGGCTGCAACCCTGTGTATGCCCTTGAGGGCAGCATTGCCGTCGCCGGCTCAGGCGTCGCCTTCCTGCGAGAGAATATGGGATTCGGAGATACCGCTAGCGACATTGATAGACTTGCGGAGAGTGTGCCTGATAGTGGTGGTGTGGTGTTCGTTACGGCGTTTAGTGGGCTTTTTGCGACTTATTGGGTGGGAGGGGCTAGGGGGTGTATTTGTATGTTTTGTTCTCATCTCATCTCCTTTCCTTTCGTTTCCAGATGGGTTCTTATTGTATGCTTTATAAGATTGGATCTAGCAGTTCACAAACTAATAGACGAAATAGTCGGCCTCACACAGCACACCCAAAAAGGCCACATCGCGCGCGCAACCCTAGAAGCCACCTGCTTCCAGACTAAAGCCATTCTGCAAGCTATGGAGAAAGACAGTGGCCATACACTGACAGAGTTAGCCGTCGACGGGGGGATGAGTAACTCTGATGTTGCCATGTAGGTATGTCTTTTAGATGATCGAAACATATTATATACAAGCCTAATCAAATATAGACCCAAGCAGATCTCATCTCCATCCCCGTACGCCGGCCGCAGATGCGCGAGACGACTGCCCTGGGCGCTGCTGTGGCTGCAACCAGGGCTTGCGGTCTGGTGTGGGGGGGTTACTACTACTACTGCTGTAAGGGAGACGGTGTTTGAGCCACGGGTTGGGAGGGAAGAGAGTGAGGCTTTGTTTGGGAGGTGGGAGAGGGCTGTGGAGTTGTGTGCGGGTTGGGTTGTCAATGATTCTTCTTCTTGATTTCTTATATTGCTTCGTGGGGAAGTGCGGTTGTGGGGGTCTTGAAGATAGTGTAGTTTTGGGGTTTGGGTGTGCTGGTTCTTATGTAGGAGTGGGAAATGCCGGGACGAGGATGAGCGGCGGTGGTGGACGTTTTGGTGGCATGATGGAGACGGCTGGAACGAGGGCATCCTTTAGCTAGTCTCTACTAAGATACTGAGTAGAAAGGGTTCATTTGAGTAGTAGGTAGACTGATATCATATTCAAAACAACTGCACATTCATAATCCATCATACCCCCCTAAGCCTTCGCCGTACTGCCATCCCTCTCAAACACACAATTCAGCTCCGACCCCGGACTAAGCGTCACCTCAAACCGCAACACAGGATCCTCAACGCAATCCTTACCGGTAACCGGCAACGCCTGAATACTCTCAAACGCCTGCAAAATCCGCACAACCGTATAACCCATCTCGATCGTCGCAAACTGCTGCCCAATACAGATACGCGGCCCCCCGTTAAACGGAATGAAATGCCACGGCTTAGGCTGCCATCCCGACTGCCACCTCTCGGGAATCCAGCGGCCGGGATCGAAGTAGTGCGGCGAGCCGGGCGGATCGTACAGCTCAGGGTCGCGCTGCATGATCATCGTCGAGTAGATGACGCGCGTGTCGGCGCGTACCCCCACTGGCCCGCGGCCGTCGGGTCCGCCGCCGCGCGGGAGCGTCGTGTCGTGGAGGGAGAAGCGTACGTTGAATGGTACTACGGGGTACATTCGCATTGTCTCGTTTAGTACCGCGCTGAGGTACTTCATCTCCTTGAGGTCGATGTAGCTGGGTTTGCGTCCCGACGCCCCGAGTCCCACGCGCGAGCCGATCTCCTCGCGCAGCTTGGCTACTACCGCTGGGTTGCGCGAGAGCTCGAATAAGCAAAATGATAGCGTTCCGGCGGTCGTGTCGCGACCGGCGAGGAGGATTGCTACCAGTTGGTCGCGCAGGACACGTGGGTCACGTGTGAATCGCGCTAGGGCGTGCAGGAAGGTCTCCTGCTTCGAGAGCTTGTGGTCTAGCTCGTCGCTGGACAGAGATAGCACGTGGTCGATGTATGGTTGGATGAAGTCGTCCATGAGCTTGAGGTTGCGGCGGAATTCTTTTTTGGATACGAGGGCGTTGAAGACGCTGAGTAGGCGTGTTAGTAGGGGGGTTGTTTTGTTGACAGCGTGAACCACTCACCCAAGTCGGAACATCTCAGCTTGTTTGCTCTGCACGTATCGAAACGCCTCTGCGAACGTTGTCGTCGGGTTCTGGAGACTGTCGGTGCCATTGCCGAGGAGGTAGTCCGTGGCGGCGTCCAGCGTGTAGCGGAAGAACAGGGGGCCGACATCGACCACCTTGCTGCCGCCGGGGGAGCCGCTTCCCGCGAGGAGGGGGATCAGATGCTGGACGTGTTTCTCAAAGATTTCCGTGTCGACGATCCGCTCGCGAACGAACATGGGACGGATCAGCTGGCGCGAGCGAGACCACATCTCCCCGTCGGTCACAAAAATGCTGTCGCCCAGGAATTCTTTCCAGTCCCGGTGGAAGGGCTCGCCCTTTCCATAGTCGGCGAACTGGCCCGTCAGGATCGCCTTGATGTTCTCCGGGTCCTTTGTTAAGATCGCCCGGTTGGAGATGCCGCCGTCGAGTTCCGCAGTCTGGACGGACTGGAGCTGCGGGGGTTTCTTGGCAGTTGACATGGCTTTGGACCAGAATTGGAGGTCCGTATGCGTATTATTGGCTTTTGCGGATTCGATGATGAAGTCCATCGCTGAATATTATGTTAGCATCTCGAGCATCACACGTCAGGGCGACACATACCGTAGGGAAGACGGAAGCGGATCAGAGGCGCGCGGTATCCCAGCCGTGAGATGTGCATGGACACTTGGATCTTTCGAAGGAAGCCTACCAGAACCAAGAATCCCAGTATGTAAAGGGACGCCATCCCGGGCGTCATGTCGGCAAGGATTTCTTCGATCATCGTGGCGAACATGATGAACTGCAAAATCTTACCTCTGGACGGGTTGCAAACCCGGGGACGGCTTGGAGATATATAAGTTCAAGATCCTAGTCAATCTACGGCACCAAAGCGAGTGTCGACATCACAGCGTACTTCGGAGCGCTAAAGTCTCACCGGGCCATATATGACTCATGTGGACGGAGAACCTAACGCTTTCTGCCGCTAACGGTGGTCGCCATTGGGCCGGACGAAGATCGCCTTGTGATATCCCCGCACTCCATGCCCCGAAGACAGCCCGGTCGCTCAGATCCATTCCCGTTTGAGGAATGTTTGCGATCCCCGCGTGAGGGAAGCCGTTTGTACCCCGGCTAATCTACTCCATAGCCTAGCCCGAGGCCTACCTGTTAGACAGTTCTGTGTTGTTTGATCTACGGAGTAGGTTATACCCCGGAGTGCACAGTCAGTCTTGTGGGGTTGTGTTGGTTCTAGGTGGAAGCGGGGCGTTGATCACCATGTGTGGAATCGGTTAGCCAGCGAAATTCGAACCCCTGTGGTATCAACAAAGTTGTAGTTTCGGATATACCAAGCCTGTGGTTATACCGTTTAGAGTTGAGAAGCTGGCATGTTGGTAGTTGTAATGCAATTCATTGATTTATGTATTCCACCGTGCATAAACACGTGTTCGGCGATCGTTCTGGCGCACGTCAACTTGAAGCTAGTGTTGAAGTAATCTTTGTATCGGTATTATGGATGAGAGTCCATTGCTGTCTATGTTCCTTTGTTTTGCTGCTCTTCTTGCTCTTTCTTTTTTTTTCTTTTGACGTGAGTAGTCGCCAAAGTTTCAGCCCCAGAATTGAACACAAGGAGTTGCCTTGCTTTACCTCCTGATCCAGATAGAGACGTTTCACGGTAGACCACATTATGTCGACAAAGAATGGCTGGCTGGTGGAGGTTGCAGACAAACGGATGGTCAGTCTATATATAGACAGAACCCTTTCGACTGAGAACAACAACTGAGGAGACGTGAAGTTGAAGCACTGTCGCGAAGAAGCCATTCCACTCTATACAAGAAGCCCGTTGTGTTTGTGGCATTTGCATTGTTTGCACTGTTGCGCTGTTTGTCGCACCAGCCACAGTCACGTGCGTGGCTCTCACTTGGCGCTTTTCATCATCGCCAAAAGTCATCTCGAGCCATACAACAAACGACTGAAACTGCCCCGAGTTATTCTCACCAAACCAGGACATTTTCTTACACCAACCCTGTGATATATGTTTTCTACTTCCTCTCGCTTACTATTCAATACCGGCTTAAGCAACTACCTCCCTTTCCTGCCCACCAGGGGTTGATCAAACCTTCCCGGGATAGGTAGACTTTCCGCTTCATTCCTCCTCACCTCTCCTCGTCGCCACTCGCGCTCTCCACGATGACTAGCATGGTCGCAGTTGGAACTCCGCTCGCGGAGGCTCTCAGCAATGTCATCCAGCCCAAGTTGATCGAGATGGGCTGGGCGTCTGACAGTGGCGATGACTCGGCCTTGATCGAATACGTGATCCTGATGCTCGTCAACGGCAAGACGCAGGAGCAAATCGCGAACGAACTGTCCAACGATCTTCTCGGTCTTGGGGAAGGCGACACACAGGCACTAGGCTTTTCGCGGTGGCTGTTCGAACAGGTCGAGATCCTCAATCAACAGGTCAACGGCGGTGCCCCGGCGTCGAACGAGTCCGCCCCCACTCAAACAATCCCCTCGTTCGGTGACCCCGAGACAGCCAATTTTGAACCAGCATCCCAAACGGACGTTTTGGACGCCGACATGAATTTGGGCGATCCGGCGCATGGTAATGACGGAATGTAAGAAATTTCCCCATGACAACCCCTTTGACGGCTCACGCTGACAGACCACATCAGTCCCACAGGACCCAAAGCGATGCGCAATGGCCGCCAGGGCGCTGGGCGGGGCCGGATCCTGAACCAGATCAACCGCGCTATGGACCGCGACTCTCCTTTACATCGCATCCGGAACCAACAGTCGGGCGGCGGGCGGATCAACACACATGGTCGTGAGCACAAGGGTCGTTTCAACCAGAACGGCGGCCGCGGACGGCAGATGGGTGGTATGGGCATGGGCATGGGATCGAACCAGATGATGAACAATATGAACCCCAACGATCAGATGCACCTCATGTCTTTGCTGGAGGAGCAGGCGAGAATGATGGCCCAGTTCATGCCGGGCTTCATGCCTCCCGCAATCAACCCCGCTTTCCAACAGAATGGTCCCCAGCAGGGCCGATCACTGTTCGACCGGGTCGAGCGTCAACAGAACTCCCGCCCTCAACGCGGCCCTCGCCGGGACCAGAATGCCGACACGGACATGGACATGCGAACCGACCAGCCGGCCGGGGATGGAGAACAGGACGAGAGCAACACCAACAGCGCCTGCCGCTTCAACTTGCGGTGTACGCGGAAGGATTGCCCCTTTGCACACCAGTCGCCGGCCGCCCCGGAGGGCGCCCCCATCGACGCGTCGGACCCGTGTCCGTACGGGGCCGCGTGCAAGAACCGCAAATGTACCGGGCGTCACCCGTCACCCGCCGTCAAGAGTGCGCACCAGGCAGAAGAGATGTGCAAATTCTTCCCCAACTGTGCAAACCCTCAGTGTTCCTTCCGCCACCCGTCCATGCCGCTGTGTCGCAACGGCGCTGACTGCACCACGGAAGGATGCAAGTTCACTCACATCCAGACGGCATGCAGATTCAACCCATGTATGAATCCCAGCTGTCCTTACAAACACGCCGAGGGCCAGCGGGGAGGGTTCCACGACAAGGTCTGGACCCCTGGAGGCGAGAAATCCCATGTCAGCGACCGGAAATTTGTTACGGACGATAATGGCACAGAGGAGGAATTGATCAAGCCTGATATGGCTGATGACACCTCCCAGCATACCCAGGAGATTGTGACATGACCGCGGACTCCTCTCTACTAATTGAATTTCTTATTATTCTGGGCCCGTTCCTTACCCTGTATCAGTTATCTTTTGGACGACATGTGGCTAGTGGGAAGGCGTTTCGTTCTTATAATCAAGTTGCTGGAAATGATGGAACACTGTATGACGTTGGCATGTAAATAGAAACCGAACTCACGACGAACGTTTATTTATTTATTCATTTATTCTACCTTAGACATATTTGTTCCTTAACATTACTTTAAATTGTAGAAAATAGTGGTAAAGCAGGTGGTGTGGTTGCTTGCATGATACGGCTAGGATGAGCTCCCGCTGGCGGCATCTCGGCGCGACGGCGCGCTTCCCCTTCCATCGCCTTTCCTCTCCCCGCAACTCACACCTGTCATGCTCCCGTCCATCTCTTAAACCTCCTCCTCCACCCCCCACACTCTGCGGATATGCAACGGTTATGTGTGGCTAGACACACTCTGAGAAGGGGGTGGACGCCATCGAGGCGCGTCCACGTCGGCCAAAGACACTATGCGCATACGCAATCGTACACTGCGGCGGTCATCGGTGCTGGCATCACCGGTCTCACGACCGCGCACCGTCTGTCCAAGGACCCCAACTGCTCCCATATCACCGTGTATGAGAAGTCACCGGGGGTCGGAGGATCCATGAAGTCCGAGATAATGGCCGTGGATGGTGGGAATGTTATCTTTGAGCAAGGTCCACGGACTTTGAGGGCGACGGTGCCCGGTGGCCTGCCGCTGATGGATCTGGTATGCAACACTTTCTTTTTTGACTTTTGCTATGGTTGCTACGGTCTGGTTCTAATTCTTCGACCTCGTGCAGCTGTTTGAATTGGATCTTCTCGACGACGTCCTCTTGACGAGTAAAAACTCCCCGGCCGCCCGCAACCGTTATATATACTACCCCGATCGCCTTGTTTGCATGCCGACGATAAGCCGAGAGAACCTCTGGGGTGATTTGTTCAATACTCTAAGGAAACTGGTGAATGAGCCGATCTTCGAAACCTTCCTGATGGAACTTTTGTGGGAAAGGTGGCGCAAGGCTCCCGATGCGAACCCGTTCAAGACAGACGAGTCCGTCGAATCGTTCGTGACACGCCGACTAGGTCCCGAGATGGCAAACAATATCGTGTCCGCCGTCTTTCACGGCATCTACGCGGGCGATATCAGTCGTCTGAGTGCGCAAACCTTGATGGGGGGGTTGCGGATCATGGAGCAGAGCAACAGGGGCGTGGCCAGCGCCATGTTCCAGAACATGCAGATGGGGATCTCTAATATGTCCACGGACGATTTGTTGGCGCTGGAGTCGGTCGCCCCGCAGAAATCGACCGAGTACTGGAAGTTCCTAAGTTCGCTCATCAAGGGTGCCAGCGTGCTGACGCTGAAGCGGGGCCTGGGCCAGCTTCCCGACGCTCTGGCGAAGGCGCTGGTCCAGTCCGGCAAGGTCCACATTCTGACCAACACCGAAGCATCGGCCATTGTCCGGAGTCCAGGCACGTCCGACATTACTGTAAGAGGCCCTGAAACTTTGATGTCACTCATATATCCAATTGACCCTCCCTTCTTGCGCAGATTTGCGATGGAAACCAGCGGTTCCGAACTCACAACCGCGTCATTGCGACAGGCTCAGCCCCGAACATGGTACGGAGCCTCAGCAAAACCGTGCGACAGGGCCAGGTCATTCCACATGACACTATTCGCGCTCTCCAGGACCACAACTACGCCGTGACCGTGATGGTCGTCAACCTGTACTACAGAGAGACCGACGTGATCCCCGTGCGCGGCTTCGGCTACCTCATCCCGCGGTCCGTTCCAGCCGAGCAGAACCCGGAGCGCGCTCTGGGGGTGATTTTCGGGTCGGAGACCAGCGAGGGGCAGGACACAGTGCAGGGCACCAAGGTGACAGTGATGCTGGGCGGCCACTGGTGGGATGGCTGGGAAAAGAGCGATCTCCCGGACCACAACACCGGGGTCACCATGGCCTGCAACCTGCTGCGACGACACCTCGGCATCACGGTCGCACCGGCCGTCGCGCGCACGAAGATGCAGGCTGATGCCATCCCGCAGTACACGGTGCACCACCTTACGCGCATGGGCGTGCTGTCCGAGGCAGCGCGGGCGGAGTTCAACAACCGCCTGACCTTCGCGGGGAGCTGGTACACGGGCGTTGGGGTGACGGACTGCATTCGCCAGGGGTACATCGCGGGGACGTACGGCGTGGGAGCGCGCAAACTCGACCCGGGCGACGGCAGCCGGCCGTGGCGACGGTACGGCGCCGAGAATTGGCAGTTGGAGGGTGGCGTGGCCACGGCACCTGTGACTCCGATCGGGGTATTCAAATCAGAGCGGAAGCACTATTAGATGTGGTGCGCGTTGGGTCGTCTGGTTCACCTTTGTACTATTATAATTCCTATTGCGATGCGTTACCGCGGGGATTAGACTTGGTGGTTCAAACTACGATGCTAGACGTAACTGGTAAGTGTAGGTAAACATGTAAGAACCCGAAACCAGGTGGTGCAGGCTTGGTTAGGGATAGACCGGCTATGCAGATAAAAGTACAGATATGACGCTGAATGACGAGTCCCTAACGCCAGACGATGTATGCCCATGTCCATTCACTCTTCTGACCGTCCGCCGCCGACCAAATAGCCGTAATACACTGTGCAGCCCCAGAGTGACCCGACTCGGGAACGCAAAGAAACCGACATAAGAATACTGTGCATGTCAAGACGTATGTGGGTGGTGGTCGCTAGGCACGACCGTCATGGAATCGTCCCGCGTAGATCGATCGTATCGCATATGGCACGCCGCGGCGGGCGCACGAGTGCAGGGTGAATAAGCCAGGTAAAGCCACTGCATGTCCAGTCCATGGGAGTCTAGGAGCGTGCCCATTTCCTCCAGGATGGTCAAGCAGCGAAGAGGCAGCCTTAGGTGCAGTCGGTCTCATACATCCGACGGCGCGGCCCCCTCTTCACCCTTCTTATCCCCGTTCGCATCTAGCCCCAGCCCATCAAGCTGCCGAATCAACTCCTGGATCTTGATGACCTTCTCCAGCTGCTCTGGCAGAAGCGCCTCGCCCTGATTCTTCTTATCGCGCAACTCCCTCGCCTGCCGGATCTTCTTCTTAAGATTGCGGGCCTTTTTCTCTTTCTCCGCCTCGGGATCCTCCTCAACCTTATCTTCAACCTTCGACCCCGCGTTCGTCGCAGACGAAGAAGTGCGCCAGTTCTCCAAATCCCTCACGCTCTTCCCCTCCGTCTCCCCGTCAGGTCCTCCAGTAGTAGCCTTGGCCTTCTTCTTCGCCTCCCGCCGCTTGGCATTCTTGTTGCTGGCAGCGCTGTCGGTGTTGTTGTCGGTGATGGTGGTGGTGGTGGGGGCAGTGGTAGTGGGCTTCAACCCCTCCGCGCCAGGAACGCCGCCCCCGGGCGTCTTCCCGCGGTTTTTCCACGCCGCCGCCGCGCGGTTCCGGTAGAGCTCGACATCCTCGGGGGGCTTGTAGCCTGGACGAACGCGGATCTCGCGGCGTTTGGAGCCGTCTGGGCGGACAGAGGAGGGGATGAAGCGTTCTCCTGTGACGGCGTCTGTGGTGATGCCTGCGTTGGAGGGAGGCATGATTGTTTTTGAGAGCGGCTTGAATTTGAACAAAAAGAAAATAGAGAAATGAAAAGAAAATTGAACGTAGAAAGGCGGATGACTCGGAGTGGTGGGTTTGACCGGGTCAAAGAGAATGAGGAAACAGCCTTCTATCCCACGAGGGAAGAGCTGCAGAGGACTCGAGAACCGCGACTGGAGTGAAAGATGGAGATGCGCATCATCATCATCATCGGGCATTTGTGAAGTGATAGTCACATGAGGATGAGGTAATCTTTATGCCTCAGGCCATATAGTATACCTCAGGCCACCCGACTGCCCGACGGACCAATCAGCAGCCCGACAATTCCCGGCTTAAGCTCGCTCAGCCAACTCCGACTTCAAACTTCATCACTTCAATCTCCATATCGACGTTCAGCGCGCTACTTCCTCCCCCTCCACCCTCAACCTCATTCTACTCCGTCACAATGGCCGGCACCGTATGTTTGAATCAAACCCTTTTGACAATTCCTGTGGTCCATTGATCTCTGGCTAACCCCCTCCAGATCGCTTCCGCCATCTACCAGTCCGTCTCCCTCTCCCCGACTTCCGACGACCCCCGACGGGTCGCGCGTCCTTCGCACTCGCTAATTGAACGTTTTCACCGATCTTTAGGGGCCTGATCCGCAGAAATGCCGTCTACCTGACCAGCATCTTCGCCGGTGCCTTTGCTTTTGAGCTGTACGCCGAATCGCCCCCTCCTCCCGTCTTCTCCCGTCTCGGGAGTCCGCGACAAATAGTTCATGACCGCTAACTATACATTTTTCACTGCAGGGCTTTCGACACCGGCTCCAACAAGGTCTGGGACACCATCAACCGTGGCGTACGTATCCCGACCCCCTCTTCTATCGATCAATTGAGGACATGACATAACTGACAATGGGTGTACACAGCGCCAATGGAAGGACATCAAGCACCAGTACCTGGTCAAGGAGGAGGAAGATGACGAATAGATTTCGCACCCTTTTCGGATCGATGGGGTGAGGGTTCGCGTGTGATTATACTCCTTTTATTATATTTTACCCATGGATAGTACTCGGAGAGGTGGATCTGTATGAAATAGAGTCGCATTGCCTGTCAGGGTGAATTATACTTTTTCTTCTTCTTCTTCTTCTCTTTGAAATTCCCCATTATTGAGTGATTCTACATGTAATAAATATGGTAGATATCATGCGATAGGCACAGTAGAGACGGTGTTGCCAAGGCGTTTGGGACGTTTGCACGGGACTCGTTATCTCAAGGCAACTCGAGTCCCCTCTTTCTCTCCCCTTCTTTTCCCCTCTTCTTTTCTCGATATTCCTCTCTCCCTCTTCAACTGTGTGGTCTTCTTGTGGTCATATAAATTCGGTGAAATTCATCCGACCGATCGGTGGTCAACCCTCCCTCCTCACACAGCTATCTCATTGGCGGGTGAGGCCCAACGCGGTGTTATTCCCCCACAGTGACATCTACAGCACCTCCGTCGCTCTGTCCACCACCCGATTTTTTTCCCCTCCTCTCACTCCTTCTTAATCACCCCACCTGTCCATTTTCCTTCTTGTTCTGGGCTTGGTGTATTTATCTCCTGTAACTCATTGCATACAGCGAAATTCTTCTTGGTTGATCGGTTCTCAAGACGACCGTCGATCTGTACAGCTTCTTTCCGCCTGATCACTGCACCGTCCCGCCACACCGAACGTCCTATCCTACCAGCCGCGGTAGTCTCCTTCCCCCCCCCCGATCCGGTGCATGGGTGACGCCGGTTTCGATCGCCGATCATAAATAATGCCGACGGAATGTGAGAGGATCTTGGGTGAAGGCCTTCGTCGGCTTCCGGCCCGGCATGATTTCCGCTACGGGCCTCAGGCGGAGAAGGACTTGCTTGAGCTTCTGTTCCGCTCCCTCAGCGGCCACAGCGACGATCGCCTTCGTCTACTATTTCCCGAAGGTCCGCCGACCGGTCCCTGGAAGTTGGCCGAGGCTCAGGGCGCCAAGGAAGGGGCCGAGTACACCGAGGCGGCGCGGGGTAAACGCTGTGGCCATATCTTCCGCGCCGGCGAGGCCACCTACCGATGCGTCACTTGTGCGGCCGACGATACCTGTGTTCTCTGCAGTCGCTGCTTCGACGCCTCCGACCACACGGGTCACCAGTATCAGATCTCCCTCTCGTCCGGGAACTGTGGCTGCTGCGACTGTGGCGACGACGAGGCCTGGCGACTGCCCCTCTTCTGCGCCATCCATACCGACAGTGGCGATCAGAAGGGGAAGCAGCGCGCCCAGGCCCCGCTGCCCCGGGACTGGGTCGACTCCATCCGCATGACCATTGCCCGCGTGCTCGACTACTTCTGCGACGTCATCTCCTGCTCCCCGGAGCAGCTGCGTCTCCCCAAGACCGAGGAGGGCATCCGACTGGACGAGGAGGCCTCGCGCCTGAGTTCCGACTGGTACGGCGAGGCCGAGCAGGAGGAGGAGGAGCCCGAGTTCGCCCTCGTACTGTGGAACGACGAGAAGCACACCATCCGGGATGTCGCCAACCAGGTCACCCGCGCCTGTCGGGAGCGGGACCGCTTCGGCAACGACCGCGCCCACGAGACCAACGATATCGGCCGGAGCGTGATCCGCTACTCCAAGGACCTGCCGCGCTTGCTGGAGATCTCCCGCGTCATCGAACACATCAAGGTCACCCTGACCATCCGCTCGGCCCGCGACACCTTCCGCGAGCAGATGTGCGGCACCATCGTCGAGTGGCTGGCCGACATCGCCGGCTGCAGTGTGCTGGAGGACAACGAGATCCTGCGCCACACCATCTGTGAGGAGCTGCTGGGCCCGTGGTATACCGGTAGCCCCGCCTCCAATGCCAACATCGGTCTCAAGGGCATCGACGACCACCAGCGGTCGGAGGATCCACCCATCCGGACGGTCATGCTCACCGTCTCGCCGCAGGGCCAATTCATCCTGGCCACCAACGACGACGAGGACGAGGACGACGACGAGGACGAAGAAGAGATCGACAATGCTAATGACCCGACCATCCACGAGGAGGAGGTGGACGACGAAGATCTGATGGGGGCCCACGACGATGATGCGGATGACGAAGACGATATGGAGATCGACCTCAACCGGCTGCGGGAGGAGGTGGAGGCGGGGGAGGACGAAGACGAGGATATGATCATGGGGAACACCCACGACGCCGTCAGCATCGCCGAGACGCTCATCGGATATGCCCGTGCACGGGCCGCGGACCGCGCATCGCCGCCAGCGCAGGGCCAGCCGGAGGGCCAGGCGCTGCCGCCGCCGCCTCCGGCCCCGCCGCAGGAACACCCCGAGCAGCAGCAGCAGCAGCCGCAGCAGCCACCACCACCCCCGCCGTCGCACGCGCTGGGGGGCGTCCCCGAGACCCGCGACGCGAACCAGCGACCGACCTCGTACATCGCCATCCCCGAGACCCCGTCGGGAGCCATCCGCCCGCCCCCCGGCGCGGCGCCGGCGTACTGGGAGGTTCTGCCCTCGGCCCCCAAGCCCGGGGAGAATGTCCCCGCCTACGAGAACCTGTGGGAACGTACGCGCCTCGACTGGATGGTGCTCTTTGATCTGCGGCTGTGGAAGAAGACCCGCACTGACCTGCGCGATCTTTACATCGGGACCGTGGTCAACGTGCCGCAGTTCAAGCGCGTCATGGGCCTGCGGCTGTCTGCCCTCTACACGGCATTGGCCCAGCTCTACCTGATCGCCGACCGGGAGCCCGATCACTCGATCGTCAACCTGTCGCTGCAGCTGCTCACCACCCCGTCCATCACCGAGGAGATCGTGGTGCGCGGCAACTTCCTGACCAACGTCATGGCCATCCTCTACACCTTCCTGACGACGCGGCAGGTCGGCGAGCCATCCCAGGTGAACCCGAATGCCACGCTGGCGTTCGAGGCCGGATCGGTCAACAACCGCCGCCTCTACCACTTCTTCCTCGACCTGCGGTACCTGCTGCAGTCCGAGTACGTGCAGACCCGCGTGCGCACCGAGGACCAGTACCTGTCGCAGTTCCTGGATCTGGTCAAGCTGTCGCAGGGTATCTGCCCCAATGTGCGGGCCGTCGGCGAGCACGTCGAATACGAGGCGGACGCGTGGATCAGCGCCTCGATCCTGATGCGGGAGATCAACCGGCTGTGCCGCCAATTCTGCGAGGCGTTCCGCAACCCGGAGCGGGACGGTGGGGATCACCTGCTGCGCGCCATCCGGAAGGCCACGGTGGCTGCCGTTGTCCACTCGTCCGGCATCGAGCGCAAGCGATTCGAGCAGGCGGAGATCAAAGAATACGTGCGCTTCAAGTCGCTGCCTTGCTTCGACTTCGAGGTCGACCAGTCCGGTCAGCTCCCCCGCCACCGTGTCGTAGACTTTGTCGTTGAGCGGGGATCCATCAGCTTCCACCACGCGCTGCACTACACGCTGTCGTGGCTCCTCGAGTGCGGCTGCAATGTGAGCAGCGCCCTGATGCGGGATGTCTTGCTGGAGGCGGCGCAGATCGCCAACGACCGGTACCTCCGCGACGCCACGCTCAGCCCCGAGGATCTGCTGCTGTCCATGTTTGACTACCCGCTCCGCGTGTGCGCCTGGCTCGCCCAGATGAAGGCCGGCATGTGGGTGCGCAACGGCCTGAGTCTGCGCCACCAGATGCTGCAGTACCGGGGTGTGTCCTCCCGCGACTTCGCCTACTACCGCGACATCTTCCTGCTTCAGACCGCGCTGGTGACGTGCGACCCCAGCCGCGTCCTCGCGTCCATCGCCGAGCGCTTCGGCATGGTGGATTGGATGACCCGCAACTACACGCCGCGACCGGGCGGCGAGGAGAGCCAGATCATTGACGTCGCGGAGGAGTTTGTCCACTTGCTGGTCATTCTGCTGACGGACCGCAACTCGCTCACGGCCATCGACGACAGCGACGGCATGACCCGCGAGAACATCCGCCGGGATGTCGCCCACGTCCTGTGCTTCAAGCCGCTGTCCTTCTCCGACCTGTCGACGCGGCTCAGCGACCGGCTGCTAGACGCCGACCAGTTCCAAGACGTGCTGGAGGAGGTCGCCAACTTCCGCGCGCCTGAGGGGCTCAACGACACGGGTACTTTTGAGCTGAAGCCGGAGTATCTCGCCCTGATCGACCCGTACAGCGCCCACTACACCAAGAACCAGCGCGACGAGGCGGAGAACATCTACAAGGAGTGGGTGGCCAAGTCGACGGGCAAGAAAGCGTCCGACATCGTCTTTGAGCCTAAGCTCCGCCCGGTCACCACGGGTGCTTTTGCGGACCTACCCCGGTTTACCGAGACGGCCCTGTTCGCCCAGATCGTCCACCAGTGCCTCGACTACGTGATGTCGTCTAAAGAGCGCACCCCGAGCATCCCGCCGACCCGGGTGGAGACCTTCCTGCAGGTCATATTGCATCTGGTCCTGGCCGCGTCGCTCGAAGATCACTCCGACGAGGATGTGGTGTCGGACGTGGGACAAGGGTCGTTCGTCTCGCAGGCGCTGACCAAGGCGCGCGCCACCCAGGCCGGGAACCTGACGATTGTCGGCCTGCTGGAGAAGATCTCCGTGATGACCGAATTCGCGGCCTGTGGCCCCAAGATCCGGCATATCCTCAAGAAGCTCTGGCAGAAGCGCCCCCGGACGTACACCTCGGCCACGGCCTCCCTGCAGTTCCCCTTCGACCGGGTCGACACGAACTCCCCGGCCGTCGACCCCGACAACGAGAAGGAGAAGAAGAAGAAGGCGGCCCTGGAGCGGCAGGCGCGCGTGATGGCCCAGTTCCAGCAGCAGCAGCAGAACTTCTTGAACAGCCAGGGCGCCATCGACTGGGGGGAGGAGGAAGACGACGACGACGATTTCAGCGATCTCGAGGACGCGGAAGCCGAGGTCACGCCCGAGACGAAGCTCTGGAAGTACCCCAGCGGCACCTGCATCCTCTGCCAAGAGGAGACTAGCGACTCGAGGCTGTTCGGCACGTTTGCGTTGATCCAAGACAGCAACATTTTCCGGCAGACCGACATCCGCGACCCCGACTGGGTCCAGGAGGCGCTGCACACGCCGGCCAATTTGGACCGATCGGCCGAGAGCATCCGTCCGTTTGGCGTCGCGGGCGCGAACCATACCACTGTTCGACGGCTCGACTCGACCGGTGGGGAGGTCATCAGCGACAAGGTCGGACTCAGCAAGGGGTTCAACGCGAAGAACACCCAGCGGGGGCCCGTCACGACGGGCTGTGGGCACATCATGCATTATTCGTGCTTTGAGGTCTATTACACAGCGACGCATCGACGCCATACCCAGCAGATTGCCCGGAACCACCCCGAGAATCTGAAGCTGAATGAGTTCGTCTGTCCGCTGTGCAAGGCTCTAGGCAATGCCTTCCTGCCCATCACCTGGAAAGGCAAGGAGGAGTCGTACCCGGGTGCCCTGGCGACGAACGTGTCGTTTGACGAGTTCATGAGCGATCAGGTGCCGGGTGCACTGGCCCAGCCGCGCCATCATCTGTTGATCCACAACAAACCGGCCGCGTCGGCGTCGTACCAGGATCTCTTTGCCGAGTACCTGTCTCGCGCGCTGGTGCCCCCGCTGGCCACCAAGGTCGACCAGCTGATGACGTCGTCCCTTCCGTCGTCGACCGCATCGGCGACGTCGCACTTCCTGCCGACGGCGCGGATGCCGATGCCAGGGATCTTCCCGCAGGCGGCGCAGCCGGAGGAGGTGCCCGTCGTGACTAGCCCGCAGCAGGGGCCCAGCGAGAGCCCGATGTCGGAACTCCTCGAGATCTACAACCGACTGAAGCGGACGCTGCGACTGAATCACGTCCACTCAACGTTCAGCCACCCGCCCGAGACGATCAACAGCGACGACCTCGTGCACACAGACTCGCTATTCCAGAGCTTTGGGTGCAGCATCGCGGCGGCGGAAATCCAACAGCGGGGCGTGGAGTCAGCGCCGGGAAGCACGCTGCTCAACAAGATTCCGCAGCTAACCCTGACGCACCTGCGCGTGCTAGCCGAATCGGCTTTGACGTACGCAGCGGTCGGGTGTCTGCACGGCACGCGGGACCCGCACAGCCGCCCGGCGCAGGAGTTCCAGGAGATGCACCGGCAGCGGCTCTGCCAGCTGTTCGTGGGGCATCCGAGCCTGAGCCGGTCGGCACTCCTCGACGACGTGCGCGATATCGAGCCGCTGCTGGGCAAGGACATCTTCGTGTTCTTGGCGGAATGCTCACTGTCGCTGTTGCCGGTGCTGCCGATGGATATTCGCCATCTGATCCACTTGTGCTACGTTGCGGAGATCGTCAAGGTAGCCGTGACGTACGTGCTGTGGCCGCTGGGGCTGCGCGAGGAGCTGGCGCGCCACGGCGGCGAGGCGGCTCACGCGGCGGAGCTGGACCAGACCGACCCGCGGTACGAGCACACCCGCGGCTTCTTCAGCACGATTGTTGCAGAGCTCAAGTCGAACTCGGTGGGCCGGGCCGAGGGGTCGTCGTTCCCGGCAGAGAGCGGCTACGTCAAGGACGGCGTGGAGTCCGCAACGCCGGGGGTGCTGGTAGCGATGCGGCAGCTGCTATCACGCTACGCGCTAAGCTTCCTACGCAAGACAGTGATCCTGCTGCATGTGCAGCACGGGGTGGAGTTCCCGCACACGGGGTTCGCGGACCTGGAAGCCTCGGAGCTAGAACGACTCAGCCAGGCACTGCAGCTACCCTCACTAGACGAGATCCTCGCGTCGGTAGGACCGGCGCGCTCGACAGAGCGAGCCTTCGACGGGGTGGTGTCGGGATGGATCTTCCACTGGAACGCGTCGCGGTCTGGAGTGCGGATCGGCGACCACAAGCTGTGGCCTAGCCTGGGCCACCCGGCACTGTTCGAGCTGGTGGGACTGCCCAAGTACTACGACAGCCTGATCGAAGAGGCGAACCGCCGCCGTTGCCCGAACACGAAGAAGGAGCTGACGGACCCGAGCATCTGCCTGTTCTGCGGGGAGATCTTCTGCTCGCAGGCGGTTTGCTGCATGCAGAACCGGCAGGGGGGGTGTAACCAGCATTTGCAGCGGTATGTGCCTTCAAACCTCTCTTTCCATACTTCTCCCTATATATGTGCATATGATACTAACCGAAACAGATGCGGCAAAAACGTCGGCCTATTCATCAACATCCGCAAATGCACAGTCCTCTACCTCCACCGCCGCAACGGATCATGGCACTACGCACCGTACCTCGACCGCCACGGCGAGGTCGACCCAGGCCTCCGACGCAACCGCCAGCTGATCCTGAACCAGAAGCGGTACGACCGACTGCTGCGCGACGTGTGGCTATCGCACGGGATCCCAGCGACGATCAGCCGGAAGCTGGAGGCGGACATCAACAACGGGGGGTGGGAGACGATATAAGGCATTCCACTATTGTTGTGTTGTTTGTTTGGGGGGGGGTAAAAAGCATGGTTGTTTATACTGGTATTGTTTGCACATGATGGATAGACTGGTTTGGATGGTGTATGGAATGAATGCATGCGGTGTGATATCCTGGATACTGGGTATCGGTATCTAGATGTTGTTGAATGGATCGTGGACTGACTGTACTTAGTGGAGATGAAATGGTATATACGCACCACGCTATCCTGGAACTGATCTTTGTTGTCATTTGTCTTGATTGTTTGTAGACAATGAGATGGTTAATGAGACAATGAAGGGATTTGAACAATGCTTTGCTTTGGGATATAAGTAGTCTCATCCTCGTCCACTGGTATATCGGACTATCATCATATACGGACTATCCATCCATCCCAATCAATATACTCTCTCTCTCTGCCCAACTGCATCAAACCCCCAATTCAACATTTCCACCAGGCTTGATATAACTAACCCCAACTCTCCCCCCCAATATACTCACCTACCATCCAACTAACCCAAGAAACAGACCCAAAATGCAAACCACAACATTCACCCCCCAAACAACCCTCTACCTAACCCTCCCCAACACCGAACCCTACGACACCAACCCCTGGTACATCTTCGTGCCCCTGCACGGCAAATTCACCGACCCCGACCTCCTCACCATGCTCATCCGCTTCAACTCAACCATCGAGCGACCGCGGTACGAGTTCCAACTATGCGGCGACTTGTCTAAGCGCGGCGGCGTGTGGATCGAGGTCATGGCAGCACCGGACTGCTCGCCTAGCGATGTGATGCTGCGGATGTTTGCGGGGCTGCGGATGCTGCAGGATTTGGTGCTCGATGGAGGGGATGGGTTTGCGCTGGTGCTTCATAAGGAGCCGGTTTATGGGGTTGATGAGTTTACGGATGGGAGGTCTGGGTTGGGGTTGGAGGAGAGGTTGTTGGCTGCTGTGCCGAGACGGTGATTGTTGTTGGAGTGGAGGGTTTGACTTGATTTATATTTTGGCAGAGGATGTAGGTGGGTTTTCTTCTTCTTCTTCTTTTGGATTCATTATGTAGGGTGATGAGATGGCAGGTATATACCAGCTGCATTGTCCTGTCCTGGTCTTTGTTAGTTTTATGTGATTGTTGTTATGATAATGAAGCATTCGAACAAAGCCCTATGTGTATAGTATATATAGTGCATCCTCGCCCAACAGTATACCAGACCATCACATCTAGCACTCTTGACCATTAACCCAATACGCTAATCGAGTCTCCACCAAAGATATCCACCATCCAACTAACCCTACAGCAAGAAACCAAGATGTTCCGCGCCAAAGGCACCACCTTCACCTCCGCAACCCGACTCTACCTGACCATCCCCAACGATGAACTCCCGGTTGAAGACGCCGCCTGGTACCTCTTCATCCCCATGCAAGGACGACTCAGCGACCCAGAGCTCATGACCGAACTCGTGAACTACGCGGCATGCATTGAGGTCCCAGAAGAGGAGCTCAAGTGCCGCAGGAACGCGTCCCGCTATGGCGGCTTATGGCTCGAGATTGTGACGCCGCTGAGCTGCAACCGCAGTGATGTGATACTGCGTCTGTTTACGGGACTGAAGGCCCTTCAGGACTTTGTGGGGAATGGCCAGTTTCCCGGTAGGCCGCCCCTGATGCAGAACCCGATGTATGCGGTGGAGGATTTTTCGGATGATTTTCCGAATATGGTTGTAAGGAGGAGGCGGGGGGAGTAGGTAGGATTTTCTTTGGTGTTTCTTTCTTTATTTGGTTCTATTGTTGGGGTAGATGGTTTCTTGGGTTGGCATGGAGTATAGATGCTGAGATGGGTTAGATATGATAGAGATGTAGCGGGCCTTACTTGGAACAATTGGAGATGAGTACGTTTAGACGTACAGATTACTTATGATCAGGTCAATATTTTCTCGATCTATTGACTTAGATGTAGACAATGGAGGTTCCATATAGGACAGTCTGCTAGTGTCCCCTGACTAGACTATTGGCCTAGAGCTTTCGTTTTTATATCTGTATATTCTGTATATACCGGCCGCGATGTCCTGCGTTGGTCTTTGTGATTGTTGGAATTAGTTCGAGAACAAATAGATATGAAACAATGAAGGATTCGAACAAAGCGCCTCTCTTGTGCATTATAAAAAGTAGCCCTATCCCTCGTTCATAATATACAACTAATCATCCTCACCTACGACTACTATACACACTCTCAACCACTACACCAATCCACGCATTCAGCATCTAACCAGGCCTGATATAACAGACCTCCCAATCCCTTCACCCAACAAGTAACAGCCAGCTAACCCTACAAAGCAGATCCAGAAAGCAAACAGACCCAATATGTCCCGCCCCCCGATGCACGCCACCACCTTCAACACCGAAACCCGGCTCTATCTCACCCTTCCTAACATCGAATCCCCCGAGAGCTGCGCCTACTACATCTTCGTCCCTATCTTTGGGCGATTCACAGACGCAGAGATTCTCTCCGAGCTCATCCGCTTCGCGACGAACATCCAGACGCCGCTAGACACGCTCCAGTTGCCTGGCAATGCCTTCCGCCGTGGTGGTCTGTGGCTTGAGCTCCTGACGCCGCTGGGCTGTAACTGTAGCGACGTGGTGCTGCGTCTGTTTGCGGGGTTGAAGGCGCTCCAGGAGATGCTGGTGCAGGAGGGAGGTAAGCTGGCGCTCGCAGAGAGCCCGGTCTATGGGGTGGGGGACTTTTCGGAGCGGTTTCCGAATATGGTGTTGCAGGAGGGGTGTGATCGGTAGGTTTCTTTCTATGTTTACTGAGTTCTTGGATTGGCGTGGGTTTGTTGGTAGTACAGAGTATAGATGTTGGATGTCAGATATTTGATAGAGATATAGTTTGTGCAGACTAGACCACTGGTCAGATCAGGATATAATTGATTTATAGTGAGGAATACAGAACATAGTGATTTGATACAGGACAGTCTGCTGGTATCGCCTGACTATACTTGCCTTGGGCTTTCGTCTTAATATCTTTTTTTACATCTTTCTACATCTTCCTGGTATAGCGACATCAATAATCATTCATCATCGGTACCAGTATTATCCTGCTTGTTTCATCTAGAATACTTGACTGACTCGTTAATATTGACTCTATAAGACTGACTGACCTCACAGGTTCTACCGCTGGACCAGAATATACACGGTCCGATATACAGTTTCTTCATCCTACAGGACCATCAGCTTGATCCAATCTACATATGGCGTGCTGACGGTATGCTATCACCCAGGCTCTATCACTGATCATCCGGTATACTCTATCATGGGCATGCCCATCGATACCGATGAAGGCTCTCCAGGTGATTGTCACGCTTGGTTGATTGTCACACCTGTTGACAAACACAAAGCCAGCGTATAATGCACTTTATGGTCGATTCATAATGCCTTTATAGTCAATGTATAATGCCCTTTATACTCGAGCTTATATCGCCTGCAATGGCTTTGTCAAGCAATGAACGACAAAGGCCTTTGTTGCATAGCAAGCAGCGACTATAAACTGACCAGCAGCCGCTTCATTCGTCTCAACATCGACATCAACACACTCGCCTACGTCCCAATTACATCCTAGCACACCAATCAAGCCAGCACCATGCCGCAATCTAGTCACTCGTCAAGCTCCGGGAACACCTGCGATTGTCCAAACGGGGCCTCCAATACCCCCCGGAGGGTCTCGACCTGGACTCTCGTTTCCATGTATCTGAATCAAGGTTCCAGCTCATCCAAATCTAGTTCCCGTCGAGGCAGTCAGTCTTCCAGGCCCAGCAGCTCCCACAGCTCCAGCTCCCGTCAGTCCAGCCGCCGCAGGAGCACAGCTGACCCCGACCAACCCAGCTCCCGTCCCCACTTCCGAACCCACAGACGCACCCCCGTATACACGTACGATAAGCCCAAGTCGAAGCGCTCGCAGCGCAGCCGCTACTACGACTCGACGACCGTCTTCGAAGGGGACACGCGGTGGTACCTCAGCCTGTTCAATACCGACTCGAAGCACCGTCGGGTCTGGTACGTCTTCTTCCCGACCTCGGGCAAGCCCACTGACGCGGAGCTGGTCGCGCACCTCCAGGAATGCGCTGCGCAGGTCACGGATCCCATCAAGGCCCTCGAAGTCTCCCACGAAGCCACCGGCAGCGGTGTGTGGGTCGAGTTCGCCACGCCGTGTTTCAGCACCCCGGACGAGGCCTTGCGGCGCTTGACAACGGCGCTCGAGGGCCTGGCGCAGGGTGTGGCCAAGGGAGGTCAGCTGCCGATTGATGCGGGTCCGATGTATGTGTAGGTATAGACTTGGTGAGATTTCTTATTTCTTATGTGGTTTTCTTATGTGGTAATAGTGTTTGCTATTTGATTTACTCATGAGTTATTTGATTTTATCTATTCTTTTCCTATGGTAAAGACCTGTAGGTCATTACCTAAGAGATATATAACTATAACCCGAACTGCCAGGTAATACTATATAAAATTTAAATAGTCCAGACCAGATCCACAGCTAATCCAGTCAATCAGAAATAAACCTCAAGTAACGACAATTACTCTACAAAAGCCAACAGAGATACCACCCTCTCCACAGAAGCTTAGATGTGAAACGTCCATCTAATAACTTAACAGATGCAGTCTCACATCCAGCAAGAAGAGACCCACCGACCCAATAGAACAACCAGACCCATCTATACATCCAACCATAGATTCCCAAATAACAAAACCTACATCCACCCAATCATCACCAAATCCCATCTCCATCCGACCCAGAAACTTCCCCAACTAATCAATCCATCTATGGATCAGTCAATGACATGTTAATGACAGCACCCAGAATTTAGGCCTTTTCATCTCGTCTCGGGCCCCGATCGGCAGGGGTTCCACCCATTTTTGGACCGAGTACCAATCGCTCTATTTTGTGGGTGGCAGCGTCCATGGTTACAGATGGGGTGGGATGAAGATTGTCATGGGTGTGTTTTTTTTTCTCTCTTCCTTATTATCTCCGTTTGTCGGTTTTTTTTCTACTTTTTTTTTGGTCTGTTTCGAGTCTATCTATGCACCCCCGCTTTGCTGAAGCAGGCTCCGCTTTTTTCTAAATTTTCTAGCTTGAGGTTTGAGCTCTTTCTTTGGAGACGAGGCGGGTCCTTGCGTTTTTTGTTAGTCTTGTGTTTTGTCGTTGTGGAGGTGGTGGGTGCTGGATTGAATTCATTACATATTTGATATAATTGCAGAGAAGTTAATGCCTCATATTAATTTTGATTAAAGTCGATAGATGTTAGTGTCTTGAGGATAGGCTAATTGTTTAGTGTCTTTAGCGTGGGTTAATTGTCATTGAGATACACACTAAGTATAATGAGAATGGGAGATCAACGAATGTTGTATTGAGTGCTGTCTGCTTTTGATTGTTGTGTGTAGTATGTACCCTTCTATTCTAACCCTCAGAACGCAAATCAAGTTAAAAAAAAAAAAAAAAAAAGGAAAAAGAGAAAGTAAGAAATATAGAGAAGAAAAAAAAAAAAAAACCGAATCTCCCACAGGAAGTATAGAATAGAAGGTTAAGAAGCCAAAAAGACGAATTAACCCAGATAGGCCTGGCCACTGGTGCTCAACTGCTCACCACTCAGCAGGTAACCATCGGCACACATGAAGTAAGCATAGCGACCGACGCCCGGCTCAGAGTCCAACCAGGGGATCACCTCGCCCAGGAACTCTTTCGACTGCTCGTTACCGCCGCCGGCGCTGAGGTCGCTGTTGAGGGCGAACTCGGTGACCCAGGTCTCCTCGAGGTTGTAGGAGGAAGCGAGGGCCTCAGCGCGCGAGACAAAGTCCTTGAAGGCGGCGGCGTCGTCGCCGTACCAGTGCACGGCCAGCACGCTCATGCCACAGTCGTTGCACTGGTCCAGGAACTGGCGCATCCAGCCCAGACCGGCGTTGTCGCCCTCGGTGGAGGAGACGGCGGGGGTCACCAGCTTGGCCTTGCCGTTGAAGGGGCTGATGTACTTCTTGTAGTGCTCGGCGGCCTCGGACGGCGACATGGCGGCCTGCGAGGGGACGTCCGGCTCGTTGAACCCCATGATGTAGTTGCTGCCGGAGAACAGCACCGTCTGGATCGTGTTGAACCACTCGCCGAACATCTTGCTGCCCCAGAGCATGGGGACGAATTCCACGTCCGACGGGAGGATACCCATCGAGTGCATGTTCCAGTCGTAGGCCCACGAGATCTTGCTGGCGTTGCCGCTGCCGCCGGCGAGGGACTTGACCATCGAGGCGTCGTTGTACGCCGCACCCTTCTTGTTGGCGGTGCTGCGCTTGCCTGCGGTCACGGACCGGGTCTGAGTGTGGCTGTGGCTGGTGCCGTGAGGGAGGGCCAGGGCCGAGGTGGCTGCCAGAGCCGTCGCAACGATTCGAGTGATGGCGACCATTTTGTTATTTGGTTTTTTAGATTTCTTTGAGAAAGAAGTTGTTTTGGTGTGGAGTAAAGAGGGATCGCGTCAAGCTGATCGAAAAGAAAGTTATACTTGCGACAATCAAGTCAAGCAAGAGAAATGTCAAAAAGGATTGTGAAGAAGGAATGTATGATTGACCGTGCACGGCACAGGACAAAGAGTGTTATCAAAAGATAGACTGGATAGCTTGATCGAAAGACACAAGAGGAAAAAGAGAAAAGAGACGGTGCCAGGAGGGGTGGCGGCGAGATTATATAGGACCGGGTATAGGCAAAGAAAGGCCAACGGTCGGGCTTAGGCAAGAGAAAGAGTGTGTCTGTGTTTGTGTGTGTGCCTGCAGGTCAAAGTTCCATGGTACACGGCCGAGAGGAGAGTTCCAACCAGGAGAGAACCCTGGGTCAGGCTGCACATATGTAGGACGAGATGCATGGGGACCCATCCCCTGATCACTCATCGACAGGCACACACCTCAGAAAGCGGAAATCAATGGAAAATCAAGACCTGCAGGAGAGACGACGATTTCCCATTTCAGTGGCGGATCCATCGGCGGCAATAATGACAGCCCCAAAACGATATCACTAATTAGGATAGTATTCTTCCAGGGCCCCATCGGGTTCTGGGCTCTGGCCTCTGGGGCCCAAATAAGAATTGGGTCCACCGCTGCGCTAACTCGGCGCTAATGAGAGCCAAGGAGGTCTGGCCGTCGTCATCGTTTGTTGTCCGTGGTTGAGGCTGTTGCGCCCCGTTGCTGATGGGAAAGTATCACCTAAAAGATTCAAAGAATGCGAGAAAAACAAAGAAAAAAAAAAGTCCCGAGATACAAAGGCCTATTCAGTACCACCTGGGTGAAAGACAGCAGCAGGTACACCAAGGAACAGCGACTGATAGTCAGGAGGATCGGCACTCGGCCTGAAACGATGACGTCGGGTTGCGCCAACTGGCAGAGTGGAACAAATCATCGCGTGCACCGTTTTCCCGGGGATGATCGTGATATGCCCGATAGTCGTTGATATTCCTTGATGATATTCAGGGTTGGTCCAGTCGTTGTCCTCCCTGCAATGGATCGTCCCCCGGGTTATCGTCCTCGCAGCACCCCCAGCACATCCGCCGCACTGTCTTTGTCGCCCTTGCGTTTCTTCGGCCCCCGTTTCCGCTTCTTCCCCCTCGCTCCTCCTCCAGCACGATCCCTTCCTCGTCCTCGTCGTCTTCGATCCGACTGCTGCCAAAGCCCAGGTCCATGTCTGCGTCATCCTGCGCCTCGCGCCGCCGGGCTTCTTCCAGGAATTTCTTCCGCCGGAGTGCCGTCGCCGCATCCACCCCTTCCTCGTTCCCTCCCTCCCCTCCATCCTCCCCGTCTTCGCCCGCCTGGCGCAGGGCAGCCGCCCGTTTCAAGGCCGCCAGAAGCGTAGGGTCTCGTGTTAGCGGGTTTGACCGGTCGGGCTCGTCGGGCGTCTCGGTCGTAGTGTTCGAAAAGTAGTTGCGTGGCCGCGCGGGCTCGTTCGTAGTCGGGGGTGGTTGATCCGTCGAGGCGGATGGTTTCTCTCCCTCCACCTCACCCTCACTGTCCTCCGATCCGGACTCGTCCGCCCCGAGTTCATCCGCCACGTTGTAGTCATTCCCCGCCCCCGCGAAGATATCGTCGTCTTCGTCCTCCGCCGCAGCAGCCGCCTGTTTCGCTGCAATCTCGGCCGGTACGGCCATCCCCAGCGGCTGGGCGTCTTTGCGCGGCTCCAGCAGCGCCGGGGGAGGATTCTTCGTCCCAGGCGGATCGAGCCACCGCGTCTTACGCTTGGACTTCCCGTCGGCCTCCGTAATCACCAGCACCTCCCGCCGTCGCCCCGTCGCCTCATCCACCTCCACAAACCGCTGCTTCTGCTTCTCCGGTTGAGCCGCCGAAATCCGCTTGAACTTGTCCCCCAGCGCCGGCTCCGGAGGCGGGGCAACAGCCGCCGCGCGACTGGCGCGAAACTCCCGTAAGATCTCATCCCGTGACCGCCGCGGCGGCGCCATATTCCCCTTCTTCTTCTTCGCCGTCTCCTTCTCCACGGGTCCTTCCGGGATCTCCTCCAAAGCCCGCTCGAGCGCATCGTCCACGTCCTCCACGTCTTCCTCCTCCTTCTCCTCCGCAGGCGGTTGGGGTGGAGCATCGACATCCTCACCGGCCTTCACCCTCCGCAACAACTCCCAGTCGAGACCCTTAACCAGATGCGTCGAGCCGACATCGCCCCCGACGCCGAGCTCCGTGCGCAACTTCTCAAACGTCCCCCGATCGAGCTCCCCCTTCTGGACCAGCTCTTCCAGCGCACGCACCCGCGCCTCCACATCCTCCTTCTTCCCGGCCTCCTCGTCATCGGCGGTCTGCCCCCGTAGCGCCGCACGGTCTTGGTACCCGGTGGGGAGTTTGGCGCCTTTGGGAGCAGAGGAGGACTTGAAGCGTTTCTGGGGGTGGCCGCCGGCGCGGGATTCGGCGAGTTGGCGCGCGAAGTTGACGCCTTGCAGGTTTCGCCTGTTTGTTTCTGGTTAGTGGGGTCTAGAGGGGTGTTGTGATTGCGGGGAGGTGCGGAGAGACGTACGGTGTCATGGGGATGTTGGGACGCAGACGTGAGCCTAGAGCGTTGGACCCCGCTGGCCCTGTTGCTGCTCCGGGGGAGGTGGAGGGTGCGCCCGGAGAGCGAGCATCGCGGGCTTTGGAGGGGTTCGGCGTGTCGAAGACCAAGCGGCGGAATTGGTTGTTGTTCATGTTGGATGAGTCGTCGCAGTAATCGCGTTGTAAGATTCTCCTGGTCAAGTTCAGACCATCGTGGTCAAGGAACAGTGTGGGATGAATAGAAAGATGGAGAGAGAATGAGATCAAATGATAAAATCATGGATGGCCCGAGGCAGGTGATTACTAGATCGGGTTAGTCTGAGTATAGCTGACTCAGACATGCATATACCGTGCACAACTGGTATCAATTATCATCATCATCATCTCTATATAAATATGGGATAGAAAACAGCAGAAAACCCTCCCCAACGCCAGATATGCCCAACTATTCTCCTTCGCCCATTTCCGTGTCCTGCGGTTCGGGCGCTTCTTTTTCCTGACTCTCTTCCTTAACCGTGTGCGATTCTGTCTTCGGTTCTGTCTCCGGGTCTGCCTCCTCATACACTCGGACCGTCCCATCAATCCCACAACTGACCATCAAGCGTTTGCCCTCCAGCGCACACGTATCCGCCCCGAGCACCACCCCGGTGTGCCCCTCAATCCGCTGGAGAACCTTCTTGGTCACCACATCCCAGCACAGCACCGCCCCGTCCTCACTTCCGCTGACCACGAACGCCTCCGCCGGCGCCCCCGGCAGCCCGTAGACGCCAAACCCGCCCGAAAGACTGTACTTCCGGTTGACGTGTCCCTGGTACGTCTTGATGCAACGCCCCTCGACATAGTTCCACAGCCGCACGCAGTCGTCCAGCGACCACGCCAGGACGAACTTTCCGTTGGGGGAGAACCGCACCGACGTGACCGGCGGGTTGTCTTCGTGCACCAGCGTCCGCAGGCACTGACCCGTCGCTGTATCCCAAATGCGGATCAGTCCGTCCGTCGCGCACGACGCGATCAGCGTTCCGTCCCACACCACGTCGATGCCGCCGACCGGGTCTGAGTGCGCCGGCAACGATCGCATCACGCTGGCCGAACGCACGTCCCAGAGGAAGACGGCTTCGTCGTAGGATCCGCTGACCAGGATGTTGCCTTTGGGGGAGAAGGCAATCTGGTAGACGTAGTTGTGGTGGCCCACGAAGGGGATGGGGTGTGCTTTGCCCTGGGATAATCAGTATGTGTAGAGTAATGTACGGAGAGAAGCGACCTACCGTCAGCACATTCCATAACCGGATCGTCTTATCGTCCGACCCCGATGCGATAGTCGCCCCGTCCGGGCTCCACGAGATGGTCGAAATGCCGGCTAAATGGCCTTCAAAGGTGTTTATAAGTCTCCCGGTGCGAGTATCCCAGACCTTAACCGCCGCATCGGCACCTGAAAACGTACAAATTAGCAGCTGCACAATTGACAAGCAGAAAAGAGAGTATAAAAGAAAAAGTATGACGCACCCGCCGACGCTATCATAGAAGCATCCGGCGAAAACTTCACAGCAGACACCCCCCGCAAATGTCCCCGGAGCAAGAACTTGGCGCGATACTCCAGCTTATCGGGTTTCGGGGGCACCGGCGGCGGTGGTGGCACGGGTGTCGGCGAGCGATCTTCGTAGTCGTCGGCCATCGGGGTATCGTCGACCCCGCCATCCATATTCTGATCGCGGTGATCTCGATCTCTGTCTCGGTGGTCGTCGCGGTCGTCCTCCCCGTCGTCGCCCCGCCCCAGTGCCTCAAGTTCCGCCTGGTCCGGTTCATCCCCGCGGCCAATCGCCTCGGTCTCCTGCTCCTCGTCTGGCTCTTCCTCCGGCTCCTCGTCCTGTCCCTCTTCATCACCGTCCTGATAATCCTCACTCACTTCCGTCGGAGTCGGGCTGCGCGCGGGGCGCCCACGACCCCGTCGCGACGTCCGCCAGTAAACATCTGCATCGACAGCCAGCTCGTCGGGGCTCTCCGACCCGCTGTAGCTGCGTGAGCGCGGGTACGGGCGTTGCGGAGGGTAGACTTTTTGCAGCGACCAGCTGGCGCGACGGCGCTCGGCTTCGTCGCGGTCGGAGCCGGCGGCCAGTTCGTCGGAGGAGGATTCAACGGGGGATTGGATCGAGCGGTCGTCAACGGATGGTGACGGAGATGGATTTACGCGACGTCGTTTGACCGGGCTCATATTAGAAATAGAGGGAGAGGGGGGAGAAAAATGGAGAGATGGCTGATGGGCGACGCGACAATGAGAGAAATTGATGAATGATTGACCGGAAGGGATGTTTACTGCCGGTCTATGGGAAGGCGGAGACGAGGGCGGTGGGTCTATACTATATCTCGCTCTTCTGGGCTTCACTTCATCTCATCTCATCTCCGTCTCCATTGTATCTCCATAATGACACTGATATTACTATAACTACTACAGTGGCTGGATATAGCTATGGAAAAACTCATGGTCTTAGAGATACCTTGATTCACAGCCCATCAACTGTACAATGCTATCAAGGCGGAACCTGATCCCATGCAGTCACTATACGATTGTACAATTCAATAACTGCCTGCAGCCCAGGATAATCATCTCAATTTATCTCTCGACTTGGACAAACAGCCGGACTGGTGCTGGTCAATTCAGTGCCTCATGCTTTTATACAGATCCGAAATCCCCATCTAAAAGCAGCACCGGCTCATAGATCTTATTATATCCTCACCAAATGATGTGTCTAATCTATACATATACACGCCAAGAAGACCAGAAATGGGAATTGGCAGCATTTTCCAACCTGTCTTTCTTTGTTTGTGACCTCTCGGTTGTGGCTTGGGTGTTATATATGTGATCAGTCTTAGCGATCTTGATACGGAATGAGGGACATCCCGACTAAGGACGAGCTCGGCTATTAGATCTGAGGAGACTTTTCGAACAGATTCGGACATCAAAACCACATCGGAGTATCTGCTGCAGTCTTTCCAAGTGAATAGATCAGAAACAGCAGTCAACTAGTTCTACTGATAGCCTCTGAACTCTATGCGAGAAGCATGGCCTATCAGACTTGTTCTTGTCGACTCTCCCACGCCTCATGACGAACACACCATCTTATATGGAACGACCATCTATGCCATATGGATTGGGCACTAGACCTGCAGTCTAGGTTCTCATCTATCAATTTTGTTCACTTCCCGTCTGCCATCCCCTAACAGTTTGAATGAACAGCTGTTGTTTCTTCGTCCAAAATATCTCATACTGTCAAGGTAAACAGACAAAACGCATCAATTGGCTACAATATAGTTGACCTGTATAACCTAGCGGCAAACCCTAATTCGAATCTTAGGTGTGCTGCCCATGGAACCTACACCTCCGGAGACATGACGATGTACTACCACATCGACAGCTGGAATGGAACACATCGGCGATCCACATGACCCATGCCTCGGACTTTGACATACCGTGGTCGCCGTGATCTTGCATTTCAATGGTGATAGGAGCGATCGACCTCCAGGGCGTTGCTTACTCCACGAATCTCATCGACCCACTGCCTAGTCACCGACCCCTCTTTTCAGGCCCCCATCTTCGGCCCTAAGCGTTTGCAATACAGGCTGTTTATATGATAGCATCTTTCACTATCTCACTGATCTAGCACATCATTCTGTCTTAATCGCAGTTCTAAAGGCTCGCCAGAATGTCTATCGATCAGGATCTCTCTCACGTTCAATCCCTCCTCGACCCCTCCGAAGTCATACCACCCACCTCTCCCCTCTACGGACCAAACGCCCAAGGATGGGCGGTCCAGAAGGACCTCCACCCTCGCCTCGTCGCAGTACCCACTTCCCCGGAGTCTCTGGCAAGGCTCATCGCCCACTTGTACAAGTCCCACTTGCACTTCGGGATCCGCGGTCAGGGCTTCCTGTCGGCCTCCGCCAAGGATGTGCTCGTCAGCATGACCGCCTTTGACGAGTTCCACTTCGACCCCCACGCGGAGGTGGCAACGGTCGGCGCGGGCCAGACATGGGGCGCCGTCTACCGGAAGCTGAAGGAAGCCGCACCAAGTTACGCAAGTACGCCACCACTCTGACTGTGGTACGGGGTATCCGCTGACAAATGGCTGCTGAAAAGTCGTCGGAGCCCGCACTCCGGCCATCAGCGTCGGTGGCACGGTCGTCACGGGCGGACTGTCCTGGCTGTCGGCCGAATACGGGTGCATATCGGACCCGGAGAACATGCTCGATGCGCAGGTCGTCAAGTCCGATGGGTCTGTTGTGTGGGCGAGCACGGAGCCGGATCTTCTGTGGACGATGCGCGGTGGGGGTGGAGGATTCGGCGGTATCTTTCTTTCTTTCCATCTCCTTGCAGTTCAACGGATCTTATGGATTTCTGCGATCTGCCCTATTGCGGTACTGAGATGAGACAGTTGCCACGAAATTCCTCTTCCGAGTCCGACCCTACCCCCAGGCCATCTGGGCGGGTCCCATCCTCCTCCCCCGCCAGCAGCTCCCCACAGTAGCAACACGTCTGGAGGCCTTCCTGGCTAGCAACCCTGACCCGCGAGTGAGCATGTTCCTCTACATCATCAGGAAGAATCTCCTCGAGACGATCGGCGCCTTCCAGGACATGCTAGTCGTGCACGCCTACGACGCTAACGGCGAGGAGCACGGCCGGGAAGCCTTCAAGTGGGCGCTGGATATACCGGGGGCGGTTGACCAGACGGGCGTCACAGACATGGAGGGTGTGACCAAGTTGCAGCGTAAGCCGTCCTACTTTGTCTTAGGTGACGCCATCAGAGAAATACCAATATGCTAACTGACAGTGTAAACAGAAAACGTAGACAAATCCAAAGGCACCATGAGACAATACTGGGCCCCACTATTTCTCAAAACCCTATCCGCAGCGACAATCACCCGCGCGATCGAATTAGTGGACGAGCTCGCCAAGCAGGATTCGGCTGTATCAGATTGCACGTATTTGATCTTCGAGCTTTTCGCCTTGGTGCGTAAACCCCCTGTTTTCGATGTCTCTTCCATATAGGTGGCTGATTAGGACAACGATCAGTGCGACGCAAAAGGATCCTGCGCATGGCCGCGCCCACCAGGCGCCAAGCACGTCATCCTCATTGGGGCTGGATGTCCGGCGAATGCGAGCGCGGGGCAGGAGGAGATGGCTAGGAACTTGGCGGAGGACGCGTCGGAGAGGATACTGGGGAGTAGGACGGTGAACTTGTTGGCGAATGGGGGGGAGGAGTTTCATGATCCTGTTATGGTTTGTTCTTTTTCCCCCTTCTCTTCGCTTTATACTTCTTCCGCTGACCGATATTCGATTAGATATGGGGAGAGAATCTCGACCGACTACGCCAGTTGAAGAAGGTGTATGATCCTAATGGGAGGTTCCAGGGGCCGATTAGGGCTTAACGCTGCACGGACTGGACGTCTGCATTGAAAACGTGGACATGTTTGGACATGCGAGATTCAATATCTGCCTATCATGTAGTTGCTAATCAGGTAGGCCACGTAAATTGACCATGATTGTGTCGATCTGTCGCGAGGACATTACAAGATAGCTAGTAGGATGTGCCGTGCACATTACTACGCTGCTTGATACGGCTGATTGATAGTCTAATTCAACCCGTTGAGCTTCCTATGTGTGATATTGACTGGAAGAATCATGGAGATCTATATTCTATGTTATGGTCATCTAGAATAGACATGATGCTATCCAGACATGATTCTATACCCATCACTGATATCAACCTCCTGCACGAATTCATGAGATCAAAATATAAACAACCAAGCCAACTCACCCAAAGACAACCCCAATCTTCACCCCATACCCCCCCTCCCAATTCTTCTTCTTGCCCAACTTCTCCAGTCTCTCCCCACCACCACCCACGACCCCATCCTCACACGTAACCTTCACCACCAACACATCAACCCGACCCTTCTTCTTAACAATAACCTCCCACTCTGTATCGATCCTCACCCGCTCACCATTTACCCGCCCAGCAGGATACACATCCCCAACAATAGCAGCCACACGGCCCAAATACCGCGCCCACCAGGCCTCCTCACGCGACACACACCTCCCCGACAAACCCCTAAACGCCTCATCCGCAGCCGCAAGGTCACCCGCCCAACGCTCACACAGCACCAGCGCAAGAAGCGCGCGCTCCTCGTGCGAAAGACACCCCGCAGAAGCTAACACACCCGACGTCGTGCACCGCACCGCAGCAGCGGATCGCGACTCGCGCGGAACAGCCGCATGCGCGAACATCATGTTGGCCACTGCACGTGGGAGCAGGCCCAAAATAGACGCCGGCACGGCGTGCTCGTCTGTGGGAGACGCAGTCGTGGGTAGTGCACTGCGCAGGAGCGAAGAGATAGCCTCCGCGTCTGGAGGTGCGTGAGCTGCTGTAGCTGCGAGGAGGGGGCTTTGAGCGCGCACGTCGGCAGGGATCTTGTCGAAGAGGAAACCCTCGCGGACGCCGCCTTGGCTGAATTGGATGTGGGTGATTGAGGGGAGGGCGTCCATGATGGCGTTGACGAGGAGGGCGACGGCGGGAATTTGGGATGCGCGGCGTTTGGAGACGCCGAAGATTTTGGGCGTGTCTTTTTGGTTCTCTTTGTCTTGCTTTTTCTTTTTTTTGTCTTTGCTGGGTTTTGTTTTATTGGGTAGTGGGGAGGTGGAAGCTTCATCGTCTTCTTCGTTCTCATACCCGACCTCGTCCAACACGGAGATAGTATCGTGGAACGCTCCCCGCTGGACCCTAAACCCATTGATAATGGGTATCGGGTACGGATCCACAGCCGCCTGTTTCATGAGCACGTAGCCCCAACCACGAAACCCTCCACCACAGAGATACAAGTCGAAGGATCCGCGCGAGCGCGCGATCTCCATTACCGACGATTCAGACAGACCGAGCTGGACATACGCCTCGCGAAAAGCGCAGCGCATTTCCTCCAGCAATTGCTTCCTCGCCGCCCCAGATCCACTTCTTTTCTCTTCCTCTTTCTTCTTGTCTTTCTTTTTCTCCTTCTTTTCCTTGCCCTCATCAACAACGTTCTCCTCACCCTCACCCAACCTCCTCATCAACGCAGCCGCACCATAAGGGAAACTAACCGCCCCAGCAGGACAAGTACGCACCTCACCATCCTGCTCAACCACCCACGTCAACTGCGTACTCCCCCCTCCCAAATCCATCGCCAAACCAGCAATGCGGGCCCCACTACTCGCTATGCCCAGCGCGCCGATCCGGCCTTCCTCTTCTTTAGAGAGCAGTCGCACGGTCCAGCCGGTAGCGGCGTTGATGCGCGCGCGGAAGTCAGCCGAGTTGGGCGCCGTGCGGGTTGCTTCTGTTGCGAGGATGTGGATGTTTGCGGTGTGGACGTCGAAATCGGAGCAAGTGCGTTGGAAGTGTTTGAGGTGGGTGATGACGCTGGTTATTGTCGGGTCGGGGATGGGGCGGCGGGTATTGCTACCGCTGGGCTGGTCTGGATATTGGGCGTCGTAGAGGGATATGGGGGCGCGGTCTTGGTAGATTGTGGGGAGGAGACGGGTTGTTGGTGGGGTGAGGTCTGTTATGGAGAAGCGGATTCCGTTGCTGTTTGCTTATTAGAGAAAGACTTGATGAGGGGAAATGGTGGAGGAGATACCTGCCCATGTCCACGATGGCGTGGAGGTGGGGGTTGGGAGACCCCGGTGTTGGGGTGGACATTCAGATGGTTAATACGGAGTAGGACGTTGAGGTTATGAGGTTGGTGGTGAGTCTGGGGAGATATATGAAGAGGATGAGGGAGATGAGAAAGGTGGGTCGGGTGGATCCCCGCATTGTCTTATCGTATTGGGCTCTCCGCATACTCCGTACAGTTCAATTATTCTATATTCGTTAATCATACATCATATCAATCATATCCATGCTATTACAACACATATCGGAATCCAGCCCCGTAGTTCTCCTCCCCCACTGTATCGTCATGCGCCGGTCCCCCCCGGGCCTCGCGCTCGGCCTTGGTCCCATGCTGTTGATCCAGCCGCCGATTCTCCCACATCAGGAGCACCCGCAGCCCGAGCGCGAGGAGGGTCGTGAAGTACATAAAGGCCGCGCAGATGGCCTGGCCGCGGATGTACCGCGGGGCGTCGCTGTCCGGGAATATGTTGGTTCCGAGGAAAGGGCCGCACTGGCCGAGGAGGTTGAGGATGACAATGCCTACGCCGCGGCGCGTGTCAGAGCCTTGGTTGTCTGTACTAAATTAGGATTGAAACAGCAGATGGGAGTAGAGAAGAGGAGAACGCACTCAGCACCCATGGGAGGATGTTCGCGATGCAGGGAAACACGCCAGCCGCGGCGAGGAACACCCCCAGATACCGCACCCCCACGGACAGGCTCGTCGCCAGCAACGTGTAGCCCACCGCCCCCACCACGGAACAGACGGCAATCGTGAGGCCGCGCTGCTGGAATCGGTCAGCGAGCCACGTCGTCGCGAGGGTCACGAGGAAGGAGGCGAAATAGGGCGGGGCCGTGAGACCCTGGGCGTCGATCGAGCTGAAGCCCATCTCCTCCAGGATGGTGGGGAGGAAGACGGGCAGCGAGGAGAAGCTGACGTTGCAGCTAAAGTACATCAGCGCCGTCAACCAGGCCTTGGCGTCCAGCACCGTCCGTCCCACATCCCGCCAGTCGATCCCCGTTGACCGCTCGCCCTCGCCGCTGCGCCGCATGCCCCGCGCCCGTGCGACCTCCTTCTCCTCCTCGGTCAGGAACCGCGCGGTCGACGGGTGGTCGGGCAGGAAGTACCAGGCAATAACGGCGGCGATCAGGGACGGGCAGCCCTCGACAAGGAAAAGCAGGCGCCAGTTGGCCAGCTTGGAGTGGCCCGAGGTGATGCCATAGGCGAGGGCGCCGGCGAAGGTGTTTGCCAACGGCGCAGCGGACACGAACATGCCGCAGCGGAGGCCCAGCTCATGGCGGCGGTAGAAGAAGGACAGCAGGTAGGGAGTCCCGGGTCCGAAGGCGGCCTCGGCCATGCCCAGCAGGAAGCGCAGGGCCATCATGCTCTCCCAATTGAAGGCGGCGGCTTGACAAGTTGCGACAATTCCCCTGTTGATCCCGTCTTGCGATTAGAATGGATTCAAGAGCACCGGGGGATTCCACGGAGGCGTGCACTCACCAGGCCATCACAGTGATCGCGGCCCACTGGTGCGGTGGCATCACCTTCCACATGAGCGCGGCAAACTCGAAGACGGTGTACGCGATGTAAAAGATGGTGAGCAGCCAGGAGTAGCGTTGGCTGTCTAATTGGAGGTCCTCCTTCATGCCGGCGATTTTGGCATTTCTATCGGGGTCAGCGGCGTCCGATTCGGATGAGATCGGCCAACCCACCCAATATTACTCCGGTCGAGCAGGGAGAGTAAATATAAAAATCCCAGGAGCGTGGGAACGCGCCAGTCCAGCTTGCGCAGCACGCGTTTCTCGATCTCGGGGTCGATGAAGACCGCGGCGGGGGGCATTTTCGGGAGTGCGGTCTGGCTCTCGTTGTGGGACAGGGTCTGCTTCTCCGGATCGGCCGTCGGCGCAGGCTGGATATCATCGTCAAAAACCGTGAGGGCCGTCTGATTTTTCCCGAAGAACCCCATGACGATCAAGTCGTATGTGTCGCCGCACACCGAATGGAGAGAGAGAGATAGAGAGGGAGAGATTGACGGAACTCACAGCAAGAAGGTCGAGCAGATCTTTTATAGGCGAGGTCCGGTCGGAGAATTTCTGTGTTAGACGTGGCTCTGGACCCGGATCTATTGATGATCGACATCGTTAGTCGGGCCACTTTTCGAGACAGCGTCATGGGGACAGGACTGCGAATTGACCGCACATGGTCCTGTCCGGAAGGGCGTGGAGGCTGGACGATTCAATGGATTGAATTGTCATCCCCCACTAGAATCAGACCGTGATCGGAGGGATACCGAGCAAGGGAGAAGCACGGGGGGGAGGGGAAATGTTCCCCAGCCGATGAATTAAGCCTGCGGGGGGGGGAAGACCGAGGGAAGTAAGTGGCGGGTCGATGCGAACGCTTGACCTGTCGACAGGTATAGGATGGTACCTATCATGCTTGACCATGCAGGTTGATGGTCATGAGGGCATCAATTATAATAATGAAAGATAGAGAAAAAGATAATTGCCGAGTCCATGCGAGTCCTCGAGAGGCATTGATTCACATGTTACAGCTCTCATTCCCATAGTTCATCGATGGGATCGATCGGCGGAAGATCGTCGGTCACTATCATGGTGTTCACGATGGGATGGGATTGAGTAGCACGATGCCATAGCATAGAGAATCAATGCAGGAGGGAAAGAAGAAACCCCCATGAGGCGACTGTGAGGCTGGGAAGTAAGGAAGTAAGGGTGAAGATGAGATGAAGAAAGGAAGAGGAGGAGAGTAAATAAGGAGGATAATTGTGCATGGCTAATGCAGTGATAGTGAGACATGACTCAGCTATGTATATGCCTGAACCCTGCCAGCTCTTCCAGGCACTCAGGTATCCATCTGCGCCACAGATACTCCAGCCACCGTGGCGCACCACCTCAAATTTCCGCGTCGCGTCCAGTCGGACTGACTCTCCATCTCGTCCATCGCATCTCATCGCATCTCCATCTCCATCTCCATCTTCACTTCATCATTTCTCCACCGCTCTCCACTCCACCCCTTTTTAATCAATCGTTAATTGTGGATCATCTCACTGGGCCATTCATCTATGGTTCATCTCTTTCTTCTATAATCCATTGTCCACTGCTATTGCCCTCCCGTCGGCGTCGTTCATCATGGAGGACAGCCCAGCAAATCGCCTGCCGGCGCAGCTGGTATCTTTCTCCCTCTACAACCGCCTTCTTTACACGACACTAACTGATAGAGTAGCTCCCCCATATGCACCTCGTCTCCCGTCATCGCTACCCCGTCGTCCACATGATGCCCACCGAGACCGTCGTCGAATACCTCCTGTCCGCCCCCAAGATCGTGCGCGAAGCCCAACCCATGCACTGGACCTTCCTGGATGGTCCCCAGGATGGTACCGTCATGCTGACCTGGCAACCCCTGCAACATCTGGGGAACAACTTCGCCAGTGATGGTTACGTCTGGGCCGATGCGGAACAGGCCTACACTTTTGAAGCTCGGGGCTACGTCGTCGAGATGTACCTGCATCGCAGTGGTTATCACCCGCCCAACGAGTCCCTGGCCATCCACTCGCGCCGTCGCTACCGTCTCCTACCCACCAAGAACCCCAACCCCAACGGTCCCGCCCCCGATCCCGCCCTCTGGATCGTTCACTACTCCCGCGCTCCGCCCCCGGAACACGTGCCCGCCAACCGCATCCCCCTCCTCCCGCAGGTCCAGGGCATGCTCTCCCAGCGCCGCTTCTTGCAGAGCCAGGGCCAGCTCGCTCGCAAGGACTTCATGCTGCTGGACCGCCAGAACTGGCCCACCATCAACTTCCCCCCGCAGATGGCCCCCCAGGGTTACGCCCCCGTGCCCGGTCCCTACCCCAGCTCCATGGTCGCGCGCCAACCGTTCTACCCGCCCGCCACCCCGGGCATGCCCGCGCCCGCGGCGGCCCCGATGCCCGCCAAGGCCCCCGCGGCCACCGCGCCTCGTCAGCCGCCATGAACGCCGCCACGGCCGACTTCGCCCTGGAAGATGAGGACGTCTCGGCGGGCGACTTGATGGACCTGTTGACGCCGCGCGAGGTCAGCAAGATGCGGTACCAGCAGCACCACGAGTGGATGGAGGAGATCTTCGCCTCCCCCTACGCCATCAGCCAGATCACCCCCGTTTCGCTTGGCCTGGGCCGCAAGGGCGAGCTGGAATCCCTGACCGCCGGATTCTTTGATGCCCCCGGGGCGCCCCCGCCGGCGGACGCCAAGGAGGGGCCCGACGCGGCTCCGGCCACCAAGCTGGAACCCGCCCGCGCCGAGGAGTTCGCCGACCGGGTGGCCCAGAAGGTCGCCGACATGACCGCCGAGATTGAGCGACTGAAGCGACGCCACGCCCGTCGCATGAGCAAGTTCAACCGCACTACGCTGCTCAAGGACGCCGAGCGGCGCCTGCGCGAATCGGCTGCCGACCCCGCAGCCTCGGGCCCGGAGATCTGGCGGCTCGAGGGGCGACTGGAGGTGCCCGGCGGCGATGAGTCCGAGGAGGACACCGCGCCGGTGCCGCGCGCCGTCGACCCGCCCGCCAAGTACCGGGTGGACGACGTGGTGCGGGAGGTGGAGACGGCGTGGCAGCGGCCGGTTGTCGCGGAGCCCAAGATCTCGTGTGTGCAAAAGGGGGGTCTGCTGGAGAAGATCGAGCCGGAGCCTCCGGTTGCCCCGCCCGCGGCTTCGGCCGCGGATGTGGACATGGGCGGCATGGGCGCCGAGCCCGAAGCCCCGGCCACCGGCGCGCCCGCCCCGTCCGCTCCGCCCGCCGCGGCGCCCGACGTCACCGCGCAGGCGCCGCCGCCGACCGCCCCCAGCGTCCACCCGCCCCGCGCCGATATCGATATGGATCTGGGCGCCGGCCCGGTCCCCGCAGCCAGCCAGCCTCCCTCCGCCGTGCCCACCGCCACCGCATCCGGCGAGACCGGTGAATGGGTCATGGTGAACGAGGAGCAGAAGGAGATGGCCGACGAGAAGCCGGCGGCCGGCATGCCCAGCGGAGCGATCCCGGGACTGACGCCGGGGCAGACGGACAGCACGGGAGACACGGCGCTGGACGGGGCCAACTTCGACTTCACCAACATGGACAGCGCGGGGGATGCGCTGGCGGCGTACACGGAACAGAACGAGGGGTTGGATCTGCCGGACCTGGACAATTCGGCGTTTGGGGATGCGTTCCATGCGTCGGATAATGAGAATACGCATCACCACGATGATGATCTTTAATTTTGTTTCTTTTCTCCTATATTTGGTTTTTGCTCTCTGGAGCTGGGTTGGTGTATCATAGGCTGAATGTACTTGTTTTCTTTTGATGATCAACCGTTTCTATCTTTTTTCGTTCCCTCCACCCAGATGCTTGCTTCTTTGACTCGCACCGGATGAGCAGGCGCTCGAACCTTGGTGAAGTAGCAACTGGCAAGAGAGCATCGACTTAGGGCTGCACTGCGCTCACTAGCCCGATCGGGTATAGGTTGCCTGATCCAGGCATCCGTCAATCTTAGTCCTCTTGCAATTGGTATCTCTACAGGACAACGATATGGATTGATGGATACTCTCCTGTAGAAGGAGGAGATAATACGGACCCGCTGCTGATGCGATCTACCAGCCGACGTTTGCGGTCGGGGCAGCATATGGACCGTCGTGAAGCCCTCGTGTACTACCTCCAGGTCAGATGCTATCACCAGTCATCTTTCTCCGTTTCTCCAGTCTATATATATGTCAATCTATATATATCTCCAGAGATAGAGAGATATATGCAAACAATAGATAACATAATATATGTCATCGGAGAGGGCGGTGGTCAGCGAGTCAAGTCACTGGGTTGATCGTCATACGCATGACAGCCCTGATCAGGTGAACCCGGTCCATACTAGATAAACATCACTTCTTTTCTTCGCAGCTCTCTCTCTCTCTTCCTTCTGCTCTCTTTTTCGCTGTTCTATGTTGCTTCTCGAAATAATCACGATATACACCGTTCTGTCATACAGTTGTCAACCATGTGCTTCGTCGAAATCGACGAAGACGGACCTTGTATCCGTGTTACGGAATTTCGTCCTCAACCTCTACGTGTCTCTTTCCCAGGTGCCAAACACGGTCATCATCACCATTGTCATCATCGTCATCACAAGGCGCATCATCACTGTCATCATAGGCGTGGCAGCAGCAGTAGTAGCAGCAGCAGCAGCAACGACAACAGTAGCGACAGCAGCAAAGGCAGCAAAAGCAGCAGCAAAAGCAGCAGTTCAAGCTCCAGCAAGACCAGCCAGACCAACACCACAATTACAGACACCACCAGCCAGAACACCAGCCTAGTCTGTCCTCCACGACACCGACATCGCCGTTGCAGCGCGCCTCCCGTGATAGTAGATTGGGACTCGCGACATGGCCATGAGCATGAGAAGACCCGTGACCTTGAGTCAAACGACCGCGACTACGACTACACTATTCGAAGGACGTACACGCGCCGCACACGGGAATCCATCCTCCCGTGGCGACGGGGTCGCGTCCTGGAGATCGATGAGCCGGGCCATCGCTATGTCGAGTATATGGAGGTTCCGGCCGTGGAGTGGATTCCACCGCGTGTAAGACCGCGTGGGAGGGTGTGCTCGGATGGGGATGAGGTGGAAGTGCAGTATATTGCGGGACGGTAGTCCATACGCAGCTACTACTATCTATGCTCTGGTTGTGGCTGGCTTAAGGTTGGTTGCTCTTCTTCCTCTTCTCTTCTTTTTTCCTTCGTTTTTCTGGTTGGGTTCCGTTTCACTTTACTTTATTTTGCCTCGCTTTATTACTACTCGCTTCATTCTACCTCATTTGAATTGCTCGATGTCATACTGTTGCTTATATGCCCTTCCATCGGTGAGCGCTCCATGGAACCCTAACCCCTCCTCTCCCAATCACCAGGTTACCACACCGTCTGCGAACCCTCCAGCTAATGAATCGCAAAACTCAAAAGAAAAGAACCCTCGATTCTTGCGTCAGATGACGGATGACGGTGTCGAAAGCGGATGCGAGAATCGACGATGATTTCACCACCCGCGTATCCCCCATGACGTCAGGAGCTCATGTCGTTTCAATAAAGCATTGATGCTCGTCCGGGGTTGAACAATTCAATTTGCCCCATTGTCTATGACAGCTGCAGAAATACTATTGTCTAGCTCTATTGTCGACCCGTTTATTGTTAGAGTACCGGATTGACACGGAAGGTGCTACCAACCTCACGGAGCGTACATATACGATTCCGTGCCGCTCCGTCTCATCATTTCAACACATTTTATTTTGATACTACGTTGGTGATATTATAACACTGCAAAATGTACAATTCCCCATTGAAATTTCCCAGGGTGTGTACTAATTGAAACAGGAATCGCCGTCTCTCCACCCGCAGCGGCGGCAATAGCGGCTCCAGCCACCAGTTCAACCTGTCCACGCTGCGCGGCCTACAGCAGCCCAAGCTAAGCCAGAAGATGAGCAAACTGATCAAGAACGAGAATGGCGTAATTTCGGCTTACGAGAAGGCCGGCCGCGAGCGCATCTCCGTCGCCTCCCAGCTCTCCGATTGGGGCGACAGCATCGAGGATGACGCTATCTCCGACGTCTCCGACAAGCTGGCCGTGCTGCTCGCCGAGATGGGCGACCAGGAGGACAACTTCGCCGGCAACCTCGAGGAGTACCGCATGATGCTGAAGCACATCCGCGACACCGAGGCCTCGGTGCAACCGGCCCGTAACCAGCGCAACAAGGCCGCCGACGAGGTCCAGAAGATGAAGCTGAAAGACCCGAACAACTCGAGTAAGATTGAGACGCTGGAACAGGAGCTGGTGCGAGCGGAGGCTCAGGCCTTAGTTGCCGAGGCACAGTTGACCAACATGGTATGTCCTCTTCCTGTCCGTTCATTCCTTGGTCGTCCCCGCTGACTCGATAGACCCGACAAAAACTCAAAGAGTCCTTCGACGTCCACTTGGCGGCTGTTATTGAACGCGGGGAGAAGCAGATCCTGCTGGCGCGCCACGCCCGCCGTCTGCTCAACTGCCTGGACGACACGCCCATCATCCCAGGCGAGGAGAAGCCCGAGTATCGCCACGGCACCTCGGCCAAGTTGATCGTCGAGGACGCCGAGAGAGACCTCAAGTCGTGGTCGAGCTCCCTCGAGCCGATCCTGACGGCTGTACCCGATCGCACATCCGAGTCCCAGTTGCCCCTGTCGTCGGCGGCGCGGCGCAAGCGCGATTCGGCCGCCGCTGGAGCGAGTGCCGGTCGCGGCACGGAGAGCATGAGTCCCACCGCAAACACCGCCGCGGCGGGCGCCGCAGGATATTCGGGTTTGGACACCTCAGCCGGCGTCGACCAAGACATGACGGACGCTGAGCCCGTTGTTACCGGTGTGGGCGCCGTCCCCGAAGCTACTACCACACAGGCCCCGCGAGTGATCATGCGCGAACGCGAGACCGAGGTGATCGGCACTACGGGAGTCGCCGGTCCGGGCCCCGACATGATGGCCGCCGACCAGGGCATCCGAGTCACCGGCGTTGACCAGGACCGGGTCACCGGCACCGACGAAAAGATGCGAGTCACCGACGCCGACGAGGCCGAGGACCAGAAGTCAGACGTGGTGACCCTGTCAGACTCGACCGAGTCGGTCATTGAGGAGGAACCGGTGCGGGAGCGGCCCGAGAAGGTGCCCAAGCTGTCAGCAGGACTGGGAATGCCCTCTCGCGCCGAGCCGTCCGCATATACCGTCGCAGTGCCTTATTAGAATAGGTTCTGGTTGATTGCTCTTCCTTGTCTATCTGCGGTATGGGCCTGGCTTGTCTTTAGTCGGTGCTCTAATAAGATTGCTTCTGTCTGCCCCGAGCATGCGTTCTGATCCGCAGAGCATCCTGGACAGATCCATGGGACATTATCCTGTACCGGCACCCCTACCCTCAGAACTCAGGATTGCTTCATTCAGCTTGACCCATTAATGATGTATAGTTAATATGATTGTTGATAGTTTTTGTATAGTATATGATTATTTCTTCTTGTATTTGTATGAGCTGTTGGCCTTCCAGGCACTCTTAAGATCGTATAGTGCATCATGATGCCGAAGTAGATTGTTTGGTTGTAGTCGGGTTGGTTGCTTGAATGGTAAAGCGGTAATACATGTCTCATACACAAAATAGAAGAGTTACCCAAATGGTCCAAAAGGGATATCGCTGAAGGGCGCGTGTAGGCTGCCAGAGTCATCTTTCACTCCATCCGTTCTGCGCCAACTGCCAAATTAGGGTTGTTGATATAGATTACGTCATCCATCCAGATCAGTCGGTTCACACATCGCCCTGACAACACCAGATATCGTATCGCCATTCCCTGTCCCTCGCGCTGGAGACATGAGGACGACAGCCTCGTGCATGTTCCTCGGTCTTCCATGATCATGGATAATGCACGGCGAGAGACGATTCGAGGGTGGATCGAAGATATCGAGCCCATGGCCCAATCGGACTCCATGGCACATACCGAACTCATTCGCAGTTACTTGGAAGAGCGAGATTCGAGAAAACGGACACACGGAGAAATATGATTCTTTCCGGGACCGGATCCTTTCAAGCGGCCCAGTGCTCGAGGGGATTGGCAACGGGATGATGATGTCACGGTGGCAGATTCGATAGCTACTTCTTCCGGCCGACAGCAGCTGCGATCGTTAGGTCACAGTCGTGCTAAATTACGCTTGGAGAAGGCTAGTCCTAGCGTGGTCTACATTCAAGAGTGTGTGGATCCTGGCAATGAGGCAGCGACAGATTTGTTGGCGTTTCTACTAGGTGAGGATGAGGAATGTGCAAGCCCTTCATGGGTTCCGGCAGAGGATGCGGTAGCCAAAATATCTGCCTCCTCGTGTCAATGTGCTAGTGAGATACGGAGCGAAGGATCGTGGGTCATGAACGCTGCCTACCCTTTGTTAGAATTGGCCGTTGAAGGCTTACCACTGGAGTGTTGGAGTGTGTAAATCTCTCCTTCCTCTCCTGCGAGACTTACCTCCGCCGGAAGATTTCTACATATCTACTAAAACTAATCGTATATAGACAAACAGAGGAGATTGACACAAAATACCAGCCCCGGTATGCAGGACTCGACCCTGACCACCGCACAATCGACCTTGTGGTAGGGCTGCCGGAAAAAGCTTGGAGTGCGCACTATGATCAACTCGCTGCACATATCCCCGACCACCAATTCAGCCATATCGCGCATCCACACACGGGCGCCCGCGTTCTCGGTTTCGGATGTGTGGTGAAGGCCTCTGTCGGGAATTTGATTGAGGCCGAAGTTCAGCTGGGGATCTGGATGAGCGGGCTGTTCTCGTGGATGTTGCAGCATCGACGACATGCCACTGCTCTTCCGCCTGTGGTCGGGTGCATCAGTATTGGGGGTGACTGGGAGTCGTATATTGTTTACTGCATGGAGGAAGCACACAACCCCCCATCAATCAACTCCCCAGGTGTGCATCTGGGGCCCACTATCGGATTTGCGTGGCCGGGCCGGCAGCCATCGGGCTGTGTCCATGCTGGCGATACGCCTCCGCCGTGTGATGCGGTATATCTGCGAGGATTTTACAGTGTGTCTGCTGCAGCTCTTTACAGGTAATTGAAACCATGCTATTCTATCTCTGAATTTCGGGGTACTTTCCCATTGAATGCACAAAGATCCCAAGAGAAGGAAAGAATAATTACATCAACCCCAGCACCACATCCCCCTGCACAACCGCATGCAACTCCAGTTCCACGTCAGCCCGCAAGTCGAGATTCACCCGGATGTTGATGGTCGACTCCGCCTCCTCTTCCACCTCGATCTCCTCCCCTGATTTCGTCTTCTTCTTGACCTTCTTCATGGGTCGACGGAACCCGGTCGACGGGCCCGTCACGGCGCGATCGCCCCATTGCTTCTCTGAGAGGTTGTTTGCCGGCGGCGTGTTGGGCTCGGTCACCGCACTAGCGCTGCTGTTAGGTGCTGGGCTTCGATAGGGTTGGGCTCAGACATACCTGGGAGTCTCATGGACCATTTTGTTCTTTCTCTCTATCTTTCACTCTGTGTCTGTCCGTCTTTCTGTTTGGATACCCGAGGACAGTTCGATATACGGAGAAAGACAGGACTGCCGGCACGAAGAGAGTAATATTAAGACCTAGGGACAGTGGATGACTCCATCAGGAGCCGTTCCAAAGTTTGAGCATTGCATGGTGCAATGACTGGTGCACCTTAAGCTTCTAGTTAATGGTAGACACGCAGTCAGGAACGGTCCATGACGATGCTCTCTGCTGATGTAGTACGGGTGGAGTTACATCCGGGGCTGGATTCCGCATGCGGTGTTGATCTTTGTTTACTTTCTTATTTACTTGTTTCTTACCTTACTGTTCTTCTCTAGTTTGCTGATTCTTGATTTATATTGATTGGGTATTGTAGATTTATATTGATATAGACTGGTGTGGAGACTGTGCTGTGGTGGGTATACTGTAGCGTACACCACGATCCACGGCCACATTCACGGCATTTGATGCGCAACAGACCTATCCCATTGTCAACATAACTACATTTATCCTATACATGATTCAAAAGGAGCAATATTATACAATCCAACGATCAATCCAACGATAATGTGGATGTAGTGATGTATACCACGTGACCGTGCGGTATAGAGGGCGGGTGGAGTATACCCCACGTGACCGCAGGCGGCCAAGCGTGACGCGGAGCAGCTCAGCATCATCAGCTCCAGCTTCATCATCGTCAACTCCATCCTCCCCAGCTCTCCCCCATCCCTTATTCCTCTTCTTTCTACGTCTTCTTTTTTAAACTAGTGCATTTTCTCTTGATCTAATCTCACAACATGGACAAATTGGTCTCCGTCTACTCCCGTCCGCCTCACAAGGATGATTTCTACTCCGAGCAAGAGCAGCGAGACCTCACCGAGAACCTTCCCCCTCTCTCCCTCAAATTCGACCTTCCTCCGATTGACGACGTGAGCTTCCTCTTTCTCTCTATCTGTACTCCGATCGGCACCGCAGGCTGTTCGCAGGCACCATGCCGATAGACTCCCCACCCGGCCGAACAGCCGCCTAGCTATCTCCATGCGGTCTACCTGCTAGGACGGAACAAGACAGTACAATTCAGAAATCGCTAACGAAGCTCTCCCAACAGTCCCGAGGCTTCCTCCGTGCCATGACCGATGACCACTCCAACCCCAACTGCCCGATTAAGCTCGCCCACGGCACAACAACGCTAGCTTTCCGATTCCAGGGTGGAATTGTACGCCTCTCTCCCACAACCCATCCGCTTCTCATCTCCCACTGACCCATCCCCGTGTCCTCCAGATCGTCGCTACAGATTCCCGAGCCACCGCCGGTAACTGGATCGCCAGTCAGACGGTCAAGAAGGTCATCCCCGTGTCGCGGTTGAGCCGCGGTGAGGATAAGGTGTCGCCCGATGTTGCTGTTCCGGGTCTGCTGGGTACGATGGCTGGTGGTGCTGCCGATTGCCAATATTGGCTGCGGTATTTGAGCCAGCAGTGCACGCTTCATGGTAGGCGGTATTCTAGGAAGGGAACCTAGATGGCCAGTACTAATTGTGGATGATAGAAATCCGACACAAGCGCCGAATCACCGTCGCCGCTGCCTCCAAGATCCTCGCCAACCTGACCTACGCCTACAAGGGATACGGGCTGAGCATGGGAACCATGTTAGCAGGAGTACGTTCCTCCCTCCTCGATAAATTGTCAAAATGAAAAGAGTATACTGACAACCCAAAGATGACCCCCCAAGAAGGCCCCGCCCTGTACTACATCGACTCAGACGGCACTCGCCTCCCAGGCAACCTGTTCTGCGTCGGGTCCGGTCAGACCTTCGCATACGGCGTGCTGGACGCCAACTACAAGTACGACCTGACGGAGCAGGAGGCGCTGGATCTGGGCCGCCGCAGTATCCTGGCTGCCATGCACCGGGACGCCTACTCCGGTGGTTTCATCAACCTCTACCACGTCAAGGAGGAAGGATGGGTGCATCACGGCTTCGACGACATGAACCCGATCTTCTGGAAGACGAAGTTCGAGAAGGGCGAGTTCTCGAATGTGCCGATGGCGCTGTAGTTTTCTTTTCCCTTTAGTCGTTAGTTTGGTGGTTTTTGCTGGGGAATAACGAGGACTAGATACTTTATTTATTATCTTATGATGTGTTTTCCTTCCATCGTATTTGTCTTATCTTAATCATATGATATATATGGAATGTCAAGTATGATGGAGAAGAAGAAAGAAATAATATATGCTCGTATAAACAGTTCACCCAGCAGATATAGATAAAATAGATACAAACAAATGCTTTTGTCCAAACGTCATTAGAAAAACAAAGCCAAGGGCGTATCTTTAACATGACATGGTTACTCAGTCACAGCCGTCGTCAGTCAGTCGGTCAATCAATCAACAGCAGTAACTTAGCAGTCAGTCATTCTTTGCCCCGTATGCAAAACACATACACTCCCATATAAAAAATATATATAAAATAAAAAGGAAATAAAGAAATAAAGAAAAGTAGAACTCAAAATGCAAAGTGAAAAACAGAAAGGAATCTAATTATCAACCAAAAACTTCATCCGAATGCCCATCGCAGCAAGCTCCACATCCAAATACTTCAGCACACCCGGCACAGCAACGACAGTGACGTCGTCGCCGCCCACATATCTGCGGCCGTTCCCGTCCTCCCAGACCACAGCCCGGGAGTCCTCGAAGACGGCTTCGCGCGCGCACCGCCGACACCGCACGAGGGAGCCGGCGCCGCCGGCGCCAGTCCGCTGCTTCTGCTGCTTCTGCTGGTCCTCCTGGCCGGCGGCGGCGGAGGCCGCGGCCACAGCCACGGCGGCAGCAGCCTTGCCGGCTGATGTGGCGGTGACGGTCGCCTGGGTGGACAGGAAAGAGCCACAGCAGCGACAGAGCCAGGCGCGCTGGGCGTCAGAGCAGTTCATGAGACGGTCTTGGAGGAGGAAGGCGGCTCCGTGGGCAATGAGCGAGTCGCGCTCCATTTCACCGACACGGATACCGCCACCCTTGGCACGGCCCTTGACGGGCTGGCCGTGCAGAGAGTTGACGGGTCCTGTGGTGCGCACTTGGAATTTGTCGTTCACCATGTGACGCAGTCTTTGGTAGTGGACGACGCCGATGAAGATGTCGGCGGCGAACTCCTTGCCTGTGATGCCGCTGTAGAGCGGCTCGTTGCCGAAGTAGTTGTAGCCTGCTTTGCGGAGCTGGTGGCCGAAGTAGTCGGTGGCGGTGTTTTCTTCCGAGAATTGGAAGGGTGTGGAGTCTTGCGCGTGGCCATGGAGGGCGCCGGCTTTGCCGGCCATGGATTCGACCATTTGGGCGATTGTCATACCTGGTTGTTTGTTAGAGGGTGGTTTTGGGTTGGGAATGTGGGGAGTGTGGGAAGGGTGTAGAACGTACGAGATGGGAAAGCGTGCGGGTTGATGATCAGATCAGGCTGGATGCCACTCTCCGAGAAAGGCATGTCGACTGCCGGCCACAGCTGCGAACACACACCCTTTTGACCGTGACGAGACGAGAACTTGTCACCGATGATGGGCTTACGCGGCACACGGTACTTGACGCTGATGGACTGGCAAGGCTCGACACCCGACTCGGCACCGAGGATGCGGATGCTGTCGATGTAGCCCTCTTCGGCGTCCTTGTACTTGACGAAGTGGGTGTGGCCATCGACGTTGACGTACGAGTCGGTGGCGGCGTCGTAGCGGACAGTGTGCCAGGCCGCGACGAGGCTGCCCTCGCGCACGCGGGCGCCGATGTGCGGCAGCCCGTCCTCGTCCAGGGTTTGACGCCACTCGGCCTTGACCTCGGCGCCCGGGGCAAAGCCGAACAGCTTGCCGACCTCGCGGCGGGACTTGCCGCGCCGCGAGTCCTTGTCGTCCAGGCCGTGGACCTTGGTCTTGTAGATGGTGCCGTGACCGAAGCCGCGCTCGTGCGCGGACTTGTTGATGATCATCGCGTCGTCCATGTCGTAGCCCGTGTACGAGATGATAGCCACGATGGCGTTGGTGCCGTTGGGGAAGTTGTCCAGCCCGTAGGCGTTGTAGAGCGGCGGGCGCACGATGGGCGTCTGCCCCGTCTGCAGCCGGTACAGCTTGTTGTCCGTGCGGTAGTCGATGGCCGTGCCGGGCGTACCCATGGTCTGCTTGCTCATCTGGCACTGGTACATGTTACGCGGCGACTGGTTCTGGTCGGAGAAGGGGGTCATGTTGGCGACGATGGAGAGGATGTTGGTGGGCGTGTACTCGATGTGGGTGGACAGGCCGGCGATGAGGTCGTTGGGCAGACACGCGATCTCCATGAAGGGCTGCTCGAATGGCCCGACGTAGTCGAGCTGGTCCAGCGGCAGGTACTTGACCGGCCGGTACATGCGCGCCGCCTGCGAGAACAGGTAGAGACCCGGGTACTGGCCGCCGGTGGAGTTGGGGACGTAGCCGACCTCCAGCTCGCGCGGGACGCGGTGAGTGCCGGCGACCTTCCAGTGCCGCAGGGTGTCGGCCACCACGCGGGCCTGCGCGGGGGAGCAGAAGCCGACGATGCGGCCGTCCAGCTGGACGGTGACGCTCTCCTCCAGGGAGACCGACGACTCGGACCGAACGCCGAGCTGGACGAGGAGCCGCGGCAGGTGGGAGACGTCCACGTTGCTCGTGGCGATCAGGCACTTGTGAGCCAAATGGTTGAGCAGACCGCAGGGGGAGCCATCGGGGGTGTGGACGGGGCAGAAGAAGCCCCAACTCTCGGGCAGCAGCTTGCGCACCGTCGTGGTCTTGAGCTGGGCGAAGAAGCTACCACGATGGATCATGCGGAAGTGACTGATGAACCGGTAGAAGTTGATCTTCTCGGCCATGACGGTGTAACCGGACGTCTGCTGCAGATCGAGGCCACTGGGACTGACGAGGTTACCGGTGGAGAGGAAGTACTCGAGGGCGCCGCCGAGGTTCTCGTTGGTGCGCTTGACGATCTTGCCAAGGAAATCCCGCTCGAAAGCCGGGTCGGTGAAGCGGGCGCCGTGGTTGCGCATGGACCAGTCGCGCAGGACGGGGGCCAGCGAGCGCACCCACTCCTCCAGACGCTCCTTGAGGATCATCCCGTACAGGAACCCACCCAGCAGGATCTCCTGGTTCGAGACGGCGTCCGGGTTGTCGGGGGCGCAGTCGCCGGCGACGAGGGCGTAGAGCTTGCGGATCATGAACAGGGTCAGCTTGAACTTGTCGTAGTCCTGGGTCTCGGTGACGTCCTGGTTGCCGAGGTGGGGCAGGACGACCTTGCGCAGGAACTCGGCGCCGGCCTCCTCGTTGGGGGTGTCCATGGGGATGCCGAGCACGGGCTTGAACTTCTCACCCAGGAGGGCGCGGCACGAGGCGCGGGAGTGGGTGGAGTAGGCCTTGTAGGTGCGCAGCAGCAGCTCGACACGGTCGGTGACGAAGGTGTTCTTCATGCCCTCGGAGTTGGGCCCGCCGACGATGCCCTCGAAGATCTCGCGGTCGTTGGTCTCGACCAGGGCCTTGAGGATCATCATGACGGGGACGAGGAACTCGTTCTTGCGCCAGGAGAAACGGAAGGTGACGCCGCCGTCACTGAGGTAGTGCAGCACGTTCGTCTGGGAGGTCTGATCGGGGCGCACAGAGCGGATCTGCACACCGAACTTGGTGTAGGCCTGACCACGCTTCACGAAGGACCCTCGGATGATGGACATGGGGTAGTTCCGGCGGCCGACGACCAGCATTCGAATGAGCTTCTCGTTACCGTTGACGATGTAGTATCCGCCCAGCTCCTCAGACTCCTCCTTGTGCTGAACAAGCTCGTTGGGGGTGGCGTTCTCGAGGTGACAGCGGTTGGTGCGCATCATGATGGGGACCTGGCCCAGCTCCCGGACGGACTCGGCCCAGTCCCCATTGTTGACGCGGTACTCGATGCGGGCGCGCAGTTTCCCGCGGTAGGTGGCATGTCGCTCCCGGCACTCGGAGGGGTAGATGTTACGATTCCGGGTGGTGAACTTGTTGGTGGGAGGGAGGGCGGGCTTCTCGAGCAAGACCTCCTTGACGCGGACTTGCAGGCGGTTGCGCCTGGGGGGTTTGCGGCCCTCGGCCTGGCGGGCTCGTTTCTGCTCGGGGGACTCGAAGTCTCCATCCACGAAGGTCTTGGTGCCGATATCCTTCAAACCGGCTTCAAGGATCTTGGGCCCGTCGAAGAGGGCGTTGAAGGAGTCGACATGGGGGCGGATGGCCTCGGCGAGGGCGGGATAGGCGGTTTGATCTTTGGGAGGGTGTCGAAAAAGATGCTCCCGGCGGAGGGTATCATAGCCAACGGACCAAGTGGTCTCTGTCGACTTGGCGGGGGCCATACTGATGGGGCCGACAAGTCCGTGGGAAGCGAGGATCGCCGTGGGAGAGATGATGAGTAGTTGAAGCCTTTTTTTCGTCGCTTTTCCTCTACGGGGAAATTTTTCGGTGGAGCCGGGCGGTATCGTCACGTGGAGATAGTCTAGGGTGCCTGAGGTGTCTGCATCCTTCTTACTGCCTGAGGTGTCTACTGCCTGAGGTGTCTACCGCCTGAGGATATCACATTCCTCAGGCGGCAAAGAGCGGTGACTGAGGCTCCAACAACACCACATCTTGATATCTTGATCCATCCGGATATCAGTCCTGATTTCAGATCTATATTCTCCATCTAGATACTGATAAACCGCTTCGGAGTCCCAAGAGCCCCGGAGTATAGATAGGACTCGTGCGACCCCGACTCCCCCGTTCGAATCGAATCTCCATCCCGATAGTGACTGGAATAAGCGCTCGGAGCGCAGCGTGCAGGTCATGCGAGACTCATCCAGAGGGATCAAATTGCCGCTTGCTGTGGACCTGGTTGATTCTTCACTCTGTTTTGTTTCTCTTGTATTTTCCTACTCCTTTTTTTTTCTAATCCAGGATCCGTATAACTGGAGAGATCTATCGTGACCTACCTGTTCCCGCCTACAGATCTAGTAGTAGTGTCATTCCTCCCACTCCCGTCATCCCCACTTCAAACCTCTTTTTTTCCCTTCTTCCTTCAGCCCGGGTTATATTTGCTCCTCCCACCACTCCATAAACTCCACTCCAACTTCATCCTTGGCTCCATTCTTGTTCGTTCTTCAGCCCACGCACTATTCTTTTTTTTCTTCTTTCCTTTTTTCTTTTTTCCTTCCCTTTTTTCCTGTTTTTTTTTTTCCCTTTTCCTGTCTCTCCCTATCTCTTTTTTTGACCTCTATCTTCGTTCCTTTGGATCAACTCCCCCCCCCCAACCCCAACCCCAACCCCAACCCATCATCATGGCGGGTATCTTTCGTACCATATATGACTGGCTGTTAAGGATGTTTTGGTGAGTGGGCCGTTCCAACCAACAACCCTCCTCTTCTTGACGTTGTGTGGCGGTTCATTCCGAGCATGGCTCCCCTTCCCGGCCCGTCCCCGCACGCAAACCACCCCTCCCTCTCCAGGCTAATCTTATGTCCATGCCAGGGCCACGGAGATGGATGTCACCATGATCGGTCTCCAGAATGCCGGGAAATCCTCGTTATTGCGAGTATTGGCCGTATGCTCCCCTTCCCACGATGTGTCTGTGTCTGTGTCGGTATGAATGTGGGCGTTTGTCCGCTGTCGCTGACCCACATCCATCCGTCGACAGGGCGGCGAGTTCACCGTAGAGTAAGTGGCCAGCGCGTAGGATCCCAACCCGCCAGTTGGCTCCCCGTCCGTGTTGCTAAGGGTCGCATTTCAGTTCCATCCCCACCATCGGTTTCAACACCAAGCGCGTTCAAAAAGGTCATGTGACCTTGAAATGGTGTGTCTCGCCCTCGAACGGCGGTCGCATGGGATTTTCGGTTGACTCGATCTAGCTGGGATCTTGGGGGTCAGCCCCGATTCCGACCCATGTGGGAGCGGTACTGTCGCGGTGTGAATGCCATCGTGTAAGAGGATCCTTTCTTTTCGTCCCGTTTCCCGAGTGCTGACGGGTCGTGGAGATATATCGTCGATGCGGCGGATCACGCGGCGTTACCGGTCGCGACAGAGGAACTGCACGATTTGATGACCAAGCCGACGCTGGACGCTATCCCCCTGTTGGTGCTGGGGAATAAATCCGATCTCCCCAACAAAATGTCGGTCGACCAGTTGATTGACGCGATGGACCTCAAGTCCATCACGCACCGCGAGGTGAGCTGCTATGGGATCAGTGCCAAGGAGGAGACGAACCTTGATGCGGTGTTGCACTGGCTCATCGCCCGAGCCAGCCGATGAACGCCCGGCCGGCAGGTCCGCTGGCGCGACCTTTCGCCGCCTTTGTAGATTCTTCCCTTATATCTCTCTCTCCCTCTCTACCTCTCCCTCCCTCTTCCTATCTTCCTCCCTCTCGATCGAGTGGCTCACAGCCAGCGATGTAATGACGACAACGATGTGAACCAGGCACATGTTCATGGAGCGTTAGCGGATGATTCTTCTTTCTGTCATTTTCGTTTTTGTTTTCTCTTTTTGGTTGAATGATTGGTTCGGTCACGAATGAGGTTCGAATCATGGAGAGTATGACTACCTATATCTCTGGGTACTTTGGTGTCAATCCAGCATGTCACATATGTCAACGAAGCGTCGATGCACGAGTCCACATATAAAATCCAAGAGACATCTGTAGTCAACCGAGTCAAGAGAACCCACCGAACAAACGAAGGAGAGAATTGAGGAAAGAAAGAAGGACGAGGGAAGCAGTTCGTTCTTAGGAGTTGGCGGGAACCCCACACTGACCATGTTGATGCGTTGGCAATGCAGATCGGTCCCGGCCAATCATGTCCCGCCATGCCTCCGCCTGGCTGCCTCATTGCCTGGCTGCCTGGGGCGGTTGATTTGTGCTGTTTGTTTCTTTTCTTTCTATCTTCATCTCATCTCTCGATCTCTCATCCCTCTTTCTTTCTTTCTTTCTTTCTTTCTCTCACTTCTCCCTCGATTCCATACTCCATCCTCTATCCTCCATGGGATGACTGTGATACAGTCAGTGGGGAATGCTGCCGGAGATGAAACAGGGGTGTCTCCTCCATCCCTGCTGTCCATACTGCCATCATTGGCCCGTGGATGATGGGTCCATCATGGTCCCACCTACTATGGTGATATGCTGCCTCAGGCAGAAAAAAGCTATAGATCCCTACCAGACACAATGGCCCAGCGTGATGGATATGCCTTCATGACAAGACAGACCGTACCAATCAGGCTATACACCATGGATACTATACAGAGTCTCCCCATTGGTGCAGGGTCAATCCGGTGGTCGCGGGCAGTGCAAGACCAGTGTCGACGGACTGCTCTGGAATGAATGGATGTATACAAACCAGGCAAGCCCGATGGGTGACCACTTAGTCTCCAGTCGTTCTGATATGGAAGCCACGACCCCGAGCATATCTATACAACCTCCTCCCGAGGGACAAACCCGACAAGCCCTTTGGGTTTTCTGGGTCTCCCCTCTGCTGGGAACCTATCTCTTGGACCCCAACATTATTACTTAGATACCACACATAACATCACTTTTTTACACATCATACTGTCAACCTACCCTGGCTCGTAGTTAGCTCGGTCGATAACATGAGAGTCAGGCCAGAGCATCTCCCCCCCCAATACTCACCACCTCATGATAATTGAGCCTCGGGACCGTATAAACTATGTGGTATGGTCCTTGTGGATTCTCCTACAGCAGATCCACCGCGATCGCCGGGAATGTCGGGAGTTATCACACCCGCGAACGGAGAACGACTTCCTCCGCTACTACTTGGTGAGCCTGTCAACTAGCCCCCATGGGTCGCTCCCCTAACGGCAGCAGACTATCCCGATGTTGTCCCTTCACCTTCCCGTCCCGCGGTCCCATCCAGGCGCTCGAATCGTAGCGACCAACATCCCCGGTGGCGGACGGTTCATCGCCTTATGGGGAGAGTGGCGTGTAAGGGTTATAAAAGAACCCATCAACTGCGCAACGTTCAACTACAGTGCCCTGCCGGATATGAACGGCGGCAGCCTAGCCCCCATGGAAGATGTCCTCCGGCAACTACCGCTCACCTTGGGAGAGAACGATCGTCTGGAGTCAAGAGCCACGGCTGCATGTGCGACCTACATGGGGTACACTGGCTGCGTGTTCACCGGCTCGGGCTTCACCGCGGACCTGCTGGCGTTTGCCAAAATCGCATCGTGGGCACTCCAGACCCACGGAACTTGTATCATCCTGTACGACGACTGTGCTCACGGGTCCCTTCAGGCCAGCGCCATCCAGGCTGCTCGTGTCGGAGCCACCGAGGGAGATCACGCGGGTGGTGTCTCGGTTATGAAATTTATGCACAATGATATGGACCATCTCCGGTACATGTTGGGCAGGTGTCCGAAAAAAGCGCAGGTCTGCGTCGCCATCGAGGGGCTGTATAGGTTGGTCTTTCCTCCTAGATTCCCCCCTCCCCTCGGTACCCGCGCGGGACAGCCGTGGTTAAACTGGGCCCTCCAGCGCGGACGGCTCCATTCCACCAATCCCTAATATTCTCGAGCTCAAGGAGTACTACAATTTTCTTCTACTGGTCAACGAGTCACATGGCTTTCTCTCCTTCGGCAGCGGAGGACGCGGGTGCTTCGAGTACTGGCGCGACCTTGGCTATGACTGCCCGACTGGGGAGGTGGCAATCATGACCACCTCCCTGGCCGGGAATGGATGAATGGATGAATGGATGGATGGACGAGGTGAATGGTTAAAGAAAGAGATAGATAGGAAGAAGACAGACAAAAACATGGTGAATAGCTCGACCATGAGGGAATCAATCATTTACTAGATAGATAGATAGGTAGGTAGATAGGTAGATAGATAGATAGATAGATAGGTATGTAACGAGGGATATGTATGACCCTTCTCAAAGATAAAAGTAGAAACAAAGAGAAGTAAATATGTAACATGAGAAAGAGGGGGAAAAATCGAGTCTTGCCGTCGTTGAAAAAAAAGGGAATTATATCAAAATTTCACAAAAAAATATAGATAAAAGAAAGGAAGAAAAGTAAGAAAGAAAATAAATCCTAAGAAAGCCATATTTCATGTTCAAATCTGCCCAGCTAATAAACATCCCAGTTTAAAGATCTTTGTACGAGTTCGGGGCGGGTTTGCGCCCGCTCTGGAGTAAACTCGGGGGCCTGCCCGGGTTATTCTGGCTGGTGGTTTCGTTGGGGCCCGGCATGGCGGAGAAGGGCGGGGGCGGGGAGGATGGGATGCTGGGGGACATTTCGCGCGCGTAGGGCATCTGGTTGATGGCCGGGGAGGGTTGGCGGAAGGGGATGGGGCGGGGGCTGTCGGTGCGGTGGCCGATGGCCATGCCGATGCCGGGCGAGGGTTGTCGGTAGGGCATGTGCATGGGCATGGCTTGGTATTGCTCGTTGACGTTGGGGGCGGGGGAGCCGAGCGGCGTTTGGTTGAAGCCTGGGGAGGGTTGGCGGTAGGGGACGGGTCCGCCGAGGGCGTTGAGGCCTGGGGATGGCTGGCGGTAGGGGATGGGACGGGGTCCGTCGGGCGCGGGGGAGCCGGATGGGCCCATGGCCATGTACTGTGGTTGCGCGTAGCCCATCGGGGCGGGCGACATGGATGGCGGCGCGGGGGACATGGCCGGGGGTGCGGGCGACATCGTCTGGAAGGGGTGTCCGCCGGGGTAGTCGTGGTGGGACTGGTCGTAGGGGGAGATGGGGCCCGTCGCCATGGGGCCTGCGCCCATGGGGGCGGGGGAGCGCGTGCGGTACATGCTCTGGTCGTCGTAGGCCCGCGACTCGGGGTAGAAGCTAGACGGGGTCCCCGGCGTCCCCGTGCGCATCGGGGCGGGACCCATGTAGCCCGGTGCTAGGGGGCGCTGGCTCGCGGAGGGCGTGCGCCGCGGTTCCTGGTTGGCGAGGTTCAGGGGCTCCATCTCGACGGCGTCGCGGTCATTCTCCACGCGGCGGGACACGGCGCTGTCCCAGGTGGGCATGGCGGGCAGGGAATCCTCGTTCGCCTTGGAGGGCGGGGCGGAGCTGGCGGGGGAGTCGAAGCGGGCGACGGCGGTGCCGCGGTAGACGGGCGGCGCCGGGGAGGGCGCATAGACGTTGCCGGACGGGGCGGGCATGGGCGGCGGGGGCTGATTGAAGGAAGGATCGTAGGGGTCGTCCATGTATTTGGGTTTCTTATTCCGCGGTTTGGGGCAGCAACAGGAACAGCAGCCACAGCAGCGGCAGCACTGGATGCCACAGCAGAGGCAGTTGATGACGCAGGCCAGGATGGCGATGACAATGACGGAGCCGACGATGATGGCAGCGACGACGGGCCATTTGCAGTAGGATTTGGCCATGCAGTTGTCCCAGCTGGATAAGGTCTCGGGGGCGGCCTGCAACTCGCTCCCCAGGTCCCGCGACCACAACGGGTTGGGGCTCATGTACGGACTCATGGTCGCGATAGTTTCCTTTCTTCTCCTTTTTTATTGGCTTTCCCCGCTTTTTCCGGATGCGACGCACTCAGACCGTCCAGGCGCAGCGACCGTGGTATCGTCGAACTGAACTCCCGACCGATGGGTCAAACGATCCCGGCGAGTCGGGACGCCACAAACAGGAAAGGATGATGCGATTCGAATCGATTGTGGTCCGCATGGGTCGGTCGGTCGGTCCTTTATGGGCGTTGTCCAAGTGTGGCTTGGGATATGTTATGATACAGCGCCGGAATGTATAGATCCGTTGGCGCGGGACGGACTTGTTTCAGAATCGATATGAACGATTGAAATCAAGAAAAAACGGTCAAGAATCGAGGGGAAACGAAACCGAGTATGGAATATAAAATAAACAAATAAAGAAGAGGGAGAAAAAGGATCCAAAAAGGAAGCGAAAAGGAAGCGAAAAAGTGGTTGGCTGAAAGTTACCGGCAGGACGATCAGTTTGCACCGCCTCCCAAGGGGTTCGTCGGATGTCTCAGTTTGGAGATGGAGTATATCGAAAGACTGGTCGAACGATTCGAACAAGCAAGAAGAGAGTGTGACTGGATAAAGAAGGACTGAATAAGGACCGAGGGATAGAAAGAGAGAGACAGAGACGAAGGAGAGAAGGAGAAAATAGGAGGAAGAAAGAGAGAAGAAAAGGTGGAGAGAAGAAGGAGAGAAGAGAAGAGACAGAAGACGCCGAAGAGGAAGAAAAGAGGCGGGGATCTGCGTTCATCTGCCTATCCCAATTGTTGGTATGGTAATCATACTTAAAGGGTCACTATTGTTTGGGCTATTCGGGGCTTCTTCTAGGGGCTGCAGTTAATCTCCCAGGGACATGCACCCCTACAGCATCCCCATCTCCCAGCACGGTAATGACAATACCGTACCTCTCCCCCCTCCCCACTCGTCGATCGCAGCCACCGGTCGGAACCATCCACTTTTTCCCTCGAGATTCGGTGTACCTCTTTACATCGACCATCCCTTGACTGGAGAATGACACTGTCAAATTACCGTCTTTCTCTCCACCGGGGTTGGAGACGGTAGGGAGATTTCATAGTCCACTGGTCGGTACTGGCACACCCGAGGCATCCACGGGCCATGGGTTCTCGAAATTAGATAGTGGAGATGCGACCCAAGAAGGATCATGGAGGTAACACCCTATCCACTCTCCAGCATTATATCGTGTACAGTGGACGACGGACTTCATAATGGACTGTAGAATTATGGAATCTGGATGGAGGCTCACCGACCACCTCCCCGGTCATTAAGATATACAACATATAATCGCGTACGACAGAGAACGAATCACGAAAAGAGATCAAAAAAGAAGGAATGGAAACAAAATGAATAAGAAAAAAGACAGTACGCATTCGTAGGCCCATAACGCATGCCATGCCTCCCACCCAGTCCTCATATCACGAGTCCCGTAAAAACCAAACCACTTGCTCAATAACGCCAGAAACAGATCAATGTTTTTTTTTCTTTTTCTTTTTCTTTTTTTATCGTAATATTTCGATTGTTTTTTGTTTCTTTCTGTTCGTATGTCATGGTTGGTCGTTCCGAGAGGATACGACCATGGTAACCACCAAACCAGCCAGTCAGCCCTTACGCCTTGGCTCCGTTGGGAGGCGGCCCCGGAGGCGCAGGATACACCGGTCCCCCATCCGCCTGGTAGGCATTCTGCGGTCGTTGCATCTCCACCCCGGTCTGCTGGCCTCCAAAGTACCCGTAAGCAGGAGGTTGGGGCGTATACTGGGGCGGGGGAGGTTGCTGGTAGTAAGGGTCGGCGGGATAGTAAGGTTGTTGTTGATGTTGCTGGTTGTTGCCGTTGCCGCCGGGGTAGGGCGGAGGAGGGCCAGCCATCCAGCCCGTGCCGGGGCGAGGTCGGAGACCAGCCCGACGGCGTCGACGAGCGTTATAGCATCTATTCCGGTTAGCTTTCGATCTGAAACTAAGGAGGAGAGACTGGGGAAAGGGACGTACGCAAATAAGAAGAAGATAATAAAAGCACAGCCAACGATCACGGCAAATGCTACCCAGCGACCCCATTGACTCCAGGAACTCCGGCAGTCATTTGGGTATCCCCAGGAGTCCACGTAACTAGGGGGACGATCTTGTCAGTTGATGTTCAACCTCTTTTCGATAGGGGGGAAGGAGGATCTGATGGACCAGCCATCGCATCTCGGCAAGAGCACGATCCAGGAGAAGATGGACATACCATGTTCGACGGGGGTAGATGAGACCCATGGTGGCACCCAGACGTGGATGAGGATTGTCAGGCGTAGGGCGGAGATGACGTCGATCAAGCGGATCGGGGTCTCGTCGTGAAGGACAGGGAGGGAAGAGATGGAGAATCCAACACCTCTTGATTCGAAGGATCGATCTAATCCAGAGAAATGTCTTAATACAGCGAGTGATAGACTCCAAATCCGAGAAGGGAGCAACGGAGAGAGAATGATGCAAGGAGAAGTCGTAGTCGTAGTCGTTGTGACGGTTGATGGTCGCAGGCTTGAAGGCAGCAGCCAAAGATGACCGGCCCGATTGGGTTTAGCGCGGGTGGGTTTGTGGCTGGGCTCGTGGCTGGGCGTCTTGGCCTGAGGACATCTGATTCAATTCGATTATTTATTATTATTTTAATAAACAATTTAATTTGATTGATGGCACATTCTTCCTGTCATTTCTAATCATCTGCGTAAACATACCAAATGATATCTATCTATAATCACAAGGTAAAAAGTTAGAGATACAGTTTGGATGTCTCCACTGATCGGGTATCCGATGTAACCAGCCACACCAACACGACTCTACCCGACTCATGCAACGTCTTAGTCTTAGTCTTACAGTCTCTGAGGTGAGTCGAATCTCCCAGTTGGTTCGCTCGTACTTGACCTGTTCTGGTCACTTCTGGGTCATACGTGGTTGACTCAGAGACAAGTGGGGATGAGAAAATATATAAATAATAGTACAAATACAATCATCAATGAATATATATATATAAATGGAACATATATATATATAGCACAAGTATGAATATATATATCAATATGAAGCCCAATATTAATATTAATTAATGACTATAATTTGAAATAATTTAAGAAAAATAAAAAAGCCACATGGCTTGCTCAAGGAGCGATCTGTCTCAGTGGACCAAATTACATGGCATGCATACACATGTGGTACTACCGCGTCAGCACCGTTAAGATCGCCCACCATAGCCTATACAGTATACACCCAGCCATCTAAATATATTTGAAGATTCCAAAAATGTATCATCCAGAAGGTATATCATTCCTCCAACGTAAAATCAAACTCCTTGAACGCTTCCTTGAACGCCATCGCGTCCGCCTCCTCCTCCCTCTCCGACTGCACATCGTCCCGCCAGTTGATGCGCTTTTCCAACCCCATCAGCTTGGCCATCACCCGCCGCCCAAACTGCAGGTCGAACCGGAAATCCGGCCCCAGAGGGAGCAGCAGGCACTTCTCGACCACGTCCGCCCTCGGAGCCTCGTCCGCCTGGTCTGTCCCCGAAGCCGGAGCCCACGCCCACACCCGGAAGAAATCTCCCGTATCATGTGCCGGATCCGAGGTGGCGGAAACCGTCTCAAATTTTGGGTACTTCAGGTTCTCTGCTTCAACCTTGAAGGCCGCCTCCACCAGTCCTCGCTGGACTAGGTCGGACGGCACCGGCAGGAACTGCCAGTGCGTGTGGATGCCGTTGCCGCGGCTGACCTCCCATGTCACCGCGCCCAGCGGTGTGCTCGTACCCGCCGAGCGGGTCTGGAGCATCGTGTGGAGGGAGGTCCGGTATCGTTGCATTTCGCTGTAGGTGTTGCTGCGCGAGTCTGCGTCGGGGATGCTGTGGAGCGTGGGGGAGTGCGTGAACGGGATGATGAGCATGTGACCGGGGAAGCCGAGGGAGGGGAACGTCTTCGACGTGGGGAGCGGGCCCTTGGCCGTGGTCAGGTAGCTCTCGTTGCCGATCGACGTGATGAGGTGCGTGGCGATGTTGGGGTTCGACAGACAGAAGAAGCACTGGTCCGGCCCCGGGGGTGGTGCACGGGCGCGCTTCCGTGGCCGGTGGCTGTCATCGTCGACGGCGAACCGGCTGTACGAGTCTTTCTGGCTAGTGAGGGGTTTGCGCTTGTTTTGAGACGTAGAGAGCGGGGAGGCGGTGGCACCGGCGGGAACGGACAGCGGGGGCGCGGCGCTGGGGTCCAACGTAAAAGCGTACATCCATTTTTGCTTAGAGGTGTTGTTGTAGGACGCGAGGCTGATGAAGCGGGTGAGAGGCTTCGCGTCGGGCTGGTCTTCCGTGGGCATGTGAAAGAAGGGCTCTCGCTCGAAGAAGAATCCTGCCGACGAGGAGAGGTGGTAGCGGGGTTTGAGGGTCGCACAGAGATCCGCGATGCACTGGATCTCGTCGGGGGTCGTTGCACCCTCTGGGAGCGCGACTTGGGATCGGAACCGGATGCTCTTGGGCCACTGGTGCGTGATGAGGAGGTCGGCGCTGTGGGCACCATACAGCGCGCGAGCGTCTGCTTCGGTGTAACCCGGATGGTATCTGTCGGTCGACTTGGCTTCCGTCTCGAGATTGCCCCCTAGGGCGACGATCCGGATGCCCTCTGCGGTTTTGAGCGTGCCTCGCCTCCCTAAGAAGTACAGGTTCGGGCAGACTTCATCATTGGCTTCGATTCTCTCAATGATGCGAGTGGGCAGAGGCCGACTACCAAGGCCAAAATACGTCGGAAGCGGTACACTGATATTCTCCTGCAGCAGCGCAGAGATCTGGTCCAGCTCTTGCTCTGTCGAACAGTCGCCAAAGAGATCGCCAGTGATAATAGCAAGAGAGAAGTTCTGCTTCACTTGAAGCTTTGCCAGTTTGGTGAAGACATCGCGCAGCTCGCAATTCACGTCTCCAATAACAATTCTAAATTATATGTTAGTTTTGAGGTACACCACGACTTGGCATCATGTTAGCTCACATCTTAGAGGCCATGGTGAGGCCGGTGTGAAGAACTATGACACGGTCTATATTAGCATTCCTAGTCTGCAGATGGCGACGTGTATGCACAGCTTAAATGTTAATAGTGTAATCAACAGTCCTAAATATCGTCCAAGAATGTGCTGTCTGTATCGCGACCACCGGTCAACTCGGGAATGATGAAATATCTATGAGGACAAAAGCGTCAAAAACGGGTCGAGGAGCTTGGGCCACTTGTCACGTGGATATACTACGCTAACCCTATATGGCTAGCGTTGATCACAAACGCCGACGCTAATCTCCGCGCCGGATCAATCTTGCTTCCGCTCCGATGAATTTTTTATCGATACAAGGTGCTGCATCTTCGGCCTCAATACTGCTGGAGACCCCACAAATACTATCTATATTAGCGACGCTGCGTGTGATCGTCACCATCTGTATTCAAGATGGTAGCAGCGTCGTCTGGCTCGCGGACCTTGTCCGTGAAGCGATTAAAAAAGCAGACACAAACGACCAAGTCGCATCGATTCGAGCCGTTTTCCCAGCGAGTCGCAAAGTTGAAGATCGACCCTGTCCACCGCGTGCGCCGGCCGAGTTTTGGAGAAGAAGATGGGGAGACCGCGTCTCATTTTCGGTCAGCCTTCGACCACTGGTCGGAGCTGAACTTGTCGGACAATTATTCGCAATTCTCCCGCAAAGTCCACCCGCTGTGTGAGAGCTTGCCGCAGATCCTGTATCACGAGGAGAAGATCATGGCTTTGCTGGTGGAATATATCGAGAAACGGGACCACCTGTCGATGGAGCCGCTGCTGAGCCTGCTCTCGCAGTTCGCTAGGGATTTGGGGACCCGGTTCGAGAAATATTTCGCCGCGTCGGTCACCCTGGTAGCTTCTATCGCCGCTACCCACCCGGAGGTCGAGGTGGTGGAATGGAGCTTCACTTGTCTGGCGTGGATCTTCAAATTTTTGTCGCGCCTTCTGGTGCCCGATCTGCGACAGCTTTTGGGGATCATGACCCCCTACCTCGGAAAGGAGCGACAGAAGGCGTTTGTGGCCCGGTTTGCCGCTGAATCTATGTCGTTCCTCATTCGCAAGGCGGCCCTCGTCTACTACAAGAATCGCGCACCCCTCCAGAATGCCCTATCGTTCTTACTCGACGACATGTGCGACACAGCGGCCGACTCGAAAAATGTCGATCTATACAAGGAAGGTCTCATGGCCATGTTCTCGGACGCCATGAAGGGCATCAAGGAAGGGCTCCACTCCAACGCCACGGATGTCTTCCGCTGCCTCCTAGATAATATTCACTCCGAGGACGAGCTGCGAAGTAGCTTAAGGCTAGAGGTCGCAAGCGGAGTGCTCGTCAACATCCTCCACGAGACGACCGCCGACTCGTTCGAGCCGATCTTGGAGACCATCAAGTCGTATATCGAGTCGAACTGCAAAAAGGCGGACAAACAATACGCAACGGCATGTTGCAGGTTGATTTTCGTTTGTGTATCTACGAGGAAGGGAGTACGCGTGAAGAACTGGCGGTCCGTCCATCAGATTACACTGCTCCTGGTCAAAACGGCGATCGGCGCCTTGGATGCGTATGCGGATTCTATACCCCTGCTTCTCACTGCAATGGCATTCGCTCTCCAGTTGTCTCCGATGGATGAGATGCTGCCATACATGCGCCCCCTGATGGAAGCCGTCACCAGTGACCAGCTGACGACCCACTTTCTGTCGTTCTGTACTACTTTTTCCGAGTGGGGTCCTGAACGATTCCACAGTGTTGTCCTCCCTTATTTCCAGAAGTTCGTCAACGCGTCATGGAAGGATTATGAACATGGGCTATGCTTGGCTCTAATTCGATTGAATCAATCCGGATGTGTTACCTCCGAGGTTTCGAAGCCTGGCTACATCACCTGCCCGGGTCCTTGGAAGACACACATCAAAGACATGCTCAGTCTCGCTAGCCCGGGCGACGCCGACGTAGCTTTGCTCAACGCCTACTCTCGACTCCCTCGCGTGTTGTCGCTATCCACTGAGCCGTCTCTGCTTCCGGATATGACTCGTATCCTTCATGACCGCCTTTCTGACGCTTTGAAGACCGACGAGCCCACCCCCTCACCTGCGACCAAATTTTATCTCGGCCACGGTTTCCAGGCCTACGCCGAGTTGGCGAAGGACAGTGGAGAAGTGGATGCAAATCTATGGGTCCCAATCAGCAAAGTCGCAGCCAGATATTCCCGATTGAGTGGGTTCCTGGAAGCTACTTTGACTTTCGTCTCCACCTGCCACAAAGAGCTGGACCTTGCACGACCTGAACTAGAAGAGTTTGCCGATGTCTTGATAACCAACCTTGCCAGTCCTTCTCACGGCTTGCGGCTGTCTTCGCTGAAGATGCTGCGGATGATGATTGAAGCCTCTGGAGAAGATGCATCCCTCGTCTCTTTGGCGATTGAGGTGGAGGAAAGCCCCCTGACGCTGCAGTCGGCCCGAGTGTTGTCAATGCATGTGCGCAACCTTGCCATGGCGTATACCCAAGTTGTTTCTCGACGGTGGATGGCTCGACTGATCCCCAATTTCCTGTTCGGCCTCTTCTCTAAGAAGATGGCCCCATTGTGGGATGATTCCGCCGCCGCTCTCAAGACGATCAGTGAAAACGCCGAGGGCGAGAAGATAGTCACTGAGTTGGCTATCGAGTGGCTCCATGGGAAGGGCTTGCCTCCTAGCGAGGACGGAAAGGAGGACGAAAGAAAGTTTTTCCCGGCAGGAGACTTCCTGTGTTACAACTCCCAGAAGGTGGAGGAACTCTCTTCCACGAACTTTGGCGACTCCGAACTGCCTATATCGATCTTGATTCGGGACTTTGAGAAGGATCATACCTTCTTGCCCGTCGTTCCGGCTTCTCCACGTACCCAGGCCCTACGCGTCCTTAATGCTATCCCTGCCATTGCGGAGAAGAGATCTCGTCAAGTTATCCCCCTCTTTCTCTCGTGGGCATTCCGCGATGAGGACGAGGTCCCCGCTGAGGCTGACCAGAAGTCTGACTCCGATGCATATATTCCCTGGGGCTTCTACGATCGGATTTCGTTCTTGAAGCTTCTGGGGCAATTTCTCAACCCTCGAGTTTTGTTCAGGGCGCCCGAAGTTCACGAAGCCCTCCTCGGTTTGCTGTGCCATGGTAACTCTGAAATTCAGAAGACTACTCTCAAGGCTCTCTTCACCTGGAAATCCCCGAAGATTACGCCTTACCAGGAGAATCTTTTGAATATTCTGGACGAGGCCCGGTTCAAGGACGAGCTTTCTTTGTTCGTTCGTGTTGGTGGAGACGACAGCATGATCGACGAGAACCATAGAGACGAGCTGATCCCTGTTCTTCTCCGTGTCTTGTACGGCCGCATGATCTCCAAAGCTGGCGCGAATAATAGCCAAGCAGGACAAACTGGACGAAGAAAGGCGATCCTGCGGACACTCTCCCAGCTGCCTGATAATGAGTTTGGCATCTTCATGCAAGTATCATTTGGACCGTTGGGCAATGTCCGGGTGGTTCAAGACGGACAAGTTGACCAGGAAGTGTTCACCCGGGATCTTGCGAGCCCGAGGAGACAGACCGGTCTGTTGAAGATGATCGAGACCGTGTTCGACACACTGCAAACGAGAATGAGTCCATACGTGGAACAGTCCATGGACGTGGTGCTCTACTGTCTGGTCCGGGCATGCCGGAGTCTGGAGAAGGAACAAGCGACCACCAACGGCGAGTCATCGGAGGGCCACATTACCACGGTGCTGCGCAATATCCGACACACCTGCATCCGATGCCTCGACCTTGTATTCTCCATCTCGCTGGACCGAGACTGGACGAGCCATGTTCGTGTTATCTTCGACGACGTAATCAACCCCAGGCTCGAGAAGTTCGCGACGGAGAATGCCCAAGGCGTGTCGGGGCTTCTCAAGCTGTTCCATATCTGGGCCACGGCTCCTCGGTCATCGTTCTACCTCGTGAAATATAACGACACTCTTTTAACGAGGGTGATGGACCTTCTTGGGGTGGATTCCGCCCGGGACGAGGTGAAAGTCTACGTCATGGACGAGATTCTGACTCCTTTGGTTAATCTTGCCACCGGGAAGGAACTCGAAGAAAAGGAGCAGATGGGCGATATTGCCGCCGATGAGATCCGCTCTGAAGTCCTGGCGCCCTACATGGAGCACACCCTTTCTCTCCTGGGCCGTCTCCTCAGACGCGGCCCCTCTCGCCCTGTGCTGATTTCGGGCGTGCAAACGCTGTCCATCCTTGCCCCCTGTGTTGAGTCCTCGAGTGAAACGTCGAGCCTGATCAGTATCACCAATTACCTTCTCCGTCAGCCTGCGGACCGCGTGTCTCCTAAAACGAAAGCCGGGTTGCTGCGTATTCTCGAGCACTTCCTGCCCCTGTTCGACCCGAAAGAGGATGCCGAACTCGCGCAGGAGGTGTACGGTGCGATTTGCTCGATGTTTGATTACTTCAGAGATGATGCGAACAGAGAAGTGTTGTCCAGGGTGTTCTCGGCCTACGCGAAGCATGATCCTGCGCTCCTTGAAGTTGCCGCTCTCTGCGAGGACCTGAATTCCGTGTCCAGAAAGAGACTGGAGGCAGATTATGAGCGTCGCCAGCAAGCCTTCCGCCAAGTGAACGACAGTCTCTGGGAGACATACAACGCCAAGCAGTGGCAGCCTCTGCTCTACAACATGTTGTTCCACACCAAGGATGACGAGGAGCTTGCCATCCGAACGAGTGCTTCGTACGGCCTGCGGCGATTCATTGAAAGGGCTGCCATGGACAAGGACTCGGAAGCATTCTCTCCCCTTGTTCAGGACGTGCTCTTCCCCTCTCTGCAGAGCGGCATCAGGCAGAAGTCGGAGTTGGTGCGGACCGAGTTTGTGTCGGCGCTCGGGTTCTTCATCAAGTTGAACCCCACCATGCCGATTGTGCAGGACATGCATGGGCTTCTTGTTGGTGATGATGAGGAGGCCTCGTTCTTCACCAACATCCTTCATGTACAGCAGCATCGCCGGCTTCGCGCATTGCGCCGTCTGGCCGCCGAAGCGGCGAAAGGCAAACTCCAGGCTACAAACATCAGCACAATCTTCATTCCCCTCAACGAGCACTTTGTCTTCGATGAGGACGTTGATGAGAATGCCCACAATCTCATCGCGGAGGCGGTGGCAACGATCGGGGCCCTTTCCGAGTGGTTGGACTGGAACCAGTTCAGGGCCATCTTCCGGAGATACCGCGCTTACATGACCAGCAGGTCTGAGATGGAAAGGAACATTTTGAGACTCTTGGGCAGAATGGCAGATGCGCTGACCAATGCCGTGGGACAAGCGAGGAAGCCCAAGGAGACGGACGGAGAAGGCATGGAGGGTATCGAGACCGAAGGTCCGCGATGCACTCTCGCCCGGTCATTGCCGTCGGGTCCCAAGCTGAATACGGAGTTGACGACCAACTTTACGCCGTTCTTGATCAGCTTCATCCATCACAAGAATGAAGCGCAGATGAGTCTGCGTTTGCCGGCGTCGATTACCACTGTCAAGCTTCTGAAGCTGTTGCCGGAACAAGACATGACCGTTCGCCTGCCGCAGGTCCTCCTGGACGTGTGCAATATCCTCAAGAGTCGGTCCCAGGATGCCCGCGATACTGCCCGGAAAACGCTGAGTGATATTTCCCTTCTGCTGGGGCCGGGTTACTTCGGCTATATACTGAAGGAGCTGCGAACCACGCTCACGAAGGGCTACCAGCTGCACGTGCTGTCCTTCACTGTGCATTCGATCCTCGTGGTGACGGCCGATGAGTTTGCGCAAGGGGATCTGGATTACTGCCTCTCGGACCTGTGCGGAGTAGTCATGGATGACACGTTCGGCACCGTCGGTCAAGAGAAGGACGCCGAGGACTACGTCAGCAAGATGAAGGAGGTCAAGAGTAATAAGAGCTACGATTCTATGGAATTGCTAGCGAAGAACTCCTCCATCCCGAACCTGGCGAAGCTGATTCGCCCTCTCCAGTCACTGCTGAGAGAGAAGCTCAATTCCCTTATCGTGAGAAAGGTAGACGAGCTCCTGCGGAGAATTGGCATCGGTCTTCTCCGGAACCCCGCTGCGGAAAGCCGCGATCTCTTGATCTTCTGCTACGAGGTGATCAAGGAGTCGTATCAGCCGCCGGCAGAAACCGGGCAGAGGAAGGGTCCCGAAAGTGCAATGCAGAAGAACTTCCTCATCAACCTCAAAGCCCCGAAGCGGGGTGAGAAGCGTGGAACCACCTCGTCCTACGTGCACAAATTAACCCGTTTCGCTCTTGATGTTTTGCGCTCGACCTTGAACAAGTTCGACTCCCTGCTCACGCCCAATAATCTGACCGGGTTCCTCCCGATCATTGGTGACTCGTTGGTTCAGTCTCAAGAGGAGGTCAAGCTATCTGCGCTTCGACTGTTGTCCACCATCGTCAAGCTTCCGTTAGCCGAGATCGATGACAACTCCCACGTCTATTTCACCGAGGCCGTCAAGATCGTCAAGGAGGCGCCGAGCACAAACACCGAAGGCAGCCAGGCGGCGTTGAAGCTGATTTCGGCTCTGCTGCGAGAAAGGAAGAACACTAAGCTGCGCGATGGACACCTTGCATACTTGCTCCAGCGTCTCACCGCCGACATCGAAGAGCCGGATCGTCAAGGCATCACCTTCAACTTCATCCGAGCCGTCATGGCCAGGAAGTTCGTGGTGCCGGAGATGTACGAGCTGGTCGACCACATCGCCAGCATGATGGTCACGAACCAGACCCGGTCCGCGCGTGATCTCGCCCGCGGCGTGTACATCCACTTCCTGATCGAGTATCCTCAGGCTAAAACCCGGTGGGCGAAGCAGCTTGGCTTCCTGGCCAAGAACCTCGAGTACAAGCACGCGGACGGCCGCCAGTCAGTCATGGAGGCAATCAACCAGCTCCTCGCCAAGACCGGGCCAGAGCTGGCCCAAGACATTGTCGGAACGTTCTTCCTCCCTATCATCATGGTCATGTCCAACGACGAATCTACCGAGTGTAGAGAGATGGCAGGCGCCCTGCTGGGCGAGATGTACAGCCGCGCCGACAGGGAGCAGCTGAAGACCATCCTCACGCCCCTCCGCTCGTGGCTGGAACAAACGGACAATCTTCTCCTGACCACCACCGGCCTGCAGGCCATGCGGATCTACTTCGATGCCGACATAACAGGCAAAGAGAAAGAAGGCCGTTTCGTGACGGGAGTCCTCCCAGATCTCATGCAGCCCGTGCTGCAGCAACCCGACGACACCGAAAACTGGCAAACGCTCTACTTCTCCCTCCAGCTCTACCTGAAACTCTCCAAGAGCCTGCCCGCGATCGCGCTGGCCAAGGACCAAACCGCAATGTGGGCTGCCATCCGCGAGTGTCTCTTCTACCCGCACGCCTGGGTCAAGACATGCGCCGCCAACCTCGCCGGGATCTGGCTCGCCGACTTGGCCAAGGCGAACGCCGAGAAGGGCTACAGCGCGCTGCCTCTCGCCGGTAGCACGGGGCTGGCCATGGACCGGGCCGCGATGGTGCAACTCATCCGCGCGAGTCTCCGCTGCCTGCGCACCCCAGCCGTCAGCGAGGAACTCGCCACGCAGTCCGTCCGCAACATCATCTTCCTCGCACGATGCTGCGCACAAAACGGGCTCGAGCTCTCCCGCGGGCATACGCAGGACGCCGAGATCGACGAAAGCGAAGACGAGGACAACGACGACCGCAAAGACGGCGACGAAGAAACCGCCCCAACACCAGCAGCCAAGGACGAAAGCCCCACCAAGTCCGGCCTGCAGTACATCTTCGAGCAGGTTTCGTCGATCCTGCGTCGCGAGATCCTCACCACGAGGGCAGGGTCGCTCGTCCCCAAGACCGCCTCGATCGGTCTGCTGGCCGCACTCATCCGCCACCTGGAAGCAGAGCAGATCCACCCCTCGCTGCCTGTCATCCTGCTCCCGCTGCAGCACATGACTGACGCGTCGATCCCGCCTCCGCGGTCGTCGGACGAGACCTTCCGCGACTCTTACAAGGCGCTTGTGTCCAACTGCCACGAAGTGCTCGATCTGCTGCAGAAGAAGCTGGGCACGACCGTTTACATCGAGCAGATGACGCTTGTGCAGGACGCTATCAAGGAGAGGCGCGAGGGTAGACGCGTCAAGAGGCGGATTGAGGCTGTTACTGAGCCGGTGAAGTACGAGCGGGAGAAGAAGCGGAGGAATGATCGCAAGCATGATAAGAGGAGGGAGCGCGGGATGGAACATCGGGGGAAGAGACGCGGATGGTGAACACTATATTTTCTTGTCTTTTTCCTTCCTTGTTCTTGTTTTGTTTCATTTCATTTCGTCTCATGTCATGCATTGTGCTGCGCTGGGTTATCCAAAAGTTGGCGTTGGAGGGGGGAGATAGATTTGATTTTTGTACAGAGTATATATCCACATGAATAGAGAGTTGTCTATAGTACAGAAGTCACGGAGAAGTGTAAAGGTTTATCGCCGGATTCCAAGCAAAATTTTAACAGCCGTTTATATAACGCCTCAAGATCATCATATCACGATTCGAGCGCTTAGGCATCCATCCCCAGTATCAACATCGCAGACAAACCCTTCTATAGCGCTAACGACGACAGCAAGATCGACCAAACGCCAGGACCACCAACCAAGTGCGATCCAAACAAAACCCAACCACCAAGTAATCAAATCAACCCAGCTTGCCCTGACCATCCGACGACCCAGACGAGCCTTCCGACTCAGTCTCAGACTGCGACCTCGGCGTAGACGACCCATCATCCCAGAACTCCATATCGCCCTCCACATAGCCCCTCGTCAACTTATCGCCCTGCTTCGCCAAGATATCATCGAGGGTACTCTTCTGATCGAGGAAGATATTGAGGTGGTCGCTGATGACGTGGCGGCTGCGGCACGTCGGACACCGGATGAGAACCGTGCCGCGGTGGTAGCCGTGCTTGGACATGCGGTGCGAAGAGCGCTCGTTGCATGGCTTGCAGGTGAAGGTGATCTGGTAGGCGGGCTCTTGTTCTCGACGCTGGCGGTTTGCTTGCTCGTGTTCGGCGTCGGTGGCGGGGTCGTTGGTACGGTCTGTGAGGGGTCGGTCGCCGGTTTCGGATGATGATGAGGAAGAGGAGGAGTTGGTGCGGATGCTGCCGATTGAGGGGATGGTGATTCTTGTGGCTGGTCGTTGGGATGGCACTGGGGAGGGTCGAAGGGAGCGGAAGGCGAGGTGGGAGAGAGGTCGTGCGGCGTTGCGGGAGATGGCGGATCGGGGGAGGGAAGAGATGAGGCGGAGGCCTTGGGAGAGGGGCATTGCGGGAGGCATGATGTAGATGATATATAGAGATGGGAAGAAGTAAAAAGATGGAGGAAAAGTCAAGATGATGAAGAAGATGAAGATGAAGAGTAAGAATGACGGCAGAATCTCGATTGCGCCGGACTTACGTTGATCCGGGTGTCTCTCCGCGGGATCAAATCAAACAATCAATTCATCTTCATCTCTTTCTCATTCACTTCTCTTCTCCATTTCACTGCTCCTTCTTGCTTGTTTTCTGGTGTTGCTGGAGTTCTGATAGTGCTCACTATTCTTCCTTCTGCCTCTTATCCTTCCTTGACTTCAGGTCTTTGTTCTGTGTATCCCTCCAGACTCGCTATACCCCGCGCATCCCTACCCAGCTGTGAATCAGTGGATGGCCGTTTGCCAGAGCTTTCGAAAATGGCGATGAGAGCAAGACAAAAGATTCGTGCACCCCGGAAGGTATGTGTGCATAGTCTTCTTTGTTCTGATGGTCTTTTGCCGTATCTAAGGCAACCCCGCGTTCGCCACCTGTCACTGGGCCAAACCTTTGACGATGTCCCCTACCGAGTTAATAGCTAAACAACGTGAGTAGGGTCTAGCATCGAGTAAAGGGGACGACTTCGAGGCGAACTGGCAAGCCTTATCGGGCTCGTTGAAAAGAATCCACACGAAAGATGCCTCCGATCTCTCCTTCGAACAACTCTACCGAAATGCCTACAACATCATCGTGACCATGCGGGGTCACGACCTCTACGAACGGGTGAAACAATTGGAGCGGGAGTGGCTGGAAACGGAGGTCCGGAGCTGGGTGAATGCCGCCATCTCGCCGAGTCTCTTGTTTGCCCAAGATGCGCTGGACATTCAAGACCAGGCAAATGAGCGGCGAGCGGCCGGCGAGAGGTTCCTGACCGTCTTGCGGGAGACTTGGGAAGATCATCAGCTCTCCATGGGCATGATTACCGATGTCTTGATGTACATGGTACGTATCTACCCGCGGTGCATCAAGAACTTCGCTGACTTTTCTCTCCGTAGGATCGCGTAGTCGTGGCGGATCACCGAAAACCATCGATCTATGTTGCGTCCATGGCTTTGTTTCGAGATATCGTGCTACGGTCGCCGGTCCGTCCTGACACGAAGACAACGGTGGCCGATGTATTAGAGTCGACGGTTCTCTTTTTGGTCCAATTGGAGAGATCCGGCCAGATCATCGAGAGGCCGCTGATACGGCACTGTATTTACATGCTCGAGGGTCTCTATGAGACCATCACCGAAGAGGAGTCATCCAAGCTCTACCTGACCAGTTTCGAACCGGCATTCCTCGAGGCCAGCAAGACATTTTACCAAAAGGAGGGGCAACGTCTGGTGGAATCGGCCGACGCGGCGACATTCTGCAAGGTAGCGATGGAGCGAATCACGGAGGAAAAAGAGCGCTGCGCTTCGACGCTGTCGACGCTGTCCGAATCTAAAATCAAGGAGGTCCTGGATAACGAGCTCATCAAGCGGAACATCGCCGAGGTCGTCAATCTCGAGGGAACCGGGGTCCGGAATATGCTCGATCAAGACCGCCTGGATATCCTGCGCAGTGTGTACGTCCTCAGCTCACGGGTGGACAGCAAGAAGGCGCCCTTGACCGCGGTCGTCCAAAAGTGCATCGTCGACATGGGCCAGGAAATCAACACCTTAGCCACCGCCCCGGCCCCGGCTCCGGAACCGACAGGCAAGAAAGCAGTCAAAGAGAAGGAGAAACCGATGAACCAGCAGACCACGTCGGCTATCAAATGGGTGGACGACATCCTAGCTCTCAAGAAGAAGTTCGACGCCATTTGGGTGGACTCCTTCATGTCCGACCAGGTGATGCAGAGCGCCATCACGACCAGTTTCTCAGACTTTATCAACTCGAACCCGCGCAGCTCCGAGCACCTCTCCCTATTCTTCGACGAAAACCTGAAAAAGGGCATCAAGGGCAAGACCGACAGCGAAGTCGACTCCCTCCTCGACAACGGCATCACCCTCCTGCGCTACATCAAAGACAAAGACCTCTTCGAAGCCTACTACAAGAAGCACCTCTCCCGCCGTCTGCTAATGAAACGCTCCGCCAGCATGGACGCCGAGCGACAAATGATCTCAAAGATGAAAATGGAAGTCGGCAACCAATTCACGCAGCGTCTCGAATCCATGTTCAAAGACATGACCATCTCCGAGGACCTAACATCCAACTACAAAGACCACATCCGCAAGAGCGCCAGCCAGGACAGCAAACCCGTCGACCTCGAGATCAACGTGCTCACAAGCACAATGTGGCCCATGGAAATCATGTCCAACACCCGCGACGAAGTGCAACTCTCCTGCGTATTCCCGCGCGAAGTTGAATCCGTCAAGCAGAGCTTCGAGCAATTCTACCTCAGCAAACACAGCGGCCGCAAACTTTCCTGGCAAGCCAGCATGGGCACAGCCGACATCCGCGCAACCTTCCAGCGCCCAAACGGCAAGACCCAGCGCCACGAGCTCAACGTGTCCACCTACGCGATGATCATCCTCTTGCTCTTCAACGACGTCGCGCCAGGCGAATCGCTCACCTTTGCAGAGATCCAGAGCCGCACGCGCATCCCGGACCACGATCTCATCCGCAATCTACAGTCCCTAGCCGTGGCGCCCAAAACACGAGTCCTCAAAAAGGAACCCATGAGCCGCGAGGTGAAGCCCACCGACCGGTTCTTCTTCAACCACGAATTCCAGAGCCAGTTCACGAAGGTCCGTATTGGCGTCGTCAGCGGCAGCGCCAACAAAGTCGAGAACAACGATCAGCGCAAGGAGACGGAGAAGAAGATGAACGAGGAGCGGGGGGCGAGCATTGAAGCTGCTGTTGTTCGAATCATGAAGTATGTCCCCTCCCTTCCCATTCCCCTTATCAAAAAAAGCACCCCCCTCCCTCAAGCAATTTATAACTAACGGAGATCAGACAACGCAAAACCCTCCCCCACTCAAAACTAATGAGCGAAGTCCTCGGCCAACTCTCCTCCCGCTTCGTCCCGGACGTGAACATGATCAAGCGACGGATTGAAAGCCTAATCGATCGGGAGTATCTCGAGCGAGTGGGTGAAGATCCCCCGACGTATGGATATATCGCTTGATTTACCTTCTTCTTTTTCTTTCCTTCATCATCATCTTCTTTCCAACTTTTCGACATGACAGTTTCTTTCAGGTTCCGACCACTTTCTACCCCTTTGGTGTATCTATTCTTGTTTTGGGCGCGGGGTTTCGGTTGAATTGAATTTAGCGGAGGAGGGCGCAGGTCGGGTAGGGATTCACTATGAGGTGTTGGATTTATGGCGGTTTTTAAGCCGATTTCTTTTTTTATATGGGTTTATTATCTAGGGATGCAGATGAATGATTATGAGACTTCACGTATTCATTTCTACTAACCTGTACTTACGGTACTTAAAATAGGTAGTAATCTATGGTAGAGTAAAGTCTAATGAGTCTATACAGGCAGCAGGTATCACTATATATATAAAGGTAGTATAGCACCGCAGACAAACATCTAACGAACCCCAACCCCACCCATACATATAGACGCAACCCCCAAACAAAGTAAATAAAATAGAACGAGATAGGATATATAAAATGCCAAACAACGATTCAGAGAAAAAAAGAGTCCATACAAAAGTATTATAAAACCTCCACCTCCCCCCTCCCCAAGCATCCCTCACCCCCTCCCACCTCACAACAGCCACATCCCCAACACGCATAGCCGTCGCATAGATATCATCCTCCCCCGCATCAGCAGCAGGGACAACAACCCTCACCCCATCAACAAGACACCTCACGAACACAACCTCCTTCGTCTCGGGGGCTTGCACCATACTCGTCCCGCCTGCATTATCATCCAACCTGCGGAGCTGAGGCGGGAAGGAAGACAGGAACGACGAAGCGTAGTGTTTAGCGAGGAGGGACTGGTGCGCGTGGAGGAAGGCGAGTTCTTGCGGGGAGAGTGGCGCGGCAGTATCTGGGTTTGAGGAGGTTGGGGGGAGCGGCGGGATGGAGTCTTGCGGGTGGGGATCGTTTTCGTCGTCGTCGTTGTCGTTGTTGTTTTGGGGGGATGAGGAAGGACCCGGCGAGACGAGAAGCAGGTAGTGCATGCTGTGTTTTGAGAGTTTGGAGAGACGGTGGCGGAGGAGGGAGCGGACGAGGTATTGGGTTCTGGAGAGGTCTGTTTGGAGGATTGAGAGCTTGAGGTTGAGGGTGGGGTTGTTATTGCTGTTGCTGTTTGTGGCTGTGGAGTAAGGGTCTGAGGAGGAGGCGGCGAGGTCTTCGATTGATTCGATCTGTGTCACATATAGTCAGATTTTGGAGAGCAGTAATTATGGTAGTAATTGAAGACAACCTGTCGTCGGACTCGCTCCATCGTCCGATCCATTAAACCAGCCGGCCATGGTAGTAGCTCCGAGACGCCGCGCTCGGCGATCCAGAAGCGGGTCAGGAGCTGGTGGTCGAGGGCTGTGGACTGGGGGGTGGAAGCATCGGGCTGGTCGACCGAGGCGAGGATGTCATCGATGTCCATGGTGGGATGTCTGCATGAACTGAATGGATTGAATGATGAGGTGGAGATGGAGAATCGCGAAAATCAAAGAAATTCGGCGGAGAAAGCGGAGAAGATAGATGTATGCCTCAGGCTGTCAATAGCTTATCGGCGATAAGCCCGTTTACTAAGCGGCGATCTACTCTAGTTAACTACTCCGTACATTGGAGGACAAAGTTGATCTACTAGAACAAAGTGAAATGTCCAAAGTTGAATTCATATCCATTCCAACAAAGGAAAGATCTTGCTCCAGTCTCCCACATCGGGATAACCATGGCGGTTCTATGTACAGGGTTGCACGGACACTGAGGCATATTAAACCGTCTCTATCAGACGGTCCAGCAATAGCTTCGAAACCCGCTGCCACGCACACATGGTGATTATCGTCGATTCGACGAGCCGTACACGTATGTACTTCGTACGGCAGGACTCTTCTCCCTCGCAGAGGTGTACAGAATGGGGGGAGCGTGGATTAAAAGACGGGTAGGGGAAAATAGAAAACGGGAAGGGGGAAATTCCAAGAAGGGGAAGGCAAGATGCCCAGGTATCGTAAATCGTCCGATCGAGGTCGGAGAAGAATCACGTAGGAAACTCGTTCAGAACATAGGAAAAAGTTGGTGTTGAGAGAGTGGCTGGGGGTCGTTAGGTGGGGTTCTTCCCCGTCGTAAATTCGATGCGTCCTCTCCAAGGGAGGCGCGTTCTTTGTCGTGTCGTCAAAATATGGAAATCTCATCCAGCCAACCGAAAACAAAAAGGAAATAAAACACAAATCCGAAAGTGTCAAGCGAGTGGAAGGGACTGGGGCGGGCCTGCGCCTGTTGTAGGCAGGGTTGGTTCCAGTTCCCACGAGTGTTTCGAAAGATGGGGCTCTGTTCATCACCGACTGGTGAGAACGGCGGTGAATCTAGGTAGGGGTCACGCCCGGGACATCCGACGTCACCAGATCGGTGGCTCAATAAGAAAGCATGCGCCGTCCTGGGCTGCGACCCGCCGCCGGGCTTTCAATAAACGGTGATCCCAGCAGACGACGGTCACTAGGAGGATTCCGGCACCGGCCGGTTGGACTGTCCTCCATCTCCGGGGACTGTTGGCCAAAGGCAAAGGTCTGCGCACGGATCAACTTCGATCGCTGTTTGACCTTGCCGAGGCCGCGCTCGCAGGCGTGTTCGAACTCCTTGGCGTTCATCTCGACGTAGTTCTGGGGATAGCACAGCGATCGATGCTCCGAAAAGAACGCGCTGTACCCACCCTCCAGGATGTACAGGTCGGGATACGTCAGATAGGGATAGTGGTCCACGTTGAAGGCGCGGTCCTGGTGCCGGATGAATTTGGCCATGATGGGCGCGCGGTGCGCCGAATACTCGCAGTGCAGGATCAGCGCCGTGCGCGGTTTGGGACTGGTGAACAATTGTGCGGCCAGGTACTCCTTGTCGTTGTAGTTGACCGCCCCGTTGATGTGACCCCCCTCGTACTCGTACTCGAACCGGCAGTCGATCACCATGACGTTGTCGAACCGGTCGTTGTACTTGCCGTCCATCACCTCCACCAGGGTACCCTGGCTGATCCGCGGCAGGGAATCAGACTGGTCCTCCGGGATCGAGTGCGGCAGCTGTTGGCTAGGGGAACTATCGATATCGCTGATCGATTGTAGGGGTGCATTTGTAGAATAACTAGCCTGTTTTGGGGTCATCACTTCGTCGGGGCTCTCAAACATACTCAAGGACCGGCGGCACTGGTTCTTGCGGGGGCGCATCAGCGGGTGGGAGCTTTTGCGGATGGACGCGGCAGAGGGCGAGGCGTTGCCGCGATGGCTGGTCTCGCGACTCAAGGGCGGTCGCAGCCGTCCGTGGGCGACCAAACCGCTGGAGGAGTGGTTCCGCAACATGGGCCGCTCGCGCTGCGGGGATTCGTGGAACATGTCCTCCAGGGACGCGGACGTGCTGAGGGAGGATTTGGCGGCCCCGCGGCTCTGAAACCGGAAGGGGGGCGCTTGGCTCTCGGGGGCCGGTTTCGACATGCCCAGTTGAAACGACTGGGCTTTGGTCTTGGCCAACGAGGGGCGCAAGAACGTCGGACGTTTCCTCCTGCACGCACACGCAATTAGACCCATGCCCACACGTCTTTCCTTTGTCCAGTCAGGTGTTCTCTTACTCTAGACCATCTTTCTGGGCCACCAAGGGCGAATCCTGCAGGGCGGAGAAGGACGGTCGGACGGGAGTGTCCATGGGCGAACAATCCAACGTCGGGGAGTGGATCTCAACGTCGGGGGCGTTGAAGGATGGCTTGTGGGGTAGCGGGGACATGTCCATGACGTCCATTCCTGGGGCTGGTGAGGATGAGGGGAGCGGAGGGGTGGTCATCGGCTCTTCTATATATAGCGGGTTAGCCCACGGCCGGCCGAGGTCGATCGAGGTCATTCTCGAGATCTTACCACGCCTGTTGCCATTCCCAAACAGATTCGAGGAAAACAAAGACCGTCGTGGCGTAGCCAGCTGGGGGCTATTTTTGGTCAGCGCGGGGTCTTTCAAAGATGATGTCCATGAAACGGACAAAGGAAATCTTCGCACACAGCCAGGCACGGAGACAATGACGAACCTTTGATCGATGTGGAAATTCTGAGACAAGTCGGCCGCCAGACTAGCCGTTGGAGAAGAACCCCGGACCGGCTTCACATCGAAGTAGTCGGCGGAGGGTCTCTTCATGGACAAGTCTTTGAAGTTGAAGTGGCTGGAACCGAGGCCGCCCATGGGACTATAAGTCGGATACGACGTCGGGGCGTCGGGACGGAAGCAGTGGCCAAAGAGCATGGAGGGCGGCTGCATGGCGGCCAGTGGGGAGGAGTGTTCCATGGTGGATTAGAAGATCGGTGGCCTGGATTAATTTCCCGGCCGATGAACGCAATGAACCAGTGATGCAAGGCACGGGTAGAATATTGCGATGTTGCAGCTATCTATCTGGCATATGCTACAGTGGCCGATATGCAGGGGACTTTTTTTGAGTTCACGCGGAGGATGCAGCTGAAGAATCGGCCTCTCTCGGATTCTCTCTCTCTCTCTCTCTCTCTTTCTCTTTCGCTCTCCGTCTGGGGATTCCAAGCGCCGAGTGTTGAGACCCGGACTTCCACGGTGCGGAGAGGGCTTCCAAAATGCCGGTCTCCGTCTGGGGCAGATTTCGAGTGGAGAAGGTGAGGGGGAGAGAGGTGACGGAGCGGGGAACCAGCGTCTAAGGCACCATGGCCGGCACTTTCAGGGAAACGGTCGATATCAGGTTTATCCACGGACGGGGGGGAGGTAGGAGGAAAGGTAGAAGGGAGAGAGGGAGGGGCTACTAAGATCAACGGGTATGATTAGCCAGTGGTCCCAACTCGTACGACCGCCGTCCGTTGCAGCACGTAATCAGGTGCAGCAAGCAATGAGTAGGGGAGAGCAGTGAGCAGCAGGTCTGTCGACGCTAATGCATTGGAGGAGAAATTACCGATGCGAAGAGAGAAGTGCGGAGGAACCGGGCTGGGTGCAAGTCGGAAGAAAGATCTAGACACCCAGCATGAAAGAAGCGGGAGGCGAGGTCTTAAAGAAGATGAGGAGGATGGAATCGCAAGAGAGGAGAGGAAGAGAGAAGAGAAGAAAGAAAGGAAGGCGAGACAGAAAAGGTGAAGCTGAAGGGATGAGCTTGTTGCAATGGCAACGCCAAAGTGGGGAGGGATCTCCAGGTTGCGAGAAGAGCTTAAGCGATATGTATGGATGGTGTATAGGTCGTACCCGGGTATGTGGTTTACGATCTTACACTTGGTCGAGGAGAACAGCACTATTGACCATCTCCCTTGTTTGATATATTGGCGAGTCTCTTTATTTATAGAGAATTAATAAAGATCAATATCTAATAGTCATGAATTAATTCCTAGCATCACCTGGTGTCTAGACTGATATATATCCTATATCTCATATGAAGCAATACGGTATGGTACAAACACTACAGGTACAGTACGGACAGACAGAAGGTACCTCCTCCATGCAGCAAACCACTAAGTCAAGCAGGTACCAGTTCCGTTGCCCGGACTCCCTTGCCGCCCTCACCTACGCTAACCTGGCTGCTCAGCAACCCTTCGCCTATCACGCTGGCCGAACCAGACTTGGGGTTCAGTCTCCATCGTGCCTGTCGACTTCTTTTTTTCCTTCTGGTTCTGGCTCTTTACCTGATTCGTTCGTCACTCCTGTCGTTCCGGTTACTGACATTTGGATTTGGATCATAATATTCTGGTATTTCTGACAGGTTCACCGTCTGCTATGGAAACCAAGTCACCACCGGTCTGGACGTGGATCCTGAAATCCAGTTCAGTCAGTCATGGTTCAAGTGACTCTCCTGGCATATGCGAGGTTGATACATCCCTTCTCTAATTCAGTATAGACTGATATTGACCCTTGGGCCGGGGGTGAGGTTGAACCTTTTGACCGGAATAAACTACAATAGTAAGATCACAGAATACATAAAATACAATATATTAAAAATCAATAATATAATATCTTCCGTGTGTGCCGATTGTTCTTTTCCTGTTCCAGCAAACGACCTATCATCCTCTCATAAAACGAAGAGAAAAAAAAGAAAAAATACAGATCGCATCTAATAAGAATCTCCACCGACTCCACCAAGTCGGGAAAAAGAGCTTGTCCGGTATTGGTGTCCCAGGGAACGAGAATCAAGAACGAAATAAAACGAAAGAAGAAAAGAAAAGACAAGAAAGTGTCATCCGTAAGGTACGGTTTCACCCCGGCCTGCTTTCCTTACTGTCTCCAAACCTGGGATATAAAATCTCCGATGCCCTAACCGGGATAGAGGACACCCTTCATTCACGACCCCCATCCCACATAACCAACAACCACATACCTACTTCAGGTATCCTCAGAAATCAAGGCATCGTTGCCAAAGGGAACTGGTTTCGATCCTGGATAGGCACTGGTATCACCCCATCCGGTAATCTCTGCTGAACAGCTGGGAGACCCGCCCGCACATGCCCTAGGTGCCGAATTATGGACATGGCTATGTGTAAGTATGGGTCAGGGCTCTCGTTTATCTTCGCCGATGATTCTCGGATCGACGGTGATAGCCTTTCTTTCCACGAGTACACCAGTACACCTGGGAGTTAGATGGTTGCTAGAGTCTAAGGCCGTCTGCCGACATTTTTGAGCACTGTCCTCCCGCTGCGCTGTCCCCCAGACATGCATGCATGCATCGCTGCCCTTACTTGGATAGAACCATTGCACTCCTAGCTAGGGAGATATCCCTTTCGATGCCCTTTGTGCTGATAACCTGGATTGCAATATTATTCCCTTCTTGATACGATTGTTAATCCCTTCTTGATCACGATTGTTAGGCCCCGCATTAGACCGATCGGTCTCTCCACCTTCCTTCTACAAACCCGTTCGTTCGACGAAAGACAGGTTTGTTTGAACTTCCGTCTGATCCGGACAAACCCGCGACGTCACCCTCACGGCAGCCAACAGAGCAAGTGGGAAAGGAAACTGGGTCCGGTCGGACAATGACCGTACGACTCTCCGTCCGTAGGTACTAGTTAGATGGAGCAATGGCCCGCGTCTCGCTGAGGCTGATCGATCGGCTCTCGCTCGATCGCACATCTTGAGTCAGGATGACGGAGCCTCACATCTGCACGTGTGTGGCCGAGCACGGCGCCAGGCTCCAGCCCTCGGTTTCCATTTCCAAGAAAGATGAAGAAGAGGATCCGCATCTTAGTCCAATCACCGCCACGACTGGCCAGAACTAGGAAGCTAGTTCGCGCGACGACGACCGAGCTGGGCTGGGCGTTCATTCAGCTCGGAGCTCCAGGCGATCGCGGCTTACACGCCCCATAGTACGGAGTAGTTAGTTGCATTATCTTATCCTTCCCACTACGGAGTAGATGGAACTCCCTCTTCTTTTTTTTTCCCGACAACTCAATACTCATCTCAGCTCCGCCACAAATGGGGATGGGCTTGAGTTGGCGAGATCCCACTCGGGTCTCGACCTTTAGTCTAGTGCCGCTGGCGCCAAACTAGCTTCCAGCCTATCTGCAGCCTGACCCTACGCGCCCGGGCAGATGCCGTCATTCTTCCGTCGGTATTACGCAGATGATCTTGGCTGGCACAACACTGTTGATCGCTCTGTGGTAGTTGCGATGGTGGTCCACAGTGTCCACCAGCGCGTGCGATTCTCACAGCGGGTCATCACCGTGCGATCACCCACAGCTTGCGATCGCGGACGGAGTCCAAGCTGGCTGGGCAGAATCCATCGTAGGCGCCGGACTCTACTAGTACGGTCGTATCTCGGGGCGCCCGATCGCGGAGTGGGGAAGAGACGAGGAGGATGCGACAGGGATTGTGATCCTTTGCAGGAGCCGCCCGTGACGTGACTGAGACCACAGATTGACCGACGGACAGATTGGAGTGTACGTCGTAGATAGGAGTCACTCCAATTCTGCTCAATTGATGCAAGCGACCCATGATTTCTCCCAGATCCTCAAATAGCATCCTCGTTCAATCAGTGTCTACCCAATCCGCTTGGCAGTCAGTCACGAACAAGTAATACCGAGACGCGGTGCGGGGTACACCAAGCAACTAGCAACGTAATTGGAGAATGGAAACCCCCTGCCCTGCTCTCTTCGAAACTATATTTGTTGGCAGCGCGAAATGTGAAACCGGTTGTTTCTAATCCAGTCCAGTCCATCCAGTCTTGATGTGGGATGTCCAGGTGATGTCACACTGAGAGCGGGGGGGATTTGAATCCTGCTGGTCCGTATGTATGTATGTGTTGTCATTGTAATGGTGGTGTGGTGAGCAAGTGGCAGGAATAATAATAATAGCCATAACAATAACAATAACAATGCGGACTGGTGGTGAGGAGATGAAGCTACCTGAAAGGAGAGAAAGGTAAACAAACCTGTTGGATTTGACGGTCGGAGAGTGACACGACTGCTGTGCGTGGTCCCGTGACTCCATCTTCCTCCTTCTATCCCTCTATCCATCCCAGACTTAATAGTCAGTATAGAGTATCATCCTCGCCAGTGGCAATCAATCCATTCATACCCCCTTCTATCCATATCAATCGCCAAATCTGTTTGAGTTCAAGACTCAATCCCCAATCAATCCTTAACACCCTACTGTACATCCCATGTGCAAGTCCATCTCCATACTAAACAGAATCCACCCCTTCAACATCCAATACATACTAACAATTAACTTATCAATCGATAAGCACTAACCAACCCACCACTCCCTTCATTTCATTCAATTTTAGATATTTCCAGCGTCACCCTCAACAAGATAGGCAGGTACTAGGTACCTAGGGGGCAATAATCCACCCCTTCGGTGAGTATCAATCAATAGATTGATCGGGCGATAATTTTGACTTTATGTCCCTCGCCTTCCCCACGGCGATAAGGTTTGGGATCGATGCATATCCCCAGACTTTATCTTATTTGATCTTGGATTTTCTGCATGGGGTGGGTAGATCCCACGGGGAAGATGTGCATGAAGGGATGAATGGTCCTGCGTTCCCTATCTAGGGTTAAGGGAGGGAGGGTCCTAGTATTCATCCCTTTCTGGACTTGCAACGGTCGACTTCCTTGACTGATGACTTTAGTGACTAGTCCATGAGACGCCTTGAGTCAATTGTTTTCTCCGTGCGTCGTCTGGGTTCATTGACTGGATCTGGATTGTATGCAGCTACGGTACTTACTCCTTGTATGTGCTGTGGTATGGATTGATTTTGAATTGACACCCTGTCTTGGGTGTAGGTTTGTATGGTCATTTACTCGGATACAGCTACAGCTCAGCTACAGCTACGACAATATATATCTTGATGGACGTTCAATCGTATGATACTTAAGTCAATACACATCATACCAATATCATACTCGATATACAACACACAGTTGAATACCTCAATCAGCCCTATTTGCACACTCAACCTTAACCTTAAGATCCAAACACCTCCCTCACACAACCAACACTAGAGCCAACTCAAGCCACTGCAAGCCAAATAAAAACAGCCTTGTGTTAAAGTTATGCTCTGCAGCCCAAGAATGTAATGACACCCCACACACCTTACTGCCTGCAGATTCCTTGCCCTCCCC